AGCCGTTTCGAAATCACATTACAAGAAAAATCTGGCAATAAATGGGAAATCTCCAACTGGTCTTATCGCATCCTAGTCGTGACATGATGTCCGAAAATTATCACTGTTTTTTCCAATCGGGAGTCTGGGGAAGGCTCTTCGCCGATGATTTTTCAAAAATAAAATGCCAAGAATAAAAAAAATTATCAAAATAATATTGAAAAAAACATCATTCAAGGTCTGCGATCGCGTCTAGCAGACAAATTTGTCTTCTTCTTTTTGATAAGCATCAGAAAAGCTTCAAAAACAGCTTGAAGCCAAAAACATAGTAATCCTCTCCCTCTCTTTTTCTAAAAGAAAGAGTCACATGATCACTCATCTCTTTTCTTTCTCATCGCCCAGTACTTTCTTCAACCAGTTAAAACAGTATCAAGATTGATGGAGCAAAAGGCTCCGAGTCAGCGCGTTTATTCAAGCCTTTGATGGTCGCCCAACGCGCTTGATTTACTAGGTGCAAGCCCGCGGTCCAAAAGAGGTGCGATTTGGGCACACAATTAGGCACAAACACGCTCGGGGTGGGCGCGCACGCTTCGCTCGAAAGACCTCGTGAGTCGGGCGAAGTTAGGCACGCCCGTCGTCGAAATCAGGTGACACCTAAAATTGGGGTTAGGGCTAGGGTTAGGGTTAGCGTTAGGGTTGGGTTAGGGCTATTCAATCATAACCGAGCCCAGATTTCAGCTAGTTGACTAAGTCAACTTGACTTCAGCAACTATCTTTTATCTTGGTATTACGTAACCGTTCTTTATTCACCCGCCTGGAGGCACATCAAACGTTCGCTACTATTTACTCCTCCTTCCCGGGCAAAGTTCCCTCTTTACATTTGAAAAGAAAAGTCGGAATAAAATACCCTTTGATCCAAGCTTACCTAAAAGGTTGGTAGTACGTGCTGATCAGAAGAAACCCACTTTTTCGTCGAGATAAATCTTGTTAACGCGGATTACAGCAGCTGCTTCAGGAAAAAGAAAACTGTGTTGAAAAGTGTTGATGCTGACCTATGTACGTGAATTGATAATTTTTTCAAGGCCAAAGTCACAATCGAAGAATCTGTCAGACAAAATATCTGATGATTTTTCTTTTTCCGCGATTTTTTTACATTTAGAAATATATTTTCCTTATGTCCGACTTTCCGTGATTTCTGGAAAATCGACTTTTCGGGAAAATTAAGAAATTGCAAAAGAAGATTTTTTTTTAAATAATTTTTTTCAAAGAAATTGATATTTTGCCCGTAAAGGTTTTATTTGTCGAGTATTAATAACCAGGACCCTCGATCAAAGCGTCTTTATTATTTGTTTGTCCACAAAAAGTTCACCAGTGATCGAGTTTAGCTCAAACTCAAAGTTGTCACTTAACCGACAAGTTATTCAAAACGAGTGAACTTTTCCCTTCCCAAAATGTAGGCAAGCATGAACTCATTGACCTTTAAGCCTGCCAAAGGTACCAAAAATTTAAGGAAGCTACCATAAAGCTTACAAGTAAGTCATCATGAACGCACTACAGTAGGTGCTAAGCAAGGGACCACACAGTTAACTTGTTCACAGCTTTGAGCTTAGCGATCTTAAATATCCCCAGCAGCGTGCGTACATTCCTTTGCAGAAAAAAGACCATCATAAATCAAACTTTTCGACTCACGCAAAAAAGGGTTCGGCCAAAACGGTCCTTTTTTGACTCACCAACCTGTGAAAAAAACCTGTGTCAGGTTCTGAGGAGCCTTGTTCCCATTTTGACACGAAAATTGGGTTCGAAAACGACCTCGTTCTACAATTTTACCCCGTTTTTGCAACTCATTCATTCCATTATTTTTCATGTCTCGAGTTATATTTGAAAACAAAGTAATACCACTTCTTTTTTGTTGCTCCAACAAATCCAATTAATTAACAAGACAACTGGTCCAACCAAAAAGGATAATATTGCGCAAACAGAAGAAATGTTTAACCTTTGTAGAAAAAAATCTATTTACAAAGAAATCTACGTTTACTGCAAAACACTTAAAAAACGCCAAGAAACCTTAGGTTCCATCGTGCATGAAGATTATATAAGATCTGGTCATGGGAATAGCATTTATGCATAAAGCAATAAGTGTGCATAAAAACTTCATACCGCGGCAACGTCAATTTGAAAAGAGCAAATGTCAAAATTCACATGAATTCAAACAGAATTTCGTGCCCTTGGAAAACGCTCCTCCTACTCCCTACCCATTTTATTTCTCCAACGAAAGTACTTAAAACAACAACTATCGCAAAAAGGGATTAATAGATTTCCCCCGTTTCCTCTGGAAAATAAACAGGAAAGCTTAGTACCAGGAAATGAGCGCTCTATTTTTCCATTTTTCGATGAGAAAAAGGGGCCCCTCTTTCAGAAAAGCTCAAGTAGCATTCCATTCGATCATAAACAATCACGAGTTACGTTTGTTTAGAGCACAATATAAAATAATTGGAAGGCGAGCGGAGATTGATCTCAGCGATTAAAATCAGGCTATGAGGCTCGTTTATAGCTTTGAATGGTTTTAGATTTGGATCGCCCTAAAACTATAAAACGATTCTACCGGATTAAAACTGCGCGCGCTGTCTGCCCGCCACGGTGAGCATGCTCGCTTATCGAAACCTCTACTCAGTCTCGTAGTCAGAATTAGCGTTGTAGCACCGCAGGGTACTACTTGAAGTAGAGAAGTGGAAGAACGTCAGCTTTGCCATGAATGTTCATTAATCAAATTAGAAATGACTTGAAAAGCCCCTGATCGCTGATCACATGAGACAAGAGCTATGTAGGGATGATTAAGTTTCGCGAAGACTTTGGCGAAGAAAGTGCCGTCAATTGGCGATTATTGGATTGAGCATGAGCTGAAGTGGCTAATCATGTCAACTGTCGAGCATCAGCGGCAGGAGCGTGTGAGGTTTATTGTCACCAGTCAACCAAAAGGGGATCATTTTTGACATGCCCGCGGGCGAGCATAACATTAACAACTCGTAAATTATTTTTCATTTGGGGATTCCATCGAACTATTTTCACAAGCCTCAGGCCAAGTTATTAGGTTTTAGTTGCATAATATGATCATAACAATTCATGATCATATTATACAATATGATATAATATTAAAAAAATATGATCATCTATAAAAAATGCTTTTTCAACCGTTATTTTTGGGTAAAAATTTTTTGATATCATTTTCAATCTTTTTTTTTTGAATCTTTGCACAAAAAGCCTTTTCAAAGTTCGCGCATTTTTTATTGCCCAAAATCCTGCCCAAACCAGATCTCATCTTTCCGGGCTTGCCAAATGTCGTCACGCGTAAATTTTACTATCCTCCTTCTTTTTGTTTGTCCCATTATTTGTTGGTACTTTTCTTGGCTCAGTGCCTCCAGCCTTTTGTGAAAATTGAGGCTAAGCTTTCAGATTTCGGACAATAAGGGTTCAAATAAACAATCGGAATATTTGCGGGCTCAGGGTCCTTAACGATGCACCTGCCAACTGGCACCTGGATTATTCTTTTTTTTCAGTCTTTATTGGGACGCTGGAAAATTAGGAGATTTTATGGCTTAAGAAAAGAAGATCATTTATGAAAGACTCTTCCCTTTTTCCTGCTGAGATTAAGGGTATACCGTCCACTAAGCCGAAAATCTATAAATTTGATAATTCCGCCTCTGAATTGCTTTTTGAAGCCAAAATTAAGGCTCTCTCTTTCTTTTTTGCTTTTTTTTTCCTGCAAGAAAAACGACAAACAAGTATTATTTGAAGCATTTTATCGAATTTTAATTGAAAGCTTTCCGTATGTACAGTCATGAAAAAAAATGAATACAGTGATTTCAACCAACGCCACCAAAAATGATCATGATCGCTCATGTTCTCTGGCGCTAGCTAATCACGTGATGAAATAAAAGCTTTGAGGGACTATAAAGAAAAAATAAATGTTTTCAGTAAAGTATAACAAGAATAATAGTAGTAACAAGAAAGGACTGGGGATAACCAGTAGTAAAAAGTGGTCACACTCGTGAAAAACCTGGTGCAGAGCGTCACTTCGTCTTTCGGAACACAAGGTGGCGCAATAGAACCGAGGGATTTTCAGGTGCCTTTTGAGGGGCAAAGCAAGTGAACTTGGGTATCATTTGGGTGGGAAGCGGGCCCTATTCTCCTTAGCCTAAGGAGCGTAGGGCCGCTATTTCAAATGGGGGTTTAAAGCTTGAGGGCAAAGCATCACCAGTATATCTTGAACATCAGGGATTTTGAAAAATATAAGCAGACAGTAATAAGCTGGATTATAACAAAACATAACTACAGTAATGAAACAACCGTAAAATAGAATCGAAATATAGTAAATGATATAATAGTATGATATTGAATCAAGCACCTAGAGCACAAGCAAACTGGAGTTTTCTTTAAAAAGAAAAGAGATGATTTTGTTGGTTTGAAAAGTGGAGACCCTTAATCCCAATGACTAGCGATCCCTGTAAAATTAAGAACAGATGTAATTTTTTTAGATTTTTGATTCTAGTATATCTTCTTTCTTTTTTTACTTAGGGGCACCAGAGCATTAAATGGGATTCTTGTCGGGTCATAACTTAAGAATGGGTACCCTTATTCTTGCAAAAGGAAAGAGGAAAGACTTTCAATAAGCAAGAAGGAGGTACCCACCCCTAAGATTTGGGGTCGAACTATTGGAGTATTCTATCCTCGCGCTGGATTTTTAGCACACATTTTTTCGGGAGAATAGATTTGGATGAACAAATAAGCTGTTGTTTTTTGAACGGTTCAGGAACTCGAAAAAGGGAAATTTCATGAGATTCCCTTATTTTTAAAAAAAAGTGCGACATGAGAAAAGATGGTTCACTTATTTTTTTTTTGAGGTCTTTTGAGGTCAATGCTGGAGAGTTTCATGGAAGAAGTAATTTTTTAAAATGTTTTCAGTGACACCAGAAACATCTGTTCGTTTTCTTGAAATTAATAACCGAAGGGGGGATCCTTATTTCTCAGTGGACGCTGTTGAGGTGAATCTGCATATCCGGCTTTTTGAAGTAGTTGTGAACTTTTTGCCAGAAGGTGAACTGAGGCGTGTACAGCCCGTACTTGCGCTCGTGGATTTCGATCAGCTCGGCGAAGATTGTCTCGACTTCGTAAAGGGAGGTGCAGGTGATCTCGGCGAACTTGGTGTTTTTCCAATCCTGAAAGAATGAGATGAGAAAATGAGCTGAGGAAATCTTCAAGAAAATAAGGAGAATCGAGGCTGTTTTTGAGAGGAAAAGAATTAAGGGGATCCCGTTCTTAGATTCTAGATCAAAGGAGCGCCGGTTAATTCTTGGATTTCGACTCGAAAGTGTATGGATTTTCCACCCAGAAAATCGATGCAAAAAAGATCCGAAAAATCGTATTGTTTTTCGTCTCAAAAACAACAACTGATGTCCCGCTGTCTGTCAGACATGACGCTGTTTTGGACATGTAAAATGTCTCACCTTGATGTGATTTAGGACTTCTGCTTTTGAAATTTGTCGTTCGCTCTTTTTGTCGCGCTTGTTGCCGATTAAGGTGATGGGGATGGAGCAGCTTTCGTCGCATTGGCCCATGGCCTCGGCGAGTTTGCGGCGGATGTGGCAGGCGATTTCGAAGCTCTCTCGATCGTTGATGGCGTACATGATGACGAAGGCGTCGACGGAGCCGACCCAGGAGGGGGGAATGTGAGTGCTTTCGTCCATGCCGGAGGAGTCGTGCACTTCAAGCCGGAAGTCCGACTGCAAGAAGCTGTCTTCCTTGACCCACTCGCGATCGGCGGTTGGAATGTGCCTTAAACCGGTTCTATTAATTTTGATTTGCCAGTTGCTCTTGCAATTTTTCTCGATTGGAGGTGGTACTAGTTATTAGCAGCGCTGTTTATGGTTGGTACAGTGGGTGGTGTTTTGGGTTCAGCGAGAGTAGAGAAAAAAAAGTGTGGTGTATTTTGGTTGAAGGAATAGACAATTATCGCCGAAAAACTAGACATTAGATATTCGCGGATTAGGGAGAGGGTTTGGAGATTCCCTGGGACTTGAACAAGGGACCCTACCCTTAATGCTTTGGGATTTCTAAGGGAATCTCTAGGGGAGTGAGGGCTTTTTGAGAAGAATTGGGTATTCAGGGTTGGTTTCAAGGGGTTTTTAAGGGGTAAAGTGACTGTAGCTGTTCTTACCTGTCAATAAACTCGTGGTCGATGTACTGTCGGACTAAGGAGCTCTTTCCAACAGTAGATTTGCCAACGACTGCGATTCTTCGCTCTCTGGAGCATCCCATAGTAATGTTGTAGTTTTCTGACATTGTGATCGTATTCTGTTTCTTTTTTCTTTGAAGTCTCTTATTTAGGAAGCTTGTTGAAGCTCGTTTTAGGAAAATAATTGTTTCTTCTTTTTCGATTTTCGATTGTTCTAGCGATGATTGCAACTCTGGCTCTCGAAGATTTCTTTTTGTAAAAAAAGGAGGGGACTCGTAGTAGAGTGGTATTTCGTGATGAATGAGAAGAGGAGTTTTTGTGCGAAGAATTTAACCTGCCCGTGCGGCTGGGTGCTCGTAGCTCGCCAGCGCCACCGCTCGGCCGCGTATCCAACACGGAGACGAGCAGCAGAGCACGTACGCCACTGGGCGCTCACGTCACTACACTGCTGGTCACTGCTGGTCATGTGAAGGGGCCCACTACGATTGGACGGTGTAGTAGCTCTACTACACTCTTACCGCACCCAGTGTTGCACTCAAAACACACCACCACCGCGCGGAGCATTTTCGGTGCCAGGCCAAGGCACCAAATTAATTCTGATAAGAAGGTTCTCTCTCTATCAGATCGATCTGAAGAAAGATTGACATGCACCATATTCATAATTGGGACAAAACTGACAATAAAGTCTAAATTACATTAATTATCATAATCATGAAAATTTAGACTTTACTGTCTATTTTGCTGTCTAATTCAATTCAAATCGTGAATTTTTCATTTTTATTCACGAAAAAAAAATTCTTGATGAGAAAAAATACGGAATTGACCGAGCAGATGTGCGGTAATTATCCAAATGACAGATTTTAATTTAAAAATTGCTTCATAATATCTTTTTCGACTCGAATCTAAAGCGTTTGATTGCGAAAGGTAGGGTTGATTTTGGAACAATTTCTAATTACAATGTTTCATTTTTTTGGATGAAAACGCAGTCGTGTCCTGTCAGTTGCAATAAAAGCAATCAAATTTAAAATTGCCAATCAAGCATGCAATAATTGCTCGAAAAATGCATTAAGAAATAAACGAAGATCGATTAGAGCAGCGAGTAAAACAGGGCGGATCACAGACGCTCTCACACCCCCGAGGCGAGGTAGAACACGAAGCTTGAAGGCGCCTTAGTTGGGTTCTAAGAAATCGATCCAGAATAAATTTAAATATGCTTAAAATTAAGTACAGTAGCCCTAACCCAGTGTTAAATGGAACGGGTTTGAATGTCCTAAATTGTCGATTTTCGGAAATTCAGGCCCTAAATTGTCTATTTTCAGAGTTCATAACGCGAAAAAGCCTTGGAAATCCGAGTAAGAAATTATATAACAAGATTTGAAGCCTTCTATTCATAAATTCTCCTCGATTTTCGGTCCTATTCAAGTCCGCTCCTTCCTTGTTTGCTCAGAGAAACCATTAATTGTTCGCATAAATTTATTCACTCACGTGAAATTTCTGAATCAGTAAAAATTCCAGTTCAGGGATCATGTGAGAAGCATGACTAGCATTGTATTCATATGCTACCAAGTCATTTCTATAGCGACGGACAAAATAGAACACTCAAACAGAAGAAAAATGTGGGAGGCAAATTTCAAATTTGAGCCTGTCAAATTTTATTTCCCGCATGACTTTTTGACTACTGCCATGCCCCCGGGGGAGAGCTTCTTACAATTCCTGGTACATGCCATTTTCCGCTAATCAATGGAGCTTCTTTTAGACAAGGTACTTGCTAAGGCATGTACCTGCGGAACAGATGTTTTTGCGGTCTGGCAGACAGCCATTTTGTCCAGCAGACAATTCTCTTTTTCAATGGGGATAATATCATTCTTTTCATTTCCAGGTGCGTGTTTTGGGTACATATTGGTCGTAGATAAGGTGTTTTTGTTCCTTTTTGACGAAATAAGAAAATTTTACCAAAACAAAAAAGCGGCCAAGAAACAAGAAGATAAGGGGTAAAAATTCCAATTTGAACTGAGAATAAAAAAAGTAATAAGAACCAACTTGGAACGAAAAAAATGCTTAGGTCGATCTATCAAAATTTGCGCTGGAGTTGTCCTTTTTTATGCTTTCCAAAAATGAAGAATTAACGAATGAAAGTCATTGATTACAATCTTTGTTAAATTTGATTGCCAAGAAAATGAACTGACACGTTTATGGACCCCTTTTTTGGCTCATGATTTATTTACAATCATGTCGATTCGCCTTCAAAGCGTACAAATAAGCATCAGTCGGTTTTTATAAATATGTGCTCATAAAACAGCGAAACGTCACGAGGGTTTATTAGCGGCCAGCTTACGAAATCAACTCTCCCGTGTCAATCAAAATCGGCTGTCACAGTTCATGCGAAAAAAGGGTCTTTTTTGACCTATCGCCGGCGATTTTAGCCTTTTCTTGAAGTAAAAAAGCCCTTTTTTGAATGAAATTTTAGTAAAATAATGCTAGTAAGAGTGCTATTGTAGGGGTTTACCCTTTGAGCTTTCTATTTGCTTATTAAAATAAGGGTGTCACTTTGATAAAATAAATTTTGAGAAAATCTTTGTAGAAACTTAAAATTATAAATACTAGAGTAAGGAATCATCTTTGAGCTTTTCAGCTGTTAAAAAGATAAGGGTGTCACAATGATAATAATAATTTTCAGAAAATCTTTGGGGAAACCTGAACTAATAAATATTAATTCCATCTTAGTATTTAAACTTGCTGACTTGTCGAAAAAAAAACTTAATCCTCAACAAATTGTGGAGAGTTGATATTTTTATTTGACGCTATACCGCGTCCTCCAAATAAACCCAATCGAAAATAAGAAGTTTTAAACTTTGGCAAAAAAAACTGACGTCAGAAAAATGAACTTAGGTTTTTTTTCTGCCCGAATAAAAGCTTGGTCACGGGAGGAGTTAGCTCAGAAGGAGACGGATTTGGAAGGTTTTTGAATCTTCGAGTGGATCAAGAGGCTTTTGATGCTCTACTTTTCGAGTAGAGAAGAAGAGGGGGTTTTAAAGAAGCTAAGCGGGAATTAATTGTCCCTCGGTTTCAAGAGGCGAAAAGAGTTTATCACGTGACCAACAACTTTATAATTTTTATTGCATAACTAGTCGGCGATGTTAATTTTATCATGAAATTTTGAAGAAAAAGAAACAAATTTTTCATTGAAAATCTTCGAAGCATTAAACAGCTTATCCGTTCATCCCTTTCTTTTCTGATCAAACGGAAGCCCAGCTATTTTACGCTTTCGGCGTGAGTAAATTTAATCAATTTGCGGATTTCCGTCAAAATACGCCGATCGATCGGATAATTCGTCTCAACAGAAAATCCCGAAAGCGCGCAAAAACGACTTTTCAAATTGCGCGCGTCGCACAGCGCCACCTACTATTCGTAATAAAAAGAAGAGGCCGCTTGTGGGAAATTCAGGAGGCGTTTCAAGGGACTATTTTGAATACAATACGAAGCGGAAAAGATGCTTTCACGCGACGGTTTAGGAAATACACAAATTGCCGGATTCTAGTTTTCTGTTATTTAATTTTTAGCGTGCATTTTCTTTGAATTTGAAACCTTCGATGCATTCAATATTTTTGAACGGCCTTAAACCCGACAACTCTCAAACATATTTTTTAAACAAAACCTTAATTTTAAAGGCCGAAATCTTTAAATTCTTTAAATTCGCGGTATAATCATGTCGCGATGAAATTCTCAAAACCGCGTATCTCGCCCGGAGATAAATAAACTATTAATTCGCAGCGAATTAAGAGCCTCTTTATCTAAACATATTCGTCTGGATGCTTTTTAAAGCGTCACTTGGTTGTCTACCCGCCAAAAGCAGCTTTTTAAAGGCTTTTACTGTATAATAATATTGATCAAACATATTTTCAAATTTAACCCGTTAACAGGGGCGTGCAGGTTTGACCTGCACGCGTGGAAACGGGTAGCCAATCACAACCTCGGATCCTTGATTTCACTCAATCATCGACAGGCAAAAGCGTAGGCGAAATCGACCACCCTGTTAACGGGTTAAGAACCTTATATGAGCATCGAAAATGCTACAAAACTGCTCTCATTTGGCAAAAAGCAATGATGATTTTCGCCAACTTTTAATTGAATCGGGGGCTATTGAGTCTATTTCTTCATCAAATGGAAAAGACACCTGCTTCTTGCTTCTCCGTAAGTAACTTTTTTATCGCCAGTCTCTTACTTTCCCCTAAGGGCTGAAGGGACCCTACGACGGAGCCCTGTCAAGTGCTGCTGTTGTGACTTTTGTCTAGTACCAAAACACTAATTGGCGATTCCAATCAGGCCATATTTCTTCTTTTTTTTTCGTTGCTCGGATTGAACAGGAGGCTAATTTTTGTCTTGAGCAACTTTTGTTGACTCGTCTGAAAAAATGTCTAGGTACTAGAATAAGCGATTACGTCAAAAAGTATACCGCCCAGGTTGTTTTTCTTAGACTTTGTGTCGTGAGTTTTAGACCCTATCTATTTTCCCGGTGTCTTTTTGAGAAATTCAAACAGAAAAATAAACGCTTTGGAGATCGAGACAAAAAGCCTTCATCAAATTTCAATTTGGAAAATTGAAATCTGTTGCTTGAAGATTTAAATTGGTCCAAAAACATATTTTCGAGCTTTTCTTTTTCGAGCTTCGATGCTGCTGCTTCTTATTTATCCAGAGTGGCAAATGCCGCATTGTTTTGATCAAAATTGGCGATTGCTTTGTCCGCGCTCGGAGCTCGTGACCGAAGCTGGGACAGCTGATCTCCCGGATCTTACTCGCTCAGCCTGACTTTTTCGTTTTGCGAATTTCCAACTGACCTTCTTCAATCATGCGCGCTTTCCCGTGACTCTGACTTGCGGAAAATCGGGGCAGCTGAAGAAGAACTTCTTGAAAAGGCCGATTTCAGTAATCATGAGTGTTTGTCAAACAAAAATTATGGACAGGTCGAAATCAAGAAAGAATGAATTTTTTTTTTGGAATAATCAGGAAAACATGTTTTCCAAATTTTGAAAATCAAGAAGGCCAAAAATCGTTTTTCCTTGAGTCCAGACAGATCATCAAAACAACGATGCTTGAAGCCCAACATTCTTATTTCGTTATTTTCGGGATTGCAAACAAAAAGGAGAACGAGGCCACTTTCTCAGCTGTCTGGCGGATAGACTTCGGTCTCAAAACTCGAGCTTTCTTTATTTCCATCTTGAAGACTCAAATTCCTTTGGGGAAAGATTAAGTAGTGGAAATATGACGCAAACAAGCTACTTTCCTACTACTTTGTCGCATTGATCGGAATCCTCGCGTCAAGAAGTTTTAGACGGGTCGGACTAGTAGCTCGCGCCATTGATTTTTTCGTATTATCAACTATAATCTGGAAAATTATATATTAGAACGCGTCAATCTTGTTCATATTATATGCTGAGACGGACTTAGTGGCGGCGCTGATGTCAAAGAAGTCTGTTCGATTTTGAGTACATGAAATCATTTAAAATTTATTTTGAATGCTTGTCGACTTTCTTGTCTTTTTATTTCTTGAGTGAAGTACTGTCTGATCCAAATTTTTTTTGGACTTTGAAGATTTTGGCCTGCATCTGGACTTAATCCTTTGAATCCAGAATCGATTGATTGTAAAACGCCCTTTTGCAATTTGGGAATTTCTAGCTATCGATTTGCAACTGACTCTATGTTTTCCATCTCAAAAATATGAACGGTATTTTAAAAAATGTCGTTATTTTTTGCAATATCTGTCGACAAAGCTAAGCTTGATTAATCTCCGTCTAAACGAGCAGCTGAGCTGATTTATGGTGCTCATAACTGGCGAACTCGTACTTACGTTTCTGTTTTTCGTTATTCAATAAATAAACTTCTGCATGATGCTCAGAACCAAAGGTCATAATAAGTATTAATATGTTCATACAAGGATCCTTATCTGTAAAAATATATATACATTTATTCTTTGTTAATCCTTTATGATTTCTAAAAATAAAATCCTCGCGATTTCTTAATCCATTATAAGGGTCACTAAATAAGAAATCGATTAATACTTCATTAAAAATCTTCAAAAGAAAAGCATCATCAAAAAAATCTGGAGCAGAGGAAACAGAAATGAGAAATGATGAACCGAGCACGTACCCGCGTCGTCAAAAAAAACTAACATAGATCGTAAAACTTGGTCGAAGCCACCCATCCAGCGATCTGACTTCTCATTCAACGAAGCCCTTCTTTGAAAAGAATCGCATTGAGATAAATACTCGGATAGAAAGGAGCAAAACGCCTTTCAAGAGCCAAAATGGTGGAGGGAGATCCGCCCACTGGAAGAGATGATTCACGTAAGAGTCTTTTTATTTGAGAAAATTCAACTCTGTAGCAACTAGCAAGTCATTATTAATCGTATGATCGACATAAAGGCTACCAAATCGGTTTTTTGGAAAATTAATTTTTCTGTCAAATTTTTGATTATTTTGCAAAAAGTCTAACTTATCACTGATAAGTTATCAGCTCACGGAAGCGAATCAGCACCCTAATCTCACATTTACGATTTTCGTCCGCCCGACTAAAAAACAAATCATAAATTGTTAAGATTCAAGTCAGCGGGAGTGGCGGAATAGTCTCCGGGGTAACTGGTCGTAGTCGAAAGTAGTAGTCTAAAATGCACTTTTTTAGTCTTCAACAGTTCCCAAGTGGTGAGACGCAAGCCACAGACCCCGAAAACGAATGATGCTGTCGTCTTCAATATCCAAAAAGAGTCGGTTCAATATCAAGCCGGATACCAAGCTACTTCTAGACGAAAAAGCGCCGCCGGAAGTGATGAAATCATACACGTGGATGGCAAGACAAGCGCGCAGCTAACTCCCGAACGACGAAAAATACGGCGGAGCTCGAGTGGAAGCTCGGAGATTTATCACTTGCGAAGGACGCCCTCGGTCTCTTCAGGTACTTTTTACTGCGATGAATTGTGAATTCAGCATAATTTTGATTTGAGAACGACAGTTTTAGTTCTTTTTATATGCTTTTTTTTCAGATAGAAAGATCAAAAAACTTAAGTGTAAGTTAAAAAAAATTAATTCTTATATTTTGAGAATTCCTTAAAATATGAGTCATCTTCTTATGGATGTTTAAAGTAGAAAGAAGTTTTTTAGACTAAGTAGAAACCTGAGTAGCTTGACAGTTCTTTTGACTATTCAAAAAATAATTGATTTTTAGTGGCCTCCATCTCTGAAGATGTCCCCCGCGTCTCGTGGAATCGAGTCCTTACTTCGATCCGCCACGGGCAATCCCTTAGCATCAGTGCTGTCACTGACAAGATCGTTGATCACGATGTAACAGCCTTTTGGCACGTTGAAATTGCAACGAACATGGCGAAATATCAACGATGGAAAGGAATGGAGGTCGAATTTTTAATAGTTGAATAGGTAGTAGCGCTATACGTATTTGTTAATAACTTCCCTTGAAACGACTCTGACCTTCAAAAAGGTGAGATCATAGTACCAACGGGCCACAAACGCGGACAGACGACAATTTCGCTAGGATTCACAAACTCATAAATAACGATAAACCCAGACGAACCAGCATAATCACGCATGATTCTTTATCATTTATGATTTTTATAGTTGAGCTAGTTAAATTTCACTTGTTTGATGTTTGTGAATCCTGCTGGTCAGATTGAAGACATCATCGACGATTTTACTTCTTCCTTGAGCATCAATCACAAACGAAGCAAAGTTGAGTGCGAAGAAATTGACCAAATAATATTAGGCCCGGATCCAGAATCAATTAAAAGAATAACATTGTCCCTAAAATCTTGAAAATCCGGTTGAGTCTTCCATGATGTCAACGGCGGCAAAATCCGCCGAGAAGGTGCTCGTTGCTTCATTTCCATTTTGGACGAGCGCAAACAATCAAAATCAACGAAGAATATCTCGACCGATGGAATCGACATGTCTGCTGAGCTTGAGAAGTTGAAACAACAGCTCAAGGCTTCAGAAGAACTCAATGCCAAAATTCAATTTGATCTGGACGCGGCCAAGGGCGCTTTTGACGATCTTCAAAAGGACGTTGACACGCAAAGTGCTCAAATCAACCGCTTGAAGACCGAAAAAGCCGACTTGGAGAACCACAACGCCATTCACGATGCTAAACTTGCCAATGCCAATAAAGAACTGGCGGACCTTGAAGCTGTCATCGCTCAATTGAAAGACGAGTTGGCCACAAAGGACTTGAAAATCACCAATCTTCAATGGGAAAACGACATTATTCTCAAAACACCACTCGATGCTAAGACCGTCAAAAGCAAGAACGAACAAGATGAACCTACGGAAGACATTTACGGACTCAAAATGAGCGTCATCGAAAAACAAGAAGAAATCGACGAGCTAAATGCTCTCCTCGCTGATCTTCGAAAACAACTAGCCGACTCGAACGCAGAAAACGACAAGCTAAAATCCGAAAATATAGAAAAAGACAAAGCTCTGGACATCGTCATGTTCAACATGGACTCCCTTACTACGAAGGTACGAGAAAGAGGCCAGGAGATTGATGATCTCAAGGCGCTACTTGATGGAATGAAGTATGACATGGACAAAATGAAAAATGAACTTGACGATGCAAAAGCTGAAAATCTCCAACTCAGGTTAGTATTTGCATTTTTTAAAAGCAAAGAAGCTTTTTGATTGGCTAAATTATTGATTTTTGATTTGACCAAATGTTATGATTTTTTTAGATCCGAAAATGATGATCTTGCAAGTCAACTCAAGCTCAAAAACGACGAAATTCAGAAGCTTCAAGGAAAGGGTTTTAAAAATTCAACGCATTTACGCAAAAAATTCACAAATTCCATGAAAAACATCTCATTCACGATTTAACTTCTTCTCAATTCATAAGTTATGATTCATAACTTTTTTCTCATAACTAAACCTCTCAAGACGACTTAACGACCAACTTGGCCAATGCGTCACTAGCAAGCGCGAATCTCGACGAGGACTTGAAGACTGCAAGGGATACTATTGCCGCACAGGAAGATGAGTTGAAGGAAAAAATGGAAATTATCAATTCCAAGATTGCTGAAAATGATGCGTTAAAGAACGAAAATGCAACACTCAAGCAACAGCAACAGCTCCTCAATCAAAAACTAAACGATCAAGCCGCCCAGCTCAAGTTTTTTCACGATGGAAAAGATAAAGCAATCGAACTTATCGCCCAGAAAAACACCGAAATCGACAGACTCAAAGCCAAAATATCCCTGCTCGAGCAAAAGATCAAGGATAAAGATGGACTTTTGAACAATAAAAATGAAGAGATCGCCAGTTTGAAATATGCCCAGAACAAATTGAAGAACCTTTATGGTGAGTTGAAGGAGCAAAATAGCAACTTGGACTCAGCCTTTATCATAATTGCTGCGAATTTTGAAGTTTTGAAGATCATTTCTTCCGCCCAGAAAACAAAAATTGTCAAACAAGATGAAGAGATCTCTTCACTTAGGAACATGGATGTAAATTTTTTTTTTTTTCGTAAAAAAATGATAATTTTTGAAATTTCTGGCAAATATGAGCTCTTTGAACATCCATGAATAGAACTAAATTATCCGCAACAAACGCAAAATTCAACGAAGTCAGCAAATCCAAGAAGATTCTCGAACAAGAGTATCACATTCTTCAAGAAAACCTCCTCCGCGACACCCAGAAAATCAACGATCTTGAAGACCAAGTTTCCTCCCTCAATGCAAACCTTACGAGTCTAAGCAAAGCGAAAGGCATGGTGGACGATTCCCTCGCTAAATCAGTTGCTGAAAATGCTGCCTTGACTTCTTTGAAGGATGATCTTGAGCATAAGCTCAATGAAATGACAGTCGCCTTTGAAGTTAAAAAAGAGCAAGCGGAGAAATTGGAAAGGGATAATGGCAATCTCAAAAACGCCAATGTCTTCATCGAGGCCAATTTCAAGCTTGTCTTAACTCTTGTCAATGCTCTCCGAACAACAGTTGATGATCTTCAAAATGAAATCAAGAACAAAGACTCCATCATCGACCAGCTTGAAACGGAGAAGAAAAATCTCAACGATGCAAATTTGGTTTTAACGGCAAACATCGAAAAACTGACGGAAGAGACTGAAAACTTAAAATCGACAGTTGAATCGGACAAAATCAAAAAGCAAGAAATGGCAGATCAAATCGCAGCGCTTGATAAGGAATTAAAAAATCTCGTCGTTGATAACGCGAACCTCAAGAACTCGCTGAAACAATCTGAAGCCGAAAAGGCTGTTCTTGCAAAAGAAAAGGCAGAAGCCGATCTGGCTCTAGAAAACTTTGAAAACCTGAGCAAAGTTATAGAAGCAAATGTGAATCTACTTGTCGGTCATGTTTCTACCTTTCTCAAGCAAATTTCTGATCTCAAGGGAGAAAAAGCACAGCTGGAGTCGGACTACGCATCTCTTGAGAAAGAAAAGAAAATCTTGGACCAAGAATACACAATTCTTCAGAAACAGGTTGATTTTGACACCGTGACGATTGCCACTCTTGAATCTGAAGCCGTCGAACGCAATTCAATAATCCAAGAAATGGCTGGTGAAATCACTCGACTTGGATCCGACTTGAAGAAGACGCAACGAGAACGAGATCTATTTGAAAACGAAAAAATCGCCCTTGAACACAAGTTTGATGCTCTTACTGTGAGTTTTGAAGCTGTTAATGCCAAATGTGAACAACAAGAAGAACTGATCAAGAATATGGACGATGCGAACATCATCATGGAGGCGAATTTGAGGATTCTCGAATCAGCTGTAAAATCGCTTCTTGACGAAAACACAACTTTAAAGAATGATAATGTTAATCTTCAGAAGAATCTAAGCGACTTGACAACGTCCTACAAAATGCTTCAGGCAGAAAACGATGAACTTCACGCTACAAACTCTGATTTGCATCAAAAGATTCTCGATTTATCAAACGCGAATAAGATCATTGAAGCGAATTTCAAAATTCTCGCCAGTGCTGTTCAAGCCCTACGCGATTATAATGACGCTCTCAAAACAGCGAAAGCTGATCTTGAGAAACAACTGGAAGACCGAAACAACGCGCAGATTATCATCGACGCCAATTTCAGTCTTTTAGTCGATGCTGTCAATTCTCTTTATGATGAAAATAACGCACTGAAGATCGAAAAAGCAGACCTTGAAAGTCAATTTGAGGATTTTTCAAAAGCCAATGCTGTTATCGAAGCCAATTTCAAGATCTTGGCTAGTGTGGTGAAATCGTTGAGGCAAGAAAAACTCGATCTTCAGCAAAACTATTCATCTCTTGAAAAAGAGAAGAAGATATTGGATCAAGAACATGAGATTCTCCAGCACCAGGTCGAGTTGGACACCGCGAAAATTGCTTCACTCGAATCTGAAGCTGTCAAACTCAACTCCACTATTCAAGAGAAAATTGATGAAAACACTCGACTTGCATCAGAGTTAGCAGAAACCGAAAAAGAACGAGATCAGTTGAAAAAAGAAAAATCAGCTCTCGAACACGATTACGACGCCCTTACTGTCAGTTTTGAAGCTGTGAACATCAAATGTCAAGAGCAAGAAGGATCAATCAAAAATTTGCACGACGCGACAATCATTCTAGAGTCGAACTTCAACCAGATCATGAAGCTGGCACTTACTCTGAAGGAAGAAAAAGAAGCGCTTGAAATTAAAAACGCTTATTTGAAGAACCAACTTCAAGCATTTATGAATGCGAACTCGATTATTGAAGCAAATTTCAAGACCCTTGAATCTGCTGTGAAATCTCTTCTCGATGAAAATGCTGCTCTGAGGACTGAAAAAGCAAAGCTTGAGGCGGAGAACGACGACTTGAAAGCTGCTAACTCTGATTTGGAACAGACTATCAACGATTTGACCAATTCGAATATAATTGTTGAGGCTAATTTCAAGCTCCTAGCAACTGCTGTTCAGACTCTCAGGGATGAAAATGAAGCTCTGAAAGCTGACAAAGCCGATCTTGAGAAGAAGGTTCAGAAATTCATCGATGCGAAGGTCATCATCGAAGCCAATTTCAACCTCCTGGTCGATGCTGTCAAAGCATTGAGAGCCGAAAACGATGATCTGAAGGTCACAAAAACAAATCTGGAAAAACAGATCGAAGATTTTTCGAATGCTAAGATTGTCATCGAGGCAAACTTTAAGATTTTGGTTGACGCTGTCAAATCTCTGAGGACAGAAAACGATAGCTTGAAAGCCGACAAAGCGAACCTCGAAAAACAAATTGATGACTTCTTGAAGGCAAAAATTGTCATCGAAGCCAATTTTGAGCTTCTCGTCGACGCTGTCAAATCTCTCAGGGATGAAATTGCAACCCTCAAGGCCGACAAAGCTGATTTGGAAAAGAAGCTTCAAGACTATATCAACGCCAAAATTGTAATCGAGGCCAACTTCAAGATCTTAGTCGACGCTGTCAAATCTCTAAGGATTGAAAATGGTGATCTGAAAACGATCAAATCTGATTTGGAGAACAAGCTCGAAGATCTCCAGAACGCAAATACTGTGGTCGACGGAAATTCCAAGCTCCTAGCTGATCTTGTCCAGTCACTTAGGGATGACAACCAAACTTTGAAAGATGAAAAATCAGCTCTTCAGAAATCGCTTCAAACGCTTCAAGATAATTACGATAATCTTGCTGAGGCGAAGAGAAAAGCAGATGAGCTTCTCGAAAACAAGGACTATGCTAGAATTGTCATCGAAGCAAATTTCAACCTTCTGGTCGACGCTGTAAGAGTTCTGCAAGATCGAATCAGCTCTCTTGAGTCTGACAAGTTAGCGCTTGAAGAGCAAAAGAAAATATCTGATGCGCTCATCGTCGACCTTGTTAATTCTAACACCATCATAGAGGCAAATTTCTTGATGTTGAAAGATGAAGTTGATTCTCAAAATAAGAAGATAGCTGTTCAACAAGATCAAATTACAAATCTGACAGAAGAACGCGACGCCGCTCAAAAACTTAACGTTAATCTTCTTGATGCAAACAAAGTTCTCGCTGCGAACTTCAAGATTCTCGAAGCCAAGGTTTTTGACTTGAATACACAAATTTCATCTCTAACAACTTCCATTGATGATAAGAACAGCATTATCACCAATCATGAGCTAACCATTTCATCCCTCAAAAATAACATTGGCACACTGGAGAAAGAACTTGGAAAGGCACAGCAACTCAATGAGAACTTTGTCGGTGGCAACATTATTTTCGAAGCGAACTTCAAGATTATCCAAGATCAAGTGGATTCCCTGAAGCAGAAAATTTCGGACCTCACAAATGAGAGAGATGCTGCTCAGAAACTGAACGCGAACCTGGTCGATGGAAACACAATTCTCCAGGCAAATTTCAGTTTGCTCAAAAGCAATGTTGGTGCCCTAAATCAGCAAGTTGACGACCTCGGTGTTCAACGAGATGATCTAACTACGGAAAGAGACGATGCTCACAATCTGATCAGCAGACTTTCTGATGCCAACATCATCTTGATGGCAAATTTTGATCTGTTAAAAGACCAAGTGGATTCCCTGTCTGATGAAAAACGAAAAGCTGATGCTCTCATCCAGAGCTATGAAAATGCAAACATCGTCATCAAGGCTAACTTCGAAACGCTTCAGAAACTCGCTCTTACCATGAATGACAAGATCAAGGATCAAGATTCAACGATCATTCGCCTCAAGGATGATGTGAAAGATCTTCAGGAAGAAAATGAGAAGCAAAGACTTCTCATCGAAGACTACGAATGGGAAAAATCGATCGTTGTGGTGACTCCACTCGATACCTCTGTCGAAAGTGGTCGCATGGATAAGAAGAAAAAGAAGGGTCTGTTTGACGGAAGCGACGACATCTACGATCTAAAGGCGAAGGTTATCGAAAAGCAATTGGATATTCTTGCGCTTACTTCTGAGAAAAATGATCTTCAAGCTAAATTTGACGATTATAAGAAGCGAAAAGAAGCGCGAATCGACGACCTGAAAGCGATGAAAAAGGACCTTGAAGCAAAACTTGAGAAATCTGAAAACAATAACGATCAACTACAAGGCGAAAATCAAAAGCTTCAGAAAGACCTTGAAGACAACAAGCTTCGATTGGCGACCATGAATGACATGACCAAGATTCTCGAAGCAAATTTGAAGAAGATCAAGAATCATGTTACGGATTTAACTGAAGAGCTTGTTGATGTCAAGGCGTCAAAAGCAAAGCTTCAGGGCGATTTTGATGGTCTTACAGAGTCGAAAAAGATCTTGGATCAAGAACATGCGAAGCTGAAGATTGAGAAGGATCTACTTGATAAAAAGTACAGTGATCTTTCTGAAGCAAAAAGAATCGCCGATGAACTTATTAAAAACTACGAAAACGCAAAAACAATTATTAACGGTAATTTGACGTTCATCAGTGAATCTGTCAAAACTCTCCAAAGTCAGATCAGTTCTCTTGAGTCTGAAAAGACAGATCTTCAGAGCAGACTTACTGCAACGGAAGAAGCGAAAACGAAAATTGAGGAGCAGAAGAAAATTGCTGATCAATTGATTACTGATCTACAAAACTCGAACGTCATAATTGCCCAAACTTTCAAGTCGTTGAATGATCAAATTGATACGTTGAATCTCGAAATCGCCAGTCTTACAACTGAGAAGAAAAACGCTGAGAAACTCAATAGGAATCCTTTTGATGCAAGTATCATTCTAGCAGCCAACTTCAAAACGGTCAAAAGTCAGGTGGATTCCTTGAATGAACGAATTTCGGATCTTCAAGATCAAGTTACTGCTAAGGATCTTCAAATCACCAACCTAATAAATGAAAGAGACGCGGCCAAAGAACTGATATCTAACTTCGAAAACTCAAACATCATTCTGACAGAGAATTTCGAGAAGGTCAAAGATCAAGTCGATTTCCTAAATCAGCGAATTTCGGATCTGCATGATCAAGTGACTGCTAAAGACCTTCGTATCAGCAGTCTTACGGAGGAAAGAGACGCAGCAAAAAATCTGAACTCAGACCTTGAAAACTCTAACATCATCATTGCTGAAAATTTCAAAATTGTCGAGGATAAAGTTGAGTCCTTGAATCAAGAAATATCCGATCTACAAGATCAAGTAGCTGCTAAAGACGGTCAAATTACCAACCTCAAGGATGAACGGGATTTGGCGAACGGTCTTGTTTCCGATCTCGCAAAATCTAACGTCATCGTTGCTGAAAACTTGGGAATAGTCAAAGACCGCGTCGATTTGCTGAACAATCAGATATCTGATTTGAATGATGACGTAGCATTTAAGGAACTCCAAATCACGAATCTAACGAAAGAAAGGGACGATGCGAAAGATTTGAATGAGGAATTTCAGAATTCTAATGTTATTCTGGCAGCAAACTTCGCGATTGTAAAAGACCAGGTTGCTTCCTTGAATCTTCAGATTGCTGATCTTACTTCTGAGAAGAATGGAGCTCAAAAGCTAAATGAGAATCTACGGGATTCTAACACAATTTTATTGGCGAATTTCAAAAAAGTCGATGATCAAGTGGACTCTCTTAGCCGAAACATCGACGCTCTTACTGCTGAGAGGGACGAAGCTAAGAACCTCAATAAGGATCTCTTTGATGCTACAGTTATTCTGGAAGCTGACTTCAGTTTAGTCAACAACCATGTTCAAGGACTTAATCAAACGATCTCGACGCTTAGATCGGATAAGAAAAATCTTGAGGAAGAACTTGAAAACGCTCAATTGCTATTGGACAACATGACCGATATGAGCATAATTCTTGAAGGCAACCTGATGAAACTTAAACAACAATTCGACGAACTGTCTGTGGCACTCTCTGATGTCAAATCTGAAAAAGCACAACTCGAAGAAGACCACGATTTGCTTAGTCAAAAATATCATGATCTTTCTGACGCTAAAAGAATCGCTGATGAACTTATCCAAGACTACGAAAGTGCAAATACGATCATCAATGGTAATTTCAAATTCATCATCGACGGCGTTAAAGCTATGCGAGATCAGATCGGCACTCTTGAGTCAGAAAAATCAGATCTTCAAATTAAGCTCACGTCATCGGAAAATTCGAGGACAGCTCTGCAGAAGCAGTTTGACGACCTTGAAATCGCGAAAAACGAAGTTGATGAACTAATTGTTGACTTCGTAAACGCGAACATGATTGTCGAAGCGAACTTCTCGACGGTCAAAGATCAGGTTGACTCTCTCCAAAAGACGATAGCTGATCAACAAATGGAAATCGAAAACCTCAGAACTGAACGAGATTCTGCCAAAAAACTCAATCAAAATCTGGAAAAATCGAATTTGATTATAAAATCGAATTTCACGACGATTGAATGCCAGGTGGATTCTCTCAGACAGAAGATAATCGTCCAGGAAGATGAGATTGAACACCTTGCGACTCAGCGGGACGACGCGAAAAATCTCATCAAGGATCTTTCGGATGCAAATGCTATCTTGTCAGCGAATTTTGAGACGGTGAAAGACCAAGTCGATTCACAAAATCAGAAGATTGCCGATCTTACTTCTGAAAGGGATGAGTCTTTGAAACTAAGCGAGGATCTTCTCAGTGCCACGGTGATCCTAAAAGCGAATTTCGGCAAGGTCAAAAACCAAGTTGATTCACTTAATCAACAAGTTGCCACTCTTACTTCAGAAAGAGACAATGCCTTGACGATCAACGAAAGCCTTGTCGGCGCCAATTCTATTTTGGAAGCAAACATTAAGCTTGTCAAAGATCAAGTTGACCTTTTGAATGAACGAATATCCGTTACTTCTTCTGCTCAGAAACTCAATGAAAATCTTGCCGCTGGTACTGTTATCTTGACACAAAATTTCTTCATCGCCAACAAGAAAGTGGCTGTTCTTGAGGAAGATCTTGAGAAGTCCCAACTTCTTCTGGAAAATATGACAGATATGAGCAAGATTCTCGAAGGAAACTTGGAGAAATTGAACAAACATCTTGATGATTTGTCTGAAGAACTTGCTGTTGTCAAGACGGAGAAAGCAAAGCTTGAACAGGAGCACGAAGATTTGAAAGAAGCGAAGAAAGAAGCTGATGACATCATCGTTGACTTTGGAAATGCAAACTTCATTATCGAAGAAAATTTCTCGAAGGTTAAAGACCAGGTGGTTTCTCTCAATAAGAAGATAGCTGAGCAAGAATCGGAAATCGACAAGCTTACAACTGAGCGAGACGATGCTCAAAAACTCAACCAAAATCTTGAAGCCTCGATTTTTGTACTGAAATCGAATTTTTCAATGGTTGATGATCAGGTGGAATCTTTGCAGAAGATGATAATTGACCAAGGAGACGAAATCGACACCCTTACAACTGAACGGGACGATGCTCAAAAACTCAACGAAAATCATCTTGATGCGAACAAAATCCTCGCAGCAAATATAAAAATTCTCGAAGCCAAGGTTCTCCACCAAAAGTCAAAAATTTCATCACTGACCAAAACAAATTCATCGCTAACAGAGATAATTGCTGATAAAGATGCAATTATCCAAAAACATCATCTAACCATTTCATCCCTCGAAAGTAACATTGTCACTTTAACTGAGACGATTACGGAAAAAGACGGCGAAAGCGCAAAGCTGACGGGAGATATTGATGAGGCGAATAAGACAATTGAAAATTTACAAAGTCTTGCGAAGATTGTTGAAGCTAATTTCAAGCAGGTTGCTGGACATGTTTCTGACCTTCTAGACAAAATCTATGGTTTGGAAAAGGAGAAAACTATTTTGGAAAATCATAAAAAGGCTGCTGATAAGCTAATTCTCGATCTTGAGAACTCAAACATCATTCTTACCGCGAATTTCCACATTGTCAAGAATGAAGTGGACGCATTGAATTTGAAAATCACCAGCGTTACTGAAGAAAGAGATGCTGCCAACGAGCTCAATGCAAGTTTGACCGATGCGAACAAAGTCATCAGGGCGAATTTCGATTTGGTCAAAAATGAAGTCGACGATCTCAACAAGACGATCGCCGACCTCACTGCAGAAAGAGATACTGCCAACAAACTCAATGCAAGCTTGACAGATGCGAATGCAGTAACCAAGGCCAATTTCGATTTGGTCACAAAGGAAGTCGACGATCTCAACAAGACGATCACCGTCGTAACTGCCGAAAGAGATGCCGCCAACAGACTCAATGCAAGCTTGACTGATGCGAACACAGTTCTTAGGGCGAATTTCGGTTTAGTCAGAAAGGAAGTTGACGATCTTAACAAGACGATCACCAACCTCACTGCAGAAAAGGATGCTGCCAACAGACTCAATGCAAGCTTGACCGATGCGAACAAAGTCATCAGGGCCAATTTTGATTTGGTCAGAAAGGAAGTCGACGCTCTCAACAAGGCGATCACCGAACTAACTGCAGAAAGGGATGCTGCAAAGAAACTCAATGTCAGCTTGACGGATGCGAACACAACTCTCAAGGCCAATTTCGATTTGATCAAAAAGGAAGTCGACAATCTCAACAGGACGATCATCGAGCTTTCCACAGAAAGGGATGCTGCCATCAAACTCAACGCAAGTTTGACTGATGCAATTTTTGTTCTCAAGGGAAATTTCGAATTGGTCGAAAAGCATGTTGACAGTCTTCGGAAGCAGATCAACACTCTTCGAGGAGAAAATATCGCGCTTCAAGAAGAATTGAAAAAGGCTCATGTTTTATTGGATAATGTTTCAGACATGAGCAAGATTCTTGAAGCAAATCTGAAACAGCTCAAGGATCATCTCGCAAATATGTCGAAAGAACTCGACGAAGTTAAAGTTTCAAAAGCAAAGCTTGAAATGGATCATGAATCGCTGAAGGAATCAAAGAGGATATTGAATGAAGAGAAGATGATCGCCGTCAATCAGGTGAAACTTGATGAAGAAAAATTAAGGACCTGAATGACCAAATCGACATTCTCAACGAAAAAATTGAAATCCTCGAAGAAGAAAAGAATCAGCTTTCTTCTGACCTTCAACAGACAAAGGACGAAAAGGACAGACTGAAGTCGGAGAAAGAAGATCTACAAGACGATTTCGATGCTCTGACTAAAGTTCACGACGTGGTTATGGATGAGAAAGAGATGTTAGAGAATGAATTGAAGAAAATTACGAAGGAAAAGGAGGATGCAGATGTTCTCATTCAAAAATTAACCAACGCCAATGTGATCGTCCATAGCAATTTCAAGCTGATTTCCGAATTTGTTGATGACCTGAGAGAAGAAAATGAGCGGCTCGAAGTTACGAAAATCGAACTTCAGAAGCAGTTGAAGGTAAATGAAACTGCACGACTCGCTCTTGTTAAAGAAAATGACGTAAAACAGAAAAAGATCGACGATCAAATTCAAGAAATAAGCGAGCTTGACGGTAAACTTGATTCGGCCAAATCATCTCTTGATGCTGTTATCCTGGAGAGAGACAACCTTGGAGGACGATTACAAGCTTCAGAAAAGAAGAACGAAAGCCTCAAGCAGAAAAACATCGACCTCGAGAATCAGCTGGAAAGTATCATTGCAGCCAACAATGTAGTTTCTGCAAATTTCGTGACAATTCGAAGCTTTGTTCGAAAGCTTCAAGACGAAAATAATGCCCTTACAAATGACAACAAGCAACTTCAAGCTGATAAAACTGCGCAAGATGCTCAAGTATATAAACTTAACGGTCTTCTGCAAGACATCGAAAAGGCGAATGCAGTGCTGGAGAAAAATCTGAAAGAAATTGGCAACAGAGTCTCGAACCTACAATCCGAGAAGAAGACCCTTGAAACAGAAAAGCGATCGCTAGAATCGGACGTCTCAACACTCAAGCTTCAAAAATCGAAATTGGAAATCGACCTGGAGAACGTGCAAAGCTCACAAATCATTATCACCAAAAATTTTGAATTCATCAAAGAGTCCATTACTAATCTTAACCTCAAAATTACAAAGCAAGAAAATAACATAAATGATTTGACATCCAAAACCTTCAAAAGACATTGGCATCAAGTCGTTGAAAGATCGAATTGCGGAGTTGGAGAAGGAAAGCGGTAAAACCGAACTTAATGCTTTTGAAATGAAGGTGTCGCTCAAGGCGGCGGGAGAGGAAATTGAAGAGCTTAAAAAGCTTATTGATGAACTCAGAGAAGCGAAAGCAAAGGCTGAGAAAGAAATCGAAGAGTTGAAGACAGCTAAGGTGGAGCAAGATGAAGAAGTTCTTGATCTCAAGTGGGAAAATGACATTGTCGTGCAGACGCCATTCAGAGATGCGGAGATGATCGAGTCTTCCATGGCAGAGGATGTTGATATTGAGGATGTGTTCTCACTCAGGCGCGGAATGATGATCTTTTTTTATTAATTGGATATATGAGTTCGTTTATTTGCAGTGGCTTAACGTTTTCGGAACAGCAAAAGTTCCATCATCAGAGCCGAAGTCTTGGAGTTACTTGTAAACCTTCCAAAAACAGACAAACGTACCTTTTGGTGAAAACTGCAGAACTGATCAAGCTCCCAAAAACAATCATCCCTCCAGATAGTGTTCTAGAGAATTTAACCCATTAAAAACTCGAAAATTTGTCAGAGGCTCCTACTCAATTTTACAATGCCTCTGCCTGGTATTACAAAATAAAGATTTTCCTATGCTGTATCTGTTTGTTTAAACTGGGATTTTTCAACGATCGTATGACAAACGAAAACAAGTAGAGGGACTTGAAATTTCGTTGAAAAATCCCAGTTTAAACAAACAGATACAGCATAGGAAAATCTTTATTTTGTAATACCAGGCAGAGGCATTGTAAAATTGAGCAGGAGCCTCTGACAAATTTTTGAGTTTTTAATGGGTTAAATTCTCTAGAACACTATCTGGAGGGATGATTGTTTTTGGGAGCTTGATCAGTTCTGCAGTTTTCACCAAAAGGTACGTTTGTCTGTTTTTGGAAGGTTTACAAGTAACTCCAAGACTTCGGCTCTGATGATGGAACTTTTGCTGTTCCGAAAACGTTAAGCCACTGCAAATAAACGAACTCATTTATCTACGAGATGTCATCATTTATGAATTGGATATATATATATGAAATCTCTTCTAAATTCCTAATCGATGGGGATCGTTTAAAATTATTTTCAAAGAAAGCGATAAATTTAAACTTTTTTAACAATAAAGAATCAAATTTATGGTCTATCTATCTTCGTCAATTTATTCTTCATTCGAATACAGAACATCCATCAAAGAAAGCGAAGAAGAAAACAAAGCTCTTCAAAAAATCATCGACGATCTCAACGATGAAATCCAACGACTCATCGAGGAGCAAGGCAAATCATTGCATAGAATTAAGGCTCTAGAAGACGAAAAGGAAATTTTGAAGCAAATTCAGGCCAGTTTTCGAATTCCGCTAAAAATATTCTTCAAAAATTTTGTTTCAAAAACTCCAAAAAAGCGTGATTTGACAGACGAGCGAGCTGATTTGGAAGCTAAACTCAATGCTTGTACAACCTGTGGGAACGAAAAAGACATAGAAATCAACGAATACAAGAAAAATCTTAATGACTACGAAGATCTTCTGAAACAGGAACGATCAAAATCCGAATCGCTCGAATCAGAAATCGAAAATCTAAACCACGTGATCGAAGAACAAAAACTAAAATACGACCAGCTTTGGGTCCAGTTATCGTTCAAACGGAATCAAGTTCCAATCCTCGAGGAGAAAAATAAGTCCCTTTGGAGCAAAATCAGCCAAAAGGATGAAGAAATCGAAACCCTTGAAAAACTCGCAATCGAGCTGGAAAATCGCTTTCTTGAAATCGCAAGGAAAATAAGCGAGAAAGACGACGAGTTCAAATCGAAAATCGAGAAACTAACAAACGAAAAAGACTCACTAATATCCTCCTTGCTTGATCAAATCACCGACGAGAAGAAAAGCGTCGAAATAATACGATTAACACTCGCTTGGTTTCAAAATTTCCAAAAAAAATTTTGATCACTAATTTCTTCCCTTACATTTTGAAACCAGAAATCAGTTGAAAAAAATCTTCAAATCGAGAGCGTCGAATTTGATCTTGCAAAGTTGCGTCTCCAACTTGAGCAGCTCGAAGAAAAAGAGCGTCTTGGATCTCAAGCGGGAGAAGATCTTAAGAACGAGCTCGACGCTGCCGAGAAGGAGCGAAAGCTGTCGGAGGATATTTTGAACAATGAGGTGACTCCTGCAATTGATGATTTGGAGGCCAGGCAAGCTCTTGCTCGACTTGATATGGATAGGTTGATCTCGAAGGTAAATTTTTCAAAGAAGTTCGCTTTTTATTCCATTTTTAGCTTATGGATAATGAAATGCTTCCAGAAGACTTCACCGACAATCTGTCCATCGATGACCTAAACGATTCCGTCCGAGAAAAACCGGCTGAAAACGAATCCGCCGCGGAAAAGGTCAAACGCAGAATCATCCCTCTTCCATTTTTGATTCGTAAAACCGCAACCGAAATCAAGACCGTAAGCGCCCCTCTCTTTTCCCTCTCCAAATCGATTTCTAGGTTCATGATAAACTTAAGCTCCGAGTTCGAGATGTCGTCACCCGCGAGACTCAAACGTTGTTTTCGACTGTCATCTTTGACACTCCTGATATTTCTGTGAATCTTGAAGAAACCAAGCTTGACTTCCAGCTCGCAAGAACTGGGGATACTTCTCAAGTGTGCGCGGTGAATTGGGAGATCTGGTCGGAGAATCTTGAAAGCGATCAGGACTTGTTTGCGGAGCTTTCTGGTGTTGCCAGGTATATTCTTTGTCTATTGATTTTAAAACATAATCGTGTTGTCAGATTTCGCAAGATGGCTAAGAAGGGTTTATAATTATAAGTCAGATTCATTATTTTGACTTCTTCATAAAATCGCTTTTCCCATTTTCGAAACCAAATTATGGTTTCTCATCGCTTTTTTCAGATTCCAGGAAGGCGACGAATACACATCCGTCAGCGTCGATTTCAAACCCACTTTCCTCTTCTCTCAAGCCGAAGGAGCGAAATACTTCACCTGCCGAATTTCACCAAATACTAACTGTAACGTTCTTACTGATCCAGCAGATGATCCTCCAAACGAGATTCAAATCAGTGTTGATGGATTGGAAACGATGCCGAACGGAAGCGGATATTTGGAATTTTGCTCGCCCGAGATTAATATTTCCCCCAACTCGAAAAAGTAACTTGATTTTGAGAATAATTTTTGGTAATTTTAAGGATCTCCGTCCGAGTCCGCCGGCGAGGAAGTATCGGCCGCGCTAAAGATGCTCTGATCTTCACTCAAGATGGGTCGGCTCAAGAAGGCCGCGATTTCTTTTGCACAAAAGACGTCGCCGGCAAAATCCGCTTCGGTCCAACTGATGTTTACAAAGATCTCAGCCTCAACCTCGGCCCAAGATCGCTAGAAGAGCGAAACTTCTCGATGACGCTTGGAAACGCAGAAAAATCCTCTGTCGATATCATGCGAAACTACGAGACGTCCATTCGAATCCTCCCCGCTCTTCCAACTTTCTCTCGACCAAAATACTCGCAGCTCGCGTCAGTCGATTCAATGTCCACCACCTCTTCTGAAGCCGACTACGCGCTAGAAATTCTCGACGACGACGATTTGGACACTCTGGAACCAATTGATGTCGGTGATTTCATCAAGTTCGACTCGATAAGTGAGGATGATTCAATTTCGTTCGACGAAGAAGTTTTCAATTTTTGGTACGAGTCTGGAATTCTCGAAATTCCCTGCCTAGCGGAAAAGGCGGGAAAATGGTCAATCATCCAAAGGTTTGAAAAGAAAGAGTAATTCAGCTTATCAATCAAATTCTAGCGATACGAACAAGGTCCCCGAAATCGTCACCGAAAAATCCGGCCGTCTTTCAAAAGGCTACAATCTGATTAACATCCGATTATCCGTCCCTCTCGATCGAACAAAATCGATTGGTTTCTTCAAGCTCTTGGCAGAAGTAGAAGGCTCATTCGCGGAAACCCTCATTGTTCTTCGCCCTCTTCCTTGATTTCGAAAATCTGATGCTTTTTGTAAATAAAAATTTTCCTTATTTTATTCTTTACAGTTTCCGAGGCTGATTGAAATTTGTATTTTCTTGACGGTAATATTTCTCAGTTGATATTCAAAAAAGGGACAGAAATGAAGAAAATGAACAAAAACAAAAAGAGAAAACTTGGTCAGAAAATATTTCTCTTTTGTTGGTCATTTTCTTTTGATTTCGTTCAGGGTCGATTTAGGGCTGATTTTCTAGAGCTGGTTCTTTCGTGATTTCTTCTTCTTGGATTCCTCAACTGGCAAAATATGAGCCGGAGGATCTCGGAAGTACTTGGGCATCATTTCGAAAGTGCCGTTTTGGAACATCTCGTAGTAGTTCATCAAGCCAGTGATGGCGTACTTCTGGTGGCCGGGGAGAATTCCGGTCTCGCAAGTCCAGGTCTCGCCGGGGACGATTTCAGTGTTGATGTCGACTGGTCCCTGCTCGTCGGGGTTCATTGAGCGGTCAACGTAGGCTTGGAAGTAGTACGATCTGTAGGTGCATTCGACCAGGCCGGTTTCTTTGTTGGGGATGCATCGTGGAGTCTAGAAAATGAAATAAGTAAATACTATAAATACATAAAAATAAAAAAAATTTAGTAATTTCAATTAAGTGTTTTCCGGCGAGAATTTACTCTGATGAAAGCGATTAATTTTATGCCATTTGTAGAACAAGGTATTTTAAATGATGGTATTAATGTTGATTAAATTGAAACAAACCTTGAAAAGCTTAGTCTTCGATCTCGACAAGAACGACCAGAGATGTCCATCAGGAGAGTGCTCCGCCTCGTAAAAGTCCGCGACAGTAATTTTACCATCATTCCCGTTGTATCCACCCTTGGTGACATCGAAGGGGCACCAGATGAAGAGGGTGAAGTCAGCGGTCTTCCAGTAGTTAGGATCGAGGTACTCAGGATGCGCTTTTGTATCGACGGTATCGAAGTCCCATTTTTCTGCCTTCAAGAGGTCGGAGACTCGCGCTTTCATCACGAAGTAGGATGGGAAAACTTTCTGAAAAGAATAGCGGTGAGTAGAAAGTGCTTAGAAATCGCTACCCTGATGGAGTTGAAATTTCCTCCAGCCCAGATGGGAATCTGCTGTCCTTGTTCGTGGCTGACGCAGTTGAAGTTCGGGTTATTTACGAACTGGAAGCTGCAATCTCCTTGCTATCACAGGGCTCTTTCTCCGTTGCTCTCTTAAAAAATGATCGAAGAAGAGCCCTGTCTCACAGACGCATTCAGCAGCTGTAAATGGCTTTCCGACGCCGTTATCGTAGCCAAGTTGGCAGCCGACTCGCACCTTGTCACCTTCGTTGTGGAAGATTACATCGCCATCGTAGGAAGGATCGTTGTACGGGACCTCCTCACTGCCTCGCCCTGAAATAAAGCGGGTGATGACTTTGTTTCTAGTCGAATCTCTTACCGACTGTGACCTTGTCGATGTAAAGTCCCTCGCCAAGAAGTGACAAGAAGCCATTATCGGTCAAGTCTTCATTGTAAGTCTGCGCGCCGGTGCAAGTCGTGCTCGGTTCCTCTTAAATACAGTTTCTCTTTGGCTCAACCCTCGTTTCCCAGAGTCAGAAAAAAGTCCGACGAAAAAAATCGGAAATTATCGGTCGGTACTATCATGAAAGAAAGCTCAAAAATGCGGCGAAAAAAGCCGAGATTTGAAAGAAAAACGGCTCGTTTTATGGAAAAATCGGGCGGACGGAGATGGAGCGGGATAAGATTGGTTTTTGGAACTAACGTGAATTGATAAGAATTATTTAATAAATATAACGATTGATTCCTGGGAAATGATTTTGATGATGTTTGAGCTAAATCAGTAGAAAATGTAATTTTCAAATCAGATTTTTGTAGTGTTTTCCAAGGAGTTGTGCTACCCGGCTCTTGTTTTGCGCCGCGCCAAAAGAGCGAAAAATATCCGTCAGATTTGATCTTGAATACCAAACTGATTTCAAATAATCCCCGTTTCTTGCTCTCTCTCTCTGTCGCAGAGACTCGAATCTGAAGAGATAACCCTAGTAACGAGGTGATATCTACGAGCGGTGGCGGATTTATCCATTTCGAGTCGAATGAAATTGAGAATCGAGGAAGAGATCCAGCCCGTCGAAGAGGCGAAACGGCCAAAGATCAAAAAAGCAAAAATTCGGCGCAAGAAAAAAACTCAAGTTGATGAGGATATGATTCGTTCGGAAAACTTGGCTGTTGATAAACTGGAAATGACCGATAATTTCAAGCAATTCAGTGAAATGAAAATTCAGGTAATCCGAGAAAAAAAATCGTTTTCTTTCATATAAAAATTGACGAGAAAAAAAAAATTTCTTAACAAATATTAAATCGAAATAAGTGCTTGGACTGCGAATGCTTCGGAACTCTGCGGAAAGTCGGCGACCAAGTCGTTCTCTTCACTGAAGAAGTTCTCTCCACCCGCAGCATTCATACGCAAGAGGCGGATTTGAAAAAAGAGAAAACATGGAAGGAAAAAGTGAGCCTGGCTGAGCATGGATTCGCCACCGACAAGCAGCAATACAGTTACCTCGCACTTGGATCGCTTTTCTGGATTACTGTCGTGCTTATAAGTTAATATTCACTTATTGCTTTGTTTTTTAACCAAACACTCTTCAGCGAACTGGCACTCTCTTCAAAGGTCAAAGGGAGTAACGACTTTTCTCACGTCGACCTGCCACCGAAACTATAAAAAATGCCTCCAAATCGCTGAAATGGACTACTGTGGCCATCTGATGAAGCAATGTCATGAAACTGAACAGTTCATCATGCCTGAATCAGTTTCGAAAATAAAGACAACCAAAGCTACGCCGCTCGTGTTCTCGAAGGAAGAAAACGAAGTAAACCTAATCCGCTGTCGAAAAAAGAGGTTTTACGACCAGAAAATCTGCCGCCATCTTTGCTCAGAAACGCTTGTTTTGAAATCAACAAGGACTAACCCTCTTTCGCCGTGTGAATCGATTTGCTTTGAACTAACTCGATCGTCTGATTCCGCCGGCGACGTGTGCCCAACTCAAAAGTACTGTAAAAATGGCTGTCCTTGTCCTTTCTACAAGTGTGAGAAGTTTGAGTCGCGTCAAAAATTGATTCCAGTCTTTGATTTGAAATCAACTTCGTCAACCTCAATTTTGTCAAGGGCTTTGTCTCAGCAAACAAAGAAGCATATTGAACTGATAACTGCTCGTTGGACCGGACGGAAGATTCAAAAGAAAGTTTTCCGATTCATTTAGTCGATTTAAATCGCAAAATGGAAGCTAAAAATATTAATTCGAACGGATTTTTGTTTTCTTATGAACGGTTTTGCTGATTAGTTTTTTCACATAAGATCAATTACTCAAAACACGAAAGTCGACCGGCGCCACTTTTCTGAATGGAGAGCATTACTTGGTCGATGCAATCGGAAATTTAATGAGGATTAAGGAAAACGGCGATGCTCCAATTTATGTTCATAATCGACTCAAATACATGTAAGTATTTAATTTATACTCTGGTCTAATCCTTTAATGCTTACAAAGAGGCCTTTTCGTGTTTCATTTCGGATCATCGATTGGAACTCATTTCATTGAAATTCGTCTGAAAGACAAAGATAGAAAAGTCTTTCCCGTCGTCGTTATCTGAAAATGGTCAGTAAAATCGTAGAAGAACTTTGAAGAACATAATTTTTGACCAGCCAAAAGCTCCCCAACTGGAAAGCCCGATAAATGCTATTACTACGCTCTCAATTACAACTTGAACCGCTTCGAAGAAGCGCGGGGTTACATTGCGAGCAATCACTTCAATGCAAAAGTATCTTCGATCAGCTTCAAGGGGCTTTTCTATCTGATGAGTGTAAGAATGGGCGAAAAATGGATAAAACTGACGACGACAATTGCCCTGAATAGAATCAGGAAAAGTGAAGAATTGGAGAAAGGCTGGAGAAAAGGCGACTTTGCACTACCCGCTGAATCAAGAGACCTAGACCCAGTTCATGTCGTCCCACTGGAACGAGTTTTATAACTTTTTAAAGAAGAATTAAAAATCTCAAAGTTTTAACTCAACAAAAGATCGATGTTGGACGACTGATGCTGATTCTTGTTTCCAGAAGTATCAAGCTTTCAAACACCTTTTACTCGATCCTGCTTGAGGCGGACGGAAAATTTGTGCCTATTGGTAGTGAGTGGATAGGTTCTCTTGTTAATTACGATGGCAAAGCTTTATGTTTCTCAAAATTATTTGCAGATGATCACTATTATACAAATACAGGTGGACTTATTAACGATGAGTGCGAGTATTTTGGAAATGGATTCGTTAACGACGAAAGAATCATCATTCAAAATTACGTTTTCGATTTCGCTTTTGCGATCGAGTTTAATTTCGGAAAGGATAAAATTTATATCATCTAGTAGCTGATAATGGGACAAATGCGTGTATGAGCGATTTAATATCCTTCAAAAGAGAAAATAGACCTCGAATTTGTACAGATGAAAGTCAACAAGCAAATGTACATAACGAGCAATCCCTATTTTGCCTTTCATGACGATGTTTTTCCCGGTTTCGCTAAAAACGCAGTTGCTCAGCCTCGATTTCCCGTTCCTAGTCATTTCTTCAAAACCATCATCCCGGACAAATTCGGAGATAAACATTTTTCATCTCTCAAAGAATTAAACCACATCTCTAATATTGAGATTGAACTTGACGATTTAACCAAATTTGAGCTCAAAATAGACCTTCGTGAGACGAAATTTCAATTTTTCGATGAAATTGAAATTCTAAAATTCCAATTTTACGATGGTAAGATTCTTTTGATTTCGGATTTTATAATAATGGCTCTATTTGGATGGATTCTGACTATTTTGATAAACGGTTTTTGCTTAAATCAACTGTGTCAAGCCTGAAAGGACTTAGTTTATTCATGAATTTAAGGAACTCTGTCGAGTCATCTTTTGTCCAAGTTTTTGAGGAAGGGTTTGACCTGATGGACTTAAGCCCGACTTAATTCATTTTTCTGCATTTTTATTTGTCAAAACTCCAAAAGATTCGCAAGAAAAAGAGCCAAAAAAGCTCGAAAATGGGTATAAGAGGTCTCGAAAATATCAAAAACAAGAAAATCCGAATCTTCAAACTCGATCGGGCTTCAAGAATCTATAATTTTTATTACGTTACCGACACGTCTTCCAAGATAAATGTGATGCTTCCTCATAATTATAAAAATTTTCAGCCGTACGGATTATTATTAGATGGATCAATTCAAAGCGAATTATCATTTTCACCTCCATTTACTTACGACGGCACTATTTCTCTTTACCTTTGGCGCTCAAGGCATGCGATCGTTAATGATCAGCTTCACATCTTTGGCGGATACTCTGATCCTTATCAAGTAACAAGAAAAATTTATAAATGACTTTATCTCAAAAAAATTTATTTCAGATTGCCCGGCTCGACGGATGTCAATTTGCCCTTTCATCTATCCGCCTTCATTTTTCTTATTCATATGGCCATGCAGCTTTATCTTACGACAAAGGAAGTAAAGGTTCTATTTTTTTTAATTTTGTCTGTTTGAGCTGTTACTTCTTTTTAAGCTCTTATTTGTTTTGACCGCCTTACTTACATGCAATGTCAGCTATTCGATGGTCTATCAATAAAAACTACTTATGAAGCTATTATGAAACATCGTTCTGGAGAATTGGGCCTTTACAACAATCGACCAACCGCAATAGGAGGAGACACTGCAGACGGACTTGTCGAGACTCTGATGGAAGATGGTTGGACTCTTTTAGGGTTTCATCCAAGGTAGACGAGAATGACGAAAATTTCTAAGAGAATAATTTAAGAACCATAACAAGATTTTCTGCCGTTGGATTGCCTTCCGGAAGCCTTTTAACAATTGGAGGGTGGGCTTCGGGGCGATTGAATGATATCTGGCGATTGATGGACTGCAAATGGTCACGAATCGGCTCTCTTTTACAAGTAAATATATTTTTGATTATATTCTTTATGTATTATGATTTCAGAGTACAAACTATCCATCAGCAGTTTTATATGAGAATTCTATCTTCGTGTTTCCAGGCTTTATTGGCGAAGGTGACCATTTGATTCAAAAGATTGAATTCTTAGGTCAAGGTTTCCAAGCATTTCTAAATATAAGGGCGATAAGTTAACCGAACGCCGACTCAAATAATTGAAAGCCATCTTCAAATTAACATTTTTTGGAACTTTTTAAAAGACTCAAATGAAGAAAAATTACCACTCAGATTATTGGAGAGAAGGAAGCGGGGGTGTATTATCCGATTGTTTTTCTATCTCCTTCAAAAACCTGCATCAGTTAGAGTAAACTTGATTTGATATACAGTGAAAACCCAAAATTTGCCCACCCAAAATTTGGCCGCTTTTTGTCTAAATCCGCCTTTATTGGAACCTGGAATCAACCCAAAATTTGGCCGCTTTTTCAAAAATAAAAAATTTTTCATCAGAATCGGGCCCAAATGATGCTATTTCGGATCATTTTTAGCTTTTTTAGAGTGTTTTAATCATTAAAAATGACTAGATTCTCATAAGAATGTCTTGAAACAAGCAAAAATTTGAATATATTCGTCAAAAATCATGCAGATTTTCGAAAATTTCGAAACTTTGCTTTTTGAAGGGGAAACTTGGCTACCCGGCATAAAACCCAAAATTTGGCCGTTTTTTTCGGGAATTTACATCTGAAAACCGGCCAATTTTTGGGTTTTCACTGTAATTAGTTTTTTCAACTGTATAAATAAAAAAGCTATCGGTTCGATTTCTTGCTTAATTCCGCAGCCTTTTTCACATACTGTATTTGAATAAAATCAAGCTGAATCGCCAAACTCAAACGAGTTTGACAGTAGTAGAAATTGCTTCTCCGCAGAGCCTCCCCGCAAAATATGTCGCTGAAAAAGTTTCTCAGACCCTAGAACTTTGTTTACTTGTTAATCAATCCCTTTGAAGTTCCGCTCAATCAATTTCTGCTTCAGAAAGATTCGTTCTATTTTCATCCCGACAATCTCCTCGTACCAATTTTCAAAAACAAACTTTGTTCTAAAAATATAAAAAAACTGTCAATAAATAAAGTTTCTTAAAAGTGTTCTACTTCAAGAAAATTCCTAAGAAAAGAGATAGGAGCGCCCAGGTGTGGGCTCTTAGATAATCCGGAAAACATGCAGCACCTCTAGAAAATTCTCAGCGCTGCGAAAATTGATTTTGATGAACCATAATCAAATTTTATTAAAATTATGTTTGATTTTTTTCAATAAAATTGACGCTTGGAGCCCAAAAATCAGCCTTTTTCTCATACGCCTTGTCCTAAGTTGTAGAAATTTAATCAATAAAATACTTCAACAAATCCCTCCTCCGAGCTTTACAACTGTACGTACACTTTCGCCCTTTTCCGAAATTGAGATTCCGAGCGAGAAAATCAAAAGCGCGCGATAAATATAAAATCTTAGTAGAATAGAAAGTGACATGATTGAAAAGATCAAAAGGGTTGAGCTCTCGCTTCGCCTCGGGGCGGCGCTACTACTCGAAGAAAACTTCACTGGCGAACACACTTTTCCCAGCTCAAGCTTTTCTTGTATGCGGAAAAGTTCATAACAAACAATAATTTATAAAAAAAAGGTTGAGAATCGAAGTTTTATTTTGCATCAAAATGAACATTGAGACTCATTAATTTGGATGAAGAACAGAGGATTAAAAAGAGAAGAATGAAGAAGGGATTAAAATGTGAGTATCTATTGTTACTATGAATATTTGAAATTCTTATTCTAAAAATCAATTATGATTAAAAAAAAATTATTATAATAAAATATAAAAGAAATATAAAATATTAAATAATCTTATTATAAAAGTGATAAATAAAAAAATAAGACATTTTGTTCAATACAAATCATATGATACCAATTTGTCTTATGGTAATTCAAAGAAAGAACAAATTTCAAAAACCATAATGTAAATATCCAATGGACAATCTGGTATGAAACTTTTCGGCTTGAAGGCGACTTTTGAAAATGTAACACTATTCAATATATTTATGATATCGATACGGTCCAAAATTTCATCGTCGTCATATAATAAAAATTTCTTCAAATAAGGATAATTTTAATAATTATTCATTTAGTGATATTCTTGGGCTTGATTTCAACCCTTCAAGCCTCAACCTTCACCTTTTTCGACGACAACCAAAAGCTCAGCTTCTACCCAGAAACATCCAACGACGCTTCTTCCAAAAATGTCCTCGCACTCGATCTGCAATTCGAATTTTTCGTCGATTCTCTCGATGGAGAACTTGTCAGGTAAAAAGTTGTCGAAAGAAAGGGTTGTTGATTTTGCTCAGTATGGATTCGAGAGAGCGCGATTTGGAGTGGGATATTGTTGTCGACGTCAGCAGGGCGAATATGACCATTTCATTCAATGCGTATGACTCGGCGAGTAATCAGGAACTGGGCTCGAAAAACAAGAAAATAAGACGCTGCCACCCTTATCTTACTAAACCTCGGTAAGCCAGGATTAAAACGAAACGATAAAACGCTTTATTTCTTAATTTCTTTCTCGAAAAAAAAGAGCCAAGCTAAGAACTTGGATGATAAAGTTGTGCTCCCTGCTAGTCCGCTCGAAGCTTACAAATGGTATCAAATGTCATTAAAGATCGAAGATGGACACTTGAGCGCTTCGCTCGAAATTGAAGGCCGCAAACTCCAGACCAAAAAGGACTTGAAAATCTTCGAAAACATCGATTTCTTAAAATCAGCGGATAGAATTGAATTCGGCCGAGATTTAATCGGTAAGTCAAAGTTTCCAGATTGTCATTTTTTTCGCTAATTCACGCGAAAACCGCGAGCTGCATTTTTGAAAAAAATTCTTTGGCGAAAAAATGCAAGAATCGTGATTATAATTATAATTGTGTTTGACCAAATAATGCGGAAAACGAAGGAAGCAGCGTAGATTTTTATGATTTTGTTTCAGGATGCTTGGGCGGAGTCAAACATCAAAATCAGGAGATTACAAGCGATAGTACTGGCGGCGCGCTTGTCAAACGACCTTCGGAGATTCTAGGACAGTGGCCGAGAAATTATAGAGCTTTTTTCATCGGAGTGAGATTTTTAAATGAAAAAATTTGGATATTTATTTTTTCAAAAAAAATTTTTTTTCAGAAATTTTACATCTTTTTTTTCAAATTTTTTCAAAAAAATTTTGCTCATTCCACTCAGACGGATGTTATTTCGAAGATGAATGTTTCAAGTATGATCCGTCAAGCCGGCGATTTAACCCTTCATGTCTCCACTCCGGAATATGCTCAACAAGCAATTTGACGTCTCCAACTACTCTCTACAAGTGCGACTGTCCAAGTCCGTTTGTCGGGCAAAACTGCGCCAACGAATTGAGCACCGCGGATTTTATTGATGACGAGCTCAGCTTTATCATTCATCTTGTTCAGCTTGAAAGCAACGTGAGTTTAAATCAGAAAACCATAATTTTTTCAAAAATTATTTTTGTCTGTATTTTTTTTTGGTTGGTGATTTTGATTAATTGGAAAAATTTGTATCATCCATGTGACTTTTGCTTAAATATCTTAACGCTTAAGCTCTTTCACCAAAGAACGCAAAACAAGAAATATTGAAAATTCACGGGATATTTGGACCGCAGAATCTCCGATCATGTAAACAAATCCCATTTAGAAAATCGACTTTGAAACGCGCTTCAAAACGAACCAGGAAACATCCTTTTTGGCATTTTTGGGCGACACTAGTCTAAGAAACCGGCTCAATTGTATCATCAAAATATACAATGAGACTTTAATTGTCTTTAAAATAGCATTTTTCTTGTCAAAAAATGAGCCGTAAAACAGATCTGACGAATTCTTCTTGGTTCAAATCATCGAGGGCCGGCTGGTGATCCAACTGACCTCAGAAATTCTCCACAGGTCCGATACGCAGGTCTCTGATGACCTGTGGCATGACCTGAAGATTTCGCTGCTTCCGGACTCTCTCCAAATCGAGCTAGATAAGAATGTGACCGAAACACTGGCGCTGGAGAGAGATGTAAATGTGACGTCTGAATTTGCATATATTGGAGGCCTACCGGATATAATTACAAAAGTCCTCGCAGCTGGAAATGGACCTGATTCGGGAATTGAAAACAACAATGCAAAGCTTCTCGATTCAACGTTTTTCTTCCACGGAGAAATTCAAGATGTTCGCTTGAATAAGAAATTTCTGCTCTTTGAAGACTCCGATGATGAGAAATTTGAAGGAGACATGCACTTAGAAAACGGGTGGAAAATTGTTTTGCCGAAAGAAAAAAGCGCAGTGAAGAATGAAAAGAAGGTGGAAAATTGCGAGTGCAAGAATGGAGGGAACTATATTGAAAATGGCGGATGCGAGGTAAACCCGATTTAGAATAAGAGGAGACTCTACCTGTTGTATTACCTGTTTATTTATTTTCAGAAAGGACAATTGATCTAAAACTCTAATTTTTTCAAGAAAAAAAGTATTTATGGTTTTTGCGAAAAGCATCAAAATGTAAATATGCCCGATTTGAACAATTTTTCTAGTGTCCATCGGGAACCGAAGGTTTCTTCTGCGAAGTATTCACCAACTGCATCGACAACTTGTGCCCAAATCCAACCCTTTGCCGCCCTCTAACAACTGGCTATATTTGCGATCACCCCATCACGCTCGGTAAGGGCCCTTAGCTTTCCATATCATTAAATTTGCCGATCGCAAATTTACTGATTTACCATTTGTGTCTTTTGAAATCTGACGACCCCTGCTAGGCGCGGACGACGATCTTTGCGCAAATCAACGTCTTCGGCTGTTGACGTCGCCGCCCGCTGAGCCGCTCTCGTCAATTTCGCTCAGCGTCAGGACTAGATCTTCTTCAACCCCTTTTCTATCAATCAACGAGGCTGTTGAATTGTCAGTCACTTCTGATGGCCTTGTCAATGTGACACTAGCCCCGGATATTCTGAAAATGCCACGAGCTGTTTCCACAATTATCTCTGGCGCGTCAATTTCAGATGGACTCTTCCATGATATCAATTTGGAACTGCTGCCTCAAAAAATCATCTTGTCGATAAATGGCCATGTGGATGATTTGGTGGAAGTTCAGCTTACTCAGAAACACTGGCCATTGAAATTGACGTGCTTTTTTTAAGGTTAAGGAAGTTATTTCACCCACTTCCTTGTTTTTAGACCCAGAACACCATACATATTTGGAATCAGTGGAGAAAATATAGAAACTTGACGGTTTTAGTTTTTCGAAATTCACTTCCGGTTACGATTCTAGAGCCGGAAATGCACAAAATTTATAAGAAAAGCATGCATATGAGCTATCAAATTGAATCTTACAACAAGTCAAGTCATTGAGGATTGAAACCGAGTCCAACGGTGGTCAAAAACCGCCGGTAAACAACCGGCAAAAATGAAAAAATTCTAACTAAATCATGCTTTTTTCATAGTTTTACCGGTCAGTTTAACCGCGGTTGGGACTGTTTCTTCTTATAAATTGATGATGAGATGATTGAGAATCTTCTGCGCATCAATTTGATACCTCACACTTTACCCTGACTCTAAAATTTTGCCTACTTCCGGCTCTAGAATCGCAACCGGAAGTGATTTTCGAAAAACTAAAACCGTCAAGTTTCTAGATTTTTTCCACTGATTCAAAATATGTACGATGTTCTGGGTCTAAAAACGAGGAAGTGGGTGAAATAACTTCCTTAACCTTAAAAAAAGCACGTCATTGCTCTTCAGAGAAGGGGAGAATCTGATGAAACTAGGATCAGAGACTTTTGAAGGATGCGTTAAGGATTTGAAGGTAGATATATTTGATTTTTTGGTCACACAGTTGGGAATAGCAAGGAAATATTAATCTTCTATCAATGATATCAATTAATGAAGATACGATAAATATTAACCACATCGAATAATACTTTCGTATATGGTTTCTATTATTTTAATTAGAGCCTACAATGTAACTAGATTGTGTTATAAGATTCGAATTTTTTCTTTGAAAACAATAAAAATAATTTTAGCTCGGAAGCGCACCCATTGGTCTCGGTCTACAACCTGGAATTGATCCTGACAATGCCCCCTCTGACGATCTCGTCTTCTTCCCAACCGACGACGATTTCTGCATCTCAACCGAGTGCGCTTTCGATTCTTGCATCTACTCAAGCTGCAGCGGTAACGGCGCTTGCATCTCCGATTCCGAAGTCCACCTCTGCATTTGCAACGAGGAATTCGTTGGTGACTACTGTAACATTACCGCGGCTTGCCAGGATATTGATTGTGGCGATTTCGGGTACTGCATCGGGATGAACAACGGAACTTGCATTTGCGATGAAGGTTTTGAAGGAGAAAATTGCGAAGTAAACATTGATGATTGCGAGAGTTCATCTTGCAGTAGATTTTCGACCTGCATCGATGGGGTGAATTCGTACGAATGTTCTTGCGATAGTGGCTTTTTTGGTCCCCATTGTACTATCACGAAGAATTCTACTTGTGCGGATTCGCCCTGCTTAGACGATGAACAATGTGTTCCAGTGGATATAAAATCGATGGAATTCAATTTCAAATGCGTGAAGAAAGGCCCTGATTGCGTGGAACCATGTCCTGAAGGACTTGTTTGCCGGCAAGATCAATGCGTTCCCATCGACTACTGCGAGTTTGTCGACGAATGCCAAAAGAACAGCTATTGCTGGGTGAAGAATAACACGGCTTCATGTGTTTGCCTGCCTGGTTGGGAAGGAGAATCGTGCGAGATCGACTTCGACGAGTGCGCTGTTCATTCTAGCCATGGAGAACCTGTCTGTAGCGAATTCGGGACTTGCATCAACATGCCTGGGACGTACAGATGCGAGTGCATGGATGGAATAACTGGACCGTTCTGTACGATTGACGTTGATGAGTGCATTGAAAATCCGTGCAAGAATAGTGGACGATGCGAGAATGAATTTGGCGGATACAAGTGCTACTGCTACAGAGAATTCTACGGGGAGAATTGCGAGTTTGCTTGTCGCCCGGGAACTTGTCAGAATGATGGAGTTTGTCTTAGTAAGTTGGTTTTGAACACCATAATCTTTCTGATTAATATGAGCGTTTATTTTATTATCCGAAGATTGATGAATTTCTAATAGAAAAGCCCTTCAACAGATGACAGATTAATCTTCATTTAAATACTTATTTATTTAGCTGAAGATCTGGAAAATGGAAATCAAGGCTGGAGCTGCAATTGTCCCGAGCATATTTATGGCGAAAAGTGTGAGCATATTTCTCCCTGTTACTCTGTTCCTTGTGGCGCAGAAAATGAATGCGTGGTGAACGTCACAGAAATTGCAAGGTAAAAACCATAAGACCGAAGTTATAATTGTACTTTATAAATTTATGCTTCAATTACTGAATTGATCCAACAAAATGAAATATTTTTCCACATGAGCTCAACGTATAATCAAGTTCAAATAAAACTTTGATAATTTAGCGGCAAAAACAAAAATAAATTCGAGTGCGAATGCTCCGAAGGCCTGACCGGCAAGCTTTGCAACTTCGAAGACCGCTGTTTCACCGACGATCCTTGCCTCAATGGACCTTGCACTCCGGAAGATGACAAGTTTTTCTGCGATTGTACCGACACTGGCTTCAGTGGACAAACTTGCGGTGAAGACATAGACGAGTGCAGTCTCGAAATTGACCCGTGTGGCGATCATGGAAGCTGTTTTAACACTCCAGGAAGCTTTACCTGCGAATGTGACGATGGATACTCCGGCATTCTTTGCGAGATCAAGGATTTGTGTTTCGAGGTAAAAAGATTTTTAGAAAAAATTCTGATAAAATTAGGTTTCGTGCTCCGATCAAGGTCAATGCGACCCTTCAACCGGATTCTGCATCTGCAATCCTGGTTTTCTCCCGCCTGATTGCTCAGAAATCGATAATTGCTTCGAAGTCACGTGTTTGAATAATGGAACGTGTGCTGAGGGACTCTGCGCATGTGACGACCGATGGGTCGGTCAGAATTGCGAATTCGAGAATCCTTGTGAGGAAGATCTTTGTGGAAATGGACGCTGCAAAGTAGATGAGATGAGTGGGCAGGCAGAGTGCGAGTGCAACTTTGGATATATTGGCAAACAGTGTATTCAGGTGATATTCAGATGTATATTTTTGAAGAGTTTCCTCTTTTTCGATAATGGGTAAATTTGGAAGCCAGAATTGCTTTTTTAAGAAGATTTTTATATATTTTTTGCCCTTAGGGAGTTTGATATTATTATTATTACTACACTTTCTATTTTCTCCATACGAACATACCACTATTTTTTTCTAGGAAGTCACCTGTGAATTTCTCGAATGTCCGTCATCACAAACATGCATCGATGAGTCTCCACCTAAATGCATCGACAAAACTCCTCAAAACCCAAAAGACAAAAAAGATCAGCGAACCAACGAAAAACTAGGCGGAAGCGTTATCGAAACACAAGGAACACTAGAATCTGGCCTCACTCATACGCCAAGTACAGTTGCTTTACCCTGGATCATCGTGATTTCCGTGATTGGCAGCATCATCGTTATTGGACTGATAACATTTCTGGCGGTGTTGAGGTCGAAAAGAAGAGCAACAGGAACATACAGGTACTTTATCCCGAAGAGCCGGTGATGATTTTTAAGGGTGGAAGAAAGAACGAATTGTCCAGGATCATGCGTCTTGAAATCTTTGTGACCGTAAAAAAACCTCGATAATTGTTCATTTACAAGTCAAAATACACATTTTGGCCATAACCGACCTCGCCCCCCAAAAATCAAAAATCAATAAAAAAATCTCTCAACCCTTTTTTCAGTCCGACTCGACATGAAAAACAACCCGAAGTCATCAAACAAACAATGTGGAAATCTCTGGAATCTCCGGAGCCCGAACGGCTTATATAAGCCCTGTCTAAAGATATTTATATGTACAGAAGTCTCAAAAACAAAAATGCAATAATTTAATTTCTAATTTCTTCAAACCTAACAAAATGAACTAACAGCTCTTGAAAGAACCTTCGAGAGGGTCAACTACTATTTCTCACTGCGAAAAACAAATCCGAAAGTACACTCCATCGCTTTATCAGTAAAACCTTAACTTATTATTAACCTTATTTCATTCCAACTGACAGTAAAGTACAAAATAAAAAACAAGAAAAAAAGCCCTGTTATCGAAAAAACCATATTTCGAAATTTCTACAGTGAAATATCTCCTAAGAGCCGATAGTGATTGCCGAAAAAATCGAAACCGCAAAGTAGTCACTAAACAACAAAATGGGATTTTAATCCGCCGCAGCCAAGTCGCCAAGCCCAAGTGAGCAATTAGCAATTCCGCTACTCCTTAGCGGTCGTATTATCTAACGGCAATTTTCTAGAGTAGGACAGTGCAGTTGAAAATACCGGCTTAGATGATAAAATGATTGTATATTTTTGATTGTTTCAGTCAAAAGTAAAAGTCGAAAATTTAACAGTGCGAATCTCTCAAATTTTAAAGGTACGAAGGCTCTCGCTTGTTAGGATGGCTTTTGTTCGATCCTTTGTACGAATTTGCGGCGGAATATTGAGGGTGGTAGTCTTCTTCGTATTCATCATCGTTTCCTCTTGAGCACAAGAAGACAATACCGCCAATAGTGCCAATCAATCCTCCGATAAGTGCTAAAAAGATGAAATAATCGTTCGAAAGGAAAGAATTACCGAGCCAGGTAGAAAGGGCAAATCGAACATTGGAGTCGCTCATGAAGTCGTCTTCTGCTCGAACGCCATAAAATCTCGTCTTGAGGCCATTTTCATCAGCTGGATTGTTTGGATGCCACTCTTTGAAACCTCCGCTTCCGTCTGGAACGTAACAAACGACAGCAAATTCGCCGCATGGGGAAACTTCTCCTCGTTCGGCGACAGCGGAGAATCCTGAGTTTTTGACTAGAAAATTAGTGGAAGAAAGCTGTTTTACCTCTTCTGCCTCTCCATTGGCTTCCTTGAGCGACATGAGTTCCGTACATGTAGAATTGGTTGTTGATGTTTCTCATCAGAATCGAGATCATCATCACAGATGTAGTCACTAGAAAGTCTTTCATATGCGTCGTTGGAATATCACTTACAGAAGCAGAGGCCGCCAAGAGTTCCGATGACTCCAGTGACAACTTGTGCTTTCTTGCTCTGCATCATTGTAGTGCAGTCCATTGCAAAAAGGCCAAGAATGATTGCGATGGGGAGAACCATCAGTCCAACAATGACCATTCCTCGGGCTGCGACCATGTGTGGCATTGAACCAAGAACGTAACTGAAATCGTTTCAAACAAGATCGAATTAAGTGTTCATACTTGTCATAATTATCGCAGTCGAAATTTCCAGTACTCAAGTAAATACATCGTTTCCAAAGGCCGAAATACTCATTTCGGCTCTCGACCACTTGATTTGCGACATCGTAACGACCCCATTTGTCTTCCCCTGAGATAAAATATGTCAAGAGGAATCCGCTTTATGAATAACGGATGAGTAGGATCTTCTTTATACGGTTTATATTGGTTTTATCAAAGATTGCTTTTTTGAAATAGGCTCAAGTAAAAAATTGTTAAATAGATTTGTCATGAGGACGTTCTATTCATCGATAAAAAAATGAAGAAAAAATATCTTTATCAAAAAACTTACCGTTACAAAATAAACAGATGAGAAGAGAGACCCCCATCATGGCGATTCCCATCAATTGCCCTGCGTTCCCCATCTTCTATGAAAGTTTGCTTTTTCTCTTCGATTTAGGCTTTTCTCACAGGGATATTTTTCTGGTCGTAAAAAGTGAATTGAAAACTTACTCTCTCTAGGATCACAAAGGAAGCGCTCTCTTTTATAGAGACTGGCGCCGAATCACTTGTCTATTGTTACGCTTCAGCAGTCTCAACATACCAAATAAGGGTAGAATAAAAGACTTATCAATTAACTTTTTTATGACGTCGTTTTTGGTACATGATTCACGTTTTCTATGCTACCAAAATCTGGTTAGGGTTTGGGTTAGGGTTAGGGTTTATATGAATATCATGGTCTCGATTAAAAAATAGAGAGCGACAATATTCCGCAGTTATATTTCCGCAAATGAACGTTTTTGGGGTACTCGTTGCTCTGAGATGACATCTGTGAATAAGAATATTTTATTGACAATAGATCTCAATATCTGTACAATTCAACACAGGCTTCTTTTTTTCCAAGGTCTCAAAAATCACCAGCACCAACAGTCAGATTAAATCCCGCCATTCCAGGCACAGATTCACTTGGATAGTATTTCGCACCATCACTGTTCCAGATGAGCTGCAATTCGTTCAAGCCTGTTTGAACACTCGGCAAATCGTTGTTAGCCTAAAATCTTAATTATGAATAATCAATTCTGAAAAAACTTACGCCAGTCATAGTATGACTGTCATACATTTCACAGAATCCCCAATTTGAAGGTAATCTCCGCAGTCAGGATGGACGTCAAAATAGTTGATTTTGTAGGTGATTGGTTTTCCACTTGATTTGATCGTCACTAAAAATTTTAAAGAATGGCAAAATTTAGAGAAAACCTACAGTCACAGTAAATATCGCGTCGATAGAGATATTTTGCATCGCAATCGTCGGGGCATTTCCGATTATTACTACTGCGGTCCCACATTTCTCGATTCAGATTATCTTCCCAGTTTCCTTATAAACAGTTTTCGCTTGCTGGAGGAACCAAGACTCTTGTCTCTCCATCTTCAAGAATAAGTGGATTCTCAACTTGGCAAATATTGGTCCTAGGATTCAAGAGGGAGACCGTTATCCCAATTGTGATCAAGGTGATCATTGTTGCCCAAATGAACACAGCATGACGTGGGTTTGTACCCTGATAAATCACACACCCTTCGTCTGACATCTTCTGTAAACTGATTGTATGTTGTGTTTTTCATGAAAAAACACCCGGATTCTAGAGAATTTCGAGTCTTTTCAGGCTTGTATTCTGACTTTATCTTTACTTGACAAAACAAACAGGCGCATCAGCCACGGCCACTAAAGAAGCTTCACCGCCGTCTGTGCCGCCCGATAGCGCCCTCTGACCCATCACGAGTCCAAAAAATTCGTGCATACAACTAACTCAAAAAACAGCATCGTTTATTCAAAGCAAGATGAAATTTCTAGGATTTTTTATTGGCAAAGCTTTGGCGCAATCGTTTGAAAATGACGAGTTCGAGAGTAGATTGAGCCTGGCGGGGAAAAGATATGATCAGTTGATTACGCAGATGACGATTTACAACCCGCAGTTCAGTTCTTCAAGACTTTGGCTAATGGTTGAAAATCACAATAATTTAAACTTTCAACGACTTTGAAAACCATTTGAAAAGCTTTACGGCTGCCATTGTTTCCAATTCGGCGATCGATTCATGTCCGAGAAAGGCTTCGGAAAACCGGTTGACAAACTCGACCGCGCCTGCAAAATCTACAAAGAATGTATCCAGTGTTCTCTTGCCCAATTCGGCTCCGATTGCAAGCCTGAGCTAAAAACCTATCTTTTCGAGACGGATTCGGGCCGAGTCATGTGCACAAATCAGCGGGGAACATGCGGAAGATCACTGTGCGAGTGTGACAAACATTTTGCCAAAATTCACTCGCTCGAATACGAGTCCTTTAATCCTAACTTTTCAAATATTAAGCAGATGGATCAGGTAAGCTCGGGCTCTCAAATCTGGGACTCGAAGAAAAACTGCGAGGCAAGGACGACTTACAGAACAAACATGGAGAAGGGGGAGAATGGAAGTGGTCGTTCCTGCTGCTCTGGAGCTCAGAAAATTACTCCATTTTTTATGTACAACAGTCTCACGTAAGTTTGCTTTTCCGACTGATAGATACTGTATTTCTAGCCATGAATGCTGCGAAAACGGAGAGATTGAATCAATAGGACAATGCTGATGCCATAGATATTTCCTGTACATAAATAGACATTTATAAAGGACAACTTTTTCGCTACAATTTCTATTTCTCGAACAGTTTTTTTTATCAGAATCAGTTTATCGTCGAGATTTTGGAGATTTCTTGCCATTCTTGCTCATTCCAGATTTGGGCTTGCCAGTAGTAGCCTTGCCGGATCCTTGTCGATGCTCTTTCATTTTACCCTTGAGCTTGTCGATTTCTTCGTGCATATGCATCATTTTCATGTGCATGTTGTGTCGTGCCATGTCGAATTGGCGGCGATTGTGCATGATCATTTTTGACGCCTGTGGGTTGTAGGAAAAGTGATGAACGTCTCGATCGTACCAGGGCTTGAGTTGAGTTAGGAAGGGTTTTTGTGAACTTGACGAAGGTTACCTGAGTGCGTCGGTTGTTGTGCTTGATGTACTCGCCATCTTCATCTTTCGACATTTTCATGATGTTTTTCGCCTAAAATTTCTCAATGACAAGCATAAAAATCTACTTTCTTACAGTGTTCTTGGTTATGCGGATCGCATCCTGCATGATGACCCATCCGACGGATTCGGAGCAGGCGTTGTTCTCGGGATGAGTATGAGATCCGTGGTAGTAGTAGAATGCTCCTGGGTCGACTCCTGTTCAGCAGATTCAAATACCTATGGTATGATTTTTTCTAGGGATGAAAAACTCATTTTTTTAATCATTTGAACCAGTAGCATGGAAGAAATCGTTGTAGCTGAAATGAAACTTGTCGAGTTTGCCATCTTCTTTCTCGTTCTTGGATTTGCTTCTTAGCCGTTGTGAGATTTCGTTGAAGACGGCTGAAAACTTATTTATAAATAATCAATATGCAAACTCCTTACGAGACGAGTCGACTTCGCAGAGCTCGACGAAAGCGCTCACGACGCGGAAACCGTTGAGATTGTCGAGAGCTTCCTCGTCGGTAAGATTGCTCATTCTATGCCACGCCTGAAGTTCTCCGAAAGCATGCTGATGGTTGACGGTGTGCTCTGATCCGCCTTGGTCAAAGTCTCCCCATCTTTATCAAATTTTAAGTTTTGCTAAGTTAAAAGTTTTTACCGAAAAGTGATATGATGAAAAGTATAGCTGGCATCTTCCTCGTGCAGTTGAAGTTTTTCAGCGTCCTCATCTTCGAGGAAAAGGTTGATTGAATGACCGTCTGACTCGAAGTGCCATTTGAATTCCTCGCCATATCCATCTGTGCTGTTAGACTTGCCCGCATGTTTCGTCTCGTGCATATGGAATTGAGGGTGGACAAAAGCTAGGTCAATCGGGGACTGGTGCTGGCCGTTTTCGCAAAGGTTATCAACCGTATTTGGTTCGTAGCCGTACTCTGGTTCAGGCTCTGGCTCTGCCTCGGCCTCGGGTTCAGTGGAATCATGGTAACCGGAGTCCTCATGATCGCCATGACCTTTAGCGAGGGCGATGCCCAAAAGACCTTGATAAATTCTGTCTTGCTTGTAGAAATTAAAATTTGAGATTACCTGCAGCAAGGAGCTTCATTCTCTCGACTTAGTTAAACTCAAAGTGAGCCGTTTCTTGGAGATTTGCAGAGCCGGCGGTGTGTTTTTATGAGCGTAAAGCTCCTGTAGAAATGGCAAAGGGATTTAGATAGAAAGCAAGGACGACGTTTCCCGGACATTTCGAAGGTCACAAGCTACGTACGTGTCTCAATGAATGCTTCTTTTTCGAGAATATTCGAATAAAAATCAAGGGGATTTGAAACTAGAAATTTCATTGTTTTTATTACAAAAAAGCTCTAAAAATTTAAACAAGCGGACAAAAATCTATCGGAACTTGCAGCAAAATCGGCGAGTTATTGTAATCTTCTTCTAGCGATAAAAGTGTGCTGGAAACTTTTTCTCCATCCCAGTCCAGCCTTTCGAAGCCTCTAAGACCTCTTCTGCTTGAAGTTTCTATCTGGCTCGCATAATCATCAGGATGGTCCACGCCGCTCAGTACGAAAATCTGATTGCCAACTCGCAGCGCTGTATTTGCCGAAGATGTCATTTTCATTGAACCAATTTGCTTCCAGTCCCCTGTTTTTTCGTATAGCATCCAAACACCTTTTATAGGAGTCCTGTCCTCGATTTCGTTGTATTCTTGGCAATAAAAGGGGTTAAGATTAGTTTTAAATATTTCGACTCAGTTCGAGTCAAAAACCCTTCCTTTGGCCGCCCACAGTCATGAGCCCCTCATCCATTGAAACACAAGACAGATATGCTGGATAACTGAATAAATTCATTTTTAACGAATTAATTTTTGAAGTACCGTGGATGGTCATTGAGACGAAGCCATCCATCTGATGTTAGAGTTTCGGTAATTCCCCTTGGAGTCTCAATTTTGTTGAAATCTCCGGAGCCCAGATAGTTTCCAATTGCAGTAGGGTTTCCCTTGAAGAGACCCAGACAACCAGCCTTGTGATCATAAGCTGGAGATATGGGTGTCAAATGTTTTTAACTCTTAGCGATTCTTTTTTGTCAATTTGAACCCCTCCTGTCGACTCAATCACGCTTGTTTTTTGACCATCAAATGTTTCACAGTTCTTGAAAGACGCAAATTTGTCGCCAATAACATTCGAAAAGCAGATCATGCCTTAATAATATTTATCAAACGCTCCTGGACTCAACTTGATACTGTTACATACCAAGTGTTCTTCCTTCTCGATTGAAGCTGACGACAGACAAACGAGAGCGGCGATACTGATATTTGAGCCTGTATTTTGTTTCTCGAATACGACAATCCGTCAATTTTGCAATCTTTCTTCCGTCAGACATCTTTCCACCTAGACCGCCAAAGAAGTAAATCTCGTCTTTGAGTAAAAGAGCTCGAGAGGAGTCGAGAAATTTCCTCGGTCGGTCCCATTTTGCTTTAGGTATGTCAAGCTTTACGTCTTGTCGGTAAAAACCATCAGAAGAGGTTACTTTTTTGAAATTACAGAAGGCGCATCCATGATCAAACCAATACGCTTCGCCAAGCATCAAGATAAACGGCTTTAATTTGATTAAATTTAAAGAATCATGAGAAGTGCTACCTCCAAACGCTCAAAGTAATAAACACTTCTCAGGTAAATATCGCTTCCCTTTGCATGAACTTCTACTCTTTGGTTCTCATCTGGTATCACGAGATCTGAGCCGATGAAAATTTTCTTGATTGAAGTATATTTTTTCTTGTATTGTCCAGTGACGATTTTGATGTGCCAAAAGCCACTCGAATTTTGAATTTCTATCTTTTGCCATTCATCTAGGCAGGTTAAGATCTCATCATTGATGCCCTTTTTGTTGCCAAATTTGAAGTATATTGACTTTTTCTTAGCGATTTCGATCCTCAAAAACACCGACTCATCATTAAATCGTAACTCAACATATCCTTGAGAACGAACGATGGCGGAGCACTTTAGTTCAAATTGAAGCTTCCAATTTTGATGATATTTGATTGTTGACAAATGTTCTCGCTCATCTGTCAGTCTTAGCGTGTCGAAGGGAACGATGATTTTACAGTATTGCTTGTTGCCACATTCGTGCTTGTGAAATTTTTTTGAAAGACGGTGTTTTTCGCGAAGCCGGGAAAAACATCATCGTGGAAAGCAAACCCCGGGTTGCTCGTAACATGCATCATTTGATTCTTTGGTTTTTCTTTGAAGACCAGTTTTAATGAAGAAAAATCGGAGTCAAGCTCGAAGACGTTGTCGAAAATCAAATTTTGAATGAACAATCGATCCTCGATGTTCATTACATTTTGAAAGTACTCGCACTCGTAGCGAAGAGGGCGATTGTAGAAAGGATCGTTCGATGCGAGCATTGCTGACAAGCAGAATTCGTTCGTGCGGTATTCAAGAATATTATCGACGAATTGGGAGCCGAGAACAATCAGTTGGCCCTTTTCCGAGAGAATCAGCGAGTATTTGACACTTGCTGTAGCGATATCTCTTGAAACCAAGATATAAAGCAATCGATCAAGATCTTTGAGCGGAATCGCATCTACCACATCGATGTTTTTGAAATTCACTGGAAAATGTATTGATCCCTTCTTCCATCCTTTTTCTTCCTCTTCCATCAGTCTGAGCTGCGTTAGGGACGTTGTCGAAGAAGTCCTGATCTCGACTTCGCCGTAGCGTAAGCTCATTATATAAAATCGATCTTGCCAGGTCAAAATGTTCGTTTTTGCATTCCAGTGATTATTAGCAATTAAGCCCTGGGCGACCTCGAATCTTCTTATATTCTTTTGGATCGGAGCGTAGTAAAAGCACTTGTCTCTTCTTGCAAAAGATGAACAAATGACAATCACGGGAAAACGCCCTTCATGAGGGATTTCAATATGGTAGGTGCCGATACTTGAGAAGAAATGGAACATAAAGAGGTCATTGTATCCGATAATTTTATCAATCACGAGTTCCAAGGAGGAGTCTTCTTCACGCAGTCGGGCAAGATGGCCAGATTTACTGACCAAATAATGCTGGCCCTGGAGAAAAGCTGTTCCTACGGACTTAAATCGGCTTCTTTAATTATCAATTTTAATAAAATTTCTTCAGAAAATTGTTCGAAATAATGAAATTATGAAATAATGAAATAATTCGAAATAATGAAGCCGTTCATGATCATTGAAAAACGTGTCATTGTTGAGCTTTATCTTGCTTGATTTTCCTGAAATAAAATTGAAGAATTTCATTGGGAATGTTGAAATTGACCCGACACCATTTTGGTTTCGTCTTTCAGCTGGTAGTCTATCCCAAGCTTCGTCTCGTCGATAAATAAGGGTGTCATCAGCTACTTGAACACTGTCCCCGACGGTGGTGTTCCAAACAATCTGGTACTTTTGTGCTTCTGCATCTGCTTTCTGACATTGATAATAAGGACATGGGCATCCATTTATGCAGTATTTTTGATAAGGACAAACTTCTCCTGCGCTTTCGCGAGAGCGAGTCAAAGCGAAACAAATATTCTCACATTGATTCGGCATCTCGAAAGTCCTTTTAATCGAGTACTGAGCGCAGAGATATTGACAGATTTTCGCGTCGTAAAACTTATTTTTCTTACATCTTCGCAGATTCATTTCATTTTCCTCCTCGGTGAATTCCAGCAGACGCGGCTCTTCTTTGATAATTTTTGAAATAGCATCCGGTTGATAAAAAGCTCCTGAAGCAGTGCAATTATGAAGCCGGTCCGAGCATACTGCCATTTCTGCTTTCTGAAAGAAGAAAAATATGATAGAAATTTAAGTAAGCTTTACCAAAACGCATTTTTTAAAGCCAAGTTGACAAACTGTCGTCAAAAATGATGGTTGAAATTTCGACTTTTCAAAATTCACGATGTTTGCTAGGAAAAATATTATTTCTTACCGAAAATTTTTTTATATATTATTAAATACAAAAGAGGTTTTTCATACACAGAATCATAACGACAATCCAAAAACAGCTTCCATATAAGAGCAAGCCTTTTAGTTGATTTTGCGTTCCAAATCCACTAAAAATAAAATTATTTTCTTTCTCAAAAACATCTTGAAAGATCTTACTGATTTGCAGGTGCGCATGATTTTTCTTTCGCAGCAAAAGTATTCTCGCTCTTATTCGGCAAGAGAATGACTTTCTTCTTCGTTCTCCTAACTCGACCGGTGCATTTGCACCCAAAACACTCAACATTTTCAAGTGGAAAGAAAAATTCTCTAAAACACTCTTTTAGATTAAAAAGCGGGGCTTCAACTTCTTCTGTCATCGTTCTCGTCAATGATAGTGTGTTTGATGAAATGTTCATGTCACGTAAAAACGGTGCTTGATTGACTTGACTTTTCCATTTTAACCCCTTTAAGTTCGGTTGATTAACAAGTTCGACAAAGTAAGAGTCGTTACGACATAATCACGGTACAATGCGAGCACTTTAAAAGTTCATTTTCGAGAGCATATTTCATAATAATCATTATTTTTTGTTATTTGATTAATTAATTGTTGCCTTTGGTAAATTTTGATGCTCTTTACAAAGACGCTTTTGTTCGAAATTCTTTTGAATTTGACGAATGTTCTGGAAACCCTCAGAACTGAAGCCCGTCTTCCTAATTTTATATCATTCGAAGTGAAAAATGGTCTTTCTCGGGCTAATTTTCAGCCTCTGCAGAGATGGGTACTATGCAATAACAGGGAAGAAGAAAAAGGTATGGTTATATAAGAAAAGATTAAAACCAGGCAATTATTTTGAAACCATCAAACGCGAAGAACATATTTTATTAAAACATGTTGTTTTCAGCCTTTAAAACATGTTGGATGAAGACCACAAGGTGCCTATTACAAAATGGAACCAGCGTGGAAGCTAGCTGAAAATAAAGTAACCTGATCGAATCCGAATCAATAATTGAAAAATCAAGGAAGAGATTATGAGCAAAATGACGATTGTGGAAGAAATGCTATTAGACACGTCCACTGTATCTGACCAATTCATAATACAAAAAAAGATCTTCCGGCAATCTTAATACAAATACGCGGTTGATACTCCTTGATTCAATAACTAACCCTTTTCTATTTTCGAAGGGCGCGGCTCGCATTTCTTTTCAAAAAAAAAATAGGAATTCTATTTCTAAAATGAAGCTGTTTTTATTATTTTTAACCAGCAATTTCGTAAGTGCGCAGTTTCAGTGCCTCGTTTGTTCCAGTACAAAGAGAGAAATTAAAGATAGATTCTTACCAAGTGACAGGCCGACAAGTGGAAGGTTCTTTTTTAACCTGATGAATGCAAATTATTGATATAATTACTTAGCGATAATGACGATTGCTGGTACCCGCGTAGAAACTCGTCAAATCTTGAGTCTTGCGAAACAGGAGCGTTATTTCTTAACACAGGGAACGAATTTTCTCGTCAGTAAATTTCCGTTATGATTATTTACGAAAATAATTAACGCTTATGTCAGGCTGTTATCATCTCTACTACGCATATCGATGTAAGTTTTTTCCAATATTATTTTAATTCGGAACATGCTTTTAGTATCGGATTAGTTTCAAAAGAATCTGACGCTTGAAATTAAAATTTTTAATAGATAAAAATGTTGGCAATCTGAAGCAGAATATCGAATACACGACTGTTGAACGAGGCTGTAGGAATTGGCCGATTTTGATTTCTTGTTTTTTTTTTTGCTTTTTGAACAGTCTGAAATCAAAGAAGATATTACAAGCGAAATGAGCGAGGGGAACGGTATCTTTTTCCATCAGCAGGGACATGCGATTACAATAGAAATCTTGATGGTTGCTCAATCGAGCTTGACTCGATAAACTATGGCAATTATGGAAAACTTCAAGGGGAGGCTCTTTGGTATTATCAAAAGCAATGTTGATACAGAATTACATACAAAATATATTGAATCTATATCTCGCGTGAAACAAAATTATCTTTGTGTTTATGTGACACAACTCATGTCCTTTTTGGAAGTTGCTCAAGAATACTTTACACCAAGTCTTGAATTTATGTAACAAATGCTCAGCCTCGATCTTAAGCCTTTTATTACACTGACAACGTGGCTGAAAACGGCTACTGGACGGTGACAGACTTGCCTTCAAAGCTTAATTGGAGCCTCAATGACGGTCTTCACTGCTTACAGGTTGCCTCAGCCAAATAACTTGTCAAATAATGATGCTTTCAATAGTGCCAAACAAAGCCAAACAACACGGATGCAGAGCGCGATCAATGCTACTATTCCGTCAAAAGCAAATTTTCGGGGACATGTGACGGAGCAAATTTTACAACCTGCGATTCTGCCGTTTCCAAATTCTGGTCTCGTGACAAACTTTACGAATTTGCCAAAAGAGGATGCTCTGAAAACCTGCCTGGAGAGCCAGATCAGTGGGCACAAGGATTCGTCAATCGACAAATGTCGCCATATTTCAGAGGACAAAATGTAAATATATCGAATTTCATTTCTTTTATTCCTTTTTTCAGGTAACAATGGTCCGAAAATACTGTGATTTTGACGATTGCAACACTCCCCGTGCTGATTTCATCACTTCTTCAGGCATTAATTCAAAATAATTGACAAGAAGATGTTTTCTAAAATTCCTCCCTAGTCAATCTTCGCTTCTGAATAATCTTCGTTTATTAAATTTAATAGAGGATCGGGCTCATTCTTTTAATATCTTCAAATCAATCTATTTTGATTAAACCCACAGAATTATTTCACCATCGGACGATTCTCTCCTCAGCCTTCACTTCATTGTTCTTCTTTTTCTTCTTGAAATAAACTAGCTTTCTTATTTTGTTTGTATTTTCTGACCAGACAGAAAGGAGTTTATTAAAAATAGATTTATTGTGATAAATTCAGATGTATACTGATATAGCGCTAGATAGGTATTTGGAGTCTGATAATTTTTCAATTAAGCAATGAAGATAATTAAGCAATTCATCGAATAGGGTAAATTTAGAATGATTACCTAAACTCAAAATGAATAATTAATAAACAAATTTATTTTTTTCAATTAAAAGACCGCCTTATTTTATTCAAAATTTTCTTAAGGCAGCCTTACCCTGGGTAGGAGGGGAGATGCCGGAGATATCCCAGACAAATTTTGACTGGAAATTTTAAACCAATCAGAAACCTGGATTTGGCTTACCGGTCAATCATGAGCCGAGAAGCCGCCCACGCAAAATTTGTCGAGAATTTTTTTTTTGATTCCTTCCGAAGGAAATGATGAATCGTCAATTTAGTGAATTTAGTGATGCTTCAAGCAAACAACCGATCGTAGTACGATCGTACTGTATGGGCCATACAATTTTTTTCTAAGTGAAAGAGAATTGCATGTTCGAAAAAAGAGAAAAAGTGAAGGTGGGATCTTTTTATTAATATTCCAAAAAGACTCAAATGTAATTTTATTAATAGGCAAATGTCAGTAATTTGTATCTTATAAAACAGTAGCCCTCGCCCTTCAGCCTTATCCTTTGTGTTCTGATGGCATCCGAGAGCTCGCCTATAATACACAAGTTCTATCATAATATATTCATAATTGAAATCTAGCTCGAAGAAAAGAATTAGGATGAAAATAATCAAGCATTGTCAAAAATATTTCCCAAAGAATCAATTTTTCAAGGAAGAATTGATCACAACCACGCCAAAAACAAAGAAAAAGAGCTCTGGAAAATTATTCATAAATATCCTGTGCATTTTTTCCATCTTTCTTCTTGCCTTCTCGATATTCATTTTTGTCCAAAACATCATGGCAAAGAATGGAATTCTAAGTCCCCCACCGACAGTCGAGTCAGAAGTAAAACTTGAATGCCGTCTTCAAAAATGCTATGAATCGCCGGAACATGCTCAAATAGAAGATCGAGTTCGGCGAAATTGACGCTCAAAACTGCTTATTCTTTTATATCCCACTGTGCTTATTATATTTATTATTTGAAATGAAATAAATATTATTCGAATTTTTATAATTTTGAAAACTAATTTTTAAAAAGAAAATAATAAAAAAAATGATAAAAAAATTAAGAAAAAAATTAGAAAAAAATTAAATATTTTTTATTTCAAAAGATTAATCATTTCAAAAACGAGGATTTTTTTAATTTTAAAATGTTGAGGATACGAAAAAGATACTCAAGATCGCTATTGATGCAAGAAAAGAACATTTATGCAACAAAAGGGGAAACGCAGCAGGCCGGGTTGGGGATTTTGCTCATTGTCACAAGAACTTGAACATTTTTTGACAAGCATCCTGAGTCTTAGAAGATCGTTTCAAAAGAGGAGAGAAAAATTCAAAACTGACAAGAATGACTTCACTTTCACAAATTGGTAAAAATGAATATTCAAATGAAAGTTGTAAATTAATTTCTTAGATCACGCTTTACTGGGTCTTCAAAAATTCATCAAAGTGTCAATCAAACAAAACAGCCGGCTAAAAAGAAGCCACTTTTCAAAGGAGCCGCATATAGGAGGGCCCAAAACGGTTACAAATTTTGGTTTGAGGAGCCCCTCCCTCCAAAGGTAACGCCCTTGGTTCTGAGGCGTCTCAAACCGACAAAAACTCGAAAAATTTTTCTACCAATCAGATGCCTGGATTCGGAAAACCGGCCAATTAGCAGCTGAGTAGCTGCCCACGCAAAATTTGTCGAGATTTTTTGTCGATTCGAGACACGATCCCCTGTTTCTGGGGAGTTTTCTGATGGTAAGAGAAATTCTAGTGCTCGAAAAAGTCAATCGGATCGAAGCACAATCCAATGGGCTTGCCAAATAACCTCGCAGCACAACGAAAAATCAGGCAAAATGCATTTATTCCTCCTTCAAAACCGTTTTTGTATCAATAATATAAAATGTTGTTAATGAATATATTTATTTGGCAAAGAGATAAAAGAACAGTAAAAGTTTGATTTGTGCTGTTTTCGTCTTCGGAAATTCGAATTTTCCATCAAAATCTTCAAAGGAAGAAATTATCGTACTCAGGTTTTTGGCGCCTCCAGTGGTGAACATGCATCAATTCATCACCGGTCCTGTTTTCCGGTTCCTTTGGTTAAAAAATTTTGCGAATCAAATTTCCTAAATCGAAGAAAAAGTCTATATTACAAGATTTGTACAATTTTTAAACTGTTTAACGGGATTTAACTTTTTCGATTTTATGTTTTTTTTCGAATATTCAAAAAGCCTGAAAATCAAAAGATTAGTCCCTAAGTCGAGCGTTTTTCACGCAAAAATATTTTTAATTTTCGAATTTTCGATTAGTCGAAAATTGAAATTTTGATGCTTTTTAGCAAGATCCGATTGTCTTGACACTTCCATCGCAGCATTGCTTGTTCAAGGAGTTGTAGATCACCTTAATCGTCAACGATAGAGCCATTGAGATTTAAGGGTGTCCTACGGAGAATGAATCAGATTTTCCACAGCACTGGGGTTCGCTGGGACCATTGCCGCTTGGAACGCAGTTTTCGTCAACATCGAATCCAGTCTTGGTCCAGAACTGGTGGTAGTTCTGGTTGAATACCGGCGTCTACAATATTTCTTTGCAAAAGAGGTCAAGGGGCGATTTGATCTTACCGCCTCGACGTGTTGTTGAGCAAATCGCTTGTCGCATTCGCAAAGAGATCGTCCGCAAGTACCGGCAGAGTCGGTGCATGTTGGTCCGTTCTTCAACTTGAGACCGTATGAAACGAATTCACCAATGCACATTTCTCCGAACTCTTCTCGAGCGCACTTGAGGCACTCTTTGTACTGCTTGCAGACTGGAAAATTATAGTTAGATTTGGCTCTCAGAGCCCTGAGTCAGGCTTCTACACAGGCTTTCCCACCCCAGGTCACTTACCAGAGTCAAGGGCATCGACAGGTGCGCCCTTGCCCATTTGAGTCATTGGTCGATCACCAAGGAAGAAACAGTGGCATCCGTAAGTCCAGTAGTCCCGCTCGTCAAAGTTCTCATTGTATGCCGTCATCTGGTCCATGAGCTGACTGTATCGTCGTGGGCCCTGGTCGATTTGGCGACGAACGCGGCCGACGGAAGAAGCCGAGGCGGAAAGGGCGAGGATGGAAAGTTTCATCTTGATTTTGGTGATTTTCTTTTGATCTAAAAGACAACAAATGAAATTTTACGTAAGAAATATCATTTCTTTGCTTTTGAAGCAATGGCTTCCATCATACAGCTTGGTTAGAAAAGAATAAAGTAGAAGAACTTTGAAAATTCATTATTTCCTTTGGACTTGTTCCCTGTAGAAGTTCTCCTACTTTATTCTTTTCTAACTCGTTTGAATAATGTAAAAACGATATTACGTCAACTTCTTTGAAAAATGTTTATTTTCTTTTGAATTTTGTAGCGTTTATATTCGAATCTATATCTACTTGTATTTTCATATAAACCTATGTTTTATGACCTTTGAAGATATACTTCAAAGGCCTTATAATTATCCACCTGACGATATTAGGTGTTCAGCTTGGAACAAGTAAAGTAATAAACACTCATTGACGCAAATTCCATATTTACCTGTAAAATGGGTTCTCTTTAGCAAACGGACTTAATTGAGACAACTATATCGTCGTCTTCAATTCAACTTCTTTTCTTGAATCGAAAAGTGTTTCAAAAAGGTGTTTGAGTGAAGATCCAGTTGATTTGGCCGCGCTTTTATTCGCGAAATTCGCGCAGCGCGCTCGCGATCTCGCTAGGTGGAGTTGAGTTCTACCGCCGCGATAGGACCGCGTTGAGTAATTTTTGCTGCGAGATTGAGCAATTTAAGCGTGATTAGGGGATGAGAAATTGGAGGAGAGATGCTTGTATTTGGTGAAATTCAAGAGCTCACTTCAATTTCAATTTCTCCGATCTGAAGAATAAGGTCGTGCGAAGAGAGGAAGCTGAAACTGGGTCTTCCTCTGTTACTTGAGGAAAAAAAGCATGCAACGTCCGGGAATCGAACCCGGGCCTCCCGCGTGGCAGGCGAGAATTCTACCACTGAACCAACGTTGCCTGAGGGCTGTGCCCAAATTAGGTTGATTTATTTTTCCCTCGTGGGTTCCCGACACCTCCAAGTACTGTCAGACCCAAGTGCGAAATCTATCAACCTAAATAAAGCCCGAAGATCAAGCAACGTTGGTTCAGTGGTAGAATTCTCGCCTGCCACGCGGGAGGCCCGGGTTCGATTCCCGGACGTTGCAAGCTTTGGTTCATTAATCGGTTACATACCGGCTGATTTTGCTTTTTCTTGCTTTCTTCAACAGGTAATCCTTCCCTGACATATCTTACTGTAAGTTTTTTCGAGATAGATAAGAGTACGAGACGTGATTTTATCAACGGATTTATCCTATTCCTACCCTAACAGGACTCTATCATTCTCGAAGTCCGTAACTAACGAACCTCTTTTACAGGAAAAATATTTAGAATTTTTATCTGTTATCGTCCATCTGTCCACATCTTTGTCACGAAGAATGCTCTAATGGGGGCAAATCGGTTCGCCCCTCACGTTTTTTCTTCTAGCTATGGAACCGCAGAGAAAACTATTTTTTAATGTCGGCCAGTCGAAACAAGGGTTTCAAAGAGAACAACTCGCCACAGATGATGTTGAGGGTCAAATCTCTATCACTGTTTTTCGATGTTCTGTTTCTACTAGAACGTAGTCAGCTCAAGGTCGAACAAGTGTCTCATTGATTCTAGCGCCAGAAATTTGCCTGACTGGCAGTTTTGGCTTACGGTTAGGGTTAGGGTTAGGCTGGAATTTCAAACGTCTTACCTAAACCTAACCCTAACGGCCCAAACCTTAGGGCATAAACTACCAATGTAAACAGTATTAAAGATTCAGTTTGAAACCGACGAAAATGAGTTTCCGATGATGATAATTGACCAATTCGACGATAATCAACAAGCAAATCTTTCAATTTTTCAATCTTTTTCTTCGAAACAAATTTTGACCACATTTATCTTCGATTTGATCTTACATTTATGTCCGGTCAGGATCTATTTCTTTCTAAAAAGAAATTTTTAAAGGTACCATTTGTAATGGTCCATTACCTTTATCTTCAAAGACAAAAAGAAAGATAACATTCAAAGCAATTTCTCCTCACGATAACTCCTTTCGATAAGAACTAAGTGGCAAATGCTTATAAGATTCCTCGATCGATCAGAATTATTTGTCCTCGAATTCCGGAGCGCTTCTAACACGCTAATCCTGGGCGTCTTTTCGACTTCTAATTCTTAAAAATGTTGATTTGGAATTGCTATAAAATTACTGAGCGGTTTTTTATTTACGTTTTTGAATAAAATTAAATGACGCGTCTTTTATCCACAAATATTTCTTGAAAAAATAGACGGGCTAGACAACCTGAGTCAGGGTTCAAAACAAGCTTTTTGGACACGCTTGGAAACCGCCGTAAAAAACCTGAGTCAGGGTCTTGAGACAGTACTTCAAGTAAGAAAATGAAAATTCTGGCGAAGCCGCTATGCGGCTTCGTTTCTTGAAAAACTGCTACGCGGCTTTTCTTTTCAAATCTTTTTAGACCCTGAGTCAGGGTCCCTGACACAGATTTTTTCAGAAAACCTGAGTCCGGGTCCTGAAACAGTATTTTAAGTAAGAAAACAAAAATTCTGGCGAAGCCGCTTTGCGGCTTCGTTTTTGAAAAAGCCGCAACGCGGCTTTTCTTTTAAGATGTTTTTGGACCCTGACACAGGTTTTAACGCAGGTGGGCGGGCAATGTGGATAAAAAGAAAGCCGAAAAAAGTGAGAGCTAATTTAAAAATCGCCAGCGAGTGTTACAATGACGCATGAGCTATTGTGAAATTATTATTAGATGGTTTGGGTGATGAGGAAAAAATTCATTACGAAGGTAATTTAGAAAACGCCGCGTCTCGCGCATTTTGATAAATTGCCGCATTCAAAAAAGATAGTGTTCCTTTGTCGTCTTCAAAGACTTTCAAGTGGCCATGATAAAGGGAAATCTGAACGCTGATAATAAATTATTATGTTTTTACATTATGTTTTCGAGGTTTTAGAGGTCTAAAATTAAGTTGCCTGGAGTGAGCGATTTCGAAATTATGTTCCTTCTTGACATGTTCCTCCTTGACATTTTTTTTTGTAATAGTTGTTTTTTTATTCTTAAAAAAATTGGCGACCACGAAATTCACGCGATTACGGGTGAGTCTGCTCAACGTGAAAAAGCAAATCCAGTTACGACTGCTGTATACCGAAAATTGGATTGCGAATATTTTTCACAACGTTTTGTTTTTCATTTTTGATTATTCGTGGGAATGTTTTTGTTGGGAATTTTAGCTTTTTTCAGCTTTCGTTTTTATGGTTTTTAAAAGATGATCTTATTTTCAGACAGCGAGGAGTTTTGTCAAGCGATTCAGAAGATACAGTAAGTAAGGGAATTTCTACACGAAATTTAGGAGAAAAAAGATGTACCGAGAAAGAGCATCATAATTTACAAAAAAAAAGTGAGAACCCGAAAGTCAAATAATCAAGCGTAAAATTAGGGTTCGTTACAATCCAGATGCGATAATCCAGGAAGGAAAATTGCCGGATGCTACAGGGAAAAGAACATTTTCGTAACAGTTCTCAAAAATGTATTTTCAGGGAAATATTCGGGGATCCAGGATCTGAGAGCCAAATTGCAACGAAACTTTTGAAATACCGCAACACATAAATAGTGGTTCACTAAGTTTAATTCTAATGGAAAATGATCTTTGAACCACAGAATTACATAAATACAGTAGTTTCTGACTTAACACTATCTTTTTTTTATTAGACGGTGAATGAATTCAACTTAGACTGGCTAAAAATGAAAGAAATCTTATGAATAAGAGTTTTGATTGGCCGGTAAGCCAAATACAGCAATCTTATTGGTTTTCCAAAAATGCACTTCCATTATTCGAGAAATGCGATTTATTAGCGGATTAACCATTTTTTGGGTCTTTCCCTAAATATAATTGATCTTAGTAATCTGAAAAAAGGAAGGTGAGGATTTAGGCGAAAATGACTCATACCGTGAAGCATCATTGTTTTCAATAAATTCAGCTGACGAGTTTAGGGTTCCCTTTACTATATATTTTCGAATAAGCGAGATCTTTTTCATCATTTTGGCCTCTTTTGAATAAGAAACCACAGGCAGCAATTAGCTTCTTTGGGTTTTAGAGCGAAGGCTGTGCAAATTCTTCACCAGATGGAGACTTACGGCCGTTATGGTATGTCACACAAGTTCCCCAAGCTAATACAATAATAGCCCGCCTCACGTTTCTTTCAAGGAATCTTACGAAACAGATAAAGATGCATTTTTCTGCAAATTATAGCTCCAGTTCTGATTTTAGAACGATCCAAAATCGAAGAAAGAATAAATTCTTGAAGTAGGTTATTTTCGTCTCTTATCGCGGCCTTATCAGTCAATCAATCAGTCAGTCAGTCACATCCCGTGTCTGCCACGTAAATCTCACAGACAAAAATGCCAATACCCTTAAATTAGTCCTCTAGAACCGAAAAATCAGGAGACACCTGGAGAAGTTATTTAAGGGTATCGACATTGGTTTGATAAGATTTATGCAGCATTTAGTAGTATAAGATGCACCTAAAACAGTAAAGTTTCCGGGATATTTGAAAATTTCCCGCCAAAAAGCCAAAAAAGAAAGGCCTCAACATCCTTTTAGAAAATTACGTAGACGCCGGAATCTCTCCGTCCGTATCAAAAGAGCGCCGTGGCTCCGACAGAAAACAAGCCATTTTTTAATTGAAGGGAGCCTCCACCAGATTATCCTGTATAGACATATACCTACTTAAATTATAAACCACAGCATTCTTCCCGTCTTCCCGACCGTTTTCCAAGTTCGATTCTAGCGCTTTTTGGACAGCGAAAACGTGTTGAAAACACGCATCTTCAATCAAAAACCCCAACTAAAAATGCTCGAATCGTGTTTAGCTGCCACTCGCATGCCGAAAAAAAAGATATTTTTATAAATACCAAAGTAATTATTTATTGTTTTGTGGGATCTACGAGCTCCAGCAATTCTTCGGCACCACGTTTTTTTTCTTGCTGATTCTGAGTCTCAAACTTAGGATGAAGAAGAAGATAAGTATTGATACCACTAATTGAATAAATGAGTGATTATGTAAAACGCTATATTTTACTTAATAAATTTGATAATCTTAATTCGAAGAAAACCTCAAAAAGGATGAGTCATCCTCCAAAGAAAATTGTGTCTTATATAATTATATACAGTTTTTTATGGAATTTTCGGACATCAAATATTTGGACATTTTTGCAATTTTAAGGGGTTTTCTGGGGACACTTTTCAAAAGTGCCTGTATCAAATTTTTGGACATTTTCTGCGCCAAAATTTTAAATTTTCCGTTTTTTGCCAGATATGGCCTTTTTTCTTATCGAAAATCTTACTTTTTCTTTGAATATGATGAGATTGAAGGTTGATCGCGTACCCTTAGAATATTTTTTGTCTTTAGAAGAAGGATGAAACAGAGGATGATGGATATTTTCCTCGAAAAAATTTTTTTTGAGCGATTTGGATGGGACATTTTTTTTGACAGCATGCATCGAATTTTTGGACATTTTTGCGAAAATCTTGGGACAAAAAATGTCCAAAAATTCCATAATTAACTGTAATATATAATTATATATAATATAATATAAGATAATAATATAATATATAATAATAGAGAATAATAATATAAATATAATAATATAGATATAATATTATATAAGACAAGACAACACTCCTTTTTGATTTGATTTGCAATGACGTGTAAAAAAAAACCGAATAATCTTTTAATAAAAAATGTTGAAAATCCGAATTCAGGTTACGTCATGATTCATAAAACAGCAAAAATAACAATAACAGCGCTTCACTGAATTGTACGTGTGAACAACTAGTAAATTCACGACTAAGTCTTCTAGAGCCACTCGAAACATTCATTTCCAAACCCTTCAAAGAATAAAAGGCTTTTTATAACTCAGTTTTTGAAATTGGGAAACACAGAAAGAGCATCCTCCAGCATCGGCTCAGGAACGAAGAGATGATCATGGTAGTATCCGGCGACAACGTTGCATGGTATTTTCAAATCGGTGAGCTTCCTGCTGATTTCCGTTCTTTTCCCCGGATTCAAACGAAAAATAATTAACCGAGCAGTTCAAAAACGTGAGTTTCTTACGATTCCATCTTTCACTTTTGATATAACGTCCCCCTGTTTTCTCAAAATGCTAAAAATGACGACGTGACATCGCAAATGAGTCATTCAGGAAGTAACGTCGTCATTTTTAGCACTTTAAAAAAACAGGGGCACTGGTAAAATTTCAAGCTCTTTGAAGCGATATTTTCAAAAAAAAGAAGAGGCCGACCCATTTTCAACCCGTACATGAATCCGACTGCCTCAAGACTCGAGTGTATGTTCAACGTTATCAGCTTTGAGGGAAACGTGTACTCAAGCCCCTTCAACTTCGCAACGTCCAAAGGAAGGATTACAGTTGCCGCTTCCCTTTCGTGAAAAATCATTTTGACACCTTCGCAATTCTTGAAAATAAAGCATTCAGATTGATTGAAAGATTGTATTCACTCACTTTGGCATCTGGTGACGTTGTGAACACAAAAAGACCATCCTCGACAAGAGGGGTAACAGAAGTAAGCAGCTTGCTTACATCTTTTTCTCCAGAACACGCTTTTGAAGAAGATTCCTCGGTGGATTTCACCCGATCGCCCCAGCATTGTTTAATTTGTAACGAGAAGTCCACTTTCGGCAAGTTGATGTACCCCGTCAGTTTGTCTTTTTCCAGGAAGCCAAAAAGGACACAAGAATAAATCATCATCATTTATCATTTTGATACAGTAGCTTCCCTTTCCTGAAAGCATGCTACAGTCGTGAGGCCTCGGAACAGCTGATGGTTCTGTTTTTGCGCTACAAATTCAGTAAATTATTGAAAAAAATGTCGAAATTACAGAAAAAATATCGATATTTTCGCTAATTTTTTGACTTTTTGCCAAAAACTTCAATTTTTTCCGCCAAATCATGTTTTTCCTTTGTCGACTTTTCTGTCAAAGAACACAGTAAGAGTGGCGTACGTTCTTGAACAAGTGACATAATAGCATATAGTGACATAATATACATAAGCATTGATCCTGAGTACCTGATGTGCTTTGAGCTCATCCCCACCGCCCTGGCCGCCTTGAGAGCGAAATGGAATCGCGTCATCACCTCTCCATCGGTATAATTGAATACGCCGCCCGAGCGTGTAAGAGCCAAATCGCATATCACTTCATAGAAGTTTCAAAAAACTGTCAAAGCAAATTTCATTACTCGCAAATTTCAACTAGTAGATCGTAATTTTCCCCCAACTGAGTTATGTTTCTTGAAATCCAAAATTTTACATAAATTTTCCCGAAACTTTTCTTTGGCAGTGTTTCTTTTTTTGGTTGAAAAAAAGAAAGCTCGATTTTTTGTGAAAAAAATTTGGTAAGAATCAAAGACCTAGCTGTCCATTTTCAACCGAGGCCTGACACATGTTGGACTTCGTATTTGAACATTGTCAAGTGCAACCGGCGTTTGGCACGTGATTGCGTCCAGGACCGATTTCGACGATGGCAAAATTGAGTTGTTCTAAGCCCACCTTCACTTCAAGGCAATAAATGCTTTATGAGACCGTCCTAGAAAATGTATTTCAAAATAAACAGTAAACATTTGGTCAATTAAGCTTAGTAAAACCAGACTTATTGTATTCTTCTTCAAAGACAATTTATTGCATTGATCGAAAGGTGGGCTTACAACATTCGAAAGTCCAGTATGATCTCCATACTGTAGTGAAATGCGCAGGATGGTAGCGGAGGGTAAAATGTTGAGAATCTTGTTTTCAGCTTTTTCCACTGGATTTGTTTTTGCGTCTTTTTCTTTTTCACGGGCGCCATAATCATTTCAACTGGATTTGTCATATTTGGAATCAGCGAAGAAAATCCTTCTTTTAGATTTTCAAAAACACTCCGGTTACGATTCTTTGCCGAAATTTAGCAGTTAGGGTAAAGTGTGACCTATCAAATTGAAGCCCATAAAATTCTAAGTTTCTTATAATCAATTCATTCGAAGAAACAGTCTCTATCGGTCAAACTTACCGATAAAATTATGAAAAATGGCACAAATTCATGAAATTTTCTTCATTTTTTACCGGTTGGTTAGACCGCGGTTCGGTTGAATTATTTTTCCAAATGACTTGAAATGTTCTCAAATTTTACCTACTTCCGGCTCTAGAATCGCAACCGGAAGTGTTTTTTGAAAATCTAAAAGGTCAAGTTTCTAGATTTTCTTCACTGATTCCAAATCTGTATGGTGTTCTGGGTCCTAGAATGCGGAAATCGTTGAAAAAAAAAGCGTCTCAGTATATATATTTCCACTAAAATGAAAAATCAATATAAATAAGGACATGAAATTAATACCTTGAGATTTTGATAAAAATTTGCCTCCGATTTTAATCGAGAAATTCTCAGTTGAACCTGAATAACGAACATTGAATACGTGTTCTCAAGCGCTCAAGGACTTAGTCTTATTGGCTTAGAATTAAAATTATTAGCGAAAAACTCTTGTCAGGGGCGTAAGGCGGCTCTTTTCCGTCGAATACGTAGTTTGTCGAAATAAACACGAGGTGAATGTTTTTTTCTTTGCAGATTTTCGCCAGTTCTTCTGAGCATTCGACGTTTAGCAGTCTTGCTGTTGAAAGAATGACAAAGATCAGGCTTTCAAAATAGCAATTTTAAGCAATTTTCAGATTTCGCGAATATTTTTAAATTAAAAAACGGGCTTTCATACTTATCCTTTGTCTTTTTCTCCAGACACATTTGCAACATTGCATTTTGCGGCGCAGTGAATATAAAAATGGGTTAATTATTGTGAAAAAACAAGGAATGATGAAGTTTTTACTTGAAGAAAAAACTTTCTAAAATCATCATTTTGGACTTTTGAGTATTTTTGAAATCATAAATGCGCATAATCATGCTTCAAGTAGCTTTTACAAACACCGATTATTTCATAATTTAACCCATTGACAAAACATCCGCCCCGGATCGATCAATTTCTCTTCTCAGCGCTTCGAAATCGCACAAATCCAGCTTTACTTGGCGATCTGAACCGGTCGGGGTGCTATTAAAGACTGGAATCGGGATGGTATGTCTCTTAGACAATTCGTCTTTTTGGGAGTTAAAAAGATCAAATTTCTTCTTTTTCAACAAAAATTTTGCCAAAAACATTTTCGACTTAAAAAATTTTTTTATGACAAGAACGAGTGTGAACTGTAAATGCTTATTTACGCATTTGATAATTATCTTAACACGGAAAATTACCGCCGATAGTTTATCCTAACAGGCGTGGTTGTTTGTAGCCCTGAGCAGAAAAACGTTTACTCTGCAACGTTTCTTGAAATTTATTGACTTCAAGTTTTCAACTTGAAATTCAAAGTCGTCTGGAAATTCTAGCACTTGATAGAATTATCCACCAAGCGATATCTCTAAATCATCAATAGAAAAATAATTAGTCAGTTCAATTTCCAACTCCTGAGTCCTAAAACCGCTCGGCCGACGAACCCAGACGCTCCAGTTAGAAAAACAACGGGGTAAGCTGACATTTTTGAATTTCTCTCGAATGTTACTGTTGACTTTATTTATCGAAGAATTTCAAAGTTTGAAGTTGACTTTTTTGATTTCTGACTCATGATTTGCCAAGGGCGATGTTGGTCCCATAAAGCTTGCTCATTATTAGTTACAGTTCTATTAATGTATTTTTATTTCATATTTATTATTATGATATTTATTGAATAGAAAGACAATATCATCAATCGTAGTCTTTCTTTATTTTACCTTGCGGTGGACAGTAACAGAGCGACAGTCGCTTACAGTCTGTTAGCCAGAAAAAAATTCCCAGCGATTGACGATGACCGAGATAAAAGTGACCGCTAAAGTCTTTTGGGTATGATTTTGGAGGTTCCATTTTCCTCTCTCAAAATATAAAGAGGAGATGACATAATGTCAATTTGAAAAAAGACTTTTATCTTGAATATTTTTCTGTGATATTGATTTGAATTGTTGAACATGTCAATGAAAACTGTCATCATTTTAAAGTGTACCAATATTTTCAATCGTATTTTATCGCCGATCTTGCTGCAACCTTTGTGCATGACGTTGTCATTTTGACCGTCAACTTAAATTTGAAAAAACGGCCAAAATCTTGGATTATCTTCCCCACCTCAATTATCATTCACGCGGTCAAACGTGAACCCTTTTTTTCTTTTCACTGCCGCAGTTATTCCCACACTTCACATGTTCATCACTTGCCGAAATCTGCATTTTGCGAAAAACACGAAGAAATTTCCTATCAGGTATTTTTTATTCTTTTGTAATTTCCATCAAATTGACTCTTTGAGAAGAACAGGGTGCTTGTTTTGAAGATTCTGAGCTTTTCGACGAAGTGCCTAAAAATTAAATTATTGAAAACATCAGAAGTAGAGGTTGAACTTGATGTTGATTTTAACGAACACGATAAAAATCTGCTCCCATCATAATCAAAATTACTTGCCTCCCGTAAATGCAAGTTTCGATAAATCCGAGCGTGATTTTTCATCGATTTCACTCTCTTTCTTCCGAGTTTTGACTTCAGAAAATTACTAAATCGGTCGTCAGCATCTAACAAATTCCATCTGGAAGAGAATGCTAGGGAAAAAGCATGAATAAAAAGAACAATTCTCATTTTTTTTCTTCGATGGTGCCTTTTTTACTTGACTGACTTTTTATTTTGAAGACAAGGCACTTGCTTTTTATCGCATGAATAAATGATGATGATGGACATTTATCTTGGTGAAAGATTGACAAATCATCAGAGTCAATTAACATCTCATATCATTGCAACTATAATATATATGTCCCGATGACTTTTTTTTTAATTAGAAATTTAAATTAAATGCTTCATTCTATAGAAAACCCTTTTACTTGGAATTTCTTCTTAATAAGCCTGTTGGCTGCTGATGACCGGCGTCAGTGTTTGAAATAATGGTCAAAACTCTCGTGAGCGAGTGAGCGCGAGCAGAGGCCCCCAGAATTTTAACATGAGTGAGCAAGCGCGAGCGGATCCTTATGATTTTTTTCGTGAGCGAGCGAGCGCGAGCGCAGATACCGTGATTTTCTATGAGTGAGCGAGCATGAGCGCTCGCTCGCTCGCTCGCGCTCACTCGCAGCTTTTTAGAAACGGTTTTTCCTAAAAAATTTTAATGCTTTAAAGTTTAAAGGACTTAAGCTTATCATAAGTTGATAATGAGTATTCTAACGAAATAAAAACATAATAGCAAGATGGATTTCATTAATATTATATGACTTTGTCTTTATATTGAATTCGCTAAAAATAACAGTGAGCGAGCGCAAGTGAGCGCAAGCAGGGACCTTGGAATTTTCTGGTGAGTGAGCGAGCGCGAGCAGAGGTTCTCGAAATTATGGTGAACGAGTGAGCATGAGCGCTCGCTCACTCGCTCCCGCTCGCTCGTGGCTCGCGCTCACCATTTTTTCAAACACTGACCGGCGTCGTCTATTTGGGAAGGCCAACTTTTGTTTGAGATGCCAACTTGAAAGTTCCAGTTTCAAGGCCATTGTACATAAGTTCATATTGACACGTCGCCAGGGCTAGATAATTTGAAATCAACAAGGATCTCAAATTTTTGTCTGAAATCTCATTTCTATCATCAAGAATCTCGAATCTCAAAATTTTGAAATCAAGTCCAAGAGTCTTTAGGCCAAAGTCCAAAGTATACGTATTCAAGGAAATTTTATTCATCCTTGGAAATATTTTTTCGGGCAGATCATATCAAAATGTTTATTTCGTTCAAAAATGACTTGAGAACAAAGTTTAATTTATTATTACTAAGAGCCCGATACTCTGTTTGAATCTTATGGGTGGATCAAATCTCAAGGTCAGCTACCCAATGTCCACTTCAACTTGGTCGACTCATGCGCGAAACTCTCCTGTCTATTTTTATTTGGACGGCGCGGCGCTGGACAAAATACTAAAGCAAATACATTTTTTGCTTATTTTTGACTTGCTTATTTGCGAAAGCTCTACTTTGGCCGGCAGTAAACAACTTCCCTCATCGTTTTTGAGCTCATTCCATTCGCTGGGCGTCTAGAGATCGGAATGGCAAAGCTTTTCTATTTGGCGGCCTTTGGGCTTGCCGCTTCACAGGTACCATTAGCGAAGAGTCTTAATTTTATGAATTATTAATAAAAAAGATTTCAAGAGAAATATCGAGCAAATACATCTGTAGCTCATTCATCATCCCTTTCTTTAGACTTGCGTGGCACCAAAACACGAAATCTTCTGGCCAAAGTACGAAGCCGGAACCGCTTCTCGACTTCTCCATCCTCCACAGCTCCATTGCCAGTTTACCGAATGTCCTCCTCTTTTCACCGACAGACGTAAGAATCCGCTTAAAAACAATGCCTTATTTTCTCTCTAGGTTCTTGCAACAGAGTCGGAATCGCCTACCACGGAGATATGGCAAACGACAGACTTGGTGATTTCAAATTTACCCAAGCTCACCCTCCCATTGCTCGAAGAGACTTCTTGCGAACCGTCTACCAGCCAATTGTCCAGACTTTTGCCGAGTACAACCGAGAAGTCATTGATCTTGGCGACCTCCACAGCAGAAGCTTTGATCGACTTAGAACTGGACTCGAAGCTGGAGATGTCCTCATCTATGTCGCCAACGAGTACCAAGATAACAGTGCAACCGTCAATTTCTGCAAACAACTGATTAACCGAGGAGTCGTCATCCTTCCAGTTTTCGTCGGATCTGATGGAGATATCGGCCAACTTGCGCTTCTTGCTGAGACTCAGAAGACCGGTAAAAATTACTCTTTCTCATCCTTATTTTCAATTTTTCTTCCATAGGCGCTATCCAGGATGCTCTCCGACAGACCCGAGCTGCTCAGCGATTCCTCGATGCCAACACTGGTGGACTCATTCTTCCAGCTGTTGATACTGGCATGGGAACTGGATCACGACGACGAGAAGCTATTGTCATGTTCTCAGCGCTCTTTGCTCAGGTACTCTTCCTTGATCGCAATAACGTATTCATCCTATCATTCTAGTGCCCTGGATCTTGCATCTCTTACTGTGAAACCAACTTCCAAGAACAAAGAGTTTCTTTCCCAGAGCCACGAAATGCTAAGGCTGGATGCTGCGGGCCAGTCGGTCCTGATGGCCCCATGGGACCTCAAGGAAATCCCGGACCGGCCGGATGCGAGGGACCAACAGGAAGAAATGGACCTGATGGAGAACCTGGCCCAGCTGGACCTCAAGGAGACTGTGGTGCCCCAGGTGGACCCGGTCGACAAGGTCTTCCCGGTGCCCCAGGAGCTCAAGGTAAGAGACGTTTTAATATTTCAAATCAATAAAAGAAATTAAGGAAACAGAGGAGCTGATGGCGAGCCCGGAGAATGCGGAGCTAACGGCAAGCGAGGTCTTCCGGGCAGCCCTGGCCTTCCCGGAAAAGCTGGTGAGCGAGGTGCTCCTGGTGCTCAAGGCCCATGTGGATCTCCTGGTGCTCAAGGTGAACGGGGACCAAAAGGTTCAAGGGGTCTTCCTGGTAACATCGTAAGTTCCTTTGGCTTGGTGATCGTGTTGTACTCACTGTTAATCTAGGGCGCCAATGGAATCGGTATGCTAACTCGGAACATCGACTTTGCCAACGCCCAACAGGATCTGTTTGACCGGGCTCTATTTGAAGTACTTCAAGACACAACTGTTTGGAATTTGGTTCACCAACATGTTAGACGTAAGCCTGTTCCCACACTTCAAAAAAGCTTCTAAAACTCCTTTTTCAGCCGCCGAGCCCTACAATTCTTGCAGCTGTGACGTTTAAAAATCCACTCAAATTCATATGAGAGACAGCATCACATCCAATTCCTAACAGCTTGAATAAAAATAAAGAATTACACAAAGACTCAGTCAATCATTCTCTTCCTTGATTTCAGTTGGTCGGTTATCCAGGGGTTCATTAAAGCAGAACTACTACGAATGATAAATAAAAAATCATTATGATGCGCATCCCAAGTTTTACGATGCGTCTTTTCTTTCCGCGGCCTCTTTCAAAAACCTGACTAGATTTCTTTGAATACCGAGTTAATCAAAAGTTCTGAAAAGAGAGATTTGAAAATGGCGATTAAATTTTCAAAGGTACAAATCTCTCCAAAATTGACCAATTTCAAGGTCTTTTTTAGAAATCCTCGAAATCATCAGAGACCTCAAAACAGAGTTTGAAGTCAAAAGAAGCAAAAGAAAAGAAAAATTTTGGGTGCTGCGCGCCTGGGGCACTTTGCGGCCCCGGAGGCGGGAAAAAGTACATCGGTCGAGAAAATCAAGAGGAGACGATTGAGGACAGAAATTTGAGCTTTACTTTCAACGAAGAATATGGGACGGACATTCATGGACAAAGACGGGAACTGGCTGAGATTTTGAGAGAAATATCTTTGATCGAAGAAAGCAACATTGATGATCGAGGTCTGATGAACATTATTAGCGAGCAAAATGATGCTAATGAATCGATCGAGAAACTCAACAGAGAACTCAGGCAAATTTGCGATCAGTTGACTCATGTTCAATGTGAGATTTAAAAAGGGAATTTTTTCTTTAGTCATTTTTAGCTTCCATCAGATCTCGCGAAACTGAAACGATCGAGATTGAGAAAGAAATCATCTCCGTCGAAAAAACTGAGCGAGAGCGATACGACATCTGCTGGACACATGTTCACAAATACTCAAAGGACAGTAACGAAATGATGCTTCAGTTGAGCTACAATGAAGTTGTCTACTCGACCCTCCGGCAATAGTAAGGACGAAAGTCGAGGTGTGTTTCTTTACCGATTCTAGCATTGAAGATTTGACGACTGAATTGAATACAATCATCATGTCTGGAATGGATATCAATATTAATATCAGCGAGACTTATACAGTGTAAGAAATGAGAGAGTACGACTGCCCCCTTGAGAACTCATTTTTAGGGAATTGATGGAGATCAACAAAAACCTAACTCTCATCCGAAAGCAAATCAACGACGCGGTAAAACAACCTTTCCATAAATCCACTCATAAATTGAAACAATCATAGAAACTCATAAAACAAACCGTTGACAATGCACGAACGCTCTATCAAAATGAACTGGACGAAACTGCAAGCCTCAAAAAACGAATTCAAGAGCTCAACAAGCAAATTGCTGATGCTAAAAATCGCAATTCGACAAAGGTTATCCAGATTTCAATGAAAGATTTTACATCAATTTTAGAAAAATACGGCTTCAAACGAAATCGCCAATCTCGAAAAAGCTATCGAAAAGATGGAAAAGTATGTTTTTATAAAAAATAATTAACGACTCATTTATTCAAAAAAGGACTCTTGAAAAATAACCGGTGAGAATTAGGCGCATTTATTCCCGTAGATATCTACATGTAGAATTCTACAGTGTAGCTTGTAGCTCTTTTTGTTTTTAATACAGAATTAACCATTCTTTTAGGGTTCTTGCAAACAACAAAACAGAGACAAAAGAAACCAACGTCCTTAATAAAATCAATATCTAGTTTGTCATTTTCTAGCTTTGCATGTTTTTATACGAAAATATTTTGCATGAATAAAGAACTTTATGAAAGATTTATTTCTTCATTTCAAGTTTTGCAAGAGCATTGACGTGTACTTCGTCTGGTCCATCGGCCAGGCGAAGAGATCGGGCCCAAGTCATGAATGTGGCGAGAGGAAATCTGAGCTCATACCTCCAGCGCCATGAGCTTTTCTTGGGGATTATAAGAGTTTAACTTTTAAATTAAAATTATTGGAATTAAGAATTTTTCTTAAATTACATTTACTTACCAAGTTTTCGTTAATTGCAGCAATAGCTGTAAGAAATTTTTCAGCAATGGTTAGAAATAGTAATCTATAAAAAAATAATTCATAAAACACTATTCTGGTTTTCCCCTTTCCTTGAATAGCTCTATCCACAACTTTTTGCGCGACGTTCGGAGCAATAATTTTGATCATAGCAATCTCCTTTGCTGCTACTTTTGCGCCGACGGTATCCATTTTATGCGCAGCTTACCCAGGTTCCTCTTGTTTTTCCAACTCTTTTTTCAACAAAAAGAACCGGTCCTAGAAGTGTCATCAATCTGGCCTGGTCCGTTTCTACCCGACTCAGACCGACTCGTTCTTTCCAAACTCCTTGATCGGAGAGTTTCTTTCCGAAGGCGACTCTGTTACGCAATCGTTCTTTCATTAGTTCGATGGATCTTTCGCAGTTGCCGATAAGTCTCATGCAGTGGTGGATTCTTCCTGGTCCTAGTCTGCCCTTGAAATATTTTTTACTTATAATCGTATTCAAAAGATCTTTAAGATATATATTACTACTGAACCAACCCTATCTGATTATAATTTTTTGATTTTGTCAACTTTGGTTTTTGATTCAAAATTCAAATTTCTCAATGAAAAACGCACTTTATGGTTTTTCAATTAAATCCTTATACCTGCGCTATTGCAAAGCCCATCCCTTCTCCAACCAGTAAATTCTCCTTTGGAACCCTCACATCGCTGAAATCAACCTCGGCGTGGCCCCCAGGAGCATCAAAATTCCCGTAACAAGTCAAAGGTCGAATAATTTTCATTCCAGGCGTATTCATCGGCACCAAAATCATGCTCTGTTGAAGATGGCGTGAAGCGTTGAAATCAGTCTTGCCCATGAATATGCATAACTCGCAGTTGGGGTGAAGGGACATCGACGTCCACCACTTTCGACCGTTGATGACGTAATCATCGCCGTCGGAAACGATTGAACTTTCGATGTTGGTCGCATCTGATGATGCTAGGAGAGAATTTTCAAGAGAAAACGTCATATTTTTCTTACCTACTGCGATTTCGGTCATTCCAAAACAAGAGCGAATTTTTCCTTCAAGAAGAGGAGTTAGCCACTGTTTCTTCTGATCCTCTGTTCCATACTAAAACAACTATCAAAGCCTAGAGTCAATTACAGACGAAGAAGACCTTGATAAGAACTTCCATGTTCCCAGTATCCGGCGGAGAGCAATTGAACGGCTCTGACCCCAACAAGCATCTTCCCATCTCTTCCGCCATAAAAGCATACTCAAGATTCGTCAGTCCCCGTCCATACTCCATGTTTTCATCGATATTGTATGGAACAAAGAGATTCCAGAGCCCTGCAGATTTGGCTTTAGCTTTCAATTCATCCATTTCCGGAAGAACTTTCCATCGATCTTCGGAAAACTCCTGTGCTAGAAATTTTTGCTCCAAAGGAATGCATTCCTCGTTGATAAATTCACGGACATCAGACCAAATTCGTTGCGCGAATGGTCTTAGCTGGTCAGGAGAGGTCACAAGAGAGGCATCTCTCGGAGGCTTTTCAACCGCGAATGAAGCAAATCGCTGAATCTTCGGCAAATCTCTCCCAATTTTTCTCAACATCCTTCTCTTTCTTCTTTCAAAAAAATATTTTTCTTTGAAAAATCTGAATCTCTTTGCAAAAGATTTTTATTTGTTTAACTTTCTGCACGCCTTGCTTACTCAAACAATAAAAAAATCATGCATTTTTATTGAAATTTTCAGAAATTTTTTCTTTAATAATAATTGTCCGTGGTTTCTTGTTCCTCGATTTCGCGTTCAATTTCCTGGAAAAACTGGGACGCAGTTTCTGATCGTCCTTCGGAGTCTTCTTCTGATGGACTGTCGCATGCTTCAATGTCTTCTAGTCCCAGGTCATCGTTGATGTCTGCTAGAATTGCTTCTTCGCGGTCATCTTGACTATCTGAAGATTTTTCTCAGAGATAAGCCAAAGGACAACAATGCAAAAGCCAATATTAATGGTTAAGGTAAGAGTAGTAATAAGGGTCCCGTTTAGGATTGGTGGAGACTTTTAAGAGCTACTGCTACATAAGAAGCTATTTATTGTTCCCTACCGTCGACAGAAGAATCGCAATCGAAACCATCGAAAACTCTCTTCTTTTCGATATCCAAATCACGATTTTCATCTTTCAACAGATATTTAGAGCAAAAAAAGTAAAGTTCAAATAAAAAATTCTTAATGGAAGCGACTAAAAAAATAAGAAAGCAAGCGATAAATAATAAATTTTAAATTAAAATGATTAACGACAGAAAGCTTCTTACCGTCAGCGGAAGAATCGGAACCTGAGTCATCATCGCCCTTGATTAATTTCTTCTGTGCGAATGCCAAATCTGTATTTTCATCCTTCAGCGCGCTTCAACATGAAATACATTAATCAGTAAAATCAGTTAATACAGTAAAATCATTTATTTATGTTCAATGTCTACCTAGCTGTCTTGGCTAATCTCAGCGCTGACAAATTGTCGAACGATTTGGTTGATTTGAGCATCCTCGCATCATCGCTTTTCTTTCGCATCCCTGGTCCCTGGCTTTTCGACCTGCGGAGGCCTTTTATGGACAGTTGTCGCCCCTAAAATCGACTTGATTCTTCGTTGTTTTCAAGTTTTTCTTACTTTTGGTCCCTTGGCAAAGGTGTTGGTGAAAATTGCAACGAGAATTCCAGGCTTCACATCTCTAAAAAAAAGGTTGAAAATTCAAAAAGTTCTCCCGCACCGGGAATCGAACCCGGGCCGCCGGAGTGAGAATCCGGAATCCTAACCCCTAGACCATGCGTGACTGACAATTGATAAGAAGCAGTCTTCCTTGAATGATAATAGGGTTAGGGTTAGGGTTTGGGTTAGGGAAAAGTAGAATCTCTTACTCAGAAACTCAGCCATGTATTCAACTGAAGTCATCCGTATACAACTAAATTTGTCTTTTACCTTCTTATCGATTCGTTTCTGGCAATTCTTGGAGATATGGATCGACGATTAATCGCATCTGGCGCTATTGTGTTTCCATTTAGAGCTCCACTGTTTTCTTCTATTGGCCTGAAATTTTTCAAAAAACACGGATGAAGATGTCAAGCTTACTTTTTTCGACTTCTTCCGGAAAAAACTCTCTTCAACATCGTTTTTATATTTGTCAGGAAAATGAACTCGGCCAATGGGGCTTTGGGTACTAGTGCGCCGCTGTTCTTAATATTTTCGTTTTTCCTACATTATCGTTGTTCAATAATTCAACAAATTACTCTCAGAAGCAGAACGATACATTTTCTCCTGTATGCATCGATTGACTGTTGCCTGTCAGACATCATTGTTGCATCCATCATTTTTCGTGGTTACCATTCCAATCGCAAATTTGAACTTATACAATTATTGCTTGAAAAAGATGGAATCTCTTTGACACCATGTCGTTAGTATTTGTCTTCCTTGCAAATATTCTAACAAAATCTCACAAAAAATCAATTTTCGAAAGAAAATACTACAAAACTTGAGTTAGAGATGACTTCCAAGGCATTTCCAGGCTACTCTCTTATACAGGTAACAGGTAGAAATAAATTCGTTCCATCACTCTTATCTCCATTCTTAGCAATTTGGCTGTACAAAGAACTCGATAAGAAGTGAATGCCAAAATCTGAAACTTCTTTGCGAAAATGAAATATCTCGACCTACGACAGACGATATGGATCACAAAAGCTCAAAAATGTCTACGAGGATTCCCAATCATATGGTAAATAAACTTTATTTCTGAAATCGGAAGAGACCACTTCTACCAGTAGTTCAATAGAAAGCGCAACTCAACTAGAAATTCATCTGCCCTGTTTCGATGGATACATGATAACAATAATCTTCGTGCTCATAATCTTCATCATTGTCGTCTGGTCATCTTTCAAAAAATCACGAAAACCTCCAACTGACCCTTCACTCAAACCCGAAGCTCTTGTTTGATATCTGAATTAAAAAAAGGAACTTGCAAGAAAATCAATTGTTTTTGTGTTGTTTTTCGTTTTAATTGTTCTCCCGCAGCAGGTGAAACTCTACCCCTTCCATTCTTCGCGTTCCTTGTCAATTTTTGCTGAACGGGAGAATTTACCAATTTTGAAATTCGATTTTCCCGGCCATGAGACGTTTTAGCTCTACTAACTTGCCAGCTCTCAATCTTCTCAAGTAAGATCAGTTTCTTGTTATTGTAAACACCTCCACTGTAGCCCACCAGACAAAAGTGAAGGCCTTTAGAGAGATTATATAAATGGAAGGGAAAAGCAATATTCAAGGTGATTTTAGAGATGGAATAAGAACTGAAGACGGCAAGGTTTCTTTCAAAAAGGTATCGTTGTCATTGAGGTAAGAAAAAGAAGAGTGATTCATATTATTAACTTCTCCTTGCAGACAAGCTTTTCGAAGAAATACTGCAGGAGAGCTTAACATGCTGAGAGTACCGGGAACGGATGATGGGAGCTCTAGGTAAATTCAACCTCAAGAATCATCTTGAATCAAATTCAAAAATTCTAGCTATGGAACATCAAGGCGAGGCAGCATCATGCCGGGCTTTGGAAGATTTGGACTCGCAAAAAAGCCCAAAACGTAAGATTTTTGACGCATTTTCTTCCTTGATTTCAAATCATTTGAAAACAGGACCTACGAGCCGACATACAAAATGGACCCAGATGACAAGCCAGACATTGCCTCAATGAAATTGATTCTTGAGGAGACTGTTCTTCAATGCTCTGAGAAAATAACCTGGCCGGAATTTCACAAGACAAAGGCGCTTTTGCGACTCAACAATCTTCTCCACAGAAAAATTAAAGGTAAAAAGCTTTCAATCGAATAAATCGCCAGTTTTAACCTGTAGCGATGATGCCAAAACGATACAGATTTGTCCTCCAAGTCATGGCTTTTGAGCCAGATCAGCAAGGTGAACTCCCTTTTCACCTATTTTTATTAAAAACTTAGATGCGAAGCTGTGCAGCTCATTTCTTTGGAACGGGGAACACGATACATATTTGACATATAAATTTGAAAAGTTCGATTTGACAGTTGTCTCGATTCTCCATCTGATTTACATCGAATAAATGAAAAAAGCAAAAATATTTATTAAAAAAGCGAAAAGTTCAAACTATGACAATGACGATCAAAGCAGTAGCGACGACGGCCAAAGTGTGAACATCAAGCGTCAAGACTTCCATTCGAATCGGCGCGCAGATAATCCAAAATGACGCGAGCCCGAATAGCCAGCCATATCTTAAAACTTCAAAGAGAGTTGAAAGTGATGTCCAAAGAAAGGAGCTTACGGATGGCCTTGAAGCTGTCTGGAATTTGAAAATGATCGGTACCAAAGCGAGCGAGAAAATCATCCTCTGGCTCGTCATTTCGCAAGTTGAAATGATGGCGAAGATGATTTACAGGGCGCTGAAGTTGGGGAAGATTTCCGCTGCAAATTTCGTCTCGAAAAAAATGATGCTAAATTTCAAAAACAAATTATTTTCACTCTTCTCTACCTTGCGACTTCCACGACTTCTGCTTCTTTTGGTAGATCTTGGCGGATATTGATACTCTGACATAGAACCAGGGGTCTGGATTCGCTTTGCGAAATCGCCATATAGCGAAGCGAAGCGAGGCGAAGCGAATTCGCTTCGCTTCGCTTTCGCTTTTCAAAAAATTTCGATTAGCTTTAATTTGATAATTAAAATGTTAAAATCTTTTCAAATAAATCCAAAGCTTTCTTCTCGAAACCTCTAAAACCATCATTTTTAGTCATATTCAGCTACTAGGATTAAGAAAAATCATAAACATGAGCAGAAGTTTCAATTTGAGTCGAAAGGAGCACAAGTGTACACGACATCTGTGAGAATTGACCTCATCTGCTACATTTTGATAACTAGTATTTAACCGTGTCAAGTCCCTAGAGGAATTCTTGGTCATTTTCCGATTTATGTTTTAGTTGAAGGCTGAAGAAAGCAGTCCAAAAATCTTCTGTCACCTAAAATCTAGGATTCTTAAACCTCCGAATGAGTAAAATCTACCTTGTTTATCTTTTTTTAGCCCTGAGTATAAAGAAAAAAAGAATTTTATTCATCCAAAAAATGATGAAAAAATTTCGCTTTTTTTCGCTTTTGAAAGAAAATTTTCGCTTCGCTTCGCTTTCGCTTTTGAAATTTAAATTCGCTTCGCTTCGCTTTCGCTAAATTTTTAAAAAAAATTTTCGCCTTCGCTTCGCTTTCGCTTTTCACTTTCGGGCAAAATCCAGACCCCTGATAGAACCTGCTTTGGTCAACACAAAGATGTTGATGGGAGAAAAATAAGAAGATAATTCTCATGATCTAGAATTAGCGGAAAGACAACCGGGGATTTCTTTTTGATCGAGGCTTTTAGAAGTCATTTGAATCCGCGAGGTCATAAAGCCAATTTCTTCTCCACTCGATCAGTCTATGTTTTACGAGTCATAAATCAGTTCCTCCTTTTTTTGATTGTCCCAAATCGCGAATCGCAATCAGTACCCTTCCAACTAGCCGCGGCGTAATTATCATAAAACTCAATCATCGCCTCTTATATAAGTGTAGAAAAATGAGGAGAATTAAAAAATCAGAAAAAGAGAAGGATTTGGCTTTGAAAATGATCTCCAGCTACATCAGCAAAGTGACGAAAAAAGAGGACGAAAGGAAGGATCTATCCGTCGAGAAATTTTAAGAGAAATGCCCCGCCAAGTCCTCGTGGCGTTTTAAAACGCCACGTGCGCCCAAAGGGTTAATGAATAACAATAAGGTTAGGGTTAGGGTTAGGGTTAGGGTTGGTTAGGGTAAGAAAGAATTTCTTACTAAGAAATTCAGCTATGTATTCAACTGAAGTCATCCAAATACAACTAAATAAATCTTTTACCTTCTTATTGATTCGTTCCTGGCAATTCTTGGAGATATGGATCGAAGATTAATCGCATCTGGCGCTATTCTGTTTCCATTGTGAGTACCACTGTTTTCTTCTGTTGATCTTAAATTCTTAAAAAAACACGGATAAAAATCTGAACCGTACTTTTTTCGATTTCTTCCGGAAAAAACTCTCTTCAGCATGGTTTTATATTTGTCAGAAAAATGAACTCGGCCAATGAGGCTTTGGGTACTAGTGCGCCGCTATTCTTAATATTTTCGTTTTCCCTACATTATCGTTGTTCAATAATTCAACAAATTACTCTCAGAAGCAGAACGATACATTTTCTCCTGTATGCATCGATTGACTGTTGCCTGTCAGACATCATTGTTGCATCCATCATTTTTCGTGGTTACCATTCCATGTCGAAATGATTTTTATTTCAAATCGCAAATTTGAACTTAACGGTATTGCTGTCAAACTCTTTGACACCATGCCGTTAGTGTTTGTCTTCCTTGCAAATATTCTAACAAAATCTCACAAAATCTTCTTTTTTTCGAAGAAAGAGATTAAAATCGAAAACTACTAGAGTAAGAAATGACTTCCAAGGCGTTTCCATGCTACTCTCTTATACAGGTAGGAATCAACTCGTTCCATTACTCTTATTCATTCTAAGCAATTTGGATGCACAAAGAACTCGATAATAAGTGAATGCCAAAATCTTAAACTTCTTTGCGAAAATGAAAATATCTCGACCTACGACAGACGCTTTGGATCACAAAAGCTCAAAAATGTATACGAAGACTCAAACTCACAAGGTTTATAAATTTGATTCTGAGCTTTTGATCAGCGTCGCTTTAAGATACGATTCAAGAAATTAGGTTCATCTTTCTGAAATCGGAAGAGACAACCCCTAGTTCAATAGAAAGCGCAACTCCACTAGAAATTCATCTGCCCGGTTTCGATGGATACATGATAACAATTATCTTTGTGCTCATAATCTTCATCATTGTGGTCTGGTCATCTTTCAAAAAATCAAGAAAACCTCCAACTGACCCTTCTTTCAAACCCGAAGCTCTTGTCTGATGTCTGAATAAAAAAAAAGAAACTTGCAAGAAAATCAATTCTATTTGTGTTGTTTTTCATTTTAATTGTTCTCCCGCAGCAGGTGAAACTCTACCCCTTCCATTCTCCGCGTTCCTTGTCAATTTTTGCTGAAAGGGGGAATTTACCAATTTCGAAATTCGATTTTCCCGGCCATGAGACGTTTTAGCTCGACTAACTTGCCAGCTCTCAATCTTCTCAAGTAAGATCAGTTTCTTGTTACTGTAAACACCCACTGCACTTTTCAAAGTCGACCTAGAGAAATTTAAATGGAAGGAAATACCAACATTCAAGGTGATTTTAGAGATGGAATAAGAACTGAAGACGGCAAGGTTTCTTTTAAAAAGCTATCGTTGTCAGTGAGGTAAGAAAAAGGAGAGTGATTCTTGTTATTAACTTCTCCTTACAGACAAGCTTTTCGAAGAAATACTGCAGGAGAGCTGAACATGCTGAGAGTACCAGGAACAGATGATGGGAGCTCAAGGTAAATTCAACCTTGAGAATCATCCTCAAACAAAATCAAAAATTCTAGCTACGGAACATCAAGGCGAGGCAGCATTATGCCCGGCTTTGGTAGATTTGGACTCGCAAAAAAGCCCAAAACGTAAGCGTTTTTGACGCATTTTCTTCCTTGATTTCAAAATTTGAAAATAGGACCTACGAGCCGACATACAAAATGGACTCAGACGACAAGCCCGACATTGCTTCAATGAAATTGATTCTTGAAGAGACTGTTCTTCAATGCTCTGAGAAAATAACCTGGCCAGAATTTCACAAGACAAAGGCGCTCTTGCGACTCAACAATCTTCTTCACAGAAAAATTAAAGGTAAAGAGTTTTCAATCAAACAAATCACAAGTTTTTGCTTTTAGCGATGATGCCAAAACGATACAGATTTGTCCTCCAAATCATGGCTTTTGAGCCAGATCAGCAAGGTAAACTCCCTTTTCGCCAATTTTTCTTTATAAAATCTCAGATGCGAAGCTGTCCAGCTCATTTCTTTGGAATGGGGAACACGATACATATTTGACATATAAATTTGAAAAGTTCGATTTGACAGTTGTCTCCATTCTCCACCTTATTTACATCGAATAAATACAAAAGAGAAAAATATTTATTAAAAAAGCGAAAAGTTCAAACCATGACAATGACGATCAAAGCAGTAGCGACGACGGCCAAAGTGTGAACATCAAGCGTCAAGACTTCCATTCGAATCGGCGCGCAGATGATCCAAAATGACGCGAGCCCGAATAGCCAGCCATATCTTAAAACTTCAAAGAGTTGAAAGTGATGTCGAAAGAAAGGAGCTTACGGATGGCCTTGAAGTTCTCTGGAATTTGAAAATGATCTGTACCAAAGCGAGCGAGAAAATCATCCTCTGGCTCGTCATTTCTCAAGTTGAAATGATGGCGAAGATGATTTACTGGGTGCTGAAGTTGGGGAAGATTTCCGCTGCAAATTTCATCTCGAGAGCAATGATGCTAGAAATTTGAAGCGATAAATATTTTTTTCTCTCCTTACCTTGCGACTTCGACGACTTCTGCTTCTTCTGGTAGTTCTTGGCGGATATTGATACTCTGACATAGAACCTGCTTTGGTCAACAAAAAGATGTTGATGGGAGAAAAATAAGAAGATAATTCCCATGATCTAGAATTTAGCGGAAACATAACCGGGGATTCTCTTTGATCGAGGCTTTTTAGAAGTCATTTGAATCCGGTCATAAAGCCAATTTCTTCTCCACTCGATCAGTTTATGTTTTACGAGTCATAAATCAGTTCCTCCTTTTTTGATTGTCCCAAATCGCGAATCGCAATCAGTACCCTTCCAACTAACCGCGGCGTAATTATCATAAAACTCAATCATCGCCTCTTATATAAGTGCAGATGATGATAAGTAAAAAATCAGAAAAAGAGAAGGACTTGACATTGAAAATGATCTCCAGCTACATCAGCAAAGTGACGAAAGCAGAAGACGAAAAGAAAAGAAAGGGGCTCAAATTGTCTGGGAAAAATTTTCGAAAAGCAGGGTGCCGCCGATTTGCGTCGCTCTTCAGAGGTAAAGGCATCGTTTTAGGCAATATTTATTGAGAAAAAATGAGGAAAATTGATTGAAGATTTATTTCAGGGGAATTCCCGACGAAAAGAAAATGTTCTTTCGTCGGACAATCGTCATCCGCTACGTCCTCAACCACATCGCCCTTTTCGTCATCGCCTTCTTGTCCGTCATCATCTCGCTAGAACTCACTCTCGCTGCCTCTCAGAACATTACTTTTCATGACATCATGAAGGACACAGGCTCCTGGTTCTCAAAATTCTTCTTGGAGCATCTTGATGATCACATGTTTATCTTCCTCGATTCAATCGCAATTGTAAGTATTTTTTCTAGCGCAAATTTCAAGAATTTTTTTTCTTTCATAAATTTATTTTTCTTTCAAAAATTAATTTATCTGTACAGTAGAGAATTGAACTATTGCTGAAACTTGAACTAAAAGATGCATTTTATTTATTTAGGTTTTCATCGCTTCCTGGATTCTTGTTCTTGGGCATATGGAATTTGGGAGCTTGAAGCGTGAGGATTGGCAAAGATTTTCTATTTAGCTGCTGATCGCTGTTGTTTTCTCCAGGATGCGCAACATTTCATTTTCTGCTGCTTTCGAGCGTTTGAGATCGTTCTAGTTTGATGCTTAATAAAGATAAGGTACACATGGGTTTGATGGACTGGAAAATGATAGTAATTATATTTTGAGAGGGACCGGCTGAATTTCGCAAAAAGGGGAACTCCAGTAGAAAGTGTATCAATTAAATTCAAACCAATTAAACTTTCAAAAATTTACTTGAAATTTTATTTTCAAAATTAGCAATTTTTAAAAGGAACCTCCGGCCAGTCCCTCCAACTTAGCCCTCCGCTTATCTCCGCACTTTATCACCGGATTTTCGGATTTTGGCAACACGAGCCTATCTGATTGCATCACTTTTGTAGCGGAATAAAAGCCGGGGAGGATCAAGACTACGCTTGAAAAGGCGTTTTGTTTCAACTCAACTAACCTTTTTCTACGCAGTTCGAAGCAGGGAGTCATCTTGGCTGGAGTTAACGTTGTCACGTGTTATTTCCCGGCTTCTTTTTCTAGATTTTTTGATATAAATTCGTTCCATTTTCATACCTGAGTAGTTTCTTCACAAGCAAACCGATCAGCAGCATTGCAAAAAGCACAATCACGCCAAGTCCAATAAAATATTTATGCTTCTCCCAACTGAAGCTTTCCGCTCGTCTTTTGAGCAATCTGGATTTGTAGCTGCAGTCTGTGATGCATTCGTTGTTTTCGATGGTCTCTGACATGAGAAATGAGCTAATGTCCTTGGCAATGTCGATGATGTCTCGGGCATTTTCGCCCTGGCGAATCGGGATGTCGACATGCTAAATTTGAAGATTATTTAAGGGTACTTCCTTCGATTTCCCAAACTTTGGCCTTGAATAACTTCGAACCTGTAAACGCCTGAGCTAAGGTAATGGACTCTTTAGATAGATCTATCATAGATCTTGATTCTGTCAGAGCCGTTTTTTGTATGCCCATCAAAAAGCTTAATTTTTCGAAGGGAAAACATTTTTATGTTTTTAGAGAAAAATTATGTGATTTTCGCCAAAATAAAAGTCTTGCTTTCATCGTATTGATAAATAATAATAACGATCACAGAAGGGTTAGTCGTGTTGTCTAGAAAATCTCATTGTTTAGGACCTAAACTTTGGGTTCAGGAATTATAATTGAATAAAAGAAAAACTTCTGTCTGTGTCATTTTTTTTTATTTTTGCAAAAATAGACGGACAAGAGGTACGTCATCCCCAATTGAACCCCCGCTAGAGTTCAAATCCTTCATTTTTTGCTTGTCTTAGTCTGGGAAGATTAATCTGTCAGTCGACTTCGCTATGAGAAAAAAACGGCAAGCTTTTTATTAACCTATCTGGAAATACTTCAAACGTCATTCGCCCATTCGAGACGATAATCATAATAACAATAAAAACAAACGATGCTGATAACAGCAACTAAACTAGGTCAAATATTCTTCAATAAGGGTATCAGAGCGATAGTCGTTCTTACCGTCGCAAGTCGATAAGCAAGGTTGTTACAGTAGTCAATCACAGGCTCGCCGGCGTCAGCGTTCTCGCCGCACATGACCATATTGTTGCTGGAGAAGAAAAACGTTTCCTCGATGGGATCTTTTTCAATTGATTTGAAGAAGCAGTCGACAAGTACGAATCCACTGGTGCCTAAATGCGATATTATCAGATTTTGTTATGGTGCTGTGCGTTACTTGATGTGCACTCGACTGTCCATTCTCTTTGTTCGATAGCCAGGAAGATGTCTTCATCGAAGCTTGACATCGTTTCTTAAATTACGATCAAAATCCACAAAACCCTAGCGGGAAATTGAACTTATAAGAAAAACATTGTATTTTTCAGGAAGAAAACCGACTTCTTCATGAATAATTTGCATCAATGAGAAAATGAAACAAAAAGGCGACGTCTTAGACTCTTCAATAGGTGTCTGACTATAGACACCGGTGTTGATGCTTTTACATTGATCAATTGACAATTTGCATGAAAACTAGATAGAACGCCTTGTAATAAAAACCAGGAGGGTTAAGATACCTGGAATAAAAGATAATTGGATAATCAAGCCTCAATTGACCCTTTATTTAAGCCCATTTTCAGGGCCCAATTTGTCTGAGTATTAGGATTCAAATTCTTGTCGAAAATGCCTTCTTTTGAAGCAAAAAGGGGATCGATCAAATCCTCCTAATCGATTGTTTATTATGGGCATAGTATGCATAGTACGTATAATGTAAATTTAACCTCTTCTTTGACAACTTGTTTGAGTGAGCAAGTGCTTGCTTGACTCTCGTATGTTGGCTTTAGACATCACCTACCGGTATTTTAAACATATTCAAACAAAAACCCTTGGGCTGAGTTTGAAGATCAATTTATTGTGACAATAAACAGATCTTCCTCCTTGTAACTTTACCTTTTTAACGAGTTTTCTCTTTCTAACTATGCGCGTTCCTTGTTGTTACTTTTTATTGGAGCTATAAAGGTAGGTCTCCTGAAATTAAACAGGCTGAAGGGGAAAAGAGAAGAAGTATTGTCGGTTGTTGATGATAACTGGGTTCGCTCACGCGCGCCTCCCTAAGCCGCAGACTCGGCAGCCCAAATTGGCTACTGTCTGAGGAGAAAAAAATGTGTCGCAAAGGCGAAAACGCATGTTTTAATAAATAATGACCATGAATATTTCTTTGTTGAAATGATAACGATGGAAGGAATATCGGAAAATAAGACTTCAAAAAAGAGTAGACATCTATCAAATATACTACATCTAAAGTACTATCTGATACAAAATTTCAAAAAAATTATATCTGTAGCCGAAGTTATCTCAATTTAATTATTATCCGATTCTTATCGCTAGTCTAAGAGGTTGTAAATACGATCATTCTGGATTTTGAATAATGAGTTGAACAATTGTTCGTAGACAAAACGAAACCCTAAGTATTCCGTAACATCCGATACACATTGGACGTTCCTGTAATCGGATTTTGGAAGTAGACATTTCAAGAGGAACAGTTCATGTTGCAAATTTTTCTAACTGCTTCTCTAGCATTCAATTCAATTGAGCTGAAAGGGAAATTTACCTGGAGGAAACTCCATATTCTTGTATAAAAATATCTTGAATTTTTAACGGTGCTCTGGCTCAATAATTTTCTGGCTTTGCAAATAAAAATTCATTAATCAAGTTTTTTCCCGATGAACTCTACTAAAGATCTCCGGGCTTAATTCTGGTGCCTCACCTCTTTTTTTAATAGGTCTCCGGAGCCGGTGCTTTCTAGTTCAATCTTGTATTGGGTTCTTTCTTTCTCTGATTCTTGATAATCACAAGCAGATGGGTGTTCTTGTCGGAATCAAACAAGAGTTCTGGGAGATAAGAGCTTGCGACGATCGCCTTGGGGGACGGCAGCACTCGGGATGTTGCTCAGAAATCTTGCCATGTTAATAGTAATCCTTGTTGAGAGTCAAAACGAACATCGTTTATACCGAGCTCGGACCAAAATGGAACTGTCCCTCGGGCCTTGACTATTAAGTAACTTTGTTTTCTCGTGCATACGACTCGTTAATCATCGGTCGTGTAAGACTCAGATTACAGTTACAACTTCCGCTTTTGCAAAATATAGAATTTCGAAGACTTCGAAAAGTGAACTCAAAACAAGCATTCATTATTGTCTGTGACTTATTCTGCATAAAAAGCGAAGTTTAAACAAACATTATCATGGGAAATGCGAAAGATGCTCAACTATTAATCTTGAAAGTTCGTCAACTACCAGCTCACACAGAGGCCAAGGCCCGTTAAAAAATGAGGTTTCAAGCATTGCTACCCTTTTTTGGATGTGCCCTGGCAGATTGCCGGGGAGATTCTGACTACCGCATGGTCCACAACTGGTGGACTGATGCTGGCGATGGAAAGAATCAGATGTTCGAATCGTTTTTGACCCTTCATCTACCAGACCATGACATAGATTCCTGGGATGTCACTGTCCATTTTAAGGTACGTCTGTCTCTCTCCTTGGTCATTAATAATGCTGGGCAGTTCCGCGAAGAGAGCACCTTTCAGAATTAGACAAGGATCTCCTTGTCCGGCAAACAAGGGCAACTCCGAACGCGCTCATCAATAGTCACTGTATTATTGATTGACTTTTAGCACTCTGTCGTTGGCGTGAATGTTTGGGATGCGGATGCCGCACCTGTCGATTCGGACTCTACGATCTGGCGTTTTACCCCCAAGTCTTGGGATGCGCATCTCAATGCCAACACTCATTTCGAATTCAAATTTCAGGGGCGACAGTGGGAAGATTACGAGGTGAAAATCAAAAACTAAGGCTTCTCATAGAAAGACGAATTTAAGATCGGTGAAATCTGGAAGAGCGAGTTCTGCTCTCCAGATGGTGTCAACAACGGAGGTGGAGGAACCACAACTACTCAAGGAACAACCAGAACAACTCGAACGACGACAACGGTAAAGCATGAGACATGTCTATTTCGATTTTCGAACCCAAGGAGAGAACCCAAGGCGAAAGTTGATTAAACCAAAATGTCTAGGGCGGACCCGATGTGACACCAGACCCAGGTGAAGTAACCACAACCAAGCCAAACTCTTTGTGTGGCGGACCGTCTGGCGTGCGAGGTGGTCCGGAACAGTCAATCGTCGATTTCAAAAAGGGCAGCTATGGCAAATATGATATCAATGAAGTCCTTCACAAGTCGATCCTCTTTTACGAAGCTCAGCGATGCGGAAAGGTAAAATCTCTTTCTCAAAATATGAGCTTGGAATTCATTGACGCAAATCGATATTTTTAAAAAAAGAAATGAAGAACTTGTTGGGAATTGAATCGCTTTGGTACTTATCCAATTTACATGAATAGAATTTTCTAACCTCAGCGCTGAGCGCCACCGTAATCATTTTTTTTTTCATTTTTGATGACTATTCAGAACTCGCCTTTCAATCGAGTATTGTGGCGAGGAGACTCCGGCATGAAGGATGGATGCGACGTGGGACACAATCTTGATGGAGGCTGGTTTGACGCTGGTGATCACGTAAAATTCGGCTTTCCCATGGGCAGAGGGGATCTCAAATTATGGGAAAGAGGCTCCCCGACTGCTCGTCCTTTTTTGACGAGTTTAGGGATGAACCAAATTAACCTTTGCGTCTTAGCTGCTTCTCAACCTGTAGCTCTGTCTGTGAGGCGCGCAGTCAGATAATCTCAATTCAAATTGACAATAAGGCTGAATAAAATCAGCATTTTAAGCATTGATGAATGCGGGAAAATGAAATCCCTCAAAAGCTTTTACAACGACCCTTCTTGGTTGGGGAATGATCGATTACAAGGTAAAACCAATCATTTACAGCCAAGTTTGTAATCTTCATGGCTTTTTAATTTTTCATAGGCTGAGTATGAGCATGCAGGAGAGTACATTAATGCATTAAATATGCTTCGATGGCCACTGGAGTTCTTTATCCGGGCTCATACAGGAACATCGGTTGAAAGATTCTTTGATTGATTTGTCAACAGACACTTAGACTTATTCAACCTCGTCAAGGCCCCAATGAATTCTACGGACAAGTCGGTGATGGCCACGCCGACCATGGGTTCTGGGGACGACCCGAAGATATGACCATGAATCGACCTGCTTTCAAAGTGACCCGCAACTGCCCCGGTTCTGACTTGGTTGGCGAGACTGCCGCTGCTCTTGCGACTGGCTACATGATCTTCAAGGATATTGATAGCGCTTTTGCTAATGAATGCCTTTCGCATGCAAAGGAACTTTATGATTTTGCCTACAACCACAGGGGAAAATACTCTGACTGTATTCCAGGATACGTTTTTCAAACAAAAGTAATCGTAATGGCTTGACCTCCTAGACAAAGTCCTCGTTAAACCCACGCGACTGGACGTCGAGATGAGTAAATCGATTTATTGCCGGTTGTGTGCGGTTAAAACAATGAAATGAACCTATCAATGGTTCACTATCAATCAATGTTATTTTTGTAAAACTAGACGAAAGCTGGCGACTTTTACAACAGCTGGGGCGGCTACAACGATGAGCTTGCATGGGGCGCTGCTTGGCTCTACCGCGCTACAGGAGATGAGTCTTACCTTGCCAAGGCGAATGAATTTTACACATCCGGCCTTGGAAACATGTTCTCCTGGGATGACAAGACTGCTGGAACCGCTCTGCTCCTCGCGCAGTTAACCTCGAACTCAAAATTCATCAACGATTTCAACGTCTTCGCCAACTACATCAAGAACCAAGCAACAAAAACACCAAAGGGCCTTGTTTGGCTATCTCAATGGGGTTCCAACCGGTAATTTTTTCATAATTACTTCTTGAACGAAATTCAGATACGCTGCCAACGTTGCTTTCTTGCTGATGCACACAAATAAGGTTGCTCGATTCTCCGATGGCCGTGCTAATTTGGCGTTTGGAAAGGGACAGATTGATTACATGCTTGGCGATTCGGGACGATCCTTCGTCGTTGGATTCGGAAACAACCCACCAGGTAGTCCGGTTAACTCTCCGCCGTCAGTGTCACCTGATTCTAGAGCGGCCACATCATCGGTCAAGCTCCTGCCCACCAGTCCCTCAAGATTGCAACAACGGCGCTGGCAACCCCGGTCCAAACCCGATGGTCCTCTACGGTGCTCTCGTCGGCGGCCCTGACCAATGGGACAACTATGTTGATGACCGAAACGACTATGTCGCCAATGAAGTTGCTACGGACTACAACGCTGGATTCCAATCTGCTCTTGTTGCTTACATTTCTGATTACATGTAAGAAGACAATAAAAGACGTTTTTTGATGGGAATGAATTTTGTTTGAAGTGTATTCTAGCAGTTTTCTTTTTCAGGTAAATAGATAAGTAGAACGTGCATGAGATAGAAAGAAAGAGGAATAAAAGCTCAGAATGAATGAATTTTTTAAGTGAAATGATATAAAGTGTTCTTTGAAGGATAAAAGGGACATGTGTATTTCTTTGATTCGTTGGGTTTTACGGGAGAAAAAGCGAGTGAGAATGAATAAGTTTGGTTTATCTTTAGATTAACGATTTCCGTGGGGCTGCAACTGGTTGACTTGGGGTTGATGAGCCAGGGTTCAGATCGAGGTCGATGAGAGAAGGAGGGGAGGGGGCCGAATTGAGCACTGAAGCCAATTCTCGGAGGTTGTCTTCTTGTGCTCTGAAAAGATTATTAGTAGATGAAAAAGAAGAGATTGTTTTACTTTTCTGGAGCAGTATTGATTTTCGTAGCCACTGGATTTTTAGGATTAGACTCGTTGTATGCTGATTTTCGAATCTCTCGTATTTTCGCCCTTTCTCGCTCGAGCTGATACTCAAGATCAAGAATTTTAACTTGCGTGTCCATTTCGATCTTTTTCGCTTGAGTGTAGCTGAGTTTTGAGAAGTCAACATTTTCTGACGATGAGTTTTCGGTTGAAGTCTTGCCCGACTGCGATGCGCCGACAACTTGGCCAGCAGCTTTGTTGACTTGCTTGCTGAGGACTTCCAGTTTTGAAAGGTTTTCTCCTCGGGAAGCTTTGACGCGGGACGCGGCCATAAGTTGAGCTGTTGAAGCGGTGATTTCTCTCGATGCAACGATCAATTCATCGAAGTTCCCTTGTCCTTTCACACAAAGATCAGCGAGATCAGTAAGTGTTTGTGCTCGAAGACCAACGGCTTTTGATGCTGAAGGGATCCTAGCTTCTGCTGAATCTCCCACTTCTAGCGTAGTTTGCCTGCTCTCTATATCTGGACGAGTGAAGAAAACGAGTAAAGTATCTTTGACGTCTGTATTTCGAGCTGGAGTAAAATAGAGGTTAATTCACGAACTGCGTGAATTACCGAATGAAGAGAAATACACGGCGGCGACCGAGCAAAGCTCGATCTAGATAAGCAAGTGACCTTAGGGGACGAGGGAGTCTAACGAATCTAAGATCCCAATACCCCCCATGAGACTGAAACGTCCTCTAAGGCCAAAGTGTGTGATTTTTGCAGGAGTATAAGCGTAAGATGAGTAACATGGCAGGTTCGAAACGTCGAGGCAGTCTGATTCGCGTTAAAAAACCCTTTTTTGGGAAAAAGCTTGAATCAGATGCGAAGTTTTCGTGATGTCCGAGCGGTGATGACATGAAGGAGTAGCTGCACATGTAGAAGAACTCAAAATACGTCGGCGACGGTAAACTGTGATAATTTCCGTACCTTTTCAGGCCCCGGTCGATGAATAGGGGACCTGAGTGGGGCAGTACTTGCGCTTAGTCGTATGACTGACCCGAGTTTGTGCCGATGTTTAGAGGTTCGACGGGCCTCGTTTCACGGTGTGCTCGTTTTGTATGTTTCGGGAGATGAGCTGCTCCAACTTCGGTTAAAGTCGCATTCGGATCGGCGCCGGCTGAGTATTGACGATCTGGTGAAGACTTTGGACGGGTTCTTTTCTTGCTGTTTTCAGTTGCTGAGCCCTCAACTACTGTTGAATTATGTTTATCGACTGACATATGGCTATTGTCGGGCGCAGCAACCTCCGAAATCACTGTAGCATCAGCTGACATGTCCTCGGCAGTTTCATAAAGAGTACCACCAGAGTACCAGCGATCTGACGGCTCGGCTGGAGCTACCGACGAGTCCAAAATAGATGTAGCGGTTGTATCTCCCAGATTTTCCATGTCCAATCGGCGTCTACTTTCCAAAATAGGTGATAGAGATGATCTTGGCGGTTTTTCCATAGCAACCATCGGAGTCGACGCGACCTGAGAAGATTTCCTCCCCCCATGCGACTTCGACCCGGACTTTTCCATCGGTTTGGAAGTAGGAACAGGCGATTTTTGTGGGACTTTCGACTTAACGATTTCGGTTAAATGTGGGAATACGTACTCGGCCTCGTAGTAATCAATCCAGCGTAAGTCGTGATTTCGTTCTGCGGCGTGAACCACGTGTTCTCGATGGATGAAATCACGTTGTCCTTTTTTATCTTCGACCATGACGACCCAGTCGTTGCTCGAAACGGCTTTCAGGGGACCTACCCAGCGTTCCTTCTTGCTTTTAGCGTCGGTCAGGTTTTCTCGCTTAATGTACACGACAGCGCCAGCGGGGATTGGTCTCGGCTTAGGCTCGTTTTTCAGCCTGTGCTCCATGGCTCGGTCAGCAGCTTCCATCGCAGTTTTCACAATGGCTTCCGCCGATTTCGCTAAAGCTCCCACATTGAGACCAAACACCTGAGGTGTTTCCGCTGTCATTTCTGCGCCAGTAGAGTGGGTGAAAGTACTTTTTCGGCCAAACCAAACTTCTCGCGGTGAAATTTTCGTGCTTTTGTTTTTCACACTATTGAGCGCGCGCATCACGTGGGGAACGCAGTCGGCCCAAGTTTTTCGACCGGAAGATGAGTTGACCATGCAGAATAGACTGTTTTTGATAGTCCGATTCGCTCTTTCTGCGAAAGCGTTTGATTGAGGGTGAAATGCGGTACTTATTGTATGTTTTATCTGGTTAAGCTTACACATTTCGTCAATCACGCTTGCGCAGAAGTGGGTACCTCTGTCACTGTGTAGATGTTTCGGCAAGAAATCCATGGGAAGGAAGACCTTGTAGATGAGCGCTTTTGCAGCGCAGATAGCAGTGTCGGACCGCGTCGGAATGCACCAAGTGTAGCGAGAGAAAGTGTCCGCCACCACCAAATAATACTTGAATCCGCCAGCGGGAGGCATACAAGCGAAATCGATCTGAATCGATTCGCCAGCTGTTTTTCCACGACGAAGGGTTCCAAGTGGCGGTTTGGTACGAGTTCCAGCAGATCCTTTTCTGCGTAGGCAAGGGACGCAGCTGTGGACGTAGTTAGAAACATCGTCTTGAAATGAAGGCCACCAAACGTCCTCTAATCGCTCTAAAGTCCGCGGCTCGCCCAGATGACCGGACAAGTCGTGAGCTAGAAAGAGAAAGTGACTTTTTACCGCTTCCGGTACCACCGCCCGCGCGCCAGATTTGAATTGACACATCAAGCACCCGGTAGTGTTATCCAGGAACAGAGCTTTTTCCATCTTGAGTAGAGACGATTGTCGGTGGTCGGAGTCCTTCACCAGCGATTTTATGTCCAGTGGCTCCTTACCAGATTCCAGAAAAGTGATGATTGCACTCAGAGCAGAGTCCTCCCTTTGATAGTCCAGAATGTTATTATAATTCGCTGACACCAACGGAATCTCCATTGGCGCCGCGATAGCCTTGACGTTTACCTTATGTATCTTCACCTCTGATAAAGTGATTTTCTCCGGAAACTGATTTTCGTTCCAGAAAGGGACGAAGACACGTACTGGTGAATTCTTGTCGATTTCGTACTCGCGACCAACGGGAAACTCAGAGTCGTATCCAAGTGATTTGTCGTCCTCGCCAGGTCTGCGGCTCATAAAGTCGGCGAATTGATTTTCTGATCCCTTGATGTAGACAATGTGAAAATCGAATTCTTCCAATCGGCTTTGCCATCGGCTTATTTTAGAATTCTTGAACTTCTTTTTGTGTAGGAAGATCAAAGATCGGTGGTCTGTGTGAATCTGAAAGAATCTACCTTTCAGGAGCTTTTCCAGTCGCTCGCAGCACCAGACAATGCTAAACATTTCCTTTTCTGAAGTGTTCCATTTTCTTTCAGCTTTGTTGAAGGTGTGGGAAATCGCGCTTACTAGGTGCACTCTCCCGCCATACTCTTGTAGCAGGACGCCACCCGCTGCGTACAGGCTCGCGTCTGTGTAGAGATGAAAAGACTCGTCAAAGTTAGGAAAACTTATGACTGGAGTCTCGGAGAGTCGTCGTTGAATTTCCTTGAGCGCCAAATCCGCTTCTTTGGTCCACTTGAAACAATTTGTTTCGTTCGCCGAATTTCGAACATCGTTTATGGGCTTCATTCTGCTCGAGAAGCAACCGGATGAAATAGCTTCGCCCATTTTCGTTTCTAGAAAACCTCGGATCCAATTCAATGACCCGATTAATGAAGCTAACTCCTTTTGGGAGCGTGGGGGTTTCATCTGACGAAGAGCGGAGACTTGCGCAGGGTCCGGTTTGATTCCATCTTCGTTGATGATTCGGCCCAAAAAGTGAGCTTCGGATTGTAGGAAAGAGCACTTTTCGCCCTTGAGTTTAGCGTTAAACTTGCGGAGCGCGATGAATAGGTTTCGGAGAGTGTTGTAATAGCAGCTGAAAGTCTTCCCAAAACACACTATGTCATCGATATAAGAAAGCATCTTTTTCCTGGTGGGGCTTGAGTCGAGAATTGTGTTTACGACGCGCGAGAATATATTCCCCGAGCATCGATAACCGAATGGTAGTCTGCAGAAGGCGTAAGATTTCCCACCCCACTGGAAGGAAGTCTTGTACCTGTCGCTTTTCTTTACAGGGCACTGCCAATATCCACTTCGTAGATCAACTGTGGCGAAAAACTTATTGCCCGGTCCAATGTTCGCAATCGTATCCTCCATGCTTGGGAGATGGTAAGGGTCGGATTTGTCGGAGAGGCATTTGTTCAGGCTGTTTTTGTAGTTGATGCAGAAGCGCATTTCCCCAGATTTCTTAGGAATAGGCAATACCGGGCTGTTAAACCCTTTCTGGTCTTTGATCTCTTCTATTATTTTCGTTTCGAGCAGTTCGGAGATGTGATCGCTGACCTGACCATGAAAAGCTTGCGGAATCGGGTGTTGACTGATGTTTCGACTCGTACCATCAGTCGGGATTTCGATCTCGAACGGGAATTCACCCATTTTTTGACCGTCGCAGCCGAATCTGTCGTCGAATTCCAAACACAGCTCGGCGACCACCTTCTTTTGCCCCGGGTCGGCGTTTGCTGGTAGGGTAATTCCGAGTTTTTGCTTCGCTAGCTGAATGGGGCACCTGGCTGCGTTCTTGTTAGGTGCGTCCAGCTTTGGGACTTTTGGTGGCGGTTGAGTGCGGGATCGATCGCTATCCTTGACCGCTGATCTAGTAGTCAAGTATTTCTTGATTTTGGTCCGCTTCACTCCGTCCAGCTTCACCACTTGAGTCTCAGTTTGTGTGAAGGCTTCGTTGTAGCAAAATGAGAGAGTACGATTCTTATTGTCGACTGTGAAGCTGTCCGTCATCGCATTCTCTAGTATATCGCGGCCCAGTAGACTTGGGTATTTACTGCCTGGCATAATGGTGAGATTCAGGGAGAATGCAGGGCCACCATTGAATGATAAGCGGCAGGGAAGGATACCCATCGGCTGCTCGGCGGGAATATTTGGGCTGAAACCGGTGACCTTGAAGGGACAGGGCTTCAGCATCTGGAGAAATTCGTCGGGAACGTAAGCAGCGGACAGACAGGAGGACTCGGCTCCGCTGTCGACTTCCATCGATACGTCAAAACTTTTAGAGCCCGTAATGATGGTAGCCGAAGCGAAATAAGCCTTTCCTGGTCGCTTCTTCTTCACTGTGTAAAAGTGAACGTCGAATGGTTGGAAATCTTCAACGTTCTTAGTCGTATTTATCTTCTTGGATTCTGGTTGTTTATCGTCTTTCCCATCCTTAGAATCGTTGCTGGCGCGCTTAGCATTCTTCTTCTTTTTGTTCTTATTTCTGTTGAAGTGCTGGGAGACGGTCGCGCTGTCAACTCGATTCTGTCTTGTGGATTGGGCGAGACGGCAGAGTTCGTTGATATCGTAAACTTTTGATAGGCTTGGAAGGATTGCGTTGAAAACGTCTGGTTCTTCTTTCCTAAGATTCAAGTACAGCATCATCGTCGAGAATATGTCAAATATTTCATCGACCCCGGCGTCGGCTGACTTCTCTTGTCGGTAAGAGTTCAAAGTCGCTTGCTTCGCCTCGTTCATCTTTTGCAAGACGTTGGCGGTGTAGTGTGCAAACGGCTTCGAATGGTCGTATTCGACGTCGAAAACTTCGCTTAGCTTCAGTAAGTAGTGACTCTTCGCGGCGAATGATTTCTCTAGCAGCGCCTTGGCCGATTTCCAGTCTTGACAATTCAGAAATTCGGTTCCAAGTGAGCGTTCGATGTTCAAGTCGAAGTGGCTGTACACTGCTGCGATGAAAGGCTGTTCACGTGAAGGTCTGTCGCGGACGTAGGCGCGGTGATAAATGTCGGCTCTGCCCAAGAAGGTGTTGAAAGATGTGTTGCATGCGGCGTCCAGCTTCGGCAAGTCTTGGACGTGACGAGACCAGGTAGTGGCCACCCATGCTTCTTCTCTCATTGTCGCATTCGTAGAGTCTTTTCCTTGATCGAGCTCGCAGGTAAGAAGCGTTGTACTGAGCTGTTCTAATTTTACTCTGCTTTCTGTGATCAAGGGCTCTAGGCTTGGCTTTAGTGATTCGTCATTTCGCACTTGTTCTTCGAGGTAGTTTACTCGATCGTTTATGCTTCTTATTTCGGTGACGGTTTCTAGCAGTGATTTGTTCGCCGCCATAGCTCGAAATATATCGGCAGTAAGGGTTTATGGGCCTTGGATTACCTTTCAGGCCCTCAGAAAATACTGCGACTAAAAGTCGCAATATGATGAGCTGAGGTGCCTTTTGCGCAAACGCCCGACGATTTCTCTGTCCAGCGATTGTCGAAATTTCAAGGTCTGGTCCAAGGGTCGATTCTTCGTAAACTTCTCTCGATTTTTGGTGAAAAGTGGCGAAAGAATTATGTTTTTCTCAGTATTTTAGGTTTTCCCCGGCGTGCGTGCGTGGTTGCGTGGGCGCGACTTTCGGCGCGTGGGTCGTGGTGGCGCTCGTGTGGTGGCGCTCGCTCGGGGTGGTGTTGGTGTGGTGCGGCGCGGAAAATTCTCTGAGTGGAGTTTCTCCGGCGGCGCGGTGGCGGTTGGTGATTCGGTTCCCCTCGACTCCGCTGACGGCCAATCAGCGTCCAAGTTGCGAAACTTCGGTTGTCGATGGCGGAAAATTTACCTTTTCTCCAACGGGACTACTCTGATACCACTGAAGGGATCCTAGCTTCTGCTGAATCTCCCACTTCTAGCGTAGTTTGCCTGCTCTCTATATCTGGACGAGTGAAGAAAACGAGTAAAGTATCTTTGACGTCTGTATTTCGAGCTGGAGTAAAATAGAGGTTAATTCACGAACTGCGTGAATTACCGAATGAAGAGAAATACACGGCGGCGACCGAGCAAAGCTCGATCTAGATAAGCAAGTGACCTTAGGGGACGAGGGAGTCTAACGAATCTAAGATCCCAATAATGCACTCAGCAATCCCTCAGTCCATCTAGGCAAAATGTTAGATGATTTGAGAAGGACGAAAATTAAACCTGGAATTTCTGCAGTAAAAATCTTGCGCCGAACCGGCTCCGCGGCCTGACTCCACGATTTCTTGTTGCAATTTGTTGCTCGTAATAATCAGCTGTTTGATGAAATCCATGAGGGTGGTGCAAGAATCGAGGATGGCTTCGTGAACAGCTAGTTCTGTTCCAGTCATTCTTTCCCGCGCATCTAAAGGCGGTTCGTTTTAGTTGAAGAGAGAAACTAACCTTTGAGAAGAGTGGCAATTCTAGCTGCGGATTCTTCGACGAGTTTAGCGGCTTCATCAAGTTCCGCAGCCAGGGCAGATCCGAGCTGCTCCTCGTTGATCGTATCTTCGTTCAGCTTGAAAAAAGTTAAATCGAGAACAAAAAGTATTTCTCACTTTTCGCAGATTTTCCATCACAGACTGCAGGGAAGCCTTTATCTTATCCAAGTTCAGCGCTTTTGGATTGTTTTTAGACTCTTCCAGCACTTCTTCGACATTATTCAATAGCTCCTGCGTCGAGTCGAGCATATTGCCATCTATGTTCGACGTCTCGGAGCAGATTTGCACGGCTGTCAAGCAGACATAGGTTAAATTATAAAAAGCCGTTTCGGGCTGCTGCTCAATTGATTCAAGTTTGAGTGCGTATTCTAAAAAGCAGATCTAAAAAGGTGGTAAAAAGGGGATCAGACCTTTTCCACGATCTTGTGCTGAGCGAGTTCCCAGAAGGGCTTTTTCTGACTGGATTTCTTTCATTATCTGGAGACGGAGAAATTCGAACATGCCGTGGAGATGGGAATTGATTCGTTTCTTGTTACTTTCGTGCGCTAAAAACGATGATGAAATCAAGAAGGATTAATTTTCTTACATTCGAGCTCTCCTTTGATAGACGCAGTGGTTCTCAAATGATCAGCATGCATTTGAACAAGCTTCATGTGCTTCATTTTTAATTGCTGAAAAGCGTTTTCTACAGCTACTTTTTCTTTGTGAGCTCTTGGTTTTCTGTCTTGAGGGAGTTGACCGTGGCTTGATTTGTTTCCAACGATAGCTTCGATGTTTCAGCTTCAAGTTTTTCGCGCTCTAGTTGAGAAATGTATTCAAGTAGTTTTGTGACTTCGATAGTTTGTTCCTTTTTCGTGTTGGTTAGGTCTGTCTGCAGTCTTGAGACTTCCTCTTGTGCCTTTTCTAGCTGCGCGTAGATTTGAAATTGATCATCTTGAATCTGCGAAAAACCATGATTTTCGTCAATGTCGATGAGCGATTCTGTCGTTGAAGGTTCTGGACTGGGAGGTCGTTCCTCGATCTGATTCGCTCTGCGGAGGGTTTGATGGGCATCGTTTACTTCGGGAATATTGGAATGGAAATCTGGGGCTGATGAGGGGAGCATAGGTACTAAATGGATCATTTTCAAGGTTCGTAAATATGAGTTTACCTTGTATAAGCTGGCGAATGTACAAAATAGTGACACATTGTTCGTAAAAAGCTTTGAGATCGTTGTAAATCTGAAGAAAGCGAGTGCGGAATCCGGAAAGTGGCTCAGAAGGTAATTGGCTTTTCTGGGATCCTAAATTTCGGCACGAAAAAACTATTCAAGGCTTGAATCCTATCCTATGAAGAAGTGATAAAAATTTCACGCAAAACGAGTACAGCTGTTCAGAATCGGCGATTATCGGAATACACGCGCAAAGTCGGTTGTGGCCAGACGCGCTCGAGGTGGAGTTCTTGCTTCTATCCATCGTTCGAAAGATGGCCTTTTGAGTTTCCATAAGCTTCTCAAGGTAGTCCAGGGCATCAAGAACAAAGCAAAATTGAGCATCAGGCTCGACACCAACTTTTTCTTTTATATTTGATGGAGGGTTCAGGGAGCCTTAATTTTCATGTCGACGAAGGAAACAAGGGAAAGAGAAACCTGGGAGGAATTCATATTTGTTGTGAAATTCAATCTTCAGTATCAAAAGCTTCATATAAGATAGAATCAACGGCCCGTATCCTTGAATATGACTCCAATATCTTGACAACTCTTCGAGCTTCGCCAAATACGCCTGTGATTGTCTGAAGATTGAGTGGTGGCCCTCGCGTAGGAGCTTGTGCAAAAGATAGGAAAATTTCCAGCACGAGTGGGCATTGACAGCGAGTGGAAGCTTCGCCGCTAGTTGCCAAAAGAGAGCGCTGGAACGAGCTTCGTGAGTTTGTACGATCGCATTTCGTATATGCTTTTCTTTTGGCGGCTCATCTGACTTGCTGCATGATTTCTATAAATTCAGCTCTATCCAACCCTCTTCATATTCTCTGACCTGTAGGGTTGTGTACATTCGATGGACGATTTCTTCCCGATTCGGCTGAAGCTCAGAAATCGGCGTTCTGCCCCGGTTGAGAACATTACTGACTGTATGTCTGATAGACATGGTAATTCTGAAGCCTTTTTTTCTCGACAAGATTGATACTGATTCTCTATCGCCGAGTTTTCTCGTCCGATTCTGAACTAATAAGAAGAATCAATAAAAGAGTGATCACACGATAGGAAACATGACTAATCACAAATTTGCGAGAGGATAGTTCTATTATTTTATGTCTTTATATTATTGAATTTGTACTTCAATAAAGGATCACCAAGTGGGCACACAAAAAGACTCATTCACATAATAATGATTCACGAACACCTGATTTTTATAGATACGGTAGAGATTCCGTGAGTCAAATCTCTTGGTTTGAGGACTACTAAAGTTCTCAAATGAGAACTGAACGGGTTGATATATTAACAGAAGTGAGAGTAAGTTGGCTTAAATTTGACTAGTTTTTTCTTTTATTTTTATTTAATTGCGTTAACTGATGAACTTTTACAAACACAGGTCTTCTATTATTTTATATCAGCATTTTCTTAATTCCTTCAATTGCCTTATCCATCTCCGATAGCTCAATTCGTAGACTGAAAAAAAGGGATCAAAAATGATTCACACACCGAGCTGTACCTTTCGATCTTTTCTTTATCCGCTGCTTGGACAGCTTCTGGTACTTTCGTTGCGTAGTCTTTGGCGCTCATCTTCTTTTCCTGGGAAGAAATTTTGTTTTCGATTCCCTTTCGAGACTTTTCCATCTTGACGACTTCTTTTTCGAAATCAATGACTCCCTGTTTTATGGATAATAAAGAAAGATCGTAAATATTTTTGATAATTAATTCATTGTAATTAAACCAATGCCTTCAACAAAAGATGAGCATTGACATCGTCGTTAACAACGGTGAGTACGCAGCCGGCTGGAATGTCCTTCGTAAAAGCGATTTCTTCCGCGTTGGACAACACTCGGATGAAATCTGAGTAGCTATCCAGGACCTGCTTCGAGGCGTCGCTCTTGACTTCCAAGAAGGTCTTTGTCTTTTGCTTGTTGGTCAGCTTGTACTCGCCACGGAGTGATCGCACTTGCTTGACGACATTCATCATTAGCGCGATGTCGGATTCCGTGGCTTCGTCTCGCTGAAATCATCGATGATAAATATTCTGTCGACTTGATTTACCTTGAAAGCAGTTGGATCTGGATAACTAGCGACGTGAATAGAGGGAGTAGCGTCGCCAGCTCTTCTTGGCAGTCGCTGCCAAAGCTCTTCCGTTACATATGGCATGAAAGGAGCCGACAGTTTGAGAGCGACGTCGAGACATGTGTAGAGCGTTTCTTGAGCAGCGCGTTTTGTTGATGCATCTCCAATGTCTCCCCACATTATCTGAAGGGGCCCTATTCAAAACAACACATATGACAGGGACTTACCGGCTTGACAGTCTCAAGATAGACATCGCAGAGTTCGTACAACCAGAAATTGTAAATGGCAGTGGTGATGGCTGGGAAGTCGTAGTTCTTGAATCCGCTCGTGCATTGCTCAACGCAATTCGCAAGTCGGGAGAGAATCCACTTGTCGATTCCAGTCTTGCTTTCGAGAACATCCTTTGATGGAACGAAGTCGTCGCCGAGCTGCATTTGCGCGAATCTGGAATGAATAAATACGCGTGCAACAGATTTTTTACTACCTGATAGCATTCCAGAGCTTGTTACAAAACTTTCTGTAACCCTCGACCCGCTTGACATCCAAATTGATATCTCTTCCCTGACTTGTGTAAGCACAGAGGGCGAATCTCAACGCATCAGTTCCACACTCTGGAATTCCATCGGGATAATCAGCTGCTTGACCGTCTTGGGCCTTCTTGATCTCTTTCGCGTCAAGATTTCCGGACAGAAGCGATTCTTGAAGCTTCTTGAGCGTAACTCCGTTGATGACATCGCGAGGATCGATGACGTTTCCGAGGGACTTGGACATTTTTCGCCCATGCGCGTCTCTGACCATAGCGTGGAGGTAGACCTCCTTGAATGGGAGCTTGTCGCAGAGGGAGAGGGAGAACATGACCATTCTGGCCACCCAGAAGAAGAGAATATCGTGTCCTGTTTCAAGCAGCTCGCCAGGGAAGAAACGCGAGAGTTCAGGATTCTCATCTGGCCAGCCAAAGGCGGAGAAAGGAAACAGTGCCGAAGAAAACCAGGTATCAAGGACATCAGGGTCCTGTTCGAGTGAAATCTGATCTTTTCCGCACTCGAATTTCTCAACAGCCGCTGCAAGAGCTTCCTCCTCAGTAATTCCGCAGACCCAGTAGTCTTCTTCATTCGGGAATGACTTGTGTTCTCCGGTCATGGTCGCCTTATACGCTGGGATTCGATGTCCCCACCAAAGCTGTCGGGAAATGCACCACGGTCGCGAGTCCTCGAGCCAACGGAACCAGGTCTTTTCGTGACTGTCTGGGATGATCTTCAGCTCTTTGTTCGTCACAACATCGCAAGCTCGTTTCGCCATGGCATCTGTGTCGACGTACCACTGTGGTTTGAGCAGCGGTTCAATGATGTCCTTGGATCGGGAACAAACAGGAACCACCATTGGATTGTCCTCTGTTCCAACGTATTGTCCGATCTCCTTGAGGTCTTCAACGATCTGTTTTCGCACATCGAATCGCTTCATTCCGTCATATTTTGTGCCAGTGCCAACTACGAGCCCGTTGTCGTCGAAAATGTTGATCTGTGGAAGGTTGTGTCGCTTGCCCATGTCATTATCGTTGTGATCATGAGCGGGGGTGATCTTGACAGCGCCGGTACCAAAGTCCATCTTGACGTAGTCGTCGGCGATGATAGTCATTTCCCGATCGGGGATGAAGGGATGCACGAGCTTCTTGCCCACAAAATCGGAGTATCGCTCGTCCATGGGATGAACGGCTACGGCAACGTCACCAAGCATCGTTTCAATACGAGTGGTAGCTACGGTGATTGTTCTGCCATCTTCAAGCTTGTATGAGAAGCTGATGAGGACACCGAATTCGACCTTTTCCGGGTAGCCAGGGACGGGAAGGAGAGTTCGCCCCTCAAGCTCCTTTTGATCGACCTCGATATTGGAAATGGCGGATTGGAGGGCACATGACCAATTGACCAAACGATTGGAGCGGAAGATCGTGCCGTTTTTGTGAAATCGGATGAAGGCAGTTTGAACAGCTTTGTAGAGCTTCGGGTCCATGGTGAAAGCCGCTCTGTCCCAATCGACAGAAGCTCCCATCGCACGGATCTGGTTGTAAATCGTGTCGCCCTTCTCGTTCTTCCACTTCCACACCTCGTCGACGAAGGCATCTCTGCCGAGCTGGTGCCTCGTGATGTTGCGCTCCTTCTTCAATCGCTTTTCAACAACGACTTGAGTGGCGATACCAGCGTGATCACAGCCTGGATTCCAAAGGACTGTTTTACCGTTCATTCGATGCCAGCGGGTGATGCAGTCTTCGACAGCGAGAGTGAGCGCGTGCCCAAGATGAAGAGTTCCAGTTACATTTGGTGGGGGAATCATGATCGTGAAGTGACCCTTTGGATTATCTGCGTAAACGTTTTCGCGGCCATACTCTGGCTTGTAAAAGCCCTGTTTCTCCCACCATTCGGACCAGGCGGCTTCGACATATTTCGGAGAATAAGCTTTTGGAAGCTCGCAAGTAGTCGATTTCTTATCGCCTTTTGCAGTCCCTTCCGTGTAGGTAACCACCTCTGGCGCAGCGGCCTTTGCTGGTTTCTCTTCTTTCTTTGCAGCGGCCTTCGCTGGTTTGTCCTTTTTAGCCGCGGCAGCTGCGGCTTTTTTCGCTGCGAATTTTGCTTCTTTTTCGGCCTTCTTTCGCGCTTTTTCGGCTTCCTTTGCGAGCTTCTTTTCCAATTCGGCCGCGTCGAATACTTTTCGATTTTCAATAAAGTTAACTTTGAAGTGCTTCTTCAGCTTGTCGTTTTTCATGAGAGAGGAGTACCAGTTCGTGAGCTTTGGTAGCGCTTCACGCTCTGATTTGCCGAAGAGGTTTTCAAATGCAGGTTTTAAGCAAGCCGCAAGAGTGGTGTCCGCAACAGATAATTCCTCGCCAAGGAGGTAGTTTTCTCCGAGTATCTAAAAATGATAGTTTAAGAATTGGAGGTGTTCGAAAAAGAAAATCCGCTTGCGGCCAAATATAATTATATTCAAGCATTTGCTTTTTGATCTGACCCAAAAGTGTGGGATCTGAAAACAAAAGATTCTGAAAAATATAAAAACGCTTGAAAAATTAGGCAAGAAGATACTTATCTTCTTGGGAATATGCGCTCAAAGGATCGATCAGTAGTTAGATAACGAAACTTGGATGTGTCAGCTGACAAAAGCGCCATCTTCCTGTCGAATTTTGTGAATATATAAAAGCCGAAGAATGACGAAAATCAAATCATAAAATGTCTTAATCATATAAAAACATACTTTCGTGAATTTAAATAATTTGCCTAGAAAGATGAACTGCCGACAAAAGAGAATATAAACGTTATACGATAAAATGAAGCTATAAATGGTATAATTACATTGAAAATTTTATTTGAAATATTTTATATGAAATATTTATTATTTTCAATACTGTGCACTAAAAATAAAAAAAAAGATTTCAAAAAAAAAAATACAAGCATATTTTACCTTTTCAAGAGCTTGACAATGCTTCATAAAATCCTCAAGATTTTGATTGTAAACTTTTTCTTCGTATTTCATTTTGCCACTGAGCGGTTGAGTAAGGTTTTCTACCAGTGGAAGCAAGTGCTGGTCGGATAAGCTTTCATAGTTGAGGATTTGAGCCTGTTTTTCGATCGAGGAGTCCTGGACGAGTGAGAGGATCTTTGCCACGGAGGGAGCATTTTCCGCCGATTTCGAGGCTTTTTCGTGATGAAAATTTGGAAAATCAAAAAATTAGATTTGAAAAAGGAGAATTTTGAAAATTTTTCATCACTCTTTCCTTCAAGTTTGACTGTAATCGCCTCTGCCGCCGCTACTTTCAGCTGAAAGTAGTCACTCATTCTAAAATCAAGATAATCTCTTTTGAGAATTCATATTTTCGAACTTGAAAAAGGTAAAACGCCTACTGGAATGATGAAAATTTTCAACATTCTCGAGACTCGTTCACGTGAAAAATGGCGGTTTTCTCTAAAAATTTTTGTCTCAAAACTTCATTTTCGATCCGAAAAATCATTTGGAACATGAAAATCCGGGTAAAATAGAAGAAAATCGCAATTTTTCGCGCTAGAAAAAATTTTTCACCAGTTCCCAGAAAGTCTTTTCAGAACTCTGATATGTGTCATTCTCGAGGCTCTAGAAATCATTCTTCTTCTTCTTCTTTATCCTCTTTTTGACAGAAAAAAATGCTATTTTAATAAAAATACGAGCGCGCGCTGGTATGAGTCATTCTTCTTTTTTACAGCTGGTGAATCATTCTTCACTTTTTGTCATCGGCACGCAGATTTTTTCGCGATTTTTTATATAAAGAAAAATTTGAAGAGAAGATGAGAGAAAACTAAGAAGCAAAGAAAGAAAGAAAAGAGAATGACGAATGCGCCGTTTTCGGACTTTTTGATCTTCTTCAAATATCTCGACGGTTCGTGATTTTCTTCTCGAAATATTTCCTAATAACTTTTATCAGATAATCCCGATTGGGCACTGTCGCAAGCCCTGTACGGTGCTCTTTTCGGCTTGGCGATTCTGTTCATCGCAGTTTGGGCGGATTTTGGATTCATTTTCAATTTCATTTTTGGCCTTCCGAGCTTTTTCTGCGACAAGAAGCTGATTTCGTTTTCAAAAGACCGGCCAAGCCAGCAGCTGGATTTGTCAGAAATCGAAGGAGATATTTCATTAGGTAACTTTACCTCTTTATTATTGTCTGAGAATCATTTGTTAGACACACCAGCGCTAGAAACGCCAGAAAACATGCACCATCAAATTTCCTCCCACGAAAATGCCCGAAAACGCCAGAATCGCAGTCCAACTTTCGAAACCGACGAATCTCCGATGGAATCTTGGCCAACTCCTCCCGAAGCGCTAGAAATCCCGCCGATCAAACAATCCTACGCCCAAATTTCGAAGATCTCGAGAAACGTTAACAATGGATATTTTCGCGCCACAGGGATGCCAGTTGGTGGCGGAAGGTTCAATTCGATCGAGAGAAAGTCGTTTTTGACGCCGCCGAATCCGCTTTCTGATACTTCCAGGCGATCTGCTTTCAAGGTAAATGAAAGAAATGTTCCCTAGAAAATTATTTTTCAGGTTTTCAAGCAGGAAAAAGACCCAGACTACGCCGAACTTCCCCTCCGAATCGGCGTTTCTTCGGAGAACATCTCCGAAGATGGATCAACATACGACAACTCAGAGTATGGAATTCGCCTGGGAACTTGGAAGCCTCAGAATTAAGCAAGTTACCGAATATTATTTTACTCGCTCTCTGATTCTTCCACTATTACCATTTGCCTCAATTTCAATCTTCCTGTCTTTCAATTCGCAACTAATACAGCATCAATTTTGATTCTACCCGTCGTAATTTATTTATTTAGTTAAGAATTCAAGCGATTTTTTCTTACTGTTTTCAGTTATCAGAATATCTTTCGAGAGCGTCTTCTAGTACTCGTTTATTATCTGAAATTTTTTCTCTGTATGTATAATTTTACTTCTGAAATTCACCTTCACAAAATTGAAAGAGGCTTCTTTTGTCCATAGAAGTTTGAATCCGAAGTTGAAGAAGTAGAATTGCATCTAATTTTTGCTTTGAGGCATTTAGGAAATCGTTCAGAGTTTGTTTGAAAAGTTGATTGCTAGAATTTCGTTAGGTGCTTTTTTTAATGACTTTGGGGGTAACTTTACTTTTGCGATCGGTCGAGTTTTACAATTTTGTTGAGTTTTCGTCGGGCTTCTTCGTCTTTTACCTTCATTTTTCTTCAAAAATTATGCTACATTCTATAAAGGAGGGTACCTTATTGTCAGATTCTGCCTAGTTCGGCAAAATCGATGTAAATCTGAAGTCTTTCTGAGCATTTTCGCTGTTTCTTCCACCCCGGGAGCCAAATGCTTTTGAAAGTCGCTTATTTCTTTAACTACTCGATAGGTATAGTTCAAATCTGCCAAGAGCTGATCGGAAAGATCTTCGAAATAGTAACGATGGAGCACTAGAAATTTTAGAAATGAATACAATGGGGGCGTACTTAGGAGGACTTTTTCTTCAAAAGAGGAAACTTTTGGAGATATTTTCTGAAGCGCTCGATTCGAACCCTAAAGGCTTTTGAAGTCCTGCAGGTCAGCGTTTCTAGGATTTCGTTGTTGTTGACCAGCTTCCAGAGAATTTCAAGATCTGCTTTCGTCGTTGACTCATCGGCGATGAGGACGGCGTCGATAATTTCGCGTTCTGGAGAGCGATTGAAAAGGTCTACCATCTCATTCACCTTTCATTGAATTCTTGATCGAGAAAATAATAGAGGAAACGAACCTTGAGGGGATAGTGGAGCGTTTTCAAAGTGAGGGGGATTTTCTCCGGCTCTGCAGCTTCTTCTTTCTTTAAAATTATCTCAATTTTGTTCGGGTAGAATCCTTGAATATCCGCGGCTGCTTCTCGGCCCATCAAATAACTGATCTCGTCCCAGATCAAGTCGTACAAATCGGGATAGTTGGAAAGAACCTCGCAGAGTTCCTGCCCGTAGAGTTGGATTTTCTCGTGATTTTCTTCGCGATAAGCTTGGGCGACTTGGAAAGCTAGGCGTAGTCCGTCTTCAGTTTGGTAGGGAACGTCGATGACGCTTTGGTACTTGTTTTCGAGCTTTAAGAGGATTTAACCCATTATTTGGCCTTATTTTAATAAGATTTTAATAAGATATGTTAATAATATAAGAAATATATTCATAAATCCTTGAATAAACGCTCGGATCTTCTTTCGATTCTTCGATATCCCTCCTTTCGTGAATTCTTTGCCACAGCTCCCTTTCATTTTCCGGTAAAAACTCGATGATCCTCTGCACTACCTCCCTCCGTTTCGGATGCGTCGCCAATTTAGGATTGACTTTCGTCAGTAGCTCTACGTGGTCTTGATTCTTTCGGTATTTCTCGATCATCGCTAGAATCTCCTTCGCCAGTTTGATCGTTGACCGACTATCGCGACCTTCAGAAAGAAGGTGGAGAATGCCGTTTTGACTCAGGTCCCCGAGATTTTTAGGCAGAGAACTTCTTCTGTAATCCGGTCGAGTTGCAGGGAGATAGCCTTCATTTTAGAAAGAAAAAGATGAAAACGTAGACTTACCAAGGATAAGAGTGCCGCCTTTGGAGTGTTGCCTGAGCATATACGGCACCAAATCGACTGTATTTACTGTCAATCCTCCGCTAAAAATCGCTAGAAACAAATCCACATTCATAAGCTTACATATGAGTCAGTTGATCCCCAGCACGAAGATTTGCTCGGTATGCAGGGCTGTATTTCTCTACAGATTTCAACACTAAAAAGTAAACTTCAGGACATCTTGAATTGAAAAGGACTTACGGATGGCAGGAGTGTTCTTCGCTTCTTCGATCTCTGATTCGAAAAATTCTTCGACTTCAATTCCCATTTCTTCATTTTCCCCGACAAATAGCGTCGAGAACTTGACTCTCGAAACGACGCAAATCGAAGGCGGAAACGTATTCTGCCTTTTGATCACTGTCATTAAATGGCTGGAGCTCGAGCTTCTCGAAATAATCTCATCCCCTACTGATATGATCTCGTCTCCCGGAGAGAGCCCAGCTTCTTGGGCAAAAGATCCGGCTGAAACTGTCCGAACGACATTTCGATCGTCGACAGAAAAACCGACAGAATCAGTTGTCCAGTGACTTCTCTGGGAATCGGAATGCATGCTGTGCAAGCTCATCTTTTCGCTGGTAAAGTATTTTATGATTTGAATATGAAGAAGAATGTTTGGCAGGGCTTTTTCTTGCTCTTCACCTCGTAAAATGAGCGATGCTGTAATTATGTTTTGCAATGATGAGGTTGTAAGCAACGCTAATGAGATGCACATGTCATGAGTTACCGATGACGTCATGAAAATATGTAAACCTGCAAGTTTCTAGTTTTCTTCGAATTTGCCCGAGTCTTTCATTTTGCTAAAGGACAAGTGAGAATTCTTCTTGTCAAAATAATGAGAGGAAAAGCTCGATCTTGACTTTTTCATGACTTTTCTGAAGTACGCTTGACATTTATCAATGCATTTTCGCACTTATAATTCTTGTCAAGTACAACTCGAAAATATTTTTGTCGAAAGTTAAAATGAATCTTATTCTCATGTTTTTTCTAAGAGACGTCTTAGGGAGGCGATCAAAAGGTCAGGATAAACATGAATGAATTTTCTTTGATTTTTGCTTTTCAATTCAGCGGTTTCGAAACAGAAAGGTGACGAAAGCCAGCAATCGACTCCAGCCGGATCTCCTGATATTTTGCTTGAATTAACTACAGATAATTACTCTTTTGCTGAGGAAACTTGGCATCTCACGATTCTGGAGTTTTCAGCTTCGTTCTTTGTTGGTATTGTTTCCATTGCGGTATTAAAGTCAAGCGATATTGAAAATACCGCAAAACTATCATTAGGCTCTTATTATTATGAATGAGATTCGACAAATGCGAGTTCAACATGTCTGTCCTTTCGACTTTTCAAATGCGAGAGACCCAATTGACCGCTGTCAAAGTCTCAGGTATGAGCAGTTAGCCATCGTAGGCCATGCTAACTTAATTAAGGTATATTCTGACTCGATCGCAAAACATCCTCCCAGAGCGTACGAAGACACACAAAGAGATCTTATTGAATCTCTGGGAAAGCGAATTTTTGATGGATAAATATGAAATCTTCTACGTCATGTCAAATCCTGCTGAAGAGTTCGAGTTCGTCAGAAGATCGTTGGCGGAAAGAGATCCCTTGCAAAAACAAGTGGCGATGATTCAAGAAACAAGCAATCTATAAAACTCAGAATCTTCTTAACAGTAACTCTAATAAATAAAGAAAGCACGATTCCTTGAAATGCTTCTTTTTTGTTCAAGATTACTATGATTTCGAAGTTTCTTCTCACGAAATTGACTCAACTCACTTTATGGTGAGAAAATATGAAGGAAAGAAGGGCGAATGTCAAGTTTCAATCACTGAAAAATAGATACTTTCAGAAAACGAGAACTAAGTTAGAAAAGGAAATTGTTTGAAAATGTTCCTGATAAAGCTATTAGTGATTTTTCTTTGCTTTCAATGTGTTTTTGGAAGAAGAGCTAGCAAAGGTAAAGATGTTTGATCATAAGTCGGAGAGCAAACACGATAATACCATGATGGTATTTAGGGACAGCAAGTAAAATAAGAAAAAATATTGAGGAAAATCAGCCATCATCTGATGACATTTCCGAGTTAAGCTTGGAAGACTACTCGTTTGCTGAAGAAACATGGCACCTCACGATTCTAGAGTTTACTGCCTCAGCTGTTGTTGGAATTTGCTCAATTTTTGTGAGCCTTGGAAATTGTCTTTTATGCTGACTATTTTCTAGGCGTTGATTATCAGAAATGAAGTGCGAAGAATTCGAATTCGGCACGTCTGTCCTTTTGATTTTTCAAACATGAGAGACCCTATTGATCGTTGTCAAGATCTAAGGTACAAGAAACGAATGCTGCTGCCTCATGAGTCATGAATTCAGGTATATTCTGACTCGATCCCAGAACATTCTTCCAGAGCGAACAAATTCCCACAAGGAAATTCTTCTCAACCTCTGGGAAAGCGAGTTTTTGATGGATAAATATGAAGTTTTCTATGTCCTCGCGAATCCTGCTGAAGAATTTGAGTTTGTGCGGAGATCTACTAACAAAAGTGCGGTAGTACAAGGCGAGGAGTTTTCTTCTCTTGATCACAAAACTGAAGAAGTCATTTGAATGCATTAAAATACAAATAAATTCGAATTCTACCGCTACCACTATCACCACCACCAAACCTTAGACCCACTTTTAGTCACCTTTGATAAAGAATAAAAGTTCAAGCAAAACATTTATTTCATTCTAGATGTCAAATTTCTATATTTTCTCATTTGGATCATTTTTGTTCGCAGTCGCATCGATAATGTTTCCAATGACAAGCGAGAACCACTGCAAGGTTTCATCGAGCTTGTCGACCAAAATGTCCAAAACGTGGAAAACATCCTTCGCGACTGCTTTTCCATCAACCGTCTTCCAAGTGCATGTTCCGGTTATTTCCTCTCGGGGACCGCAGATGATGTCTAGAAAAGAGTAGTTGCTGTTTTGTCGGAAATCAAGGAAGAGTACCTTCCCAAGCTTCGATGCTCCAGAATGAGTGTCGTTCAAGATCAGCAACCCAGACTCGTAGATAGTGCGTGACGTCAGAAAGTTTATGCCACTGAATTTTTTTTTACTAAAGAAGACCATAAGTATGGTTTTTTCAAGAAAATATCATTATTTTTCTTCCATCTGTTATGGATTAAGTATAATAAAAAAATTGAAATCCTGACCAAAATTAATTTCTTTCTCACCTCAAAATCGGTCTCCCACTTAACAACCCATCCTTGTCCAACTTCAACCCATCCGTTGTATCCAAAAAGCATCTCCCAGTATCGATAAGTCCACTCTCCTGACCAAGCGAGAACCTTCGTAATCGCTTCTTGATACGGAACCAGGTACAAAGCTCGAATCTCATCCGGATCATACATGCAGCAAGGAGCAGGGTAGAGCAACTGTGCCCAGTCTTCAATGCTGAACTCGACGATTGCTGAAAAAGTGAGGTGAAATGTGGATTTTTTTAACGGAGCCTACCCATGAATTCTTCAACGATGACTTCCATATCCCGCGCCCAGTTGATCATACAGCGCGAGTCGACATTTTCACGAGAGAATTTCTCGACCCAACCGTTTCCGTATTGCTCTGAGAGTTGATACCAAACCTGCCCTATGAAGAAAAACCTCTAAGAAAGTTACTTCGTTATAATTTCCAAGCAAAACCATAAGATTACGATTTTCTTTGTCATTCAAAAATTTTCAAAAAGCCATGTTGGCTGACATCTTTCAATTAGTTTTTCGTTTTCTACTCTCTAAAAAGAATTTAGCATTACCTTGCATCCAAACAGCTTGTATCCAGATCCACAACTGAATCGGCTTGTTGATCAAATCCGTGTACGTCACATTATACTCTTTGAGATACTCATTGTCGTTGACGATATTCCAGTCGAAGAGCGGATCGTATCCATTTGGATTATTCGTATTATTCGAAAGTGCTGCAAAAGCCGTCGCGGCAAAAAACGACAAAAATGTTGCGAGTTTCATGACAACCGCAGAATGATAACAATTAAGGGAATCTAACTAAGGGTCGGCATTTCTGAATTGGCTTAGGGAGGGGGCCTGGTTTGTTCAACAATAGACATGGATTTCGCGGGCCACACCTTTGGGTCATCGGCTTCTTTCGCTTTTAAAGTAGTTACCGGCCGGAATTTCGTCATTCCGGAACATGCTCACTATTTATAAGACTCCAAGAAGAATAATGCAATTTCATTTGATTTTATTTACAGATTTATTGGCGTCGTTATTTTTATTGGTTTGTCAAACTTTGAAGGAAATCAAGAGCTTTTCGAAGATTTCCTTCATGGAAGAAGAAAAAGAAACGCTCCAGATAAAAAACATCGAGTTAGGCATAAATTGACTTTGGGAAGATTCACTTTTTACCCGAAATTCACGGGTTCGACGGTTTTTATATTTTAAGCAAAACGAAGATTTGAAATAAAGCATCATAAATTATATATTTGCTGTTTTATAAAATTGATATAAAAATTGAACTAGTCTTACAGTGATGTTTTCATATTTTAACAGATTCATTGCTCAATTCCGAGCCATATAAATAAAGCTCAAGAAACAAATCGCATCTCATTTGGGTCCTTCCGAAGTCGAATGACTCTATCTCATTTGTTAACCGTCTCATTCTTACTGTAAAACTGTAAGGACTCCATAATTTTTATTCTATCAATTTTACCTTCCATACAATCGTTCGTCCATTGATCGAGGTCGTAGATCGAAAAAGCCTTTGCGAAAGAAAAAATAACAAGTAAAAGTCTCATCAAAAAAGTGAACGTTTCTTTCTTGACCGTCTGTATTTATCCGCCCCAAAATTGCACTGTAATAACATCATTTAGAATAAAAATATGGTCGAATATTCAAAATGGTCTGTTGTGAATGCTCAAAAAAAGAATTTTTAATCAACAATTTAGAAACACAATTTTCTTTTATCCTTTTTATTGACCGCTTATTTGACAGAGCATTCTCAATAAGAGCTTTTAGTTTAACAAATATTTAACCTTTGGAAGAAAAAGAAGAGTTGAGACGAGACAACGAAATGCACAGAAAAACATCAGCAGATGAGAATTAGAGCAGAAAAACAAGCGAGAAGATAATCGTCTTTTCGACGGGCTTGTTGTTGACCTTGAAGCGTGTTTTTTCAGTGGATCACGTGTTCGTACATGAGCCCATTTGTTTGCCTTCTGCTGTTGGCCTCGTGACTCTGGAATTTCAACCCATGGGCGGATTTGACGAGCGAGTTGTACTTGTACCCAGTTTGGCGAACTTCATTTCCGTTTTCCGAAGAATTGACCCAGACGCTGATCCTGTCGATCTTTCTCCTCGACTGAACGACTGCCCCGTTGACTGTGATCTCCGATGTGTTCAGCTGCTCGCCAATGATGGCAAGGAGGGTTTCGAGCCATTTTGAATTGAGGGATGTGTTTCTTGAAGCGCGGTCAATTTCGCAAAGCCAGCGGCCTCCTGAGCGGTTGGCGGAGTCTTCCCATTTTGGGCGGATTCCTTGACGAAAGACCATATAGTCACATCCTGAAGAGGGAATTTATAATTAGGCGACAGTTTTACAGAGAGAAAACTTCAAAAGGCTGTATGAAAGTTGTACAATTTGGTGGAAGATTTGTAATTTTTACCTTGAGGTAGATATGCCGGAAGTTTGATATGATGATAGAGCGCCCAAAATTCCTTCACCGTCTCAAAACTCGCAACATAAACCAGCCTGTCTTCATAATTTTCAACATCATTTCTCGTGTAGTAAAAGTCCCAGGCCGAGTTCAACTTCACATCCGGTAGATTACTCATCATTTCACTCTCAAGTTGCTGCTCGCTACCTTCATCAGCGGTACTGTAGTTACTGTACGTTTCGGAGTTACTGTCTGTGTCTTCTGAGTGGCTGTAGTAGCCGTAGTTGCTGTACTTGCTTCGGTGGGCTGGTTTTCTTGGGGTCTTGAAAAAATCCATGCTCTTTTCTTGTTTTAGTATTTTTTTCGTTTAAAAAATTAAAACTGAAACTGTCTTCGTTTGAATGGGAAAGGAAAATGAGTTGGAGACGTTTTTGTTTGGCGATTTATACGAGCGTCTGATTCAGCAGATTGTGCAAACGCGAGTAAAGGTGATTCACGTGATGAACATGCAGAGTAATCATGTGACGTCAACGCGTGAAGATTCTTGAATTTCGATCGAACTCTTTGGAAGTTGAGAGGCCTCGAAGGTTCTTTTTCAGAAGTGACTCATTATGATGAAAAATGGAGCAAGAGGATAAGAGAGCAGCGATAGATCTTCACTTTGAAGACAGAAAAAAAAAATTCTTTTTACCTGGTTTTATCATTTTCAGACGTTGAAAACTTCATAAAAAATATCGTTCTGTTTGTAATAGGACTGTATATAAAATTTAAATATTCATACTTGTTGTAGTTGTGGTCGTTGTAGTCGTTGTGGTAGTCGTAGTCGTAGTCGTAGTCGTAGTCGTAGTCGTAGTCGTTGTTGTCGTTGTTGTCGTAGTTGTTGTTGTCGTTGTCGTTGTTGTTGTTGTTGTCGTCGTTGTAGTAGTCGTAGTGGTCGTAGTCGATGTTGTCGTTGTCGACGTTGTCGTTGTTGTTGTGACAGTCAAATCTGTTGCAACGATATCATCACTGTAAACAGTAAAGCTATCAAACAGACTCCACCATCCATCGCCACTCTTGGCAGCTGGGCAATTTGCGCCCTTCTTCACTCCAAATACTACTCTAGCGTCTCCATCCTAAGAGCTTTAAAAAACGAGTTATTTATTGAATGTACCTTGTTAAACTCCCAGAAACCATGTTTATTTCTCTCTGCAAGCCAGCCATTCTCATTTTGATACACTGGCCAGAGATGGGAATAATCAGCGGTTCTAGTGTACGTTCCATAAGCACCGAATCCAGCGGGTTGATTGTTCCTAGAGATGAGCGAAAATGTCTCACATGTCGGTCCGTGAGGACCTGTCAGATCGGGAATATCAGCTGGATCAGAGACCAAATTAAAGTCGGCTGGATTTTCAACGCTCTGAGTTCCGTCCCACACCCACCAGGAAGATGCGTCTGCTGGGCAGTCAACATCTCCAACACCTTTTAAATGTTTAAATGAACTGCATTATTTTAATAACTCACCTGAGGCAAGATTAAGAGTCTTCGGATCGCTCAGATCATAAGCGACTCGCCACATTCCTTCGTCAAAAGCAAGCCATAATCCTGGTGGATCATGAACGTACAGTTGTTTTCCATTCATAAAACCTCCTTCCCATTTGAAAGGCCCCGTAATGTAGTAAGGCACGGTTATGTCGCCAAAAACATGCACTTCTGGGCAAGCTCCGGATGGGTTCCCGGTCAGGGCATAAATATCATCTCTAGAAAAAGATCTCTGAAATGTTTCTGAACTCATTATACTTACGTGTATTCAGTGTATGCTCCATTCCAGTAGTTCCATTTTCCAGCAGGTTCTGATGCCGTGGGAGCTGGACAGCTTGCTCCTTTGGTGGTACCAAACATTGTTCTTGCATCCCCGTCTTTTTCAAAAAGCCAGAATCCCAGACTGTTCATATGGGCTTCAAAACCATGCTCATTTTGGTAAATTGGCCATCCATTGGTCGAATCAGCCGTTTTCTGGTAGGTTCCGAATCCGATGAAATTAGCGGGGTTATTTGTTATCGAGGCCATTGTAAATGAGTCACATGGAGTCGCAACAGGAGGAGTAATTGGTGGAATGTCAGCCTCATTGTCTGTCACGAAGAAATCAGCTTCACCATGGACATTTGCCCAAGATCCGGCATCAGCGGGGCAATCAGAGTTCGTCGATCCGGATGCAAGCATCATGTCGCCATCAGTTGGACTGTAAGAAACTCGCCAAGAACCATCTTTCCAGATCAGCCAAAGACCAGGAATGAAATAGTCGTATCGTTTCTTTCCGTTGACCATGGTTCCAGTGAACTCGTATTCTCCGGTCATGTGGTAGGGAACTGAGCCAGATCCGTAGGTCCAGACGATATCGCAGTTTGTTGGCGCGTTTGTTGTCGTAGTCGTTGACTTTGTCGTGGTGGTTGTTGAAGAGACAGTCGTTGTTGTTCCTGTTCCTGTCGTTGTTGTTGTTGTCGCAGGTGTTGTTGAAACAGAATCAGTAGTAACAATCACACCTGCATTGTCATCAACGACGGTGCTCGTAATACTGTCCCACCATCTCCAGCCTCCTGTCGTGTAAGCAGGGCACCAGTGATCGAGGACTACTCCCCAGGCAATTGCACTACCGCCTTGGTAGTTTATCACCCATCCGCCAGATGTTGTCCGCTCAAGATGCCAGCCACCATATTTGAATTGAGGAGAACCATTGACGAGATCAGCTTGTTTGTGATAGACTCCGTTGAAGAAATAGTTGTTCCTGCCCGAGGCTGTTCCGCTTACAGTGACGGAAGTACAGTAATCTGGAGGAGGCGTTGGAGGGATTGTTGGTGGCTGAGTTGGAGAAACGCAAATGTCGAGGGGTGCTTGATTATTGCTAAATTTACACTGAGTCAGTTGTCCTTCAGCCCAGTTTTCCCTGTTTGTTTACAAAGCCAATCATTTCAAATTCAAAGTTGAACCCTTCTTCTCAATCGAGAATGAAAACTTTTCGCTTTTTAACCATTTTCGCCATTTCGGCATCTGGTTTGCCCACAATCACTGAGGAAGATGCAAATAGCTTCCTTACGAAAAAGAGATTCCGGCGTGAATTTGATGAAGGAAGAATGGTAAAAATAGGACTTTATGTGAGTTAAAATGCGCTTCTAGAGTTGCGGGGTCCAGATTTCCGGCAGAATGATGGAAAACGTCCGAGAGGAAATCGAAGAAGTCTGTGAAGAGCCTGAAGAGGAAGCCGAAGGTATTTTCAATATCAAAGGCACTCTTGGCCGCGTTTTCGATGGAAAATAGAAGCACATTCTGACTTTCATGTTCTAAGACAACTGTCTCGAAATATGATTGACTTGTTTTGAATTATATGAAATTATCTAAATCAGTGAATTGTAAAATGTCTGGAATCATTATTTCCAGGCACTGCTATATTTATGCCTGTGTGCATCAAAGAAGATTCACAGCTTTAGCCCGGTTCCACAAATTGCCACTTACCTGTCGTAAAAGAGGTGAGCATCAAAGTCGAAACGGTCGTCGCTTCGGACAATTACGGTCGCTTCATTTTCGGATTCGATTTCAATGTGCCTTTCAAAACCGTCATATTGAGGAAAGGTATAAGTGCCCCAGTTAGGACTTCCCGTAGTCACAAAGGCTCGCCAAGTCTTGAGCATGAATTCGCCCACGGAACCTGGCGCGGAAGTTGGGCCCCAACCGAAGAGGTACTTGAGTTCAGCTGCGTGCGGGGCTCCCTTGCTCCATTGCACATCGCCATGATTTTCAGCCGTGTCAAAGTGCATGATCCAAGTATCAGCTCCAGCAAGAGCGTATTCAAGAGCAACCCTTATTCCCGGACCACGGAACATCAAATCGCCGTAAAGATCCAAAGCAATTCGAATACCAGTATTGTCGTCAATATTTTCGAATTTCGCTGCAGTTTCATCGGGAAAATCGCAAGCAAGTTTGCCATAAGATCTCCAGGTTATTTCACGGATCTCTTCAGAAGTAAGATCCTTATGACTCATAAGCAAGCTTCCTTGTCCCTCATCAGACCAAACACTCATGAAATTGTCCCTGTTGTATTTTGTTGGATATGATCCGACGCTGAGGGATCCTTCGAAGGAGGTGAAGAAAATGATCGTTGGCATGACTTTGAAGCTTTTGTCGGCGATAATTTCGTCAAGAGTTTTTCCACCGTAGAAATCTCTGTCGTCACTTGTTGGTCCAGCAGACGTTGCAGCAGAAAGAGTGTGATAAACTGTCCAGAAATCAGCAGAATTATCGCCCGTGGACGGCAGGGTTCTCAAATATGCGAGAATATCTTGGCCGGTCGTGAAGGCTGGGCAACTTATTTGGCCGCAGATGTAAACAAGTACACCGTCAATGCCGGCATTAGCGTAAGCTTCGGGGGTGGAGAGTGCAGCAGCCCCAGATTGCTGGAGAGTCTGGGAGATGTACATTGAGCTACCAGGTGAAAGAGCATGGATGCTCGTTGAAATTCCACCAGCGGATTCGCCAGAGACTGTGATTCGGTTGGGATCTCCTCCGATAGTTGTTGCGTAGTCGTAGATAAATTTGAGAGCCATTCGTTGATCCCAGAGACCGATGTTCAACGGGATTTCGGAACCCTTGTGTCTTGGGTAGTTCAGCCATCCCAAAGGCCCCAATCGATACTGGATAGACACCACGATCATTTCTTCGCTGTCTCCAAGAGGAGCTCCAGTGTACCAAGCTCCTGCTCCATTTCTGAAATGACCTCCGTGAATCCAAAAGTAGATTGGAAGGCCAGTTTTTGACGGATCATCTGGTTTCACGATGTCAAGGTAGAGACAATCTTCCTTGCCAGTGCCGTCTTGCTGGATACATGCTTCGCGATTTCCGTTAATTCTAGCGTCCATGGCTTCAAGAAGAGTCATTCCGTGAGAAACTGGCTTGCGCCATCGAAGATCTCCTACGGGAGGCTAAAATCGGTCTTACGAAAAATCCACCAAAAGTTTTGTTCTTACCAGAGCATATGGAATGCCCTCATATCTCGTCGCAGAAAATGCCGTGCCCAGCAATAAGCCAAGCAGCAGCATTTCAATTCTCTGAGTATCTTTTTTTCTTCCGAAATAAAGGCCAAACCCTGGCTTTCGAAATAAATGCTAACTCTGGCTCTCACACTTGTTTTATAAGACAAATCGGTGATTATTATCTTTTTACGGCCTGATTACGCTAGACCCTTCTTCGTGAATTTTTCAATGGAAACTGACGCAATAGCACCACTTGATTCCGATTTTGATCGAGTTTATGACGGCTATCTGGGTGAAAGATGCCAGAATTTATGACCTTGGTTTTGAAAGTTCAAAATTTGAACAGCAAAATATAATTAATGCAGCTTCTGTTTATTGGAAGAACGACAAAATACAATTTTTTTCTTTATTTATTATTAGTTTCAAGATATTTTGTAAATGAGTCTTTATTGAGAAGTGATACTGTATCACTGATAAACCGGTAATAAACGAACTTCTTTAAACGAAAATTTACTTCTTTTACTAAGGGCTTCATTTTATTTCTTTTTTTATTCAGCTTCCAGAATAATACTTCCAAATTCCATTGTTGATTGAAGCAAGAGAGCGGACTTCTTAGATCAAACGTTTTCTTCGAGTAAATAAAGGGATGATTTGTTATCAAATAAGCCATAACGAGTGTGCCCACTCAGCACGTGTCGATCTCTAGACGTTTAGTCATTGCTACGTCTTTTATTTTTGAAAAATAAAATTGTCATTTTGGCCTTCCCGAAATTTGGTAGACTGTCATGGTTTTGTTTATGGTTGAATGCGTAGATTGAGAAGCTACGGGAGATAGAAAGGGTTGAAAAGCCCCGAGCGGGGGATTTTTCTTAGATTTCTCTAGATGTGGAAGGGCCGCGGGCGGTGGTGGTGGTGCCGTGTAGGTAGCTGAAAAGTATAAAACGAGCGCGTTGCTCGGCTAAACTCGAGAGAGAGAGAAGTCACAACCTCGTTGGAGTGGTTCTAGATATCCAAGACATATCTACCCCATTCCATTCTCCACGTAAGTTTATATGTCAAAGTTAATAAGATAAAAAGGCAAATAAGGAAAAGAAGTGATAACTGTTTATCATATACCGTCATATAAAATGAGTCATATACAGTATATGACGGTATTTAACGTACATTATAAGATCTGAAATTTTTATTGAAATCAATTGATTCTTCAGCATGAAATTATCTGGTGGATTAACTGTCCTCGTTGGGTCGTCTGATGCCTTCGGGCTCAAAGATTACCTCAACTACAAGTACCAAAACCAAGTCGCTGATGGCGTCAATGCCGCAAATGGCCTTAACATGAACACAAACGATATTTCTGAGCTCTTGATCAATGTGAACCAATATTCACCAAACATGGGCTACAGCAATATTTTCCAGATGTTCGCTGGTCAATCTGGCAACAAAGAGAATGTTTTGCAAAACATGAAGGTAAAAAAATAATGATCAAAGTCGATTTCTTAAACAGAGCCCTAGGACAACTTTATGAACTCCGCTTACCAATCGATGCAAAACTCTCAACTTTCGCCTCTGTTCTTGCAGTACGCCAAGGGTGGAAACAGCGGAAACGACCAGACCATTGACAAGCAAAGCATCATCTACAACATGATGCCCGATCCAATGGCAACGATTCTTCGCCTCAAGAAGGTCCAGCCCACCAAGGCTGACGAGCTTCTCAAGCGAATGGTTGCCCGACAAGTCGTCACTGATGATCCTTACTTGCCCGACCTTCTTTTGGACGGAAAGTCAGATGAACTCAAGGAGTACTTGTTCGCCAAGCAGCTTAAGACAGCTGATCCCTTCATGCAGACGATCCTTTACAAGAAATTCGGTAACACTGCTGATCACGCCCCTTTTGCTGCTGGTGACCAAAAAGAACTCATCCAGACCAAGCTGATTTCGGATCGATTCGGAGACAAAATCAACCAAATCGCTCCCAACGATGCTTACCTGATGTTCAAGTTCCTCGAAACCACAACGAAGAACAATAACAACAATGTTCCCGGAAAAAAATATGTCCCATCAGAAGTGATTCTTGAGGTCGCTTTGGGAAATGACGTCGCCGGAATCAAGGCCACTGAATTCCAGGAGAAATTCGGTGTTGCTGCTAATGACTTTGTCTGCGCTGCGCACGAGGATAGCATCCGAGTGCCTTGCATGGTCAACCAGGAAGTCGTTCTTCCCGGCGAATGTCAAGCGATGGGCTGCTGCTACAATGAGTTGTCCGCTACTACTGGTACAACTGTTGGAGCAGCTGCAAGAGTTCCAAAATGCTACCACAACTTGATCGGCAAGATCGGTTCCGGCATCGCCCAGCATTTGATCAAGGATGATACCGTCAAGACCCTCTTTGGCGGCGAGCTCCCACAGCTCCAAGATCTCCAGGCTGCTTCCAATTGGGCCGAGTCCCAAATGCCCGATGTTCTCCGACGGCTCAACAAGGAAGAAGGTTCTTACTTCGGAAATCCTCAAGGCCAGGAATCCTGGTGGGGCAACAACTACGGCAATGGTAATTTTAACATCTTTGCTACTCCTGCTCCATCAACTCGAAAATTCGAATGGAAGGCGCATGGACCAACTGCCATGCCAAATGCTGGAGATTTGGAAATCCCCGAGATCGGTGGTTTTGTCACCGGTCAAGGAAATGACGTTGAACAGCTTGATTTCATCATCAATCGACACATGGATAGTGTCAGAGGCCAACTTAACAGTGAATCATACACTTGCCAGCTCATCCAACCCGAGCACATGGTCAACTGCTATGATAACAACTATGAAGCTTTGAAAGTAGGTGATCCTCAAGGCAGCTGCCAGCAAAAAGGATGCTGCTACCGAGAACTTAACCTCTTCGAGAACAACCCAGTCTGCTACCGATCACTTCGATCCGGCCACTGTGATGTTCCAGTAGCCCAACGTAATGGTAACACAATTCCTGGTACTGCTGCCAGAGCAGCTGATGATTACTGGACTGCGAATCCTTACCGACAACAATGTGGTGCACAAGGCATCTCCCGAGGAGAATGTCTTCTCAACCCACTTTGTTGCTTCGACACTAATCCACGACAGGAGGGCGAGCCATTCTGCTACCGACGTGGTGGTGCTGAGCAACTCTTCGACCAGCAAACTGGCAACATGGCTAACCAGTGTGAACTCACTGACATTACTCAGCGCGAAGAATGCTTCGACGGCACTTCCAAGTTCGGCAAGCTTCTTAACCGAATGGCTACTGAAGACCAGTGCATCCAAGCCGGATGCTGTTTCTCCCAAGCCGCCGCCGACGCTGCCAGCTCGATGGGTGTCCTTGGAACGATGAACCTCGCTGGACCTCATTGCTTCAAACGACCCGGCCTTCAGGACAACGATCTCTCTGTTGCCGACAACTACAACATGCTCGAGAAGGTCGCAACAAGCGATTTGCTCAAGGTCTGCGCTAACGATCCCAAGTGGCCAAGACTTGCTCAGCGAAAATGGCAACAAGATCCAGCTACTGGACGGTAATCAACTTTTCCTTTTTTCAATTAATTAATTTATTGATTAGATATTCTCTTTCGGAAACTGGAACCGGAAGTCGCCCACTTTCACGACAAGCCTGTACCGACAACTCGGGCGCGCTCATCATGGACCGACACAAGTGCATCTACGAACAAGGCTGCTGCTTTGAGAAGTCTTCAGATCCACTCAACCCATGGTGCTACAAGTCCCGACTTGTCAAGAAAACCCCCCTAAACAAACTAACGTACAAAACCATACCCAAATACCCATTTTAACCCGTTAACACCAATTCAAGCTCTCCGTGCCTGTGCGTGTCTCAATAGTAGAAATTCATGATAAAGTATCATTCCATGTGCCCTTAACCCCAAAAAACGGACATAAAATTTTTGCGACAAAAACCACTGTATAGTACACTTTCCACACCTACTTATTTGAACAAATAAGATCTTACAGGTATTTGAACAACTCTGTTCTCGATATTAAGGGTGCTCTCTTCGTTAACTTGGACTTCCGATCAGGCTTTTCCATCTAGTAGAATGCCGCCTACACCTGATCAAAAAGTCCTTGGAGACTTACGAAGTGCTCATTCTATCACAAAACTACCAAAAGATGACATGATGAAAATTTCCCTAGCCTAATTTGCTACTTTGTCCACCAGCCCTTTTCTCGGTAACTGTGCCCACTTTGTGCTTAGAAACGCTCGCTGCTTTTCAACTTGCTACCTTGTGCTTTTGAAAGCATTTCAATCATGTCTTTGGTGTCAAATGCTCCCTAGCCTGACCTGTAGATCTACTTTGATAGTAGATTGATCAGGTTCTGTGTTAAACAAAAATCAAGTTTACCCACTACTTATCGAGCGCTGTGACAGCTTCTCTCTCTCTCGAATTCTCTCTCGCCTCGTTAAGTCTTTTCAGCCTTGTGGCTCTTCAGAATCCTTCGCAAAAAGATCAGCGCGATTCTAGAGCCGCAATGTCTTTTCAAACCATCTAACTCATGCTTTATAAAAATCTCACTTGTCAAACTTCTTCTTCAACGATTATTTAGCTGAAGCTGAATAGTGACCTCAAACTGTAAAAGATCGGTTTGACAAATAAATAATTAACATCATAAAAAAAGCGTTTGAATGAGCAATAAAACAGCAGTAAAACAGTACTTAAATCAGGGATCGCAGGCCGCCTTATCGCGTTTGAGAAGTGTGAGGCTAGAATAATGTCACGTCCAAGATTACTGTTCGTCAAAAAAGTAGAGAAGCCGCTAAGACTTGCCAAGCTAGCGTGATTTTGTAATTGGCCAATTCAAGCTAAGGCTCAGAAGAGAAAAGCTCCCTCCCTTCTCAACCAAAATTTAAAGCAAATAAGAGATTTGATATAAAATATGTCTCGACGATCAGGGTACGTAAGCAATTTATCTTCTTTTCTCACTTCTTTTGGACACAGAGGATTTTGCATGACACCGAGTTTTTTCTTCAGCAATAACCACTTGGATTAGGTACCAATCGTATAACATGCCCAGCGTTGAATCGCATAAACTTGGACGGTAAGTTTATTCGGGTGCTACTACTTACTAACTTTAAAATGCTCCAGCGGTACTGATGAATCATCAGTTCTGCTGATCCACTACAGTATGCACTTATTGCAAAACTGCTCTAGAATCGAGAAAGCTCAATATTCTCAGTAGTCTTTGATCGAGTAGTCTTTTCTTTTCTCTAAGAAATATTGAGTTTTCATCCCTTTTTAATAGAAGAAGACGATATGTCCCAATCAACGATCGAGTGATGGACTTATGCGAGGATTTCCTCCCAGAAGACAGGTTACAATTTCATCAAAGCAGTATCAAAACATTTTATATAGAGTTTACTACAATGGATCAAACTCTAACTTGCCCGAAGATGCGCACAAATTGTACGACACTTTCAACGGAGATGATCGCGATTTTTTCAACTCTGGACGAGCCAAATTTTTCCAGGCTGCTCAGAATCCTCAATCTGTTTTTGCTGTAAGCGTTTTTTCGAGAAAAAGAAAGATGATTGAAAATTTAAAGGATCTTGACGGCAACAGCGGCGAAATCAGAGAGTGCATCAAAGTGATGCCCGACGGTCGACGAGTCAAGGAGAGAACAGTCACTTCCTACGAAGATTTGGACGAGCCCATCATCGAAGCTCAGCAGTCCGCTCAACAGGTGTCAATGAGTGCGATCATGAGAATCATAAATTTCCTTAGGTCAATGCTGAGCCACCAAAACCAATGACTCCCATGGAAATCATGTTTGCGACTCAGGCTGCTATGAAAGAAACTCTCCAAAATGCCTTGAATACTAACTCAAAATGTCACTGTAAGTCAAACCTGAGTCTTGTCCTCAAATCAATCCCCAATCACCTAGTGACTGGCTCAAGCATCGACCGACTTTCTCACTTGGCTGGAGTCGGCCCTGTCCGAAACGAACAGAACTTCGAAGACCGATTCGAACCAGAAGAACAAGCTCGAGATTATTCTAGCGCACCATCTCGAGATGTTAAGATCAACGTTCTTCGAGGTTAAATGACTCTTTCTAGTGAATAAAACAACGGGTGAAATATGACTAGATGAATTTATTGAATGAATTATTGGATAAAGGTCAATAAAGTGCACTTTTGGGCCCAAAAATGGGAGAGAATAGATTAGTAAGAAGAAGAATCAGGCAAAGAAAGTTCTTGGTGATCTGCTTGGTTTTCTTTTGCAAGAGCAGCTAGCAGCATTACATCTTCCTGGCTTCGTGTAGTCAAAGTTTCCAGAGAAAAGAGAGCAGGTGTGCCCATGTCGTCCTCTCGATTTCGTCACTGCGATAAAACATGAAGGGATTTGATCACAAATGGCAGAGCAATGCTTTTTGTTTCTGACCATGACTGAGCCGGTGTTTCTTGTGCCTTCGAATTCCCTTATAGTTTCGGTGATTTCCTTGCTGAGAGCTGTATGGTGCAGATTACATCGCTTGAAACCGCGGTTGTAGATAGCATTGCAGATATGACCAGAAGCAGTAGACGGCCCGTATGTTATCGCGTGAACAAAAGTGCAAAGAGAGAAGCACTCGTCATATTCCATCTCGAGAAGGTATCGCCCGGTCAGTTGAATCGCCCGACCATCGTAAACCGTTCCGCATTCAACATCGGTTTCAGCATTGACAAAAACAAGAATGATGCAAATCTTGATAGCTTGCATCTTCCTCCTTGATTTAAGGAGATTCTTTCTATTTCAAACAATTAGCTAGAAGCCAAACTATTGAAATAGTTGATTTTGATTGAGAGGGTATCTCCGAACGCTCCTTTTATTCGCCAGAAAATGTTCTGCACTGACATCTAGTCGCGAATAAGAAGAAAAGTACTGGTAGCCATGAAGGCTCAGAGTCTTTGAAGTGCGTGTGGGCATTCTGGTGTCCAGTAAATTAGTGGGAAGATGAGCGACACCACTCACGATGAAGAAAAAGAAAAAACCGGAAAAGCGAAGAAGCTAATTATAAGGATAATTGGTCCCAGGAAAAATCAAGTTTTCTTTAAGTTTTTTTTTATCTTCGGTCAATTATTAGGTTATAAAGAGTCTGGTAGGGCAATTAGCTTTTTTGCTACGAATAAGATTTCAAAAAATCGGAAAGGCGGAAATCAATCATCCGTATCTTGAACTAAAAAGCCACGATATACTGTAATTATTCGTTATTTTCTTCGTAAAGATCGCAGTCAAATATCTATATGATATAGCATTCAGCCGAATCTTCTCCTCATAAAATCGTTTTCTGCATTTAGTATTTACCGATTTATTGAAAAGTGCTCTCCAGAAATATACACTGATACCGTTTCATCTCGATTATCTGCTGAGAACAGTCATTCAAACAGTAAATAAACGCTCGTATAAAAGCTCAGCTTTTCCTAAATAAGAGATCAGAAAGTGAGTTTTGTTTTTTTACTGCAGGTAAGTTTTTGAAGATTCCGAACTTCTTTGAATAAATAATTAAATTTCTCAGTAGTAGACTCGAAAGACCTCTGACCTGATGTCTCGATCATTTCCGATATCTGCATTTTCGATTGTCGCTGATTGATTGTTTAAATATTAACTGGCGCTAATTAGGAGTGCAACGGCGCCTAATTAATTGTGAAGCGAGTTCTGTGTTCCATTCGGCATTTACCAAACGAGCCGCGGCGAAATGACAAACACATGGAAATACAAAAGAGAGATGCATATAAAAGATAAAATGGACAATAAATATTCAAGATCGGGAAGAGCAACAAGCAGCCAAACGCGTTTTTCGAGAAGAAAAGGAATAGGGTACGAGAGAGAAAAGCCTGTCCAAAGTTTGCAAAAGACGACTACGGGAGTAGTACCCCAAAAAAGCCCTCAAAATGATCGCATCAAGTTGGTGCTTGACGATACCGCTGATCGGCCAGTGCTTGGGACCGAACTCAACTCTTTCTACTCGCCGATTTGCGATTTTTTCCGAGCTGGATTTTTCTTCCGGATTCTCCGACGCAAGTCTTGGAGAAAAGTACAAATTCAGACCTACCGAGCTCTTGGCAAGATCAATGGTCGATGAGGTAGGGCAACATATCTCGTTACTCCCTTCTTTATACAGTTAGATTGTCCCAATTGACTTGCAAGCCGTTTCCGGCATCAATCAATTACAGTCAAAAATGTGCGAAGTGGCGACGAATGGTACCCTGGCGTTCGTTTTTATTGCAAAACAAGAGACGATCAGATACGCGCAGGTTATTTCGGAAAGTCTCGGAATTCCAATCTTTGCTGTCCCACTCGATAATAGAGGGGAGACAAAAATTTCGACAACGAATCAAATCGGGGTAGGAAGAATGAAGCCAAAAATGACGGTTGATATCGGACAAGAAATCATCGGAGGACAATACATCGTAAGATTTTGTGATTTTCATTTCATTTAGAATTTTTAGCAACCGATGGAGCAAATAGCTGCATTGGTGATGTACCAACGCTTTCCGAAAATCATCGTTATTTACGACTCGAATTACTCCCTTCAAGACTTCGATCTCTTCCATCGATATCTCGGCGACCAAGTCAAGAGTTCTCAATTTTCAGATATTTTCAGACAATTCGTTTATTAAATCTTCATAAAAAGACAATGACCTTCGACATGAGTCACATTACACTTTGCTGCGAACTCAATTAAGCCCAATCCGCAACATTTATCCAATTTGGCACTGTTGCAAAAAACAAAGTCGCTTTCCAGCACATCAACTCTGTCTTTCTCGAACTGAGTATGAACAAGGAACAGTTCAATTCTGAACTGATCGCAGTTGTATTTGGTGGTGGCGCTTCGATGGAAGGATTTATTCATTCAGTGGGAAAGAAAATTGATCAGATTCATCGGTCAAGGCTGAGAGTTCTTCTTTGCCTGGAGAAAATAAGGTAGAAGGCATAAGAAAACAGCTGATGAAAATTTTTTGAGTGGAAATGAGGAGAAACGGGACTACAAAAACCTACTGAATGGTCATATGGTTTCGGTTATTTCGCCACCAGAAATGCTGAGTTCAAACGACGCCGGACTAGACTTTCGAAAACGTCAAATGGGAAACGTTACCGAAATATTTTCACGAATTTCTAGCTTGATTGGAAATGCACTCAGGCAGAGGATCGAAAAAATAAACTAGTGATCAGGCCATATAAATAATTTTTGCTGACAAAGAAACTTACAGACGGGTATAATTATCCTCTTCCAGGCTTCTCCGAGATGAAAAAGGTAATTTTTATCATTATTTCTTTGGTGAATCTGCTTCAATTTGATTGATTCATTGGAGGACGCGAGCATAAAGAAGTTCAAAGTCTTTGAATTAAAGATATTATCAGGTTTGATCGATGAAAATGAGGTGCTTCCTATTTCCGTAACCTGCACGCCAAGAAATCAAACAATTTGGGCCCAGGGAACTCTTATTCGCGACGCTGTAAAAGTAAGTTTTGCAGATTTTGCTGAGCTTCATTTTCGTTTTCACTAGGAACTGATTTCCAGGTTTCCAACAAAGAATGCGTCGAACTGCGAGAAATGGACGAATATAGTCGCGAATCAACTTCAACTCTGTTCGCGAAAAATGTCAACACAGGTATTCACCCCACTCGAACTACCTTATAAATTAATTAAGGATATCGCCTGCGTCTCGATATCCGACGAGATATACAATTCCTGCACGGGAAAAAACGCTCCCGATTTCGGAAAAATGCGCTTGTCGGGCTTTACCGGGCAAAATATCACCTACAAAGTCGTCACTGTCGTTGATGAGCCATTTGTGATTAAAACCGTTCGGTCGGATGGAAGCATCGAGTGGAGTGGTTTCTCAATCGATTTGCTCAAGATTCTTGCGAAGAAAATCAACTTCCAGTACGAGATATTTGAAGGAACTGCTTATGGATCTCAGCAAATGAGCGAAAATGGCACCATGGTGTGGTCCGGTATGATTGGCGATATCGTTTCTGGAAGGGCGGATTTTGCCGTTTCTGCGATGACAGTTACTCCGCAGAGAGAAAAAGTAGTCGACTTTACGAAACGATACATGGACTACGCGGTCGGAATCGTCATGAAAAAGAAACCAGCTGTTTCTAATCTGTTCAGCTTTCTCAATCCCTTTCACAAGACTGTTTGGTACTCGATCATTGCCGGTCTGATCGTTGTGTCCTTGCTCCTCTATGTTCTCAATAGAATTTCACCGAAGAGGATCAGAGGGCCTCATTATCATGATTCTTCTCTGCATGGGATTTTTTGGTTTGTGTATTCTTCCCTTGTTCAGGAAAGAGTTACAGTACTTGAGTTACCAATCAGTGTTAATCATCAAAAGTTCGAATGAGAAGAGCCTGTCTAAAACTCTTTCAAAAGCAATCAACCGACATGTACTTAGTAACAATGTCATCGCAAATCGTCATCGGCGTCTGGTGGTTTTTCATTTTGATAATCGTCAGCTCCTACACTGCGAATTTGGCGGCATTCCTAACTGTCACTCAGATGGAGAAGCCGATTGCCTCCTTCCAAGATCTCGCCGATCAGACAGAGATGGGCTTTGGCACTGTTGGCGACACGAGCATTTATGATTACTTGAAGTTCAAAGCGAGTTTGGACGTTGAGCTGAACAGCTTTTGGACGAAATTGTGGAAGGGAGTGAATGACAGTCAAATTGCTGATGCTAATGATGGATTTCGCCGCGTTTCGGACTCTGGGCGTAAATTCGCGTTTTTGTGGGATGTTCCGATCATCGAGTACAAAATCCTCAACGATCCTGATTGTAGCCTAACGACTGTACAAAGCTCTATCTTCGAAAAAGGCTACGGAATCGCCGTCCGCCGTGGCCATCCGATCAGGGACTTCATGAGCATGGAAATTCTAGAGCTACAAGACAAAGGAGATCTCGTCAAGCTTAAGAATCAATGGTAAGTATACGTGGTGCCCTTTTTAAAAGACTTACAAAAAGGTGGAGGTCTAATGGAAGCAACGAGAGACATGAGCATGAGCTCTGGTAACAGAAACATTGAAAAACTCGTCAACCGGGAGCGCATCTGAATAGCTAACTGCATCCTAGAAGAAGTGACTAATTTATTAATTTTTTGATTGGGACAGATGAGATCACTTCCCGGTTTTGGAATTTCACTCGTGTCTCAAGTCATTTCGGTAATGGTTGTTTTAGGTGGCACAAGACTGGTTCCTGCTCGCTAGAACCCGATGGCCCGAAAAAGCGAAAAGGAGAATTTACGCTGGAGAACTTTGCCGGTGCTTTCTGCGTCTTGGGTAATTAAAAACAGCCATGTCTGTTGATTTAACCTTATCTAAGCGGTGGGTTTGATCCTTGCTTGCGCGGTTGCTGCCTGCGAGATCTGGAACTTCATCCGTTCTGGGAAGAAATACCCGCCGCCTACTTCTCGTGAAGTCTCGAAGACGAATTCAATTGCTGATGCTGATCGGTATCGAGCGGATGAATTCATAAGGGTTCGTATAATTTGGGACTTTTTGACGCAAATCCCTTTCAGAACCTGGAAGTAAAAAGGTACGGCAACAACGACGTCCACATCGTACTCAAGAACCCCGGTAACATGTCAAAATCGCCGAATAAAGAAGACGAATACACGAGCTTCTCAAGAAATTCAAGTTTAAGAAGAGCTTATCGCCCTCATAACTCGGAGTAAATACGCGATGCTCCATTTTTCTACCTGTATCAGTCACTATCTATCTCTATAAATTAAGCAATATATAATATATAATTTAATGCGACGACACAATCTGTTTGGTAAAGATAAATCCCCCATTCAGGCTCCTCTTCAAAAAGATGGAAGCTGGATCTTCTTTCGTTTTGATTTCGTATTTATTGGTACATGTAACATGTGAACTATCAAATGTCCAAAGAGGGATGATCCAGAGTTCATTCTCCTTGAAAATCGACGGGTTTGCTCCCTCTCCGGATTTCGACGCCTGAAACAGGTTTAATCGAATCCATCATTAGGTCGAAAACTTCAAGAAAAACCAGCTCTGGATCATGAATCGCGCGCTGAACAAAACCGCGATCCAGATTTTTCACTTTTCTACCGAGATTTCAAGACGTAAAGCACTTCAAATAGTCTTGATAACGCGACTGAAAAAGGGAAAATCTGCCCTATGAAAGAGAAGGAAGAAATTCGTAGAAGAAATCAGTAGGTCAATGATAAATAATTAAGAAGCTCAACCAAGCAGTCATTTGAAATTACTCAAAAGGAGATTGAAGAAGTTTTTCAATTTGTGGCGCGAGTTTGGCAGATGAAGTCGTCGTTGCAGCTCGCTCAACGACTTGACCCTGGCGGTCGACAACGAACTTTGTGAAGTTCCACTTGATGTCGTTACCCAGCGTGCCCTTGCCTTTCTGAAAACGCCGATTTCAGATCCAATCATACTCAAGATCAGCTAAACTTACGGGAGTAGTCTTCATCCACGACCACAAGGGATGAGCGTTCTTTCCATTGACTTCTATCTTCTGGAAGAGCTCGCCCTGGAAGTTGTATTTCTTGACAAACTCGGCAATGGCCGCATCGCTGGCGGGTTCTTGCTTTCCAAATTGATTGCAAGGGAAGGCAAGGATGCGGAGACCTTTTTCTTGGTTGGCGTACTAATATTCGATAGTTATTTGATGAAAGCGAAGGATGGGTACGTACAGACTCATGAAGGGATTGAAGTGCTTTGTATTCAGAGTCGGTCACGCCTCATTTAGACGCTACGTTGACCACCACAAGGGGATGACCAGTGTATTTGGAGAGGCTGAAAAGAGAGATGAAAATGTGACTTTCTTAATCCCTAACCTGACTTCCTCTCCAGAGTTAAGCGTCGCCTTGAAGTAGTACAACGACGACATACTAAAAAAAAAAGATACAGTTAACTCCCGGCACTCAAGTTGCTTGAGCACCTTCTTCCAGTAAGAATAACTGAATGTAAGTTCTGACTTCTCCGAGTTAGAACCCGAGTAATCATCGGATTCTGAAAAAGAACGTGATTTTACGCAGCTTTTTTATATACAAATACATAAGATACGCTCGTCAGAAGAGAGAGTGAGAAAGTGACAGGATAAGGAAACAGGCAGTTTCAGTAAAACACCAGTACTTTTGTTAAAACTGAGGTTCGCTTTTAATTCTGATCAGCGGCGGCGGTCCTTCTGATTCTTGTGATGCTCTGTCTGTATCTGCCATTATTTGATCGTGATCGTTTTCCTCTTCGTCAAACGCTGACTCGCTCTTGCTCATCCTGCCAAGTAGATGCTCAAAATCAGGTGTGATTGTATATTTCTTTGAGACCTCTCCAACGACTTGATAGCTGCTCGCCGTCATTCTCGACAATTCCGTAAAGCAACGCGGATCGGATCCAGGGACAACCTTCATTTTCATATCTCCCACATTCAGACTGACCTTGCCAAAATCATCAAAGATCTCCTGTACACTCAGATCGCCAAGATGCAGCTCTTCATTTGGGTCGTAATCATCAGCGTCTCCTGCTGATTTAGGAACAATCGGAAGATCACTTAAATGTTTCAGAACCCTATTCGATGAGTTAAAAAGGTACCTCATTTGAAAAAGAAAGATTTGATCGCCTGAATCCCCATTTTTGAGCGCCCGTAAAAAGTCATCATCGACGGCTTCCGATTCATTCGACTCTTCTCTGCGTATTTTACTTATATCTTTCAATGGATATCCAACTTGAACTGGCCTAAAACCTTTAATTCTAAACCTGATGAATAGAGGGCTTACATAAAATCCTTCTCGGAGAACAGCTTCCGATCATATTGTATCATTTTATCTTCCAGCATCAGCTTTTTCAGCGCCTTTTCGGCCTGTTCTTGTTCCTCCTTGATCTCCTCTTTCGTCCAAACTTTATATTCTTTATTAACAATTGGTGCTCGCGCTTGAAAGTCTTCTCCAATGAATCTTCTTACGCCACCACCTCCTCCACCGCTGCCGCCACCTCCTCCTCCAAACCCACTTCCTGTTTTTCCACCATAACCTCTTCTTTCTACTCCATCAGAGGTAAAAACAGACTTTGTCTGTATAATTTCTCTAAAACAAAATCAAATAAGAACACAGAAAACTCGGTTATTTCTTACCTTTGTTTAAAAACTCGTTGTTTCTTCTCTGGAGGGCCTTTCTTTTGCTTTCTACTAGCGGTAGCAGGTTCGATGAATTCCGGCTCTGGCTCAGTCTTAGCTTCGACTTGAGCCTCTTTTTTCTTCGGCTTGAACTGGCGCTTTGGTTTCTTCTGACCGATGGGCATTCTGAAGAAAGTTTTCAACTTTTGATAAAAGTAACTGTATATTTGTTTCCGTGAGCGGCTAAATGAGGCAGTTCGCAAAAATATGAACTAAAATCATGTATAATCTGGCGAGTCAAATCACCAGGGGCATTCAGAGTCGCTTCCATAATCGAACTTGACTTTCGCAACGTAAAGAATCTCGATCTGCTTCGTATCGTAGACGACGTACTCATTGTACAAAAGCGAACACAGCTCTGGCTACAGAAGAGAAAAGGTTAGCTTGTCAATATTGTTCGTTCAATAACGAGTAAACCCACTTTACTTGACTTGACTTACCTTTTCGTATTTAACTAAAGCTCCGGAAGGAACAAGAGATTCCGCAAACGTCTCTTCCTTTGACGGTATATTCTGGCCAATTGCCTTGATCGAATCATGGTTTCCTAAAAAAATATGCCTTGAAAAACATCGAATTCGAGTTCGATTCTACCGAGATTCCCAGGCAAGTCGCCATCTGCTGCGTATAGAATCTTCTCCTTGCCCAATGCAACGCGGCAAAGAATCAACAATCCATGTGGATCACTTTCGTTCGCGTGGCAGTAGTTTGCAGATTTCGATGCGCAATCAGCGAAATAGACGCCCTTTTCTCGGGTTCATTTTTTGAACTCGTTATTATAAAAAAGTTCAGACGCACAAATGTGCGTTTTTAAATCGAGCCTGTACCTAATTGCTAACTTCAAAGAACAAATAAAAAATAAATGATGAATCCCGTTCCTTTCCAAACATATAACCAGTAACAGGCGCTTCTGGAGGAGCAATTCTCAGCCCGTTTTTGATGATTCCGGCAAAGTTCGTCGTCCTGGAGCCGTGCCATAGAAGTGTATCGTTTCCTATTTTCCTGTTGTAGCGGTCCTTTTCTCCATCTCTCTGGACGAGGAAGAGGGATTCGAGTTGAAGAGTGTATGCATTGTGAGTGGGACCGTGAGTGTCTGTAAGTAGCTTCTGAACAAAGTCGAATTCGGCGCCGGTACGGAGTTCTATCGAAGAACAGAGGTTGTTGAATGCTTTTGTTGTTGGATCAATGTGCTTTCCTCCGCTTTCTTTGACATTAATAGCGATGGTTATTTGCCTCAACGATTCGAGCAATTCGTATTCTTCCTTTACCAAGTCTAGCGAGCTGATAACAGGCGGTCTTGTCATTCCGAAATCGTGAGGAATTCGCGTGTAAAACTGGCTCGTCAACTTTGACAGAGCAGAGTTGGAGCTGTGAAAGATTGCATCTTCGATTTTCTTGAGGATTTTGACGCCGTTTTCGATCTGCTTTTCGGTCAATTTGCCGAGCGGAGCACGCTCAATGTCGAATTTCATCTCCTTCGCGAAACTCTCCATCATTCGCACGTCGCAAATCATCTTGATCAGCTCTTGAACCTCTTCATTGAGCATGCACGGTTCAATCTTCACTTCTCCCTCCTCTTCATTTTCTGGTTCTTCTTTGACTTCTTCTTTCACGGTAGCGCCAAAGTCCTGCTCGACAAAGTCATATTTGCCGCTGTATTTGGTGAAATTTGCGCGATCGCACCACTCGTTTTTCGTTTTGTCGTGGAACTTCTTGCAGAAATCGTTTATCGCCGCCTCTGAAATTCAAATAAAGCGGAATTAAAGATGAGCGAAGCGAATCTGCGCTAGAAAAAAATCGAAAATCGAAGACGCGCGGAGCAAAGCCGACTACTTCTCCTCTTCAATTTCTCGATACTTGTTTCATGTCTTTGAAACTTTTTTCGTACCTAGTCCTTCTTCTCCTTTCGCATAAGTACACGGCATTGTCCCTGCGATCCTCCCAACTCTTCCCCAACGAAACCAGACAGCGTAACCTTCTCCTTTTCGATGCTCAAGGACTTGTAGAAGATAATACTTATTGTTGTTCTGCGCTATGTTCGTTTGATTCAGCATCGCGTGGTAATGATCGCCTCTGGAATCGGCGTACACTTTGTAAGTGTCTTGGAAGGGGCATTCAGCGTCGACGGGTACGGCGTCGTTGAAGGAGATCTTGCTGATGTTGCCGTCTTTCTTGGCGATTGATTTGGGATGGCGATTCAGCTGCTTGGAGTTTCTAAACGCGCCAGAGTATGAGCGAGCGGAAGATTTTGTCGGGGCCTTTTTGGGCTTTCGAACGGGAGAAGACTCTTCTTCGAAATCTTCATCGTCTTCGGCAGGGTTGTATTCTTCTTTTTCTTCGTACTTTTTGACCTAGAAGAACGATGTTATCAAACATCGAAGTGCAGTCGATAATAATTTGTGATAAGGACAATTAGAAGCGCCAAAAGATCTTGATAAGTGATTTCCTTGCGCCCTCTATAATTTTTCAGAATAAAATGGTCGCAGAAAATTTGGCAAAACAAGAAAAAAGAATAAAATGAAATCTTCTGGCAATATATCTACTTGTTTTTGAATTCCGTCCACTTGCCTGAGTTCGGCTTCTTTTAGACCTTCTCAAACTCTGTGGCGGATCATTTTCGTCGATTTCCGGTTCTTCTTTCACCTCCGACTCTGCTTCTTGCTTTCTTTTTCGAGGCATTCTGAAATTATAATCTCTGCAAAACTGAATATCAGTTCAGATCAAGTCAAAATAAATAAAAATGCGATTCCTCTAATTTTTTTGGTTCATCGAGGTCCTCTGGGAAAATGAAAAGTCCTCCGCGCTGGAAGCCAGGCGCTAGAGGAAGAACTTTGAATCTGCGACACTGAAAGAAAAAAGTTCATCGAAGAATTTTTTTTATTAAACAAAATGTACAAAAAAGACTAATTTTACAAAAAATCGGAAGAAAAATGAGGTGGTGCAGAATTTCTAGCTCTGATTGCTTTCGGAAGATGATTAATCTCACTTTTAGAACTATTCTCTTCTGGAAAAGTTCGTCTTCTTACTGGAGCATTGGCTTTGAAAATTCGCTTATTGACTCGATTGTATTTTTCTTGAAGAGCTTCCATTTCCTCTCGCATTTTGAGGAGCTCTTCTTGCTGCTTGAGGCAGAGGATTTTCAAGTTTTTCTCCGTCTCGGTTGTTTTCTTCGAGGATTTCTTGGAAGAGAAGATTTTCCTGAGAAATTTCATTTTCTGATTTGTTTGTTTCTTAATTGTTTGGTTTGATGATTTCTCGGAAATCCGCGAAAGTTATATTCAGGGAGGGCAGCTGGTAAAGGTGCAGGAAGTGTCGGCAAGACGGCGGGGGCTTGGATCTTCAGGTACCTGCGCCGCGGTTGAAGATTTGATGATCTGAAGAATAGGCGGGCCGTGTTGAGGTTGATCTTCCTAATTGCTTCCATTTTGCTTCAAGATCTTTTATGCAAGTGATATTTTTCTTTCGACCTTTCCAGCAACCAGAACAGAATTTTCTCCACAGTGTTAAAATCGTCTCTAAAAAAGAACTCGTCAAAGCTGAGCCGCTAATTTTCTAGGAAGAAGAAAATGAAGTAAAATCTTGACGCTGCAAGAAAAAACGTCTCTCGTCCGAAAAGGTACCGCCTTCTTTGCGCCAACACCTTACTTCGAAATCAACGAGGACTCATCCAATCACGCCTATTGAATTCATGTGCTTCGAGTTGAAAAGATCTGTCAATTCCTCGGTAGCGTTTGCTTTTTTGACTTTTAACTTTGCTTCTGCATCTTTTCACAAACCCACGAATAAAATTTATTTGATGGTTTTTCTTCATTTGTTTCTATTTAATGGTTAGTTGTTTTCAGAGTTGACAGTAGAAAGAGAACCAGCGAATCGAGATCCATAAGCATATCCTTTCTTTTCCAGATCTTTAGCTTCCCTTGCGTTGTAAATTTGGCGGGTTTGGCCGTAAGGATTCATGCCGGCTTGAGAGGCGCCTTCGTTTGTCCCCATCTAAAAGTGATGTTTCATGCTTTTCAAAAACATCCTCATTTCCGTCAAAAATTACCAGCTTGTCGCTCATCTCGCGAAAATTGCTCACCAAATTACATAATCACTCATAATCAGTCTTTGCCGGTAAAAACACCGAAAATGACAGTTTTCAAATTTACCTGGAGTCCGATGATGCTTTGGCCTTGGCGAAGCTGCTCGTCGGTAAAGTTTCTAGCATTTTTGTTCGCGACTTTTACTCCAATAGCTGGACCGGCAAAGTTCTTCTTTTGGGCCATTCCGCCGAGTTTAAAGACGGTCATTTGGACTTGTGGGAGATTGCAGCCTTCGTATAAATCAACAGTCTGAAATGGAGATTTTTGAATCGAGCTACAGTCAAATTTTGAAGAGGCTTTCTGAGATCAATCTTTTCAGCCATTTTTTTTTTGAGAAAGAAAGCGACATAAAACGCTTGTAGAGCTATAAATAAAAATAATTTAAGGGTGGGTATCTTATAAATTCACATGTAACTTAATCGTCTGAGAAGAAAAGAAGAAAATGTCACGGACAATAAAAATACTCTTTTTATGACAGGACGCGCGAGTTTTGCCGCCTTTGATGTGCAAAAAAACTCGAACTTTTTACTCATTTTGACATTGATCATGAAAACTCATTTTACCTGGAATAAGTCAGATTTTTCGAGTCCATATTTGGTGCATCCATCGAGGAAGAAGGAGATGTTTTCATATTCTTTGTTCATTCGGAGAGCCTAAAATAACATTGTTACAGTACAACGTCTCTGTATTGGCAACAAAAACGAGAGACGAGAAAAATCAATGAACAGTGCAATCCAATCAGCAAGGGAATCAGAATGGCACTTACTTGTAGCTTGACAGTTTTGGTGTTGTGAATCTTTTTGACAGTGCCCGGGGCGAGTGTGTTAATCAACGCGCACAAGATTGTCCCGTCTTTGAGCCACTCTTGGAAGCCGTCCATGCCTCGGGCATCTGGGCCCGAGCTGATTCCTAGGTCGGAGAACCAGGCGATGATTTCAGACTGAAAGAAGATTAATTTGACAAGTCGAGACCAAAATTAATATAATCAATGGAAATTTACTCCGCAAAATCTTACCTCATCCGAATCAGAATATTTCCCGGCAGTTTTGAGCGCCAATTCTCGAGTCAATCCGAATCCTTGAGGTCTTGAAGCCATTTTTCTCCTCGTTGTTGTTTTTATCAAAAATCTAAACCGTCTTTGTTTCTGGCCTGAGCTCGTTTTGCGAAAACTGGAAAAGTATCGATAATTTTAAAGCTGAGACGTGACTAGGTGCGATTATCTTAACCAGGCCCTCTGCGCCGAATACTCTCCAGAGAAATAGCGCTACCTCCGTCCTGCTCGTGCTGAACTTCAATCAAAGCGAGATTAATTGACAGTAAAAATGCCGAAAAAAGAGCCACGAAAAAGTGACTTTTTGGGGAAAACCATAATTCTGATATTTTTTGTTGGTTATATAAATTTATTAATCGTTATTTAAGGGATCAAAATCGTTGACTTTTAGTATTACCGATATATCTAATAGAGCACCTATTTTCTTGAAAACCGAAAAATTTCGAGCGCTTGCGTGTTGACAAAAGAAGCCACTTTCGCTTCGCGAAAGCGCAAAAACTCACGTAGCGAAATAATGGCGTAAAATATGCGCCGATTAGCGACGCCATAAAAAAACCGTAATAATGATTTGTGGCCCCGTTTGATGTTTATAAATCTATTTCTAGCACGCGTCTTTCTTTTCGAACTCCGGCAAATTTGGTTGTTTTTCTATACAGCGGAAAAGGAGCCCCTCCTGAGCGATGACAAAGAAGAGCGGGATTGATCGAAGGTCATGACGCCCCGGGACTCATTTATTAATTTCCTTCTTTGCGCCAATTCATACGATTTTGAGAAGATCGAAGCTTGGGTGTTCTTGCTCTTGGTGAGTTGGCGCGAACGTCATTTTATTGCATTACCAAAAGTGCTAATCCAAAAAATGATCATCCTCTGAATCAAATCATCTTTCTTACTACATAAATATTTATTATACTGACAGAATTTTATCAAGTATGTTTTATTATAGAGTATGGAAGCTTTTTTACTCTACGCCTGAAAAAGCTTTATTGACAATAAATGATATCCGAGTGTATATTTTAAACTCTAAGTAGAACAGTCCACTTACCCATTATTCAAAGTCCGAAAATGAAGAAAATAGTTTTCTGCTCAATGATTCTTTTGACTATGACGGTGCTGAGTCTTATCGCCGGAACGATTTTTTACATTTTTACCAAGGATCAATCCCTTGAAGTTGATGAGACCATCGAACTGAATTTTGACAACTTTACGAAGCTGGCGGAAACAATAACGCTAGAGATTGGCAACAAAGAATACGACGCTTTCCTGATTGAAGATGGCTCTTTCGAAGATGTAAAGACCGAGTGTGAGGAAAAAGGCGGAAAACTCGCGTGGAACAAGGCAACGAGTAAAGATGGTTTGTTTGAGAAAAGCCACTGGATTGAGCTTGGAAATGACACGAAGTTTGATGATGCGAATTTGAACGAAACATTCGAAAAGGTTGAAAAAGTCATAGTGAAAGTGTCTAATACCATATTTAAATAGTTTATGGCTCCAATGGACAAAAAAGAAGTACAAATCATCATGAGCAAATATCTTAGTCGATTTAATCATTCGTGCATGATTCTCAGAAGACCGCCTCCGGTTCTTGTGCCTATTTCTCTAAACCCCCGAGAATTTATTTGCCGAGATGATGTTCTCGATGATCTTGGCCGAGTAAAAATTGTTGATTCCAACGTCTCTCCAGATTGCGAGTACCTTCAGCTGAATCAAAGCTTCGTCGAAAAACATCAACTTTGGGATCAAAATTTTAAAAACAAAACTTGGATTGACTTCCGTTCGCCCCTTACTGTAAAAGGGTAAAGTTTTCATTATCATTTCTGCTTTTGATATCATTCTTACAGCTTACACATCGGTAGTAATTTCACCGAAGACATAGAAGACCAAACAGGCTTCTCGTGGTGCCCTGGGCAACCAGAATTGCCTGCAGGAATTTCATGGACATCGAATTTGATTTACAAACCAGATGAGCACAAGAGATGGTACAGACTTGCTTATTCTGGTTCAAAGTAGTTGTTTGTCTTTTCTTTTGATAAAAACATTAATAGATTCGCTGGAGTTTGCATTCTGAGACTAAAGAATTGAAAATGCCGTATTTCATCTGAATCCGAAATAAAGAAACATTCAAATAAGTTTATTATTTCAAAATTATTAATTTACTGATCTTCGGCCTGGATTTTTAGTTAATAAAGCAAAAATGTTCAGCGAGATTCTGGCCAGATAGGACAGAAGGAGGCAGAGAGACAGGCGACGTTGATGTCGCTAGAATTCATTAAATAGTATTTCTTCATTCGGGAAAGTGTCAAACCGCGATTCTTCATTTGCGACAACTTTTTCCCGAAAAAAATACTGGCCACTGATTGGCAGGTAGACCAAATAAAGGACTCTGATTGGCTTATTTTTCTCATGGATGTTCCATGATAATTTGTCGCGAACGAAGAATCGCAGTTCGACATTAGCCCCTCCTTAAGGGATCCCCCCCTGTTTTTTCAAGTGCTTTGTAAGAGTCTATATTTGATATTTTCAGATTCCTCGTGTTCTGAGGATCATTTTGATGTATCATATGCCCCCTCTACGAAGATATTTCCTCAAAATATAAGCCTTCGAAAATTTCGAAAATGCATGTAAATTGTACTTTGCGTAAAAATCGATTTTTTTTTCGGTTTTTCAATGTCATCGAAATAAGACATATAAGGGGTCTATCGAAAGCTTAGAACGCACTGAAAAAGAATATTATAACCGCACTGGAAATATCAGCCTTATGTTGGCGCTAGAGAGCAAAAAAACACTAAAAAACGCAATAAATGGGTACATTTGGTTGTTCTTAAGAAAATTTTTTTATTACTTGACAAAATCAGTTCTCTGTACTAGAGATTGAAGATAAGGCTTCCTTCTATCTGAATCTTTTTTCAGATCTTGGTTATCTCAGCCCAAATCGGCTGAATTTCGAGTCAAAAATGGCCTAAAATGGCCTTTTTTCGAAATTTTCGAACTTTGACGCCTCCTAGTGGAAGGTTTGCCTTGAGCAAAAACTTCTCTGTACTAGAGAATAGCGGATAGCACCTGGGCTATCCGTAGAGCTATTATACGCCCCAATTCATCAGCCCAAATCGGCTGAATTTCCAGTTGAAAATGGCCAAAACGGGGGATCCCTTAAGAATTAGGATTCCTCCTAATCAAATCATCTTTCTTTTTCCAATATTATACCGTGCTGGAAGATTTTTTATCTAAATATGTTTTATTATGGGGTTATGAAAGCCTTCTCCATGCCTGGAAAAGTTTTATTGACAATTAATAATAGCTGAGAGCACATAAGTAGAACTTACCAACTACCCGTTATTGAAAGTCCAAAAATGAAAAAAATTATTTTTTGCTCAATAATACTTTTGATTTTGACGGTGTTGAGTCTAATTGCCGGACTCATTCTTCATATTTTTGCCGGAAACCGATCCTTGGAAGTTGATGAGACTATCGAGCTGAATTTTGACAACTTTACGAAGCTGGAGATAACAGTAACGGTAGAGATTGGAAACAAAGAGTATGACGCTTTCCTGATTGAAAATGGCTTTTATGAAGATGTGAGGAGCAAGTGCATGGAAAGAGACGGAAAACTTACGTGGAACCGCGCAACGAGTCCACAATGTCTGATTGAGGAGAGCTACTGGATTGAACTTGGAAACGACACGAACTTCGATGACGCGAATCTGCAAGAAACATTCGAAAAGGCTTGAAAAAAATCACTGTTTACAAATGTATCTCATATCATATTCTTATAGTTTACGGCTCCAATAAGGGAAAAAGAAGTTCAAATCCTGATGGGCGAATATCTAAGTCGGTTCAATTATTCGTGCATGATTCTGAGCAGAAATCCTCCAGTTCTTGAGCATTTTTCTCCCGACCCCCGAGAATTCATTTGCGACAATGATGTTTTCGATGAGCTTGGTCGAGTAAAAATTTTAGATTCCAATGTCACTCCGGATTGCGAATATCTTCAGCTCAACCAAAGCTTCGTCGAAAAGTATCAACTTTGGAATCAAAATTTTAAAGAAAAAACTTGGATTCATTTCGGTTCGCCCTATAATGTAAAAGGGTAAAGTGTTCATTATCATTTCTCCTTTTGACATCATTCTACCAGCTTACACATCGGGCGAAATTTCACTGAAGACATAGAAGGAAAAACAGGTTTCTCGTGGTGCCGTGGACAACCAGAAGTGCCAGCAGGAATTTCCTGGACATCGAATTTGATTTACAAACCAAATGAGTATGTTCTTGCTTATCCGGGTGCTAGGTAATATTCGACCCTTTATTCGATAAAAATAACCATTTGTAGATTTCCTGGAGTTTGCATTCTGTGATCGAAGAATTGAAAAATGTAAAAAAAAAAATTATATCTGAATCTGAAATAAAAAATAAACAGCATTGAGAATCAAAAATAAAAAAACTTTATCAACCTTTTGGTCTGGATTTTTGTTTAGTAAGTAGCAAAAATTTTCAGCAGAAAAAGAATTGATATATAATGAGCTTTCTGGCCAGATAAGACAGGAGGAGGTAGGGTTACTGGCGACGTTGTTGTCGCTAGAATTCATTAACGATTATTACTTCGATGGTCTGAATACCTTGAGTAGTAAAAACAGGCAACGTGGTTGGCGGCAAAGTGAGCCCCACTTGTTGACAAAAGTCGCAATTGCAAAAGTCGTCGAAACAGCAAGTCATATTTGGTTCTCAAATTGACATCATCTGTTTGTGCCTTCAAAGCTATTTCTATTTACCAGTAAAATTTGCAGAGAGGAAAGGGTCGGACAAGTTGAAGCTGGTCGTGTTAAATCCGAACGCCTCGCCAATGTTGTCAATGAGATTTAGCTCCACCATTCGGAAAAGCTGTTCTCCGCAAAATTCAACATCTAGAATTCTTTCTCAAAAACAAGCTTACTGTCTTTTCAGTACCTGGAAGCATGCACCCTCGCTGAACAGCTAGGGCAGTAGAGTTGGCGAAAAAGGTAGAATTCATGCTGCCCATTAATTCTAGCGAAAAACAGCCGCTAACGTCGTCTTCACAGGTTTCCCAAGCAATCTTCAGGCAGATTTAAATGAGCTCAAAGGGAGGACTTACCTCGTTTTCTCCAAAAGCGCAATTTTCATCGCCAAAAGTAAAATTGCTAGTTTCAACGTAGACACAAGAAAAACAGTCGATGGATAATGCGATTTTGATGAAGCAAAGAAAAATGAAAATAGACTGATTCGGGCTTATTTTTTTGTTAATTTGAATAAAAAAATTAACGATTTAGGCCCTTTTCTGCATTTTTCGGTTCTCTAAGAAATATTTATCGAAAACTCAAAAGAGTAAAAGCTACGTATCAAAAGTAAAATAAGCTCTTTAGCGATCGACTTGCGTACTTGAAATTTTATTATGATAACAAAGCTCAAGTATTCTGAGATATTTTTTGAACATTTCAAACAAGGGTCCAGAAAAGATAACATTAAACGAGCTTCTTGGTGTATTCTCTGGGTTTGATGACTCAGGCAATATTTTGGGGAAGCATGGTTGTGGTTTGAGTTGTTGTAGTAGGTAAAGTTGTCGTGGTTGGCCAGGTTGTTGAACCGGCTGTCGATGGTGAAAAGGAATCAAATGATATTGTGGAAAGAGTTGTTGTTGAAGAAAGTGTAGTTATTGTGGTCCTAGTCAACGGGGTCGATGTCGAAGCCATAGTAGAGGTTGTAGAATGAGGCTTAAATGTTTAATTGAAATCAAAGAAAGTGACGAATCAATTGATTAGCTGAATACAGTTGTCGTTGAAGTCGAGGACGAGGCAAAGGTTGAAAAGGGAATCGGAGACGGAGAAAATGACGGATTCCTAATTTCTCCCTTAAACAATGCTACGTCGAATTTTTTCGGTACGGAAGGGGCTTTTTGACAATATTCTATTGTATTCGAATTTGAGAAAAAATTAAAATATTGTGAATTCCTTAGCATAATCGTCGTAAACTTGGAAGGGCCCCCCTCGTTGAGCAAAACCATGATCACCTTTGAAAAGAAAAGTTGTAAATAAAATCTGCGTAAAAATCTTACCCCGGAAATCAAAAAATCCCCAATCATCCGCCAATTTTTTCATCATTTCTTTATTCTGGTTGATGGCTTCTTCGATTCTCGCTGTTTCCCATTCTTCGTGAGATTTTTCGACAATGTTGAAATCAAACATCGCAAGCCAGCAGAAAAAACTTGCGAGGAGTACTTTTGAAAATGATACGATTATAATTTTAGCTTTTAAAACAAGGAATTGTTTTTACCTATTACGATCAAAATTGCGGGAACGAGCTGTTTCTTGCTTGGTTTTGGAATTTTAATTCTTTCTTTTGTCTCCATCATGGTCGTTTACAACTGGCAATGTTCAAGATATGATATCTTAGATATCTTCATGGATATGCGCATTCAGTCGTGAAGTAAATACCTCCCATAAATTATTTTATTCTTTTTTATGAGAATCTTAGGCACTCATTTCTTTTGCCAAGGAAAAGAAATTGCGAAAGAAACGAGATTAACCCGTTTTTTGATTAATTGGTTTGGTCAAATAAGAATATATCTAGCTTTATATTTGCTTGTGGGAGAATAACCTTGACTTTGGCACTCAATTAAGGTACCTTAGAATACAGTAAGTCTTTAAGCGAGCGAGGAACCCGCCTGAGCCGGGTTGGTGTTTTTCTTTTCTTGGGAGCTACGGAAGCTTAGAACAAATAGTTCTTGTTTGTCGCCGCAGTGGCGTGATCGGAAACGAACCAACACATGAGCAAACAAGTCAACCTTTATAACCAGCGTCGAGTGGAGCAGATCTTCAGTTGTCGAATAGATAACCAAAAACAAGGTAAGCTTTCGATTTTTCTACAAGAGATATTTTTTGAGAGATTTTTCTTCAAAAACTAAATTAAAGAAATTTCTAGTTCTCGATAAAACATGAAGGTCGCCGCCGCCATCGTCGCTCTTGCCCAGGCCAGCCCCGCCTGGCTCGTCGAGAACTGGTGGCAAGCCGCTCAGGAAGTCTACGCCTGGGCTTCCGCCAACCCCGAGGACTTCCGAAACGCCGCCGTCTCGATGGGCAACCGATACGACGCTCTCTGGAACTTCTGCAACGCTGACGGTTCCGATGAGGTCTCTGGCGCTGAGTTCACTGCTTGCGCCGCCGCCGCTGCCAACCACTTCGGTAAGAATATTGAAAAATCGTCAGTCTCTTGACTAACAAAATCAAGGCATGCAAGAAGGCACCAAGCAGTACCTCTACGACTTCGGCGTCAAATACTGGGACGTCATCGACCGAGACGGCTCCGGCGGCTTCAGCGAGAACGAATTCAAGGGCGGCATCGCTGCCTTCGTCGGAACCAACGCCAAGGTCCTCCTCAAGGCCTACGACTCCAACGACGACGGCATCCTCTCCGGACAAGAACTCTCCGACTGGCGAGCTATGTTCGAGACCCGAGCTGACAAGTTCGGCGTTGATCTTACCCCCGAGAAGGTTCAGGCCATGCAGGCTGCTTGGGCTGATGCTCAGGTAAGAGATAATGAAAAGAGACGGCATCCTTAAATAATCTTTCAGACCGACGGAGATGCCAGCACCGGCACCCTCTTCGAGCTCGCCAAGTTCCAGCTCAACGTTTTCAACGGACTCCTCGCCTAATTTCACCAAAATCGAAATCAACACACATACACATTTTCAAAAAACCCTTCACCTTGCCAGACAAACTATCTTTCTCCTTGTTTTTCTCTCTAGGAGCAAATAAAAAATTCATCTCATTGAAACCCCCAATTTTCTTCCTTGATTTCAAGAAACGCCGAGAAATGTAAAAATAAGAATGTTCATTATTTACAGTTCTGGAAAGAAAGGAAAGAGTGTAAGAAATATGTACGGTACAATTTTTTTGCTGCGAGGGTTTGCTAAGTGATATTGCTGGGAATCTTTGTTCAAGCCTCGGTTGAGTTAGTTGGAAAGGCTTTCTCGTCTGCTGCTCTCGTCGCAGTTTTCTGAAAAGTGAAATTAAGAGTTGAAGGTTCACTAAAAACAGTCGAAAAGTACTAGATGTACAAGTTTGCAACTCGAATCGATCTATTTAGACAACGTCGCTACGGAATGTTAATCTTCGCTTTCAATAAATACCAATTTTCTTTTGGACTTGGCGTCGCTTCTGTCGGCGCTTTTGCTTCTTCTGATCTCGAGACTCGTGTTCCAGTTCGGGCGTCGATTGCGGGTTAAAGCCGTTCTTTGCAGGGATGAAGATCACTTGCTGAAAATATAGCTGTTCTCTCTTCATGTTTTTATATAAATTTGATAATTATAACAATTAGATAAATCATTCTAGATCCCTGATTCTGAGTGGCACTTGTATTTTTCGCCGGCTCCGTCGTCTGAGAATCCTCTGGAAGGGGCTCTTCTTTCATGAACAGCTGCTTGAAGGATTTTTTCTAGAGATAAAATTGAAATTTTTGTTCTTGAAAGAATATTTCCATGAAATTCCAGGCAAAAATAAAAAAATTGATACGTCACCTTCTTCAGTTTTTTCTGCACTACTGCAGGGCAAGGTTAACAAAAAATAAATATTAAAATTAAAATTTACTAAATCAATAAAAAATTCTTTCATTTTCGAAATGAAAGAAAATTGAAAACCTTTGCTTTGGATTACTTATTCGGGTTCTTATGAAAAATTCAAAAAAGCCAATTGTTTTTCGTTTCCTATTTATTTCAAGGGCACTTAGTGAAAGTCAGAAAAATATGTGATTAATTAAGAACCTCTCCTGTCATGGGCTCAACGTTTGTTCAAGAAAATATTGATTCATTAAAATAAATGAATGGGAACTTTTGTTAATTAAAAAATGTCGTTTTTTTTGAGCCCAAAATTTGAGTTTTCATTTAGTAAAAAAATCATTCGAACTCTTAATCTTGTTCAAAGAAATTAAAAAAATGTAAATAAGATAAAAAATTTATCATTAAATTGACAATTATCGTTACTGGTTAAAGAGGATATCATAGAAAATTGTCGAAGTCAATTAAACTATGATTTAATTAGTCAATAAAAGTGTAAATATTTACTCTTAACACTTGATCCTAATTATTGAAATAATAAAAATTCAAAAAGATGATAATTTTAGCCTATTATTTGCGTTTTTAAACCTGCTTTGCTTGGCCACGTTCAATTGATTCTGTAAATTTGAACCCATTTGTCCCGGAAAAAAGGAAGTTACGAGAACCGTAATACCCGAATCGCGGCTCACTTTCTTATCAGTAAGCCAGTAACTCAAAACTCACCGCGGCCACTTTGCGACCGCCTCATCACAAGTACCCGAAGGAACCTCGCCGAGATTCTTCCACTAAAATGACTATTCTTTTGCCTATCTTTTGCTTCCTCTAATCTGACTATCCTTTATATCCTTTTTTTCCGATAAGTTAACGATTTTTGTCACTGGTGCCTTTTTCATCACTCCTCGACTCACCCGCCCACCTAACAAAATCATATATTTAAAGCCGCATGCGGCTTTTCATCAAAACAAGGAAAAAAAGCCGCATGCGGCTTTTTAGTATATTTTTTGCAAAAAAGCCGCGAAAAATTTGACTCAATTTTTCGCGAACGTTTTTCGTCAAAGTGAAAAGCCGCAAGCGGCTTTCATCAAAAATTTGTGATAACAAATTATAAAAATAATGAATTCATGATAACATATTGAAGTCTTCATGCAAAAAAATTCTGCTAGAAAAATGATAATAAGTCTCAAATTAGTCCGTTTCTTCAGATTTCGGATTCTCCGGAATGACCGGTATCTTTCCGCCTTTATCATCAAAAAGCCTCTCCAGCGCGATTCCGTTCGATCTGTTCGTCTTTTTCAAATCCTCAACGAGCATGTCGGACAATTTGTCGCTCGAGCTCGGCGAGAAAATGATCGAAAAGCGACTGAGCAGGGATTCGGATCGCTTTGGCTTGACTCTAGCGCTCTTTCCGAGGGTTTCTTCTTTTCCGGAATCAGCGGCGGAGGATGAGTCGTTTGAGTCTTGAACCGAGCCGAGACCCGAGTCGGACTCGCTGTTTGAATCTTGGTCGGCGAGCTTTTTCGGCGAAATTGTGATCACGCCGCTATCAATTCGTACAATCGTTGGTTTTTCAGCACCTAAAACGCATTATTTATTGAATAGGTTTCTAATACAGTAATTGCATTCAAAGTATTGAGAACAGTTAACAGTTATCTTGCTATCAATTTTAAACCAGCGTACAGAAGTGTATTATACTGTCACGTGGTCCCTTTTGGAGTTTTCTAAACCTTGCTGGAGGACTCATTGAAAATTTAACGCCGCGCGGAGATTTGCTATTAATATGAATGCCTTGGTTAAAAGTTGATCCCAGTGGCAAGAGAGCTTTCAGAGTGATTCTAGAGCAGAACCATCAAGAAGAATGAAACTTCTTTTGCTTTCAATTTTTCTTTGTGCACAAGTGTCGGGAAGAGTAAAAAGTGCGGGGCTGACAAGAAAACAAAAAGCAGTTTTATTTCGGCGAATAAGTAAGTTCTTCAAATTAACTTCCCTTAAAATTTTTGATAGATAAGCATCTTGAAAAAGGAAATCCACAGGACTCGATTCCCGAGTTCATCAAAAAAGAAGGGCAGCTGCTGACAAAAGAAGTGACAGAAATCGTCCAGCAAGTCATCAGAAATCGTCTGAGAACAAGGCCAAATCCTGAGGAACGAGTTTGGCTTCCCTTGCCCACGACGCTTCCTCCAAAACCACTCGAAACAAGTAAAATTCCTTCCTCGCCGATCCGTTATTTATCATAATTTAGCGATCGATCCAAAAACAAGCGTAGTTTACTACGAATACAACGCTTCTGAGGCCTTTGCTGATCAGCGATTTTTCAACTTCAAACCATCTGTTCAACCAGAAGAACCAACAACAAGCTCTCCGATTCTATCCTTATTCTTTGCAGATGCCGAAGAACCACAGCCAGATGAGTACATGAATATTGAACGGGTTACAAGCCAAATCGAGTCTGAGTTTGATGATATAACTGAGGCTCCAACTGAAGTAAGAAAAACATCAATTGAAAATGATGCAACAAGAACATCATCATCATCAACAACAACAACTAGTACTACGACTTCTTCATCGACTTCAATGATAACTACAACAACGCCGACAACTACAACAACAACGACAACAACAACAACCACTACTACATTAACATCTTCAACTACTACTACAACAATGACAACAACAACAACATCAACAACAACAACGACAACAACGACAACAACGACAACAACGACATCAACAACTACCTTAAAATCAACGACAACTACAACAACCACGACTTCAACAACAACAGCAACAACAAGTTCAAGTGCAACTTCAAGTTCAACTTCAGCAAAAACAGAACTCATACCTTCATCAACTTCAACAACATCATCATCATCGACCTTGGTCTCAACAACAACAACTGTCGAAGAAGAACCACAACCTCTCGTCGAAGACCCCGATGGAGCGCCACCTCCTGCTGAACTAATGACTCTGAAACAAGAGCCCATCATATCTCTCAATGAGATACCGACATCGAAGGTAATTACCCAATTTCTCAATTCTGATAAAAACTAAAAATAAGACCACGAGCTTCAACACGCGACCAGAATGGATGGAGGTCTTCCCAATTCTTCGCGAGCTCAAGAAAATCTTCACAGACGCAAATTACGATGCAATAATGGACAATCGTCTTTCCCGAGCAAATCCAGCGCAAGAAATTTCGATCGAAAAATTCGAACAAATTGAAAAATTCGAAAAAGAAATCGGTTCTAGCGATTTTGAAGAGTGGGATTCAGAAGAAAGCCTGGTAGAAGAGTGCGAAAAACTGATCAATTCCGAAGTCGGGAAAGAAATTTACGCGATTGTGGATCAGCTGACTTCAGAAAAGGATCTTTTATTGAGAATTATGGAACTTCGCTGAATGAATTTTTTGACAAATACGAAGAAAATTTGATTCGACAACAAAGAAACATGGAATTTTATCTCAAAAACGACGCTGCGGTCTATCAGTCTTCGGCCACAGGTCTTGTCTTAAGCTTTGTGCTGCTTATAATTCCGACTGTACTTGTTTTGTAAATAAAGAAGTGTCAGAAAACATCGAATTCAAGCAAATGTTACCCTCTTAAGCGGTTCCTGGAGAGTTCTTTTTAGAGTTCCCACATTCAAAAGTGTGAAACGTCGTTTGCTTAACCCATAACTAGCAGGGCGGTTTGGGAAAGCAGGCGATTTGGCGGGTTTGCCAAGGGGGCGATCCGAGCAAAATTACGTTAGAACCGTTACAACTTGTCAAATTTGTAATTTTACAAATTCAAAATTTTACGCAAAGAAAAAATGATCGAATTTCTGAAAATCCGTAAATCACGTTTGACGGTAATTTTGAGGAAAAGAGAAGATTAATTGACATTCTACCAAGTCTGGTGGAACCGAGCCGGCCACATCAAGGACACGTTTTCGACTTTTTGTAAATGGCACTTGCTCATGTTTCATTCTGAAACCTTCCGGATAGAAGCCACGGTCAAAACCACAATCTTTTCTCTAAGCTGCGTTTTATGATTTTCAATAAACATGATTTTCAAAAGACGGCTTTTCTCTCTCTTTCTCAAAAAAAAAAAAGATTTTTTTCTACAAAACCCTGACTCAGATTTTCTACACAGCTTTCCAAGCACAGCCTGCCAAGAAGACAAAAAATACTTCCGCTCTTGAACCCTCTGGGAAAGTAGTTGATACTCGTCTTGCCACATCTATGTCTAATTCGCAAGAATGTCAGACTTTGATCCGCAAAGACCACAAGGTAAAATTACGAAGAAGAATTTATGACGTCGGTTATTTTCTAATTAATTTCTTCAGTATTGAAAATGGGCTATTTTCCCATCATCAGGTGTGTTCTTATGTGACAGCGATATAAATGAAAGGTGCTTGGAGGACAATTATATGTGAAAAGAGTCGCTAAATTCGGATTTACGATTCGGATTTTGAACAATGTCATTAAGACCATCGACAAAAGTCAATAGCGAGAAAGAAAGATGGACTTATATCAATAGAGAAGTTAAAAAATGTGGGAGAACTTCGACTTCGATTTTGACATAATCGGTCCCAGAAGTAAGTTTCAAAAAAAGAATTTTTTATAATATATTATATTATATTATATTATATAATATTATATAATTAAGGATCAAACGAGTTCCTCTGGACAGGCCCGGACAAATTTCACCTTTTGTTGAAACAAATCTACATCCAAAATTGGACGTCGCTCTCTCTTAGCTGTCTTGGCGTGGCAATTCTGTCCTTGTTCAATGAACTTCTCGCTGAGTGGTGCTTCAAACAAGAACAAGGTGCATATTTTCGAATTAAAAAATTTGTTCAACACATTCTTTGTAAAAGTAATTAACGGTTGCGTCAGGCTCTAGCTTTATTTAAAAGCAGAAAATAAACACGAATTTCCAATTTGTCGACCAGACATATTCAAAAAGCCATGATTACAAAAATTCATTCTAGAGCTAATCAGAAGCTATGCTCTTGGAAAACGCCGACCATCAGTTCAACAAATGGCGCCAAAACAAATCCGACAATTTTCCTTCATATCCTACAATCACCGATATATCTGGCTCTCCTGCGTCTATTCATTTCTCAAACTTGTCTCGCAGACAAATATGCTCGTGATGATGACGCTCAATCTGTATCTGATTTTGAGCTCAATTTTCGGAGCTTTTCTTGTTAGATTTTTTAAGCCTGGCTATTTGAACTTCTTATATTTATCAAAAAATAAGGAAGATGATGATGGAAGGCGAGTTACTGAATCTACATTTATTCAATAAAAAATAAAAAGAGGGGCTCATTTTTTCAAATTCTATTAAAAAATCGTCATTTTTGAAAAATCGTCAGGAACCGACAAAAAATTTCGACAAATTTTGCTTGGAAATTTTAAACCAATCAAAGGCCTTGATTCCGCTGACCGGCGAATCAGCAGCCGAGTAGCCGCCCACGCAAAATTTATCGAATTTTTTTTGTCGGTTCCTGACGATTTTTCAAAAATGACGATTTTTAATAGAATTTTTTTAGTATGTTAATAATAAATATATAAAATTATTCATATAAATAGTTTCAAAGGAACATAATTAGCCGCTTATATCATAAACATTGTTTATATCTACTGTCATTCAAAAAACATGTTACTTGTCAAATTTGCGGCACGTTTTGATAATTATAAGTTAAAACCCACTTAGCGAAAGAAAGAGTACTCGTAATCCAGGCTAAAGATGACCGGCCTTCGCGAAACCTTTCGAGCAGCTAAGTCTACTTCGCGGCTTAACTAGATAAAGTTTTTGGTAATTCACGTTTGTCTCAATCAAGGCCACTTTTTGATTAAAAAAGTCGGCACTTTTTTCCTCTGATTACGCAAGGAGAGGGAAGACGGCTCGAAATCGAAAGGACTTGGAAAACGAGAAGAAGACGCAAATCGCGTCCTGAGCAAATAATAACGAAACCGCAGCAGGAGTACAAATCAGACGGCTCAACGAAACGGGATTATCGGACGAAAATAAACTTCAAAAATCAATGTTCGAAATTCAGCAAAATTTTTAAGTCTTTAAAAAATGGAAGGATCATTTATTATTGACCACAATTCTTCTCTTGACATTTTTCGGGATCAAAAATTTTAATTACACTTTTGTTAAAAAAGACAGACTTCTGGTTTTGTTAAAGAAATTGTCTAAAATGCTGTTTTTCAGTTTTTTTTTATTGAAAAAAAATTTTTTTTTTTTCAAAATTTTTTTCAACTCTTCATTTCTGAAGAAAATTCATAAGAAATAAGATCACGTGATTCTCTTAAAAGGCCCTTTTGCCAGAAAGGGTTAAAATCATCATAGGTTATTACCTAAGTCTTCTTCTTCCTTGCAGCAGGGAAAACAAAACTTCTGGTTAAAACAAAGCATCGTTTATTTCTCTTCTATGTCTTCTATGCTCTCGAGTTTGTTTGAAAAATTTACTGGTAGAAAAGCAGTAAGCAAGCGATTATTTACTTCAAGCAAGGTACTTTTAGTATTTTTTTCTCTCAGCTCGAGCAATTTGCGTCGGAATGCGCGGCGGCGCGGATCGTGCGAGCGCCACCTGAGTTACTTTTTTCACGCGCAAAATGGAGCTAGAGAACTGAGAAAATCTTTCTGCAAAATTTGATTATTAACGTGAATTGAATACAATTTTCTTCTTTTTTAATGAAAATTCTTCAAATCATTTCATAATAAATGACTTCATTTTTTTTAAACCGAGGTTCATTTTTGTTTTCTCAAAAGACCGTTGAGCTTGTTCCGGTAAAACTTGCACTCCACTAAAATTTCACAGTCATTATTTTAATATAACCGACTGTTGCTTATCACGTTACAGAATTGCTGAGTCAGCTTCTTTTTTCTCATTTGGTCGGTAATTTACGCCGCATTTTAGGATCAGACAAAGATGTTTAAAATGCCACAAAATGGGCGTCTCAAATCTCGAAGTTATTTTTTTTTTCAGTTTTTTTCTTTGAAGTTGCAATTGCAAATGCATTTGCATTTATGCACAAGTGTCGATTGTATTTACAATTATATTCATTATATTTATATAATGAATATATATATTCTTATAAGAATTATTTATCCTATCACGTTGGTGTTAAACTCAGCTAAAATAGTAAGCTCAATATTTTCTTAGTTAAAAAATCCAAATCTCTGCAAAAAGACGAAGCTTTATGGTCCTCAATTTAGATTTTCTTTTTGCTTCTTGAATTCTTTTGATAAAAAAATTATAAAATAAACGTGCAGTGAGAACAAAACAAAACACCAACAAGCCTTTTATTTAGACTGAAAACTCGGGGATTCAATGAAATCGTTTGCATATCTACTTGGATGAAATATGTAAAACACCTTTTTAACATAATCTTTTACCAAGGACCGGCTCTATCAGTGGATGAATATATACTCGCCCGGTTTTAAAACTATGCGAATCGCGAGAACTAGAATGCTAATTTCGAGCATCTATGTCAATAAGAAGCATCCTGGAGAATAGAAGTTCATTTCAAGTGAGCCAAGTGCTTTTCTACCAAAATTAACAAAGTGATACCCTTAATTTCATCAATTGATGAAAAGCTTATCATCAAAATAATAGCTTTAGCAAAAATTTGAGTCAAAAAAATTATCAAATTTTTTGTTATCTTATTCAATTTTAGAAGCATTTCAAAGAAAAAACTCCAAAAATTAATAAAATAAGGGTGTGGCAATGTTAATTCTTTGATAAAATTTTTCCACACCATACAAATTTTCATTTCTATCTCCTACTTTCAGACTCTTCCGCAGTCGGTCTGAGAACGCCGATAACAAATTCGATCACCTTTGTGTGTGAGAGAAGTCATTTGAGCAGATTTTGGGTTAACCGGATGTTCAACTTACTTTACGGACCGCAACAGGAGTATTATTAAATTCCGCAGCTTTCTTTGAAGTTCATCTTTTCCCGCAAGCTTAGCGGGCAGTTTTCGGGGGCCGCGCCCAAGATTATGGAACTATTGTTTGTTTGATTGATTTTATTTATGGTAAATTGATCTAGTTAACTCGTCGATTTTGAGAAATCTTCAACTATGGAGTCGGTTCTTATCAAAACCGCATCTTTCAGCGTTTGAAAGCAACCGATCCCAATGTTCAAGATTCCCTTCAAAATTTTCTTTGTCCCCTCTTTTCTCTCTGCCTCGGGCAGTCTGGCTAGGGCACATTTGCCTGGGGCTGAGGTAGAGAAGAGGGGAGCACTGGGCGCGGAAGAACCAGTTCGTAAAATCGATGGGATAAGTGCTGACATATTATTGGCGATCTTGGTCGATTGGGGCGCTGGGCAAAAAATGGTGTTTCCATACTTTTTGGTATAGAATCGAAAATGTGCTTGTTTTTGAACATCGATTTCTTGACCTGTTTCTTTTCAAGAACAGAACGGTACAACTTGGTAAGTTTGGTAATAACGATGTAGCGGAAACAGCAAGACTCCTGAGGACGTGTCGGAAAGTTAGTGTCAATAATAAATCGCTTAATTATGAAACAGAAGACTCGTTTATCGCCCTCAGAACATATGTCTCGCCGTGTCGGGTGCTTTTTTATCTGCCAATTAGAAATTCGAATCGGTGAGATTTTTCTCATTTTTTTCTGAGAAAATCGAAGTTGAAGGAGACTTACATATAGTCCTTGAAAATGATACATAGATAGGCCCAATTTAAAAGGCTTCAGCAAAAAATAAGTAATAGAAAGCGGTTTTAATAATTATGGCTTTCAAATTTTCGGTGTAAGAGCACACTGATCAAGTTTTTAAAAACGCCCATTATACTACCTGCTGATTTTTCTTTCCTTTCGCAATTTTGAATTTCCATTTTTTCAAAGACTCAATCGAAATTTCCGAAAATCGATGAAAAAAAAACGTTCCTATTTTATAATCCTTGGATCAAAATGATTAAAATCATTCCGGAAACATCAAACTGCTTAAGTCGCTCAAAATCATAAACGAGTTTATCAAATGTGATGGGAAGCAACCTCAGCTTCGTTGAACCGGAGAAATTGTAATCGCTTCACAGTTTTTAACTGTTTTCGTCAAAATAGCTACGTTGTAAATCGCCTTATAGAACATGTCATTACATATTTTTGGTAGCCAGAACGTACACTCCTCAACAGGGCACCTTTTATTCTTGGTATCAGACGTCTTTCTTTATTTTTATAATTCGAAAGAAACTTCATGTTTGAGCAGTTACGGTCACTACCGATCTAAAGGAGGTAGATATCAAGAATTGGGATTTTCTGTCAGACTTTTCTTCCAAAGTTATAACAGTAACACCCTTATTTTACTTTGGAAACAAAAACTTTAAACCTTTCTTTATTTCCTATGGAAACTGAAATTTCGAATTTCAAAAAAAATAGATAATTGGCAAGTATTAATTGCCTCCAAAAATTTTTGAGTAGAAAAAATAAGGGGGTCACTATGTTAATTTGAGAAAACACTGACAGGAAATCCAATTCTTGATACCTACCCCCTTAAAGCAGAAACAGTTCTTAAGGGTATCACAGTGTTATTTTTATTTGAGTAAACAAGGTCTAACTAGAACTCGAAAATGATAGCCAGGGAGCTTATTTTTCGACCTCATTCTTGCTCATCGATCATGCTAAAAAGCGTCGTGAAAGAATGAAAGCTGAGCAAGGTCAGTGCGAGTTAAAAGTGGCTATCTGACAATTTGAGCCCTATAATGAGCGTTATCCGCGCGCTCAGCAACGCTGATCGAGCGATACCTGCGGTCAACCAAAATCACTCCAGATGGCTACATGAAAATTAATACTTAGAAGTACTATTTTCTGAACTACTTTTATCTGAACTTCAACTTTCATCTTCATTGCTGAGCTCTTTTCCTCTCAGAAGACACGTGCTAAAACTTTGCGCGAATAGTGTTGACAAGCAGTTTTCTCAATACCCATCTTCTGTACCCTTAAAGTTGAAAACTTGGCAGTGATTGGCTTCTCGACACCTGGGTCCGAAGATCGAGCTATGGTTCCCTATCGTTACCATATTAACAGGCGCACTAATAGATGTCAGGAAAACCCTGATCAGATTGAAAAATAAAACGTCGAGAAAAAAAATCAATTTTAAACTTACCAGCGTTGAAAAAAGAGGGATTATCCGGCGAGAAAAAATTTCGACTATCGTTTGAAGAAGAATTTTCTTCGAAAAAATGGAAGAAAATCAACATCAAGATGAAGAAAAAGCTGGTACCTTGAATGAGCCAATTTTTGGACCTCTTCCGACTGAAGGAGCTGTTCAAAGATCGTTGGAATTTGATGATATCAGGAAAATGAACAATTTTATTATCCTTACCCTAATCCTAACCCTAGCCCTCAAATTGGCTTTAATATTTTCTGTGAAAAAATCGTTTTTCAGACAATTTTTTCTTTTGAATATTGATTGGATTTTTTCTGTTTTGAAAAGAAACAAGAAAAAATTCAATTTACGTAACTTAAAAAAAAATTGATGTAATTTGAAAACAAAGCTCGGGCGCAAAATCTAACAGGACACAAAATTGGTGCCCTCCGCGACCGGGATTTGTTTTGTCAAATCATAAAAGGGTGGTAGTTTTTTGTCGCGAATTACCGCGAACAAACGTTTCTCCGATTTGATGTTGGGTAAACATGGTGGAGGGGGAGAGGAGAAAAAGATGAGCTCAGAATTACAAAGTTGTTTGTTGGGGAAAATCAACAAGGGTTAGCTAGAAGGGCATCCGCTTTTCATTTGTCTGCTTTTTGGACGGTTCGAGTTTACTCAGAAATAAATGATTCGAAACTTGCTGTTTCATGAAATAATAAAAGAAATCAAGACAAGAGGAACCTTGTCTTAACAAAGCAGTTTTGGGTAAAAAGGCTTAAAATAGAGGCAAATGTTGACATGGTCAATTGAAACCGTGCTTTTTTTTTCTTACTGTATTTTCGAGAAAAACGGTTTTCTGACAAAAAAAGCTTCGACGAAAAATACTTCTCAGACTAAGCAAAACCGCAAACACTCGGTAAAGCGCTTTGAGAATCACGTTGAAATCCAATTTAACAGAATAACAACTAAGTGGGCAATAAACAGAATTACGCTCCCAACCTTTCTGGTCCAGGGTTTTTTATATTTGTCAGCCCTTTTGTTACCCTCCTCTTTTCTGAGTTATTCTGATAGCATTGCCCCTTGGGAAAAAGGAGATGTATGAGAGTTGTCCACGAGACCTCTTTTTCATTAATTAACCCAGAATTAACCTCTCCCTGTAGCAAATCGTAGCTAATCGTGAAACAAAATTAACTCATTGTTTATTTTTCTGAAGCTTTATTGGTGGCGACTTAGAGAAGCAACAAGGGTCGTCAACTGATTCAGGAAAGCTCAGCAGCAATTTTGATTGTAGACAAGTCATTCTCTTCTCATTCTCATTCTCTTTCTCTGAACCAAAAACAAGAAAAGAGCTCAAAAGCGACTTTTTCGACAACAGAAACAGCTACTACCAATCAATCCAGTCTTCAAGGGTCAAATAACAGTAAGATTGCCATATTTTTCACTAATTTTATCCTTGTTTACCAAAGAATATACGAGGTTGCCTCTGATTTGGGAGAGAAAAGGAACTCTTATCGAAGAAACACTAAGACTGTCAGATTCGCTTGTTCGGGTAATCATCATTTTTTCCTCTTTTATATTTCTCCAAAACTTTTTAGCAAATGGACTCTATCGATAGGGCCTACCCTGGTTCTACGAACAGCCTCAATGAATTTCCCCAGCCGCCGAAAAGAAAATATTCCGCGCTGAAAAAACTGCAGCAGAGGATGTCGATAAGATGTACTGCTTTTTATACCATGATTTTGCTGTTTCTTCTTTTGTTTTCTTGCTTGATAGCAAGTGGAATCATTGTGGCTACGAGCAACTCCTCAGGAAAAGATCCCAATTAGACACGAGCACAAAATCGTGAAAAAAATTTTTTTTGATCTTGTTAAAAAGAATCGGACGAAAATGTGGAGCAAATGTGGACTTCTCCCCCCAACAGTTCATCATTTCCGGGCGAAGAGGCGCGCCCCGTGCATTAAGATTTCCTCCGGCCGAAATATTTTCAAAATAGCCGAAAATCAGTGCGTTCCACCGTTCATTGTAAAAGTTCCAAAGATCGTTAAATACATTTATACAGCCAATGGAGTTTTTCTTCTTTCAAATCTTCTTTCATTCTTCTTGCTACCTCGGATATTCTCGGAAATCCTGCAACCTGCCAAGTCTAATTTAAGGCACATTTTTCAGTAATAAATTTTATTTTCGCGAAAATTTCAAGTCATTTTTTAGTGAAAAATGATCTTATAGAAGGCTGCATGTAATTTATAAAAGAATGTCTTCGTCTTCAAGGTGAAGATCGTCGAACTGCTCAATAAATTCATCTTCTTCTTGATCTTTTTCGACTAGAGCAATAAGCAATAAGGAAAAACATCGTCTAGAGGCTTCACGCAGAAAAGCAAAATTTTGCATAAAATTCGATTTTTATACTGTCAACCACCCAATTCCAATTTAAGGCACATTTTACGAAAAATGCGTCACCAAAAAGTGTGCCTTAAATCAGGTATCCGAGGTATTAGGAACTGATTAATAAATCCGCTTTTTTATTGGATATTTGACATTCGAGTGACATTATCATTATCGTCTTTTTATTCCAGGTCTAAAAACGACAGTCGTTCATTTTTGATGAAGCCTCGCTTTTTTCTTGGTTTATCCTCGCGTGTTGTAATATATTCTGTTAATAAGGTCCTCGATTGAACTAAGTTCCCTTAGGAAGGGTCTGAGGGAAATATTGATCAGAAAAGAACCTTTGCCCATAAGCAAGATTATCGCTGAAAATATCACGGCGGAAGTATCGATACGTTGGATCGTTGCTCGCTGCGGCTTTCAACGCCGTGGAAATGTTTATAGTACTTTCTGGGTTGTAATCATCGTTATTTCGGCGAAACTACCATACTACTTATTCTCGAAGCCCACTTCCTGTGGCCATGAATTTGTAATGTTATCAACCCCTTATCTAGTTTCCGCATCGCCGGAACCTTCATCGCCGTTCTCACTCAGTTCCGTCTCGTCGGCCGGGAAGACCTTCTTTTCTGCGGCTTCCACTTGCTTTTGTTTAGAAGTTTTCGATTCCTTCGCGATTTCTTAACATAACAATAATGTCACAATTAACGATTTTTAGACAGTGCTGAAAATGTCACGAATGTCACGAAAGTCACGAATGTCACGAATGTCACGAGTGTCACGAAAACATGTTTCTTTTTCGTGACATTTTCAGCAGAATCGTGACATTTGTGACTTTCGTGACATTCGTGACATTCGTGACATTTTCAGTACTGACCCGATTTTCTTACCAAGTAATATTTGAATCCACCGTTGATCCCTTACTGGCAGTTTTCCTGCATCCACGATTCCTGGAATATACCCTTAAGAAATTATTCTTCGAAACAACTGACCTGCCGATATTTTGAACTAAAGTGAAAAATGAGATAATGCTTAATTTCATCCAAGTGCTTCTTTGTTTCTTCCCCCTTTTTTCCGGAAGTTCTCTTGTTTGATGGAAAAATGAGAGTTTTGAAGCCTATTCTTTTTTATTGTTTTCGTTTTGAAAATATAACAACTTTAAGTTTTGGAGGAGTGAGTGGTAAACACAAGGTGGTTTTTCTCCAAACAGCAAAATGAGAACTGACGTGGGGCAGTTTGCTTGAAGCTCAATGAAACATCAACAAAAGGGGATCAACAAATCTATTTTACGAAATTTTCTTGCCTCCAAGAAAACGTCCTAAACACGATTTTTCATCACTGTTCTTTTCATTCATAATAAAGAAAAATTTTATTTACAGAAGAGTTTTTTTTTCAGAATCTGCCCAATTCAAGAAATTTTGGACGATGAAATCTCTTTGCCAGGCAACTTCTTCTCGGTAAAATTATTCTTTTCGTTATCTTTTCGTTGTTTCTTGAAAGAAATTGAAAATTACTCTTATCAGTAAGGACATCAATCTATCTTGGTAACCCAAGATTCAAGATATTCAAGATTAGCCACTCACCTCTTTGAATTTATTCATCAAATCGATTTTGATAAAGTACCAGACCATAAGAACTATCAAACCCTTTTTGTGCAAAATGAAGACAAGAAGTAAAATGAAGTAAAAAAACACTCGACTTAGGTGCCGGTTTCGGGGAACATGAAAAATAAGATAATAACATAATTTTTGTATTTACGCTCAAAACGGAGCCCCTTATTTGTTTCTTGTTTTGGATCCTTTCCAGGAGAACGAGGCCTACTGCCGAACCACCAAGAGCGATGAGAAGAGCTGTTTGACCGCTTCGTTCCGAGTGATCATGCAGCTCGTGGGCCATCTGAAAATAACGACTACCACGAAATTGAGGGCCAAAATTCAAAAAGTTTTTTTTTACCATTTTTCCTCTCCTCTTTTTTATCTCTTTCTCTTAATCCCCTTTTTAGAAGAAAGGAAGTGTATGTGGTTTTTTATAGAAAACATCACGAGGCCGATAATTAATACCTGTTTTATTAAGACTTGCTCGAAGAGAGAGAGAGAGAGAGATAAAATGATGTTGTCGACTGTTGCGGCGGGCTGGGCCACCGCGAACGAATCAGATTGAGGTCATTCGGAGGTCGCGAAGACGTTCTATCTCAAAAACCAAATGTGAACTAATCAATCTTTGCATTGACACGTCTACACTTTAATCCGTCGCCACGAATCTCGATCATTCGAATTTGTCAATCATTGATGCAAATCAACAACAGTCGATGCTCCTTGACTCGAGCTGAGCTTGGAGAACCCTTATTTAACCCTTTTAATTATTCCTGGTCAAATTACCCTTCTTTTCTGAACAAGTTTCTTCAGTAATTTCTGAAAAAGTTCCTTTTTCGTGCGTTTTGTAGTCATATCTCCTCCTTCACATTTTTCTGTCTTTCGCAGAGGAGAGAGTATCAAATCACAACATGAAGTGATTAAATTGGCTTCGCGGATAAATAATCAGCGGACAATTTTCTTCTCGAGTTGATCCCTCTTCACGCACTTTTCGCGCGCTTTCTGATGACACTTGCATTTTTCTTTAATTTTTTAATTTGCTTCTTTTTCGAATTTCATGACGCAGCGGTTTTTATCTACAGTCTTTTCTTATTATATACAGTAATTTAAGACACATCAATATCAATTTCAGAAGAAGCATCTTCGTTTTCTTCCAGCATTCTTCGCATTTGATTCAAATTCGGCATGAAGCTCGACTGTCCAAAATTATTCTCCATTGGCTCCTCTAGAAATTCTTCCGTGAAGTAGCCACTGGATTCAGAATCGGTGAAACTACGGTGTCGCATCGCTTGAAATGGAGGAGATGGTAGAGCGGAGGAGAAAGGATTTGGGAGCATGCCTCGGGGCAGAGGAGGGAGGGATCCTGGAGGATGGGCGATTTGTGGAGAAAGTCGCTAGAAATATGATCATAAGAACGGGCGAAAAGGTTGGAAACATCCTGGGATGATCTCGTCTTTGATTGGCTTTCGCAAACGATGCTGGGATATGATTGGCTTAGTGGACCCCTTGCGACCTTTAGTTGCCCACCTGGATACTTTATTTAGCCATTTCGGGGTCCTAACCCTAACCCTATCAATAATGGGTAATATCTTTCTCGATGTCTTATGAAAAGAAATGACAGGTGCCAGTTATATTTGCCAAGTATCACCAGAAATGGACGACTTAAATTGTCGTAAACATGTAAAAACAAGTTGAATTCTGCCGTATTGCAAAATTCTAGCCCTGGAATAGCTTATATTGAAAATACTCTGGATAAAGTAGGCGCAGGTTCATTTCATATCTGGCACTACAAATCCGACGCTTTCTAAAACTACCGATAAACAGCAAATCCCGCGCTTTCTTTGGTTCCTCGATTAGATAACGATTTTTGATGATTACGTTTTTGGTGCAGTTTTTTTTGTTCTTGGGGATTTCGGCCTTGATAAGGGAGTGTTGATAAAAGCATTTTTTTATATTGAAAGGTTATTTTTAAATTTAAAATTTAAAATTCAAAATTTATGTTTAAATGAAAATAAATTTTTAATTTAAAATTTTTCTTAAATAATTTTTTAATTTAAAATTTTTCTTAAATAATTTTTAAATAATTTTTTAATTAATCTAAAAATATTTTTAAATTTTTTATTAATTAAAATAATTAATTTCAAAAATTAAGGGCTTCCCCATTTTTTGCTTACTTGATTCAATTCAGCTTGAATGCTCGTTCCCTTCATTTCGTTCATGTGTCGAATAGCAGATTGATACCCTTGTTGAAACTGCGAAAGTGGAGGTTCCGGTACTGCTCGAGCCGGTCTTGAGTGAAGCTTTTGTTTTTCTAAACGTAGGATGAGGTCGGTCATGATTTTATACTTTTGCGGGAAGGTACGTGGGCTTCCGTCTTAGTAAATATTAAACAATGCTTTATTTATCCGCAATAATTCAATGAGAAAACCGCGCAGTGAATGATCCCTCACGAATTGATGGTTTTCTAATTTCCAGAATTCTCCTCCTGTTTTTTTACAAACCTTCTTTTTGAACCAAAGCTCGTTTCAAATTTCTGATGTACTGGATCGTCATTTCTAGCACCACTGCTTTCTCCAAAGGCTTCGCGCTCGCTGATTTGACGCCGAGGGGAAGCAGATCTCGAAGAGTGATAATCGAGTTGTTGATTCTATCACGACGTTTCTTCTCGATAAGCCGGTGGGGGACCTTAATCTGGTCGAATTCTTCTCGTGCAGGGTTGTAGGTCTTTGCGTTGACCTAAATAAATAATTAAGGCAAAAAACCATAACTGACTTTTAATCAAGTTTCTTTCAGATTTTTCTTTATGATTCAAAAGTTGAGTAATTAATCTTATCCTTATACTTGTACTTTCGCTCTTCATCCTGGTTGGTGAGAAATTAAAAATCACAGGTCATTGAATTGATATTTTGAATCTTGAAGATAAGCCGACAGTCTTGCGCAAGATTTTCTAAAGACCAAATTGCGCATCTCATCCTCCTACCGCGCAACGAATCAGGTTAACTCTCACTCAACTTCAGTACCAATTTAGCATCAATTTTGATTTTAAATAATTTTTGTGTAAAAATGATTTTTTTATGTACCTCAATTTTCAGTGGAACTTCAAAATGCCCTCTTTCCAATTTTCTCTTTCTCGTCAATTCTCCAGACTCAGAAAGAACCTGCTGACTGCTTGGAATCGGTGACGGAATCGTGTTCGGATTTCTAAACAGAAAAAGATGTGAAAACGTGTTCTAAAGTACTTGGTTCGCGCGCTTTGTCAGCCGCACTTACCGCTGATCGGGGATTTGTTTTACATTCTGTCGCCGTTCTGAAGATAAGCTCATCGCTAGAAAGAATTGTTATTTTCGGAAAAGCACTGTTACAAAATCTTGTTCATAAAAAACTTCAGTCAGAAAAGTCGAGAAGCCGCTAGCGGCTTCGAGTCAAAAATGAAGAAAAAAGCCGCGTTTCGTGCGGCTTATTTATTTGACTCGAAGCGCGGCTTTTTTCCATTTTTTTGACTCGAAACCGCAAGTGCCTTCTCGACTTTTTGACTTGAATACAGGGGAGATCCATAATTGAATTTTTACCTTGATTGTATTGGCTCAAAAGATGGTTGTAGTACTGAGCAGACAAATCTGCGGGAAATTCATGTTGTCTCTGATTCAATTCTTTGGCCGTTGAAAGTGGTTGTTCCCAAGGTCGAATCATGCTCTTCAAACTCCCTTCTTGCTTCTTGCCTGCGTCTCTAGAATATTGAATGTAGTGTGAACTGGAGTGAACGTCTGAAGACGTCTTATCAACCATCTAGAGGCGTCAAACGTCACCGATTATAGCGTGAAACCAAAACCGATTCCGGCGCCGTTCAACACTCGGTCGCAAAATTGCACGTGGACACGTGCATTTATAATGGATCCAGAAAGCCAGGCTTGATTATCGACATTAGAGTTACCGCTTGTTTCCCGGCTTTTTATAAACAATATAAACAAAATTTTCAAATATTTCCATCACGATTTCTACCGAGCATTGTTGCATAATATGTTTTCGAAATCGTTGTGACCCATTTGGTGACGCCTTTTTTTGGTAGCTTTGCAGCCCGCACTCGCAGCTTTCTCCCGGCAGTTTTGATCTACAGGAGTCGCAAGTGTGCCAGCCTACAGTGTAGCACCTCGTTTAAACGTGCCACAGGTGTTGAGTTTTCAGGCCCTTGCTGTTGGTGGCCTATTGGCATTCTTTTTAAGTTCATTTCTTTGCAATTGCCCTGGCAAACTACCAAGAATAGGGTCTGAAAAATTGAAAAAAAAAGTTATAATTGCCGATGGGCAGTTACGTAAAGCCTTAGGGGGCTTACCGGAGGATATAGCCCCTTGGGTTAGGCTGATAGTAAGGGGTTTTCATTCGAGCTGCCCCTTACCCTAAACCTAGTCCAGGGGCTACTCCCCCCGGGACCCCCCACCTAAGGCGTTAGCCAGAGGGCTTTGCCCCCCCCCCGGACTCCCCCCTAGTTAGCATTTCTCTGTCTCTAACCCTAACCACAAGTCCAGATTCTAGAGATATTACATGGCTCATATCATAGGCTCGAATGATAGTCACTCTCTACAGTTAGGCTAAGGGTTTTGGTTTAGGCTTCTACAAGACTTCAGGCGTAACTCAGACTCAACAGTTGGTTAAACTTATAGGGGGCATGGAAAATTTAGTCTCTCGTTTTATCGATATCTTTGCTTCTTTAAGGGGGTAGAAACAGCTTTCTCGATTTTGGACCGCAGCTACATAAAAGAAAACATAAGATATTCTTATGTTAACGATTATTCCTCATAAATGTTCCTAGAAAAGGGGTTGAGGTTCACAAAACTGTGAATGAAATTTGTTTTACTATCGGGTGACTCGAGATATTCGTGTTTGAAATGTGGCGAAAATCGAGAATTTCGGAGAGATGAGTTGCTTCTGAGCCCGCTCACTCAAAAAGTTGATGACAAAAACAAATTTTGAGGGAGATGCTCCTAGATCTAAGATGTTTCTATCTAAACCTGAAGAGAAAATTTATAAATAAAAGATTCTCTTGTCTGTAGCGCCGGTCAAAAATCGCCGTTTTCGGAAAAAACCTGTTTCTACCCCCTTAATCGAGAAGCAGCTTGCGGCTATGAGAAGAAAAGAAACAGAACCGGGCGAAACGCGGCTTAAATACTTGACACTCGAAGCCGCAACCGGCTTCTCGATTTTCTTTTTGAATTTTTCAAGGACATGACTTTACCTTTGATTATTGATTCCAAAATGCTGTTCCATTTTTCTTCTTCTCAGGTGTGAAAGTCAAGATCGTCGTCTCCGAGACCAGAAAAAATCGAAAAAAACTTACAGTAAGAGTTCAACTTCACGTTAATCTGACGAATGTGTAGACGATTTAGCTTGCTCACGCGTGCGAGAGTGCTAAGACCAGAAATAAAACCTTCCCCAATCGTGAGTTTTGAACTTTGCCAGACCCTCTTTTTAGCTCGAAAACATGCATTTTCGCGGGTTGAACTTGCATTTCATTCTTTCAAACCCGCTTTTTACTCCCTTACCGAGCTTTTCGAAGAGTAAAACTTCGATAAAACAAAAAGGTAGAAAGACGCTAGAAATTATGTAAGCAAGGACTGCAGGCACGTAGAAAGAAAAAGCTCGTATGTGATAAGTACTGAATCTAATCTTTCAATTTCCGTAGCTGAGGGTTTACGAGCTGCTGAAACGTTCCACTTTCATCTTTTTCGACAGTTTCTGGAAAATGACGATTTCGAGACGGGAGCTTTTCCAGCGATTAGCTTTTCCAGCCTTGCTGGAAATTCTAATTTGCTGGAAAAGCTAATATACTGGAAAAGCTTCTTTCAGATCGATATTTTTCTAATGAAGATATAAGTTGATAAAATAAGTACTATTTTTATTAAAAAGTGTATTTACTTAGACGTGCTTTTTTTAAGGTCAACGAAGTTTTCCAGCCCACTTCCGCCTTATAGACCCCCGAACACCATATATTTTTTAGAATCAGCAGAAAATTTTAAGAACTTTGACGGTTTAAAATTCTTGAAAACTCCACTTTCGGTCGATTCTAGAGCCGGAAGTTGACGTATCATGGTGAAGTTTGACCTATCAAATTGAAGATCTGACGATTTCCTATCATTTTCGAAAAGAATAAAGACCAACCGCGGTCAAACCAACCGAAAAAGACTGAAAAAAAATTCATCAATTTACGCCTTTTTTACATAATTTTGCCGGTCGGTTTGACCACGTTTGGGACTGTTTCTTCTGATACATTGATTACAGGATGACTCAAATCTTCCGAGCATCAATTTGATAGGTCATACTCTACCATCACACCTAAATTTCGTCAACTTCCGGCTCTAGAATTGACCGGAAGTGGAGTTTTCTAGAATTTTAAACCGTCAAAGTTCTTTAAATTTTCTGCTGATTCTAAAAAGGTATGGACCATATCGTATGGTGTTCGGGGGTCTATAAGGAAGTGGGCTGGAAAACTTGGTGAACCTTAAATAGGCACGTCTTAGTGAAATATAATTAATAATGATTTATTATTAATTAATAATCGTCGATTAGTATAAAATTTATCGAGAGATCGTTTTCAAAGGAGGTCGGGATTTTCGGTACTCCTTGTTCCGATTTCGGTACTGCGAGCATGGCTGTTGATTTCGGAGCGATTATTAATTAATTATGATATTTCACAAAGTAAATACACTTTTTAATAAAAATAGTACTTATTTTATCAAACTATATTTTCATTAGAAAAATATCAATCTGAAAGAAGCTTTTCCAGCCATTAGCTTTTCCAGCCGTTAGCTTTTCCAGCCTTGCTGGAAATTCTAATATGCTGGAAAAGCTAACGGCTGGAAAAGCTAATGGCTGGAAAAGCTCCCGTCTCGACGATTTCAAATATCAAGTTTTTTTTCGGCTCCCATAGTTTCTTGAACGCAAATCTACCCAAAAAGCAGAAAGAACTTTCTTTCATCTTCTCCCTGGAAACATGATCCGTTCACATCAACTTGACTTGATGCCTCGCCGCACTAGAATTCGTATTCACATTTTTATGGTTTACAGAACTTCAAGTTTGAACCTTGAAGTTTGACAACTTTCCAGGAAGAGCATCTTCCTGTTAGCTCGGCTAGGCAACCTAAGAAAAGGCGATTAAACATACCAATACAATCATTGAAGAAATTTTCTTAATCCTGATCTGATCCGGAGATGAGCTGTTCGGCCGAATATCGAAAAATTGAATGAAAAGGAAGAAAAAGCTGAGCTGGCCAGAAATTGAATTATAAAAGGAAAGAGAAAAAGTCTTATGATGGGAGGAAAGGAAGAAAAAGATCAACTAAAAAATTTTTTGATTTGAGTCTGCTTTCACCGGTATAAGGAGCCCCCGTCAGCTTTTGGGGAGGTTTCTGGAACCGAAAAAAAATTTCGACAAATTTTGCGTGGAAACTTTCAACCAATCAGGAGCCGGGATTCGACAAACCGGCCAATCAGCAGCCGAGTAGCCGCCCAAGCAAAATTTTTCGAAATTTTTTTGTCGGTTCCAGACACCATCCCCAGCTTTTTCCTTCAAAAATGGAAATTTTTAAAAACACCAAATTTTTGGTTCTGAATGCGTCCTCTGGTAAAACTTGCTTCAAAAACTTGATTTGAGGAATTTTTGACCAAGAAAAATCAATATTTTTGCCAAAACAAGGGCAAATTCGTCAATTTTCGGCGAAAAGTCCAATTTTCGAGTGCGATTTTGAGGGTGTTAGAGTCGAGATAGACCCCCAGAAAATGTCGCGTAAAATTCGTTTTTCGACTCGTTAAAAGCTGACGGGGTTTGATTAAAAATGAAGCTGTTTGTTGATCTTTGTTCCAGAAATAATGGTCTCTGACGAGTGCAAAGAATTTATTATGATCGTATTAGATGCATTCCTGCTTATTGATAAGGTACACCCTTATTTGCTACACAATCAATTACCCTTCCCGTTTCTTAGGACAAAGATGGAATCATCGACAAATCCGACCTAAAGACGTTCATTTCCGAGTTTTTGCCAGACGAGGAATCTCCAGGAAAGATTCCAAATCCAGTAAGAAGGAAAAAAAAATAATCGCTTTGAAATCAGAAAAAAAGTGAACCCAGAGGAATTCATCGAAACGCTGTCAGATCAAAGCTGTCAAAACTCATTGGGTGGAGTTAATTTTCTCTCATTTCTTGAATACACTATCGGCGCGACCAAGACAGTTTTGACGCCGGAGCAATTGTGGACGACGTTCAAGGAAATGAGCTTTTTGATCGAAAAACATCTTATTTAGAAGGAACAGTGCTACAGCTCGTTTGAAGTTTTACGATAAAGATGGCGATGGACATCTGAATATGGAAGAACTCGGGTTAAGGAGCTCGGAGAATCGTCCGAGTTTTCAACAACTCAGGGAAAATAAAGAAATTTCGGAGGCGGATACTGATGGAGATGGCGAGGTAGATTAAGGGGGTGGATGTCAATAATCGAACTTTTTCTTTGGATTTTTACTTTGATTTTAATCAAAAAAAAATAACGAAAATTCTACATATTTTGAGTCAAAATTTGCAAATTTTTTTTTTCAAATTTTTGACCAATCAGATTTCTAAAAAATAATATTGCAAAAAAATTTAGTTTTTCGCAGTGATATTGTTGATTCCAGCAATTTTGTGAGTGAATACCAAGTACAGTAAATGATAAAAAATGCAGGAAAAGGCTTTTTGAGAATCCTTAGCTACCATATTTACCCTAAGTAATTAAGAGTGGCCGGCAGACATTCGCCGAAATCAACGCAAGACGCATTTATTCCCCCCTCTCGAATGTCGCGAAAAAGTGAAGAAACCGATCACATTTGAGCCACTTTAAATCCGACATAAACAGGTGGCTCAAGCGCCCCTTTTTGATCTCGCTCGGGGATGAAAATTTAAAATCTTTAAAAATGATCTATTTTATAAGTCAAAACCGGTTCAACTAAAATTGACTCAGTCTGATGATTTTGCAATAAAATAAGAGTACTTTTTATTTTCAGATTTCATTCGCTGAATTTTCGACACTGGTAAATCGACAGGATTTTATTGAAGTTCCGATTGACGGTAGGAATTAAATGCTTTCAAATTTAATTAATAAGAATGATAATAAAAATAATTTTATTTATTATTAATCATTATTTTATTATTAATACTAATTATTTTTTTTTCATTTTTATTTTAATAGATTATTTAAAATAATTTATTAAATTTATTAATTTATAAGTATTTTATTTATTATAAATACAAATTATAATTGTATTTTAATAATTTTTAAATCAAATAATTAAAATGTCTATTTTAGTGGTGAACTTCGTAAAGGAGCTTCGTGAAAAAATGAAGATCTGAAGCAGAAAAAAACATCTTTTTAAGTTCCTTTGCCAATAAAGATAATAAAAACAAAGAAGAAGAGGAGCGTGAGTGACATTTTCTAAGCTTGAGAAATTCTTGCTCAACTTGCTCAATTTTATGTTCGGGCGATCTCGCGATACGGAATGACCAGCTCCACCTGGTGATTACATGATCCCAGAATGGCATGAGGGTCAAACGTGTACGGATAATCCCGCGAATCTCCTCTGAAGGAAATCCGAGATTCCATCTTGAGTGTGTCTCTTTTTTTTTTGAAACAAAAGCTAGAAACTTAAAATTGCACCTGAAAACTATTACCAAGGAAGAAAAAGTTTCGTTTCTATAAGAAAATAAGGGTGTCACTATGTTAAACTATTGAGAAAATCCGAAAAATAGTAGGAGAGGTGGATCAAATCGACAAAAATCGCGGCAATTTTCATCAAAATTTTGGTCTAATTTCAGACCAATCAGATTCGCCCATTTTCCCGGTCGGCCAATCAGATTTCAGGAATAAAAATTGCGCGAAAAATCCGGTTTTTTGACCCACTTTTTTCGTCCATTCGGGCCGCTATCCCGAAAAGCGACGATTATTGATGGCTACCTCTTTAAAAAACAAAGTATTGAACTTGCGAAAATAGATGTTCTTACGTCTCAAGACCCGTACTTGCACACATTTCTTGCTATTCCTCGCCACGTTTGTTTATATTTTATCGAGTGTTCAATTCTTCAAATAAAGTTGCAACGCCCAAAACAATCGATGTTGTAAATGCTTGTTCAGGCGCTAACTCTGTTTTTGGTCGAACTAAAAACGAGGAGGGGATTATCGTCGAGCATTCCGCAGCTCTCTTAGCATTCACCGAGTGCCTTAGAACGGATCAGATACGGTCATTCTTAAGCAGCTCTTGTGAGTACTAATTGAACTCGGAGATCTTTCCATACAATTGTCTCTCTTGAAAGCAGTCTCTGATTGGCTCAAAAGCCCCCATAAAGGCCAATACCCAATCAGTAATATATACCATTTAATTGGCAGACCTGCAGCAGTAAGTTAAAGACAAAAATTCATAAGGATTCCCCCTTCGATCCGATTTTTTTCCAGATCGAAGGGAGGACCCTTAAGTTTTCTTTCTTTTTTAACCCACTGGCGATTCTTGGTCAAAAGTTCCCATTTTCTATCTTTTTTCCTAGTCTTCACTATTTTTTCGGCTGTTTTGGCCTTATTCGTTACTCTAGCAAATCGAGGACCATCAGAACCCTCTGTAAGTCTTGAAAACCTAAAGTTCTCTGTAAGTCAAAAAAATCCTTCTTGGGACTTGATTTTTTGCTCTAAGGAGTTCCTACTGTAGTTCTATTTATGCTCTATTTTGCTAAGCTGTGCTGCGGCTCTGTACTGGAGTGCGTGTTTAAAAGTGAGTTGCAGAGAATAGTGGCGTCCGATATCTGGCAGTCGCGGCGGTGGCAGCATGCTCTGTATCGATTAGGCGGGCCTTCGATTTAAAATTTAAAAAATCGATCCTCCCAATCTTCAAGCGAATTCGAAATCTCACGTGACATATTCTTTCTCGGATCGAATCGCTTTTGCCCAAATTCTCAATTCTTTATTGTAAAAAATCAAAAAATAAAGATAAAAATGGTCGAAAAACTCTTTTTTCTTTATAAAGATTACTTTTTCAAATAAAATTTTGAAGTAATAAATATTTTTCCTTGTTTTGAAAACAGGAAATAATCGATCTTTCTTTCCCTTTTTTGTCTGTGCCATTCGTAATTGAGAAAAGAAAACCACTCGTGTTGAGCCTTATCAGTAAACTACTACGGAGCATTGAGCAGGTGCGCATTCTGTATCGCTTGGAACAAGCAACTTGTTTGACAGTAAGTACTTATCTGCTTGCGGCAACTTCTGGCCAGCTCCGTTTACAGAAAACGTGTCTGACTAGAAGACTTTGCATTAATTTAACGCGCCACTTTTTCGCATTTTTTTCTTTGCAGAAATAAAAAAACCATGAAACGTAAAAACGTGATGTGAGGCTTATCGCTGATGTGAGTCCTTCAGGTCGATTGCCAGCTCAGCATAAGAACTTCCCTTCTGCGCTCGCCAATTAACACATTTCACTGCATTTCCCGGCGCCGTAATTAGGCACCTTCTGTCACTAAAAGAACTCATAACACATGCAAAATCGTCATTTCTGCACGTTCTTGATGTTTCAATTTCAGCGAACCGAGAAATTCTTATTCAAAAGAGAGTTTTTTTCAACAAAAATTTCTAAAAAGAAAAAAAAAAGATTTTTTGCAATCGATTTTTCGATTGGAATTGAGAACTTGCCGATGCATAGGAAATTTAAGCCTGATAAGCTTGAAATCGGGCGCCAGCTGTGACTGTACTCATTCGACTGGAGAAATCGATAGCCGGAAGAAGAACCCCTCACCATTTTAATGGAAAAATAAGTAGCGGAAAAAAAAGCAGAATAAGCTCCATCATAGCTCCTGGAAATCTCTTGTCCAGTGCTTGGCTCATCATAAAAAGCATAGCATGAAAAGCGAAGCAAGAAAGCCAAATGGACTTTTTCGATTCGAAAGATATCTTCTTCCAGAGAATAATTGTTGCACTCCTTTTGATCATCATCTTTTGCCTGTTCAAAATCGTCAAGAAATTGAAGATAATCAACATGTTGCTCAAGCTTATTGAAGAAAAAAAATAAAGAGCCCTGTTCCTCTTCTTGCTGTGAGTAAACTACGAAATAGATATTTTACTGAAATAAAATAAAATTCATAAAATTTAAGTAAGCTTGAGAATTGCCGGTTAAAATAAACAAAATTATCTTTTGAAGAAAATTTATTTATTAATTTCATTTCTAAGAATAATTCTTTATCAATTTGTTTCAAACATTAATCGAGCTTCGCTTCGACAAGCGCGGGGTCTTCGGGTGTCCCCTTGACATAGTAATCATAATGGAGTCGACGGCCGGCTTGCATGACTCCAGTTAGAGCAGTAAAGAACGAGCAAGAAGCGCCGACCGCGTTTCGCGGAGTAATCGCCCAGTAGTACCTAAAACATCTTTTATCTGAAGAGAGAGAGAAGGGGGAGGGGCATGTATTCAGAAAAAATGAACAAGAAAAAGAGAGAGAGAGGCGTTTTAGTTATCCTGTTTTGTGATAAGAAAACAAGTGTTGTTGATAAGCTTTATGTAAAATTTTCTGAAAAGGATCTATGGAAAAAGTTGATAAAAAATGTATTCAAGAAAATGCTCTTTTTGATACCATATGATATGGTCCATATCCAATACTGTATCGGAAGAATCATTTGACACTTAGACAAAAAGAAAGTTTACGTTTAGGAAATGTCACTCAAACTGATAGAAGTAGATTCTTCGACGTTAAAGAACGGGTAAAGCTTACCATCTTGTATAGATAGTTCCATTGGCAACAAGAGCTAGGGACCCATTGAGTGAGAGCTGATGTGAGGGCCTGGCAAGATCCGCCAAACCGGCGATAACGAGCGACCACTTCCAAGTCGGCGCCCAGAAGAAAATCGTCTGGAAAAGTTCATAATGAAATTCCGAATTTTTCGCTAACCTTTGGCCCCGCTGGATGGTGCCACATCTCATTTATCTTTCCAGAGGGAAACTTGGCGTTAACGAATCCATCCAAAACACCGATGAATCTTCTGTACGCCCCCGACATCTACCGGTTTCTTCTTTTCGCCTCTCTTGCAAAAAATGTTTTTTTTACGATGGGGAAACTCGCAAATAAAGAAAAAGTTGCGCGATTCCTGCCGTATTTGTCAAACTCGCGATCGTAGATATCACGCTGACGCGCGCACCGTTACGTAATCAGCAAACTTGAGGAGTTTCTACTCTTTCAAATCCGGAATCGGAGCTTCTCTGTTCAAGAAAATCAACGAGGAAACACAAATCATGCCACCTGACCTTTATTCTGTTTTCCTACGCGGTCTTTCTTGCCCTGGGGTTAAAACTTTAAAAGGTTAACGATTATAAATTTTAATGAAAAATTAATTTTATTTGCCGATTTTATTAAGAAAAAGAAGTATGAAAAGAGCAAGCGATTATTTGATCTTCAAACCGACCAGATCGTCAGTGATTCTATGTCGGTCCATTCCTTTTCGCTGAACATTTTCCAACCAGAAGTCGGAACGTTTCCAGCTGAAGTATTCTTCGCAAAAACCCAGCATCCTTAGAAAAATTTGTTCAAAAAGGAGTCGAAGGAATATCAACCTTTTTCACTGTTAGTCGGTGCAAAGGACATCCTGTTCTTTTGGCATCGGAGCCAAATTTGACTCATTGATCTGAAATAGAGACCCTCTCCGTTTTCTGATTCTCCCATGAACTTGAAGACTCCATTGACGATTTTGTGTATTTTGGGGTGATACCGGTTGCGCGAACTTCCAGTCTTGGCTGCCACTCTCCGCGATGAGAGCCTAAATTTTTCGGTGAATGAGAGCTTCAATTTGTGTAATTACCTTTGATAACGCTCAATTGTTTCTGGTCGATTTTTACTTTGTTCTTAGGAGAACTTTTTACTGATTTATTTTTGCTTAAAATTTTGTTAAACTAAATTTTAAATCATGATGTGATACCTCTTTTCTCTTTTAGGCTCAATAATTTCATCGTCACTTCCTCGGGTTATCAATCGCCCTCGAGATTCAAAATGAAGCGGGGTTGGAACAGCTTCAGACCTAAAAAGTTGAATGTTATTGAATTTCATAATTTTCTCACTCTTAACGATTAATTCAAACCATTTAAAATTATATGTAATAGGTGTAGTTCCTTATGTTTCCATAGGTCTACTGTAGGTAGTTAGTATTGAAGTGAGTCAATGGAAAAGTTTTTGTACCCGTATGGCATTGCATCTCCAAAAGATCTATCTCTTACTAGACCTTCGGTCCAAATCTCACTTTTTCCAAAGTGCTCAGAGCTAAAAAAGATGACAATATTCAAGTTTAAATTCATGCGAAATTTAAATTTGGTCAATATTGTTCTTAACTCATCTGCTTCCTCGCTTGTTCCTTATTATTTAAGGAAAAGCTCAGCAGATGCTCGAGGAAGTAAAAATCAAGGAAGACTCACCCAAATTTGACATTGTCGCCAAACGATGTATCAAAACTCCGGGGCGAGCGCATTTCACTGACGGATCGGGTGCCGCCATTTCTGAAATTGATGAGTCCAATCAAAGTCCAACAGTTGATTCAATTTACCCGTAAGAAGCATTGTCAGCAAAAGAAACATCTGCATTGTTGTTGAAGAATGGACTTTGGATGGGAGTCTTTCCGAATTTTTCGCTACCGTAAGGCATATTGTCTCCAAAAGATCTATCTTTGTTCAGACCGCTTTTCATGGTTTATTTAGTCTTGAGTCATTAGTAATGACTCATTACAAGTAGACGTTATCGGCAATTTGCTGAACAGCTGGTTGAGCGGCAATTAATTTTCGTATTCTTGGAAAAATTTAGCTTTGGTTCGTTCTGAGTCAAAGGTGCTAACCAGATGCTTTATCGACTTTTTTCTCCATAAAAAGAAGAGAAAACGAAGATTTTCATAAAATCATAAAATGATACAAAAAAGATAAAAAGATAGAAATAGAAATACAAAAAAATTTTAAGAGCTACTTTAAAAATCGCTAAAATGATACCTTAGTAAAGAAATTTATTCTTCCCATATAGTGCTGCTCTATTATAAAGACAAGAAAAATTTCAAGCTAAAATGAATCTGAATGTAACCTTATTTCTTTTTGATTTCCGTTATCCTTGATGTCTACTACATACTCCGTTCTTTTAACAAATAAACCATTTCCTTGAAAACACATCATCATTTGAGTCTTCTTCTCTTATTCCCGAGTCCCTTTCAGACTCAGATCGCACCTTCTCTTTTCCAAATTTGACCGAGCTCAGGCTTGATCGAGAAACCGATTTGTCTGGCATCTTGACTTGCTTGACAGGCGCGGTCTTTCTTCGCATGTTAGGGCCGAGGTTTTTCGACCAAAGGGATAGAAAGTCGTCCGGCTCATCCTGTTGGCCGAAAGAGTAATATGCTTGCGGGAGTCGGCGAGCATCAGTTGGGAGGAGTTTCGGGAGGGTTTCCGGGCTCAAGTCGGGAACTGGCGTGACTCGGGCGATGATGATGGCATTTCCTCCCTTTTTCGGCGATGGATGACAAAAATAACACGTAGAACAATAAGTCAGAATATACCGGAACTAATAAACATAACTCGAAGAAAGATTTACGGCAATCACTGCGTAAAATATTTATTTGTCTCGTAAAAGATCACTATTTTCTAGCTCTAGTCATTTATTTTATTATTGTATTTCATCGCATTCCTTAGTTAAAGCACCCCCAATTCCGATTTCTTTCGAGTTCTTGTGCATCAAGTTGCTCCAAGCATTTCCGCCTTCAGGTTCTTCCCAATTGAATGTGTTGTATTGGCTAAGTTTACGGTTAAATTAGATGACTATTGGAAATTTTTGTCGATTATATAGTTTGGAAGCCGCATTTATCGGTTTTTGACACTTACGAGAGCCAGGATTCAAAGGCAAGTTTGTACGTCTTCAGGGTAATTTCTCCCGTCCGGGACATAAAATTACATTCAGCTGCTCCTCGGAGTTTCCTATCCCGGCCAAACCGTCCTTCCGCTACCAATTGCTTGGCAAAGCCCTCCGCTCCTTCGCATAGAGCCTGATTTAGGGCCAACTTTGAATAAAGTTCAAAAAATAAAACAGTTAAAAATCTGATAAAGCAAAATTTTTCAAAATCGAACGACTCATTACTTAAATTTTGTTAAAAAAATATTTAAAATTTTCATTGAAAAAGCCGCCTGCGGCTTTTTTGATGAATTATCCATGATTTTGAACCTCTTCTTTGGATAGCCGACTCTTTCTCTTGTCTCATTTAATCCCTCTATTGCCGCTCTGCAGATTCCCGTCAAATATGCAAAGGTCATTTTCTTTCTTCTTTCTATTTTGTCAATTCAGAAGATATAAGTGACAGATTGGGACCGGTTGTCAGGGATTTGGGTGATTAAAAAACTAGCTCACAGCGAAATTATTGGCATCATCATTCGGAGTCTCCGTTAGTAGGCGGCCGTAAATTGTTCTTTTTTTCTCCTAAAGGTCTGGAAGAGCCTCAGATAAAAATCACTGCTGACAAACTCGACATTTTTGGAGGCCCAAATTTGGTAGGGCTTATTTTTTCTATAAAATCATTTTGCATGACAGTTTATTTTATACTGAATAAATAAAAATGTACAGTGAAGACATGTGACTGACTTTTTCGTCATCTAAATTAGGTTCTATCCAAGTTCTTTCGATCGAAGATTAAAATATTAAGGGTATCGTCTCTAGACGAGTTTTTCATTTGAAAATTTTATTGAACCCAAAGTACTCGAATTTTAATCGTACTCTCAAATTGAGAAGAAACCTTTCCCTAAGATTTTAGAAGAACCAATCTTGAAATTATTTACAGGGCCAATTTGACCATCTACCAGATGAAAGACTGCATACAATGCCCTAGAAAGAATAATTATTAGTTCGTTAACAGAAGAAATATTGCCTGAAGCCATGGCATAACTTATGACTTTGATGGTTTTGCCTCAAATTTATGCGTAATTTTTCACGAAGAAATCTTCATTTTTAATTTAAAATTTTTTTTATTTTAATTTTCATCAAAAACCATTCCTATTAAAGAATAAACAACAGCAAAATAGCAAATTGCAATAACTTTTTATCGAGTTGAAATTCAACCTCTTAATTTTAACATCCAATTGCTCATTATTGGACTTTTCATTTTAACTCATTTTCCTAGAGCATTGTTTTCTATGGAAGAAACACCCATCTTTTGAGGACCAAAAAATGTTCTCTAATAAAATAAGTAAAAAATAAAAAAAGAGTACGAGGCGGATAAGAGTTGATGCGATACTCTTAGATAAATTATTCAGGAGCGCGGGGACACCAATGAGTACACCTATACTATCACCGTCCGTTTTTCTTCGATAATATTATTAATAACTATCTTAGATAAGTAGCTATATCTATAAGTATATATAAAGTTAAACTAAAGAATGTGTCATAATCAGCATCAAAAAAACATAACATCGAGCCTGAAGTGCGAAAAGCCGTAGAATTAAGGGTATACCGGCCGTTTCACCAAGTCTATTTTCCTAAATTTCTATTGGTCAGTTCTCATTTAGTAGATTTTCAAGAGACGTAACGCAGGAAAATCCATGAAACTACCCAAAGGAACCGATTTATCAGTCGCATTATTCTTCGCTATAATTTGTCTGATAATATGGTGTAAGTAACTGATGTTCGAAAAATTTCAAAAACATTTTCGAAAAATATTCTTCTTCAAACAATAAGGACCAATTTGAAGAGCTACGATTATGAAGAGGTTTACGAAGAGTCACTGTATTTGGCGTGCGGATTACAGGAACGGTCATTTTCTTGATATACAAAAAGAAATTGACAAAAATGAGCCGCATGCGGCTTTTGAAAGATTTCGAATTCGAAATTGGAACATGACCCTGTCTCTTCAGAGCGGTATTTGAATAAATAATCAACCAGCAGCTCAATTAAAAATCGGCTTTGCTTTCAATTTGCTGCCACTTTGCCACCGACGATCTTTGTCAAATTAAATTTCAATTTCAGCTGGCCTTCGCAGCGGCGACAGATTCGCGTTCATGGCAACTCCTGGCATCGAATACATTTCTTGTCTTTGGGCGGCGTGGTCAGTCAATGCTATTGCTGTTCCCTTGTCGTTGAAAAGTCCAGTTCCGGAAATTGAATATGTTCTTCAAGATGCAAGTCCCTCAGGTTCAAAGGTCGGAAAATGTCTACTAGACTGTCTTTCAGACAGAATGCAATTACAGTAGTCTTTTTGCCTGAGCTCAGTGAGATACCCTTATTTTTCTAAGCAAGTCTAGACCAATTTTTTTTCGACCAATCAAACAGTTTTGTTCGCTTCTGATCCCTTCCATTCAATCCTTTCTGCCGCTAATCAGAACCACTCAATCGACTTTACGACTCCAAAATCCGATTTCGTCCCGGTAGTTCATTCTCCAGAGCACACCGACCCGGCATTAATGATTTACACATCGGGCACGACTGGCAGGTCGGCGGTATCTAACGGCATTATGCGACGGTCTCTTTAATTAACGGTACTCTCCGTCAGCTCAATTTTGAATAATTGAATATTTCTCTTATTAATTTGGCAGAAAGCATATTATCTGTATCCACGTGATAGATGATGTAAGCTCTTATTCACAAGACAAACCCTACTGCTCTTTCATATCTTGGAAGTTTTCGAAAAGAAACAGGACATTAGATATCGCGGAATTCAGACCGAAAGGTGCACTTCACACTTGTGGCAGTCTGTCTGCTCAAGTAGCTACATTAGTATCCGATTGGAAGTACACAGAATCCGACTGTTTTATTCATTGCCTCCCTCTCCATCATGTACACGGGTTAGGAACGGGATCATTACTTTTCAATTGCTCTTTTCCTCGAAAAAAAGGATCATCCTGAACAAAGTGAACTGTCTGGTAGCGCCAACAAGCGTCGGAGCAAGTCTCAGAATGCATGAGAAGTTCAATCCAGCGGATGTTTTGGATGATTTGATGAAGAAAGATGAGCCGAGAGCGAATATTCTAATGGCAGTGCCGACGGTTTATGTCAAACTGATGGAGGAGGCCGTGAAGAAAGGAGTAGACAAACTCGACCTTGATCATATGAGAATGGTTGTTTCCGGATCAGCCGCGATGCCGAAACCAGTGAATAACCGATGGAAAAACCTGACTGACCGAGATCTTCTTGAGCGCTATGGAATGACCGAATTCGGCATGGGCCTCTCTCAGCCGCTCTACACCAGCTCGCGGGAAGGAGTAGGACTACCAATGAAACGGTTCAAAAATGCTAATAAGGCCGGATTTAAAAGATCAATCAGATTTGAGTATATTTGAACCAAGGAAAAAGACTGGAGTCCAAGCGCGCATCAGATCTGACGAGACGGATCAAATCATTTCTCAAGAGGATGGAAGAGAAGTCCAAGGTCAATTGGAAATCAAAAGTGCGGGTTTATTCAGAGAATACTGGAATCTGCCAGAAAAGACTGATGAAGAATTCACAGAAGACGGTTGGTTTAAGGTGCGATTGTTCAGATTAAACTCATATAAAAGCCATATCTTAGACTGGCGATCAAGTGAAATTTGATGGGGAAAACTTTCACATCTTGGGTCGAGCTTCAGTGGATATCATTAAATCTGGAGGAAACAAAATATCCGCGCTAGAAATCGAACGAGTGATGCTTGAGCACAATGATATCAAGGAAATTGCATGTTTTGCCATCCCAGGTTTGTAATTTCTTTCTGATCTATTTTCATTAAGAGTTAAAGACGAATTTTTTGGCGAAAAAATTGCAGCGGTGATAGTTTCGAGGTCTAAAATCAACGAAGAGAAGCTTAAATCCTGGTGCAAAGAAAATCTTGCGCCTTACAAGATCCCAAGAGTATTTGTCGAAGTTGATGAGATTGAGAAGAACGCTATGGGAAAAATAAATAAAAAGACTCTGAAAAAAATTCATTTCCCAGACGTTTAAATAAGACCTTTTTTGCTTAATCAAGGAGACTGAACGTTTATTTTCCTCGTGAATTTTGGCATTTAATAAACTCCAACTGATTGGTTCTTTGTAAGGTTAATTTTAATCTGTCAGATTTTGACTTCCTCTCCTTGAATACCAACTGGATTTCAAAGCATTCTTTCCTTAGTTTCTCTGCCTCGTATAAACTGAATTCAAGAGTAACGAGTTATAACGAGGGTATTTAACACGGGGTTCAATCTTATTCTGCGCACCCGAAGAAAAGAATTCGACTTCTTTTCGATGCAGTCGGGCATTGAGGCAGAGATTTTTCCTTACGATGAGGCAACTTCGCAAAAGATTGAAGAGCCAACAGGTCGGCGAAGAAAAAAAACTCCAGTCGAGGAGGAAATTTTTCGCATAGGAAATATGTTCCTTGGGGAAGAAAGAGAGATGACTTTAAGACAATTTAATCAAATAAAAATTCAGGTATTGAAGCCACACTTAAATTGAATCGAGCGTTGGAAACGAAAAGGAATTATTTTAATTGAATTGTACTAGTGCATGGACTGCGAATGCTTTGGAATTTTAAGAAAAGTCGGTGACAGCGTCATTCTACTCACCGAAGAAGTTCTCTCAACCCGAAGCATTCACACGCAAAAGATTGATTTCGAAAAAAGTAAAACATGGAAGGAAAAAGTGAGCCTTGCTGAACATGGAAACGCAACCGATAAGCAGCAATACACTTATTTGGGACTGGGATCAATTTTCTGGATAACAATCATGCTCATAGGTATTAATAATACCGTATTATTATATTTTCGTTTGAAATAAGCCCCATCTTTGGTGTCAAATATGAATCGTTATATGCTGAAAAACTTATATATAACTTAAAGCAAATTTCGCATCATTGGAGAAATCAAAAATGGTGACGACTTTTTTGACTTCGACTTGTCACCGAAGCTACAAAGAATGCGTCAAGATAGAATCAATGGACCTTTGCGGCCATTTGATGAGGCAATGCAAAGTGACAGAAGAGTTTATCTTACCAAAGCCGATATCGCTTATGAAACAAGAAGAAACTGAGCTGATGGAATTCTCCGATGATGAAAACAAAGTAAATCTTCGCCGCTGCAAAAAGAAAAAATTTCTCGACCAGAAAGTATGCCGCCACCTTTGCTCGAACACACTGATTCTGAAATCAACGAGGACTCATCCAATCACGCCTTGCGAGTCAATTTGTTTTGAGCTAACAAGGTCTTCTGATTTCGCAGGAGATGTTTGTCCGTCCGAAATTTATTGCAAAAATGGATGTCCATGTCCTTTCTACAAATGCGAAAAGACTGAAAGGGACCAGAAATATATTCCAGTATTTGATCTGGAAAAAGGCGATTACAGTCGTGACAGTTATTCAGAAACAAATCAAGAAGAAGGAGAGGGTTGAAAGAGTAAAGAAGTAGCAGAAATAAGGTGTTGTCTCGCTGATCAGAAGCTCATATTTTTATAAGAGAACTCTCCAAGTTGGGCGAGAGTCCTTTTGGGCGGGAGTCCACTTGGGCGAGAGTCCTCCACTTGAACTCTCCATCCTGAAAAGACAAAGAGTCAAAGATGAAAAAACATACTCTTATCCTTTACGATCTGACAAAAAGTATTAACTCAACTATGAAGGGAAATTTGCAATTATTATTTTTGACAGGTTTAAGTCGGCGAGAAAGTATTATATTTTTGCCTTCTATTCTTGCTTATTTGCAATTTTCCCGATAAAGATCGATTCTCCTTTAAGTGATTTCGATTATTACGAAAGTTTTTGAGATTGATGAAGATATAATTATTTAAAATCATCTTTCCAGGGGTCTGGCAAAAAATGAAAAGCGAAAGCTTTAATTTTTCAAAAATTTATAGCGAAAGCGAAGCGAAGCGAATCAAAATTTCAAAAGCGAAAGCGGAGAATTCGCTTCGCTTCGCTCATGAGCGAGTTTTCAGAAGATTTTGTCTTTAAAGAAAATAACTTCAGTCAAAAAACGAATAAGGCAATTGGGACAACTTTTTTGAACGGAGAGCATTACCTGGTTGATCGGAGGGGAAGCTTGATGCGACTAAGAGAAAATGGTACAAGCACTCTTTTTATCAAAAACCGCATCCACGAGAGGTATTTGAAGTTGAAGACAAAAATAACAATTTTACAGTAATGGAAATTTCGAGTTTCATTTCTTCTCGTCGATCGGAACTCACGAAATAAAAATAAGAAACAAAGAGAAGAACACGACTATTTTTCCTGTTGTTGTCATTTGAAAATGGTTAAGAAAAGAAGATATCATTTTTTTATCAATCAATTTTGTACTTTCAATTGACCATAATAAGTTCTCCGACAAACCGGAGAGATAAATGCTATTATTATGCCCCAGATTATAATCTTAAGAGATTCGAAACTGCTCAAGGTAAAAATGATAAAAAGTACTGCCGCAAATGATAATAAAGGATACATCGCGAGCAACCATTTCAATGCAAGAACATCTTCGATCAGCTTCGGCGGGACATTTTATCTTATGAGCTTGAGACTTGGGATAAAATGGATAACTCTTTCAAGGACAGTGGCACTGAACTCAATCCGGTCAACGGAGGAAATGGAAAAAGGGTGGCGCAAAGACGAAATTGCGCTTTCTGAGATGTTCCGAGACTTTGATCCGGCTCATGTGATTCCTCTGGAATTGATTTGAAAAGAATAACTTAGGGTCCTTATTGACTAATTATTTCAACACTTTCTGTAAATCGTAAAAAGATCGACCTTGGTCAACTTATGCTCATTTTGGTCACGAGAAGCATTGAGCTCTCAAACATGCAATATTCTTTGTTACTCGAGAAAGAAGGAAAATTTTTGACGCTTGGAAGCGAGTGGATTGGATCTCTGGTCGAATACGAACAATCATCCAAATGCTTATCCGGTTTGTACGCACCAAATGATCTTGCTTATTCAAGTCCATTTGGAACCAATAATGATGAGTGTGAGTATTTTATTAATGTATTTTTGAACAACGACCGGATCTTTCTTCAAAATGTTGTTTTTGATACAACTTTTGAAATTCATTTTGATTTTGGAAAGGATCAATTATCAATACGTTTGATTTCCTTATTATATATTATATAAGCGAAATAAATCACTTTTCGATACTTCAATAAGATCAAATAGAGCTTGATTTCCAGCAGCAAAAATCAGCGAAGAAAATCCACGTGACCAGCAACCCATTTTTTAAATTCCATGTCGATGTCTTCCCTTACTTTGCTAAAAACGCTGTTGGAGAGATCCGTAAATTTCCTCAATCAGTCAAGGCTTGACAAAAACCAAATAAAGATATTTTTCACTTATGGAAAAGTGGGTTTTACCGGGAAACAGAGTTGCAAATTTTAATTAATTCTTCTGAGCTGAGCTGAGCTGGCTTTTTTCAGAGGTCATTGAGCGGTGCTGAGCTGAGCAGACCTTTTGTTGAATAGAGTTGAGCTGAGCTGAGCTGAGCGGACCCTATTTTTACTGTTTTTTCGTAGTCAAATTGTATTCAAATCACTTAGCTGAACTGAGCTGATTAAGGTGAAAATTGTCTGAGCTGAGCTGAGCTTAGCAGAACAGATCATGTTCGAAAATAATTGATCTGAGCTGAGTTGAGCAGCTTGAGCTGAGTGAAAATGGTCTGAGCTGAGAAGAGCTGAGCAGATCAGATCATTTTCCAAAATAACTGAGCTGAGCTGAGCTGAGCGACTGTTCAACTCACTCAGCCAGCTCAGCTCACTCAGCTCAGCAAATTTGCAACTCTGCCGGGAAACGAGAGGCAACAAGACAATCAGGCCTCAAAAAGCAAGTTCCTTGGCACCACCCTATCCAATGGCAATTATTCCGAATTTTCCTTTCGCATCTTTCGATGAGTCCTTATTCCACATTTCTTCATTCAAAGTCAATTTTAATGAAACGAAAAAGCTTCATCTTGAAATAAAGGAGAAGTCTCAGACCGGCAATTAAGGAAAATTATTGATAATATTTCTTGAGTCTTCGCAGAAAAGGATGAACAAAAATGATCCTGCGAAAATCCTGGAATTTCGATCTTTTAACGAAAAATCAATTTTTGAAATTTATATTTGTAAAAATAGCTCGATCGAAATAAAATCCGATTTTTTCGAAAAAGCCATCTTCTTTAAATCACCTCTGAGTTATGACTGGACATCATTTGAATTTGTTTTTGATATCACAGACGGCTCATCACTTCTATTCGTTGATTATCAACATCCTTACCGAAGAAAGAGTGCTAAGCGAACAATAAAGGGGCTTCGAACAATGAAAGAAAAAAGGATCAGAGCTTTTAAATTCGACGACGAGACCAAAATCAAAAACGTTTACTTCTTCGAGCATTTACCGAATAAGATCCATGTCATTTTGCCAATACATATTGACTCGACTGAACTTACAAAGAAGAGAAGAGCACTTGCTCAACAGTACGCGCTTTTTGGTGACGGTTCTATAGATGAAGACGCAAAAATAAAAATGATTATAATGGATAAAGAAACAGGCAGGTTCCATCAAATTTATAAAAATACTTCTCTTTACTTAAGGACCCCCCGTCAGCTTTTTTCGAAAAAGAAATTTCGGAATTTTAAAATTTTGACCCCGGAAATTGATTCTACGGGTCAAAGAACGACTTTGAGGCTTTATTTTTTGGGGTCTAACTAGACTTCTTCAGCCCCAAAATAGCATTTGAAAATTCGACTTTTCCCGAAAATTGACGAATTTGCCCTAATTTTGACAAAAATATTGATTTTTCTTGGTCAAAAATTTCTCATATCAAATTTTTGAAATAAGATTAAACTGAGGAGGCATTAAGAACCAAAAATATGGTGTTTTCAAAAAAATCCGTTTTTCGAAGAAAAAAGCTGACGGGCGGGTCCTTAAGGAAATCGTGTGACGATCTATGGAACAAAACCTGCACTGATCAATGGTCAAGTGCATCTTTTGGGGGCTTCGGGCGAACTCAAGTAAGAAAAAATAGCAATATTAATAAGTTGGTCATTCTGAAAGATTCTTAAGATTGACCAAGGCGAGCTCAGAGCTTTAAGATTTTACCTTCAAAAGAAATATTCAACAGGAAGCTCGGCTCTGTCGATCTCCGAGGAAAAGGAAGGTTTGGTGCTGGTTATCTTCAAAGCTTTTATTTGAAAGGCCAAGAACTTTTTTATTCTTTTAGCTCTTGTTTGTTTTGAGAATCCAGGATTTTATAGAAATTCTCAACGAACCTGTGAGATTTTTAATGGCACTTCTGTTCGTTTTCTCGAGTTTAAAACAAGATACGCACACACAAATGGTCCACTTGGTTATTATAAAGGGCGGCCAACCACTGTTGGCGGTCAAGATTATCCTTCTATGAACGGAGGGGCCACGGAAGTCCTAACTGAAGACGGGTGGAAAATCCTTCCTAGCAATCCAGGGTAACTTATAAGAAATACGGTTAACGGACATTATAAACAAACGGACATTATAAACAAACGGACATTATAAACAAACGGACATTATAAACGGACGGACATTAAAAACAAAATTTAAAACGTTTTTAATGTCCGTTGTTTATAATGTCCGTTTGTTTATAATGTCTGTTTGTTTATGATGTCCGCTAACCGAGAAATACTGCCTAATCAAGTTGATTAAATCGACAACGTCGAATTTTATCTAGAAAATAAAGATTATTTTTTATTTTATTTTATTTTATTGTGGAGTACAAATTCAGTACTGTCTATGCGCATTGTGTTGTTGGACTTCCATCGGGATCAATCGCAACGATAGGAGGCAAAAGTGGCTGGGATAATTATCCTTCGAAAGAAATTTGGGTGCTTGGCGACAAATTTTGGAAATTAATAGGATATTTAAAACAGGTTAATATAAATAGTTCTTTCACGAATAATTTGAATTTTAAGAGTTTTTTCGCCGGATCTGTCATTCTTGTGGAAAACTGTATTTATGTTTTCCCCGGAGAAACAAACAGTGATAAAATAATATTTCGACTCATTTTAGGAAATGTTGATTCATTGCGAATTTTATTTTTCAAAATTTTTAAATCTGCAGTGGCAACTTTAGTGATCAACTGAGTTAAAAGACGGGGACGACTTAATTAATATTGAAAGAATTGGAAAGCATGATTCCTTTTTCTTTGAACCAATTATTTTCCTGACATCAATGAATTAATGTAGTTTGCTAGATCACTTTCAAATTCTTTCCGTTCTTGAAAATAAATAGTAATGCGTAACAATCTAATGAGAGACATTTATTTATTTTGGCTCGCACTTGAATGACCTTGGACCCTTCTCAATTTGTCGGAAAAAGATAAAAACAAAATCCCGCGGAAAGAAATTCCACGGAAAGTCTGGTAAACATGTGATTAAAGTAAGCATTGCTCAGAGTTTGCATAAGAAGGCATAGCCCAACTGACATTCAACCGCTCACCAGTGTGTACAGATGGACAGATAAAATTTAAAGAGGGGAGCATTTCCGGAGTCATTCAGAGCGATATAAATTGTTGAAAGAGCGTTGTTTTCGAAAATTCCTGGGGTCGGTAGAGTTTGAAAAAATTGTTTGCTAGCAAGAATAAGGAAAAAATCAGTCATTCGACATTTTATCGCTCTAGAATGACCCCTTTTTGGGGAGGAAAAAGAAAGCATAATCATCAGATATAAAGATCTGAATCGTCAGTGAATGTAGTAAAAGAGCCTTTTGAAGGGCATTTTACATATGTTTTGCCGAAGCAAGTTGTTGGAGAAAGGTGATTGTTCGTCGAGTCGGGAGCTCAACATCTTTGAAAAGAGCTGAGGAAAGAAGCTGGGAGTCCATTCTTCTCGCCTCAGAAACGCAAAGAAGGATATTACCAAGTTGGAGCTGGTGCTGCTGCGACAGGCGGGAGAGTTGGAGAGAGCGTTCGTTGAAGACAACTGCGGATATGATGTCTGTCAACTCGTTTTCTGTCGCTTCGCTGTTTTGAACGCTAGAAGATTTTGATGATGAGGAGCTTTGGTTGATAGGACTTACAATTCTGTCATGTTTTTGAACTCAGCGTAGATCTCCCGCTCTTTCGGGTCGTTGAGTCCAAGATTTGGGGTCAGACCAGAGAGAGCGCATTTGATAAGAAAGACGCAGAGCCAGTCACGGCGGATGAGTTGAAGTTGTTCGGGGAGGGGATTTTCAGGAAGGTGCATTTTCGGATCAGATAGTTGATCGACTCGTCTAAAAAAGGGTTGAAAAAGGAATTTAAGAAAATCACTACCGAGGGTATTTTTGAAGGCAGCTTGACTAGCAGAGCTATTTCCGGAAGCTTTTGATCTCCCGGTTGTCAGAAGATCGTATAGAATCGATCCTTCTGGTGTTGATGGACGAGAACGTCTTAAATTAATGAAAATTATAATCGAGAATAAAAAATATTTTTCTTACCCTTCACTGTCGATTGATGAAGCTCTTACTCTGCCAGTTTCGTTCCGAGTGTGGAACATCGTTGTTTTTTGAGAAAAAAAACGTTTTGCGAAAATTCGTGATTGAAAATTGTGGTGAATGGGACGAGAGAAGAGTGCAACGCTCCACTCAGTGATATTTGCGTACGGCCTTGAAGTCTGGTCGAGGCCGTGGTGAGGCCAGTTGAGTCGCGGTAAAATTTACTGAAGTCAATGACGAAACGAAGAATCTGAACGGATCTGTTTTGAAAATGACAATGTTACAGAAGGCGAAATAAACGTTACGGATCTTTGATTTATTTATGTGACATAAATTATGTCCAATTATTCGGCAGTTTATAATAGAATAGAAGAATGACCGAAAAAACGACTTCTTGGGGCTGATTTTTGGTCAAGAGACACCCCTTCTTTGACTCATTTTCTCGAAAATTTTTGAATAAAACACAAATTTTCTTCTTACCGCCTGAATTTTCAAACGCTTTTTCTGACAGCCAAAAAATCAAAATTCTGCTATCGAGTCCGGTTTTTCCGCATTTTTGGTCACGAAAATTCCGATCCTCGTCGACCTCCCCCTTCAGTCATTGAAGTGCAGTGTACTCTTTGTTTTATAATGAATTTGATGATCAAAAACTGACTTTTGATTTTAAATTTTGATGCAAAGTTGACGAGCGGTTAATAAAAATCGATAAATGAACGATGCATGGGGTCAAGGACAACCACCTCAAGGTGTGTTCGAAATTATTTGCGTTACGTATTTACTATGGAAACTCCGAAATAATTACAAAAGCAAGGAAAACTTCTCACCTTTCATCTTTCTCCTTTTTGAACTTTCAATTTATGAAATCGCTCGATGAATTTCATTTGAAATATAAATTTCAAACTACAAAAAGCTTTGGCTTTTAAGATGCCTTACTATTGATCTGTTCCTATTGTTGGCGCTGTGTTAAAAATCTTGCCTTTCTCTTTCACGAAAAAAAGAGAGAGAACCCTGGTTCATTCGATGAATGACACGTTCCAACACTGTTTCCTTTCATTAGCATTTTTTCAGAAGCTTTAAGGATCTTCAAAAATGAAACGCGCCAAATCTGGTGAACCCGTTTCGTTTCTGAGCGAAGAGATAGACGCAGATATATAATTCTGAAATCAAGAGAAGGTCGATTTATGAAAAATGATATGCTTGAAAAGCTGCGCGATTGGTTGGAGTCTCGTTCATTTTTTGGGGCTTTTGATTCATGGTTGCTTGATTATCAAGTTTTTAAGCTTCAAAGGTAAGTTTAAATTGAAAAATACGGGTAGAGGGAAGAATTAGGTTCGGGATCCGGCCAGACTTGCAAATTTGCTGAGCTGAGTGAGCTGAGCAGTCGCTCAGCTCAGTGATTTTTGAAAATGATCTGATCTGCTCAGCTCAGCTCAGCTCAGATCAATTATTTTCGAACATAATCTGTTCTGCTCAGCTCAGACAACTCTAATTTAGCTTTGCTCAGCTCAGCTCAATGATTTGAATACAATTTTACTACCAAAAAACAGTAAAACAGCTCAGCTAGGCTCAATCAGCTCACCTCGGCTCAACTCTCTTAAACAAAAGGTCTGCTCAGCTCAGCTCCGCTCAATGACCTCTGAAAAGGCCAGCTCAGCTCAGCTCAGCTCAGCTCAGTAACCTCCGAAATAGGCCAGCTCATCTCAGCTCAGCTCAGAGAAATTTTTACTCAGGTCAGCTCAGCTCAGCTCAGAAAAATTAATAGAAATCTGCAACTCTGGATCCGGCTCATGATAACTCATGGCAAATGATTTTATCTCGAGAAAAAAGATGAAAACCAGGTCTTAATACATATTTTTCAAGACAACAACAGGATGGACAAATGCTCAGAGTCCCGTAATCTCCTTGAAATCCGCTTATCCGACATGCAAAATGAAAATTTCTTCGCCCTCAACTTCCACACCAAATTATGCAACGAGCTCTCTCAAATCCTTCCAACTTGGTCTGAATCTGGCAATTTTTCTTCAACAAGTCTTCAAATCATGGGCGATTTCAGGGCGGAAAACTGCACCCAAAAAAGCCTTGAAAATATAACTGATGTGTTGAAAGGTGAGATAAATTTTGAATAAATGGGGTACGTCATTATTGAATTCAGATAACGGCGCATTAGTGGCCAGCGAGTTTTCGAAAATGTATAATTACGCCCTTTCCAACATCGAACTAAACAAACAGAGCTTCGAGCAACAAGAACTCAGGCTAACTGGAGAGGACTTGGCTGAACTCGTTTTTCGCCAATCCCGCGCAGTTTTCATCGAATTAGAGGATCGGTCATCGCGTTCTTAGAAAAAGCAAACGAGTTCATTAATTACGAGTCGAGTTGAAACTAGAACGAAAACCGGCTAACCGAGTTAAAGAATGCGAAAATTAATTGCAGATTCGATTGGACTCCCATGCTCGTCTTTCTTCACATTCTTGGGATGAAGAAACTGCCCGAAGAAATCATCTCTTCGACGACTTTTGATTTCGTTTCATTTTGCTTCAGAATGCTTAATTATTTTACGCTGTTCAATTTCACGGTATATTTCTTTTTTATTCAAAGAAAAAACGTCATTTTTTTCAGCTCTCGATGGCGAAAATCTATGAATATTTCAGACAGAAAATAACGACAAAGTTCAAAATGAGCCGACGATCTTTTGACCTTCTGTTCTTTATCGTTATTTTGTCTGTTTGTGTGCTTCTACCAGCGTTGATTCAAGTCTCAAGAAGAAGCCTAGGATTCCTACCTGCGTTAATGAGCTTGTTTGACTTTCCAGGTAGCTGATGAAAATGGTCTCATTCTCAAATGGGAAACAAATTTGAACTACGACCCTTGAAGCTTTTAAAAAACATTCAGGCGATTCTGTGAATCCGAAACTCGAAGATCAAGCCGCTCTTTCTTGCCTCGGAGAAATTCTCCACCCGATTCATGATGATTACACGCTGGAAGCAATATATGAAAATTGCTTTGACGACTCTAATCAATCCAGCGAAATAAGCTTCTTCGATGTTTTCGTTAAATTTCTTCTTCAAATCTACGTAGTCAACCTCGGAGCTTTCATAATTTCCAGGAAGAAAAATGATGGGGATGATAAGAAGGGATTCTCGAGGGATAATTCGCAAGTTAATGTAAGTTTTCCGAAGATCAGCAACCTGAGTCAGGGTTCAATAAAATGACCAATTCAAGAACTTTTGATTTCTAGAGCGAATTTACCCGGCGATCATCTCTTAACGATTTCTCACGTGGAACAAGTCTGATCTAGAATTTCTAGATTCTTGACTCTAGAATGAGCTCTCCTTTTTACTCGTTGTAACCTGCCCCGTGTAACATACTGTAAATAAATCAAGCCACAGTACAGTTGATACCGTTGATCCTCCCTTGCCTCATTCAAAGTCCTTTTTAATGAGCTGTCATTGCGATTTTCAATTTTTTTCAGGTTCATCTTGGCTCTCGCCGCCTCGTTAACACTACAGAAAATTCTGTCCACACATGATAAATTTCGACGATAAACCATGCTTGCAGAAAAAAAGATCAAAGGTAAAAAAAAAGAAGTAACTCGAGTACTCATTTATTAGTAAGATAGTAATATAAACAGTAGACAAAAAAGAATAGAAATAGAAGTATGAACTTGATCAAGTTGGTTTTAAATCCGGATCCGGGCTTAGTCTAAATCGGTGCTAGAAAGTTTTTGGCACAAGAAAGATCCCATTCGGTGAGACATTTCATGGTCAAAGATGTTTCACAGGAAGTCTGGGTTTTCCTTTTTTATCGGAGCTTTCCAACGCGAGTGCGGGCCTTGGAGGTTGCCTTGGTGTTGGCGTCGTTAAGGGTGTTTACTCGGTATCGACAGAGAGCAAGCTCGTATTTTTGCTCGCCAGTTTCTTTCTCCAGAGTAATTCTTAAAGGTTACTCATGATTCTCACCATTTCAAGAGTTTTTAGGAGTACTGGTCTTTGATTGGCTGACATTCCCCATAAGCCCCATATTTCATAGGAAATCTGAGAAAAAGAGACACTTCTTACCTTGAGTTTTCGAGAACATTGAGATGATCAAAAAGTTCTTTCGCCTTCGCCTTGAGCTTTTCAACATCCAAATGGTCGATGTTGAGCTGTTTTCTTCGCTCGGCAAGAACCTTCTTCTTCTTTTCTCGCTCTGTGCCTCGTCCCTTTCGCCTGTCTAAAGAGTGTTTTTTAGCAAACTCGCTTAACAGCTCTAGAACTGACCTTGTCGTTGATTTCCATGAGCAGCTGCGTTGAGAGCTTGAAGAAGCTCCTTCTTTCTAGCCGCTTCTTCATCGGCTCTTCGCTGAGCTTCCGCTTCTTTTCGCTCTTTTTCCGCTTGAAGTCGCGCTTCTTTTTCTTGCTCCCTCTACAAAAAGAAATCAACGGAAGAGAAGAACACCGGAATCTTACTCTGGCACGCTCAGCAAGTTGAGCAGCTCGATACTCTTTTCGTTTTTCGATTCGATCTTCAAGTCCTTTCAGCTCTTCTTCATCCTTCCTTCGTTGGACGAAATGCAAGTCGATGAGTTTTTTCAACTCGCTCAGCTCTTTTTCGAGCTTTTTTTGCTGAAACTCGTCCATTCTTGTTTCTCTCGTCGAATTTCTAGCGCTCTAAAAATCCGAAATTTGACTCGCGCGTTCTTGAACGAAAGCAGAGTGAGCCCCCTGCCTTGCTCAAGGCGCTAGAAAAGGGACGGAAAGCCAAGGTACATAGTAAAGTTAACACTTCGTTAAACGTATCTCCACAGCATATAAATTAAGACAGGCGAAAATAAAACAAGCAGAAGAAACCACTGCCTAATTGACTTTTCGCTCCTTACAGAATAACTGACAGTTAATTTCTGTAATGAGAAGCACGAGCAATAATCAACGCTTCCATACGCATCATGCAAAGAAATTACGATGCATAAAATGGTCGAGTTTTATTGCATTTTTGGCCGTAAAAATTACCTGCGTCGTGTCGGACGCATTGACTCAGTTTTTTTTTTGTTTCGATGAGTAAAAGAAGAAAATAAATATTTTTGTAAAATGAATGAAGAGATTTTGTTTCGGTCCAGTATTTCTGGTAAGGATTGCTTGAAAACCAAGATTAATGAGGCGCTTTAGAGAAAGAACTGTATATTATAATAATTTGCGGACTTGCCGGAGCAGTTGTATTACTGACAATCGTTGTTATTATCCTTTCAATTGTGATCAAAAATCATAAACGACCAAAATCATGCGAGGCACATAGGTAATCCCCTTCCGTTTCCCTTCCCTTACCCTTTTGATAAGCCAAACAGAAGTGCAGCAGACAAATCAAAGTTTTACTTACATGGAGCCAGCAAGAGAGATGAAACGATTGCGCTCCCCAAGTTTACAATCGCCCGTTTTGAGCCGCTCACCAAATGCATTTGGCTTCAGAAGGTATACCCTTAATTCTCAGTCACCCCAATTGAAATGAACCCTAGCCTTGGATACTCACAAGATATAAATCTCAATACCTTTCCAAAGTCAACATCTCGGCCCAATATTTCCACGCATTTTCATCAATTAAAACCGCCAAAATCAGACAAGGTACCTCCCAAAACATCATCCACAAACAAAAACCTTTTTCTTAGATGCCTAGAAAGATGATTTTTACAGAAGAAGATGTCAAGCAATTTTCTCCAGACTTAGGCCGAGCACCTCTTTCTGCCAGCTCGCCTCACACTAGATCTCGTTCTGAACCCGCTAAGGTACAGTTAGACCTTTTTAAAATATAAGTAATTGTATTTAGGAGAGTTCCCTGCTTTCGACCGCTGAAGTCAATGAGTTTTTTAACAAAATGTGAAGTGTAAAATGAAATTTAACATAAAAAGCTTCCTTGAGTTTGTGCCTGACTCTTTCTCTGGGTTAAACCAATTTTATTAAATAAATTCCTTTCTGAAATAAAAAATTGATGGAGCGATTTTCGCCCCGCGGCGTTCAAAACATATCTTTTCAGGCGCAAAGAGCATAGTAGCTCTATCAAATAAAATTAAACTTGCACCCTGGTGGTCCCAGAATACGTCAGTATGAAAATGATTCGCAAATATCCTTAAAGAGCAAACATCAGTCAACAAATAGCTGAATCATGCCTTCTTTGCATGGCGCAAGTCCAAAATTCACAGAGAAAATTGTCAAATAATTCCAATCGTAGAGAGAAAATTATAGAAATAAACAGATGCTGGACGAAAAAGATTATATTCCAGGTAAATTGAATATTTGAAAAAACCGGTCTTCTTTTCAAAAATCAAATAAAGCAGCTTTGTATCGCATTTTTCTCAGGAACACTGGAAGAAGTTTTCTCAGACGAAGGACTTATAAAATGCTACAATGGAACTTACAACTGCATTCGCCAGACAGAAATTTTGGACGACTGGCTCGGCCCTTGGATTTCCTTCCTTTGGTTCTTGTTTCTCATCGCGTCCGGTTTTTCCATCCGAATGCTGTACAAAACATATGTCAAATTTCGCGATACGTTGGCGGAGAGGAAAGAAGATGGGCAATATGAGTTTAAAGAAGGGCTCGCGTATGATGTTGATACGGCGCTAGGAGTTTGGAAGATTCATGAGAAGCCGGTCGAGAAGAGGATCAAAATTTTGTACAGGTAAAAATGAAAACCATAAAGGTGATAGAAATCGCCCCTTTAGAATTTTTTCGTATCAAAAATTTCTGAAAATAAAGAATTATCAAAGTTTAGACCCCAAGGTGATACATCGAATTTTTTGATCATCTCTATTTTAGAATCTACTGCATTCCGCTTCTCATTGCCTGGTCCGACCTCTTCCTTGATATCGGCTACGTATCGTCCTTCGTCTCCAACGAGACCAGAATGTTAAACGAGTTCATTCACGTCGAAAACTCAGCTTTCATCATCATGGGAATCTTCGACATCGTCGGCTGTTTCCGGTAAGTTTGATTTTCCCGTTCTCAAAAAGACAATTTTAGAATTTTCTTATGCGGAGTTCTTCTTTGGAAATTCACGGAAAAACTCGACACTGAATCTGGCGCAACTCTGGCCAGAATTGAAGTGCACATGGAAGTGATCGTCATCGCTTTTGCTTTCATCCTCGAAGATTTCGCTGAGCTTTTCGTCGAATATTTTGTTGTCGAGAAATTCATTACTTATTATGATTACGAAACGAGTGCTCAAAGTTTCGCGGCTGGAATCAGCTCTGTTACGCTGAATTTGATCGCTCTTTTGAGCTTTCTTGCCTTTGTGATGAACTTCAGGTGCCTTTTCTTACTGTATTGGAACCTAACCGTAATTCTAGGAAGCAGCATAAATATCAAAACGTCGCGATGAACAGTCTTTCGATGGTTGTTCCGCTGATGGAGCTCGTTCTTTCTTCTCTTCGAACTTATCGCTTTTTATTCCAAGCTTTTGGATACCAGAAATTCAGGTTGGCTCTTTCACGCTTCAAAAATTTCAAAAATTTTAGACCTGGCTGCGTCTGGCTAGCAGCGATTGACACGGACGAGAACAACGAACCGCTCTACATTGCCGATCAGCATACTTTCAGCAAAGAGTGCTTTAGACCTCTTGATTGGATAATGGTGATTTTGATGTGTTCCTATGCGCTCATTCTCATCGTCTTCATCTTTGTTTACATCTTCAAAATCCGCCCAGAATATCAACTCGGTAATTTTCATCCCATTTTCATCCTTTAACCCTGCTTCTAGAGCTCGCAAACATGACCCCAGACAACCTCCTCGGCGACCTCAAAAAGCTTCCCACAGAAGTGAACAATCGCGTACTAAAGCCTGTCGTCAAACCGGTCACCTATGTCGCCAGTCTTGGAAAAACGAAGAAAGAAAAGACTGACAGTAAAGAATCAGAAGAAGCAAGTGAAATGCTTCCTGTAGATTATGATCCTGATGCCAAGCAATGAAATTTTAGAATAATAAAGTGGAAAATATGAAAGTGTATTTTTGTCATGTATTTTTTTGAATAAATCAGACTCCGTATCGGCCGTTGTTTTGTCCCCACTGCCATCGGGTTTGGGGATCCCAGAAGTTTCCATCGGCGTTCACGCAATTATCAGTCCAGCAGCTTTAATTTTTTTGATAAAACTAAACAAACTTCTTCTATCCTACCATTGTCTGCAAACCGAGTGATCATAGCCCTGGTCCGTTTCCGGTCGACACTGAGTCTCCGCCTTTTTCTTGTTGAAATTGCCCATTTTGCCGATGAAGTTGTTCGACTGGTTGTTTTGACAGGCGAGCTTCTGTTTGCAGCCAGTCATGATTTGCTCGACGAAATAATCACCGCTTTCCGAGTTAAGCCGCGTGCGAACTTCCAGCTCGCAGGATTCTTCGTTTTCCAAACAGCTCACCAGCGATCCGTTGGCTTAACAATACTCAATTATCGACTCTAGAATCACAGAAAAGACCGAACCTTGGCAATCTTCGATAGAAGTAGCGACGCAAGTCCAGCAGCTCAAGTTTGAAGCTGGCTCGTCTTCACCGCCGTCTCCGCCATATCCTCCGTTGTTGCCATAGTTTGCTCCACCATTGGCTCCGCCATTCTGATTGGCTCCGCTGTCATAACCGTACTGGCTTGCTTCAGCTCCGTAGTTGTCCGTTGTGTAGGTCGTTGTAGTTGTCGTCGTCGTGGTTGTTGTAGAAGTGGTCGTTGTAGGAGGATAAGTTGTTGGAGGCGTTGTTGTTGGAGGTGGAGTTGTGTAGTTTTCTGAGTGGAATGAAAATGGAGTTGAAAATGGTAATCTTACTGTTGGCCTTCTTCTTCTTTTTCTTTCGTCGAGCCAGATCTCCGTCAAGACTTGAACTGTCGTCATAGTAGGAGTAGGAGTACTCATAGGTGTTGTCATCATAGTTGTACGCTACGACACCATCGTCCTGGGCAGAACCGAGGGAAATGAATGCTGCAAGAATAACCTTCATAATGTTCAGATATAAATAATGTTTACATTATCCTAGCGATGGTCATTGTTTGGAGGGAAATATACTTAAAATTTAAAACTTTTAATCACTAATAATTACTTCAAATATTACAAATCTATAAATAAATATAATGAGTTTATGATCTCTTCATAAGTTTGAGAATTATTCCTGTCTAGAAATCTTTCAATCCAGTTTAAGTCAACTTATTCGAATTGCTTTAAATGTTTTAATTCTGAACAATTCCTTCATCGGCGATTCTTTCTCTAAAAAATTCTTTCCAAAAAGCGCTCGTTATCGGGCAGCCCTTATGTGCTAACAACCCGAATATCACCCCTCTTTATATCAAATAAAGCAGCCGGATAATTTCACGCTCTTTTTTAACGTTAGAAAAAGCGTTGTAGCAATTTTACCCAACTTTTTTGCCATGCGGTTTCTCGCCAGAGCAAATTGTGTTAAAAAAGAAAGAGCTTCGACACGTCCCCGTAACAAGCAAGCCACATTTTTCTTTTCAGGCAATTTCGGAAATTTCGGAAACTCTCGTCATTTCCGGACAGAAATTGATTTGTGATTTAAAAGTTTTGGAAAGTCGAAAGTTCAGGAAAAAAAGTTTTTTATTCGAAGTTGAGGTAAAAAGAAATTTACAGAAAAAGGGAGTGAAAGAAATGCTCAAACTCCGTATCGACCAGAATCTTGACCCCACTGCCATCTAGTGGAGAGATTCCAGAAGTTTCCATCGGCATTCACGGCAGGGGTCTGGATTCGCTTTGCGAATTCGCTCATGAGCGAAGCGAAGCGAAGCGAAGCGAATTCACTTCGCTTCGCTTTCGCTTTTTGTAATTTCAATTCGCTTCGCTTCGCTTTCGCTTTTCACCAAAAATTTTCGCGAAAATTTCGCTCAAAAGAATTCTTTCCAGGAGTTGAAAATTTCGCCTTTTTTGCTTAGCTTTAGCTTAAACTCAAGTGGAAATTTTTCTGAATGAGGTAAGCTGGCACTTGCAAAAGCTGTGCTGAGAGAAATTTTATTGTTTTCATCTCTGTTTGCCAACTTGGGGAATCGACGAATTGGACAAAGGGCGATGTATTATAATTTAAATTGATTGATCTTTTAATTTCATGTATTGGCCTCCCAACAATCAATCCTGACATCACCATCTTCAATCCCGGCTTCAAAAACTTCGATCCTTGCTTTTCAGACGTCGATCCTGGCTGATTAAATATCATTCTTGTCATCTCCAGCCTCGATTCCGGCTTCACATCAATCCCGGCAAAACCGATCCGGGCGTCACTAATTTCAATCCTAGCCTCTCAGACGTAAGTTCCGGCTTCTCAGTTGTCGATCATGGCTTTTTCAAGATTAGATTAGCATTGGAGAAGCCACGATTGACGTTGGAGAAGTCGTAATTGACGTCGATAAACCCGGGATTGAGATTGGAAAAGCCATGATTGAAGTCGGTAAAGCCAAAATTTGAAAATGTTGAAAGCAGACTTGACGATGGATAAACCATTGTTGATAAAATATTAATGATATTGAAGAAGACATGATTGAAATATGTGAAGCCAGGACTGGCATTGATGAAGCCAAGATTGACGTTTGAAAAGCCAAACAATGTCTAATTATCAATCTTTATAAATTTATTCACATCGCTGTTTGCCCAAGATCTCCGTTTACCAAAGTAAGGTAAACGACGATTTTGAGAGACGGCGACTTGGGTTAACGGCGACGCGGGCAAACTGAGACCACCGTCCAAATTTCCAAAAAAGTAATAAAAATGAAACCATACTTGAAAGGGACACTTTCTCAAAGGTTAAACATTTCCGGAAATTTTTCGCTTTTTTTCGCCTTTAGAAAAATTTTTCGCTTCGCTTCGCTTTCGCTCACGAAATTTTGATTCGCTTCGCTTCGCTTTCGCTTAAAATTTTTGAAAATTTTTCGCTTTCGCTTCGCTTTCGCTTTTCATTTTTGGCCAAAATCCAGACCCCTGATTCACGCAGTTGTCAGTCCAGCAGCTTAAAAAAGGGGAAAATATTTTAAAGGGGTTTCTCCTTATTTAATAGTCTAGGCTCCCAAACTTGCGTAAAAACCTGAGTCAGGGTCCTGAAAGATCTTTGGTAAAAAATCCATCTTTCAGGACCCTGACTCAGGTTTTACCGCAGTATGCCCAGCCGAGTTGCTGATCTAAGATCATTGATCTTACCATTGCCTACAGACAGAAACAGTATATCCGCGATTCGTCTCCGGTCGACATTGAGTCTTATCCTTGTTGTACCAAAAACTCTGCTCGAAAAAGTTATTTGCTTGATTTCTTTGACAGGCCTTTTTCTGCTTGCAGCCAGTTTTGATCTTGGTGATATTCGATTTTCGTGTTCGGATTTCTAGCTGGCAGGAGTCTTCGTTTGATTCGCATGTTTCTAGCGATCCTTGTGCTAGAAAAATGAAGATACAGTAAGGAAACGGAGGTTTCTTGATGGGCTTTACCTTGGCAGGCAGCGACAGATTTGTGGTCACATTTCCAGCATCTAAGACCGGTTGGTTCATCTTCAAGAGCTTCTGCTGGGAAGTATTTTCCTGAAAAAAAATTACAATTTGACATTGTTGGGTTGGTTCTTACCGATTTTTCTTGTTCCTCCAGGGCCGTCTTGAAAGATCCCATTTCGGAATAAATCCAAGTCCTCATCATTTTCTTCGAGATCTTGGCTCATAACGAGAGAAGGGATCAAAAGCAAGAATTTCATCGGAGATTTTCTTTTTATCAAAAGAGTTGAGTTCATATTGGATGAGTTCCATTTTATCCCAAAATTTCTAGCGTGGCATTTTTCGAGCAAAAGGTCGCCATGCTCGCGAATTTCATGGAACACGTAACAACATGATTTTCAAATCATTTTTGGATGAAAAAATGTTTTGATAAAAAAAATCGGTTCCCACGAAAATAATCGAGAATCGAGAATTGTTATGGCTGAAATAATAAAAACGGACTTAGTTCAACAGCAATCCAATAATCGATTTTTAGTGAAGAAAATTTTAAGGAGATGATAGTTTTTCTTGTCTGCTTTTTAGAGCTCATTTCCGCTTACAGTCAACTACAGCAATTCAGCGATGATGATCTTGATTTCGTCTGCTCTACCCTTAAGAAACCGGCTCTATTTTTTATTCCTTTTTAACCCTACTCCATGTAGAGAGCCTGTAAAAGCCCAAACATCTTTTCTTCACAAATTCTTCTGGTGTCATAGGATGCGAAGTCCGAGATATCACACTTTCTGACCCATCTGGAAACACCAATTTCCTCGACACTCCGCTCGCCCTTCAAGAAGATTTTTGGATACTGACCATGGACATCAATGTGTTTCCGTTTGAAGTACGAGGCCTGGTGATTCAAGTCAGAAATCAGCAGGGAGAAGCAGTCGGACGATTCGACTGGGACCCGAGATTCACGATTCCTCAGTGGTTACAGGTAAAAGTGCCCAATAAAATAAGCCAATATCAACTATATTAGGATCAACGAGACCAAACATTTAACCTCATCGACTGCCAGAACCTCAATGATACTGTCCGTAAGTCTTTCAATTAGCACTAGAATCCATTTACAGAGCTTTTAGTGTTTCTCGGTTATGAGCTGATAGAATCCGCCCAAGATGGGTTCATCCTGCCTGTTTGGTACCGAGACGATCCATCGATAAGTTTGGCAGATATAACCGTTGAATACACAATTTTATCAACAAAAGATGCATATTTTTCGTCTTTGCCTTTTAGTTCAACTGCTCAAAATGGTAAGACGTACTTTTCTACCTAACCTTAATTCTTTTTAGGAATATCCAATCAAGAATGCCTTGATCAGGGACTTTCGCCATTATCTGCTGAAATAGTCGCACCAGAAACGACAACGGTAGTTTCAAACTTAGTCCAAAATACGACGATTCAAGATGTTGAAACAACAGCTGTTCCTCAGGAAATTTTTATTTATGAAAGACTCATTTTTGTGATTTTGTTCATCAGAATTTTTCGTCTCCAATATAACGGAACGGCTCATACTTTAAATGATTATTCAGTCATGATCCTTTGAAAAAACTTAAAATTGATCACTATACGTTAAAATATTATGGTTATCAATGATTGGAATACTAAAATGAAAATTTTCAAAGACAACCACATTTGAGCTATCGACGTCACTCATCTCTTTATCATCTCCTTTAGAAACAACAACTCAGCCGGTTACAACGGATGAACCAACCCAGGAAGTGACGACGCTGCAGAATCCGTTGCTTACCACCAGCGCGCAACTAATTCTGGAAACCACGAATGCGGCAGTTTCCAGCAACACAACTACCGCTTTGATAACTGAACCGATTGAGTTGACCACAGGAAAGAGTTCACAAATATAGCAAGTTCATTAATCACAATCTATCATGAACTTCTTTAGAAGAAGAAACAACGACAATTTACTCAAACACAACTTCAAGTTTTCTGATTGATCGTCTCTCACCGTCTCTATGGGAAATTTGGCTGCCCTTACTGATCTTTTTCATTCCGCTTTCTTGCTTTTTACTGTGGATATTCTTCAGAGAAAAAAAGAAGCAGGATAATGAGGTACACCCCGAGGATGCCCATCAAGATTAATTACGTTGAATAAATTTTACTTCACTGAAATTTGAGAAGTCTATCATTTTTCTTTCTTTTATTTACATTATGAATTTGAAATAAAGCAGGGAATATGATTTTTTACTTCCAAGCCCATTCGAATCTTGATTGAGGATACCACCAATCTGGATCTCGAACGCAGTTGTTATAATCGCAGCACTAGAAGAAATCTTATTCAACGAGCTTAAAACAGTTAAATCTTACCTGACGACAGACTGAATGAATGAATTCGTGTTCAGGTCGACATTGTGTCTGGTCTTTTCCTTGCTTCCATCCTTCGGAAAAATGAATGTCAACGACACTTGAATATTTTTACCTTTGAAATTATTCGCATGATTTCTGTTACAAGCTTTTCTTTGCTTGCATCCTGTATCGACCCTGATTATCTTTCGTACTCCCTTATTGTCGTTTCGTTCTCGAACGGTCAGTTGGCAGACTTGATCTTTTTTGCAAATTTTTTGCTTGCCTTGATTTGGTTCAAAAATTGAAACGACAAAATTGAACGAAGAGAATCTTAAAATATTTTTGAACCATTTCCTATATTTTCACAGTTGGCAAAGTTTCTCGCGCTTTTGCAGGTCCAACACGTGATTGGGGCTTCTGGATCGACTTCTACGCTTCTGAAAAAGGGATGAAAAAATAAAGACAAGTTGAAGACTACCGGAAGCCAAATTCCGTCGAGTTTCTTTGCCTTCCTGCAAAAGCAGCTCCGATCAAGAGGCTCTGTATTTTGACCATTTTTCGATTTTCTGCTGATTTTCGTTTGTTCCATTCAAGGAAGATGAAACGTTTATATAACCCACTTAGGGGTAGTAATTACCATAATGTTATGCCACCTTGTGGTCGGTTTGTCTGTCAACTTGTCAACCACTTGAGAAATGGAAAATTAAAAGCAGCGGACGTGGCCGGAACAAAGGTCATTTTTCTGTTCACCTTTTGTGAACTATTTATAATTTTGTATAATTATATTTTGCTCTGTTTCTGTCTTTGAATTTCTGGAAAAATATAGGGTGTCTCTTATTCGCTTACTTGTCGGAATCAATGTTGTTGTTGTCGTTGTGCCTGATGTCGTTGTTGTTGATGTTGTCGTCGTAGATGTCGTAGTTGTAGTAGTTGTAGTAGTTGTAGTTGTTGTCGTCGTTGTCGTTGACGTAGTGGTTGTCGTGGTTGTTGTCGTAGTAGTGGTCGTAGTGGTAGTCGTCGTCGTAGTGGTGGTAGTAGTTGTCGTTGTTGTCGTTGAAGTCGTAGTTGTTGAGGTTGTTGTTGGTGTGGTAGTTGTAGTAGTCGTTGTATATGTAATACAATTTTCATCCTTCAAAAGATCGTCACCATCCTTCTCAACAATCAATCATCGAGTACTTACAGTGCACCCCTCGCAAAGATGATAAACATCATCGACAACATGAGTCTTCGATCTCTGCCACCAGTTGAGTTTTCTCAAACTATTCGGATTGTAAGGACAGTTTCCTGGGGAACAACCAAGAGCTTGCAGAAATTCTTCGTTCATAATCTCACATGTTCCATCTTTCAAAGCGTTTTTAGATGTTTTAGTTATGTTATCAAAATCACATCTTTATAAAAACGGTTCCCGCAGTATTGTCAACACCGCAGCTATTGTTAACAGTAAATTCTCTCCATCCACCAGAATTTGTCGGCGCTCGAGAGAGGCTGATATCGCCTCGATAGCACTGTAAATTGAAGGGAAAGGTTCCAGTGACAATGTATCGATATCTCGTACCATCATCAGCACTGCCATCAGCGACTTCGATTCCTCCGCAAATGTCAGTCTGGTATTCTCGGATCTGGCGAAGCTCGCAGTCGGAGCAAAGTGATTCGTCCATGTATATTTTCTCCTCGGACGGGGACCACCATTGCATTGGCCCGTAGATTGGGAAGCCATCTTTTGCTACGCCAACGAGGTCGGAAACTTCTCCAGCGGCGCAAGAATTCAAACAGCCCTGTCCGCCTAAAATTTTAGTCAAAATAAGAATAATTTTCGCCAGGGGAAAGGTACCTTGGGTATTGTAGGAAAAGTAGTGATAATGATAGTTGCCATTCGCAGGATGACCGAGGCAATAGTCCATCGAGCGGATTTCTTGAAAAGTAGCGTCGCAGCAATTCGAATTGTACGGTCCGAAAATCGACACACCATTCTTCGCGAATGCGATAGCTCCTTGCCCAGCAGGCGTCATTTCAGAAATGTCCAAAAGAACAGGAACTCGTGGAACTCGGAAACTATTGCTCTGTTCGACAATTGTTGCGGAATTTCCCGCCATTCCCCAGGCATTATGATCGGGAATGCCGTTGGAATCGAACTGGTATTTGTCCGGGCCGGAGAGATAGGTCATGCTTACGGAACATGCGAGCTGGGTTCGGTAGCACTCGCTCATGTCCGGATGGCAGCCGATCCAGCCGTTGTCGGCGGTAGCAGTGGTGGTCATGTAATCGCCACCAGCTGTATCTACCATGTTGTACTGAATATTTTTTCATTAAACAAACAGTAATTCCTCCTTTCCACGAAAATTGTTGTTTACCTGGGAGTAGTCCTGATCTCTACAGACAAATTGAGCGACCTCATCATCAGTCAGCGCTCTCGCCAGCCCAAAAAGGGCTCCTATCAACTTCATTTCTCTAAATATCTGAATTGAAAAAAAAAGAGAGTTGAGCTTATAAATAACAGCGAGAATCTAATCTTCGACTATCCGGGCGGTAGATAATGTTTCCCCGTCACCACGGATCCATACTTATATGACGTTATTTTTATCGCCTTTTCATGCGTTTTGAACGTGTTGGTCAGAGAAAGATCTCGTGATTTAAGGGACCCGGGCGAGTAACGCGTAGCCCAACTTCACGCGCCCGTAATTATTCTTTTACAAAAGCTTTTTCGAAACTTTTTTTTTCTAAACATATCTACATTCATTCAGCTTTTACCTACCACTTTCAGTTTTTCTCTATCGTTATTAATTCTTGAGCTAGGGTGAAAAAGAGAAGTTCAACTTCAAAAGGAATCAACTCCTGCAAATTTCATTTGTTCTCAACAAAATTTATACTGGATGAAAGCCCAGAAAATTCTCTACAAATTCCACGTAGTGCGCTAATCTGAAATTGCTAATAACAGTAGATTATGGCCGATAAGCTATGTAACTAAGCGCGCGCGCAGCGGGATCGCAGCGCCTCGAGCTCGCGGTGATTCTGAAGGAACGAACTGTCACAATTTTCATAAAGTGGTTCATTTTATTTTTGGGATAAGAGTGGATCATAAATAAATAAGAAAGCTTAGATTTCTACAACTGTCGTTTCGTAGTCATCAAAATCTTCTGATGACTCCATTGCAAGAAGTTCATCGAATTCAGGCAGGTCCTCTTCTTTTTCTTCAAAAATTCGTCTTGAGTTTTCGATGTCGCGCTGTTTCTGAGTGGCATATCCTCCCATTTCCGTGTATTGTTTTTGATTTCGTCGTCTTGCATTCTCAACTTTTGACTTCTTCTTCTGTTTTTCTTCGCATTTTTCTTTTCGTTCCTTCTCCTGTGCCTCGATCCTCTCAAGCCCAACTTCTGGAACTGCATAGCTGACAGCTTCAAGCATCATTTTGAAAGCTTTGTCTTGTCCTTCATTGTAGATGAGCGTCGAGATCGCTGCTGCGACCTCATATCGTCGAGAAAGAACACTTGCATGTGTTCCTTTTACCCAAAGTCGCCTTCGAATCATAAGTGCGTGGTAAAACTCAACAGGAGATGATGAGCCAGTTGCGACGAGAGATTCGATGAATTTTTCCCCAAAGTGAGCTGCGAAGAATGCATCGACTTCGGAAACAATTTTCTCCTGAGTAAAGGCGCCATGGGGTTGAAAGATAGGTGGTTTTCCGGGGCAATTGGAGTCGCACATCGAGTGATCGCCATAAGAATGGAGACGAGTCTTGTTCATTTTTGCGGTGGCCTCAGCAAGTCCCCATTCACCTGTACTGCATTTGTCCATAGTTTCTTCTGTAGCACGCTGAAGACGGGAAAGAATCTCCAATTTTTGCAGCGGCGTGAATCGCATTTCTGAAGAGCCAGTCTTGAAATTTCGGTTGACGGTGCCGGGGATGTTTTTGGAGATGTGAGCTCGGTCGTCCACGAATTCATATCGGTTCATTGGAATCATGAGCTGGTTGCTTCTTTCTTCATCAACAAAGACATTTGTATTTTTCGGATCTCGAATACCAGCGTCTTTATCACAAGCGATTTTGATGACAGTATCTGGAGCTGTTGATGTACCGGAAGCAATGTCTGCTCGAAAACTTCACGAGTGCCAATTTTCTCCAGTTGTGATGAGACAGTTCCTCGAGGAGCGATGAATCCCTTGCCTTCAGCTTTCAGCTGCTCTTCGGATATTTCTTGTGGTTTTTTGACGACTTTGTTGCCGATGATTTTCCATAGCCCTCGGACTTTTGCAACGACGCTGACGATGCATGCTTGAGCAGAGTTTCTTTTGTGACCTGAAAAGAACTTATTATTTCAAGATTTTAGCAATTTGTCCAACTACAGCCCATCAAATTCAGCCCTTCAAAATTTGGCCAGATAAAGCCCTTCGAAATTTGTCCAACTACAGCCCTTCAAAATTTGGCCAGATAAAGCCCTTCGAAATTTGTCCAACTACAGCCCTTCAAAATTTGGCTAGATAAAGCCCTTCATAATTTGTCCAATTACAGCCCTTCAAAATTTGGCCAGATAAAGCCTCTCAAATCTTGCCCTTCAAAATTTGGCCAGATAAAGCCCCTCAAATTCAGCCCTTCGAAATATGGCTAGATAAAGCCCGTCAAATGAACTTACCAGTATCGTTATAACAACCGTCAACAGCTACTTGCATCGATTTGGCTTTGAATTTCCGGGCTTCGGAGACGAGAGAATTTCTAGCAGCAAGCATTGACTTCTTTGCAAGCTCGATGATTTTTCCGTCGACCAAATTTTGAAGATCTTGAGCAGTCGAGCTTGAATGATGAAAGTCTGGCATCCTCTCCTCCCCGTTTTTCGCTTTCCCGCTCATTCCGATCAGTGCTAAGAAGCGGTTGATTTGAGCGTCGACGATTCCAACACAAGTTTTCGCTGCTTGAAAGGCTTCGTTGAACTTGTCTGGAAGAAGCCAGCTTCCGCTTGTCCACTTCTTGCACCTCGAGCAGCTTATTACGATGTAAAAGTTCAGCAGATTCATCTTCGTAAAGTTGACATCAAATGATCCGACGTTGGTGCATTTCGGACAAGCAAGCTTGTTCACGATCTTCGACAGTCTTGAGTGGTAAATAAAATATACTGTTCTGGATGAAGAGTCGTCTTCTGATCGTGATTTTTGCATATTTCTGTTTGTTATTAATTTCGCCAAGAAGTTGCTTTTTACTTTTTCGGCATTTTGAAAACAGAAACAAGAAAAACGAGTCATTATATTTGTTATTCTTCAAAAGATGGAGCAATTGAGCAAGTTATGTTCAAATAGATTTTGATAAGAAAAATCTTAGTTACATCGCCCAGGAAGCCAAGAATAGTTGCACCAGCGCGACCCGCCGAGCGAGATCATGCTGCGATCCCGCTGCGCGCGCGCTAAGTTACATTGCTTATCGGCCATAATCTACTGTAATTAGCAATTTCAGATTAGCGCACTACGTGGAATTTGTAGAGAATTTTCTGGGCTTTCATCCAGTATAAATTTCGTTGAGAACAAATGAAATTTGCAGGAGTTGATTCCTTTTGAAGTTGAACTTCTCTTTTTCACCCTAGCTCAAGAATTAATAACGATAGAGAAAACTGAAAGTGGGAGGTAAAAGCTGAATGAATGTGTGGGATGACTAAGTTCGTGGGGACTAGGTTCGTGGGACTAGGTTCGTGGGTGGCTGGCTTGAAAACGTGGTTCGTGGGACTAGGTTCGTGAGTTTTTGATTTTATATGTATATTTTATTTATAATGATAAAGTGTTATTTATATGTATATATTTATTTATATATATTTATATATATGTATTGTAATTATATGATCATATAATATAATATTGCTATCTAAATATAGGTTCGGGGGTTTTTGATTGGTTAGAATTTTTATTCTATAAGGAAAAAATATGTGCGACTAGGTTCGTGGGACTAGGTTCGTGGGTTTTTAATTGGTAATTATTTTTATTCTATAAGGAGAAATTATGTGCGACTAGGTTCGTGGGACTAGGTTCGTGGGTTTTGAAATTTTTTTATAAGGAAAAGGAGGGTGCGACTAGGTTCGTGGGACTAGGTTCGTGGGTTTTGAAATTTTTTTATAAGGAAAAGTGGGGTGCGACTAGGTTCGTGAGACTAGGTTCGTGGGTTCTGAAATTTTTTATAAGGAAAAGGGAGGTGCGACTTGGTTCGTGGGACTAGGTTCGTGGCTTTTAAAAATTTTTTTATATAAGGAAAATGGGGTGCGACTAGGTTCGTGGGACTAGGTTCGTGGGTTTTAAGAAAGTTAAGGTGCAGTAGAATCGTGTTTCAAAAAGTTAGCTTTGCTGCGTTATAGTTATCACCAATTCTTCCAAGGCAACCATTGTTATTCAGCGCTAACATAGAAATTCAGTTAAAGAGCCTAGCGGCTTATTTTGGGGGTGGGGGTGGGAAGTCATTTTTTTACCATTCAACTTTACCCAATTTTACAACCCACGAACCTAGTCCCACGAACCTAGTCTTCACGAACCTAATCTTCACGAACCTAGTCCCACGAACCTAGTCCCACGAACCTAGTCTTCACGAACCTAGTCTTCACGAACCTAGTCTTCACGAACCTAGTCTTCACGAACCTAGTCTTCACGAACCTAGTCCCACGAACCTAGTCGCACCCCCTTTTCCTTATAAAAAAATTTCAAAACCCACGAACCTAGTCCCACGAACCTAGTCGCACCCTCCTTTTCCTTATAAAAAATTTCAAAACCCACGAACCTAGTCCCACGAACCTAGTCGCACTCAATTGTTCCTTATAAAAAATTTCAAAACTCACGAACCTAGTCCCACGAACCTAGTCGCACTCAATTGTTCCTTATAAAAAAAATTTCAAAACCCACGAACCTAGTCCCACGAACCTAGTCGCACTCAATTGTTCCTTATAAAAAAAATTTCAAAACCCACGAACCTAGTCCCACGAACCTAGTCGCACTCAATTGTTCCTTATAAAAAAAATTTATTATTTTTATAATACTTATAATACTTATAGAAAAATCTCTAATTTCAAAACCCACGAACCTAGCACCCCTACGAACCTAGTCCCACGAACCTAGTCGCACCACATTGTTCCTTATAGAAAGGAAACCATACCCCATCTTGCATACTTTGGCATAACCACCTACGAACCTAGTCCCACGAACCTAGTCCCCACGAACTTAGTCATCAATCCCGAATGAATGTAGATATGTTTAGAAAAAAAAAGTTTCGAAAAAGCTTTTGTAAAAGAATAATTACGGGCGCGTGAAGTTGGGCTACGCGTTACTCGCCCGGGTCCCTTAAGCTTTTTGCAAATAAATTTATTGTAAAATGACGATTGAGGCAAAAATGAGAAAGGAAAGAAAACGAGTTGATGAACCATTCTCTTCGTTTTCGCCAGTTTCATTTTCTTGATTTCCAGTTGCCAAATTTCCGGGCTCAGTCACCACACAAGAACTGCATTTTTTATTTACGTAGTTCTGAAAATTTTGAATAATCGAAAAGCCCGAATTCACGAGATTCTTACGGGCCCGGCGCTCGCGCAAAAACTATCATCGACTTGATTTTGTCTTGCATCGTAGCATCGATAGAATCCCACCAAATCGCAACTCTAGAATTGAACAGTTGATGAGAGTTAGATAAAGAGACTCAACATCGTCGCAAGTGAGCGGATTTGAACACTTTGGATCTTGTCCGCAGGGGCCTTCGCTTTCGGTCATCCAAAATTCCGGATTTGAGTAAAAATAGCACAAAGTTTCATCCATGCCGTTGGTGCAATCTTGGTTCCCATCGCAGACTTTTGAGTTATCCAGGCATCTGAAAAGGGGTTGAAAAAGAGGTGAGGCAAGCTGTTCTTTTACTTGTTATCGCATCGAAAAAGATTGACACAATTTTCTTCTCCAGTCGAGCTTTGTATTGGACAATTCATTTCATCTTCTCCGAGGAAACAGTCTTTTATGCCATTGCATACTTTTTGCGGCGCTAGAAATTCATCTAAAGCCTTCTTTCTTTTTTATATTAAAGGCCAATCAGAATGGTTTTCTTCCGAGTCAAGCCAATCAGAAGCCGTAAAAAGGCTCAAATCGGTCGTATCGGGCCATTTCTTACCTTGGCAAGCAGGATCAGGCTGCGAAAGGACAATCTCTAGAAGAAAAACTCGAAAAATTCTCATCTTGACTGAAAATGAAATTTTCTTCCGGATGCTTGATCTTTTTATGAGCGCATAATCGTTAGCATCTGTAATCAACTGGAAAATCTTTTCAGTATCCGATTCATCTTTTACGCTAACGCGCGAAATAATTCATCAATCATCGAAATTCCCACTAGAAAGAATAATTTACAAATTTCTTTCTGAAAAAGAATGCGTGAGGCAGACATCATGTCTTTCATGCATCCCAAAATGACCTTCAAAAGCCCTCTTAAAAATTGTCTAAATTGCATAATTTCACAGGCGTATTTGCTGGGGCGATGGCTATTTAAATTTTCACCCTATTCAGAATTTAAATTCATTTTTTATATCTTACCCGCAGCTGACCAAATTAAAACAATCTTTCGATTTCTTTTTGACAAAAAGGCTGGCAGCTCCACTGTGAAAGGTCAATTTTGTAAAAATGAAAAGAAACGATGATCAAAAAAAAATTGTTGTATTTATGAGAAACATGTGTGGCGCCTGTTTCCCGCTTGTTTATGATCAAGATTGTCTTTTAAACCTGACAGACTCTTCATCACGTGTCATGTTTTATTATAAGAAAGGTCTACAAAGGTCAAAGAAAAGAAGTCTTTTGAATTGATTTGTGCCCAAAATTCAATCAACACCGATTTTGCCAAAGTTTTGTCATCGGTTTGACATTTGTTTGTCTAGTGAAAATGATAAATTAAAAGAAAATGATGCTCAGTTAATCGAGAAACAAAAACTCCTTCCATGAGGTGGAAATTCTCAATAAACTTCTCAAAATTCCATAAAGACCAAAGGAACTTGATGAACTAGGGTCAGAAGGCCTGGCGCAGCGTGAGGTGGTACGGCGGCGGCGCTAAACCTCCCAGGGCTGGTCCCTGGGCCACTGCCTTCGCTCAGGCTTTTCTTTCCCTTCTAGCCCAACCTGACCCAATTTTTCAGAGAAACTATCGACAAATTGATTCTCTTTGATCCGGGCCCCGAATAGAACGTGTCTTTTTCATCTGTGTTGATTGGCATCACATTAGAGAGAGAAAGAGGAGAAAATAGAGAGAAAGGAAAATGAGGAAGACTCTGTTTTTGCTTTATTTTTGGAGCTTTTGTGAGGCTCAAGGAAGATTTTCACCAAGAAGGTACTTTCTTCGACAGATTTTTTTGAGTAAGGATAATATTTAACAAAGCGGTAGAAAAATAAAAGCTAGGGTTAAGATTAAGGGTTTCCATCTACAAATAAGCCATACGCCAACCAAAATTCTGAGAAAAAGACTTATGGAAACCCTTAATTCTACATAAATAAAATTTAATTCACTTAATTTATACATTCTGTAGTTTATATTTGAAGTTTCATCCTTGACCTATGTAAATACTCCTTCGATTTTCATACTGTAACAGATGTTAACTGTAAATAATGAAGTAAAAATCGCTAGTGAGAAAAGCTAAAATCATTGTTTATTTCTCTATCTCAATCTATCTTATTGATAATTTTTTGACAATAGAACTCGCCAAAAAGGCCATTCTTTCTTTTTTTTGGAAGATTTGGGAGTCTTAGACTTGAATTGTCTGATTGTCTGATTTCGATTCTGTATTTTCAATGAAATAAAAAAGTTTCTCACAGACCGATTGGGAGAATTTGAGAAGATCGATGTTTTTAGGATAAACGCTGGTGGCTTTTTTCATCCGAAAAGAGGGGTCAAAACAGGAACGTGTTTTAAATTGCGAAAAATAATCATGATGACACCCTTAATCCGTTTGTTTTCATAAGCAAAACACAAAGATAGAAAAAAGGACGTGGCCAAGGATCTCCATACGACTTCTCAAAAGGAAAAGCTCCACATTTCATATATTTCCGGCTACAGTAGCTAACAGTAGGAAATTCACACTGTGGCAATACGAGCTCTGCTTACAGTCAAATCTTACAGTATCACACCTGGCAGGTAACTTTCAACAGCTCTAGTTTTATTTATACAGATGTCGAAGATAAATTTATTTCTTTCTCCAAAAGTTGAAAAAGTCAAATGAGTTTAAACATTCCATCAAAAAGATTGATTTATTTGATAACTTTGTAAAAACTTACATTTTAGCAAAAAAGACGAGAATTTATTTAGAAAAATAAGGGAGAAAGCCGCAATAAAATAAAATAAAAATGTTTAATTTACTAGCCGCGCGCGGCTTTTTCTTTATCTCAAAAGCCGCGAGCGGGTTATTTATCAGCCATTTATTTCAAAATTTAGAAATGTAAAAATATGAAGATAGCAAATTGCTATGAGCGTCCACCCTTTTTTAATTTTGGAATTTCGCTCCCTCAGTTTGATAAAATTCTAGAGGCCGAGTAATGGCAAGTCAACCCGTCCAGCTCCGTGGGATCGCGCCGCTCTACATTCCTCCACGTGGTAAGTTTAGACAGCCCTTTTCACAACAAATTTTTAATTATTCTCTAGTTGACCATGTCGTTATCTCATTTATTGGCAGCGACTAGTTTCGGAAATAGATTCCTTCGTCAGGCTATAAGGTCAATGAACAGTTAACCCAGAAACAAGATGTTACCTCTGAGAAGCGTAAAGCGCGTCTGAGTTAAATGCCCCCTTTTTGCATCCTTGGCGCCCCTTTTGCAATTTCTGTTACGCTCAAATATCTCGTTTTGTAATCTCGCTTGTTACTCAGACGCGCTTTTCGCTTCTCAGAGGTAACATCTTGTTTCTGGGTTAACTGTTCATTGACCTTATAGCCTGACGAAGGAATCTATTTCCGAAACTAGTCGCTGCCAATAAATGAGAAAATTTTTAATTTCTAGTTTTGCAGCTTTAAAATTTCAACCCTAAAATTTTTGCTTTCACAACTCGTTTTTGCAATTTCGAAACTGGCGCCGAAGTTCTTGTGTGAAAGACAAAGCTCGTTGTAAAGCCATTTTTTCTGGTTTTGTACTTGCGGCTTTTCCCATTATTTTCTCAACCATCAGGTGCAGATTTCATTTTGAAGAACAACTAGAAATTGCAAAATCCGCAAATTCGAGCAGACAGGAACTTTAAGGCGACTCTAAGACGATGAGATTTTACAATTAAATCGTCGCTACCGGAATGGATTTGGCAATTTAACCGCTTCCGCCGGATTTTCGCCCGCAGCTTCGATAACATGATTAATTTGACATTAATGACAAAAGAAGCTTTTTGCTTGATAATTAAGTTTTTTGACATATTACATAAGAAGGGTGGATTATTCAAGGATTTTTCAAGGGCTGTTTGCGTGGGCAGCTACTCGAGTGCTGATTCGCCTGTTAGTCGATTCCAGGTTTCTGATTGGTTGAAAATTTCTTCTGATTCTTTTGTGCAAAGCCGCAAGCGGCTTTTCTTTTGGCTTTTTAAAGCCGCTCACCCTAGGTTAGGGTGAAAATAAAGATAATTGAAATTCCTTTGGATCATAATTTTGCGAAAAAACTCCAATAAGAGCAATAATCTTATCTCGAAAATGATAAATCCGCGATAGAACGAGTGCTTTAATCGTGAATTCATCATCTTTATCTCCATTTTACAACATTGTTAAACGCGCACATTACAATTTACGGCAGTTTTTGCGAGCTGTAAATGTTTGATCGCGACAGGCCTAGTCCAGATTTTTTCTGACCACCCAACTATGCAGAAAATATTTCCTTTGAGAAAGAAAAAAGGAACAAAAAGCCGCGCTGAAAATTTAATAAATTTTTCCAAGAATTCTTGAATGAGAGAATAAAGCCGCGAAAAGCGCGGCTAATTTATTCTCTTCTTTAGCTCAAAGCCGCAAGCGGCTTTTCGACTATTATTTATGAAAGCTTTCTTTGGTCAAAAAAAGAATCAGAAATATTTGTCATTATTTACATAAGAAATTTATTGAATATCTCATTATTCTACAAGAGATCTTACAGTTTGAATATTTTGAAATTAACAATTGAAATTGCCAAAGTTATGCTTTTTGACAACTCCAGCAGCGGTGCACTTGATCTTGCTATCTCTTCTCGATTCGCCATTATCCCAAACTCCGTTTCCGTTCGTGTCGCAGAAAATTCTGTACGTCGGCTTCTTTGCTGCTGTCCAGCACTGAGCAACAGCACCCCGATCAGCAGCTAGGGTTGCCATTGCGTTCTTGCATTTGCAGTTTAACTCGCCGCAGGGCATGGGGAGGGAGAAAGCTTTTGCTTTTGAAACTCTCTTGCACTTTCCATTGAAGCGCTGAAATAATTCTAGCGATTTTTTCTCTTTTTTCTTACTCTGAAATTCGATGGATTCGAAGGGCAAGTAAACAGCATCTGAATCGTTTTTCTTCCAACTTCTTCGCAAAAACCTTCGGCATCTGGTCCATTAGCAGGTTTTCTGTCGCAATTGCAGTCAAGAATTGGTTCTGAAAAAGTTAGGAAGGGAAAATGATAAGACTGTGTCTTATCATTCCAAAGCATTGTGTCTTGAAAATGCGAGAAATGACCAGGTAACTGGCAATTTTTCGCTTTTTCTGACGAGAAGCGGGTTGAAACGCCGTTTTGAGGGCAGTTTTGGAGCACTGATGCTGAGTTTATTTATTGACAAATTGATTTGATTATAATTAACAAATAAAACTTTTCTTGGAAAATCCTCATCATTTTGTCCGCTCAAAAAGAAAAGATTCGAGGAAGAAAAATTGGCAAATTTTGACATGTAAAATTTTATTTAAAATCCTAGAAAGTAAAAATAACTGATAAACAGGAACGAATTTTTAGCAGCTGAAATTGCCGAAGTTTTGTCTCTTGATAACTCCCGCAGCAGTACATTTTATCTTGCTCTGCCTTCTTTCTTCGCCATCATCCCAAATTCCATTTCCGTTCTTGTCGCAGAAAATTCTATATGTTGGTTTTTGCCCCCGCTCCAGCATTGCGAGGCAGCGCCACGATCAGCAGCGAAAATAGCCATTTCGTCCTTGCATCGACAGTCTAACTCGCCACAGGGCATGGGGAGGGAGAATGATTTTGCTTTTGAGACTTGCCTGCATTTTCCTCGGAAGCGCTAGAAAATTCGCGTGAAAAATTTTCTTTTTCTTTATTTTCTCTTTTACCTTCGAATTTGCCGGATTTGTCGGACAAGTAAAAAGCATTTTTATACTTCTTCGGTCAACTTCCTCACAGACGCCTTCAGCTTCCGGTCCATTCGCGGGCAATTTATCGCAGTCACAGTCCAAAACTGGCGCTGAAAAATGTTAGGAAAAAGAAGAACATTTTTTCTTCTTGAGAGACTAATGTGAAAATGCGAGAAATTACCAGGTAACTGGCAATTTGTCGCTTTTTCTGAGCCAAAAATGAGTTGGAAGGCGGCTTTAGAGTTGTTTTGATGCATTGGCAACGGATAAGTCAGCAATAATAATAAATAACTGATCTAAATAAGCCTTCTTTTTATCCATTTTACTCAAATTCTAGAGCAATGCTCCGAGATTGAAATTTTCAACGCCATTTCCTCCAGCTTTTCGAAAAAGCGGCGACTCGTCAGAAATCAACAAGGCCCGGACTTAAAAGACGCTTTCAAGCTCAAGTAATAAATCTTCCTAAAAGCCCAATTAACATAATTTATCCGGTCTTTTCTCAAACGACTCCTGCTGATTTTGACAAATTGTTTTGCTAACTATCGCATAAATAACCATAGCAGAGAGCTTCTGAAGATTCTCCAATAACTTATATGCTCGGCTCGGCAACCTGAGTAGAAAACCTGAGTAAGGCTCTGGAAGAGCTAAAATGAAAAGCCGCGTAGCGGCTTTTTCAAAACGAAGCCGCAAAGCGGCTTCGCCAGAAGTTTAAGAAAAAGTTATATGATTTTTTGCAAAGCCGCTTTGCGGCTTCGTTTCTATAAAAGCCGCTTCGCGGCTTTTCATTTTAGCTCTCCAGAGTCTGACTCGGGTTTTCTACTCAGGTTGCCGAGCCCAGCTTATATGTAGTATCGTCCATACTGCATGGAAGTTTTTTTGAGTCCAGACAAAGCAAGATATACAGTGGATTGTATCATAAATTGCCGCTCGCGCCAAAATGGACTCGAATGACGACGAACCGCAGAGGCCAGAATATCAATTTATTCATAAGAAAGGCAAATTTCCGGGTTGGGCGCCGTCTCTACTACGGGTAAGGAGCATTCTGGTCCATTTAAGGGGCGCTTTAAATTTTTATTAAGATGGATAATGGGTTACGAGCTGCAGGGGCAACTTAGAATTCGATATTTTTCCACTTCAAAAGCCGATTGTCCGGTCAAGATTGGAAGGTGGTTTTCTGTGCCGAATTTGAGAAGATACAGGTAGAAAATACAGTCCCTCGAATTATCCTTAACGAAAATTTAGTTCAAGCCCGAGAAAAATTATTCAACTCCGGCGACAGAAAGATAGTAAACCAGGAAAAGATAAGACCAACTAAATAATCCTCTAAAAATAAAAATATATTTCTTATCTTTTCAAGTCACTTTTGAAATCAAAGATCAAACCTACTAGACCACTAACACCTTCAATAAAAGACTAAGTTTTAGTCCGTCACCTGTGCTAGAAGAAATTATCATTTTCTTATCACTGCCAGCATTTAACAATAAAGCAAAATACTAGAATCTTTCCTATTCGAAAAAAGATTACAGAATTTCCCATAAAAGATCAAACGAGGATCAAATATCAAGTTACTTAAATTTTACCGCGACCATCAATGACGACTGTTTGAATAACTGACCATCGCTTCTTCGATTTTTAATATCTGAGTCTTCATTTGAAATTTTGAGAGTCAAAATGAGAAATCTTTGCACTTTTCTTCTCCCCCTCATCATGCTCAGTTCCATCGGAGTCCTTCGTAAGTCATTTTTTCAAGATTAATTGGGAGTTTTTTCATTTATAGTTGCGATTGGACTGTTGATCAAGATTGAAGGCTGCGACAACGACGATTCTGAAATGGACTGCTCTATTACTTGATATTTTTCAATAAACTGCTCCACCAAATCACAGGATAAGGCTTGAAAATCCAAGAAAAGAGCCATTTGCTTCGTTTTCTAGTTCCTTGGACAATTGCAGGCTGCAGCTTTCAGGTGATAATGGCCATTTTCGGCCAAATGTTCGTTATCATTCTTAATGTTTTTGATAAAAAGGAGGCAAATACAGTTTAAATTTACAAATAGAACGATAAAAAGAAAGAGCACTAGGAAAGCAAATACGATAATAAGATGCCCAGGCGCTAGTTGAAATAAGACCACTTATAATTCACGTTATATCGTAATTCGTTGTGGAAACAATGTAACACGTGTCTACTCAGGCTTCTGACAAGCGATAACATTTTTTCTGATAAGAAGGTCTTTTTTTAGCGCGGCAAGTTGTTTTAGAAAATAACATAATCCGTCTTTCCAATCCTGATATAAAGGACTTGTCAGAGCGAAAATTCAGTTTTTCGTTCTTTTTTTTCGACAAGAAAATAAGAAAAAACTTCAGAGAATTTTCAAATGAAGATTTCGGCGCTTTTGGTAAGAAAAAAAATTTTGAAGGATTTTTTCAAAATACGAGTTTTTCATCCATTTTCAGCTTTCTTCGGTTTCAAAAGCTGCCTCAGTCTTCGATGATTTCTGCGATGGTAGAACAGATGGACTCTATCAATACCCTTGGGATTGCGAGAAATTTTACAACTGCGCCCATGGAGTAACTCATATTCAAAATTGCGGTACGGGAACAGTCTTTAACCCGGCGATTAATAACTGCGACTGGCCATTTAACACGGATACTTCGGGCTGTGATTTGGATCCATCATCGACCACAACTGCTTCGACAACGGTGACAACTTCTGAACTTTCAACAACTTCTACTTTTGAATATTCAACGTCAACGACGACGTCAACGACTTCTACAACTAGTGACTATTCTACTTCATCTTCAACAACGACAACGGATCCATCAACAACATCGTCGACGACAACAGATGCATCAACTACATCGTCGACGACAACGTCGACGACAACATCAACTCAATCAACATCAACAACTACGACAGAGTACGAAACCACCTCAACAGCCTCTACAACAACTACGGTTATCACAACAACTTCATCAACAACATCAACAACCTCAACAACAACTGCTCCACCAACAACCTCAACAACGTCAATTTCAACGACGACAAATGAGCCAGGTAATGCATGAAAAAACCTTTTCTCTTGCCTTTTTTCTTTGCCACGAAAAAGCCTTTTTGAATAGAAATCAACTCGAATATGCAAAACCATACGATTGCATATCGCATTCGATTAGAGACACGTTTCCTGACGGTAAACCGCAGCGTCGTAACCCCAAATAGACTCCAGCGCCAGACGTTATTCTTAAACCAAACGTTTTCACAAAATATTTTCATTCGATCAAGATTGACATTTGAGAGAAAAAAATGAAACTTCTTGCCACTTTTTTACCTGTTTTTATTCAAGAGACTCGCGGCGGTCATTTGATGCCTCCACGTAAGAATAAACTCCAAACAAATTTTCACACAAATTTTGATAGAAAAACTCGCTATGAATTAGCGTTTGTATATTTTTGATTCTGATGGCCTCTTGGGTGGATAGAGCTTTCTTATTGGCTCATTTTTTTTCTTTTTGGAACTTTTTTCTCTGAAGAATGCGAAATTTTTTACATTGAATTCTAGCTCCTGCCGACTGTAACGACGGTTTCAATGGAGGCTGCTCGCACTACTGCAACAACAACATGTGCTCTTGCCCAGACTGCTGGAGCATGAAAGAAGATGGAAAAACTTGCCTGCCACAGAGCGATCTTGCTGAAATCACCTGCTCGCCAACTGGCATGTCTCTTTCTCTTCACCAATGCGTCCTCCCCGGCGTATCCGCGCCAACCCTTCTCGACACCGACTGCACTGCCACTCTCGCCGATGATACATTCACTCTCGACACGACCCTTGACGGATGCGACACGGCTTTCATTCTTGATGACGACGTCGTCACTTTTACCGTAAGTAATTGCAGTTTGTTTTATTTAGTAGTTTTCCTCGGGGAACATTTTGTCAAAATATGTTGAGATCATTTTCGTGTAGACTTGTTTTGGGTAGTGAAAGTGCGTTGTGTCTCTTTCACTGTCAATGTGATCGACGACATCGTGCGACTTGTCCGTCATTTTAACAGCATTGTCAAGGACTTTTCCATACCAGTGACGTTTCGAGACCTAAAAAGGGTTGAGCTTTACCATCATTTTTTGACAGGTCCTCTCGCGTTGAAAAGAAACGGTACCTGAAATCCTCGACAAAAGTCTGTGTAAAGAAAAGCGCCTAGGAAAAAGGAAAAGAATCTCATTTTCTCAACCTCTTTTTCTTTTATCTAAGGAGTGATCGCAATCCACCAAGAAAATCATTTTAAGTACCTTCATTTAAATATTTATGTGCTATCGCTTAAACGTCTTTGTGAATAACTGCATTAAATCGAAAGAAAAAAACACCTTTTTATAAAGAAAATGTGGCTTTGAGGCAGCAAGTCTCTTGGCCAAATTGTTGAAATTCTGCTTACAGTCTTTTTAAGAATTACCTTCTCGCTCCAGGAGGCGTCACTGGCGGAATCATGACCTCCAAGCCAGTTCAACTCGAGTTCTCCTGCGATTTCGCTGTCGGCGCCAATGTCAATCTGACCACCACTGGCAACGGTCTCTTTGGTAACACTTCTTTGGCTTCTGCTCCGATTGAAGTAACCTTCGGCGTTGGTGATGAACAACCCGCTTTTGGCGCTTTCTCGTACACCCTGGCATTCTACGAGGACGAGAGCTTCGATACGCTGATGGATATGGAAAACAAAATCGTCAGCGTTGGCGATACCATCTACGCCGCCGTTAGCGTCGATGTTCCTGTTGCGGGGCTTGAATTCACCATTGAGGTAAACAAAGAAATATTCTCACTTTTCCTCATTTTTGAATATAGGAATGCGTGATCGAAGATCCCGCCGCTGGAATGAGCCTGACCATGATCGACGCCCAATGCGGTGAGCCAATCATCGAAACGAGCATCGGCAGCTACTCTGATTCGGAAATGATCACCTTCTCCTTCATGTCATTTTTGTTCCCATCCAAATCGCGAAACTGGTCCGAACAATCGCAAATGCAGCTCAGTTGCTCTGTAAGTCTCTATATCCCCTTTCGTCTTTTATTTTCTTAGATTTACGTCTGTGACGAACACGATAGTGGCTCCCTCTGCTCTGTTGACCCCGGCTGCGGCTCTAGAAAACGAAGATCTGCAGAAGTCAATAGATCCCTTTACACTAACTCTGTTCAATTCAATGTCAAGCAGTAGTAACTATTGCAGAAATTTGTGAATCCAGCACAATTTTGCATTTAAATTGATCAAATGAATAAAAATGGTCCTTTGACTAATTTCTCAGCAATTTGCAATAATTGCATAAAACAGATGTTCGTACTCCATGAGTACGGAGAATTCAATTAGTAAGTCCAAATGGAAACTAAAAGTTTTGAAGACAAACTTGTTTTGAGTTTCGCAAATTTAATGAATTTGATAGAAATAAGACAAGACAAGATAACAATATCTATTGTCAAAATATTAGTTTCCCCAGACCGGGCTTTTTCTGCTTACTACAAATTACGAATGAGCAATTTTTCAATCAAATTTGCTTTGGCGACGGTCTTATTGGCCGGCTTGCCAAATACAGCCTTTTTATTGGCTCGAGGTATTTTCAGATAAGAGGCGGAAGTTTTGATTTGAAATTTATTTTATTGAAAAAATGTAAAAAAGCACACATTTAAATAAGCAGAAGAAAGTATAATTCTTTTTAAATTTTTCTTCTTATAGTCAAGCTTGAGTTTTCATTTGTCGGATGATTTTGTACAGGAGATTTTCTTTTCTTCATTAGATCGATTTTTAGAGGACAGGAGAGATCAGTTACAAGAGGCAGCCCATTGCGTGGAATTTCTTATTGGTGAAATTGTCTTCCTGGGTCTTGAGCATCCGCAGGGTTTTTGATGGAATTTTTCGTCGATTTTCAGCGTCCATCGGAATATTATCCTGGCAGACATAGGCAGCGTGAAAGCTGCGGATCGAGTGGATAAAATTGCCGATGGCATAGCAAGGATCGCTGTAATCCGATGTTGGTGGGATGAAGCCTTCTGAAGTCGGCACGGCTGGCACTGCGCACTGGCCGTCAGATCTGCTGTGGATGCTCATCCAAGCGAATCGATTGTAGATTCTTTGGAAGTGTATTGCCTGAATTTAAGTTTGAGAAGGTTTTTTTCAAAAAGTAAAAAAATTACCTTTTTGTCCTGAATGTGATCTCGCTTATGATCGTGACCCTCGAAGATCTCGGATTTGAGATCCTCGAAAGCGTTGTGAATCAAATTCCAGGAGATGACGTGTTCTTCCAAATCGATGACTTCGAAAGTAGCCGTGAATCCTTCGTGGACGACGGAGTTTTCGTTGGTTTTGAAGACGAGGGTCATGTCCTGTCGAGTGCCGAAGACGGGCTCAGGAAGCGAGTTTCCACAGTATCGGCCGAGCTCGTAATTGCCGTCTGGGCCGTTGAAGACGATGGCAGCATCGTTTGTGCACTGATTCGTGATGCCAGGCTCTTCAACGTCGAAGACGGCGCCGAACGAGAGTTTGACTGCAGTATTTTCCGGAACCGTGACGTAGATCCGGTAGTACTGGTTGGGCAAGTATCGTGGGTCTCCGTTGCCATCCGGGAACACCGGAACGGACCAGCTGAAAGTCTCGCCGATTTGGAGATTTTGGGTGATCTGTGCTTCGGTCAAATCTGGGCTCCAGATTCTTTGGTCTTCTTCTTCTCCTAACCCACGGGCTGATGCAAGGGCGGCGAGTGTCCAGGCAATCTAGGGTTAGGGTTAAAATCAGCGAAAAAAGTACGGATTTCGATTTGAAAAACAAAATTTTAATTTATTAAAATTTTTCGTTCAAAATTTATTTTTCGAGTAATAAATCGAAAAAATGATAATTTTGTGAATTTCAAGGAAAAAAACTAATTATTTATTCGATTTCTATGAGAAAAATTTTCTTATTACAGAAAATCTTCTCAAAGAAACAAACCTTCATTTTTGTAAATTTCTCTCTCTGCGTCGAATCTCTCTCTTCTGAAGAAAAGAATGATTCTTTCTTTTTTCGTAGCGGTTTTATACCCCGCTGCATGTCTTCCCCGTGTTTGTTATCTACACCGCTTGTCGTCGGAAAACGGTTAGCCCCTCAGAATTTTCATGTAGAAATCAATAACTTCATTTTCTTGTGAACGACAATTGTTTTTACGGAAAACGCTGCTCAGCATTTAACTACAAACGCGATCGGTAAAATTAAGTAAGAGGCAGAATGAGTTGTAATAACAAACGGATAACACCAGCAGTCGGCTCGTTTTTGGAATAGCAATTGGAAGCTAGACCAGTTTCGAAATAATTATTGATTATTACCCTCATATTATGAGAGATCGCAGAAATAAGATAATTAAAAATTCAATTATTCATTATCATTGAAATTTTCGGAAAGCAAGGTATCGAAGAATAAGTGATTTTTGATGAAAATGACTGGAATGAATTTTAGTAGTGTGTTCTAAGTAAGAACTCTAAAGATGTCTACACTTGACAATGATCCATTTATGTTAACTTTTAATGACCAGCAAGCCAGATTGCCAATAAGAACGATTGATATATTGGACAGAATGATGGCCCAGTTTTCTTCTTTGACAGATTTCTTTATGGAAGAAAAACTTTGGTTATCCAGGCTTAGTAGGCCTGTTTTTTGTTTTAAACAACATAACATAAATTGTCTTTTTGGTGACTCCGAAATAAAAAATCCGAAATATAAAATTATATTTTATTACAATGATAATTAATGATTAACAACTTGATAATTTTATTAAGATATTTTACTGACTTTTACCGATGATTCCCTGGTAGGAGATTATTCTTCTTTCAATTTATAATTCTTCCACTAGGAGGGGTCCTCCAGGCATGAAACAAGGCTCGGTTGGTGTCGCTAATTTTGGCTTAGTTTTCGGGGCAATCATCAAAAATCATCGTTAAGGCCGAATAAAGCCAAAAACCTATTTATACCAAAAATTCTAGCGTTGAAGACTAAAGGCCTCTTACGAAGATTCTCAAAAAAAGGACCAAAATGCTCCAATTGCCATCTTGGAAGCTAGAAAAATAAGACTAAGAAGGTATCAATAATTATAATAGCTCATTTTTGTAAGTCTTCAAATAGTCGTTTTTCCTTATCAAAATCGATTACTCGGTAGATGAAGCAAATTGAATTCGAATAATGATTTCTGAAGGTCAATCTATCTCAATATTGTGATTGTTGGCCGGCTTTAGATAGATCTTCTGCTTATCCTGGAGTGATTTGCAGAGCTGATGATTTTACATCTGTACGGATTTAGAATCGGGCTCAGAAATAATGAGCGGCTAATCCGATCGAGTGCATTATGCAGCGGAATGTCCAATGTCAAGCAATATGTTTCCATATCGACCCAGAGGGAGGAGCCAGTCCGACCAAACCTCAATTCTTCGAAGTCAGATAAAAAAACAATATTGACACATAAAAATATGCGGTCAACATAGAAGAGATTAAGATTTGAACTTGAAGTCAAATTAGAACAGATTTCGGAGAAATAACAACTCGTCTCTTACATAACAGAAATATTAAAAGAGAGAGAAAGAGAAACAAAATGCAAGAAGAAGATGAAGGGAAATATCTCAGGAACGTTTCAAATAATTTTTATGATCTATCTTATTGATAAGCTCATTTCTAAATAGTAAAAACTATAATTATGAGTCATAATCTCTATTCAATTTTTGTCTATTAAAAACAAGATTTGAGGGTATTTTAGACCAAGTTCTGTAATTCAGACTGTCAGTTACAGTCTAATTTAAGGCTTTTACTGTCAAAGTGTTTTAAAATTGCCGGCCAATCTGACTGAATTAATTAATATTTTTGATATTCTGAATATTATTTTCTTTCTATTTTAAAAGCGCAAACAAGTCTATGGCAAATGATGATATTCCCTCTTGCTCCATCTTCTTTGCTCCTGGTTAGTGTTTATCAACCTTTATCGAACCCCCCCCTTAAATCCAATTCAAGGGGGCATTTTGGTACTACACATGCATCCGTCCACGATTCTGCCCACTAAAAGAAGCAAACGACTTGGATAGATTGAGATCTGAATTGAACGATGCGCAAAATCGCCCTCCCCTCCCGTAAGTTCATTTCGAATAGGGAGAATGTCAATCTTGATTTTCCATTCCAATTAAGTTCTGCTCAACGCTCTGAGCGCGGCCAAGTCTTTAACAAGCAGGCGACGACTGAAGGCACCTACGTCACTTACATGCCAAAAGAGGGTGCGATTCAGAAAGGACGGGTAGTTTAATCACACCATTCGTTTTCTTCTTTAGTTTTATCTGTATCTATTCTTTACGCTTTTTTGTTACTATTATCATTTCGCTGCATTTTCTTTCTTTGAATAAAACAGGCATTATAGCATCTTTTTCGCATGGAGACATGGAGGAGAGCGATTGGCTGAAATTGACCATTTTCGCACAAAGTAACCGAACGGTGAGAACCTACTGTCAGTCAAAAAACGCGTCGCTGGAGTTCAAATCGTGCATAATTCAGTGATTTTGATGCGGTCCGATGATTCTGATTTTGATGCTAATGGTAACTTCTCGACTCAGAAAATCGATGCCAAAAGTGTGAATTTTTGAACGAAGGTTGCCATACTTTCGTAGAAGGCGATCAATTTGAGTGGTAGTTTTTTTACGCTCAAAGGGCCCATTTTTGGATATTTGGAAATAAAAAAAAAGGAAAGCAAAACCTCGTAACTTACGAGTCGTAAGGGAAGGCTAATTTTAAAGCTCTTGAAAAGGACTTTCTTATCGGCAGATATTAAAAAATATAGCTTGTCTGTCGAAGCCTATCTGAAGAGGACTCAATGGCGTTTAAAGATCGCTTATTTCGCATGCAAGACCTGGAAAGACCTGACTCAGGTCACCTGAGGAATATAATATGGTACTGTATGAATCAAGATTGATGGAACTAGATGTACTGAGCTAATTATATCAGATAATTCTGGAATAATTTTATTACAAAAAGTTCAAGAAATAATACTGTTTATGGTGTTTTCGAAACTAAAAATGATTGATGGCGAGTTGAGTCGCGTGAGGCTGGCTTCTGGAAGAACTCATGTCACATGTTTTGGCTGCGCGGACGCCTCCGCGTGCCGAAGACCAAAACACTGAGCTTGATCGTGCAGTAGAAAATTAGCTAGGGTCAGCACGATTTTTCTTATCACCACCGTCAATTCTATTTCAATCAATTTAATTTGCATTACAAAGATAAAAGTTCTAGAAGACAATCAATGAAAAACCAAAAGTCAGTACTTCAAAACCTATACTATTAATTTTCGTAATCGAGCTCTACTGAGATATCCCAAAAATTTCCGAAAAGTCTATTCTCATGAAAAAATTGCTGTCTGAAAGGATGAAGATAAACTTCACTAAACGCTTGAAAGACGAGAAATACTGATTTCAAAAGCCTTCGAGTTCGGACTCGCGGGCAGGATAGAAAGGTGAAGAGGGTAAGCTTACCTAGCCGGCCAAAGCCACGGACATACTTAGCACGCTGCACGCTTTTTTCAATAATATTTAGAATTCTCAAACATTCGGAATAAAATTTACTTCAGAAATGGATTCCTTCTTCAAAAGTTAACTAGAAAAGGAAAATTATATGAAAAAACAATGATATTAGATCGTATGATCATATCTTATTCCGAATTCAAATCGGACTCGGGAATAAAGAAACGTGCAATAATTGACAGACAGGACATGATCGACTTGAGTCGCTGTAAGCCCGTATTTGCTCACATATTGTCGCGCCATAACTGTAGACATTTCTTCCTATTAAAATTATACTTTCTCAGAATCAAAAAGAACGAATAAACGAGCTTGATTTTTATATAAAAACTGATGTATTGTTACATCATTGATGTAACATCAAGACATCAGGGCCCTCAAAAATCAAAACAATTGTTAAAAATGGCAGAATAACATTTAACCCCAAAACTTTACTCTTGATCTGTTTCGGTAGCTCAATTTTCCTTTCAATTGAACTCGACTGGAAGTACTTTTTATTTGGTAATTTCTCCTATTTAACGCTACATTTTCAGCTGTACACTGGCTGGGCTCGTGCCCGCTCGTGGCTTTCAAATTGGTATCCGTCAGAGCATCGAGTCTGGTGCTGTGCTCCTGGCCTCTGACTTGGCCTCTTCGTTCATTTTTTTTCTTGCTCTGGCGCTCAAGCTCCTGCTCCGCGTCACTGGCGGCGCGCCAAGGTGTAGTAGCTTCGTCGCCTTCGCCGCGCGCACCCTAGAAGTAGTAGCTACCTTACTGGCCCTGGCCTTACTACTCGGCTGAGTTGGCCTATCAGCGGACTGGCCTCGCGTTCCTTAAGGCTCTCCTCCGCTACGAGACGCTACTCACTATCCAGCAATCGTGACCGTTTCACCAGTCAAGGCCGAGACCAGCCGCCGAACGGCAACGCAGCGAGAACTTTTTTCTGAAACAAGAGACCCGTAAAGTCTATAAGACAAGACAGGATCACTTGCAAATCGAAGACATAGAGATTTACGAAGACTTGCGACTTACGAAAGTGGAGAAACGATGAAGCTTTGTTTATGAAGAGGAAATTACGCGACTAAACGAGATTATTGCCAATCAGGAGAGGCTGGCAAAACTTATCAACGAATTCGAATTTCAACTTTGAAAATTCGAAAATGGAAAATTTTAAAGGAGTATTATATTATCAATGGCCCCATATAAAGATCAGGCTATTACAATTCAAAATTACAATAGTTTACTTTGAGTAACAAGCAGCAACTAAGTTCTACTAGAAACTTGAAGAATATTCTAGTAAGAAAACTTTTCGAAACTACTGAAACTTGAACTGACCCGTGAATGACAAGAATATAAGGAGTAAGATTCTAGTACGTCCACCGTATTGATAAGAAAGGAGATTTTTGTAGATTTTACTTGAATTAGAGCAATTTTAGCCACTAAAGCAAAATTTGCGAATTCGAAAGTTAGTTTGAAAAACCATAAACTAGACTATTCTATCCTTAAAATATACTTTTAATAATGAAATATGGTTGGAGATATTCAAGAATCTCACATATTACAGGACTCGATAATGATATGGAATTCTGTTAGGGTATTAAAGACAAAATAGTTCCTCATTAACAGTGTCAACTTATGTTCCTTAGTCAGTCACATGGCCTCTTTCATGTTTTCAGGATCGTTTTGTGGGACTTGTGCCAGGCCCTACTCTGAGTTGAGCGCCTGGGTCTTGTGCCAGGGCCAAAATCTTGGCCACTGTGCGAGGTGCGGCGCCGCGCCCGGAGCTTGAGCTTGAGACTTCAGTCTTGTTTTACCTCATTAACCTTGGCGCCGCGCAGAATAGACCAGAAAAGAGACGTAAAATTAAGGAGTTTTCTAGAGATTTAATCACTATCAGCCTTGAAGAGAGTAAAAGAAACCGAATAACAACAAGAGAGAGAAAGAAGCAACAAAATTAGCCACAATAATAGCGGCCTTGGGAACGTCGACGGGAATAGGAAACGGATTTCTTCATTCATCAGATTCTAGAGCGAGAAAGAAAGAACAGAGATATCCGAGTGCAAGGCCATCCCTACAGATGCCGATTTATCCTACGACTTTCCCATATCACCTTCCCCAGCAGGGGCGCTTCCCTGCTGGATTTCGCCTACCAGGTACGTTTCAGAGGATTTTAAGGGGGTAGAGGAGCTTATTAGGCTAATAAATATCATCGAAATTTGTCATTTTTATGCATAAAAAAGAAGGCATTTTTCATAAAACTCTTTTATTTGACGTTTTTTATATGTTAAAAAACTTCAGATCATTTTTAATGGCCCGAAAAAAGGTTGAAAATGCTTATCTAAGAATGACTTTCTAAATAAAAATCCATGTTTATATTTTTGAGATCTGATCACATGATCTCTATTACGCAAGTTTTTAGAAAAAGCGCTTCAGAGGGAATAGCGCTAAAAATAGATTGCGAGGGGCTGGCTATTATTATATAGATATTTTTGACATTTGCAATCAAGTTGTGAGGTGCTGATAAAAGAGAGAAAGTCTTGGCTTTGGCGTTTAAATTTGAGTTTGAATTGTACTTGGACTTGGCGTTCTGCCAACGCCGCCGCGTCGTTCGGCAGCTCGGGCTGGCAGGGCGCCAAAGTGAAGCCCGAGGCAGATAGAACCTGTGGAACTTAGCCAGAGCGGAATCAAATATGAACACGGACACCCTACGCATTCATTATGCAGAATTTTTTATTAGCAATTTATCTAAGATGATTTTTTTTCTTTAATTCAAGCAATAATAAAGCAAAATTGTTTAACAAAAATGAAAATTTCTCCTCTTTTTGGACCGAAATTTTGCTAAAATGGGGTCAAAAAGCTAAAAAATACAGGAAAAATGTTAATTGTCAATTAGTAATTGATGACTTATTTTTTGAAAACCTAGTAAAAACTCTTCAAAATAATATTTCCAGGCAATGGCTTCGGGGCAGGAAACACGCCTCCCACGGCAAACATGATGGTGCACTCCATGGTGCAAAGTCATCAGCAGCCAGCAGCTTCGATTCTTCAACAAAGTCGTTCTCCCGTCAGAACCGGTAAAAATATAATATGATTATATATGCTGATATTGACTCTAGAAACATCTGAAGTCTCGAGGGGCGGAAGTCAAAATGCTGAAAAAAGTTGTCGAATTTGCGGCGACAGGGCAACAGGACTTCACTATGGAATCATCAGTTGTGAAGGTAGACACCCTTATTGGGGGGATTATTTTTAATCATTTGTTAAGGCTGTAAGGGGTTTTTTAAACGATCGATATGCAACAGAAGAGTGTATAGATGTACGAGGGATAAACAGTGTATGATGTCGCGAAAACAGCGAAATCGATGTCAATACTGTCGGCTGAAAAGATGTCTCGAATGCGGAATGAACAGAAAAGGTAATTTCTTAAGACCAAAAAGGAATGTTGCGTAACCAAAGGTCTTAATCCCTTATTTCAGCCATCCGCGAAGATGGAATGCCAGGTGGTCGTAACAAATCAATCGGGCCGATTCAAATGACCCCGGAAGAAATTGCCGCCGTGATGGACGGCTCCGTGTTCGTCGAGGAGCGCGCTGCGATCAGCGGCGGATCCGCCAATCCCATTCAGGCTCTTACGCAGCCCCACTCGCAGTCCCAGAGTCACATGCCACTTCGGCTGCCCGAAAGTTCACTTCCGATCTCGAGAGCGCTTGAGCAGTCGCCTGCTCTTAGACAACGTAAGAACTTATTACTACTTCCGACTTTTTGATGAAAAAAATCGTCAAAAATTTCATCTTTTCTTAAAAAATTTTGATTTTTCTTCAAAAAAATTCCCTAGCATCGACGATTTTCCGCCCCACAATGCTTGACCACACCAACTTCGCCCCCGCCCTCACCGCCACCCAGAGCATCGAGCAGCGCACCCACGACGCGGTCGGGGACGTGATCGAAATCGAGGAGCGCGGCGCCCTGCCACCCCTGCGCGATATCACCGCCGCCGACCCGTTTACGCCGGATGTAAGGAATTAAGCTTTGACCTTCTTTTTCATTCCAATTTAAAGTCGCTGATGATGACTCTCGCCAAAACCGCCGACGAATTATTGCGGCGACAAATAGACTGGGCAAAAGCGCTTCCCTTTTCCAGCGAAATATCACTTCATGATCATACGACCCTACTCATGAGCACATGGTAAGATAAGAATCAGGATAACGCAGATAACTTAAGTTATCTGACATAAGGGCTTGTTAACCATAGAAGAAAGCCTGAGTCAGGTTCTGAAAGAGCTTAAATAAAAAAAAACGCGTAGAACTTGACTCGGGCTTTCTACTAAGAAAATTTTTTTCTGATACCGACACTTAAAATAGCAATATCTAAATCGGGGCTTAAAATTTCAAATATATATTGAATCGAATGACTTAATCGGTATTGTAAAAGCGGAACATATGAAAATATACTATCAATTAAAATTTGCTCGGAATTTTTTATCTGAAGAAAATGAAGAATTTTTACCAAATGCCTTGAATCGAAAAACCATAAAACTTAAAAAAAATGAGTAGGTTTAAAATTTTCGATACTAAGCTAGGTGAGCTAACTTTCAATTCTTTTCTAGTGTGTATAATTTATAGAATCAAGATATCTTCATAGCATAATAATCAGCCCAAATTACTTTCATTTGTATGGATATGAGTCATATCATATGACCAATGTTCATCAGATCTCCTACTCAACAAATTTTTAGGGCTGAAACGATGCTCCTCTCATCACTAACAATCCATCATCGTGCCGTTTTCGAAACCCTTGGTGTCGCAGTTGCGAATTCCTCGAATTTCAGGTTTGTTTCTCCTCTTTTTCATCATTCTATTCCTAATTCTAGCAACTTCGAGCCAACAGAAGAAGAGTTAAAGCTGATCAAGAAGACTGCATCGGTTTACAGTCAGTTTGCAGCGCTAGACATTACTCATGATGAGTTTTGTATCATGAAGCTCATCAATTTTCTGAATCACGGTACTCTAAATTTCTGTTGATGATGTTCAAGCTTTTTCGTTAAGATATTGTCGGCCTCCAAGAATCGGTGAAAGTAGAAGCTCTCAACAAACGATTCTGGTTCCTCTGTCAGCACTGGCTGGTTGACAGAAAAAGACAACAAGGAAGATTTAGAGATTTAATCAAAGCGATTCCGGACATGAGAATTCTAGCGGCGGAGTTGAAGAAAGTCAGCGACACGCATCGATTGGGCTTTATTTTCAAGGTGGATTTGAACATCATTATTTCAGAATTTTCATTAATTCTTTCAGGAAGTGGTTGAGAGAACCCGGTCTTCTCCAGCCCCAGCTCCGCATCCATCGATTCTAGCTCTTCCCCAAACGGCGATGAATTTCATGGGCCATCCTCAGTAAAACCGCTTCTTCCTCCAAATTCAACCCATCTGATTTTTTCATCACTTATCAAACACGTGAGCTTGATTCCCTTCTTCTTCTCTTTAAAAAAGTTTCATTCAATCCTTTTTTTTCTTAACTAGCCTGATCCGCTTTAGTTCCAAAAAAACACACACTCATTTAAGATTTTTATTTCTGGGCAGAATTTTATTATTTTTATAATTTGCTATTTATTTATTGTTGAAAAAATTACGCCCGCTGTACCTTAGTTCCTCAAAACCAACCTTTTTACATTTATTTTTTGAGTTTCAACTCAATTATTTTTTTATTCAGGTGACCATTAAACCTCAATAAAGTTCTAGTGTCTAGAATCAAGATAGCCTATCTAAGATAGCCAAAATTCTATCCATTGAATTCTGACAACAATAATTTGGGGTGGTGTCTGGAACCGACAAAAAATTTCGAAAAATTTTGCGTGGGCGGCTATCCAATCCAGGCTTTTGATTGGTCGAAAATTTCCACGCAAAATTTGTCGAAATTTTTTTGTTGGTTCCAGACACCTCCCCCATAATTTGACATTTTTAGTCAGCCTCGTAAATTGGCTCATCTAAATTTCAACCCGAATTTTTGTTCGAAATTCTTTTATTTTACCCATAATTTATGGACCATAAAAAAAGCTTATAAATCAAAAAAGAAAGACTATAAAAAAATTTTTCAATTTGCCTGTTTCAGAAACAGATCAAAATTTCCTTTCCTGACCGATAATCCTGATCCTGATGACTTATTGGTGCTATATTAATCCATCTTCTCTATCTGCGCTAAAAATTAATTTCACAATTTTCGGAATTTTATTTTTTCTGTAGCTTTTGAATTCCTAGAATCGCTGCAAAGATTAGATTGTCTGTATTTAAAAAATATTGAATGTAATTTCTAGCGTACTGTTTCCTTGTGTCTATCCGACTGTACATTGCCCGAATTAATTATTTTATTTCATAAAGTATTAATATTATTGATGGTAGGGTCATCCTCTTCTGCTCTTCTAATAAACAAGAAACCATTCAACAAAAAAATCTTTATTGAAATCAAGGAGGACTCATGACTTTTCAGAAAGGCGTTTTATCAAGCCAAGAACTTGTTCTTTTTCAATGGAAACATGCTTTTTTAGCGTTTTGATTTCTCCATCGTGAGATTGGAAAAGCGAGATTTTCTCCTTGAGAAGCAGATTTTCAGATTTCAAGGTTTCGATTTCCTCCTCTTTTTTGATCACGAATTGAGTCAAGATATTCTCAAGGTGCTCGAAGGATTCTTGAGCAGCGACGAGTTGATTTCTCAGTTTCTCTTCTTTCTGTCAGACATTTTGGTCAAATGAGAAAATCGATCTTGAAAATCGAGATTTTGATAATCGTAAAATAAGAAAGAAAGAAGCAGTAAAAGTTTTATTGAAATCGAAAACACAACTTGAAATCAAGAAAGAAAGGTCAGATTCCAGCGAATGAAGTTTTTCGACTTGTCAGAGTGTCGGACTGTGAACCAGTCGCTAGGATTCCTTTCAGCTGTATATTTCGATTCTCTTGCGCCACGGAGATTTTCATCGGGGCTCAGAGTCAAAGCCTGCGCACGAAAATTCCCTGAAAATGCGGAATTTTAAAGAAGCTTTGGAAATACGAACCTTTTCCTTTGATTGACAATACCCACGAGAAGCCATCTCCCCGTAAACTTGGGAATACGACTTGAGGGAAATTGTTATTCCAAATTTCGAGACAGTGATGTTGTCCCTGTGAGAAATTTTGATGTTGACATTTTTGAAGCCAAGGCTAATTGCTACCAAGATCTTCTCAATGTCCGCTGAGTCATGGGCAGGTCGGACAGAAAGGTTATCTGATCCAAAATAGTGGCCAAGTCCGAGGTATGTGTTCATAGAGCTTGAATTATGTGAAATATAATTGTCATCAATTTAGCCTTACCAAACAATAAGAGCTTTTTCTTCTAAAGAATTAAGTTTTGAACTCATCATAACAAAGTTCAAATGATCAGAGTAGAGCTATCTCTTGATTAAAAATACGCTTTAAGACAATTGAAAGGACGTCATTTCAATCAACGTTACTGATCATTCTTGTCGCTAGAACAGGTTCTTTTCTGAAGAAGTTCCTTGTTTTTCTGTTTTTCAACGATCAAGTCATTTTGTAGCTTTTTAATTTTCCCATCTTCAGTTTGAGAATCACAAAGTTTCTCCATGAGTTTCTCATTTTTAGCCTTTTCAGCCTTCAAGTCTTCTCTAAGCTTTTTATTCTCAGAGAGATTCTTATTCACACTTCTTTCAAGCGAGGTGAGAGCAAGTCTAGCTTGGCGCAAATCTGCTTTCACTGCTTTTTCATTTTCAGTTTCCGCCATTTGCTCCTTGTTTTTCGAGCGGTTTTCGAGGGCAATCTTTTGCTCCAGCCTCATTCTCTCCGGATATAAGAAGACAGAAAAAAACGGAGCGCTTATTTTAACTCGTAAAACAAAGAAGTTGTTAAGAGTCATGTGATGTATTTTATTCAAAAAATAACTAAGGGCAGTGATAAATGGAAGAATAAAATAAAGTTCAGAAATACGGCATCATTCCCGTATCATCTCCACAGTCTGAAATTTCATCCTCACTCTCCAGCTTTTCAATCTCCCCATTGCACCTTCCACACATATTCTCCATACAAGCAAAGCATTCCAAGCAGTATTGAGCGTTACAGCCAGCCACGTGACATATCATGTACAAATGGTCATTGCCAGCACCTCGCGATCTTCGACAATTATTGCACATGAATGCGTTTGCTCGGAAAATAAACCGGGCGATTTTTCCTTTCAAGCCTTTCCATGAAGTTGGGCGGAGGGAGTTCAGTCCTCGGCGGAGATAGCCACGTGATCTATCGGCTGAAATTATCATTAAAAAATAAAAGATTTTTTTCTTATCTTACTTTTTATTTTATGCCAAAGCCACGTGATCCTCTCCTTCTGCCTTTTTGGAAACGAAACCGCGCAGATCAGAAATCTAAGTCTTTTGACATACGGACCCAAGATCAACTGAACAATCAACAGTCCACAAATCGTCAGTTGATATGTCCAGATGCCTTTGTCCGGCTCAAACGGGGTCCCAATGCACTCATGGAAGCCTTTTCTGATTTCTGTCTGATTCGCTGCATTGATGTGCTCGAAAGAAGTCGCGAGATCTTCAAGAATGTCGGCGAAAATACCAGGTTTCGCACTTTTCTCAGTCTCTTCGTGGAGAACATCTTGTGCGGCGCGAAAATGAAGCTGGACCATTCCTGGGAAAACAGTGCTCACGGCGCGTTTTGCTTTTTTAGCTGCTTCGTTTAAAATTCCGTAAAACGCCCAATCAAGTCCTTAGTTTTTATTAAGAGAATAAGAAAGCAAGAGAAATTCTTACCGATAACGGCAAAAGCTCCAGCAGTCCAAATCAGAATAGTTTTCGCCTCACTGAAGAAATCCATCCAGTCTTCGTCTACTAGACGAATCGAGTCCGGCTCGATGTAGCGTAAACTCTCTCATTTTTGACTCTCAAAGACCTGTTTTTCATCAAAATCTCAAATGAAGAGCCGTTCCTAAAGGACCAAGTGGCTGGAGTTCCTCGTCTTTCAGCGCTTTCAATTCGTCCATTCTTTCGAATTCCGCCGTCAAGTACTTGTTGTCGAAGTCATCTTTGTTCATGTAATTGAGAAGATAAAAGTAGGAAGAGACCATCATCAGACAAGAAAAAACAAGAAGAGAAACATTGCTCGCAGTTTCGAGGCGTTTTTCCAATTTGTCTTTTGCTTCCTTGTATTTTTCTTCCATCTCCTTTTTGAGCTCTTCTCTTCGTTTCACGCTTGATTCTAGTTCTTCATGCTGAAAAAATGGATAAGAAGAGAAGCAAATAAACCGGTACCTTGTAAGATGATTCCGCTTCAGTTTTGATGTCTATATCAAACTGCTTTTTGAAAGCCTTGACAGTTTTATCAAGCTTCTTCTCGATCGGATCAAAGAGCTTCTCTCCCGCCCATTCTGGAAAGTCGCAGACATATCTTGCTATACTCCCGGCTACTTGTTCTTCGCAGCTGACCATGAGAGAGCCCAGGAACTCGGTAAATCCTCGCATTCTTTCAGCGACCAGGGTCAGGGCGTCGGAAAAAATGCCGAATTTGCCCTTTAGCCGCTCAACTTTCTCTTCTATCCGAGTTGCTGACTTATCCAAAGCGACTACCACAGCATCCCTAGAATACGACGATCCATATTTTGTCCGAAAACTTTGATTTTTACCTCATTTCTTCGGCAGTGTCGATTCCTCGCTTCTGCAGCTCGGCGATATCTTTTTTGGTACAGTCGATTGTTGAGTTGAAAACGCCATAATTGACCTTCATATTGTTCACTAAAAATTGAAAGGACTGAAGCAGAAAATACTTTTTTACCAGGTCCGTTGATGACACCAATAATCATCAGAGAAATGAGAAACATTCTTCCCCTCGAACAAAAAATAGACGGCAAAGAGATGTACCAAGTCGTTCTTTGCTCAGTTCGATAAAGCAATTTCTTGATACGATATCTTTTTTCTCTGAAGTACGAACTGGTCCTATAAGTTTTGGAAAGCAGACCGATGATAAAAGAAATTATCGAAAAAGGAACGACGCGTAGGAAAGTCTCCCAAACTGTCTTGTGAAGCAGATGGAAGTAGAACCACGAGAATCCGAACAGAAACAACCAGCTACAAATTGTAGCTCTCATTATGAGAATTTAGTGATAAGAAAGGGGGAGTAATAATGTACTTTTTGAAAGTTCCCATTGAGAATATATTGATAGGCAAATTTCGAGAATTTAGTTTGAGAATTGAGAGATAAGAAAATTTTATACGAGTAAGAACCTGAAAGAGAACCAAATCCACAAAGAACCTAATCGCTGGGCACATGAGAATTTCGTGTGCTTTTCTCCTTTATTCAGAAGTAGCAGTGCATCCTAAGAAGCGTTTTCAGATTTTCATCTCGATAAACAGCCTTTATGCTTGTTAACCCTCACCGTCAATGGACGCGATATGTTTTGTCTGTACAGAAATTAAAAAAGAAGGTCTCAGTCAAAATTTTTGTTCTAATGTGTGCTCGCTTGAGCCGATTTGAATTCAGAAAAAAACATGTAACTGACATGGCTGGCTCCGTTTTCTCTAGGGGAGCCATCATCTTTATATTTCAACGATCACTATACTAGTACATTCTAAGAAATTTGCCATTATATTTCAGAAGATTAACGAATATCAAAGTAACATGAGTTGTCTTTCTTATAGGCATAATAATGAGAGATTCTTTTACATTATGTTCGGTCAATTATCTGTCTATATTCAGAATACAAGCAAATCAATCATTGACAATCATCTTAATTTCGTATCTTTTTTTTTGAAAACGCTTTCCTCAATAGAAGCCGACTGGCGAATGTCGTTCAATCCCATTAGATTTCTCAGATAGTTGAAATTTCGTTTCTTTGTATTTTTCCTTTCATCTTCTTGCAACAATGGCTCCTCTTCATCATCACCTTCGTACTCATCAGAATCTTTTCTCGACCTTTTCTTTTGCTCGAACTCAACCGTTTTGATCACATCGGTGGTTTCTTCGAAAATTGGGTTGCCATCTTCATCGAATTTCTTTCACTGAGTTTCACAAAAAAAATTATTTTTAGATTATCTAAAATAAAGCCACATGCTAGGGTCGACGATGATCAAGGTCGAGTATATATTTTTTAAAAACCGAGACCCAGAATTCTTGTTTGATGGTCTTCTCCTTTGGCTCAGCTTTCTCATCATTTTGATCAGAACTCATTCTCTTTTTTCTTTGATTACCAATTTATTTTTTCTGTTATTTTTTCCTCCATATCTAGAAGCTTTTCGGTCATTCATAGACAAATTCTTTTTCAAGTACACTAACGGTGCATCCATTTCATGTTATTATTAAGCTAAGGTTCGTTACAGTAAAATCGTAAAATATAATAAAATAACTAAGAAATAACATGAACGAACAAGGAAGCTTAAATTGAGGGAGCTCGTCATCCAACACTATCAATCAAGAGCCGGCTACGCACTTTCCATTTTGGCACACAGACGACTGATAGTTTATCGGCAGTAATTTTATTCTCAATAATTTGGATGGCGCGTTGGAGAGGATTTTTTCCGTATAAAATCCAACTGGTTGTCTAGGAGCCATCAAAACAGCTTGCAACATCAAGCAGTAAACAATAAAATCAACAATGATTTCTTACTTCTCATGTCTCTTTCTCGTTGTTTCCGGATCACGTAAAGATGACATCCAGTTGGGTCTGATGATCTCGAAGTCGCTCATGGCATCTGTCCCGAATGATCGACCCCCGATGAGCTTTCAAATGGGGCTCAAGAGGCGAGGAAGGGCTTTTTCTCGACAAGATACTGATCAACTTTGCTACTTGAACAAAATCAAGCATGATATGGACACTGTCGTCGATGATTTCATCTGCGGGAACGATTTGACACGACGATACCTAGTCGATAATGTAAGATTTTCATCGGATCCCTTAAGATTTCTAACGCTTTATTAAGGTTTGCGGACGAGGTCAAAAAGAATGCTTCGAATGCAACTCAAAAAACATCAAAATCGACGGCCCCGCTATTGAAGCCGCCAACTGCATTGCTCCAGTCATCTCTCACTACGACCATGCCACTAAGTCTCACATCTGTTACGTCTCGTCAACGTCGTTTGGTGTTTGCGAGTTGTCTTCGGGACGAACATGCGCCAATATCCTTTTTGCCTACAGTAACAACAGTAAGTTTGCTATCAACATTTTGTTTTTTCATTTCGAAATTTATAGGAAACCAAGCAGAAAAAATGATGATGAATTACGAGTGCTGCAAAGCGAAACTCTCCGACCCGGAAAATCAGATGATCGACTGTATCCCAAGAGCATACAATTCTCGAGAATATAGCCTGTAAGTCCTCTCATCACTGACATGCAATTGATAACTCGACTTTAGTTGGATTCAAAAACCATCTGGTGCACTAACTACGATCCGTTTTCCTGTTGCGATGCCAAAACGATGCTGCGCTGACATCTAGTTTCCAACAAAATATCTTCATTAGATTCTTAGGTATTTTTTTTATCATGAATTTGACTGTCTCTCCTGTTTTGATACTGACGCGAGCATTTAAAACAAGCCATTCTAGGTCAAATGTTCTTGACAAAAATTCACATTTGCTCTGTTCTTCTTATTAATTATCAAACTCGAAATAAAGACTCGAAATGTTATATACTTCAGTATCTTATGACGCGTGGCATACCGTACGTGTCTGGATAATCTGAGCAATAAATACATGTATGCTACGTATCAAACAAGCGCTGCGCTAACAGAGCCTGACTGGCACCCAGACAAAAAATACGTCAAGACTATTTCGATTCTTCGAACATGATTGATTTTTTATTGAAGATGGCGCTAGTTTTAACAGTAGTATAATAAAGAATTTTTCGGCGAAGGTTTACTCAGAAGCTTCGTTCAAAAACTACGAAAGATCAGCAATGATTTCTCTCTTCCCTCTCTTCGTCTCCATGGTTGGAGCAGGAAAACAAGTTTTGAGCTCGGTATGATGGTGTCAAAGTCGCTAATAGACTCAGTACCTGCGGATCGACCAACGATGAGTTTTCAGATGGGCCTCCGAAGGAGAGGAAGGGCTTTTCGTCCCTGGAATCCTCAGGACGAAGATGTCTGTTACTTGAACAAGATCAGACATGAAATGGAAAACGTCGTTAGTGATATGATATGTGGACATCCGATGACAAAACACATTTTGACCGAAAAGGTAGAACTTTTGACTTTAATTCGCCAATAAAATGATAATTTGAAGATTTGTGGTCGGGGAAAACCAAGCTGTTTCCATTGCCACACCAATTTCGTCAATTTTCATGGCCATCGACATATCGAAGTTGCCAGTTGCATCCCTCCATCAATCAACCACTTTGATCACGAAACTGTTTCTCATATTTGCGACAGTACAGTTCGATCAATTTCCTTGGGCGTCTGCGAGAATTCAAATGCCTTGTCTTTCGGTCCTCTTGATGATTTCAAAAAACTTTTTGTGGGGCCAGAAATCGTAAAAAATCTGTAAGTGCAGTTTTCTTCAGCTCGTCGAGACGAGTTGAATGATGGGTCTAACTCCTGGTAACTCTAAGGATTTACCGGTTTACCGGCTGGTTACCGGAAAATACGTTGTCACCCGCCGTTTTTGTTCTACAAGTGGTAAACAGATGATCGACCCAGGAAATTGTTCCTTATAGTCAGATCTCCTCTAGGCTCAAAGATGAGGCTCGTATCAATACTCTGAAGAGAGTTATCAGTAAAATACTATTTTTGGCAGAAATGGGACTGAAAATCAGGAACGTGCAGCAACAACAAAATGTACGTAAAATTTACTGTTTTTACTGATAACTCTCTTCAGAGTATTGATACGAGCCTCATCTTTGAGCCTAGAGGAGATCTGACTATAAGGAACAATTTCCTGGGTCGATCATCTGTTTACCACTTGTAGAACAAAAACGGCGGGTGACAACGTATTTTCCGGTAACCAGCCGGTAAACCGGTAAATCCTTAGAGTTACCAGGAGTTAGACCCATCATTCAACTCGTCTCGACGAGCTGAAGAAAACTGCACTTACAGATTTTTTACGATTTCCGGCCCCACAAAAAGTTTTTTGAAATCATCTCTTCATTTCGCACATCGAAGCAATGGTTAGCGTAAAATCAGGTTTCTTGTTATTGTTATAAAATTTTCAGCGAGTCAGCAACAGAAGGATACGTTTAACTTCGAGTGCTGCAAAGCAAAACTCTCAAAACCGGCGAATCAAATGATCAGCTGCAGCCCAAAAGGATTCAAAACGCGGGAATATGAGCTGTAAGTCACGAAGCAAGCTTTCATCCTTTTAATCGAATTTTAGGTCGATCGAGAAAATCTCCGGGAAAATCGAGCGAATCAAGGTTCCTATTTCTATTCCAAAACGATGCTGTGCTGAGATTTGAGATTTCTAAAAAGATTTTTGAATGACTTTTTCTCTGTTTCTTGACTGATAAGAAAACGATAAAAATCAAAAAGAATCATAAGATACTAGTGTCTTTGTTGATCTTAATATTCATCATTCTGAATACGACAGAATAGTGATAAATGACAAGAACGATCAAAGAAGAACACAAAGTTTGCTACATATGTTACATATGATATGTAATATACCGTATATTATATACGACGTCTGCCAGCAAGGTTTCGAATTCTTCTCCTCAAATAAAAGATCAAGGAATAAATTTGATAATAAAAAATACACTTTCTGGCCCATAAATAACGGGGATGGACGGTGCCGGTACCAATCCAAATTCTGGGATCATACTATGATCATAAAATGCGCAGGATGCCTTACCGTCAGATTGAGTCAATTTTCCAAAACAATGATGTAGTCGGACAGTTAGTCTGCAGAATAATCCATCACATTTTATTTTAATTCTTTTGAAGGCGTGGCATTGAGCTCATAAATATTCCTCTGAGTTTGTTCGTGGCAAGTGCTCTTTTTTTTCTTTTCTGTCGATGAAAGGAAGATCTGCTTTTCATCAATTTTTTTACTTGGCGAGCATTATATACAGCTCGCTGCTTTTATAGTTATACAAGCACAGTATTCAAAATTCAATAAGAACTATAGCGAAATAGTGCAAAATTGAGAGAAGCACGGATGGAAAGAGAAAATTTTTTTAGTTCGGCTACTCAAGCTTATATTGAGGTAAAGTTTGAAGGTCAAATAGAGCCGTTTTAACAGAGGTTATTCTCAAAATAAATTATTTTCAAGAAAAGACATTGGAATGTTGGGCGAATTATTGCTGAAGAAATGAAACCTATTCAATTTGAAGAAATCGAAGATATAGTTATGGCTCAAAAAGATTATTTAACGATAGCATTTTTGATAAAAATTCATTGAAAATAAAAGAATTATTTGCGTAACTTATCACAAATATCACGAAGATTGAGAAATTAAAATGTTAGTGATTCTTTATTTAAAAACAGATTAAGCCCATCAAAAGTTTCTTTAATTCCAGAAGCAGAACTTATCATTGACTATCCTAGGAATTGGTTTCCAGATGAACGATCAATTTTATTGCCGAGCCCGGGACAAAAAAAAAGGTTTAATTTAGTAATTTTCCACTTGCTTAACTCTTGCCGGGCAGACGATGATAGACTATCATTGATAGTTCACTTTGATCATGTAATGCACTGCGATTTGCTCAGAAAATAAAAATCATGCCGTCTCTGGAAATCAAGCGTAAAGACTTGAAAGCATGGACGACATCAGAAACATTCTGGAAGATTCCGCTTCGACCGTTCGTCTTCGTATTCTCACAAAAAATATCGGCATGGAAATTTTTCTACCACAATTATACCCTCTTGTTGGAGAACCCGATTTTCGACTGTTTTCGGACGATTTGGGCGCCAAAGCGCTGAATAAAATCAGGAAAATGTTCGATTCTTGATTTTTGGCTACATGAATGATCAAGTTCAAAATCGAATGAAAAGAAATGCGCTCGAAGTGAAGTTGAAGTCAAAAATAAACTGCTCGAATTCCGGTCAAGGCGTTTTGTTGGAACAAATCAATTTTATCCTGGACGAAGCTCATAAACATAAATAATAAAGATATTTATTCATTCAGTATTTTGATTTTTCATGCAGAAATTTGATCTCGAAAAAATTATTTACGGTTTTCCTCCGTTTCCATTATTTCCACCGTTGCCTCAATTTCCGTTATTTTTCTTCGTTGTTGTTGTTGTTGTTGAAGTAGTAGACTTTGTTGTTGCCGCTGCATTTGTTGTCGTTGTTCTTGGTAAACTTGTTGTTGTGGTCGTTGTTGTAGGCTTGCCGTTTCCTCCGTTTCCATTCTCTTTCTTTGTTGTTGTTGTTGTTGTAGTTCTTGGGGTGGTCTTCGTGGTCATCGTTGAAGTCGACCTTGTAGATGTTTTCGTAGTTGTAGTGGTTGTTGTTGTAGGTTTACCATTTCCACCGTTTCCACCGTTTCCATGTTGTTTGGTTGTTGTTGTTGTTGAAGTATTGGTTGGAGAGCTTGTGTTAGAGGTAAGTGTAGTAGTGGTTGTTGTTGGCTTCCCACCATTGCCATTGTTTCCATTTTTTTTCGTGGTTGTGGTACTGGTAGTTGTTGTTGTTGAAGTCGATGATGTAGTCTTTGTTGTCTCGCCAGGTCTCGAAGACTTTATTGCTTCTGATGTTGTTGTTGTTGTCGTTATAATTGTACTTTCTGACAACCAAATTTGTGTCAATGATTCTGAACAGAGTGCAAGAACTGGCTTGTCACCACTTTCATCAACGCATTTTTCTGTGTCGCTTGCAAGCATGATTTTCAATTCGTTATCCTATATTTAGGCCTCGGATGTAAAAAATTATCACCACCAGCCGGTCGTCGTACGGTAACAAGAGTAGGCTCATTCGAAAGCTCTTGAACGGGGCTTTCTATTGGGCTTATAAAAAAACTGGGCCCTGTGCTTCTTTTTCGAGATATTTTATTTTTATCGGTCAAATAGAAAGCCCTTATCAAGACCTTTCGAATGAGCCCTCTCATCTTCCCGTACGATGACCGGATGGTGAAAATCGTCTTTTTACGTCCGAGGCCTACCTATATTATTTTGAAAATTATACCTCATTTTTAATGATAAAAATTTCCGCGTCAGCAGGGTTTTCTGATAAAGTAATCGGACTTCCTGATGTCCAATAAAATGGGCCTTTATTGCCACTGGCAGCCACTGAAATTTTAAAATCGACGCCATTTTCAGATTCGAAAATCATGGTGTCTCCATTTTGTTTTGAAACGTCAAGATCCAATTTGTGGGGATTTCCTTTCTTTATATTTCCAGCAGAGTTGCCAAGAGACGCGAACGAGGGTGAAGGTTTGTTGCCGTTATTGCCATTGTTATTGCCGTTTCCATGTTCTTTCTTTGTCGTTGTCGTTGTTGTTGTTGTCGTGGTTGTTGTCGCATTTTCAGATATTTCTGGCGCAAAATTTGACGACTGAAACTGGCATTCAAATATTCTGTGATAATTCGCGTTTTTCTTCTTTTCCATTTTGAGAAATTCATCGTTCGGTTTATTATCCATCTGGGCAAGACAAATATCTTCATCATCAGCGAGACAAACGGTAAATAAATCATCTTCTTCTTCGACTTCCTGTGTTTCACTTGATTATCATTTTTCAAAACGATCAATCATAGGTTTTGATTGATTTATTAATAGAAAATTGACTTACATTTATTTTGAAAACATTGGCTTTCTGAAAATGCGAAGTGACTTCAATTTTATTATTTTGAGAAAAGGACCAATACAATGATTGATTTGCCGAGTTTTTAAACATCATCAAGTAGTTCTTTCATCAATAAAAAAATCAATAATGCCAGCTCAAATACATCTATTTATCGTTTCCTGATCCTCCTCGTAAGAACTTTTTTCCGAGGGTTGATGTTCAAAATAAATAACTCTCGCGCTCGAACCGGCTAAGATTGAGTTTATACTTGAACTAATCGTATTCTCTACCTGAAAGCCAAGCTTTATCTCCGCTAAATTTTGAGATAATGAATTGACTGTGCGCCATATTCCTGATTCCAGAATACGCTGCATGGTAGAAAAGCGCTGGTTCCGTGGTAAAGCCTTCAGTTGTTTCAACCATCATTTCTGTTGTTTCTGTTGTTTCGGTTGCATTTTCGGTCATTTTTTCAGTGGTGAAATTCTTGAATTAAATTTATACTGTGGTTTCAAACAAAGCAGTCTTACTATTTCATCCTGTTGATTGAAGTCTTTGCAAAGGGGATGATCACAACTAGTGCATCCGTTTGGACAGTTTTCTGCACATGGGCAATATTCACTTTCGCACAAAACTCTGCACCGTGCTTTGTCATCTCGACAATCTTGGCCGCATACTTGTTGAAGCTTGAATTCTCTTATTTAAAATTTCCATCAATACGGAGCCGAAATTTTCATCACTTACGGACAATTTGTATTCCCAGTCGGAGGTCGCGGAGTAAGAAAAGCCCCAGATGATAACGACACAGAATTTATTCCAGCTCCGACTTGAAATTTTATTCTCTTGTAAAAATTAAAGAAAAAAATTTCACTCACTAAATATTGAGGCGCCTGCCACAATTACTCTTACACCAACCATTATATTTGACAAAAAGAAGTGAGAACTACCTTTTTGATTAATTTCTTACCGATAATTATGATTTAGAAGGATGGTTAAACAAGTGACTATCTCACAACTTCCGACAATATCAATTATGACCTGATATCATTGTTTGTCAGATTTGTTTTCCGTTCTATTTTAACCATGTGACCTTGAAATCACATGATCAAAATATCAGTTGTCCACTTCCTGAACGTGTTTCATTAAATTTATTTTCTATTATGGGCTGATTAATTGGTAGATTGATTGTAAATTGACTGACATTTATTGTGAAAATAGTGACATTCTCAAAACTCGAGCTTACTTCGATTGTTTTCTCACGTCGTGGCACCAATGCTAAAACTCGTCCCCTCCCTTGGACATAATCAAAAAAGTTCTGCTTGGATAGAAATTTTGGAATGAAAAAGTCTTTTAAAAAGGATTTTTTTTCCTCAAAATCTCAATATGACCTTGAAACCGCTTGATCAGAATACTTTATTCTTCACGATACAGCAGCAATTCTATCGATAAGTGTTCCTTTTATCGTTGTTTATTGAACCTTTTGCGGACACTCATGTCGATGGGACAACAGATTTATACCAAATTTTTAAACCCCTTTGTATTTAAACGCAGAAATTCCGGAGTGAAACGATTAAAATGAAGATTTTCGTTTTTCTTAATATTTTTTGTGAATTGGCTTTAGCAACTCAATTCGAAATGCTTCCACAAAGTGGCGAAAACTCAATCAGTGGGGATTTTCAATTTGAGCTTATGAATATGCTTCTTCACAGAAAGTAAGTGCGCAGTTGCAGTATTAAAAAATTGCTAAACATCAGATTGAATGAAAGAGATATGAATAAGAACACTTTCTTCAGGCTGGAAGTGAACAAAATGAAAATGATTATCGGACGGCACCCTGATTATTTTTACGATTACTAAAGAAGCCTCCAGCTCGTCTTTTTTTATCTCAAGCTTTTCTACTGTCAAATAAACTGGAGTAAAAAAATTCCTTCTCCATTTTTTAGATAAGGCTGAAAAAGTGACTTGCCGATATTTTCGTACCAGAAGTTCGCTCAGATCGAAAGTATGAATTGAAAGATTAGGAGAGAGCAAGAATCCAGCCGCAGAGATAACACAGCGCTGTTTCGTATCAAAACATCAAACCCATGGAAAGAAACGTTACTAGAGCAAATTTAATCAATGAAACACGATTATCCTCGATACTGATTGAATTGACTTGTTGTTTTCAAAACAGCAATGGTTCAAAACAACTAGCGGCTCGGTACTTATGACTTTTATTAAAGAAAAAAAGGGGTTGATAAGAAATTTTTGAGATTGATGCCCTCATTATTGAGTTTCGAGTCAAAACAAGCACCGTTCAAATAATTGATTGAGACATTCAATTTTCATTTCGTTTATTTATAAAAAGCACAGTGAGCTGTATTCCAGGGATCAAGCCAAAATTTTCATGAAATTGCATCTTCTCTTTTCTCCAAAAGAAAGACTTTTTCCATATTTTAATTTTTCGATTTACAGAAGGCATAAGTTGTGCATAAGAAGATTATAATAATAATATTGATATTTTGCATACAGTTATGGCCACTTGGTAAAAGTTGGGCCAAGCAGGTTTTTTTATAAAAAAGGGGGGAAATTTTTTTTTTGTCGATTTTTCGTTAAGGGTTTCCGCTTTGTTTCAAGTCGGTTTGGGAAAATCAGTTTTTTTTTACAAATGGGCTTTTGAGGATCAAAAAAAAAAGGATAAAAAATATAGGTTAAACCAATTTATGGAAGTGATTTTATGGATCAGGGTTTTGATTCGCCGGTAGGCCAAATACAGCAATCTTATTGGTTGTCCAAAAATTCACTCCCATAAATTGGTTTAGTCCAAAAATATTGAGCGGTCGATTATCCAACGTGTGCGCTGTCCAAAAATAAATAATTCCGCTTTGAATTCTTGAGTAGCTATGAAACCGCAAGTTTGATCGTTGTCAAAACCGCGGGAGGAGGATCGTAACGCGCTTCTGAAATTGTGTGGTCGGTAGTGCGCCCGTTTGATTTTGCGCTCGATCGGTTAGATCATCTCAAGACTCTCTTCGCGATAAACAATTTGCAACGGGTAGTTAGTGGGGAATGCCGCTTTTGGGAGATGGTTGGACACCGCAGTTTCCGGGGGAAAACAACCCTTTCAGCCAAATTTATCGAGAAAATGGGGGAATTTCAAATTCGACAAACTAATTAAAAAATTAATGATCCTTTCCTCGTTGATTTTGTCTGTACTTCGACAATGGTCCCTGGCTCTTTCCCACGCTGCTACTGTAGCTCTTCGTTGTCGGGGGCGAACCAATCGGGCCAAAGTCTGTTTGCGAACCTCCGCCATTGTGGGGGATACTGTCTCGTGGCTGGGGTGACTCTGATTTGATACTGGAGCAGGTGTCGTACCCGGAAGAACTCATCATATCGTCCGAAAGTGATAGCGCTGCAAATTGGTCAAGTACCGATAACACGGCGAAAATCAGTTACCTTCTGAGCAACGTCTATTTGAACTGGCGCAGTTGGCAGCACTGTAGTTCGCAAATTTAGGAGCTTGGTTGTTCTGAATGTGTTTTGGATCGACGCTGTCTCCCTTCATCAACGCAACTCTAGAAAAAAATAATATGTAAGAAAAAATAAATGGAAGGGATGATTACCGGAATTGAAGCGTCTTTTCGCGTTTGCGCATGATCGATACCGCGAATTTGGCAGCTTGGGAGGTTTCAAATTCCACCAACGCTAGATTGAAAAATTTGAGGAAAGGAAACGTCATTCCACAAGCCCGAAAATTTGAATCAACGAGAAGTGAAAAATTTATTTTTCATGAAAAAGAAATTTCTCGAAAGCTTTTTTGATCAATTGATGATTCGATAACTAGCAATTTTTTTTGATAAAAATTAATCTTTTCTTGCTTCTCTACCAAAGAAACGCCTTATCTCTTATATAAGTGTGATAATCAATTCTTTATTTACTCTTTTTTCTTAATAAAAGTAGCTTTTTCATTATTTATCAGCGACAACTTACCAATAATAAATTTTTATCAAATATCAAAGGGCAAAAATAACTCGTTTAGAATGCCATTCTTACCGGCTGGAAGAGCTCCCATTCGATTATCGACCTTCTTCAATTCCTCCATCAACTGCTTTGGCACGTGCGCTGGCTCCTTAAAGATCTGCACCTCCGAAATGATCCCATAAGGGTAAAACGCCTCAGTGATGGCCTCCATCGTCCGCACATGGGGCGGCAATTTCGTCACTAAAATGCGCTTTGGCAGCGCTTTTGGCACATTTTTCGGTTTAGACGCATTAACACTAGAATTGCCAGAAACAGAGTTGCTTTCAAAATAATCTGGGTCCAGCTTGACGGAATCAGCAACTTTCATTCCCTTTGATTTTTGCGGCTCAGCTGGCTTTTAGAAATTATATTTCTGGAAAAGATTGAATCCTAGAAAAGTTTATGTTGACTGAAGAAAAAAATCTTTTGTAATAAGTATTCAAAAAGCCGTGACTTGATCTGATTCATCAGTTGATTCTGTGGAACAAGAATGTAGGGTCCAGCACCTAGATGTCAAAATTGGCAAATATTTCAGTTTACGTTAAACGGGAGAAAAACGAGTAAGATTATGAGCAGTTAAAAGATTTTCTCAACTCTGATCTGAAGAACGAAAATTCCGGACTGCTAGGTAAAATCTATTTTTATGGTTTTTTCATAAAGGATTTATTTGCTCTTACCGGGAATCATCATCGGCATAGCTTGTGGTTGCTTCATATTTGCCAGCTGCAATTGAGCCATTTGTTGGGCAAGGAGTTGAGCCAGTTGCTGTTGATTCATCATTCCGGTCGAGAACATTTTCGGTTCCTAGAATTTCCGTTAAAAGAAAGACCTTTCTGGGGAGTTTTTCGTTAATATTGATTGAGATTTCGCTGCTAAAGAAAACACCTGCGCGCCGAAAATTATTATCCCGGGCTCCTTGGAGTCGTTTTTTAATATATTCCGGCGGAAAGCAGGTGCATCACGTGGGTTTAAATTAAAAAAATGGCCGACTCTTGTCGTAATCTAAATCACGTTGCGTCGCGGCGCACAAAATTTGCAAAGCTGCCATAAAGAAGAGCGCTCGCACGCGGAATCCGCGAAAACTTTGTAAAAATTCGTAAAACAATCAGAAAGCCAACCAGCTGATGGTGGGCGAATTTTTAGAAATTTGACGTGAATCCGTCGAAATTTTAAAGCAAAGGATTTTTCGAGCGATATTTCTGCGATGAAAAATCAATAAGAATATCAATCGCTGAAATTCTCATCTTTCATTGAGAATTTTTGAATTGAGAAATTTAACCATTCTTAGTGAGACTTTTTTATCATTTGATAAATTGATTGAAGCACAAGAGACAATAAAGCGATGGTATATTTCAGAGAAGAGCGATATAATATCGGTTAAATCGACGACTCGCCGGTCTCATCTTCTCATTTTTATCGAAAAGAAGAAATTAAAATAGGAACCCTCAATTCTCAAAAGTGATAAGTAATGAGAAATATAAACATGAGAATAACCTCAGTTGGCTCAAGTTTTTGTCTTATTTGAAACCTGGAAATCAATTTTTACCTTCAAATTTTTTCTTCAAAAACAAAATCAACAGAAATGCTTTTTTTTCGTTTCAAAATCTGAGTTTCTCTTCCAAAAAAAACACGATTTTTTACGAATGTTGTCCTTCAGTCACGGTCGGAAGAGCTGAGAAATCATGAGCGCGCTCGGGAGCGCCACCGACCGCGCGCTCACATTTTATTTTCTCGATCTTTTTTTTTGACGTTTGATCCTATCGTGGAGCTTTTGATCCGGTTAAGTCTATGATCGCGGAGATCTGGTGCGTTTTTTGTACGTTTTAGACTTGCTGAAAATTTACTGCAATTTTATGAATAAAGATCTTTATTGATTTTATTTATTTTGTGCTAACACATACAAATATTTGGTGTCAGAATTTTGAACCTTTTGAATACATTTCAATACAGTGGGTTGCGCAGGTAGTTGCCCCCTAAAGAGCGGGCGAAGGGTCAACCAATCCTGCAATCACTTTGAGCAAGTCTAGAAAGAAACAATAGAAAAAGCGCGGGCGAAGGGGCAACCAAAGCGGCAATCGCAAAGGGTCAACTACCTGCGCAACCCACTGTAATTGTTTTTTTTCTCTTGAAGTCTTGATTTTTTCTTTTCTCTTTATTTTTCATCATTATTCATCAATCATTTTTTTTAAGTCTGATCTTTTTTTTCGTTTGGGAAGTTGGTGCGTTTTTGTACCATCATTTTATGATTTTCATTATGCGGTTACTCGGAAGATCAGGACTGGCTATAATGATTTTTAAATAACTGAATCAGCTGTGTCAGCAAACAGCTGTTTTTATGCATATCAAGGAACCGTCAATACTTTTTATGTTATTTCTCAAATTCTTGAGAACTCTATTAAGTTCAAGTTACCAATTAGTTGGATCATATTTAGACATCACAGAAAGGCAAAATAAAGGACTTTGTTTTTGGCTGTTGGGCAAACAGCAACCGAATAAGTGCTTGAGTCGCGTTCAATTGTGCCTAATTCCAAATAATTGTGCAAGAGCAGACCATGATTTTGCACTTCATCGACAAATTTGCCAATATTAATCTGTTTATTCACGCTCGTAAATCAAATTAACCCTGTAATACAGAAACTGTATAAAAACTCGTCTCCTGCAAATAATTTTAATAATTTCAATTACTATGATGTTTTTTTCGTTGTTTCTTGCATTTGTTTCCGCCTTCACTGAAGAGGAAAAAATAGCAATGGCTGTGTCAGGTAAAAATAAAATTGTTGAAATTTCGAATAAAAGAATCATTTTAAGAAGCTGAGGAGTTTTTGGAGAGGATGGGATATACTTTCTATGGCAGTCAAAACCATGTCAAACGAAACGGTTGGCCTGAAGCTGGGCTCGGCAACCTGTGTTGGAAACCTGAGTCAGGGTTATGAAAACGCTTAAACAGAGCCCTGACTCAGGTTTTTAAAACAGGTTGTCGAGCCTTGGCCTGAAGAAAACAAGAACCTGTATGCGAACTTTTGAGTATACAATTAACGCATGAACGCACGAAATTTTTTTCCTGCTGAACGCATATTGCGCAGATTTCTGCGCAGCACCTTTAGAGCGCTCTAGCGACGATTGTGGTCGAGATTTGAAAAAATCAAAGCTACCAAAATGAAGTTCAGACGCTTGCGAACAAGCTTATTATAGTTTAAAATCCTAACCGAAACCTGAACCTCGCTAAAAATAGTGATTTTTGAAGTAACCCGAAAATGACTTAGTTTTTTCCATTTTTTTCTATTTCATTGATCTCAAGAACAATTGTACAAAATAGATATTAATGATGAAATTACTATTTGATTCGATGTAGAAATGCGATAAAGCGTCGAAAAAATATTTTTATCGACGGAAAAATCAATGCAGAACTGTTAAAATGCTTACAAAACATTATTCGAAAAAATCGGAAATTTTCGTTCTGAAGCCAACTTTTTATCCTGAAGTCAAAAATTTTTTTCGATGCCAGATTCGGATTCGTCATCGAAAAAGAGTTCCTAAAGTGGGGGTTCATTTAAAATTTTAGTCAAGTAAAGTATGAGATATCGAGCTTTAAGGGGGTGGTGGTCGAGACTAAGACTTTTTTCAACCTAAAAAACTCAATTTTTTTCAAAGAAATTTTTTTTTCTCTAATTGAAAATAAGTTGAAAAGGGTCCAATTTATGTGGGCGGCTATGTTTGAAAAAAATATTTTTTCGAAAAAATAGTGAAAAATTTCTTCAAAGTGGACCCATCTCTTGACCTTAAAAACTCTATCCCCTTATCATTTTTTTCCAAATAAAACTTATCGAGAGGAAATTTTAGACCCTTTAGCGTGTGGGCGGCTTAGTTTTAGAAAGTTCACCTTGTTAACAAAGAAAATAGTAATTGAATGAAAACATGTTAATTTCTGAAAAATCATCATTTTCACTCATTTTTCAATGAAATTTTCGAAAACATCAAGATAATCGTAATTTTTTTTGATTTTTATAGATAAAATATGATCAAAAAACATAACATCGCAAAAGAAAATCAATTTTAAATTTGCTTTAGTACGAAAAAAGCGTTTCAAAATTCCCGAAAATGGCGATTTTATAGCCTAAAATCGAAAATATTCTTCAATAAAGTTGGTCCAATCAAAAGAAGCTAGAGACCAAAAATGTTCCTTTTTTATCAAGGAATCTAAAAATAATATCAAAATTTTAAAAAGCCGAAAAAAAATTTCTCGACCACCACCCCCTTAAAGGGGCTCTGCGCAGAAATCTGCGCAATATGCGTTCAAGCGTTAACAACTGTTACGTGTTTAGAATAAAACAAAATAAACAAGTGTATTGATTTTTAATTATTTCTTTTTGTGAAAAAATAATTATTTTTGACGTCAAAAAAGCTTTTTTACAAAATTGTGGTGATTTGCTTATTATGGCGAATAAATAACGAAGCTCTGATCTTTTATTCAAGATATTTTGAGCGAACAGAAGAATCAATAATCAACGGATAAAAGACGACAGTAAGACGTGTTTATTGTACTGTAAAGACGATTTGAACGAATTGAAATGAAGATTTTTTCGCTTTTTTTTGTTTTTGCTTTTGCGTTAACGGAGGAGGAAGAGTTAGCAAACGCGGTTTTGGGTAATTATAAAAATGATTCAGATAAAAGCGCCTGAAATTATTAATAAAAGGGGGTTATAAAGTAATTTTAGACACGAACATAAAACATAAACACATCGGCTATCTGACAAAATGATAATTGAAGCGCATGAACGAAATTGTTAAACAAACCCTCAGATGACCTTATGATTATTATTAATAAGATTAAATCTATTCCTTGGTCGATAACTTCAGGAAAAAGTTTTCTCAACTAATAAAAACGCAGTCACTTTTAAGGACCCTCCCCCGTCAACAATTTTCCTCAAAAAATCGAAAATTTCAAAACAGCCATATTTTGGCTTATGAATGTCCCTGGAAGTTTAATTCATCATAAATACTTCTTTGGGCCCCCTAATTAAAATCTGAAATTTTAGCAAAATTGAGACTTTTTCGTCATTTTTCGTCAAAAAGTCAAATTTTCAAACGCGATTTCGAGGGGATAGAGTCGAGATAGACACCCAAAAAATGAAGCCTCAAAATTGTTTTTTGACCCGTAGAATCCATTTCCGGGGTCAAAATTTTCCAATCCGGAAAATAGATTTTTCGAAAATTATTGAGGGGGGGTCCTTAATTTATCATGATTTTTATCTTCGCTGAAAGCATCATTAGTTTTTAGCTGCTGAAATGTTCCTGTCCAAAATGGGCCAAACCTTTTACGGCATTCCGAATCACTTCATTGAGTCAAAAAGAGATGTCATCGATGCAACAAATGACGAAGAATACGCATACAATTGACTGCATTTTTGATTTATTCGAGAGAAATAAATGATTAACTGTTTCAATAGCAAAAAAACTGTGTTTGCGGAAAGGAAATTTTGTTTCTAGTATTGACAATTGACTAAAAAGGCATTTATTTATCAAAATAAATGGCCGTAATAAATTAGAAATTAAAATAATAAAGGATGGCTATTGATAAACTGGGTAATGTTCTTCGTAGCACTTGATGAAACTTCTATGATGCCAGAGTCGCGTTACGCGCTCTTCGTATTCTTCTTCTAACTCGGGAGTTCGTTCTGGAAAGCGGTACTGGGCATATTCCTCGGTTCGACCGTCGCAGCCTTGTGGATCGTGGGTTATAACGACATCCGAGCAGCTTCAAAAAAAATAGTCATTCTTGGCGTTGATTTATTGACTTACCCGGCGATTCTCAATTTTCCAATAGAATCAATGAAGAATTCTTTGTGTCCAGTCGTGATAAAATGCGGGTCCATTCGAACTTTTCCAGCTGTAGCAGTTCTAGCGATGAAGAAGTTCCTCACGAGATCCATGGCCATGCAACCTGGATAGCCGGGAATCGGAAGGTGATCAGTTTCTCGTCGAGCGTAGCAGAAACCCTTTTCTGTTCTAAAAACCGCGATGAAATCAAGGAAGAAAACGAGGAAGCGCAATTAGTAATTGCCAATTACCTTTGGATATCAAAGTTGTTATATTTTCCCCAACCTTCATCAGCATTCGTCGTCGTTCCCGCCACCAAATCATAGCCCGTGCTTTCAATCACTTCCAGAAGATAATCCAACGACGTATTTTTCTCGACAACAAAATCATCATCCATCCAAAGGAAAAACTCAGTCTTGACTTGCGAAATTGCAAGGCCTCGTCCAGCGAACCAGCCGCTATGGGGAGGCATTTGGTATTGACGAACAGTTGGGTATTTTTTTGTGTCGATTTCTTTGTAAACTTCGGTGGGTGAGTCGTCAGCAATGATGACTTCCACTCCGGGGTAGTATTTCTGAAGAAAAATTTGATAAAGAAAGTTGAATTGAGAAAAAAAAATTATGATTTTTGACCAAAATTATGGTCAAATTTTAAGCCCAATCAGATATCCGAATCTTCCCACTCGGCCAATCAGAATTCAAAATAAAGATGTCAGAAAACTTAACCCTAATGATAACCCAATTTGAATTATTCGTAATGATAAGTAATAAGTTATTACTAATAAGTTATTAGTAATAACTAAATTCTCGACTCACCAAAAGACTATCCAAAAATCTTTCGAGACATGCATATCTCATGAAGCTCTTCGCAACAACTGTAACTTTGTCTTTGAACTCATTTCCCGTCCTCGGCGCGAGCCATGGCAAGTTGATCCGTCGAATCTCAACTGGGAAGCTTGCCACGAATTTCTCAGATGTTGCGAGTCTCGTTACTCTGAAGTAGCAGATGTCGGTCATTCGCCGAGCGTCGAAAACACGAGGGGTGTAGGTGCGAGGAGTTTTGTTGAATTTTCCGACGCTTTCTTTGGTACCGCTGTTTGTGACTGTTCCAAGCTAAAATACAGACTTTACTGAAAAGAGTAATCTATATTTGGGCTTACCGAGCAAGCAATATTAATTGTGACCATTTCATTTTCATCAAGATGAATTTTCAGCGGTAGGATAAAAGACGAAAACGGCTCAGTTTGAAGTCCAAAAGAGACGTATTCTAGAGGGATATTCGGCTGGCCCCGGAGAAGAGGAGGAGCATGAGTTTCAAAGTAGTTGTCTTGAAGATAATTTTGATACTGCTTGTTTCGGATTTGTTTTCTTTTCGTTTCACCTAGAAATAAATTCATCAAGGACTTAATTTTTTTCAATTCGAATTACCTTCTAGAATTTCATCGAAGTCCCAAACTTTCATCGTCTTCGATTTACAAGAACAGCTTGAAACATGCGAAACCAGCCTTCTCTCCGGGTATATCTTCGTATTTCTCACATCAAGAGCTTGCATTATGCTTGAAGCAATGTTCACCGTTGACGATCTTTTCAGCGCGTGTTCTGAAACAATCAGAGGATCGAGAGTCTTCGGTTTCTTCGCCAGAGCTTCATCGATCTTTTTCTGAAGCTCGGGTGGATTCGTCGGACTGATTTTCTTGCCGATTTCCGGCTTTCTAGGAATGTGTTCGTAAGTTCTTGACGCCTTTGCCTTTTTTGCGGCCTTGGCATTTTCTCTATCTTTTTTTTCTTGGACATATTTGTCGAGTTTTTCTTTGAGGGCGGCGACTTTATCAGGTTTCTTTTCAAAGATTTCAAATTTTTTCTTACAAAGTTGCTCTTGCCCAAATCTAACCCTAACCCTAACCCGAATAGACATGTCACATGAGAAAATTCAATGACTAACCTTGGTATGTGAAGATAAGTGCTTTTTTTCTTCGGATTTTCAATATACGTTTTTTCCTTGACATATTTTTGTAATTTGTCGCTGAGGTTAACTGCTGTTTCAACGACCTTTTTTGAGATTTTCTAGTGTAAACCCTAACCCTAACTGTTGAGAGCATTTGACATCAGAAAATGTTATGCATTAGATCATGCGCTCGCCACGTGATTCTCATCCGTTTTACCGAAAAAATATTCTTGTGAAATGTCATTTAAAATCTTTCCTTTTCATCTTCTGGCGTTTCTTCTTCTCTTAATTCTACAGGCAACTCTGTCGGACAGGGCTCTACGTATTCGTCTATCTTCTCAAATTTATTTTCTCTGCCGAAAAATTTCACAGCTGCATCGCCAGTTCCAAAAATATAATTAAATTGGTGCATGCAAAAGAAACCAAAGAGGAAATATAAAATTTTTAAGTCGAACATTTTCTCTGATAATATTTTTTTAGATAATTGTTAAGAGGGATGATGGCGACGAGCCATGAGCGGTGCAGGGCGAAAATACGGCGCAAGGATGAAAATTGGCCGCGGGCGATTTCTAGCTGCACGGTTTTCTAGTAGATTTTCCAGAGTTCCATTACGTAATTTTGCTGGAGTGATAGGGTCACAGCTTCTAAATTTTTTCCAACATTTCATTTGGAGATAAATCCCTTGGAATTATCCTTGGATTTAAGATGTTTTTGATTGAGATACTTTGTTTTTTCAGTAAAGCTACTTCTTGTAATGGGTTTTTGGCATATCAAGGAGAAAAAACTCAATAAAGAGCCCGTCTTCCTCGGCCAATTTGCGGTAACTCAGGTTGCTCATAAACCCCGATCTGACCTTAAAACATCCATGACCAAAACATTGATGACGTTCATGCTCATTTTGATGGCTCCTTTTCTACTTTCATAAAAATCACTCTGTGGTGCTGCCCCGGGCGACTTTCGACCGCAAGAAAAATTCAATTTCCAGATATAGGAGGTACCGAATGAAAATGCACTTCGCCCAAAAATCGTTGAAAAATGAAACTTATTAAATAAGAGAGAAAAAGCAAGGAAAAAGATGATTCGGCATAAAAATCTCATCAGCGGAATTATAGTGCTTGTAATTCTCTACTTTGGATATGTAAAGCTTTTTACTGCACTGGAAGATCACGATGAAGAATTCAACCCTTTGAAGGAACTAGAGAAAATTGAAAAAGAAGAGGCGGAAAAAGCCGAAAATTTCTTAGGCGATGATGAAGAAACATCGAATCGAATTATCAATGCTCTTAACAATTTTTCAATAGAAAAGGCAGAAGAGGTAGAATCAACAACGGATAAGCCAACAACCAGTTCTTCCGTAACAGAAGAGCCAAATGCAGAAAAACATGAAGAAAGACTTTTGCAGCCAAGAAAATTGATCCAAATCGACCAAGATAGTCAAATTTACGACGAAGATTTAGAAGTTATCAGCGTTGATGAAGATAAGGAAGATGATGAATCTGAAATTCCTGAAGACCTGCCAGAAAGCGATGAAAGAAAAATTCCCTCTAGAAAACCCTGTCCAGACTTTGGTACAAATTTTACGAAAAACCTTCACCCAAAATACAAACTCGACGAAAACCGCATCGTGTCTCACTTCGTCTCTAATGGACCAAACAACCAAATTGTCGATTTTCGCCAAGGCTTGTTCTGGGCAATAAAGCTTAATATTTCTTCGACGCTTCCACTTTTTTATGAGCATTTTACTATTTCGAAGGCAGTAATTGAGCCAAAGCATAGAATCAAGTTGGACGGAAGTTTGCTGTCGAGTGTTTCTCCGGAGGAATTTGGCAGAAGATGCAAAGATCAAGAAATTGCACTGCTTGATGCTACACCAGGTTCGTCATTTGAATGATTTTCATTTGATCGATGCTTTTTTTCTTAGGAAAAATTTAGCTCGCTCTTAGATCATTTTTTCGCCCCTCAAAAAGCATTAATTCAGACTCCGCAAATCAATTCCAATTGCAAAAAGAACAGCGTCTCCCTCAACTTTACGATTTTCACGGAATCGACAAAGCCCACGTGACGCGCTTCCAACCCGTCGCACCCTCTAGAATGATTAAATCCGACGCTGATTATGTAAATAACTGGCCAGCGCGAATTCAAAAGTACAGCTGCTCCATATTCGCACATCCCTACCGCTCGAAATTCATTGAAAGAAGTGAAAAAGATGAAGATCTCTGGAATGAAATCATTAGAGCAACGCCAAGGCCGGAGTATATTCAAAAAATGGCGGAAGAATTTATCGAAGAAGAAATGAATACGAGATTTTTGGCGATTCATTGGAGGGAAAGGGTTGAAATAAGCAATTATACGCTAAAATCGTAATGTTGATTATGACTTGCTTCATAAACCCGACGTAAGATATGACCGAAAAGATTTCTTGAGCAAAAATCGCTGCAGAAAATATATAAAAACCGATGAAAAGCGAAAAAGAAGAGCGGGAATTCTTAGCTACGAACGAGCTTGTATAGAATTCTACCCTTTACGAACGGTTCTCAAAATCTAAGAACTATTTCTACGAAAAAAATTGTAAATTATCAATTTTAAAACCTTAAAAAAGTCTCCGATGTAACACCCCTCACGAGCAAAATCCTCGACTTCGCCACTGAGCATAATTTCCGTTACGTGTTTCTCGCGCTTCCTCCGATTGAAATTCCACTTGGAAACGCGATTTCAGAAAAATTGGCCGAGCAAAAAGTCATCGTAAAAATGGAAGATGCCGTGCAAAGTTTCGTCTTTCAAAAATACCCAGGTAAGATCTTTGTCCCCTCCTTTTTATGAAAAACATCTTAGATTGTGAATACTTCCGTGAACATAAAGACGACATGCTCTCACTTCTAGAGCAAGAAATTGTATTCAAATCATCCTTTTTCATCCGCTCTCTTGCATCGACCTGGTCCTCGAACATTTACAGCGAAAGAAATGCTAGAGGAGTGAACAACACTATTTCCGTCCTGGATCTTATGGGAATAAATGTTTACGAGAAACCAGAAAAGTAGAAACAAAATGAAATTTTATTTATTCAAATATATTACCACCTGCCAAACCATACTCAAATAAATAACAAAGAAGACGACGTTTGATAAATATCTTATTTTTCTACCCCTGTTTATAAAATTAAAAATTCAAAATTTCATCAACATGGAAAATTGAATATAAAAAGCAAGATCGAAAGGGCAAGTGGAAAATTCAAACAAATGATTTTATCCACTTCCCTTTTCTTTGTACTCTTTAGCGGGGTTGTGAGCGATGATGAGAGTTTTGAAGCATATGTCAATGAAGAGTACCCTGACTACATCTTGAAAACATTTAGGACATACCTTCGAGAAGCTCAAGCGAGATGGGAAGACTCTCAGAAAATGAGAATTTATGAATAGTTCTTATTCCCTGCGAAATAAATGATAGATTCCTCGATGGTTTTTTTCGATAGAAAAGAATTTATGAGCTCAGGAATTTTTGAAAAGCTAAACTATATCTTGTCTCCCATGAAAATGGACCTAGCGACCAAATCTATCAAATATTGACATCCATCTTCTCTCTTGGAACCCGCATAATAGCATCCCTGGTTTCATGGATATATTATTAAGGAGGTACAGAATGTATATTAGCAGAGATACTAAGAGGTTCATTATCTGGTACGGTATTTTCAACACGTGTCGAAAAATATGAAACTTTCCTTTTTCCTCTGCGCTACTGGTAAGAAACGCAGATAGAAAGAGCCTTAAATGGATTCAGGTTTCGCAAAATTTGACGAAAACTTGGAGAAGATAAATCGACTGATAGAAAATATGTATCCTGAGTTGACTGAAACCGAAGCTCGCTTCTTAGCCGCTCAATTCAAAATCTTCCTCCAAAACTCTCCCCAAACTTATTCGATGACAACTTTTGAATAAAACAAACTCCGATTCCAAAATCTTCGTTTTCTTTCATAATATGTTTCAATATGCATTTATTTATTAGATTACTAGAATAAGATGAAAGGAAATAGACTGAACAAGTAGAAAGCAGGAGATATTGCACCTATGGAAAACAGAAAGGAGGGTTAGTTGCATGATATTAAGAATTGCTCTAGAGTTCGTCAGCTGATATTTGTCGGGTTAATTAAACGACTTCGTATCGCTCGACAAGTAGGGCGTTTTCGTTCGAGAACTTGACCGGTGAGCCGGAATCGGCTTCGACGACTCCACTGACAGCGACATTGATGAATGACTTCTTCGTCGAGTGGAATTCAACCTAGAAAAGTTTAAGTGATGATGATCGGACTGAAACGGGCATACGGAGACTGGGAAGAAATCGTCTGGATTGCCAGCAATTGAAAATTCTAGCGAGCCATTAGCATTTGAAGAATCTAAATGAATAAAAGTTTGATTCGGTTTTCTTTCAAGCTTATTTCACCAATGACAGGGAGAGTCCATTCGAGGAAGTTCTTTCTGGCGTCGTGTTTGTAGTCCCCGTCGATGTTGCTGATGATAGGAGCGCCAACACCTGATGGAACTGGAATTCTGATAGTGACATCTGCTAGTTCAAGGTGTTGGTGAACATCCTAAATCAAAGTAAATGAAGAATATTGTCGTAGGAGTCGGTCAAACCTGTAGCTCGTATTCGACAGAAACATCACATCCACCGTCTCCATTTTCATTCGGCCAGCAAGTGATGTTCAATGGGATCTGGTCTTCGTCTTGAGTCTGGAGTCGCCACTTGAGGACGCCAACATCTTGGTCTAAAAAGTGATTGTAGATTGCTCCCGAGACGATGGAGAACTTACTGACTGGGAATGGTTTGTCGGGATTCTTGAGTCCAACAATCGACTCGGAGTTGAAAACGTTCTTGTTGACCTGAGGATGGGTCTGCCACATGACTCGGTCGTCATCTCGGTCGAGTCTGACCTTGATCTTTGCTTGTTCTTCGTCTAAAAAAGGTTGGAAGGGAAAGAGGACGATTTTTTCCGACCTGAAATTCTCAGAAGCATCATTCCCTGAAGAATCATTTCATCCAAGCCGCCATCTCTGTTCGCCTGGAGTTGGATCTTTTCTTCAACTCTGATGTGAACCGACTCGGTCTGAAAAGCGATTTGACGCTCGAGGAGAAAAGGCTTGACTTACAAGAGCAGCAGGGATTTGTGTTTTTGTAGTTTCTTTCTTCACAGCAGTTGAGCTCACAGCAACACCTTCATTAGCCAGCTTGTCGACGAAGCTGTCGATTCCAGACTTTTTACCTAAAAAAAGAATAAGGAACTGCTATTAAAGGAGAAAGAAACCTTTGAGAGACATTCCACCGGCTCGGGATGCTTTGGGCCTTGTGGGCTTGGAAGCAGTTGGCTCAACAGTAGCCCCGGCAGATGAAGACGATCCCATGGAAGAGCCACCTCCGCCGATTCCACCGCCGCCGCTCATGGACTAAAAGAAACTTGACGATTGGGATAATGTTCTTTGCTACCAGCTAAAATATGATTCGATAAAAATCTTCACCACCATTCTATATTTTATAAAAAAGCGAACAACTAACACGAGGTTTTAAGTTTTAGCTTTTATACCGTTATATTCGCTTGGGAAGAATTACTCTTTCCCCACTGAAAAAGATAAAAAAAACGATTTCATGCGGTGCTACTTACGGCCATGGACATGCCACCGAAGCGGCCGCCCTTTCCAGCTTCGCGCTTTCGTTTCGCGATTTCCGCCATTTGCTCCTTTCGCTGCTTTTTGGCCGCTTCTTCCTGTGACTTTCGCATGGCGATGGCCACCTTTTCTTCGTGCGAGTCCATTTCGGTGAAGACGCGGATTTGGTTGAGATTGACGGATTCTCGGTAGCCGAGGGCGACGATTTCGTCGAAGGCGAAAAGGAGCTCGAAAGCGTTGTTCGACACTTCAGTCTCGTCAATTGTGCTAGAATTTTTTGTAAAAAGAGGACAGGCGGATAAAAAATCATTCAAAATATTAAATGTTTGATAAGTGCATAAGCAATCACGAGTCGTGATTCACGACTGACAAAAAATTCACGAGAAAACATCACGTTTGATAACTGATAAATGATAACTGTCGATAAGGAGATCTGTAACTGAAATGTCATAAAACAGACTCTCACCACCTTTTGTACATTACACGCCCTCCATAAGTGTACCTTTTCCTAAAACACCAGAAATAAAGAAGCAAGAAGCGAAGTCAAGAAGGAAGCTAGCTTTTTTCCTTACCGGCAATATTCTGGGATGACTTTCGAGAAAAGTCTGAGCGTTTCAAGATCTTCGAGAATATTGGAGTTTTTCGTAGTGATCAAAAGCGCGTACATCTTCTCCAGCGGCTGGTAGACGTATCTGACGCTCTCGGTTTCGACGAAAGTGTGTTGCTTGGAAGAATGCTTCGAATCGGAGCTCATCAATTTAGGAAAGGCAGAGAGAAGGCCTTCGATTCGGGCTCGAGACATTTCGATGAATTGGCGGGAGACAAGAGCCTTGCCCGACTTTGTGCAAACTGCGGCGGCAAGAAGGACCATTTTGTTAATCTGAAAATAAGCATCGAATTAAGTATCGAGCGGTACAGTAACAGTAGTATCTGTTTATTTTGACAATCGATAATTAGGCAGTAAAAGAACGGTTCTAGAGTTGAAAACCCTCGCATCGTTTGAGAACATTTTCTTGGTAGGCTTCGAAAGCACGCATTTCTTTACTCGAGTAGGTCTTTTGTCGTGCTTTTTCGCGCGATTCAGCGTAGTTTGTCGGCTGCTGAGTCAGCCATTTCACTTCGAGAGGGCATTGAAGTAGGCGCTTTGCTTTGAACTCGGCGGCAACGGCTTGCTGCATTCTAGAACTACCTTTAAAAAAGAGGGAATATGGAGGTGACGTACGTGTAAAACTCTACGGCGGCGACACCTTTTTTCTTCGTGCTCAAGACGCAGCCACAAGCACCCAAATGCTTTTTAATCTCTTCCGCCGAGAATTGATAGTGTTCATGATTCCAGCTCACTCTCAATCGTGCGATATCGTCTGTTTTGCCAACTCTTCTCTTGCTCAGCCGGTATTGAGCTTGAGCTCTTTCCAATAAGTTTTGACCCTCTGCCCGGAGGCGCTTTATCTGCTCTAGGAGGATGACGTGAATGAAAATGACGACAAATAGAGGGAGAAAAGAGAGAACACTTACCAGCTCGATTGACGGTCTTTCTTCTCTGGAGTCTCTCGCGTTCTTCTGCAGCTGCTTCTCTTCTGTCCATTTCTGATCGTTTTTCGCGAAGAACTGAGTCCATCTTTTCAGCTCTTTTTCATGGTTAAACCTTTCGATCTTTGGTAGAACCTCAGTGAATTATTTAACCACTTCCTTTCCTGCTGTTTTTGCCAGTTGTCGAGATGCATGTCCAGTTTTGCTCGATTTTGAGGCTCTTTGAGAAAGTCGAATGCTTCCTTGAGCTTGTGGAAAATGGCGGCAGCTTCGGGAGACGGATTTTTATCCGGGTGCACATCTCTGGCCTTGTTTCTGTATGCCTTATTACGAGGTTATTTTGGTAAGGGCAGTTTATTGGTACCTTTTTGATGTCTTTATCAGACGCATTTCGAGCTACTCCGAGTTCTTTGTAAAGATCTCGCTTGAGCATTTCTTTTTCTTTCGCAACATCCGAAGCCGACATTCTAGGATTGAGACAGTATAAGTGAATGTTTTCTCATCTTTATTTTTTCAGTAAAATAAGCACAGGACAGGTCCAAGGGTTTGTGCAAGGTATAATTGTGAAAATTGGACTTCAAATTTTAAAACTTTCACTTTTGAACTTCAAAAATAACGACAGTGAATGAGCTTTTTCAGCAGTGAGAGGAGACTATTTTTCTATTTATTCTTTGTAGTTCTTCCGGGGTGTTTTTCGTTTCTTGCGTTCATCTGGCGCGAATTTACCAGCTAAAAATATTGCTAAAAGAAGAAAAAGAATTCAAAAAACGCACCATCTTTCATAAGGCCAAGTTCGTATTTATTTAAACCTGGGACTGGAAAATACATTTCGGGCCGTTCTCGAGGCTCTTCATTCTCTTCATCACTGTCCGAGATGATTATCGATTCAATCATCTCAACTGGAGCCGTTGCAGGAGCTGGTGTATCTTCATCATCGTCACTGATGATGATGACGGCTTCTTGAGGATTCCCTGGTGCAGGAGCCTCGTTCTTCTTGATCACTAGAACAATGATAAAGAAATGGAGCTATAATTCCAATTTATTACTTGACATAAGAAGATCGTGTTGATGCTGGTTGAAGCCCACAAACTCTTCTTTAATTTTGTCTGATTCTCGAGAAGGCTCTTCTTTAACGTTCGAACTTGGATTGTCTTCTTCATATTGCTCGTCCTTCTCTAGCGCGGCTTCTCCGTCGTTTTCTGACAAGGATTCTGGACCGCAAACTGCATCTGCTTCGGAATTCGCACCAGTGCTTTCATCCTTTTCTTCATTGCTCGGCTCCAATGGTATTTGCTCGTCAACGAGGGCGGGTTCCAAGGGCAGGGTGTCCTCTAACTTGCCGTCCTCATTTTCTTCCTCATCATTGTCGTCTTCCTCCTCTACTTCTTCTTCCGTCTCCTTCTCTTCCTCCTCTACTTCTTCTTCCGTCTCCTTCTCTTCCTCCTCTTCTTCTGTATCTTCTGCGTCGTTCTCGTCATCACTCGTGCCACTGATAAACTGTGCCAGCCGAGCTGCTTTCTCAGCGTCTGTCTCAGGCAAAGATGCTTCTGCAATTGCTTCCGCGACGGCTTTTTCTTTAGAAATTCGTTCCAGCTTTGCTTTTCTGTTCAGAATCATGAGCTCAAGGCGAGCAATTTCTTTATCAGCTTGTTTCTTCTGCTTCATTCTTCGCCTTTCAGACCGTTCAATTTTTTCTTCAAATTTGTCGAAGACTTCTTTCTCTTTCTCCTGAAACTGACTGTAGAGATCCAGCAGTTTTCGGTTCATTACCCCGTATTCTCTGAATTTTATTTGATTTTTGAAGAAAAAGGGCACAAACGTACGTTATTTGTTTGACAGTGCTTGCAATTTCTAGCCGTCTGTGAGATTCTGTCCGCTCTTCTCTCTGTAAATCATCCTCGACGATCAAATGAGCGTATTTAGGCCTCTTATCCTCGGGGCCAAATCCTTCTTCGTACCTTCTCAACTCATCCAAGCTCAAAATTCTCATCTCATTGCCGAGTGCAAAGCTTTCGCGAATATTTTCTTCAGAAAATTCCCCTCGTCCTGCTAGAAGATCATCCTCCAACTCGTCATCAGACTCGTCTGACTCGGAAAGAGTGTCGGAGTCTGATTTAGAGTCTGTCCTCGCTTCTGGCTCAGAGACGTAATCTCTCTCGACGTCACTTGCCTCGGGCCAGGAATCAGTTCCTTCTGATTCAGTATCGGAGTTTTCGGGTGGTCGCAGCTCCAAGTCGATCTCCAAGGAAGAGCTTCCAATCTGTCTTTCAGATAGGCTTGCACAGCCGTCTGTATTCATGTTTCTATCGAACCGAATCTAAATAAAGATCATTGAAAACTGCGTAAGAAAGAAAAGTGTCAGTTATCAAAGATGACCAAAATTCTCAAAGGAGTGAGAAAATCGGTTACATAGATCCATCGCGCCAATAAAAAGTATTTCAGGTACTGACTATTGATATTTATTTCCGTAAATCGTAATAAATCAGTAAATCAAGCGTTTCAGTCAAAAACAACTCCTCATCTTCATATTCCTGAGTTTTGAGCCACTCATTTTCCCTCCCAAATTCTTCAACATCAAGTTTCTTTAGTCTTCTAGCGCAAAAATCCATCATTCTTTCCAAAAACGGCTGAATGATAAGACCAAAGGCGTATAAAGACTGTTTATGCTGTTTCTCAGAATTTATAGCAAAGAGCTTTTGGCCGGAAGACTGGTCTTGTTCAAGATCCCACCAGCCAGAGAACAGGGTCGAGTTTTCAGAGACGAGGTATCCTTCTTTCCACAAGCTGCGAATTTGATGCAAGAAATACTCTTGTACATCTTGACAAGTTTCTAAAGGCCAACTTAGAATCGATCTGGACTTGTTAAGTCACCTGGAACATTTGATATCGAAAGCAGATCATCAATATTGAGGCAGTTATGCAAGGTAACCACATGTTCAACTAGATCTGCTGAGGAAATCCAGGAATTTTCATTCACCAAAGATTCATAAATTCCCAAAGAAACGAGTCCAAGAAGACCAGCATGTGGTAGCAGCTCCATGAAAGGGTTTGAGGAAGGTATTGAGGAGGGAATGGGTTGAGTATTAATCGTTTTCTGGGAAGAAATAAGGGAAAGAAAATCTTTTGAGGATTCAGGATGAGCAGGAAGTTGGTGATAGCGGTAAAAATTATTGACAGCGATGAGAAGACGAGGAGCATCGAAAAAGTAAACTGGGCATTCGGGTTGAAGAAAACGGATCATATCAGCGTCGTGCGTTGAACTGCAAGAAATAACATGGAAGACGTGCTTTTTCAACCTCGATAGTGGAAGTTTCTTATGAAGAGAATTTCGTGGACGAGCAAAAACTTTGGTCGCGAAAGACGTTTCAACTCGCGTGTTTTCGTCCTATATTTTTAATAACAGACCAGAATAATGAATAAACTCGCCTTTGGGAGCTGTATTTCCGAATTCCAGGAGTCGAAAAGGACGATTTTTGGCGAATTAGGCATCAGTCTTCCAAGCCAACTGTTTTCATGAACAACCAGTGTTTTCAATCTCACACTTTGGACGAACCGGTACAAAGGCAACTCCCATGATCCGAGGTTATTTTTGTTGAGGTAAATCATTCTTGGCTTTTTTTCTTCCTTGATTTCTTGGAGCGGGATTGAAACGAAACAGTGTTCTGGATCGAGACAATGAAGAAATGCAAAAAGATGAGCTGCTCCTCGGGATAATGATGATGGAAGGGAGGAGATCAGCTCGGAAAGTGACTTAAAACCCGGCTCAGTTGTTTTCAAACGATACGGTTTTCTCCGACGAGTTATGAAATCCTCCTTTATTGTCATTCTCCAAAATACAAATGTCTAGTGCTGCATCTATAATTTTCATCTCGATTTTAAACTGAAAAAAGAAGAAGACTGGTTTTGTTGTTTTGTATTTATTCGGTAAAAGAACTAGCCTATTGACTTAAAAGACAATAAGATTAGTTAGGCTGAACGGTGAATTTTTCGGAACGTTGAGTTGCGTTTTTTTGCGGAAGCGCAGTAAAATATTTGTAAAAAAAAAGATTTGTACAGTAACTTGAGTCAGAAGTAATTATAGCTAAATTCAGAAGTTGATAAGTTTAAGTTTTACAGTTTTAAAGGTTTTATAGAGCGGAAAAAAGTTACAGTTAGAATTGATAGGCATACAATACTGTATTGGAAGTAATTGGAGAGGGGAAGTAAGGGTAGAAGTACGTAAAATAATTGTTGTTTTTGGGCAGTTCAGATTCGTTTTTAACTCAAATTTTGAACAATAAGCTGGAAAGTTTGCGAGTTTCACGATAGTCGGAAGAGCAGTCTCTTGAGTCCAGTCAAGTGGAACGTTGAAGAAGTTTCTGCAGTTTCTTATAATAATTATAACAGCTTTGGAAGCCTTCAGATTGCCTCGCAATCGGCGTATTCCATCGCCACTTCGTAAATGAAGCGGTATTGCTCGAGGGTTTCGACCAATTGGGGGCGAACTGCGCGCAGTTGCAATACCGAACTAGAAAAAATAGGTTGAAAAGTGACAGTTTGAGACGTAGGTTTACCTGAAAACATCCGCAGTTTGGAGGGACTTGAGCTGCTGGATAACATTATAACATGACGCAAAAGTGCCAGATTTTCCAGCTCCGGCGACACAATGAAGTAGAACCCGACTTCCGGGAGGCTGAAGTAAGATGTTAGGTAACTGTTTAATACGTGACACCTTACCAGGGTTGATCGATGTTGATCAATAAGAGAGACCAAGCGGAGGACGGCGTTTCGAGATGATGGAACGGGCTGACCAGCAGGCCAGTTTGATAGTTGAAGGAGCTTGACTTCTTTTGCTGGATCGTTTGACCTTGAAAAGAAGGGTTGGAGAGAGGTCATACTGGCTTTCTTTTACCTGTAGTAATTGGTCAACTTGAGAGTTCGACTGACAAGTTCGATTTCATCCGACTTGTCCAGCGACTCGACAGTGAAAGCTGAGTAAGTCTCCTTCGTCTGCTCGGCGGGCCAATAGTTTGCGCATGTCTCGTCTGTCTCGCTCGCGTCATTCAGCATGACGACCACCGACACGCTGTAGTCGTGCACAAGTCGCCAGAAATCCCCAACTGAATGAGTAATTAATAAACATCCGGACTTCCAAATTCAATTTGCTTACCAGTATGAGGCAGCGGCATTTGTGTGATAATCAAATCCCTTTTGACGAGGAAGCTATCGGCGAAAACGGCGTTGATGTAATTATGAGATGGATCAGATCCAGCTTAAAATTATAAATTATAGGCTCAGCGATCGTATAATTGCTCAAACCTGGATCAGGGGTTATGAGATAGGGAAGATCTCGATCCGCTGGGAGAACATCTTGGAAGCGGTTTTTAACTCGGTTTCGCGCGAGACGAGCAGTTTGGCACTCTTCTGTTGTCAGTCGTGGTGTCAGGACAGCCAGCGTTTCGAATTCTTCTTGAATGGGAGCGCCGCCGCCTTCAGTTTCGGTGAGAAAAACTCTTTTAACTGAATTCATACCTGTAACAGTAATCAAGTTGTCGTAATGACTACTCAAGTCCATTGCCTGAACTCCAGTTTCGCCACAAAGCACCGCTTCGAGCAAAGAATCGTGTAGGAAGATGTACTGTTCCAGATTCGCAACCATATTAACCCGCTTGTTTCTCAATTCCTTTACGGTATTGTAAATGTCCAGTAGTCCTTCACTGTCCGCCATTCTCAACATCCAGTCAAGAACGATAAAGCACCCGGATCGGCCAGAACCGGCCGAGCAGTGGACTAAAACAGGGTGATAATCGGGATTGAGTTGGGCAGATCGTCGGACAAAATGAAGCAGGCCGGTTGGTCGAGTTGGAACGCCGTGATCTGGCCAGCTCTGGAACTGCATCTGTCTAATGATTCGTGGTTCTAGGCCGCCAAGGCAGATCTTGAACTCGCGAAGAGTGTAGTGAGCAAGAACTTGTTCGGAAATAAGCTCGACTGAAAAGTTGCCATATCTCTCGATGCCCCGGATTTCATTTGGCCAATACTGATGGCATTTTCTTCTCCCAACTTCAACCAATCCCGTGACCATGATGAGAAGACGGATGTTCTCTTGCCAGATGCAATGCCAAAAGTCGGGTATGGTCGTTTCCGTCGGTCCCTGAGCAGCGATGTATCGCAAGCCATAGCCAGAAATCCACGAAGCATTGATGTAATCACCAGAATTCGCGATTTGCGTATTCGATCGAAGAACGACACGGGAATGATCGTAAGGAAGAATGTTCGTGTAGCGATTTTTCTGGATATTTTCGGGTTTTTGGGCCACATCCCAAGATGCCGTGTTTCCTTCTGGGAGCGTTTCGAATTCGTCCGCAAATGAATAAGTTCTTGAGCTTCGCATTTGGGAAACATGGATGGGGAAGTCTTCGACTCGGACGGCAAAGTCCTCTGCCTCAGATTTCCGCGAGCTGGACGGGTAATCGACCAAATCAGGCATTAAAGGCGTCTTTTCTGTCGGATACGAGCTCGGAGGTTTTTTGATATCACTATGATCACTGTACATTCCATCCGTTCGGTTGCCAAAGTCGACTGGACTCTGGACTCGATATCGTTCTGGTCCCATAGCCAGTGCTCGTCTCCTGAAGCACACAACGGATCCGACAAAGATGAAAAGAAGAAGCAAGAGAGCAACAGAAACACCACCGTAGAGCATGATGCTCGTTGTCGCGAGGGTTTCGCCATCTTTGGTTGCGGTTTTGTCTGTGTAAATCCTCTCGGAGTTTGAATTATTCATGTCTTCGACTGGTGGTGGAGGCGGTTTAACGCCCCGGGTGGCCACCACCTGACATTTGACGTTACGATCACAGTGTTGGCCGCGTGAATAGTTACATCCGGGTTGAATAGAAACCGCTTGGACCCAGATTGATACTTTCTTGCCAGGAGGAAGGGGCGCGTTCCGGAATCCATTGTAGGTATTGTTATCCCCGACGCGGAAGGGAATCTCCATTTGGCGTTCCTCAAAGTATCGTTGGTCGATTTCCGCGGCAAAGTAGTATTCGGCCCCGGTCTTGAGATACGTCTCGTAGTCGATTGAGCGATCAAAGCAGCCGTTTTTGCTGGACAAAGATCGTTTCCTCCTCCTTCTGGTATTATTCTCCGCATTTTCAACGACCACATTGTAGTGGCTGACAGGTGCGCCATTACCATCAGCGCCTCGAAGAGTGACCACAATGTCCTCATTCGTGCTGAATTCTCTCGCATCGTACGCGCCTGTCCACTTAGGACTGCCGATCTTCGTCGTTCCAACAAATTCAGATGGCCTTCCGAATCCAGCGGAAGTTTTTGCGGAGAGCGTCAAGTTGTAGGTCGTTCCAGGTGGCAAATTTGCGATTTCATAGACATTACGACTCGCTGGGATTTGGAATTCGCCTTGAAACGGTGGTCCTGGATGGAAATCACGTGGTCCGTCAAACGCATCGAAGAAGGCATATCCAAGCTTGAAGGCAAGAATGTCGCCGTTTGGAACGGCTGGATGAGGCCATTGAACAATGATGCTTTCCTCAGTCGTGATTACTTTGATTTTAAAAGATGGAATCGGCTCTGGCAGGCCGTCATTAGTCTTCGTCGGGATGACTAGGCTGTCAGTCGTGCCAACCATATTCCGAATCGAGACTTGTACTTCGTACGGCGTGTCAGCGCGCAGATTCGAGATGATGGTTCGATTGGATTCTGGCTCTTGAGTCTTCCAAAAGCCTCCAACTTGCCGCCACTTGAGCACGTAACCCCAAGTTCTACAGCCAGCATGTCTGGGCGTAGGCTTGGCCCATCTGACGAGCAGATTATCCGCATAGTTCCCCTGCGCCGTTTCAGAAACAACCTGCCCCTTGTATGGACTTACGGTTATCTGAGTCAGCGGCATCGGCTTTGCACATTTGGTCCGTATCTCAAGGCACGGGCCTGGCTTGCCAGTTCCGCCCGGGCCAGGACGCTCGAGCACGACGCAGAGCATGTAAAGCGTGTCCGGTTCGAGATGCCAGATTCGGTAAGTGCCATTGTACGTCGCCAAAGGAACGTCGTGGCCGTCCTCCCACGCGCTCTCGACCTTTTTGTAGCGGAATTCGATGTTGGTGACGGGTCCATCGCCGATGTAGGTCTCTGGGTCCTTCGGATCGACATTTAGCCGGACAATCAGGTGAGTAGGACCAGCAGAGTCGACCTCAGGTGCTCCAATGGGCACTGGAGGGCGGCGAACCTTGAGTTCTGCGTAGTTCGAGACTCCAGCAGCGGTGGCATTCGATGCAACGCACCTAAAAAGATGGTTATAATTTGGCGTCGTGGAAATAATCGGATTTCATGAGAGTGAATTAGGAAGTTACCTGATCTTATCAGCGTCAGCAGTCCCAATCGCCGGCCAGATAAACTTCGCGCTCTGGAAGTTGACCATGTTGTGACTTCGGAAAATCTTCTCCTCCATTCCAGATGAAAACTTCTGAAGCCTGATGTTTTGTCCCCACGAAGCATCGCCATTCGCGATACATTGAAGCTCTGCACTTTGTCCTTCGTTGACCTCGGTATCACCAAGTCGAAGGAAGTGAGGGGCCGAGCGACAGGATTGATACTGTACGTCGATGTTATCCAGGGCAATTATGCCGTTCGAACGCGAGAGGATACGACCTTCGAACACGAGCTATAATGGGGAAAATTAATTTAATTGAAAACAGCAACAACTTGTGAGCTACTAATTGGGGGTTAATTGGTCGCTTTGGGATGGTTAATTGGATGTTTTAATAAAACATTGTTTTATTATTTGAAAATTCAGCCCTTTTTACGCTCAAATCACCTATCAAGATGTTTTGGCGCTTTTCCAGCAATTCAACTTTATTCAGAATCCAATTCAGCTAGTCGCGTCTGCGTAAATACAAAGCCTGCCCAACTGTGAAACTAGTAGCGAGGTACGCTGGCCCTGGGCCAACCTGCGGGCTTTTTCAATTTTCTGATCTGATGCGCTGTCGGGCGACAAAAGCGGTTTATAGTAACTCATATCAAACAGTCCAGGATTACACTCCCACGAAGGATTAGGCAAAAGGTGCTTACTTTGTAGGACTGCGGCGAGAGGGCCAGCTGGACGGTGGTCCAATCGGTGGTGATGGACTGGGAGGACCAGACTGGCTGAGAGTAGACAAAGAAATCACGAATGACGTAGACGGACAGTTCTCCATGGCCGGTGATTTTGAAGTCGAACGAGACGCAATGCGTATCCTTGAAAATAAACGATGAGTTTTCGGCCAGCTCAATTAAATCCGGGGCTTAGGAGGCATTTGATAGCTCTCCACTAATCTATATCGAATGATCATCAAGTACGCTTGAGATTAAAATCCTGAAGTCTTCAGAAAAAGAATAAGTGCCGGGCTTACAGGTGCCGTCAGCTCGGAGACGCGAACAAAAGGGTTAATTTGAATTTCGAATTTGAAAAATGCCTCGGCGCTACTACTAAATCCCGACGGTGTTTAAAATAGCCCACCGCAAGCCTCAAAAGGCGACAATGGACAATTTTCTTTACAACAAAAAATGAACATAATGGCACTTGTTTGAAGGTGTTTAAATAAACAGCAGCGTAGTAAAACAACAAATGCTCGTCTGATCGGGCGAGTCCATAAAAATTACGCTCGGTAAATGCATAAAAAGCGGCGATGCTGTTTTATGGTCGCCATGAATCGGACAAATTTTACAGCGTCTACCGACTATTCATCTTTCAAGAATCCGAGGAGCAGTGATCGTGATGTACCTTGTAATCAATAGAGGGTGTGAATAAGCGAGCTTGTTGCCCTTGCTCATGCACGTTGGTATCTACGAAAACGAAGCCAGAGGCGGGGTCGGTCTCGTCCATTTCCCAGTCGAACTCATCCTCGGTTCCTTGGCGAAAGTTGCACCAGGGGTCGACACGGTCGAATTTGCAGGATCCAATGTTCTAAAAAAACAAGTTCAAAGACAAGCTTTATCGCTAATTATGGGCGGAGCAGCCCAGTCTTTAATCTTTGGAGCCGTGGGACCCCCAATATAGCGCTACATCCCCTAATTGAATCCCTAAAGAGGCAATTTAGGGATTGCAAAGCCGCAAAACTGTGGATAACACAGGTAAAAAAGAAGGAATTCTGTCCATTTCCTCTGGGAATTCCTTGTAATTACTGTATGTTTCAAATTCACAGGGAGAATTTCTTATTGAACGTTTTTGACAAGAAAGTGTAATGACGGGGCGATAAAGTGGCGCCGGGCCAAGCCACATTAAATGAGTTCCAGTGACGACCAAAGGAATTGCATAAATGTTTAAATATGTCTATCATAATTTTCAGTTTTTAAATAGGACATGATGGTCGCGGTTCAAAAGGCTTATTGATTATTGTACCTGAGGTGTATAGATTCTTGAAATTTGTTGAGCAGCGGCGAGTCCATTTCCAAAAGCAGCCAAAATCCAGGTTATCCAAGCAGTTTGTCCAAGCATAGCAGATCGAAGGAAAGCTTCATTTGAGTTTGAAACAAGCCAATTAGAATAAACCTAGGTAAACCCTTAAAAAGGCCCTTCATCGCGGTCAGCTCGTGATCACTGACCCGCAAAAAGGAGGAAATTTCAATTTGCGATTGCAAAAATTTTTGGTTTGTTGGTTTTAAAAAGGATTGCAGCGGATCTAATCGGTTTCGCCCGGTAAGTGGCTTTGAAGTAAGGGGCAAAAGATCAATATCGCACGTGGGCTTATGAATTTTTGATCATAGGACGATTGGAAAATGGGTTGTTGATGGATTTTAATCGGCGTTTATTGTTTTGCATATAAGGGTGTAGACCGCGAAAGCTGGTTGATCACCTTTTATCAAAACAAATGATAAAATGTCTATTGTACAACTTCTTTGTAAAATCTCGACCTTTGTAACTATCATATAGTTATTTCATTATGACCTGATCTCGGCAAAAAATACCGCTTCAAAGAACTCTCATCGGTTAGTAAATTTATACTGTAAATAAACTTGTGATCATCTTTTATATTTCTTGAAAAGAGATGATCCCATTCTTTATTTACAGTATAAATTTATCATCTTCAAATATTCTTTGAAGCATTATTTTTTGCCAAAATCAAATCATAATAAAATTACCCGAGGTCAGTAGTTTCAGGGACAAAAAGAATAATTCATCAAAATATACCTTCAAAGGGCACTCCTTGAAAATCAAGAGGCGATCCCCCCACTTCCCGGGAAACAAAAAACGCCGAAGCATAAAATTCAAAATTTTCACATTTTCGAATTCTCAAAAGTGTGAGAAAACAAAAAGTGCTCGAGTTCTATCGGATTACCCTTCAAAACACCGCCCAGTAAAACAATTTGACAGGTCAAAGAAGCTCCCGTGGAGTTCACAGTTACTGTCGCAGCACTTAGAATAAGGTCAATAAGTCGCAGACAAATCGATTGTCCTAACAGTAATGTGCAAGAGCGAATGGATGATGGTTCGTTACAGTATTGACAGGCTGCGATTTAAAGGCTCCTTATGGGATCATAAATATCCTTATGGCGGCGGTTAATAAGGTTAACAATGCTGCTTTTTAAATCGATTAAGGATTTACTGTTTATTTTCTTGAAAGAATTAAGGGGATAGCCATAACTGGAGCCGGGGTCGGACGGTGCCGGTACCAATCCAAAATTGGTACCCGGTACCAAATTTTTGGTACCCGGTACCAAAAAAATGTCAGAATACCGAGCCAAAATTGATATTAAAAGGTTAATTCGGTCAATAAATGGAGTTTCTTCACACTTCAGCCGCGGAGCGGACATTAGTTTTTCGATGATTCAGAAAAATGCTTGACTTTGGTACCGGGTACCAAATTTTTGGTACCGGGTACCAATTTTGGTACCGGGTACCAATTTGGTACCGGCACCGTCCGTCTCCCACTGGAGCCCTACCCCTTCCTGCAAAAAGCAGCAATTAAATATTTATCGCGTCCGATTTGAATTTATAATGCACTATTGAGACCCCTTCCGCACACACGTTAGCGTCAGATTAGCGAGAATTATAAATCAAAAGCTCTTTTGAAAAAGATCTGGGCGGGGTCAATCCTGGATGCAGAACACGAATATAGAAAAAATAAACGCATCTTCTATTTTGAGACGAGTAGCTCATGCTATTTTTAATCGGAGATTGGTGGGTTCACGGGGGAGAGGACTCAAAATAGCTTCAAATTTTCCTATTCTTGGCAATTGGATAATAATTGAAATTTGAGCGAATTCAAAATCGAATCCAAATGTGCAAATTTGATTATCCCGCCGATATTTCCCCTCCCGCAGCGCCCTAAAACACCCTCGGTAACCCAAACCAAATTACCCGAAAATCCGGCTTGAAACTCGAGCCCATATGTTTCTATAGATTTCAATCCCTTCCTTCATCCCTCCTGCACCAATCTGTCGGCTCATTTGCCACCATCTTGCCTTGCCGTAGTAGGTAGGGCCGAATTCAAGTAAGAGGCCGGATGCGTAAAATTGAAACGCCAGGGCACTTTCCAAGGGCAGATGGATGGGCCTCTTTGAAATTGAGATTTTCACGGGCGTCAGGATGGATTTGTGGCAAAAAGGGATTTCCGGGACGGGGGATGGGAAGAAATTTTATGGGTGAACAAGGTCAACCGCAGGGATTACAATTTTACAGTAAGGCTCTTTTTTTCAGGCTCAATCATTATGCAATATTTTTAAAGTAAATCAGCTTACAAATGCTGAAGATTGAAAAATATGGTTCTTAAAAGTAGTTCTGCTCACAATAAAACTTCTCTTTTATAACTTTTTTTCTCATAAAAAGGCCTTTTATACGACTTTTTTTTTCAGAATATTTAGAAAAAATAGGCTTCAAACTCCATTCCTTGGGTTCCTTTTAGTTCGATCAGGACGTGAAATTACTCATCAGGGTTTTACCCATCCAAGCTTTTTTTCTTTCTGCGTTCTTTTTTCGATTTTTTTCTTCAAAAATCTCTGTTCAGCAAAATTTTTGCTTCGTAGTAGCTTTTCTCGGTTGATTCAAAAGTTACTCGTAATTAAGAATCGCCACTGGGTGGCTTTATGAGTTGCCTTTTTCAAAAAAATACGATTTCGGCTTTTTTCGTTTTCAATTCTCTCGGTGAGTGGTTCACCGCGGAGCAGGCCAGATTGCGACCTGGCTCGAGGGCGCTGATGACCGAGCGGCGCGGCCAATCAGCGCCGCGCTTTCGCGCGCACTACGCGCTTTACCTTACTACAGCACCGAGAAGAAAGGGCCAGAAATCGCCGTGGCGCTAGAATTTTGAAATGGCACTCACGCTGCAGCCTGAGTCAGGCTTTAGCTGACAAAAAGGGCGTAGTAATTATGCGTCAGCAATTGGTAAATTGACCCTAGAAATCGAAAATAATTCTTTAGAAGAAAATTATGATGAAAGTACAAAATTTTGTAAATAATAATTTCTTCTGAAAAATAATTTCTGATCTCTAGCACCCATTTACTGATTCGTCCGCATAATTACTGTGCCTTTTTATCAGATAAAGTCTGCGCCATGAGTGTCATTTTAAAATTCTAGCACCTCGGCCAACTCTCCCCATTTTCTGGTGCTGCTAAAGTTGTATTCAGAATGGAGCCTAAGTTCCACTTCAGAATTCTAGGGCTCCAGTGTAGAAGGGATTGAGAAGCAATATTCCTCAATCCCTTCTTGAGACAAAATCTCAATTCTCATTTGAGAATATTTTTAATCTCCATTGATATCTCAAGTACCCCTCTCAATCGAGTAAATACCGCAGTCGATAAGGGCAACATTATCAAATAAAATACCCCTTGCTTAGTTTGCGCTGGCAAATACACAGATAAGCTCATCTAAAATTTGGGCAAAAGCCAGGAATTTTTTCACACTCCGCGCACAAGAGATTTTTCCCATATTTGAATTGAGATTATTGTCGAGATCAGCGGGAGTAGCTGGAGTAGCACCCGGAGGAGGTGATAAGTGTAAATAGAGATTAGCAGGCTTGTTGGAGATATAAATATCGTAAGGTGCTAACGATAACAATATGCGAATGCAGGGTCTTATCAGAGTACTGTATGTTTGTTTATTGTATCAAAAATTCAAGATTTAGATTTCTGGCTCTTCTGGTTCTTCAGTTGTAAAAACCTCTTCAGTCGTCCAAACTTCTTCGGTCGAGTCGACCGTCGACCAGATCTCCTCTGTTGTCCAAGCTTCGGTTCCGGGAGTTTCCGTCGTTTCTATAATTATGTTTTTTATAGAATTTTATTTACTCATTTGATTTTTTTTACCGATGACAGTTCCGTTGCATTCGCCGAAGAAAGTGTTGAGCGTTTTGAAAACAATAGGATTGTCGTAGGAATCGAGCGAAACAGATTCGGATTGCTCGGGCTGGCTGAAATCTGGGAAAACTTGTTGACCGAGCTCGTCGTTGAGATCAGCTTGGTTCACGAATCGCTCGATGAAGGTGCTTAACAATTCTTTCGACAATTTTTTAGCTTATTCACTTACACTTTTTCGCCACTTCCGTATGTACCACCATAGACATTGAGAGTTCGATCGTCAAAGACGATAGCTCGGAGCTTGGTTCTTGGCTGAAGCAATTTCCATTGTACTGATTGTTGAGTAGCTGGGTCGATATCCCATTCGTTTGTGATTTCGTGGAAGATGTGAACGCTAATTTTACATATGAAGGTATCAAAATGACTCGTTGTTACCCGTCGTATGCTTTGCCATTCATCCATCCTCCCATAACGATCATGTATCTTCGGTAAGCAACCATTGTGAGATCAGTTACCCCAGTGAGATAAGGGTTGTTTACCTCACCAACAGTTGTGTAGTCGTTGTTGACATCAAAAGTAGGGAAGAAAGTGTGCATGACACCATGAGAGTTGCCATCATCGTTGACTCCACCGATCATGTAGGTTCGAACTTAATTATTTATTCCTTTTTCTATTGCCCTTTATTTCCTACCTTGGTATCTGTTGTCAGCCAGAGCTCCTCGATTGTGCCCTTCTGGTGTTTCTGGGTAGTTTCGCCAATCAAAATTTCCGTCTTCATCCTGTGTGAAGAACAAGCAGACCTTTGTTCGACTAGAAGGACCGCAAATCATCAGTCCATCCTTATCTTCCTCTTTCAGATGATTGGCGTTTTGACAGACATGTCCACCGTTCCATTCAAGTTCAGCCACGTCTTCCTTATCACCAGGATTCTCCCACTCAGTAGGAAGAGACCACTGCGCTTCGACAAGACCACAGTCGGAAACTCGCCAGACGGTGTTGGAGCCATCTCCTCCAAGTACAAAGAGATTTCCGTTGTAGACAGCTTGACATCCAGAAAGTCCGTCCATGGCAGGTCCTCTAGAATCAAGAATATTCATCGTTTTAAAAAATAACAAACCGTCGGTCGAAGTCTTCAATTTCCATGTCTTGCTCAGTGACGACCCACTTGAGAAGCCGGGCAGGTTGGACATCAGGAGAGTTGGACATGACAAGAGTGGTCTGATTGTAAGCTTCATTGCAGAAGTTATCGCAAGGGCAGCCGTTTGGACAGAGAGGACCACATGGACAAGCATCGTGACATGCTTTTGCTTCCATTCCACATTCTTCAGTACAATGGTAGCCAAAGACCTCGCAGTTAAACATGCACTGCAAAGAAATAATTTTCAAACCGAAACGAATTGACTTACAGCGCAAGCTCGCGTGTGACAATCATCCATGCAAATTTCCGCCTCTTTGTAGTATGTTTCCGTGCAGTTGAGCTCGCATTCGTATTTTTTCTCAGTGTATGGATGGTCCACGATGTTATTATTGTCATCTATAACGCTAAGAGCAAAAATATTTTCTGGCAAAAAATTTTCTTTAGTAAAGAATCTTTACCATGGACAGCCATGAGGGCATTCAAGATGGCAGGGGCAGTAGGAAAAACAAGCTTCATGCTCTCGAAGACATTGATGCATTTGGTCGTAGTTTCCGCCGGAATTACCAATACACTCGTTCAAAATGACATTGCAATCATTTTCACAGACAACAGCCAAGTCAAGCGCATTGCATGACTCGTTAAAAACAGCAGTTGCCGTACCGGCTTTTTTGGGTTTGAGAATTTTTTTTGTGAAAATTTAGCGTACTGAAATTGCAAACCATTCCTAAAAAGACCAAAAGATGCCGCAACATTCTCTCTGAAAAAAGAATGCTCATTTTTTGTCCAAATGCCTGCCAAAATATTCACATATGGATCGTTCACATGCTACAGATTCCCCGATACAGTTTTGCTTTGATTGTTAGAATGTCACAGATGACATCAGCTTCTCCAACTTTCGAGAAATCATCAATTCTATCGCCCTTAAAATAAGCTGAGTCTCAGCTGCTGAGATAGGATTGCGGTAACGCTCTTTACGAATTTTTACAGTAACTTCCGTCGTCTTTCCTTCACCTGAGATTAACAATAGACTTCGTCGCATGTTCATTTTTGAATGAACTAAGAAACTTTGAAATAAAGAATATTTGTTCCGGATAATTTATTGCGATGCCAAGATTAATAGATTTAACTCCTCAGAAGAGGTCTGAAGAGATAACATGCAGAGCTTCGTAAGATATTTTTCTTTTTTTATAATAGTCAATATGGATTCTAGGGACCCTGGTATGACGCAGCTTATGTTGTGCCAGGATATGACTACACAACATGGAGTGCCGGAGCAGTCCGGTCTGGTCCGATGAACCTAGAAAGCGGGGCAAATTACTTGGTCGAGAAATGTGAGGGCAATTTCGGTATTCTTCTTTTTTGTCCGGTCCGACAGTTCATTCGCGTTGATTCTGCAATCATAAGGCCTGATAATTCTGGAATTTGCTGTGCAGGAAAGACAGCTTGCCCAACGCAAACTTGCGACGAGCTCAATTTTACTGACAAACTCGCAGCTTCGGTTAATGGCCAGCAAATGCTCAGTAGCTTGTCGACATGGAAGGTCGCTGATGAAATGACCTCAATTCCTGGTTGGACTTGTCAAGATATGAGTAAGCTAGATATGAGTTTTATTTTCACTTTAATAATAATTTAAGTCTCCAATCGAATGGAAATTCAGTACTCCTGCTGGGATAGCCCTGATTTTGATATGACATCAACATCAGCTTCATCAACGACGACGATGATGCCAACTCAGTCGTCAACAAATAACCCTACTGCTTCCACCACTCCTCGACCATCATCAACTACTCCGACATTCAGCTCGTCAACGTCAACGTCTGGTTCAACAACGACTCTCCCAAACACAACACTTCCGACAGGCTCCACTTCAACCGACTACACCAACACCGGATCGACTCCGAATTTCTCCTTGTCGAGCAGTTATCCTACAACAACACCATTCAACACGACCATTTCTACTTCAAAGCCGTACACAAATACAGGTTCAACACCCAATTTCTCTTCTACCACCACGTCAGGATCAACCACGAAGACAACTCAGCCAAATACTACCCTCCCAACCGGCTCGACTTCAACTCAATACACTAATACCGGCTCCACCCCCAATTTTTCTTCCTCAACTTCCGCAACCTCGACCACTCAGACAAATATAACTCTCCCTACCTTCACATCAAGCTCTCCTCCGACGACAACAACCACAAAAGTCCTCCCATCTTCAACAACAATAACACATACATCCGTTACTACTCCAACTACAGAGACAACCAAAACAACTACTTCTGGAATGATGACGACGACGACAACGATCAAAACTTCAACAATGCAATCCACAACCATGAAAACTACCACAACAACAAAGCCAACAACATGCGGTCTCGACGAAACGCTCAAACCGGGCGCTGTTGGCGAAGAAGTCGCAAGAGCTGCGGTCATCAAATTATTGAAAAAACTCAGCGGAAATCCAAGCGGAGACTTCGGATTAAAAGAGTCTGGATTTTTGCTTCGCGCAGCCTTTGCGTTGTCAAAATTCGGCGAGAAGAATACTCAGGAAGGAGCTCTCATTCAAAGTCATTGTTTCTTTCAAAATCATTGAATAGCTTCGAAAAAGTATGTTCATCAAATTTGGGAACTGGATGAATACCAATTCAACCAAACTTTGAACTCTCCTCTTGCGGCTTTCTTGACAAATGATATTGATTGGTTCAATTATGAAACTCTGGTTTATGATCAACTGAATGTCCCATACTTCTCTCTGGTTGCTTTTGTTACGTATACGGTCGGAATTGTCAAGGAAAGGATGACTGATTGCTTTCATCATTAAGCCGCTGAATTTTTTACTTGCTATAAATCAATTGCTTCGATTATCAATACAAAGAAATAATATATATGAGCTAAAGAAATATCAGAGTTATGGTCTCTCAAAATCCTTACAAGGTCCAAATTACGAATGACCTGGCCGTCCAGGGTGAGATCTTCAAGCAAATCACTCACAACAAGCTTACCGAATGGGTTGACAAAATCGCTGACTTGGAAATCATCCAAGCTGAAGACTGCGGATCACAAATGAACGACATCGTCTTTCTGGTCGATGAATCTGGCTCGGTCGGTGCAGATAATTTCAACCTGATGAAATCCTTCCTTGAGCAGTTTGCTTCTGTCGTCAATCCGGAAAAGACCCGGATCGCAGTTCGACCATTTTCAACTGAAACCTATCTTTATTTCGGTCTCAAAGAGAAGGAGAACAAGATCGATCTGATCAGAGCTCTTCCTTATCAAACTGGATGGACCAATACTTCCCTCGCTCTTCTCGGCGCAATGAATGATTTTGAAGACGATCGAAACTCCGTCAAAATTGTCATTACAATCACCGACGGTATCTCTCAAAACCCGATTGCCACAAAAGCCGCTGCTGAGAAACTCAAAGCCGATCCTAGAAACATCCAATCATTCGCCATCGGAGTTGCTGGAGCACAAATGTTTGAATTGGAAAATATCGCCTCGACTAAAGAACACGTCGAGATGCTCGAGAACTTCCAGGCCTTTGAGAAGATCCTCAGCACTGTGCTTAATAAAGTCTGCACCACTGGAATCAACATCCATCAGTCGGCAAAGATCGAAATTGCTGGAAAGACGGAAAAGATAGAGAGCAAGCTTTTGGCCCTAAAAATGAATGGAAAGAAATCGTTTGAGATCACTTCGTAAGATTTACTATCCAGTCATATTTTTATATTATTCGTGTTCTAGTGAGAAGAAAGCCATGGCGTATGTTTTCTTTGAGAACTCCAATCCAAGCTCTGCCATGTACGATTTCAGCTTCGAAATCGAAGCGGGAACGACAAAACAGTTCACGACCGACAGATACTACGAAAATATCTATATTGCCCTTTACAATGTTGAAGTTGAAGCAACGATTCTTTCAATTTTCATCAATGACAAGGTAATTTTCTCAAGTTAATTATTTTGATCTCGATTTTCAGAACTTTGAACTGATTCCTGAGATCACGAAATGTCCTTTTGGATCAAAATGTGTTGATTCTCAGTGCTTATGTGATGAGGTAAGGGGTTGATCTCGGCATTTTTACACTCGTTTCATATTTGCTTACAATAATTATATTTATAGGGCTACATCGTTTCTCGACGACCAGAAGGATGCATGTTCGACCCAACCCTGACCGCTTGCGATCGCTATGGCTCCAGATGCGGTGAAAACTCAGTCTGCTCCGTTCAAAAATACGCGCCCTACTACGAGTGCTCTTGCGCCGAAGGATACATTGGAGCTGCGCCAAAGTGCGTCAAGCAATGCGATGATGGAGAGAGAGAAATTAAAGAGTTTTTGGCTTTTGTCGAATATCGTGAGTTTACTCTTTTATCTCGAAAATGAATGCTTTTAGTTTGCAAAATTCAATTTTTCATCGACTACGAGCCGGTTGAGAATAACATTGTTGCGAATTTAAAAGTTGCGCAGAATTCTCAAGTCGATGTGAATGTCTCTTTGGATTCAATGCTCAAGGTAGGTCCTGAATTATCTCCCTATACCAGAAAGCGTTTAAGCATATGATTGCTTCTGAAATGCCAGAGGATGGAAAGTCGAAGCTAGAATACATGCTTGGCAAAAATATCGAAGACTTTATGCTTCATTTCTTTGAAAATGGAAATTTAGATGACCTTTTCGGAGGTCTGTAATGGTTGGTCAATAAATGATTTTTTTTCTCTTGCAATTAATTTCTTACGGATTCATTTGAAACTAATTTTGCTAATCTCTAAATTTATTAAAGAACCTTGGACAGTGTTAGTAACAATCAATTATAATTATAACTGATGACAGAAAGATAGAATAAGTAAGGAAGTGTATATTATTGAGCGAGAGAATAAACGACAAATGATTATTGATTTGAAAATTTTTGGGAAGAAATCAAATTTTGTAAGAATAGAACATCATCTTCGCTGATTTTTTAACACGATGGTTTCTAGAAAAAATGAGATAGAAATTTGATTTTTACAAAAATAATTTGTATATAGAATAAAAAAATAAAATGTTTATATACAAAAGGCTACATGTAAGCATATAAATTCTTAAATGATGAGATTCACGGTTAATATACAAGAAAAATATATACAATAAGAAAGATAGAAATAAAAATCATAAGGTATTTATAATATTATTCGACTTATGTTTTTATGTCGACGAATACGTAGATCTTTGGATAGAGCCTTTCTCATATAGGTAATATTATATTAATAATATTATATATGATACATAATTGATGAACAAACCGTTGTTCCCTTCATTATGGCCCAGGTATTTCTTCTATTTTTACATCGGACTCCGTAATTGCCAGTATTGGATCCATTATCGCACTTGACTTTGCAGTTGTTACCGACCTTGTTTCTCTTACATTTCCATGTGTGAGCACCAGCAGGAAGAGCATAAGCAGGGATTGTCGCAGCTAAGCATTTTTGAGCCCCTGAGCCTGAACCTGAGCCAGAACCGGAGCAAGAAGGAGCAGAGCCCCTGAAAACTTTCCAGGTGTTTTGGTTGTTCTTGTTCACGCACACAATGGTGTAGCTCTTGTTGACCGCCTGGTTTTTGCATCTGACCTTGCATTTTCGCTTGCTGTTGACGATTTTGGTGCATTGCCACTTAAATTCACCGTTTGCAGGATTCAGAGCCTCTGGAATTGATGAGAGAACGCAAACAGGAACAGGTGTGGTTGGTGGCTCAGTTGGAGGCTCCGTTGGTGGTTCAGTTGGTGGTTCAGTTGGTGGTTCAGTTGGTGGTTCAGTTGGTGGTTCAGTTGGTGGTTCAGTTGGTGGTTCAGTTGGTGGTTCAGTTGGTGGTTCAGTTGGTGGTTCAGTTGGTGGTTCAGTTGGTGGTTCAGTTGGTGGCTCAGTTGGTGGTTCAGTTGGCGGTTCAGTTGGTGGTTCAGTTGGTGGCTCAGTTGGTGGTTCAGTTGGTGGTTCAGTTGGTGGTTCAGTTGGTGGTTCAGTTGGTGGTTCAGTTGGTGGCTCAGTTGGTGGTTCAGTTGGCGGTTCAGTTGGTGGTTCAGTTGGTGGTTCAGTTGGTGGTTCAGTTGGTGGTTCAGTTGGTGGTTCAGTTGGTGGCTCAGTTGGTGGCTCCGTTGGTGGTTCAGTTGGTGGTTCTGTTGGTGGTTCAGTTGGCGGTTCAGTCGGCGGTTCCGTCCGGTCATCAATACACTCACTGCCATTAATGTTGCCTTCAACATTCCAGCAGAAATCAGGAGCGTCGCCAAGTACTTGGTTATAGTAATAATTTGATGTCGCTGAAACATAAAGTTTCCATCCGCCATTCTGATATCTGAGAACAGCTAGGTCATCATATCCAGTGCAAGGGTAGGTTCCAGAACCAGAATCACGAGTACAAATAAATTCGATCCCTGACGGGTGAACATATCTGACTGTCTGGCAACAGGGATAGTTGTAAATACAGTTTTCGCCGTTTGGATCGTCTTCGTAAGTATTGATTGCTTGAGCAAGGGTTGTGTATCCACTTTTGCAAGCACAGGTGTACGCTTCACGAGTATCGGTACAGTCAGCATTCGCACCACATTGATCAGTTCCATCGCTACACTCGTCAACTTCAGGGATGAATTCACAAGTCTCGCCGTCGCCTTTGTATCCTTCGTTGCACTCACAAATGTGACTGCTGAATCCGCTCGTGCACGTAGCATTTGGGTCGCATGGATCGCCAGCACAATGATCTGTCAGTGCAGGGCCGTCGTTTATGCATTTCAAGTTGGTGCTATAGTTCCATTGAGTGTTCATCGGTGGGCAGACATCATTCGACTGTATGAGGTCCCACCAGCCATAACTACCGCCTTTGAAAGGTTATTTATCAAAATTAATGGCTTTATTATTAAAATGATTACTAATAACCTTCCCTGTATAAGGATAGTTTGATGGTCGCAGCACAATCCAATGACCTCCGTTGTACGATGTCCACGCAAGGGCACTCCCGTCCGTGCAGGCGTACGTTCCTTTCCCGAAGAAAAGATTGTCTGTTGTGTAGACACATTCAGCGCTAAAACGAGCTATTCCGCCACAGCAGCCGTCGGGAGTTGGTGGATACTTTGGCTGACACGGTACAAGTGTTCCGTCTTCATCTTCGTTGTTCGGGCAATCTTGCCAGCCATCGCAAAGTCGATCAGTGAAAACGTTTCGTATCGCTCCAACTTCGTCAGGAGTCGAGCATGTTGTTCCATCTTTGGGTTGAAAATTCGGGAACAATGGATTGTTGCCGCCATCGACCATGTCTTGGCAGTAGAATCTCTGCGCTTGAAGCGCGTCAGTTGTAGAAATTCTCGGACCATCTTGAATGTAGTCTCCATTCTTGAGGGTTGCGACGGGGATAGTGTCATCTTTGGCAAAACCAAAGGAGGGGTAGGACATGACTGAGCGAGGCTCATATACGCTGCCCATGTCATACCAGTCGTTCGATCCCATAGCTTCCCATTGACCTTGAAAATTATTCATTATTTTTCTGTCAAAAAACAATCCTGAAATTCGAGAAAAATTTGGTTAACAAAGACCAAAGCTTCAAAATATTAAAAAACATTCCTATCTCTTTAAAAAACCCTCTTACTCGGCTCAGTTGTTGCATCCATGTTGACAGTGATGTAGTTATCTCTATCCGGCCTCGACTGCTCATGAAGGAATCCGAGAGCGTGGAGAACTTCGTGCTGAACGACCTCGATCGAACCAGCGCAGCCGTCGGACAAGTTGATAACTTGCCAGCCAGCTGGTACTCCGAACTCAGTCACACTTGTGGCGCCAATATCGTTGTTGTAGTATCCAGAGGTTTGGCCGAGCGCTGAAAAGCAGGAACCTGGGTTTGTGATGAAGACGATTCCGTTGGCATATTCGGTGTTGGCTGGATCCGAAACGTATGGCATGTCGAAACAAGCGAGATCGTCAGCAAGAGCAGCCATGGAAGAAGTGATGTTGTCCTCGAAACTGGAAACGGAAGAATGAATAGCGAATGGGACAGTGATCGGGCCGCCTTGCGCAACTGGTGTCCATCGCCTGGCGTAAGCTGCTACGCCTCTGGTCAAGAGAGAATCTCCAACGGGATTGCCATCGAGATCAACTTGTTGATCACTGCTGATGATGTGGTAAGAAGAGGTATCAACTCCGGCGGCTTCGAAGACCTTCGCAGTTTCCTTGGTGATGTCAAACTTGTGACCCAGCGTGCTGGCAAGCAGCGAGCTCAAAAGCTTCATCTCTTCTCTGAATCAACCCTTAAAAATTTACTCTCAAAAAATTGCGAAAAAAATGAACTCTCTTACTCTCACGACGCAGCTCAGAAGAATGAATTCTTGCGCAAAAAGCAGGAGCATATATGCAGCTTAATTTGTAGCAGCAACAAGTCAGGACATACCAAGAATAGAACGTGCGGTTGTTTGTACTTACAACACTTCCCGAGCAGAGCCACGGACTATTATCTTAATTATTTCATAAGTTAACCTTTCAATTACGCATGTGGTAAGTTCATGAGCTTTTCTCAGAAAATCGATTTTACAAATGACCAATTTCAAAAGGCCATTTTCCTCCAAATGCTATAAAAATCTTATATAAACGAAGAAAATTATTGTGATTTTAAAATTTACTCAAAAATAAAGAACCATTCTTATCCATTTCTTTGAATAGAGCATTTTTCATATTGACAATTTCTCGACCATTTCTCAGTCCCACATGGTCTAGGGGTTAGGATTTCGGATTTTCACTCCGACGGCCCGGGTTCGATTCCCGGTGTGGGAGGACTTTTTGATTTTTTCTCCCTCGACAATACTGGGAATCGTCCCATCTGGCCCGAAATTCGACCACTTGGAATTTTTTCAAATTTTCCTTATTAAAAGAAAAAGTGAAAATAATGAGCCGGCGACGAAATCAACAACAACAAGTGATTGATCCAGCGGAATTGGATATTCCCCAGCTTGAGCAATTCAAGGCAAGTTTAGTTCAATAAGAAGTAAAGGGACAAGAAAGATTTTAGGGAGGGCTACAAGCTGAGCTTCAGAGCATTCAAGGGGCGATTCAAGAAATGAGCCAAGCAAATGAATCCTTGATGATGGCTCAACTTTCATGCGATCAAGTCAAGGACACGATTCTTGAAAAAGATCTTGATGTCATGGTCCCAATGACAAGTAAACAACCATTTTTTATTTAAGTCTGAATGAAAATTAAGATTTTCTCTTCGTCAGAGGAAAGCTGATTCCCGAAGCAGACGTCATGGTCGATCTTGGTGCAGAAACAATGATACTGGGCTCGGCAACCTGTGTAAACGGAACCAGGGACTTAGAAAAGATAGCCGCGTAGCGCCCTTTTCAGTACCCTGACTCAGGTTTTTACAAAGGTTGCCGAGCCCAGAAATGATAGAAATGAGCCCTGAAAAAGCCACCGAACATTTTTCTCGTCGCGGTGAAAGCCTCAAAACACATCTTAGGTATTACGAATTTCCCCTATTTTATAATAAACTAATGAATTCTCCAGCCGGGTCGGAGAAACAATGAGCGTAAAGGAAATCCAATTCATCAGAATCTCCAAAGAGCTTGAAGAGCGAATGCAACAACTTTCTATTCAAAACAAGATGAATTTTCTGGAATAATTACAGTCAATAAACTTTTGAATTTACGGACGTACATGCGCCCCTGAATAATGCAGCTCGAGTAGCGCGCCGGATAATCCTCTCAGGCGGCGTTCCGCAGAAGTGGGTTCCGGTCGCGGTTGTGTTTTGCGTTCTTTCCTCAGCAGGTGTTTATGCTCCCCGCCCTACGGCTAAGGACCTACACTCCGGATTGTCCAAGTGTTGTGAATGAACCTGCAAGTGGACGAGTTTTGCCCAAAGAAAATTTTTTCATTTTCACGTTTTTGCTATTTTTTATTGACTGTATTTCATTCTACGCAAGTTTTGTCGAGAAAATAAGCAGAAGATATGATGCACAGAGCGAGTTTCATGGCCCTACCAAGGTTGGAAGGGATTATAGAGGAAGATGATGGATCAGGAAGAGTTTTCAGGATAAATGAAATAAATATTTTTTTCTAATAATTAATAAAGAAAAGGAGTTTCAGGTTTTCACTGTGTTTTTCTCTCTCAATACTGGGCCCATGGGGGAGCACTTGGTCCTCTAGAATATCGTTTTATCAAGAAAATATTTGACTCGATTCATATTTTGTGGAGTAACTAAGCCGTAAGATCTCTGGAAATCAATTTTACGACTCTCTTTTCATGAGTTGCCGATTCTTTTTGTCCGCCCCTGTTCAAGCGTAAAAAATAAAGAAACGTTGCAAAAGTACTCTTTCGAGAAAGAAAATAATAAAACTCGGAATCAGAAGAAGCCATTTTGGAAACATCAGAACACGACGATTCTGGCGACTGCATCATCGTCCCAGCGATGCTGAGAATCGCCGATAAACTGTTTGTGAACAAGAGAAAGCCGCTGAATGAGCCGCAGGGGTCGAGTGAAGCGCTGACGATTTTGAATAATGAGAAGAATAGTGAAAGTTTACATTATGCAAGGAATGGTCTTTTATTTTCTTTGAGGAATTCTTCTATTGTGGACATTTTTTGACCAAATAAAAGAGGCTGCCATTCAATCCTTTCATCCCTCATTCAAGACTCGGACACGCCTCTAGAATTCTCGCCTTCGAATTCTGAAGCTAACATAAACAACCAAATCCTCATGAAAATCCAAAACATCGTCGAAGTCGGCCTCCGCCGCCAAAACCTCCGGGAAGAGCTTTACTGTCAAGCTCTTCTATCACTTCATCTTGCCCAAAGCGCAAGGCAACAGAAGATCGCCTGGGTTTATTTAGCCCTTTTGGTGGGCTGCTTTTTGCCGAGTCAGAGGCTCAAATCGTTGTTGGACAATTTTATCTCGGAGAAGTCGAGTGAGAATATTTCAGAAGCGCTTTATTGCGGCGAAAAATTGAAACGATCCAACGAAGCAATGGTGCAGAAAAAGGCGGAAAAGATCGACGGCGTCGACATTTTCCACGAGCTCCGGCAACAACGAAGAGCACCACCGTCTAGTTACGAATTCTGGGCGGCGATTCGAAAGTCGCAGAGCGTCGTTGCAGTTGTTTGCCCTGATGAAGCAAAAAGAAGCGTCGCAGCGGATTCTTCCTCGACGGCCGCGGAAATTGTCGAAAAAGTTTGTGCAAGGCTGGAGATCAAGGACCCCTTTGGCTTTTCGCTATTCATAAGAGCTGGGCAACGATTGGCGCCAGTTGGAGAAGGAGGGGTTTATTTGATGGATGCGATTTGGCAGGCGGAACGATTTTCGGCAGAACAAGGGCTCGATCCTCCACAGTAAGCGATTCTTTCTAATATGAAATCAACGGATAAAACATATTATATTTGTGATATATCGAGACAAATAACTCAGTAGGGTAGAGTTTATATTTATCGGTGATAACTTGCATTTTTGCATGATATGGTTTTCAAATTTTACGGTATGAAGCCCTAGATAAAATTCATTTCTAGAGTTTTTCTCCGTCGAGATCTGTTCCCACTCCACTGGCATCCCGAACTTGATCGACCAGCAGCTCGTCTTATTTTCGCCCAAGTCTGTTCCTCCGTCCGCACCGGCGAAAACCGAACAAACTCAGTAAGCTCTCATCAAATTTTCTTCTTTATTAAAAAGTCCCAAGATCTCGCTCTTCTCGCCGCCTACCAGTTCATCAACGAAAACGGCCGCGTTCTCGATCATAATGAGAAGCGAATCACGCAGCATTGTGATCAAGTGATGCCAGGATCGGTTTTTAGGAATGCTCAGAAAAGTACGAAGAAAGAGTGGATCAAAATGGTTCAAAAGACGATCTCGGAAGTGAAAAAGTTGAACCCGATAGATTTGACGAGCGATGTGATTGTTGAAAAGGTACTTTCCAAACCGATTTCCTTCTCCAAAATTCAGGTCGTGCGATTCGCCCTGAACACCTGGTCCGCCTCTTTTTCTCGTCGATACGATATCCGAGGATTCTCGATCATCGGAAAGCAAAAAGAAGCTTCGGGACACATCAGTCTCGAAATGAACCACAGGACTTTTCACATCAGAAGTTTGAGCGGAGAAGAATATCATAAAATTATGACCAAGCATATAAGAAAATGCTTTCTTCTTCCAGTTAGGTAAGCAGCTATTGATCGGAATCAAGGAAGAGTACCGTTTCTTTTTCTAGAGAAGATGGACTCGGCCGAATTCAAATAGCAACAGACGAAGAAATAATAAATCTCATCACGCCCTTTTCCGCCGAGCTTCATAAGATCATCAACAGACTTATCAGTAACTAAATACCTGTATACAAACTCCTGTAAATATAAGAATAAACATTCCAAAGAAAAAAAAAAGAAAGAAACAGGCGTTTTATTGACAAGTTTTCTATGCAATTGATGTTTGAACTCGTGAACTCGAATCTTCAGAAAATGAAAGTAAATAATTTATAAGCGGTTAGTAGCTGCTTACTTGAAAGTGAAGAAATATTTTGTTCTTTTGCCATCCAGTAGACAATTGCGCCGAAAATGACTGCGACGCAACCGCCAACTAGGGTCACTTCATATTGATAGCCTAAAATTCAGCTTCCTTATTCCCCGATTTTCACCTTCAATTTGCACTTACATTGAATTTTTAAAAGCTGTGAACAATCAGCAAGCATTTTCTCTCTTTCTTCGTCTTTCCTCCTTCAATTACCCCTTTTTGCAAAGTTGACTTGCATCATCAAAATTCAGCGTCGTCTCCAGCAAAACCAAATGTGTCTTCTTCTCTTTTCGCTCCGGCGCTTTATGTCAGTGATTCTTCTTTTGAATGATTATGCAGCCCCGTCGCGGAATATTAGCGAAGTTTACTCTGAAGAAAGGTTGAATTATTCAAGCCACATAAAGAGCTAAACAGATGAATCAAAATACACATTCAAACAGTCACATCATCGATGGATTATTCAGTCGATTCTTGTTTTCGTTTTGAGCTCGGATGAGCTACAGTTAACCGCATCAGTGGTCATAGTGGCTTAATTTTTCGATAATAAATTCATTATAATAATCAGATATCTTTACTTTATCAGTTATTTTCTGATAAATAGTGTGCTTTTGTAAATCTTGAATATACCCAATATAAAAGGGATTTTAAGTCTTTTAAAGTCTTTTTAAAGTCTTCTTTAACAGTATTTGTCTCTCTCCTTGTTTCGAGTTTGTTTCAAAATTGCATCTGACGGAGCAACGGAGGTAAATCCCGGGACTAATCGAGTTGAATGCTTATTTCATTTGGGAGGCTGGGCTCATTCACTTTTATGGTCCCTCCAACGAGCTATTTCGAACTTGCCTGTAAAAAGGATTATACCAGTCGATCTTTATTTGATGATCTTAATGCACTGCCAGATTTTAAAAGCTTTTTTGAAGGATGAGACATGGACTTTTGATGATTTTTTATTTATTTATTTATGCGACAATTTTTACAAAAAAAAGTGATTTTAACTTTGATTCTCGAATTAAACAGCATTTGAAAAGCTTTAACTCCAAAACCAAGGACATTTTTTATGACTAGTTCACAACAGTGCCACCTCTAGCATCGCATGTTCCAAAGGGCACGATTTTCTTGGAAAAGAAAACTTCGTCTCCATCGGATTCGGTGAATTCGCAGCATTCGCGGCTCATTGAATCGAATGGAAGTCGATCTAGAAATATTTCTTAGAACAGAGAATATTCTCATGTTGATCTTACCTGGATATGTTCCACAACACTGGTCCTTAGCATTGTGTCCCTCCATGTTAACTTTCAAACAGCCAGCTTCGCTATTATCGGTAGGATCAAAAGATCCGCCGCCGTTCAGGGTTCGATACGTTTCGTTGACGCAAAATTCCGAATCGGCGACTCCAGCAAGCTGGTCGGCTTCGCACTTGAAAATCAAATTACTATTTGATTGTCAAATTTGAATTTACCTGAGCGTTGACTTTTGCGAGTTTTTCGGCGAACATGACGTCACATTTACAGGCGTCGACGTTTGGTCCAGCTTGGCAGTCGAGTGATCTCTCGCCAGTTTCGGTATCGACGTTGAAGTTGACCGAGTATTCGAAGAGGTTGGGGCTGGAGCCGTGGTCGAGATTGAGACACTTGTAGCACTTGTACAGTTGTCCACAAAGGTTGTCGATTTCGTCGACGGTTTGGCCGCCACCGATGACTCCTCTCATTGGCCCGACGATCCAGCAGTAGCATCCGTAGTTTGTGAAATTGTCCAGGAAGTCTTACAAGAATGAATGAGGATCTTTCTTGAGAGGGTTCTCTCTTACCTTGAATTTCCATTTCGAACTGATCACTTCTCGACATAATTCGGCTTTCATCGAGAAAAACTGCCATGGCGGACAGTCCCATGAGCGCATCTTCATTTCCGTAGTTGTATCCTCGTTCTTGAGCTCCAACAAGATTTTGGAAAAAATCACCACCAAAGTTTCGTCGGAAATCATTAACTCGAACGGTTTTTGCCGATGTGGCCGCGAGAAAAGTTGCTAAAGAAGATATTTATTGTTTTTGCCTATTTATTCACCTGTTAATAGCTTCATTGTTTCTCTCTCAAAAAGATTCTTTTACTCTCGCTGTTTCGCAAGCTCTTATGGATTGAGTGTCCCTGCGGTTGGCATTTTAAAGTGCTGCGGATTTGGCGGAACCGTCCAAAATATCAAAGCGTAAATCAGAAAGGTGGGAGAGAAGCGACAGCGTGTGGCGTAACTAATTTGCTGCCATGTGGCTCTTTTAGAGGTCAACAGTTTTATCCATTTTTTCATGGCGCTTTCTATGCTTCCGGTTTCTTATAATGCTTTTTTCTTGAAGATAACAGACACGCAAAAACCGGGACACATGGGTGTTTCCCTTGAAGCACAAGCTTGAAAGGTTCAATAAGTACGGCTATATATTGATCTTCAATTTATGGAATATCTGAAATCATTGAGCCATAAAATTGACAGCGATCTTCCATATACTACCCACAATTCCTTTCTTCCATTAAAAAGTATGCGCTTTTTTCCGATATTTTTCCTTTTTCTGGAAAATGCTTTGGCAAAAGAAGAGAGCACTTCTTCTACTACAACTATCGAACAAACAACTCCAACTTCGGCTTCATATTCTTCTACTGTGGAATCAACAACTGAAAACCCGGAGCTTACTCCTCAAAACACCGAGAGACAAGGAACAACAAAAGGTAAATTTTTTTAATTGTCGATCTTTCAAGTTGAATTTCGTTCATTTAAGCCGCACGAGATCCCGTCGAAAGTCAGCTCGATTCACACACATCTACAACAGCCCCGACTGCCTCACAATTCGAAGACGATCATGAACCAACAGAGCCAACTTCGCCCGCAAAAAATATGAGCCCTCGTCAATTAGATCGAACATTATCGGAAACTACCCAAGAGAATGTTAACGTAATCGAGAGCAGTTCCGAGCCAAACGAGACGCCAGCGACGATGGATCCGCAAAACACAACAGAATCCTTGGCGAACTCAACTGAGACTTCTACGACTTTGGAAAGAAACGCGACAGTAACTGCAACAACATCAGCTTCTTCGAAATCAACAACATCGACTTATCAAGCAACAACGACAATGCTCTCATCTACTACAACACAAGATACAACCCGAGTTCTGACAATAACCAATTCAACTCGAGCTCAAAATGTAAACCTCCCCCAGAATATTCCTTTTCACCATTTCTGTTCAGGATACTTCGAATCGATCTAGCACTTCTTCTCCAACATCAACAAAGCTTGAGACAAGTACAAAAACGCCGGTCCCAACATTTTCAGGTAATAAAACTCTTACTGCATATCTTTAATTTCAAACTAGCGACAACAACTCCGAATACAACTACCACAACAACTTCAACAACAACGACAACAACAACAACGCCAGACAACTCGTCTATGGTTCTGGACGGTGCTGACCGTATCGATGATTCATCCCAACCGCCCATCATTGGTGGCCTACCCGTCCTTAGCCCTCCTGATGGTGACAATGAAGGTTATTAAAAATTTCACTTGTTCTTCAATGACCTTTTTTTCTTTTAGACCAAAACGACCCTGACAATTCCGACGCTTTCATTTTCATCTCAACCGATTTGCTTCTCATCCTCTTTTCTTTGATTTTTTGAGAAACCATCTTGAAATAAAATCGCGAAAAATGCTAATCTGCGCTTAATTGATCCGAGTTCAAGAGCCAAAATACCACCGCATGGGTCTAAAAATTGCCGCCAAGTCGATTTACCACTAGAATGCCATGTGACCACGATCCACGCTAGAAAAGGTTGCCTAGAAAAGGTGAACTTGGGACAGCCAAGTTTTGAAATTAATGAAGTTCTCGGTGAAAAAACTTGATCTTGGTATTTTTCTCTCATCATTTACCTCTTACTCTTGCGGTTTTAATCATTCATCTCTTTGTCTAAATGACGCTATTGGCTTTGGAGACAGTCAGAGTTACAGTCAGGGTTAAACTGCAAAAAGCAGTTGTCACTTTTTTGTCACTTTGAGCTGGACTAGCGCAGATTGGCCGAGCGCGCCTGGGACAACCTGCTTGGATAGATTTAGAGCCATTTCCCAAAAAAGACAAGATCGAACCCAGATTCTCGTGCCTTGAAGAGAGCTAAGGGTTTCTCTCTTCCTTGATTTCAGAGAGAATTGGGAGAGACTGAAAGAGAAGAGGGAAGAAGATTCTTCAGAGTTCTAGATTCTAGAAGAAGCTCGAAATGGTTGCGATTGTCGAATATCCGAATCATAACACAAGGGTACTTTATAAATTGAAATAATAGGCAACACCCAAATTAAGCCTCTTCTTTATTTTTTATTAAAAAAATACCTCGAAATTATTGAAAATGAAACTTTTTCGAACGATCTCGAGTCAAGATCTCCATTTTTTAATAGTCAAATCATTTTGACTCAAATGTCTTATCAATCTAGTCGAAAATGAATCTTTATTTCAAGCTTGGCGATGGAATCCAAATCTTGAAGACTCCAGAAAAGAGGGTAGAAGTTCAAATTGACGAGGATGTAATTTTGAAAACGCACATTTCTGGCTTGGAGCCAGACTCTGTTACATGGGTCAAGCATCAGTCTCAGTTGGAAATTAATGACAAATACAGTTATGGAAGAAAAGGGCCTGATTACAGTCTGCAGATCAACTCTGTGAGGTGGTATGATTCGGGAGTTTATAAGTGTTTAGGAAAGGTTTTGAGAAACATAAAAGAGCTTTTCGAAATCATAATTTTTGTTTTCGTTTTTTTCTATAATAAATTTGGTCGAGACATTGTCTATCGGAATTTCTTCATTTTCATATTCATCTATATGATCAATTTTTACTAGTCTTCAAACAATCTTGACATGCTTTTTTCTCAAAATCTTTTAAAAGTCAATGGAAAAGAAATCTGCCGAACAGAAGTCAACGTCAAGGCGTCGGCTCAAATGGAAACTTCGATGGGCGCCCCGACCTTTCTTTCTCGCCCTGAGCCGCACAATGTTCCTGAAGGAGATACAATCGTTTTGAGCTGCACAGCTGATGGAATGCCGATGCCCTCGATGAGATGGCTCAAAGATGGACAGCAAATAAACTCTGACGGGAGATTTGAGTTGAGTCCGGCAAAGGGACCAACCCACTGGATAACAGTGAAAAACGTCAGGCCTGAAGATTCGGGAAAATACTCTTGCATCGCCGAAAACTCCAAAGGAACCGCCTGGTGCGCTGTCAACGTCCAAGTCTCTCCAGAAGGAACCGAAGTGCCTCAACAATACCAATCCGCCCCAATGTTTACCTCAAAGCCAAAATCCTGCCGAGTCGCCAGCACAACTGACTGCCTCCTCCGATGTGCCGTCCGCGGAGTTCCGCAGCCACGAGTCACGTGGTATAAGAATGGAGCGAGCATAGAAGGACACAGTGGAAAATATCTCGCGGATTCGAAGGGGCACGGAATTCATACGCTGAAGATTCTTGATGTCGATAGACAGGATGCAGGAGCGTACTCGGTTATCGCAGAATCTGCGGCGGGAGAAGCAAGTTGTTCCTGTACCGTCGAGGTTTATAATTTGGAACCTCTTTCAGGAAAGATGAATATGACTCATATTATATGAGTTTATTTTTAGCGAATTAGATTTTTAAATGAATAATAGAAAAATTTCTCTGAAAAATGTAAAAACCATAATTCTAGGACCAAACTTAGCGCCCCAGTAAGAACTCGCACATTCTTTTGATGAACACTAACGAGAAGCGCAAGTTAGATTGAATGTGAGTGCATCGTCATGCATAAATTAGCAGTATAATCATCATTTAAAGAAAATTTCAAACCAGTCGTTTCATTCGGAAATCCGAACGAGCCGCAAAAAATAGCAAAAAAATCTGTTTGCGTCACTGCTGGCAAGACCGCCCGACTGACCCTAGAAGTAAATGGCTCTCCTCTACCTGAAGTAACTTGGTACAAAGACGGAAAGAAGATCTACCAAGGGAAGCGATTTGCAATCATCGAGCAGGGCAATAATTTCTCGCTGAAGATTTTGAGGATTTGCAAGGAAGATGAAGGCATTTATGAATGTTGCGCGATCAACAAAGCTGGAATTGGTCGAGCTGTTGTGGATCTAACCGTAAAAGAACAAGAAGTCTTCCGGCCCGTGAAATCATCGAGATTGGTCGTAGTCGATGAAGGAAAAGATGCGTTCTTGGCAGTTGACGTCGTCGATGCAAAATTTCAAGTTGTTTGGTCAAAGGATGGGGAAGATATTGAACAGGATGACAAATTCAAATTGATGTGTGCTGGAAACAAAAGGATACTGAAAATTGTCAAGGCGCAAAAATCTGACCAGGAACAGCTCTCAATCTATTGCGGACAGAAAAAATTAGCAAAGAGAAAAATTCTAGAGCTGAAAAAAGGGCCACTGGCGAGTGCGCGCAGCTGGCCGTGAAGTCATCGTTGAGCTTCGCGTCAATGCAATAAATCAAATCCTTGTTGCTCCTGTCACGTCAAAATGGGTCTGCGCTGGGGATGATCTTGTTCTTGATGCTGAGCTCGCGCCCTCTGCAGACAAGATTTCCTGGTTTTTGAATGACAAACCGCTGTCTGCCGATCCACGAGTGGATGTTGCCCCAACTTCGGAGAATGGCCTGAGATTGACGATCAAAGACATGAAAGGAGAAGACGGAGGAGTGCTGAAGCTTCAAGCAGGATCTGGTAGCTCTGAGACCCACGTGACTGTAGTCGAGGCTCCTGTTGGCCTAAGACTTAGGAAAGAAAAAGAGAAGGAGCTGGAAGCGCGCTGGAACCTTCTCCCTGAAAGCAGAAGCCTTGGATTCTATGAGGTTCAGCTCGGCTCCACAACAGGAAAATCAAGCATCAAGGTTGACTGGGACTCAAATCGCCTCGTAAAAACTGATGGAAATCGAAATATGTTCAAAGATCTATCTCCTGGATACTACACTTTCCGTGTAAGAGCCATAACTCCAGCTCCTGTTCCCGACCGACCAGAGAAAGGACCGTGGGCGATTCTCCCTGAGCCAGTTCTCCTCGAAGCTGGCGCTGTTCTCACTCGAGGTCTTGTTGACACTTCCGTTATGGAAGGAGAAACTTGTCGACTGTCAATTGAGTGCGGTGGGACAGTCAGAGGCGCAAGCTGGTATTTGAATGGCGCGAAGGTTTCCAACGACTTCGTATCTATTGAGGGAGAAACTCATCAACTCGTTCTTCGGGATTTGAAGGAACCTGGTCTTGCCCATGTTGCCTGGAAATGCGGAGATCTAGAAACTGAATGCATGTTGAATGTCACTGGAAAGCCCCCTCGACTCGTCCGCGGCCTCCAATCGCAACAAGTCCTTCCCGGAACTGATGTCGTCTTTTCTGTTCGACTTTCTAAACAAGGAACTCTCAAGCCCGAATGGTCCATCAATTCTCTCCCCATTCCAGAGTCGAATACAAGAATAATTCCAGAGCAGCGAGATGAGTTGTATATTCTCACAATCAAGAAATGCACAAGAGCGGAGAATGGCGAAATTGAGTTTGAGCTGCCTCTGGAAGAAGGAAATTCGATCTTTTCAAAAGCGACACTTGAGGTTGAGAAGCCAAAACCAGCTATTGATCAGCCCTTGGCGAGCAAAACGGTGGTCGATGAGGATGAAGACGCTAAGTTTTATTTCTATTGCGACCCATCAAAGGTAAATAAAAGTATCAATAGGAACCATAAGTGTATATTTTGGCTTATCAGATTATAAATTTTCTTCACTGGTGCGACTGAAGCAAAATTAATAGCCACAATAGCAGAAACAAAAATAATCTTTTTGGAGAATTTCTCCATCCACTATTAATTAATATCTCATTTAAAATATTCGATTGAGATGCATCTTGTTAAATGGTACCACAACGACAAACTCGTCCAAAACAGCAAAAAGTACAAAATCGAAGCAATCGAATCTACGGGCGAAGCCGTCCTCACCCTCATTGGTTGTTCCATGGCCGACGCTGGAAAAGTCGAAGCCCGCCTCGATGCAGAAATCACATCCTCCGACTTCACCGTCAATCAGGGTCCAGCCAAGTTCACCTGCTCGAATATTCAAAAGATGTCAACTCAATGTGGCCAAAGTGTGGATTTGAAAGTCACTGTCAGCAGATCAGATGCAGTTGTCAAATGGACAAGAGACGGTGAAGAGCTCAATGATCCTCGAATTTCAACTTCTGAAAATGGATGTGACAGAATTTTAAAAATAACTCAAGTTCGACACCCAGGACAGGCTCTCTAAAAAGCAACAAAATAAAGAAATCAAAGCATTTCTAGAGCCATAATTTAGGCGATAGCGGGGTCTACAAATGCGAAGTCGTCGATGATCGTCGACAAGATGAGGTTACCATCGATCTTGAAGTTCAAAAAGCCTTCGAAACCTTCCTCACACCCCTGCAAGCCAATTACGAATGCGTCGAGGGAGACGTACTTGTCATGGAATGCGAGGTCTCCGCAGAAGATGCAATGGTTCAATGGATGAAGGACGGGGTCATGATTTCCAAGGCAGCAAAACTTTCCACAGAATCAGTCGGTTTGTTCAGACGGCTGAAGATAAAGGACGCAGATCAACTTGATGCGGCTCAGTATTCTTGCGAGACACTTCATGATAAGACCCAAACGAGGGTCGTTGTGAATGAACCAGTGATTACAGTATTGGAGAAAATGGAGAATCAGACTTGTGTTGAGGGAGGAACTGTTTCGTTCGAGCTCTTGCTTTCTCATTCATTTAGGAATCGGCTTTTTATTGTTACCTATTTCATTAATTATAATAATGGTTTATAGAAGTGAACATACTGCAAAATATCGGTTATAACTTTCATTGTAAGCATTTATTTAAAATTGAAGTATATATCGTTTGGACGTACACTTATGGTCTCCTTAAAAACTAAATAAAAAGCCAAACTACAGGTCAAAAGTGCCCATCACATGGATGATCAACGCCAAGCCACTCATCGATAACCGAGAAACGGTCCAAATCTCCGCCTTGGCAAACGGGCACTATGCAGTTACTCTCAGACGGTGCCAGAGAACTATGAATGGATCGACTATTACTTTTGCTGGTGGTAAAATTAGTGCGACGGCAAAGTTGGAGGTTACTTTGCCACCTTTCAGGGGAGATTTTATCGATCGTGAGTCTACTTTGATTAATAATTGTAATTAATAATTGTCAATTATGCGACAAATTTCCTAGGGCCGGGAGGGGTTTTATCAAACAAACATGTTAAGATTAAACCGAATCTTTCTCGTTACAAGTTCATTTATGGTTTCTGAGTATCAGAGTCTGAGTCAAAATCTCTATCAGATTCATCAAAGACCCGTCCTCCGTTGACTGCTACATCGGGGAGTGCATCGTTTTGTTCTGTGAAATCAGTCACGCGGAGCACAAGGTTATCTGGCTCAAGAACGGCGAAGAAATATCCGAAAAGTCGAAGCATTTTACAATTTTCGTCGATGGTTGCATCCGAAAACTACGAATTGCAAATTCAAAAGAAGATGACACTGCTGAGTACACTGTCGCCTGGGCCGAGAATCACAAAGAAAAAAGAACAGCGAAAGTTGGCGTGACAAAACCGCCAATAGAAGTGCTTCATCCGCTTCAAGATCTAGAAATCGAGGAGGGCGATGTTGCGGAGTTCGTCATTGAAGTTTCCCGGCCACTAAAAATTGCGTTTTTCCTCGACGACGAGGAGCTCTTCCACTCTCCAGGAGAAATTGAAATTGAGTCCGAAGCTGATTCTACCATCCATCGAATTTTCATCTTCAACACCACCGAGGCCGACTCTGGTTGCATCAAAGCCAAAGCTGTTACATACGGCGAGTTCATAAGCGAAGCAGTTCTTGATGTTGTTCGTCCGCCAATTCACTTCACTTCGCCTCTCAGAGACGCTGTCGTTGAGATGAAGAATAAGCTGACTTTGACTTGCGAGATTAGTGAGGACGCTCCTGTCCAGTGGTTGTTCAACGACCATCCGCTATCAGAAGGTCCAGATATTCATGCCCTGGCCACCGATACCATCCGACAGCTGGTCATTCATTCTGCTGCGATGCAACATGAAGGCTACTACACATGCGTCACTCCTGATATGCGCAGAACGACCTGCGAAGTCTACGTCCAGAAACCGGAAGTAAAATTCATCGAGCAACTGGAAGACATTGAATGCTTTGTTGGAGACAGCATCAGTGCCAAAATCCGTTTGTCCGTCGCCGACGCTGGGGGTATCTGGGAATGGGACCATCAGCATCTTGAAGCTGTGCCCGGAGAAGTGGAGCTGTTCAGAGAGCATGAGGAGCACAGAATAACGGTTGCGAATATAAAAGAAACTGGTGTTCTTGGATTTGTTGTTTCCAAGAACTGTAGCTCGATCTGTAAGGTAACGGCCAAAGAACGACCGATCAAATTCAAGCGACGATTGGATGATCTGGAAGCAATTGAAGACGATCCATTCACGCTCGAGTGCGAACTTACAATGGATAAGTTGGAGGGAGAATGGACCTTCGAAGATGAGCCAATCAGACTTGGCGAAATGTTCAAATATGAAATCGAAGGTGGCGTTCACCGACTTATTGTCGCCAAGGCTCAATATGATACTGCTGGAAAATATGGCTTCAGATGTGGCAAGAAGTTCACCTTTTCTGCGGTCAGCATGAAGGAACTCGAGGTGGATATTCTTTCTGGACCGACGGATTTGCAAATCAAGGAAGGAAAACAATTCTGCCTCTCAGTCGTTGTTTCCAATCCAAAAGCACATATTCAATGGAGAAAAGACGGATATCCAATCCTCGGCGGCGAACACTTTCAATTCATCAGAGTCGCGGCTGGCGAACCTGGGGGACCACCTGAGGGAGTTCGATATGTTCTCCAGGTCGAGCAGGCTAAGAACTCCGACCAGGGAATGTATTCCTTCGACGCTCATAATGGCAGGGCCACTTGCACTGCTAAGGTTCATGTCAAACGAGAACCTGCAGTCGTCACTACTCCTCTTGAAGCTCTCAAGGTTCTTGACAGCGTTGATTCAGTCGACTTCGAAGTCAAGTTCTCCAGAGCTGATGTCAAGGCCACCTGGTCGAGAGACAACAGAATTCTCCGAGGAAACCGATTTGTTGCGACTCGCGTGGATGATCTCACCTGGCATCTTACAGTCAAGAACCCGACCGAGGAAGATTCAGGTCTTTACTGCGTCGAGTGTGAGGATTGCGCCAGCCACGCTATGCTTCGGGTGATTCCATGGAAGACGGAGATTGTCGAACCACTGCAATCACTCACTGCAGAACTTAATTCCAAGGCAGAGTTCAAGACTGCTGTTTCCCTCGACAATATCAAGCCCGAAGAAGTCACCTGGTTCTGGAACGATGAGCCAGTTTCTTCAGATGATGATCGATTTGCATTCAACATCGAGGACGACTACATCCACTCATTCACTGTTCTTCGAGTTGAGGAAGAAATGCTTCATTCTGTTGTCAAATTCAAAGCGAGAGATGCCGCCACAGAAGCCAAACTTCTCGTTTATGTACCACCAGCGCCACCAAAACATTTACGAGTCGTCAAGAACAAGCACGATTGGGCAATTTTGCAGTGGGATGCTCCCGAAAATCCTGGAACGCTTCCAATTATTGGATACGAGCTTGAATGCCGAGTCGAGGAGGAAAAATGGGCGCCAATCGGCCCCGATCTCATCACTACAAATTCGACGAAAATCGAGGATTTGGAAGGAGGAGTCGAGCATCGATTCCGCGTCAAAGCAGTCACTGCTCATGGCTCCGCAGCAGCTTCGATCACTACCGATCCTCTGATTCCATGGGTGCCACTCAAGGTCTCCAAGCATCTTCCCAGCGCTATTTCCTGCTATGAAGGCGATCGACCAAAACTGGAATGCAAATTCACCCTCACTGAAGAGCAAGAACAATGTGAATGGTACCACGAATCTGATTTGATAGAATTTGGCCCGTCGAACAAGGAATATTTGAATCTATCCGACGGTGTTCGCCGAAAACTTGAAATCATCTCGGCCAGGCTAGATCAATCCGGCTTGTACATGTGCAAAGTTGGCGACTTTACGACCGAGTGCATTCTCGAAGTCACCAAACGCCCTGCTGACTTCTCTGTGAAATTCGAAAGTCAAAAAGGAAAACTCGGTGAAAATATCAAATTCACTTGCAATGTCGAAAAGCCAGATGTCAATGTCATTTGGATGAAAAACGGTGTCGAACTTCCTGATTCCGACCGATACAAGATCTCCTGGGACGATTGTGTCCACACTCTAGAAATTGACAATGCAGTGCAAGATGACAAGGGCGAGTACAGTGCGTTGATAATGAACACTGAGAATATTTGCTCCGCCAATTTGGACATTGAAGTTCCAGAAATCTCTCTCGAGCTCGATGAAAAGACATTGGCGAAACCAGGAGGACATCATACTTTCTCCGTCATGCTTGAAGAAGAAAACGTCCACGTGACTTGGTCGAAGGACGGCAAAGTCCTCGAAAATGGCGAGAAATATAAAATCAGGACTGATAAACGATGGTACCACATGGAGATCTATGATATCGACAAGTTCGATGAAGGTTCTTATCAATGTCAAATCGAAGGATCAGACGTCATCACCACCGCTTTCTTGCAAGTCGATGATGTCAAACATCTCCCAAGCTTCGATGCAGACGCATATATCGCGAACGTCCTTGCTGACTCTGACGAAGACAGCGCCGAGGATGAATACTCTGCCGGAAGACATCACCGGGCTTCGATGGAATTGGCGTCTATCGAAGTTGTTCCAGCGAAGAAACCAGAATTTCATACTTATCAAGAGATTGTCGAAATTATTGAAATTGAAGAACGAGTTCCCGCTTCTCATACTCACACGGAATCAGAAGATCTCTTATCAGATGCTACTGATAGCGATATAGATGGAAGCATTCTTTCCGACGAAGAATCGGAGGTCGACATTGGCGAATTCACATCGCTAGGTTTCAAGCCTCTTCCAGACCTCCCAACTCATATTCGTGACCAAATTGCGTCCCCGACTCCATCTCGTGCGACTTCAATGCGTGGTGCTCCTACTCCAGGACTTGCTAGAATCATCACTGAGGCTGGAGATGGCAAGACAGATTCACCCTCATTAGACCTTGTCCGAAAACGAAAACCAGAAGATATCGTCAAAGAAATTGAGTCGATTGCTAGAAGTCCCTTGCCAACTTTGAGTCCTCTTCCTGCAAGGGTGCACCTTGATGTGCCGGATTCGGATGATGATATTTTGTCAGATGGAGATGAGACAGAGTCGGATGAGGAATCTGTGCTCTCTGACGCTTCTTCAGATGAAGAGACTGAGAACAGAAATGAAGGTATCTCTAGAAAGATTTCTGAAAAACCATAACATTTTTGTCTAACTATGAGCTAGAGTCTTTTTATCAAAATCGTCACCCCGAACAACAGCAATTATCACGAGCAGCGCTTTGTTTACCTGTCAAGCCTAAATTAAGGAAATACTTTATTTTTAGGAGTTTGGGCGAGTGTCAATGTTGGCGACGAAAAACTCAAATCAGAAGTCAAAATCGACGTCGCTGAGGCTGAAAACGTCATCGAAACTGTCGAAATCGATGTCCACACAACCAAATCCTTCACCTCTCATTTCGAACTCGTCAAAACCGAAGTTGAGCAGGGCAATTATGAAGAAGTCGTTGTCAATGTTGATGAAGGTATCAACATTTCCGTCGAGTTCACTGGCAAACCTGCTCCAAAAGCGACCTGGGTTCGAGAAGGAGGATTGCCTGTCGAGGCGGTAGTGAAGACTACTGAAGAATCAACCAGTCTTATCATTGATAATGCGAAGGCTGAGCATGCAGGAACTTATGGCCTCGTTCTTGAAAATGATTATGGTGCCCAAGCAGCCGCTTTCAAGGTTGGTTTTTTCTCTTTTCAGAGATTTGATTAAATTTAAGGTTGTCATGGAACTAGAGCCGAATAAAGAAGAATATCTCGATGCTCAAGCTGTCTTGGCTCAAGCTGAACATGCTTATCACCTCCAATTCAAGGACGAAGCTGAAACTTCTGAAAAAGCAAGAAAAACTCTCGAAGCAGAATATGGAGAATCCTTAACAATTGAGCACGAAATTCAAGGGCGTGCTGAGTATGTTGAATGGGATCTCGAAGGCTCAGCTGAGTATTTCGAGGGCGAAATGACATACAAAAACGGAGTTACCACTGCTCAACTCTTCATCGATTCAGTCACTGATGCCACTTCTGGAACTTACGTCTGTACCGCGTCCGCCGGAGGAACTAAGATCTCCAAGAAGACCGTTGTCTTGGTTCGCGAGGAGACAAGCTTCAGCGAGTCCGATGTCATCATAAAAGAAGGCCTCAAGGTTGATGGCTCCAAAGCTTCGTACGAAGAGGTTTACGAAGAAGGAAGCTTCAGACGAAAATCTGAAAAAGCGCAGAAATTGAGGAAGACTACAAAGATTGAGACGAAGCGAAATGATCAGCCAGAACTGTTTGAAATTGTAGTTGATCATGCTGAGGAAAATATCCAGTGGAAGAAGGGTCAGGTAATATTAATTTACTTTAATTCAATCAAGTCTTTTTCTTGAATCATTACCGGATAATCATGAACATGATAACTATCATTAAATGAATCATGGCAATCATCTACAATACTGTGATTCGTTAGGTAAAGTTAATCAAATCATCTGAAATACGAGTAGAAAAGTTTTATTTTTTCAAAAAAATCTGAGTTTTATGGTTTTTAGATCGTCACCGTCAAAGAAAAGCATTCTGGCGATTGGTGGGAAGTCCAAGTCGAAACTCGCGACGGTTCGAAACACACTGGCGGAATCAAGCCATGGCGTCTTTCTGAATTCCAACCGACTAGTCGCGATGACAACCCAACCACGATCTATCGTCAGCTCGCGTGGCAAGAATCAGAGCTCAAGAAATCAATGAATCGACTGACTCTCAATGATCCGGAGCTGAAAGTCTTGTTAGATCAAGTGATGAATTCAAGAACAGCACTTTATGGAGCGCTGCAGGACTCGATTGTCGATGCGGATTTGCTTCTTTCAGGAAAGAGTCTGAAAATTTCAGACACATAAATTATTCAGAATAATTTATTCTGAAAACCATAAGTAAGTTTTTCGATAGCTTCTTATAAACTTTTCCTATGATAAAGTACCGATTTCAATCATATAATCTTATGTGGATTCTGGGGAATTTTATTAGGACATTTTCTTTAGCTTTCAAATAATGACTCTCAATAGCTATGGAGCCACTGGAATTCGCCGCTCATTCACATCTCATCGCTCAAATCGAGCTCAAGCAATCCATGCTCTCGAAATCAGAATTATTTGAGCTTCGAAAGATCAAGGGCCATCTCATGGGCTGGCTTGTCCACCTAAAAGCACTCCTTCGACGAGCCTCTGCCGCCGAAGCTTCCATTCTTATCGATGCTCTCGATGCTACTGCGCTGATGTTACATCGAGCAGATTTGCTGCTCATGTGGGGACATATCGAGAACTCCCCGATGGATGCGAACGTTTGGGGCTGTCCTGAGCGACAAGGAAAATTGACGAAGCTGAGCGCCTCTAGAATCGCTGCGGATATCTATTCATCGGACAACTCATCGGACAATGCAAGATATTTGTTCTTGTTTCCTGGAAGACTAGGAATTGTTAAAACAAGAAATCTTACCGATCGGCGATAACATCGATAGATTAGCAAAAAATTTTTTAGTTTTTTCGAAAGAACTTGATCATTTTAATTTCAAATTAAAAAAAAGTTTTGAAAAAAATTATGGTTTTTCATTTTTGTGAAAACATGAAAAAGCAATTTGTCGCCGAGACCCTGACAAATCTGGATATCAATTCGTCAAAGCAGTCCATTTCCAGAATACGCAAATTTCTCGAGGATTTGGTGGGAACCCTGCTGCTTTTGAAATCGTCACTCATGATCATGCAAAACTCGAAAGGTTTTCTCAAACCCTTACCCTCAAATTGAGGTTTTCAGGATGGCTTTCGAATGCTCCTCCATCGGCCAGTGCGACATTTGGTGCAAGGACATTGAGGCGGAGTTGAGGAGAGCCATGCTTTCTCAGTTCACAAGACCAGGTAAAAACCTCATATCTTCATCCCTCCATTCTTCATCACTCATTTTCTCACACCAGCACGCTCTACCGGAGCTCCACAAATCACAAAAGAGCTCGAAACGGCCATGGTCCGCATCGGTGAGCCATTCGAGCTCAAATGCACCATCTCCGGCCAGCCTACTCCTCACGTGATCTGGATGAAAGACAGGAAGAACATTCAGAGCTCAGATGACTTGATCCTTGCCTCGAAAAGTGGGGTCTATTCACTTTTCGTCAGGGCTGCGAAAAAGGCCGATCAGGGAACTTACAGGTTCGAGAATGAGTTAAAATATCATAGAAACCATCTTTCCAGGGTCATCGCGAAATCCGCTTCGGGTGAAGTAATGTCCCAATGTACAGTTACAGTCATCGGCAAGTAGAGTGCCTTCCTGATCACGTGTGTCTGTTGTTTCTCTCTAACACCTCCATCACGCCTCCATCAAACACAGTCATCACTACAATCACAATTTCCCACCAAAAATCACTCTCTAGATTCTTTCAAAGGCTCTAGAAATTGTCTCTAGACACAATTTCAGCTACAAATCCTGTTCCAGCAATTCTGTATACGAAGCACTAGCTGTAAATGAAGATCTTCTGTAAATAAACTCACTGTAAATAGAAAAAAAAATACAAAATATGGAAGAGAAAGAGTCTTTGTTGTTGGCGGCGTCTTGGAGAAAATCCTTCTTGCTCAAAAATTCTGTGGTTTTTGACTTTTTAAATTGCTTTGATTGGGCTTTGAATTGATAAATAACAATTGAAGTATCGATTCTGCAGGATGCATTTAATATTAATATTCATTGTTTTCGAAAGAGAGGGCAATTATTGAAGTCCTGCGAGATACAGCCGAGAGTTTGAAGAGAAAAGAAAGTTATCAAAGTATTTGTGAAAGGGATTTATTTTTTTTTTTGAAAACCATAGAAGCCGAATAAGTATCAGGAATTTAGTTTTTTTTTTATAATACCTAATCTTTGAACGTTAAAATAAAAGCATTCGAAACGTTTATTATTTACAGCTAAATAGATCTCACAAAAGCTCCGAATCATCAATCGACACCACAAAAACCATCCATTCCGACTCCCCTGACGCTCTCCCTAAGAACTCCAAAAAGCCCGCCCGGCCAAGAAGCCTGGGAAAACTCAAAATCATCCAGTCCCTCGACAGTATTTGCGAAATGTGCGACGATTTGATAAATCGCAAGGAACAAATGTCGCTCGAAAAAGCAAGGAGTATTGAAGATTTGACGGCGAGTTTGGAAAGATTTGGGATATTGGAGGAAGAAGAGATCAATGCGGATTTGTTTGCGGAGCTTGATGAAGTAATTGGAGGATTTATGCAGCTCAGTAAACAGCATTTTGTCGTTCAGGTAAAAATCATAAGATATGAATAAAATCGTTATTGTTTTTAGTCAACCCTAACAATCGACAAACACAGCGTCAGCACAACCAACATCGAGGAACTAGCCAACCACATGGACCCACAACTCGCTCCTCGAATCATCATTCCACCAACAAATGTCGATTTCTTTGAAGGCAAACCTTTTCAACTCCGCGCCGTTGTAGCTGGAATACCCAAGCCACAGATTCGCTGGTACAAGTCAAAAATGATTTTGGACTCGAACACGAGAATGGTCGATGTTCTTGGGAAGTATATTTTGACGGCGGATAATATTCATGGATCGGCGGAGGCGTGCGCGATGGTGAAATATGGAGCAATGAGACCAGTTTCGATTAATATTTCTAACTCAACTTCGAGCATTGATGAGACGTCAGTTTATACTGCTAGGAATGGCTTTCAAGAAATTTTTTCCATTGAAATTTAGAAACCAAATGAAGCTCAAAAAAGGTCGGATTCCGAATATACTTGTGTTCCGCGAGATTCTGAAAATGAGACCGAAATCGAGACCGTTATTGACTACAAAAAGGATGAGTCAAATCAGCTTTTGAAAAGTGACGATTTTAACTCGACGAAATCCAGCGAGGATAGCGATGCTGTTCTGTATATTCCTTCTTCTGATTCCGAATAAATTGAAATATTTTAAGAACTCAAAGCCTCGTATGTTTTCTCACGTGCTCTAGCACATCGAATAATACGGAGCAATCAAGCATAAAACAATATTCAGTTCGGCTTATTGTCCCGCATTCTTTCAACTCACTTTTCTTGCTGACTAAGAACAAAACGAGGGAAGCAGAGCTTTTCTGATTTAAATTTACCGCGGCCATACCATTTTATGAATATTACGGTCGTGAATTAGTCACTCTCTAGGAAGACCCGAAGAAATATTTATTTATTTTATTGTGAAAATGTTCGAATCAAGAAAAGAGATCTTGGTACAATTCAGAGACTTGAGCTATTCAATCAATTCAAGCGGAAGGAAAAAGAAGATTTTGGACAAAATAAATGGTAATTTTCTAATTTGGGATAATTTTTTTTTTTGATTTCAAGGATCTTTGCGACCAAAAAGGCTATGCGCTATTATGGGACCCTCCGGAGCCGAGAAAACTACACTTTTGGACATTTTAGGCGACCGAATCAATACTGGTATTACTGGAGAAATTCTAATAAATGGGGCGACGAAAAACTCAAAGATTTTCAAGAAAATTTCGGCTTATATCATGCAAGAAGACAAATTGCAAGAATATCTGACAGTAGAAGAGTCCATGCGGGTCGCAAGCGATCTGAAATGTCATCCCTCTCCGAAAAATTGTGAGAGAGTGAGGGAGATAATTGAGCAGTTAGGATTGATGGATGAGAGAGAGACTCTTACGAAGAACTTATCAGGTAAGATTACAAAGATTACAAATTACGAATCAGGTGAAAATGATCTCCACAGGTGGGCAGAAAAAGCGACTGGCGATTGGGCTCGAACTTGTTAACAATCCGCCTGTCATGTTTTTCGACGAGCCAACAAGTGGCCTAGGAACTGGTCTCTTCCTACAACGCTTTTTTCGTTCAATAACTTTCCGACCAATAATAATAGACGCCGTCTCCAGTCTACAGGTCATTTCTTTGCTCAAGAATCTCGCCCTTGCCGGTCGAACAATCGTCTGTTCTATTCACCAGCCGAGTAGCAGGAAACGCGCCAGGAAATTAAATATTGTTCGCGGTCACGATCGAGTGAACTTTTGTGATTTAGAAAGCGCTAGAATAAATCTTCAGGCGCCATTTAGACTGTTTAATATATTTGATGATCTTTATGTAATTGGGAGGAAAAAATCCGTGTTTTCAGGATGGTTTTGATAAGTTCAAATGAAATCAAGGAAGAAAAAACATGATTTTAAAATCATGACCTAATTTTTGTTCTGTTACGTAACGGAAATTTACGACTCGAGTTCACTTTGTCTATGAGTAAAATTTACGGGTCAAGTTTCCGATGAAACGCCCCCCTTATCAAAAATATTCTTTATCTAAACCAAAAAGGTCCTGTTAGCTCATTAGTTCCTGCCATGGAAGCTGCAAAAATCCAAATCCCGACCTACTTCAATCCAGCTGATTATGTCATTGAGCTAGCATCTGATGGAATCTCCATACCCAACCCTAGACCTCTTCAAACTCCAGACCCTCCACAACTCTCCCGAATGAAATCCACTGTCGAAAAAGAGCTCTCCGCCCAAAACTGCTACCAATGCCCACTCTACAAACAATTTGCAATTCTCCTCCGCCGCCAGTTCAAAATCATCTACAGAAATGCCTTTGTCTTCCATTTGCGATTCGTTTCTCACGCACTTGTTGGCCTTCTCTTCGGAGGTCTTTATTACAAAATTGGAAACGATGCGGACAAAACTTTGGACAACTTTGCTTTTATTTTTATTTCCTTGTTGTTTCTTCAATTTTCTGCAATCATGCCATCCTTGCTTGTTTTCCCCATCCGTGAGTAGATAAACAGAAACTATAGTGCTGCATAAACCCCTATTTTATGGGTCCTAGGCTCGGAAACCTGAGTAGAAAACCTGAGTCAGGTTCTGAAAGATCTTCAATAAAAAGCCGCTTTCAGACCCTGACTCAGGTTTTGTACACAGGTTGCCGAGCCCAGACTTAAGCTGTTATCAATTAATGAGGGATAACCATTGATACCTTATCAAGTTGACCAATTTGAAAACACAGTGTTTTTAGAAATATCCGTAATGATGCGGGAAGTACGCAATCGCTGGTACAACGTGGGCCCGTATTTCCTGGCTATAACACTGGCTGAGCTTCCTTTTCAAATTATCTTCGACTACATCTACCTTGTTATTTCTTATTTCATGACATCGCAAGTTCAATCTCCTGCTCGTTTTTTCATGTTTTCGACGATTTGTATCATCAACTCTCTTGTTTCCGCGTCAATGGGGCTTCTCATCGGCGCCGTGGCTCCTTCAGTCGAGGTACAGTAGCTCCGACAGCAGTTGAACTTTGTGATTTTAGTCCTCATCTTTCATCGGCCCTTTGGCTTGTATACCAGTGCTTCTTTTCGCTGGATTTTTCGTGCCCGTCAAGAACATCGTTAAATACTTACGTTGGATTTCGTACACCTCATACGGGTTTTACTCATTCGACGCGCTGGTGATTTCAATTTACGGGACATTTTACCAAGTTCCACCGAGAGCTCCGCTTTTTTGCCCAGGAAGGAGTAATAAGGAGGACTTAATTTCAGTTAGAAGTGAAAAAAATGATAAAATGCGGTTGAAACTGAGGTTTGATAAAAGGCTTATTTCCGAACTCTCGACTAAGAATCCTCTGAAGAACCGTCAAACTCCAGTAACCCTGCTCCCTCCATCAATCCTCCTTGCGATTGGCCAACCTGCTCAGTTCCCGACTGTAACTCTCCGCTCCTAGTCCTTGAAAATCGCGAGATCACGAGCAACGACCTTACAAGAGATTGGATGGTCTTACTGGTGTTTTACGCGGCTTTACGACTTCTTGCCTTCTGCGCTGTGAAATTACGCTTAATACTGTCAGCAAGGATTCATAAGAAAGTTTCTGAATTCTTTAGAAAGAAAAAATATGAAAAAAGAGAAAGTTCTGATGTCGAAAGTATTGAAACTGATCCACCAAGTTCATCTTTTTAAAATACAATATTTAAGGGTATCCTCTCTTGTTTTTCAAAAATTTGATTTACAAAACTTATTTGAAATGAATGCATATCGCATTTCGTTCGTTGAATTTCGTGGTCGATAGCCATGAGATTTCAACGTTTTAACACACTGATAAGCTCTATCAACCACGTAATTATTATCGCTCTTCGTAACGCAAAGATGCAGTTTTACGAACTCGTAAGAACAGAATTCTACAGATTTGAACGTGCGCAACTGACCCAACTTCCTTGATGATCAGGTGATGACCCGGACTCAGAATTAAATTTCAATCATCATAAGATTTTTTCTTTCAAAGAAATTCGACTCAGTAAAAAAAAAAAGATTCTTGTCAATCGTTTTCGACATTTTCTGTTTTTTTTCGGAAAGAAGGATGAATCCAGCTTTTTTGGGGCAAATATTATCGTTGAAAAGTTTTCAGAACTGTTGAAAAAAATTCACTTTCTTTCTAAACAAACAGCGGTTGGAAAGTTTTTCCTTATCGCGCCGGTCCTTGCTCACGCGTTTCGCAAATACACGTGACGGAGAAATGCTTTTGCCTGCGAAATTGTACGTAAAAATTTACACTTGTCTCACGTTGAAAAAGTCAGGCGTTGCTGTTACCGTCAGATTCTAGGCATGCTTGATTTCGAATGTTTCAAGGATTCTTTTCTAATGAAGATTTTTTATTATCAATTTTTATTTCGATTTTTAGTCGAAAGGCTACAGAAAGGAAACAAGAACAACAGATTCCGGATAGAGAGTACCAAAAGTAACGATATGGCTTCTTCCAAATTTTTTACTAATCAAAATTTCTTTGCTTTTTGTTGAAGTCCGAGGATTCTTGGATCCCCAAGGATTCTCTGGAAATTCATTATCCTTACACCGCTACATTGCCTGGAACAATTTCTACCCCGACTTTTTGGGTTTTTGCAAATTTTTACGAGTTATTATTAACAAGGAGGTTCCAGGGTTTTTTAAATCTTAAAAACGGGTATGGAGACTTTATTCAATCAGTCTTTTCATCTTTCGGCTCTCTAAATCAAAACTAATAAGTTATCGACCAATTTTACCTCAATAACTTTTGATAAAAAGAGAAAAACTTGAGTGTTTTTAATCTATGAGCGTACATTTTTTATGCACTCTCAGCTTAACGTAAGAGTCGTAATAAGCTCAAAATGACATTTCCGCGGGGTGAGGATAACGATTCTTGTGTAATTTCTGCTTGAAATTTCGCGTCACCATCTAAAAAAATTACCCGAGAAAAAAATGAATTGCAAGCATCATATTTCTAGATTTAATTGGTACCTGGATTTGTTACTTTCAAAGAACGAATATGTTCGTTCCTATTTGCTTTTGCATCATTAGCTAAACCTGAATAAAATTGTATACTCCAACCAGCTTCTTTAAAGTCAAAGCATCGTGAATCTTTACTCGAACTTATCGGTATGAACTAAAAACCATTTTCATGTTAATGTTCTTTCGAATGAGATCAATTAATTGTTATTCTTTATTATCTAAAAGAAATAAATCAATTGCCAAAATCTTTACCTGTATTTTAATGGTTCTTAGTCCTGATGCTAGTATATTCAAAGCATTTTTTATCTCTTTGCGTCCATAATCATCACATGAACTGGAAATGGAGTTTGGAAAAATTCCATTGTCAACGAAGCTTTCGGTAATCCTCAGATGTATGCCTTTGCTTATGGACCGCAGTTCTTGGCGTAAATCTTGGATCTCTCTAGTTCTTTTTTTATTTTCTTCTTGAATTTTCGAGTTCTCCCATTTTTCCTTCAATTTCTTAAGCAGTTTTTCATTATCGATTCTCATCTTTTCTAAGTCGTCGACGAGATAATCATTAGTTAATTTTAGATTTTCGCTATTGTTCTTGAGCTCCTTATTTTCGTCGAATAGTTTTTCTGCCAGAGTTTCAAGGGAATCAATTCTTTTTTCCAATTCATATCTTTCTTTCTGTGCTGCTATTTGAAAGTCTCCAAATACTTTCCAAAGAGGCTGGTTTTTCAAGTCGATCAGTTCAAGTATCTCTTCTCTCGAAATTCCTTAGAAATTTTTCTCAGAAAAGATTTTGGTAATAGAATTCAACCTGAATTTTGTCCCCTCTGATTCTGGTTCTCGTAAAAATTACTAGGAGTATTTGCTGTTAGGTCGCTGTATGATATTATTGAAGGCGGACTGGACATTATATCAAGAAATTAGTTGATTCTCTCTTTCAAAAAAGCCTTTTGTAATATTTCGATTTTAATGGTGCCCGATAGACGATTGGTCCATATGCAGACCATTGTTTGAAACAAACACATTCTTGTTTACAAATCAAATACAAATTTCTGAACTTTCCTTATTTCTCTCAGAACGATCATTATATTTTTATTATGCTTCAAATCAGAGCTGGAAAAAAGTATACTTCCCCCCGCCCTTCAAAAATCTGCAGGGCGCCCTTCATTCTTGAAGGGCGGTGAAGTACGAAATGGCTCTGAAGTATACTTCACGCGCTGAAGTATACTTCAGCTATCGGTTCTTATCGAAAACTTTAGCTCCCACTTCATCTGCCACAATCAGCGTGATTTAAATCATGGCGCCTGAGAGCCAATAAGCGCAAAATTTGAAAAAATTCTAGCGGATGGATTCTGATGGCCGACAGAACCAAGTTGAAGTAGAGTGAAGGGCGGAAGGGCGGTTGAAGTAGAGGGAAGGGCGGAAGTACACTTCACGCCCTTTAACGCCCTGCAACGCCCTGAAGTATACTCCATGAAGTATACTTCATTCTGAAGGGCGAGTGAAGTATACATTTTTAACAACTCTGCTTCAAATCACAACCGATCTCACCCACAGGAAAATATTGTACTCTTCCAACTCACCAGCAAATCCGCCAGATTGTGAGTATCATCATTTTGTCGAACAAGACCTCAACATCAATAAATCAAGGTGTTACGAGAATAACGCGATCTCTTCGAAATAAAAAGCTACGTTACTGTTTTTCTCAATTCTTCGAAAAGAAAAATCGAAATATTCAAAGAAATCAACATACTGGCGGATTTTCCTTTTATGTAACGAAAAAAGCGTTTTTGTAATTTACGCTTTAAGCGGTTTGAATTTGTTTCCTCCATAAACATGTCTTTAATCTCTATGTCAAAATAAAAATCAAGAGGATTTCTTTCTGAAGTCCAAGAATCGATCTTGCTTGGTGAAAATTTCGTGGATCATTCTGAAAATCCGCTTTTTCAGTTTTATCAGTTTTTCATTTTTCTGATCAATCCACGAAACGGTCAAAGTTTATTTTGCATCTTCAAAATTCACTTGAAATCAAAAACCCCCAACGAAAAAAATTCTAGAACGAGCGAAAACAACAACAAAAAGAATTCTTCAGTAACCTCAGTTAAAGAAAATCGAAGTTTTTTTTTCAAGTTTTCCGAGCTCCAATTATCGTCCTCATTTAGATTTTTTATGTCACGAAGGGAAGGAGTTTCTTGAATTACCAGAATAATCAACTATTGGGGCTCATTGCATTTTCATAATAAGTTATCAACGGGTATTACTCTCTTCTGCTAAGCCACTAAAATTAACCGGTTAGATTCCGCTTAACGAAATTCTAACAAAGCACCTCCTCAAGCTCTCTTCTTCCAATCCACAAAACTGACAGGAAAGAGTTTCAGAAAAATCAACCCTCCTTTTCTCTGTTTATTTGCAAACTTGTGTAAAAAGCGAAACAAGCCTTCGACCAGCGGACGAGCTTGACCATGATCCAAAGAAGCTATTCCGCAATGTTGAGCTAAAATGTAAGTGTTTGAAATTTCAAAAGAATCCGCGAATCGTGTATTTCACGCAATAGAAAGGGCTCTCGACGGGTGTGGCTTTTCTATCTCGTACTTAGGGTTGAACTTGGCTGAACCTCACCATTTAGGGCACGACAATTTGCACAAAATTCCGTATATCATCTCCAAGTCTGGAATTCGGCGAAAACGAGCCAGCGCGTTCAAATCAATTGCTTTCATGGCGGTGATTTTCTTCCTGATTCTGTGGATTGCTACATTTGTTCTAGGGCCGGTTCGATTTTCCAAAGCAGAAAACCTGAGTCAGGGTTTTGAAAAGTCTTCGTTGAGAAGCGCTTTTTTCAGCCGGGAAGATTCAAAAGAACCCTTTTAAGAATACGTCGCTCCTGAATTTATCATCTAAAAACAACTGAACTCGTTTGACTGACTGTACTCTGAAGAGTCTTAAATTCTAAAATTCAATAAAAAACTCGCTAAAAAGTGGCCACTGACCGTCTCAAGTTCATCAAAAAAAGAACGAACAAGGATCAGAAAACAAAAGGTTCGGAATATTTCGGAAAATTCAGCGATAACGTCATCGCTTGACAGTTTCTAGGGCTTTCCAAACGCGAAACAAGCACCGACAGCAGCGGGGGAAGCTCGAACTAACTTTCAATACCAAAAGTTAATCAATACAAGAGTCATTGTACGAACGCAAGGAATAATTCCCGATCAGCGATCGGCAATGATCTTTTATGATCTTGACGAAATGTCATATAAAATGGCATTTAACGAGTTCTTAAAGAATTTATGCCGCCGAATAGCAGAAAACTTCTCTCTATCTTTGTTTAACCAGGGATAACGCAAATAATAGACGATTACCCAAACGATACATGAAGCATTTATTCGAATATTCTCATGAATTCAGAGAGCAAAATAAAATGGAAGACTTGAAAAAAAGCCTTATTTTATTTTTATTTGCCATTTTTGGCGTTTTCTTTTTGTCGGAGACGTCGGGAAAAGGATTTCACGAGAGAAACTTATCCATAAGAATAAAGAATAATATAGAAGAGATAGAGATAAAAGAATTGCCCCCAGCGGAGAATGTTCTTTTAGCGACGGGATATAGAACTGGTTCTTCTTTTTTCGCAGAGCTTTTTAACCAGAATGATAAGGTTTTCTATGTAAGTACTAATTCAAACCAGGAAAGGGGCGAAATTTAGGGAGCCGTAAGTATTAGGGCAAGGGCTACCCTTATCCTTTCTATCCGTAGCCTTACCCTTACGCTTACCCCGAGCCCTAACCCTAACCTAAGCTCTAACCCCCTGAAAGAATAAAGCTAACATTCATCAAAGCTCTTTGAACCTGATCACAACTTGCTCAAAACAAAAGGAGGAAAAAATTGGATGCGACCAGAAATCCAAGAAGAATGGGCGTCATTTATTCTCGATCTCTTCCAATGCAATGTTACGAGCCCTTACTTGTTGGAATCTCCAAAAACGAAGAATAAAATTGTGTTTGAGAAACACATCCGCCTTCTGAGCAAAAAAATTTGCAATGGCAAAATGTGCAGACATTATAATATTCACGATGTGGAAAATCTTTGCAAGAAAAAGAAGAGGGTGATCAAGACGATCAAACCAGCGAATATCGAAATTTTATTAAAAGAAGCAGAGCGAAGAAATGTCGATTTGAGAGTTCTTCTCTACTTCAGGCAAGAATTTCGAGCTAGAAACTTGCTAATACCGATATTTTTAGAGACTCCCGCCCGGTGTTTTTGAGCCGAAAAAAGGCTGGAGAGCTGAAGGATTATTATTTGAATATCAATCGATATTGCAGTGAAAAATTGAAGCAACAAGAATTTTTCGAAGAAAATTTCTATTTGCACTCGAGATTGATGTCTTCCAAATTTGAAGATTTCGCGATAGAACCAGAAAAACAAGCAAATACTGTCTATAATTTTCTCAAATGGGACTTTCCTCCGAACCTACATACCTGGATCAAGAAGAACACGGAAGCACCTTCAAAAAGTTCAGGTTTTAAGCGTTATAAATGAAGCTTATTTCTTACCTTTTGAAAAGGGTCAAAATATCAATATGGAACTTCGAGAAATTCTTCAAAAATTGTGTCTCAATGGGAAAGTCAAATTGGAAAAGAACAGAGGTTTTTGATTGAAACTATTTGTAAAGATTATTTGGAGGGGTTGAGTTATGTCTGATTCAAAATGTCTGCATATGAAAATAAATATGATAAATGCCAGTTGAAATGTCATGTCTAGCGCGAGATTTCTCAATAACAAGAATAATGATAACCGGTATTAAAGATCTCCATTTTTTCAATGAAGTAACTGTTCGTTAAGTTTGAATTCGAAATACTAAACTTTTCACGACGTAAAAGGATACGATAGAATCTTTCGAAAAGCACCGGAACTTTGATTTAATCCACGGTATCTCGAAGTTCGACCTCTTCTTACCGACTGCGAGAATTCTTTAATCCACGAGTTCAATTTTTTGTTGACAATAAAGAATTTTTACCAAACTTTCTTCACCTCACTTTCACCACATTCTGTTTCTAGGAATAAATAAACGAGAAGACTACATAAAAGAAAATCAACTCTGACAAGAGCTGTGTGACGCCCCTGTATGCTAAAAAATCTCTTTATGGTTTTTATTGAGATGATCTAATTTAATCATCGATTCGGAGAAACGTCGAACTTTGGTTTATCCGGAGCAACGTAACCAGGTCGAGCAAGTATAAACACACCCGCTCATTTAATCTTAAATTCCGCAACTAGAATCTTTGCTCGGAACATGATTGGGTGCGGTTCAATCTAATTAAAGTATCTTACACCAGAACGATGTGAGATGATGTGAAAATCCAAACCGTTAGGATTTTGGAGTTTTGGAAGCTGCTATTTTTAGAGATTAAGGGCGTAAACCGGACTAGTTTTGGGATTTTCAGGAACCAGGGAACAGTTTTTTCTTTCCGGATTACGCGTTTTATTTTATGAAATCGATGTAATCTCGAAAAAAAGTTATGATGTTAGGTTCTGCTTTATTTAAAAATATGGGTGTCACGAAAAATTATTATCCTCTTCTGCGTTCATTTTTTTGTAATTTGCAATTAGGCTCCACGTAAGAAAGCCGCTAGAAAACGGGTCAAATGATCCGCTGCTGTTTACGAAAGCGAACGGTATGAGAGTCATTGTCCCTAATTGCGCCCAACCGCTCAGAATCAGCCTAATCGACCACGTCAGCGGGGTTCATTTTTCATAAAAATTGAGGTCGAAGCTGCTCCATTAAAGGATATGAAATTCTATACAGTCATAATTCTCACATCATATTTTTTCATTTTCCACGTGACATTTTTAAGCAGAACTAATGGCGAGATTAGAGCCGAAATCTTGATAAAAATCGATGTTTAGCGAAAGACACTTCTAACAGCAAACTTTTTGAAAGCTCGAGGATGGAGATTCTTCCTCCGATAAATACTTTTTTGACACTTTGTTTGAAGCTATTATGCATCTGAAAACGTGTGCAAAAAACAGAAAATCCCCTTTTACCACAAATTTTATAAAAATGAAAGATAAGGGGGTCTGAAGGGAGGTGTATAATTATGTCACGCTTTATATTTGAAAAGGACTCGTTTTTTATGCTTTGTTTCAATACGCGAAAAATTAAAGCTGCCAAAATCATCATATTTAGGGCGCTATTCGAAAACGCGTTCTACAAGAATGACGCCTAAAGAAGCCCCCAATTTTCGCCCGCAAATATCCGCCAATTCGCAGTTATGTCACCTCAATCTTCACGTTTTTCTTTCTCACCTTTTACCATGGGTTATTTAAATCCATCATAGAAAGAATGCTCTCCCTATCATAAATCGGCATCGTTTAAAAGAACGGTATCAGAAAACCAGTTGAATTAATCGAACGCTTTTTCTAGAGCGTATTATTATGCCATCAGCTGAGAGAACTCAAAGAGCCATTATAAAAAGCTGGTGCGGCTCGTAAGAGATGGGCTTGGATTACAAATTGAACGACCGTCAAATGTACGGAATGCACAGTATTTCCGACGAGCGTGTTTCTTTGCTCCCAGTGACGCGATCCAGCGCCAGTACCAGGCGCTTATCGTTGACTGATGGTCTCAATAAAAGACTAGAGGAGGTAAGATAATCGTTATGACCTAACACCTTCTATCTAAAGCGTAAAAACGAAGCAATTTATCAAAGTGAAAATTCAGTTCCGTGATGTTTCGAAGCGAAGACGAATTAAAACGATGCTGGTTTTTGGATGGACACGGATTTTAGCGCTATTGATTTAATACAAAATTTTATAAAAAAAAAATCCAATGCAGCTCAGTTTCTTGCTCCTCCTTTTTTGGATCAACTGGCAATTTGTCCTTCCTTCCGCTTTCTGGAAATGAATCCCTTCAAAAACCGCTTGCGTAATAAACTTGAGCCAAAATCCGCCAGCAACAAGCTTTGAATTGCATGTAATTTGAAAGGCAAAATAACCACTGGTGAGGGCAAGGATAAAAATTTTCCCGCACTATGTTATTATGATGGAGGCAGTGTCTCTTAGACAGGTGGTTTTTGGATAACAAAGCTCTTAAGAAATAAAATTTTTTGAACGAATGTAAGTTCCGACTTGAACGAAAGAAAAAATGACATGGAAAACGCGGTCTCTCTAAAAGTATAAATGCTCCTCAAACTCTGTATGTTTACTGTAGTCCACCGCAAAAACCTAGCCAGCTCGACCTAACAACCGCGGCGTATGTGCCCTTTTCTCACAGATAAGGTGTTGAATTCGTCTTCTTTCCCAGGCCAAGATAGTCTTATCAATACGTAAGAAGATGCCACAGTATCAACTCAAGGTCAAGAAAGAAAACAAATTTATGATGATTTTTACATAGAAGCTTTACTTTTTATCTAAATTTTTATTTGTGTCACATCTTGTTGAATGAAGATAAATGTGTTACTGCTTGTTAAATAGAAGGGTCGGTTTATTATATGTTGAGATTTTTCTTTACTCAAATCGAAAATCTCGAAGGAAAGATCGCTGGTTAAAAATTTTTCATTCTTCTACTTGACTTTTCTAAGAAAAATATAGAACAGTAAACAACATTTCCATGTTAGTTATTGTTCGTTCCTCTTCATAATTGATTCATTTACAAGTATCATTATTTTTATACTGTACGAGTTTCTGGGAAGCTTTTATTATGGTGCAACAGGTGCAGACTAGACTAGAGCGCCAAATTTATTGACCAGCTGCTCGTTATTTTGTTCTTATTGCCTAATACTTGCAGCAGGGTAGTTTCTTGTTAGTTTAGGGTACTTACTGATTGAGGCGTTTTACGGATTGTTAGAAAACAAATCATCAAAAAATTTAAGATCATTTGAAGCTTATGCTTCTTTTGCTTCAAATATTTACATATCATCCTTCATAAATCGCGTAAATATCCCGTTAAAATCTGACCAAAGCATTTCTAAAATCAAGTAGCTGAAAATTCAATCTGAAAATTCTCGTCATTTGGACGTAATTTGCGGAAAGCGAAATGATCATCCCTCATTTCCGCCGGCTTATCGTGCGAATAAGGCTCTTTCGAGACATGCTGAACATGAGAAGGAAGGAAAGGTTCTAAATGAAAGTTTCTGATGATCTTTTTGAACCATCAAAGTGCCCTCAAACGGATGGGTTGAGGAGGGTTCAAGTGCAAAACCGACTTCTCGCCGCAGATGGTTGTAATGATTGGTTAACCTTGTTGTTACGAAAAATATTCAAGAGGCTAACGGAGCGAGCTTTGTTAATTCAAGAGCCAGCAGAGTGACACCCTTATTTTATTTGACAAAAACAAGGATTGAAGATTTCTGAAAGATACAAAGAAAGAAATAAGGGTGTCAGTGTATTAAGTAAATTACGCAAATATGAATTTTAAGGTCGTGTACATGACCAATTCGGGAATTTCGCGTGATGTGATAAGTCAAAAGAATCAGATCTTTTCGCGGCCTTGAAACGTAATTCTTGGTCAATTAGAATGTCTCTAAAACCTTACCGCCGCAAAAATTTTCAAGTTTTCCCAGAGCTTCAAAGTCGGTTTGTGCCCTTCCTGGCTTGATGGAATGCGAAAGAAGTGGATAACGATGGAGGATTTTCTGGCTGTTCGTTTCAGGTTTTCCTTATCTTGATATGTGGTTTACTAAGAAAACGAAGGCATCTTACTGTGAGTCTTACTTTTAATAATTGAACCCTTATTTAATTTCCGAGAAAATTGGATCCTCAAAAAAATGCCCATTTCAAATGGGCCATTAGTCAATTTTTCTTGTTCTATCGAAATCGGGGATTAGCAAAAAAAAACAAGAACCGAGTCAACAGCTCATCTTCTCCGAGCAGCGACGTACTTTCCAGTACCGTGAAAACCTAATGCCTAATTGATCCCGACGGGTTAAGAAAATTACATCTAAGTAAGTGCCTCAGCTACAAGTTAAACTCAACGTTCATCGATCCCACGAGCAGTCATTTTTTCACCAAAATCTGAAATTTCAGGGCACGAAAATTTTTCAAAAGAAAAGGGCGCAAAAGTCCCGGGCTGAGTCTCGAATTCTAGAGTCATGAAAAGCCACGAGTTAATCGGGCGGGCTTTGAGAAAGTCCGAAGAAATCTGAGTCGCGAAAGATTATCTCGACCGTAATTTTTAAAAAAGCAAAGAAACGAAAAAATGCGTCACGAAGCAAAAAAAATCGGCAGTAGACATCCTTCCTACTCCCTTAAATCGCCCTTTTCTGAACCCTAGTTAAAGTTATCCGCGTCGAATTCAGGGAATCCAGCGTTACTAAGTGGAGCTTCTTATCTTGTTGATAGCAATTTGTCCCAAAAGCAGCCACAGCCGGTAGATAGTCTTAAAACTAGGGAAAAGAATTCAGTTACAGTTATCCTAAAAAAACGGTAGAGCAGTTGGATCTTTTTCCCAACCGCTTGTTGTGTTGATTTATTCGATTTTAATCCAATTGCGGTTCGAATTATTCCTTTTTTGAGCAGCTTTTGAATCAAATTTTTACCGATAAAACTTTTTCGAGCTTTTTATTTTAATTTCATGCTTTGCAGGTTTTTGTAGAGAAGAACTGTTATTATAAATTTAGAAACTTACTTAGGGGGACCTCGCTTTTTGAACATCTGTGTTTTTATGCAAACATTGGAGCGTCAACTCTTACATCTTGGAAATGCACGTTTTTTGTTTTCTTTTTTGATCACTTTTTTTCTAGAAAAAGGGATTGTGTCTGGAACCGACAAAAAAATTCGACAAATTTTGCGTGGGCGACTACTCGGCTGCTGATTGGCTGGTTTGCCATTTGAAATCCAGGCTTCTGATTGGTTGATAATTTCCACGCAAAATTTGTCGAATTTTTTGTCGGTTCCTGACACCTCCCCAGAAAAAGGAGCGCTTTTTTCTGCCCTTTGCGGGTAAAATGGGATAGTTTCGTAATGATGGAATTTGGGAAAATGGAATTTTAGCGTTAGAAAATTCGGCAAAGCGGGATGATTCTGATTTATTCAATTTGCGCAAGTCATCCTTTTTTGCGTGAATAAAATAGAAACCCTTTTCTCAGCGAAAATCCAAAATATTTTCTTTACACTTTTAGAATGACCTGCTTCTAGCCATTTTTTTTGAGAAAAATTTTTTCGAATTCATCATTTTCTGACGTTTTTACTATGATTAAAGTTAATCATTCGCCGATCTTCTTGCACGTAGCGTTTCGCGAAAATGAATTTTCTCCTTACACAATTTGCGCATTCTTGGGCCGTCGCCTGCAAATGCTTTTTGATCGATAATTATAGAGTGGCACCACCGACTGGGCTTGTTTCGAACACCACAGAATGTCATTTTATTGCGTTTTCCGACACTATTTTTCGGAAGCAGCAATTTCGAAGTGCGGAATTTTCACATTTGAAATGAACTTTTCGTCAAAAAATTTCCTTCAAAAAAATTTCATAAAAGTGCTTACGTGTTCATAAAACCCCTAAAAACCAAAAGTACACGAATAAATCCCCCCTCATGCTTCCTAAATAGTCGTTGCCTTACCAAGCAATATTCGGAGACGGAAATTTTGGCAGGGACACGACTGAGCCGGCCGCAATGAGTGATTCTAGGGCAACCTCGAGCCGGAGGTTCATCGAAAAATCGACTAATCTCGGCGATAAGAAAACCGCACGCGACATAGGATCATCTGATGGAGTCAACATCGAATTTTGGCCTGCTTTGGATGCTTTTTAAAAAAAGAGGCGCTTGAAAGTTTAGCTCGAGTAATCAGTGATGAATCTTGATGTTCTTCTTATTCATTTTTACAGTAAAAAAAACAATAAGGCGAAATTTCTAGGAAAGGTTTAGTAAAGATTTTCCTCTATCTTTATCCTACCGTAGGAATTCTTAACTGGTTGCCCAATAAGAAAGAATAATAAAAATAAGCCCAGTAAAAAGAAGATCATCCTTTGTGAAAAATAACGAAAGAAAACGACGTTATGAATACGCAAAACAAAACTTTTCAATAATTTTTTTTTGATAATCGAATTGTTATGACTACAAGCATCGCCGACTCATAAAAATTTTGAGAGGAGAAAAAAATAATTTTCAGCTTTGTTAGCTTTCAATAATAGTCATTGTTATTACCGGAAAGGCGCCAGAATTTAACGAATATGAAAAACAGTAGTCAAGAGAGAATATAAAGAGAAAATGTCGAACCAACCTTATCTTGGGCCAGGAATGGATCTTTACTCTTTTTGAGGATTTTCAGCTTATTTTAAAGAAGTTCCTTCTGGGTCCTAGAATCCTATAAGATCCTATGTTGAAGGCCATAAAATGTGCAAACTAATTTGGCGAGAATTTCGCCAAGATCCTGACTTCCGGAATCCGTCAGAAGAAACATGCTCCGCTTATCATAGAAAATGGAACTCAGCTGCTTGTGGTGCTTGGCGATTCGTAAGCTCTCCCCACTTCAAGCTTCGAAAACCTTGTTTTATTCTAGAGTGAGCATTTTCCTGGCTGTTCAAGCGCGATTTCGACCAACTATGGACTCGTACTCTTTCTGGTTTTTCTGTTGTTCTTCATGAGATAGCTCAATAAAACATAATTTATCGCCGCTTTTGTTCAAAATTACAACTCAGAATAATCTCTTTTTGCCAATTCAGCATCCCCGGTACACGACTAAAGCTCTTAGCGCGGATCAGCCGTAGCCTTCTTTTCGGATTTTCGAAAATTTTTAAAAATCTGTTTTTTGAGGAAAGAATCTTTGATGATGGCCGGCAAAACCTGTTGAACTTGGCTGCTGAAATTAGTGGTTTATTTCTTGGTATGTTTGTTTTGATAATCCGGCCACGACGATTTGCATAGACCAAGTTAATAAGATGACGCGTAAAAATACGGGAAAACTACTATCCTACGTGTTCAAAATAAAATCTTCTTTCATCCGCCAATTTTTTGGAAAACGAAATTTCGTAGAAAAAGAGATGCCGAATTAATAATTTAAAAGTTTAATTTTATTTATATAATATAAAATTATATAATTTTATACTTTAAAATACATATTTTATTTTTATTTATTATAATTCAAATTTATAAATTTAAGAAATCTTGGCTTTTGAAGTTTTCGACTCAAAGTTGAATTTTTCTTATAAAAAGAAAATTGAACCGCGAATTGAATTTGCTTCCTAAAATTGGGAGCCATTTTCCCTCTCAAGTTTTTGGAAAGAGGCCGCTATCTCTTCTCGCTGGGTTAAATTATTACTTGATAAGATTGTGTCACCCACGTGTATTTGTGGTGGCGAGGACAAGATGTGGCAATTTGTTGGGCATTCTTTTGCGCGAATTCTTTCTCGGGCGTTATTACTTATTGACTTACACAGTAGACGTCAAAGTTATTTGTAAAGGTAGTTGTCTCATTTTGTTTTCTACATGAGTTTTCATGATAAATTAATTATCAATTATTATTTAAAATAATCGCCTTCAAAGATGTTTCTTCTGACTTTTTATTGTAAACTATAATGTTGACACCCTTATTTTCTTTAAAAACATAACCAAGAAGGAACCCTTATTTTTCGAAAAATTTTTTTCAAAGATATTTTTTTTGAAATTTCAAGTGGTAAAATTGCAAAGTGACGACAAAAAAATTGATAAATATTAAAATGAGCCTTCGGAGGAACTACAGGTAGATAATTTCTCAAAGCGAATTTTTATCAGAAAAAATAAGGGGGTAACGACCTACTCTTACAAGTCTAGAGAAACAAATTTCGTCAAAAAGATTGAGAAGAAATTTAAGTTTTTTCTCGTTTTTGATTGATGCATTGATGTTGAGAATTGGATACTTTGATCTATTCGAGGAGGAGGAGGAGGGGGATCGTTCCACGGGCTTTCAAATGCAGTGGCTCGTTAGAAAGCATTTCGCCGCTCCCCCGGATGACATTTGGCCTCGACTAATTAGGCGCCCTTGGCTCGCATAACTTTCCAACAAAATCTAACGACCGGTCAGAGAGCACCCTCTTTGCACTGAGCACATTTCTGTCCTCGTTATTAGCGCTCGTGTTTTTACTTACTGGATGTTCGAACTTTAGGACGAAAAGGAAGATTTTTCGCGCTGTTAAATTTCACGGAAAATTTTGCCTCGAAAATGAGCTCATCAATTTTACAAGCTCTCAATTTTTATAATCAAACTTGAACAACGACAGTAACAAGCCCTCCATTTTCAGGGCCGTTATGATTTCGCGGCTGGAATCCAAATTTTCCGAAATTCTGCGCAAATTACACGTTTTGCGCCTTTTACTTCTCCGAGACGTGTTCCGAGCGGCCTCACCGCGGTCAGCCGCATTTCATTCCGAATTTCCGAAAAAATTGAAGAGTTTCTGGGCAATCAAGCAATCTCAGCTCTCTAAACATAGCGAAAAATGAAAAGTTCTTTCGATGCGAAAAAAGGGAGGAGTTTTTGATAAGAAGCTTGAGAAAGAAAAAGAGTGCAAATTTGATGATCAGAAAAAAAACTGTGGTCTCCCGCAGTGAGCCATCTTATCAGCGAGAAAGCTAGCCGGCAGACCTTTGTGTCCTTGACTCGAAGCTTATGAGATAAGACCACTCTTTTTTCGGACAAGTTTTATCAAAAAAAAGGAGCGTAACGTTTTGACCCCCGAAAGCCACAAAAAGCCAGATCGAGCTTTGAAAAATTAACGAAACGGTTCTAAAAACAACCTGATTTTTTACCTCTTGCTTCTTTTTTTCATTACTACTTGTGGAACGTGCATGACACAGTTCCACGGAAGAAAACTTCTCAGGGGAATTTCTAATATTTTGAAAATTATGAGTACATCTCCGAGGGAGCGCTTCCGACTTCTGTTTTGGCGGTTTTTGAGTGCTGTAAAATCAACCACTTAGTGGTCTACCACTTTAAATTTGTATATACAATGCCAGCTCTATCATTTCTCAGCGTTTTTCACCTTTCGAATGCCCTTTCAAAAGGCACTTTCGAAGAAAATTCAAATGATGGTTTGTGTTTTATCCTCTTTCTGTAGGTTTATTTACAGGTTTATAGGTTTATTTATCAATATTGAAGCGGATGAAAGTACCGAGTCCACCTTCGCACTTCATCATTTGTCGCTCTCCATCCGCTTCGCTGGTAAGCTCCTGTCGATTGATGATACTTCCATTGAAGGGATGAATTCGCTCCACCACCGCCTTGAATGGAACTCCTCCATCTGAACCGAGTTTTAAACGTTCGCAAGTAGTTTCAAATTACCTTGATTCGACAACCAGAGATAGTAAGGGGCATCTACTCCTCCATTATCCCGAGAATTTTTGAATTGGAGCTTCCATCCAGCTTCCTCGATCTCCCAGTTTTGAGAAAACAAGAACTAAAAGTATTTTTTTTTTCACTAAAAACCGAAGGGGATAGAACCCTTACCTTCATATTGACTTTCTTCCAACCGCTCGACAAATAGAGAAGAACGAGCCGCAGATCTGCGTCCTCCATCGTCATTCGCACTCCACCAAAATTGGGCGCACGATCATCCCAAACGAAATGACCGAATCCCAAAACGGCAGTTCCAAATTCATACAAAGTTTGAGCATTTGACTCATTTTCTGCAGAGCTGAGGATCTGTAACGCGGGTACGTTGAGAATCATCTAAAAATATCGTGCTTTAGAAAATTTATCCATAAAAACTCTCTGTGGAAAAATTGTGGCAAGTTTCGCTTCTTACAGAATAAATTAGTAAATTGAAGGGTTAGATTAGAAGATGAGCGTGCCCCCATTTTCCCTTTTTCGCGAATCTCGAAACCTTATCTGGAATCTGGAAAGCGAATTTAAAAAACGACTTTCTTTGATTAGAGTTTTATTTGGTTTTCTAGAAGAATCAGCTTTAGTATTTTTGAGTAACATGCCCTTATAGATGTTACCTGCAGTAAAGAATTAAGAAGAAGAGTCGCACCAAAGTAGCGTTTTGTTCAGCAGAAACGGTTTCGCCGTCCAGCGCGTTGAGAAAATAGAAGCCGCTCGATTGCATCTTTTCTCAAGTGGCCACATTTTTCAGAAAATAGTAATTTCAGCGAAAAAAGCTGCTCCACAAAGCGGTAACATGTTTATTTTGGAGGTCACTTCGCTGGCTTAGATCAAAATACGAAAACGGGTGTGTTAGTGTTAATTCGTTCTCACGTCGGATTCTTGTGTAATCAAAATTGTAAAACTTGATTTTATAGAAAATACGAGCTGCTCAATAGATTACTCAAAATCGGGAAAAATGATCACTTTCTCAAAATCAAAATCAATTCTGATTAATCAAGAAGACCTTTTTGACCCAATTTAACGAAAAAATACCTCTTTGAAATCGTCATTTTCATGGATATTTTTCTGTTTCCAGTTTCTTGGGCTGTGCAATATCGTTTTGCTGTTATTTCGTCCGTCACTTGTGATATTTTTTTTTCATTTGGTATTTCGTCTTTTTCATAAATTCCTTCGCACGTGGGAATAGTAAAGCCCTACCCGTGGTCCATACTTTCGAGTGGGCCAGCCTAAGAAGGAATCCGCCCGAGCGTAAATAACTTTGGCCTGAAAAATATTTTCCGTTGAATAAATTTGCTTTGGCTTTTTAACACGTGGCTGCATATTGAAAAGGGGGGACTTTGCTTACCAAGAAAAAGCTGTATAATTGACTTGAAATGACTTCCCAAATCATCATTTTAGGATACAGATAAAAATAAAGCTCTAACAGGCGGGAAATTGTTTTTAGAGAAAATGGAACCCCCGGTAAGTGGGGATGAGTAATCCTGATCGGAATGATAACTTATCAGCTATCAGCTCATGAAGCCAGTAAACGTGGCATTTTTTCCTCTTGTAAGGGATATTTTGTATAAGCTTTTTAGCGATAACTCTGAGTTACAAAAAGCTAATTCGATAAATATTCGAGGGTTAACCGCTCACCTTGGCCACAACTACCAAACCAGCTAACACTACTATTGTACAAACAGTTTAGCCTCCACCACGTTATGCAAAATAAGGGGATCTTTCAGAGCCAATTATCTGCTTTTTTGGTCAAAAAAGGAGAAAAAAGTCGAAAAGGGAAAAGGGGTAGGAATCTTATCGACAGGAAGACCTTAAAATTCAAGATGAATATCTACTGCATTTGAAATTCTAAGTAGATAACTATCAAAAAGGCCAGATGTTCCGGAAGAGGGCGCTAAATGTAGAAGAACTTTATAAACGGTGTTGCATTAAAATTTTACTAATTAATGGAAGTGCATTTTCGGATGGCCAATAAGATTGCTGTATTTGGCCTACCGGCCAATCAAAACTCTTATCCATGAACTCACTTCCAAAAATTGGTTTAATGCCGAATTATTTAAAAAATGAAACAATTTGATTCCATTTTTCCTCTGTCATTACCTTGTTTTTGATCAAATAATTCTGCAAAAAATAAAAACAAGAATCCATTTCTCAAATTGCAACTTGAAATTTGAATGATCCGAAATAAGATATCTTTTTCTTGAACAAAAAAAACCTAAGAAACCTCAACTAATCGGTCATCAATGATCACTCATGACAAAAACAGAAAATTTAGGTGGACGGAAGAATTCGACATTGAATCGGGGGCACTCAGCTCAAGTTCCGTTTTCAGAAACCCTCGATTATCTCGAAGAGTTTTATCGCCTTGCCAAAATAAAGAAAAGTCGGAGAAAAAATGATCTTATTTAGCAATTTTTTGACCTCTTGAAGAAAACGAAAAAGAAGGTCGCCACGGCTGTCGAAAATCAAAGGGATGACGCAACTGGAAGGTTTGAGCTTGGCAGGGATCCTGAATTATACATGATTTGGTATCATTTGAATATAATCCACAGGGTCCATTTTCGACAGGGCGGTGTCACACTCACGACCTGCGATTTCAAGCCACGTCCAGCTAGAGGTTAAACCGATTTCCATTTTCATTTTTACGATTTTGCGATCTTGACCGGAACAAATACCGGTTGATCAAGAGTTAACCTTTTAATTTTTTTTTGATAAAAAAATTTTTTTAAAGAAAAGATAATTTTTTTTTGATAAAAAGAAGTGTTTATTTTTTTATTCTTTATCTCATGAATTTTTCTAAATCCTCTCGAAAGAAGCAAATCTAATCACGCATAAATTTCACGAAAAGTTGATGCGATAAGAGTATGATCGCACGTTGGGGCCGCTCGCTGCATAAAGGTCGCGCAAAACCATGCGCAACAGATGCCGGATAGGATTCTAGACAGATTTACATCTTCACTCTCCCAAAACTAGATAAACGGGGCTCAGTCGAAAAGACTTCCTTGACTTTTATCTTCATTTTTCAATATAGAAGAAGTTTGACTTAGAAGTTCATCTTTGAAATCATAATGAATCAACGAAACTGTATAAGAAAGAAATACTTTAATTTATCGCAATTTCGAACCACTTCTATAAAGCGACGAATCAGAATTCGCACGTTTTTTTTGGGTAAAATTATTGTTCAGTGCACAAGGCTTATAAAGGCTCCAAAAGGCTTATTTTTGATGTTATAAAAAAAGAGTTTTTAAACAGTACCACATTATTCATCAAAGTTTTTGAAGATTCTTACTTCGTTTTAGCCATTGATTGAACGATCAAGGGGTTCCGTTGTCCTTTAAGAAATTCTCTAGAAATAATCTTAGACACATTAACTAAAGTAAATTATATGAAAGTTTGAATTTTTCCTCTTCAAAACGTATTGATGGAAGTATGTTAGTTTAGTCAGGCTCTGGACATGAAGAAAAGAAGAAGTTAATCCGAATCAATTCAATATCTCATTCATCAGAGACAGTATCAGGTCAGAGCTTTATTCCACGCTAGCTTTTTTAGCCTGAGCTCGACCGGTCGAAAAAAGTCGAGCGCGAACGAGAGGGCGCTAGAATACGCGCGCCCGTAATTCCGAAGTGCGTTTTCACGATTTTTTCGACTCGTGAGCGCCCTCGCTACAGTTCCATCAAGTGCGACGACGACGAATACTACTTTGAAAGAATATTTCTCGACTCAGTCAAGATCGACTTAGGCTAGAGACGGGAATAACTCCGTTGGTGCAGAAAAAGCAAGAAAATTAGACGAAAGAATCAGGTAAAACAATAAAAAAAAAGCAAAATTTTTGAAGTGAAATCTTAATCGAAAATAAGATCAAGATAACAGTGGACGCGCTTTTTTTAAGGTTACTGTATTTATTTCTCCCACTTACTACTTTGAAGACCCAGATCACTATATATATTTTGAATCAGCAGATAATATCTAGAAACTTGACCGTAACCGATTCTCAAAAATCACTTTCGTTTACGATTCTAGAGCCGGAAATGTAAAAATCATAAACGAACGGTACCCAAAGAACCCCTAGACAATGGCATATCAAATTGAATCTTGTGTCATTTTTGAGTTGCCTGTGATAAAATAAAGGCTAGATAAGCTCTTTATAATCGATTCTAGAGGCGGGAATTTATAAAATTTGAAAATCGGAAGTTGCGTCATCACAAAAAAACAGGACTCACTCGCCTTAGCATCGACAGAGAGGTCATCTAGCCTTTATTTTATCACAAGCCATAGACTATGGGTTCTATGGGTACCGTTCGTTCATGATTTTTACATTTCCGGCTCTAGAATCGTAAACGGAAGTGATTTTTTAGAATCGGGTACGGTCACGTTTCTAGATATTTTCTGCTGATTCAAAATATATGTAGTGATCTGGGTCTTCAAAGGAGTAAGTGGGAGAAATAAATACAGTAACCTTAAAAAAAGCGCGTCAGTGAGTAATTCACCAATCTTGTTATCAATTTCTTAGATAGTATTTTTAGAAAATTTTCAACCGTCATTTATAAAAGAAAAACCAAATAAATATAAACATTAGAAACTTAATGGTTATTCCATCAAAATTTGTTTTAAAACAAATCTCATTTTTGTCGTTATTTTTTTTGAATAATGTCAATCCAAAGTATGACTATTGATAGATAACAAATAATCTTAAAGCGACCAATATAGATTCTTCAATAAATTCAATCGCTAAAGTTATTTAGTCTTCCTCCTTCTGAGAGAAAAAATCTTCAAACCGCGAACCCAAGAAACTTCACTAAAAGATGAAGCTCATTTCCATCGCAGCAATCATTGCCCCTTCGAGCATTTCCACTGCTCAAGAGAGCTCGAGTCTTGATCCTCGAACAAACCAACCCGATCGAAAAATCCGGGCTATTGGCGACAAGATTGCCCAGTGGACTCGTGAAAATCTCTGCAATGCTGAGGGAAAGTGCTTGCCAGCTGTGGACAAGCCCGAAGGAAATTGGGAACAGAGAATTGACAGAACGATTGAGAGACTCCAGGACAGATACCAAAAGTAAGCCGGAAATTGATTAATTCTTACTTGTCAAAATATGTTAATTATTGACAAACCACCCCCGTCAGCTTTTTTGAATTTGTGAAAAAAAACTCACGATGCTGAAAAATGAACATTTTCAATCAAAGCCGCCCTCCACATATGTTCAATATTTATAGATGGCGGTTGCCTCGATTTTGTGCTCGTAAAGAAAAGAAAATTCTCTGGCACGTGGCATCCGCCGAACTATTTTCGCAGCCCACCGCTATCACCGTACAAGTCCTTGATAAGCATCCACCCCACAAAAACATAACACCTACAAGAACTGAACCGAGCTGAGGGTTTTAATGAAAGGGATGCGTTTTTATCCCTTAGTTTTTAATTGCTGCTTCTGTTTGTCAAATTTCTTGTCATGTTTCTCCGAAAACCAGGGAGTAAGTTTTTCTTTCAGATGCGGAACCCCACCAGAAGGAGGAAGAAAACGAAGAAGTGCTGACAGTCGTTACAGTAAGTCAAAAAAAATATTCAATACAGTATAGACTCCTTTTCCCAGAGTTTTCGGGCTTGACCAATTTATGGAAGTACATTTTTGGATAACCAGTAAGATTGCTTTATTTGGCCTTCTGGCCAATCAAAACCCTGATCAATAAAATTACTTCCATAAATTTGTTTAACCCGAGTTTTCAAAAGATACAATGTGAGTACCATTTTGGGGGTTAAACCAATTTATGGAAGTGATTTAACGGATCAGGGTTTTGATTGGCAGGGTTTTGATTGGCAGGAAAATATAGCAATCTTATTGGTTATTCAAAAATGCACTTCCATAAATTGGTTTAGTCCCATTTAGGTATGTTGATTCGGGCAGAACCAATTTTTGGAACAGATTTTTATGCAAATGGTTTTGATTGGCCGGTAGGCCAAATACAGCAATCTTATTGGATTTCAAAAAATTCATTTCCAAAAATTTTTTTAGTCAGTTAATTCAGATTTCCCTAGCGAACCCTGATGATCCAATTACTAATCGTCTTATTTCTAACAATTGATTCGCCGACTGGAAGATATAAGAACGTGTTATCCGTTCCATTTGTCAAATAAATCGTCTGTTATCACGAGCGCGAAGGCGACCCTCTCTTTCGGCTTTATCTCATTCCCGCTTGTCTAAATTTCAAACCAAAAGTCCGCTTGGCCAAACACATACGTTTTTGTTCATTCAAAAATTTTACAATCAACATTTTTTTTTTCTTTAGCCGAAGAAGAACTGTACGACCTTTTGTACGAAGACCCCGAAGAAGAAACTGTATCAACAGGAATCACGCCTCGATTCAACAAAGATGATCCACTCAAAGGAATCAGCCAACTTTGCGCCTCAATCGCCAAATGGGTCGATGGTAAGTGCTCGTTTTCTAAAATAAGACAAGAGGAATTATTGCTGAAAAATTCCATTCTCACCACTGATGAGATTCCGGAGGAAATTCCAGAGCGAGTTTCAGAGATATACTTTTCTCGTAATCGCCTTCAAGAATTTTCGCAAAAAAAAAAGTTTGAAGCTTCAACTTTGATTCTGCAGTTTAAGGGTCTCAAAACGACGGCAAAAACTAATCCTTTTTTTAATTATCAAGTTCAATCTTTTCATGTTTATTTTTTCTAGCTTATCTTCCCCAGTGCAAGTCCAAGCATCGAAATTCTTACTCCAATGTCGCGCGAGTCAGGTAATTCCATGTCTCTTTTGAAAATATTTGCATCCGGCAATCACCTAGCCTGCGAATGACCAAGTGGCGATTTCTTTTGGAAAACAGCTACCAACGATTTCACAAAATGGAGGCCAGACCACTTCCGTCCGACTGGTCCAAATGGTATTAAATGAAAAATAAGGGAGTCATTTCACTAATGATACCAAATTCAAGGTTCGAGCGAAAAGCAAGAAAAGCCGCTGGCACACTCTAAATCTCCTTATAACAATTTTTACAAAGCCCAAATCTTTTACAATTCTTTCCATCCTGCTTAGTCAACGACCGACTGTAAATTATCCAATTCAACTCAACTGTAAATATTTCATCGAGCGCATTCATCATCAAAATTTGATCTCCCTCGATTCTTCCCAAGCGCTTTTTTGAGATTGCAATTTTGCCTTTTTGATTGGCCGAAAATCAATTTTTCAGCAGTTGAGAAATTTTTTAAATGCTATTTTTCAGGATGCAAGAAAAATTCTTTTTCAAATGTAGGGCGTAATTTAAATTAATTAAAAAAGGGAGACGGGTAATATAACGGAGTCAAGAAGAATGTGAATTTTGAGATGATGCCAAGTCAACACTAGAAAATTATCAACGATCCCAACGAAGCTTTTTAACATGCAAAAAACAGGACCCAATGCATATTAACCCACGCAAGAAAAAATGAAGAAGACATAAAAGCGAAGAATGTCACCTCGCTGTCTGAAAGACATCTACGAAAACTTTTCTGTACATAAATAAAATCTTATAATAACAAAACAATAACCATTATTTTTAGTTTTTTAATTACATGTTTATTTGCACAAGATTGATTTTTGAGTTGTTAGGTTGACTGATTTAGTAGATGTCTGAGGATGTTATGTCATTATCAGATGGAGGGATTCCAAGGTCGTCTTGGTTGTCTTCATAAGCCGATGACTCTTCCTTGATTTCAGGAGCAGGTTCAGCAGGAGCGGGTTCAACAGCGGGCTTTTCTTCTGGAGAAATTTCGACCTCAGGCTCGACTTCAGGATCGCCTGTTTCTGGAAGAGGAGACTCTGCAACGACTGGTACTTCCTCGACAATTTCAACAGCGGAATTCTCTGCTTCGACCTCTTCAATTTTTTCAGCTAGCTTTTCAACCTATATTTTTTTTAATTAATCGAGGTTCGAGTGTTTTTTACCTCCAGAACATTTGTTTCAGTTTCTTTGACTTCTTTTTCGTCTTGTTCTGATACGACAGGGCTTGGAGGATTTTCATCTAACTCGGTTCCATGATGGCTTTCGTCAGGTTTTCCCTCCAACTCCTCTTCTATCTTATCTTGCTCTAGAGGAATTTCGATCGCTGGTTCGTCAGGTATTTCGTCAATTTCTTTCGAAACTTCAATTTCGGGTGACTCTTCACTCTTCTTGTCTTCATCAGTTTCATGGTCACTTTCATCAGACTTGATGCTAGTTTCCTGTTTCTCTTCGAGAACATCGGCTGGTTCTGGAACCTCTTCTTTTGTTTCATCTTTTTCGGATAAATCATTTTCAGTTTTTACAGATTCCTCTGCAACGTCTTCTTCAATTACTTCGATATCTTCGACTGGAGATGCTTTTGTTTCGATTTCAGGTGATTCAGGCAAAGTTTCTTCAATTGAGGCGATGTCCGTCGGAGCAGCTGGAGGTGCAGCGAGCTCAGCTTCCTCTTCAATTATGATTTCGTCTTTCTTCGCTTCTTCAACTGGGGTTGTTTCAGCTACAGATTCTTCTGGTGATTCTTCGACTGAAGTTTCAACCTGGTCTTCATTTTTCTCTTCTTCAACAACTACCTCTTCACTTTCGATTTCGCCTTTCTTCGCTTCTTCAACTGGGGATGCTTCAGCTGGAGATTCAACTGATATTTCTTCGACTGAAGGTTCAATCGGGTCTTCGTTTATCTCTTCTTCAACAACGACCTCTTCAACAACGTCTTCGAGGGCTTCCTCGACTTTGATTTCTTCAGCTGCGATTTCTGGCTCTGGAGATTCAACTATGGGTTCATCGATTTGGACGTCTTCAGCATATTCTTCGATTGAAGTTTCAACTGGAGCAGGCTCAATATGATCAGTGAGGGCTTCACTGGCGGATGGGAGAACAGCTTGCTCTTCTTTTATGCTTTCCTCAGCAGGAGCTTCAACTGGGGTTTCTTCTGCCGCAGACTCAATTAAGATTTCATCAGTCGCTGCTTCTTCAGCGATTTTTTCGACTTGATCTTCAAGTGACTCGGGCTCGATAGATACAACTGGTGTTTCTACGATTGAAGCTACATCAGCTGGAGCTTTTTCGATCACGTCCTCAGTCGTTGCTTCAACAATTGGAGCTTCAACAAGATCATCAACTGTTTCATCTTTTGGAGCGGATTCAACAGCAGATTCAACAACTGTATCTTCAACAGCAGTAGCAACATCTTCAATCGGAGTCTCATCGATCTTTATTTCAGCGGGCTCCTCAGGAACGTCTTCTTCTATTTTTTCTTCAACTGCAGGAGCAATGTCATCGGTAATTGGAGTTTCTATAGCTTCGGTAACAGCTTCATTTATTTCTTCCATTTCAGACTCTATTTTTGCATCCAAAACTTCGACTTCAGCTGGTGTTTCCGTAACTTCCTGAGCTTTATCTTGTTCTTCAACAGCTGTGATATTTTCAATGATTGGCTCAGCAACAGGTACCTCATCAACTTCAACCTCATCTTCCACAACTTTCTCAATCTCAACTTCTTCGACAACGACGTCGACATCTTCGGTGACAACTTCTTCAATTTCAGCTTCCTTTACGGAAATAACTTCAACTTCTTCTGGAACAACATCGACCTCTTCAACACCTGCTTCAACAGCTTCTTCAACCTCAACTGGAGCTTCTTCGACGATATCGGCTTCTGGAATTCCAACAGGAACATCAGCTACATCCTCAATTATGCTTTCTGCCTCTGACTCAACATCAGGAACGATGTTTTCTTTCCTCATCACAAAGCTACCAGTTTCCCCGATAGGCTCTTCGGGCTCCTCTGTTTTCTGGGTCGGAGGCAATTCTTCGATTATTGAGGCGGAAGAAGTGCCTGATTGAAATAAAAATAATTCGTTTTTTTTCATTAATAATTTCTATAGGTTTGATTTTTATCATTCCTGAATCAACATTATTTTCATGTTGATGAAGATCATGTGTTTCTTTTGCCGGCAACTTTACAGGAGCCTGTCTTAAAAAAGGCTATATTTTTTGCCTCATTTTCTTTTATCAAAAAATCATCGACCCAAGAATAGCCTTTCCTGATTGTCTCTGGTTCTCTCACAGTATCTGATCTGCAGCTCTTACAATTTGCGTTCCCCATTTTTTCTCGTCAGAAAAATCGTTTTCGTCCTTTTCGAAATAAGAAAAAAATAGAATCGTATACAACGATATATAGCACGATCGTAAATATCGGTTCAGCGAAGGTTGTTGTCTCCGTAGCTCTAGTGGATCTCCTAATCTCTATGGGTTATTCGGGATCAGCGCTTTTATTGTTCCTATTTTCTCTTCCTCTGAAAAAGTTAAAAGATCTGGCACCCAGGGGCAGGAGCAGCCGAGTGGAAAATTATACGTAGATGAGAGTATATATGATAATCGACAGGCTTAAGAAAAAAAGGAAAAATAATTCGTATCTTTAATTTTTTATTTTAAAAATTGAACTTTTAAGTGAGGGGATAAAAAATGAAAGCAGCAGGATTTTTTTACCTTCGATTTTGGGAAATTAGTAAAGAAAAGAAAGGTCGATCAAGTTAGCCACCTTGACCTTCGTATAAATCTTCATTTATAGCGTGTCCTGCGCAGGTTCAACTTCATTACGTCCATGTTATGATTTTTTAACGGGCAGCACTCGCGACAAAAATCAATTTGAAAAAGACGACCTTGAATGACATTTCGAACCTTAGCTTTGATTTTTCAAACCGGATAATAAAATGAATATAACAACTCATTTATTGGATATTTTCGAGAAAGATTTTTGATTTGGGAGGTCTTCCATGATTTCAATTGCGATTTGGGAAATATTTTCTTTTGGAATTTTTGCATCTGTGGTCAATATTTATTTACAGTCTCAAATCGCCAAGTAATTCTTTGCAGTCGTCCCAAAGTCAACAATCTGGAGCCACGAGCGGGAGCGAGTTCTATTTGCTAATGCTTTATTTTCAAGTCAATAAAACGCTTGCAAAATCAGATCGCTTATCATTTTATTGCCCTATATCTAGGGTTTTTAAAGGCTGCTTAAATATGCTTCTTAATGTGAGGATGAGTAACATAAGAGGGAGTTTACGAAAGATTTGGCGGGTAAATGCAAGAAGTAAACAAATTCCTGACGTAGATACTGCTTGAATAAATATAAAACTCAATCGAGTCAGCGCGAGTTGTGTTTTACTTCCAACTGCAAAGAGCAGCCAAAGTCATATTTTAGAGAATACTGGGAAGATTTTGAGAGAGAAAAAGAACAGAAAGCTTAAAAGTAATGAGGGTAACCCTCGGCGCTGTTTTAGCTCTTGCTAAAAGCCAATGCGGCCCGCCGACAACTTCGTGCCCGAGTTTTTTTGTGGCCGCAAATGGAAATAGCAGAGGATATTCACAAATTGGACAAAAAAATCCAAAAACTGATTATATTTATCAACACACAGAAAAATCAAATTTTGAGGGATATACATCATTTGGTCATAATAGACTTCCTTCTGGTATATGTTTTCCAGAGATTTGTGATGGAACAAATGAAGAACACTGCCTTTCGATTCAAATATGGACGCCAAACGGCGGTAATATAAATACTTCTTATGGCTGGAGTCTTGATCAATTCCTGACACCACTATTTGAACCAACCTTGGTAGAGGATATTGACATCAGCCAGGTGATGACCAAGCGAATTTACTTCAATCTCAAGAATGAAATTAGCGATGATACATCCCAGACAACATCTCCCATAAGGGCAATTGAGCCTACAAAAGTAAAGATTCTTGCAATTTATCAATGTCTGAACCAAGCACCACAAGTTGATTATCTTCAATATGAGATTGGAATTGCTCAAGATTTTGCGATCTACCCCTCAAATCTTGACCCTCCTTCATTTGATGATGTCAGCGAATTTCAAGTCACAGAATGTCCAGAAATAACCGGAAAATTGGATCATCTTTCAAGTTGTGGCGATCCTAGCTTGTCAGAATATTGCGATTTTTCAAAGCCAAAAGAAATGGATGGCTTCATAAAAATCAAAGATTTCAAAAATATTTTCATCTACGACCCTGACGCGTGCAAGCCTGATAGCTGCACTTTACCTTCCGATATTTCATTCGCTGAAACTGAAGATGATACTTTTTTGTTGACAACGACACCTTGCGCAGACTCATCCGACATTTTCTGCCTTGAAGCCGCTGCTTATCAGAACAAACCTTCTGATTATGAAGCTAGGCCTTTTTACATAATTCAACTACTTGCGGAAAATGAAGGTCCCTGGCGAAGCGCGAACGGAACTAGAAAAAATTATGCGTCCAATGCTCGGTTCATGGTAACAGTTCTTGATGCCCCAGATCAAGCCCCTCGATTCAATGTTCCTCCAACTATTGTCTATTTTAAAGAGGGAAAATACCGCTCAGAAAAAAATCTCAATTATATAAGTCAAGATCGAAGCAGCACACAAAAATTATTGATTTCTTCTTCTGATCCAGATCTCGACTTGAGATGGGACGTGAAAATTGAACTCAATGAGCTACAGTCTACGACTGGAGATGATTTTAGTTCGAGTTTCGAGGTCGATTACGATACTGGAGCAGATAAACCAGCAGGAGAACAAAGCACTGTCTTCATCAAGCTTAAACAACGGCGAACTTCGTTCGGAATGCAACCCAGAATCGGATCCAGAAAACTGTCGTTCAACTAGTCCACGAATTTCGTATCTTGTTCTGAATGTTATTGCAAAGGAGAAAGTCCCAGAGGACTTCCGCAACGGATGCTCTGAAAATCAGCCGTGTAAGGGAATGCCTGCTTGTGCCTTCAGAGAAAATTATTATATGCAAGAACAGTCCTATGACATCATTGTTATTGTTCAGGATATAAATAACAACCCGCCGCGATTTTTCAATGGACAAACCAAGAAATTTCAAGCCGGAACTGGTCAACTGAAATGTTCTAGCTGCAGTGAGTACGGAAAAATCGAGGAAGAATATGCTGTCGGTACTGTTTTTACTGCGTACTCCTCCGGAAATGATCCGCAAAAAATAATCGTCACTGATATCGATGAAGAAGAAAATAATCGAAAATTTACCCTTTTCATCGACAGATTTAAATGTTCCAAGAATGGTGAATCCGTCAATTGTGCTGGGATTTTCTCGATGAATGGTGATTCAATTTACAGCGCTGAGCTGAATTCAATTGAAATAATTGCTAAGAATACAGTTAAATTTAGTGAAATTGATACAGTCAGACTTGACATCGACGCCTGTGACATAGGGCCAATGATGGATGGAGCTCCGCAATGCTCTACCCTTATTGTTAATTTGGAGATTACAGAAAAGACAAAGGCGATAGATAATTTTGGTAATCTCGATAAAAATCACGAAGACAGTTACGAAAAAAGTTCTTTGAAATCTCTTAAGAATAATGAAAAACTTGGAAATCGGAATTGTGGCCTTCCAACGGATAATTGTGCGTCATTTTTTCAAGCGTCTAATGGAAATACCAGGCAATACTCACAAATTGGTCAGAAAAATCCAAAAATTGATTACATTTATCAACATACAGAAAAGACAAATTTTGATGGATATACATCGTTTGGCTTTAATTTACCCGCTGGAATATGTTTTCCAGAGATTTGCGACGAAACAAATGACGAAAGGCAAGAACATTGCCTTTCGATAGAAATATGGACGCCGAACGGTGGTGAGATCAACACTGCTCAGGGCTGGAGTCTCGATCAATCCCTAACATCTCTATTCGAGCCAACTTTGGTTGAGAATATTGACATCAGCCAGGTGGTGACCAAGCGAATATATTTCAATCTCAAAAATGAAATTAACGATGATACTTCCCAGTCAGGAGCTCTCATAAAGCCAATCGAACCTACAAAAGTCAAGATTAGGGCTGCTTATCATTGCCTAAATCAAGCACCACAAGTTGATTCTCTTCAAGCCGGAATTGGAAATGCTCAAGATTTTGCGATCTATCCATCAAATCTTGACCCACCGTCCTTTGATGATGTCAGCGAATTCCAAGTCACTGAATGTCCAGTGATAAATGGAAAATTGGATCACCTTTCTAGTTGCTCAGACCCAGACGTCACGGAATATTGTAATTTTTCTACGGCCAAGACGCTTAATGGACAAATAACTATCAAAGAATTCCGAAATCTGTTCCCTAACAACCCTGAAGAATGCCAACCTGATCATTGCACAAGACCAACAGATATTGCGTTTTCGGATTCAAGTGATGATTCTTATGTCCTAACAACAAGTCCGTGTGATGACTCATCAGACATTTTCTGCAAGAAAGCATCTGCTTCACAAACCGAGCCAGCTGATTACGAAAGCAAACCATTTTATAACTACCAGCTTTTTGCAGAAAATGAAGGTCCTTGGCGAAGTTCGAATGGAACTAGAAAAAATTATGCATCAAACGCTCGGTTTATGGTTGAAGTTCTCGACGCTCCAGATCAAGCGCCGCGATTCAATGTTCCACCAGCGATGGTTTATTTCAAAGAGGGAAAATACCGCACTGAAGAAAGCCTAAATTACATTACAGAAGATCGAGATAGCTCAGAAAAGCTATTGATTTCTGCATCCGATCCTGACCTTGATTTAAAGTGGGAAGTACGAATTGAGCTCAGTGAACTAAAAACGACTGCTGGAGATGATTTTAGCACAAGTTTTGAGATCGACTACGGCACTGCAGCAGATGATCAACCGGCCGGTCCTGAAAGTGCTGTCTTCATAAAATTGAAAAACAATGGTGAATTCAATGCAGAATGCGACCCAGAAGCAGATCCTGGTAATTGCCGATCAAATTCTACTCGAGTTTCAAACCTCATTCTCAATGTCATTGCAAAAGAGAAAGTGCCAGCTGACTTCCGAAACGGATGTTCCCAAAATGAACCTTGCAAAGGCATGCCATCATGTGCATTCAACGAAGATTATTACATGCAAGAGCAGTCTTTCGACATTACTGTTTTCATCCAGGACATCAACAACAATCCCCCTCGATTTTTCAACGGACAAACGAGAAAGTTTGAAGCCGGACCTGGTCAGTTAAAATGCTCTTACTGCAGCGAGTTTGGAAAGCTTGAGGAAAAAAATGCCGTCGGTACTGTTCTTACTGCGTATTCCAATGGAAACGATCCTCATAGAATCATCATCACTGACATCGATGAAAGAGATGATAATCGAAAGTTCAAACTTTCAATCGACAAAACTAGCTGTTCAAAAAGCGACAATTCTGTCAGTTGCGCTAACAAGTTTTCAGTAGATACCGAAACTGTTTTCAATGCCCAACTTGATCCGTTGGAAGTAACTGTTGAAGAAGCACTTGCATTCAGCGAAATTGATACAGTCATGCTTGATATCAAAGCATGCGACGAAGGAACGATGATTGATGGCGCTTCGAAATGCTCTATTTTCACCGTCAACTTGGAAATTACAGAGAAAAACAAAGCACCAAGTGTTCTCGATGGTGATGGAGCAATGTTCGAATATGATTCTTCCGGAGATTATTTCGTAAAGACAATTGAAAATGAAAAGCCCGGATCTCAAAATCTTCAGCTGACATTTACAAATCAAAATAGTGTTCAGTTCAGGCATGTTTTCTTCTGCGACATCAAAAATTCTGACAACGCTGTTGGCATTTTCGAAGTCGTCAATGGCGATAAAAAGGGAACAAGTTGGGAAGATTTTGGAACTGATTACCTAAAAGAAGAGGGCAGTTTATCCCTGCAAATCAGGTAAGGAAAGAATCGCAATGAGAATGTTCTAAACAAATATCCGATGCGTTAGAGTCAGACTTATTTACGAGCATGAACATTGACATTTCGAGCAAATTGTAACTTGCGCAAATAAAGAAAAAAATTTACAATATTTGCTCGTTCTCTGTCTTTTTCGAGTCTTGTATTGAGGTGCGACTTTTAACAGCGACTTTTTAAGATTGCGTGAGGGGGAACAGTTGAATCGACAGGAAGCCAAGTCATACATTTATACAGTTCGCGCTTGTTCTCTTGATGGTGACGCAGATAGAAATACAGTCGAACAATGTTGCGTTCCAGCGGGTTCAGATACACGAGTAAGCTCAAGATTGAGCATTGTCATTTTTGACTCGAACATCAATGCACCTCTCTTTCAAATCTACAATGGCCTGGAAGGTAGCCCTGCGTACACGCTTCCTGCCGGATCGTGGAATGTTAAGGATGGATCAAATGGGCAATCTCCCAAAGTCTTCGATTTGTCGCAAATTCAAGACGACGATGATGACTATTTGAACACCAGAACTTGTTTCCGTATCAAAACTTCCAATTCTAGCCTTCTCGATGCTGCAGAATTCTTTCAGATTGACGCCATTTCCATTACAAAGAAAACTTTCAAGTCTCAAATTAAGATGAAAAGTACTGCCAAATTTATTGATGCCGATGGTGTCTCCAAGATCAAGAACAACCAAGAAATGATGGATGGTCAATTTCATTTCAACTTCGAATTCACCGTCCAAGGTATTTTGAAACGAACGACGACTTTCTTTTATATTTTTAGCTTGTAACATCGACTGCTCAAATGGAAACTGCGAGGATAGTGACAAGACAAATGCATTCCAATGCCCAGCTGACCTCGATGAAGCGACTGCAATTTGCTCCGATACAGAACAATCCAATGACAATTCTTTGATTTCCGATCCTACTGGAAACACGATGATCCGATTTGCCATTCAAGATGAAAATGAGCACTCTCCGGAAATCTTCATTCCGAAAGATAATGAAGGAGATCCGATGATAATGGAGATTTATGAAAAAATTGAGGATACTATTCAGCCAATCGACATCAGGTAAAAATACTTTCAGCCAGTCCACTAAAACTGTCTTCTCAGAACCCTTGATAAAGATCGATGCTATTTCAACTATGGTCGGATTCGATTTTCAACGCCTCAAGAGTCTCCTTTTTCTGTTGAAGGTGGCGATGTGTTCAATCCCGATGAAGACAAGGATGTTTGTGAGGGCTCTTCACTAACACCTGGAAATCTCGGTGCAAGCCCAATCATCACTCCGAAGCTCGAGAATGAGAGAAATCAACTCAGCTGGGACGGAATCTTGAATAGATGATTTCAAAAAACTTTTTGTGGGGCCGGAAATCGTAAAAAAACTGCAAGTGCAGTTTTCTTTAGCTCGTCAAGACGAGTCGAATGATGGGTCTAACTCCTGATAACTCTAAGGATTTACCGGTTTACCGGCTGGTTACCGGAAAATACGTTGTCACCGGCCGTTTTTGTTCTAGAAGTGGTAAACAGATGCTCGACCCAGGAAACTGTTCCTTATAGTCAGTTCTATTGCAGGCTAAAAGATGAAGGGTGTATCAACATTCTGAAGAGAGTTATCACCAAAAACAGTAATTTTTACTTATATTTTGTTGTTGCTGCACGTTCCTAATTTCCGGTCCCATTTTCGCCAAAAATAGAATTTTAGTGATAACTCTCTTCAGAGTATTGATACAATCTTCATCTTCTACCCTGCAGTAGAACTGACTATGAGGAACAAGTTCCGGGGTCAATCACCCGTTTATCACTTCTAGAACAAAAACGGCCGGTGACAACGTATTTTCCGGTAACCAGCCGGTAAACCGGTCAATCCTTAGAATTATCAGGAGTTAGACCCATCATTCGACTCGTCTTGACGAGCTGAAGAAAACTGCACTTGCAGTTTTTACGATTTCCGGCCCCAGAAAAGTTTTTGAAATCATCATAATGGACAGGATCATCTCGACAAGGAAGTCTTTTACGATCTGGTAATTCGAGCTACAGATGGAGGCCAACCTGGAGGCCAATCTGAGGAGATCGTGAAAGTTCTTGTCAAGGTTAAATTTTCGCCATTATAAATTTCTTCAAAGATTAAGGACATCAACGACCACGGTCCAACTTTCGCTGATCTTGACGAAAAAGATAGACAACTAACGATCAAAGAAGGAACTGGTTTCGACGCGCAATCATTTTGCGGCGCTATTGATAAAGATTCAAGAAAATGGTCAGCTGATGTCAACAAATATACCGTCCAGAACGTCAAGGTATGATCTTTTACGGTTTTTCCATACACTTATTTACAAAAATTAAGGGTTTCTACGAAGATGTCCAAAAATGCGGTCCCGGGCTTGCTGAAGAAGTTTCTTGTGATAATATCTTCTCCGTCACTGATAAAGCCGATAAACCACCAACTGGATGCTCTGACTGGGTCGCCGGTAGAATTGAAATGGGAATAACCGCGGAATACATCCCTGGTACAAATGAAAAGGGCTTGAACCGCGAAGAATATGATAAATTCACACTTGAAATCGATGTTTATGATGATGAGTGCAACTTGTTAGATGACTTCAGCAAATGTACCGTTGAATTTTGCCATGATCAGTGTGATGGAGTTCTTGATGAGAATCAAAGGGTAAGTTTTTCATTGAAAAGAGAAATCGTAATTTATCATCATGAAATTGTAGAACCTTCAGTCAACGGTAAGATAAATTTTCGAATCAGAAAACATCGCCAAAAAATGCTCGCTTTTCATCAAAAAAGATGATTTTTATATGAATTTGTACAGTATAAAAATCTTTGTTTTAGGAGTTTCTCTCGAAAGTAAGTTGCCAAGACTTTTTATCAAAAAAAAATACTAATATGGAAATACTTACAGACATTTCAAGAGGAGAGAAATGTGCCAGAATATTTTTTATTAAAAACTGCATGCCTATTTTTTTCGTTTTATTTTAGACTACTTCTCAAATCTCAATTTTTTCTAGCTTCTGCTGACAGTTAATGTCGAAGATGTCAACGACAATGGCCCTCTCATCGCTCCATTTAAAACTGCTCATTATGTTCTCGCAGGAACAACTGAAGCAGGCAAAGATATCACCCCACAAATCGAGGTCTCCGACGCAGATGGTGATGAAACTAATCGAAGAAGCAGAATCAAGAAAATTTCCGAAACCTACATCTGCGGTTCCAGCGCTTCTCAATGTCAAAACAACAAGGACTTTTTCCAAGTTACAGCTGATCCAGAAGACCCGATGAAATTCAACCTCAAGACCTTGAAGCAAATCCCGGATATCAAGAGCAACAATTTCTTTGCTGTAGCAACAATCACAGGTTTCTCTTCTTTCGAGTCTCAAATCTAGCTCTTGTTTAGTCGAGGTGGCAAACGAAGCTCCTCTTTATGAAAATTACGATTGCGCATATGTCGAAAAATATCCCGATTTTTTCAAATCGAAGTGCAAAGTTGAAAACGGACAGTCTGTCATTTACAACTCTCTTCCGATCGTCGTGACTGTTCTTGATGAGGAGCATGTTGGACTTGTGACGTCAACAAAAGAAGATGACTGGGATAATGAAGCGCTCACAAATAAATTCAAAGGAGAAATGAACGATCTTTTCGAGAGCATTCTTCCCAGGAAAAATGCATGTGATTGCGTAAGTTTGTGATTCTTGATCTTATTTCATCCTTCATTTTCAGTACTATGACTACAGTACTGAGCTTTACAAAGTCGAGACCCAAAATCGCCCTGATCCACTTGCTCCTGAAGATGATCCAAAAGTCGAATACTACACAGAAATCAATTTTTACGTCGTTAAATCATCAAATCAGAGCAAATCTTGCAGTGTTCCAATTTCAAGCTGCAACTTCACTGATTCCCTGCGTGCAGGGGAAGAAAACAGAGACCTTCTCACTTCATTCGATATTGCATTTGTTCTTAATGATGTTGAAGCTCATAATACTCTCAAAGCAGAGCCCTACAACATCAGGGTTAGTAAAGGCTTTATTTCAAGCATCCATCATATTTTTAGGTGAGCTGCAATATGCAAAAACTCGAAGAATGCGAAGAAGTCATCGAAGAGGACAAATGGGGCGATAAAGAATGGCTTATCCTTGTGATTGCCATTGGAGGAGGTCTTTCTGTTCTTTGCGCTGGAATTATTGTCTGCATGTGCTGCATGCGAAAACGATATGCGGTAAGAAGGTGTTTGAATAACAAGTATTTATCTTTTTCAGCGAAAATTGCAATCAGAAAGAGCGATGAAATACGACATGGATGATATGTCCAGCAAAGGTGCTTACAATGAGTCACAAGCTTACCAGGCATCGGGCGAGCAGCACAAGAATCAGCTGGTTGGACAAGAAGGAATGATCAATATTGTAAGACCCAAGCAAAAGCGAAAATAATAGATTTTAAGGCTCTGGAATACGATGATGAAGATCAACAATCATCATTCGGCAGTAGCGATGGCCGAGCATCATTCAATAGCGATTTCGACATTGAAGAACATTTGAATGAGCCGAAGGAGATCTATGTTGATTCTGACGCCGAGGATGCTAAAGGTACCCTTGAACTTGTCCTTCTTAGATTGACCTTTTCAGGACCAAATTTGAACGCTCTGATCGCTGGACAGTCAAGCGCGATGTCTGCCAATCCGCTTGCGGGACAAGATCTTGATAATGTTTCTTACGAAAACTTTTAAACTATCCGTAGTCGATTTGTACTCTGTTCATTCTTATTAATAAATTGACATTTATAATTTATACTGTATAAATATGTATAAATTATACATATTTATTGAATACATTTGCTGTCTCAAAACTGCACAAGCAAGGTTTGCTCGAAAATATTCTTCATTCTCAGCATTATTTTGCATTTGTGATACAAATTCATGTTTCCTCCAGCGCTGGCTTTTCCTTCTACGCACGTGACTCCGCCAGAGTCCTCTTCATCTGTTGGATCTGGGCCATAACCGGATTTCGGGCAGTTGAAAATTGTATTTTGTTGGTAGCGATTGAGAAGTTTTATCGCTTTTCGAAGGGCATCGATATTGGATGAGGAGGGTTTTATGGTGTTTTGCAGGATATCGTGCATTATCTTCAATTCTATAATAAAAAATTCATCTATTTTTTCATCCGGAATGAGTTTTACCTTCATAAAGTCTAGGATTGAGCCGCTGGCTAGTTTTGCCACAGGCTCTTTTGACTTTTTTCATCATATCATCTTCTGCGTCCTTTAAGGTTTTCGTCAAGCGATCGAATCTAAAGTTCCGTTTTTAACCTGTTGAATCGTAAAGCCTCACTTGACGAGATCCGCCCTCGCAACAACCCAAAACAATTTATTGATCCTCTTTGTCACTTCTGAAATTATATCATCGCCGAGTTCTTCAACCGACTGCGGGAGTATTCCAAAGCTTGTGCGGGTGAAACCTTCTTGGGGTTCACAGGTTTTTGTGGAAGTATTGTAGATTGCATGTTCTTCGCTGCATTGGACCGTTGGATCGTTGCATGATTCTCTGACTGGTATTGTTGGTCCGATTTTGAGATCAAAATGCGTGGACGTTGAATCTGCAGCCTTTGTAATCGACGAGAAAAGTCTAATTGACTGATAAGATCACCTAAAAGCTTAGGAAATAACCTGTATTTTCTAGTGCGCTGGCCGTTTTTGCACTCGCTCCAGTTAGTTTTCCACTCTTTTCGATTGTTTTCTGGCTCGATACAGTTTCCGAAAAAGTCGAGCTAAAATATGATAACATCGGAATAATTGTCGTTCGCCTACAGTTTTATTCAAAGCACAAGAGAATCTTGATGTTTCACTTGCTGTAATCTCTCTGAATTTCGATGAACCGAGCATGGAGCTAAGCCAATCAGAATTTTCGAGGATCGATGTGTACAATCCTGGGTACCCTTCGAAGCAATCATTAAATTAGCGGCAAAATAATCATTTACGATTTTCGATCGCTTCCTTCAAAGGCACAGCCAACTCCCCGACTTGTCAAACCAACCATCGTGGCTTTCCCGTCGACATTGCAAATCAGCGGCCCTCCTGAATCACCTTTGCATGTGTCTGTCCCTGCATCAGTCAGTCCATTTCCATTCTTATCCGGCGCTCCGGCGCAGATATCATCTTCGTAAAACGGCATCGGATAACTGTATCTGTAGCAGTAGTATTTGCTGAAAATATTGAGCCCAACTGAATGAAGCTCATCAGGAGTCTTGCCAGCGTAGGATAGTTCGCCCCACCCAGCGGTCCAGCAAGCTTCGGTTCCCAAAGTTCTTGTGCCTTTTTGGATAGAAAAAAAGCTTCAAAGCAGAAAAATAAACAGCAATTGCAAATTCCTACCCAATCCTGCAAAACAAACAGTCTGAATTGAACCAGGAGTCTTTTCGTTTCCATAAATATCGTCAAATTCTATCAGTCCCATGTCTCAAAATTTCTATAAGAAACAAACTTGAACGAGTCAATTTCACCTCGATTGAGCCCGACATAATCAGGGTGAATATGAAAAATAGTCGACTCGAGCGAAAATTCATCTTCTTCATTTTCGGCTATGCTAACATCGGCGAAAGTGGCGACGACTTTCGTGGCGAAATACAGGCAGTGACCTGCAGTAAGAACATATTTGTTCGAAACGATCGTTCCCCCGCAAGTTAGGGTTCCAAATCTTGAATCTTCTATTGCAAGTCTAACCAGCCACGGCCAAGAACTGGGGTTTGCTGGCTCTCCTCCTGCGATTCTAGCGATTACAGGATCCGTGCAAGATTCTAGTCCTTCTTCTATCTGATCGGTTGTCTCTTGAAATTCTAGCGCGTTTATAAAAGAGACTACGGTGAAAAAAGCAACAAGCATGATTCTTTGTGTGAAAAAGAAACAAGTCGAAAATAAAAAGGAAAGTCAGAGCCCATTTTTCGCGATGATAATTGCTCGTAAAAGGGTGGCAAACACCTTGATAGCATCACTTTCGCTCTGGATAATTATTACGCAGCGCGTTAATTTATTTGATATTGACAGGTTTATGCGAAAATGGCAATGTAAGCATTTTTTTCGTGGGAAAAGAACGAACTTTGTGAAATAAACAAAATTAAGCTGCTTTTTGATCATTTATTTTGGCATTTTTATTTTTCACTTATTACGGCAATTTTTGTCAGAAAGATGTCACTACTCCAGAATCTTCTGATCCGACGCTTGTTCGCTGCTCCTTGAGTCCGGCAAGTTCTTGTCGGTTTTTGGCGATTTGGCTGAAATAGAAAACCTTTTTAAAGAACGTTGACAATCGGGAGTTCTAGCATGCAATTAGTCAAACCTGCTGTCGAGATCTTTGAGAATCATTCTGCAGCGGAGAAAGGTTGAGATTTCGATGTTTCCGCGTTTTTCCGCAATGTCAAGTGGTGTTTCTCCCCAAGTATCTTTCGCGTTCAAATTCATCTTCAAAATCCATTTGAAACGAAAAAGAAGGAGCTCATTACCTCGCAGACGTCAACAAGATATTTGACAATTCGCATATTTTCCTCAGCTACCGCAATGTGCAGAATCGTCTGTCCGATCACATTTCGAACATCAATATCCGCTCCGTTTGAAAAGTGTCGACGGAGCATCTCCAAATCTCCCGTCATTGCCGCTTGAAGAATCGAGTTTTTCTCCAAGTCCTTGAAGTCACTGATATGGCCTCTTGGGTCGATTTTTGCCGCATTGTTGTCGCTGAAAATGTTAAAAGAGGGGCCTTTGATCGAGTTTCCTACCTATCAAATTGATGCAGGTTGACTTTCTTGAGCAATTTTTCCATAAAGAGCAGCCCTCGTGATGAATTTCCAAGCTTGTCTAGCCTTGGCGAATAAAGACAAATCGCCATGACATTTGGAATCACGACGAGAATCGATCCAGACACGCCCGATTTCGCAGGCAATCCAATTTTATAAGCGAACTGCCCAGAGTAGTCATACATGCCGCAAGAAAGCATAAGGCTGAGAGTATGCTGGACACTGACATCGTCCAGAACTTCTTCCCCGGTAATCGGGCAGACTCCTCCGTTCGCCAAAGTTCCAGCCATGATGCAATGCGCTGAGCATTTTGTTTCAATCGAGCAGAGTTGGAAGTAAAATTCCAAGATGGTTTTCAAGCAGCTGCCTTTTGGGAAGCAGTCGTTTTCCTTCATATAGTAGCCAAGGGCAAAGTTTCGGTCGGCGACAGATTTTTCCGAAAGATAAACAGAATTGTTGAAACCGACATAAGTTCCGCCAGAAAGCTTGCGAAAGATGTTCATCATGTACTCGAATCGATCGGCTAAATAATTTTTCTTTATCAAATCAAAGTTCAGATTTTTTTACCCAAATTTAACTCTGGCTTGACGAGGGAAGAAGTGACAATAGCTCCGGCATTAATCATCGGATTGTGCGGCTTATTATTATCATCAAGGCAGATTTCATTGAAGCCTTCTCCGGACGGCTCGGCTGAGACGTATTCTTGAACGTAATCGCTTCCGTAGAGGTCGAGGGCCATGGCATAAGTGAAGGGCTTTGAAGTCGATTGAATCGTATAAATCTGAAATAAGCAATTTTCTCATGAAATCAAGGAAGACTTTTCTTACCTTCTCAAAATCACCCAGATTGAATCGTTGTCCATCAACAGTACAAACAGACAGTCCCCACAAGTCCGGGTCGACTCTCGCGAGCTGGGGGATGTAATCAGCAGCTTTGCCATCCTTACAATCACGGACGTCCTCGAAGACTTCTTCCACGAGCTTTTTGAACTCCTTGAATGAAGGGATGATCAACTTGCCAGAGAAAGCCTTCACGATCAGTGGCTCGATGGTCGGATCGAGGACGGAAAGAAACGCCTCGAAGTTCAGCTGTTTTTTCTCTTGGAGCTCTTTCACTCGCTTCAAAAAGGGAGCAAGGCGGGGATCATCGTTGAGAATTCCAAAGTCGTTGAGGGTTTTGACGAACTTGGAGAGGTTCAAAGATCCCTTTTCAGTCTTGAAGATTTCGAAAATTTTCTCAAGTGTATTTTTGTTTTCCATATTCATTGTTTGATAGAGTTTGAGGAGGAGAGGCAGATTTTATACCGAGGGAGAGAAGTTTTATGATGGTCAATCAACGATGGGAGTAGAGATTACGAATTGAGCGACGAATTGATTTTGGCAATAAAATATGTCAAGCGGAAGTCGAATTGTGTTTTATTGGAGGGAGGAACTAGATTTCATCATGATAAGGCAAACGACCATGGTTCCTATGTAGAATATATAAGTGAAGTCTTGTTGTGTCTTCTAGACTATAGGAAAGTAGTAAAAAGGTGGGGGAAGCCAATTTATAGACTATAAATTATAAAGATAGTGAAGATTTCTCGCGGCTAAAATGTTGCCTACAGGCTGTAGCCTACAGCCTAAAGGGAATTCGATTTCATCTGCCATTAAAAATCAAATAGATCTTGATAACAACAAACTCGAAGTTCGAGTTACTCGAACAATTCTTACAAAATTGAATAATCATGCCAATCATATTTATTTGACTTTGACTCAGTGAAATTCAAGAGTCCACAAGAATTCATCTTCGTCATGTCCGTTCATCTCCCCCAGATATAAATAATCAACATGTTCTTGTGCTTGCACATATAAATTTGTGTACGAATGTGCATGAACTGCGCGAATTCTCCAGAAAAAACACATTCCAGGCGCTTCTTCATCGCAGTATTTTTCGAATTTCCAGATTTCTTCTGTGTTCTGTGCTCCGGCCGAGTCTTTGTGGAAAATTTCGTCGCGTATGTTTCCTCCCTTTGTATAAGCTACAACTCCTCTACCATCGAAAGCATGCGTGTTAATAAAATATTCATCATTGAACGTTTCATTTTCCCAAAAATTTGGAGTCAACCATAACAAGTGTTCATCAGCACTCAAAGTAAGATACTGGTATTTACCAGTATTCCCTCCTTTCGTGAAAATTTTGGATTCATAATCATCAGGATGCACAGCGGGGCCGCAATTGATATATTTCTAAAGATTTTTAAAAAACTTTCCGAAAGGCCCAACGGACTTGATACTTGACATTTTTCAAAGATAAACCGGTGAAACATTTGTAACCAGCTCCAATATCGAAGCAGAATCCGTTTGGACATTCCTTACATGTATCTGAAACGGTCGTTGTGGTAGTTGTCGTTGTGGTAGTTGTAGTAGTGGTAGTTGTAGTCGTAGTAGTTGTAGTCGTTGTCGATGTGGTTGTCTCGTTTCGACAAATAGGATTGGGACAATCAACACAGCCCGCAGGACAGTCTTCCCCACATGGACAGGACGAAAGACAAACTTATTCATAAAATAACTGAAGGCTTGTCCTTACTTACGGCTGTATTCTCTCTCACAAATTGATAGGCAATAGTCCGTCTCACATAAAAATTGACAGTACCCAAAATCAACTCGGCACAGATGCCTGCACTCTTGATAGAGTTCCTCGTCCCTTAATTTTTATCTACACTTGTATTTCCGCAAAATTACCAACAAACATCTCTCCGCAGAAATCACAAAAAGTTTTATAAAAATACATAATAGCATCATGCAAACTGACTTCAATAGACTGCAAGTGAGAAAGTATAAGCGAAACGGAAACAGATTTCATTCTTCTCAAAGCGGGTAACATAACGTTTAATTGGTCAATTTTATTTACAAGGGGCATGATCAGAAGTTATCAGCTTGATATCTTATCGATTTCTGTCCATCATCTCTATTGTAGCTTGGAATGTACTGTAATTGGCTTGCAGCTCTTGGTGGCGTATACGGAGGAACAATTCCTACTGGTCGATTTCCGTATCTTCCTGAGCGATAACCTGAATTTATTCTTACATGAAACGAGCAACAAGCTTACAATCATCATCGTCATGATCAGAAACAGTAAATTGATCACTGTATGTCGAATTTCTGCTTGGATCCATTTGCGGAAGAACAAACTTTGCTTGTGGCTCGTCGAGTTCGTCTTCTCCTTCATAAGGGTCATCTTCCGCAGGTCTAGCAAGGCGCTTTCGGCCGCGTTTCCTTGGTCGCTTTTGGTTAAAATCTTGGTCCTCTAGAATTTGCTTCTGTATTCGAGCGGCGTGACTGTCTCTTTGGTCGCTTGTTATGAGTTTTTTACCAATTTTTTTTGATAGAATTAATGAAAATGAAACTCATCCCTATTTTGGCTGAAATCAGCTATAGAAATATCCGACGGTGGATTTAATTGATCCCATTCTCTAGCATAATCATCAGTGTACCCTTTTTCTGGCGGTGGAATTTCCAACGACTCAGATTCTCGCTTGGAATCCTCCTTTTTCCGCCTCAGGAAACAGAGACAGGTGCAGATAGCAGTTCCAATCGCCAGTATCGCCACAAGCATTGCAACAATAAAGAGTCCAATACTAAGTTGCGATTTTTCCGGCTCCTCGAGGATGAGAATGTTGAGACTCTTCGAGATTGCTTCAGATTGGTAGATTCTACTGACGACACGAAGGCGCACATGGACTTCTTTGACTTGACGTAGGTCTTCGTGAGAGTAATATTTTGAAAGATTGACTGCGATTTTTTTCTTTCCTGACAAAATTTCTTCTTCAATGATTCCATTTTTCTCGCTCAGCTGTGGCAAATTTATTTCGATCAGAAATTTCGTTATGTAATATCTTCCCATTTCAAGAATGTCCGGCTCTTCCCATGAAATCAACAACGACGTATTTGTGTCATGAAAATTGAGCTGTAATTTCTTTGCGGTTATTCGTTGAAAATCATTTGAAGCTGTTGGTTTGATCAGAAGAATGGTAGAAGCGAAGATCCCATTCTCTTCCGCCAGCTGTTGAGATTGGATTTGTTTCTTGCGGATGATCCCGCGAGAAGTTATGAATTGTAGTTCGCCCCGAGGCGTGTGTTCTTCGAAGGCGGGGATGATGGCGATTTGGTGGGATATTTTCGGGTCAATTTTTGAGCTCTTCAGGAATTTTTTGCAGTAAAGTGTGTCCAAAATTCGGGTTGACTTTTTATCAGTTATGAAAAAGGGATCTATTGGTAATTTGATCTAATCGGAAAGCTGTAAATCTTAACTCGATCCTTGTCGCCCCCATAAACGATCAGAAAAACACAGTTGTCTGGGCAAAAACTAGGGCGGAATGAAATCAATTCATCCACATTCAAATCTTGAAGCTTAATGTTCATCAAGTCTCTCTGCATCGTTTCGTTGCTCTTCAACAAGACATCGACTTGTTTCGTTATTACATTCGCTTTGCCAGGTTTTCTCGGAATAAGAACACATTCCCAGCGACCGAGGACTTTTTGAATGTTGTCAGGGCCGAGGGAGCCAAAGTTGATTCTTGAGAAGGTTTCGGATTCCGAGTTCCGAGATTCGGAATGAGTGATCATCTTTTCAACCTCTTTTTCGGTGATTTCACTCTCATGAGGACTCTTCCATTGGATTGATTTCGCATTGACCCCTAAAAATTCAATTTAATTATTTTAAAAATATTTTTAGCACTTCATTTGCAAAGGATGCATCAATAATTATAAGTTATTTTTCGCATTAACATTACTTTTAACTTCAAAAAAATGAGCCTTGATAACAAATTACGGTCTTTTCTTTACCTGAGCAAGTAACACCGCATAGATGAACATTACAAACCGAGTCCTTGTCCAAACTGATACCGACGTATTTCTGAACATTGGCGCCCCTTATTTCATACTGGCTCGGTACAGTCAATGTCGCTTCTAATAAATGTTCATTTTCCTCATTTGGGCCATCGTAAACGACTGTGCAAAGATATTTCCCCGCGTTTTGCTCGTTGATTCTTTTGATCTCAAGTTTATTCAGTGAATTTGACCTCGTCCAGATCCAGTTTGCCGTCAGTCTGTCGTTTCTACGCGCTCTGTCTGACAGACTCTGAGCTTCAAAGTAGATCTTCGCGACTCCATCCTTCACCCTCTCTCTTTTGCTAAAGGCGACTATCTTTGGATCTTCATTCTTCGGATAAAATTCCCAACTAATCACTTTCGCACCAGCACCGCCGCAGGAGAAGCTGGCATCTGCGCCTTCGTACTTAGTTTGTGAAAGGGGTTTGACAACTTCGATGTTTTCATAAACAGTTTGAACACACTGGCTTGGAGTTTCTCCAAGATGATTTATCGCCCAGCAACGGTAGACTCCGGAGTCCGAGAGCTTGATTTTTCTAGAGAAGCTTATAAGAGACGATAACTTCAAGATTCTCTGAGACTTATCGAAAATTTCATACTTTTATTGTTGTGACATAATTTACACAGTGTAGTCTACTGTATAGTGCCCGTATGTGAATTCCTAACTAAGCTAGAAATGTTAAAATTTTACCATTACAAAATATTTCAATCATAAGAAGCTATTCCTGAAATTGATCGTACTTCGCACCGTCCGTTCATTTTCATTAACATGTGTATTGTTAGGTCCTTCCCACTTTTTACACCCTTGTTCGTTTCTCTGTGGATCGCTCTTTTTCTCATCACTTTCACATTTTTCCCAGTAAATTTCTGGCAGTGGCTCGCCTCTAACAACAGAGATTCCAAAACTGTTTCAAGAGATTAATGTTCATCATCTTAAAATCTCCGTTCCTGAATTCACAGCTCAGCGAAGCCCTTGAATTCACTCTCTTTTCCGGGCAAATGAGAAGATCGAAAATCTTTGGCTTCGACTCCACCAGGATTTTTACCCTTTCAGAGAATTTACTGAATAACTGAGAGCCAACTCTAGCTCTTGCTTCGCACCCGTATAGTCCGGTATCTTCAAGCTTTACAGATCGAATTGTCAAAATGGATTTTCCTTGGACTTTCCGCGGGCGGTGATTGTCAATTGCTTTGTCGTTTCTGTACCAGCTGATTTCCGGCTCCGGCTCTCCAAGAGGCGCTTTACATTCGAGCTCGATTTCCTTTCCTACTTTTGTCGTGAAAAGAGCATCTTCTGAATAAGGCGAGCGGATTCGCGCGTCGATTTGGAACTTGTCGTCTAGATGAGGAACGGCAATATGATATTCCATTATTGAAACTTCCGATGACGAATCTGACTTCGAAAAACAAGTGAAATTGCCCTGGAGACTGTGTTTCATGAAAATATCGAGTTCCGAGTAGCCATTTTTCGCCGAACCGCCTTTGAGCGTCAATCTTCTCGTAATATCATCTTCGTCGACTTGAACTTCTTGCGAGTTGTGCTTCCATGTCTTTTCCCAGGTCTCATCGCAGACAGACTCTCCGCAGGAACAAAACAGTGAGAATTTTTCATCTTCTGAAAAGAAGCATTTCATGCTCTGATGATTCGGGATTTGGTGGCAGTGTTCGTTGAGCTCATCGTTCAGAATAGCTGGGGAATGGGGATCAGCAGAGGAAGATTGCAAGGAGAGGAAAAATATGACTTTGAGAAGCTTTTATAATGACAGACTTGACCGACAGACTCTTTAAATTCGTCAAAAATCATAATGTTATTTTCTTGAAGTTGTTTTTATATTAATCTCCTTCCATATAGGTTTGTTAAAAATAAATTTATGTCGTAAAACCCTAAAGTTATCCCTGTTCGTAGTTGAGGTATTTTATAATGAAGAAAATAGTCATATCTTTGAGCTTTTCCTTTGAATAGAAACTTCATCTTAGTGCTTGATCTTCTGTTTCAGAATCATTTTCCCTTCCTTGATATCAAATTGTTCTTTTCTGTTTCAGCAGATAATCTCTCTATTTCCTACTTTTTCGCCCTTGCTCTTGAGCTTTTTATTTGGCCTCGCGCCCGATTTGTAATCATAAAGGCATAAAACTACAGCTTGAGTACGTCCTTCAGCTTATTGGCTCGTCTTGATTCTAGCTCAACATTCAAAAAAAAAATTCAGAAATTGCTTCGAGATTCGTTTCTCTTTTTTTTCTTTCTTTGGGCACACATGACAAAAAAAGCTGATCTTGAGGCTTTTGGCAAACATTTGCGTAGTAGTGATATGACCAAGAGCAAAGCTTGGATCAAAAGGGGCCCTTTTCAAATACGATTGAGATCGCCCACCAAAACATGACGCTAGAATTCAAAACTTAATTGATCGTGGTTACAATATTTCAACAATACTAAAGCGAAAAAAAATTTTTTAAACTATTGGAAATTTATATATATGGTTTTGAAAGCAATGGAAAGATAGCTCATTTTTTATTAAATGTATCCATCAGAATAATCAAACGAGTATTTTCTTGGTGGCTGAAACTCCTTCATTTCTTCTTCATAGTTTTCTTCCGGGTCAAATTTTTCATTAGGTATCATAATTTTCGGCAGACAGATTAAAATGATAGCTAAGGTAAGGATTTCTTCAAAAGTTTTTTTAAGATTTGCATTCTAGTGTTTTCTTCTTCAAAGAAGAACTCTAACCCTAACCCTAGCCATATTAAATCCTTTCCCTGTAGGTATCATAATGAAAGCTTCTGACCAAATGAGATACAGTGCCCAGCCAAAGTCCCATTGCATAATGTAACAGTAAATACAAGAGTTTCTTATTGCTTGTGCATCCCAAGACTTTTTGATCTCCACTGCGAAAATGACAGTTGTAACAGATATAAGAGCAAATCCAAGGAGCATGAAAATGGAAGAAATTCGGATGAGGCGTTTGAATGTCTCCACGGGCAGACGGAAAAAAGTAAGCGTCGAAAAATTGAGAATAATGAAGGAAATGAACATAAAAGAGACTGAAAGTACTCCAAGAACTCTGTTGATGATGACACTTGCTGGATGATTGTTCAAAGACGTGAGAGAATTGACATCACAGGCTTCCATTCCAGGCGAGTTTTGTGAGCAATATCGCTAGAATACAATTTTATAGCACTGAAAAATGGCTATTTTGTGAATTTTCTGACAGCTTCAAGGACAGCGCATATTTACTGTATTACGACCCGAAGTACTAATAAAAGAAAACTTGCTTGACTCACCCAAATTCCCATGGATGCTTTTGTCTTTCCGCCTTGAAAATTGTCGAAATCGCTCATTACGGCCCATTTGTTCGAAATCATCGCGAATAATGCTCCTAAGGTCATCCCTTTCTTCCGTTTTTCAATGATAAAAATCATAAAAAGACCTTTTTTCTTGTATTTTTTGCCTTCAAAAACTTTCCTGCGAATAAAATATTCAGGACGATAAATTTCCACATTAAAATTTTCTTCTTTTTCTTCTCTAGAATTTTCTCTCTGCCAGAAGTTTGTATAATTCTGTTTCATTCTTTAGCTTTTACTTCCAATAAAGAGCGTTTTTAGAACCTTCACGTGTGCCAAGATCAATTTTTCAGACGAAACTAAAATTTTAATGCTCTGGACATTATGCTCTTTCGAAGTGGATAGGTCCATGTTGATTTTTCGAAATTCATTAGTTCATCGTGATTCGGTTCTGTTTTATTTGTAGATTGTTCAGTGGAGATTTACAGTACCAAGGTAGCCTGTCGGGTCTGTATGCAATGAGCTGTTATAAGAAATGAGCATTTACGACTTTACTCTCATAATTTTCATTAGGATCTCCAGCTTGCTTCGACGATTTCCTCGATTTTCTTATCGTATTCGGCTCTGTTTTCAGTAAAGAGCTGAGCAGCCAAGGTATTCGCAGGCGAGTTCGGATTCGGTTCATCGAGAAGATTTCGAATCGAAGTCTGAACTTCAGACTGTCTGAAGCATGGCTGTTGATTTCGAGTCCTTTGGTTTTACCCTGCAGTTTTTTCCGGGCAACCCGCAGATTTTTCTACGGGTTACTCGCGCGGAGACCCGTGCGAGTAAATCGAGTAAATGGGTAAAGGATAATCGCGAGCTACTCGCGAAAATTTCGACTAGAAAGAAGAAAATTTGCTCGTCTGATTGGCTCGACAAAAAGGGTTGCGGGTAATCGCGAGCTACTCGGCGGAAAGGAGAAAACAAGTAACGCGGGTAGCCCGTGAAAAGACTCTCCGTGCGAGTAACTCGCTGAAAAATCTGCGGGTTGCCCGGAAAAAAATGCCGGGTAAAACCAAAGGACTCGAAATCAACAGCCATGATCTGAAGACTAATTCATTTTCTAAAAAATGTTGATTACCAAAATTGAAGACACATCGTAATTTGAAGACCAGTTCTCTTCCAAGATATCAAGAGAAATTGAGCCATTAGCAAACACATTTGGGTGAAAAACTTTTGAAGTGAATTTCACTTCCGGCGCTTTATTCGGATACTCTTCTGTGAAATAGAGAATCAGATGAAAGGTTCCTCCTTCAAAGGCTGTATTCTCAGGGCCGAAAATGACACCATTCCAGAAAAGCAAGTTCTCTTCCGTGGGAACGGCGTCAACACCAGTTGGTGGGTCTTCTTTTAGACGTCTTAAATCACGAAGAAGACGTCTTCGAGCGGGAGAAGAACTGTCTTCTTCGTCAAAAAAATGCAAATGTTTTTCGTTGCCGAAACCGCTGTAGTGGCTCATATTGCGGAATGAATTTTTCTTTGCCAAAGAAATGAATACCTCTAAACGGAAGTGTTTTTAAAAGTAAACATCAACACCTTTTTTACTTATTCTATCCTATTGTATAAATTTAAAGTAGTTTCATCAATTTATTTCTTCACCGACGAATTGTTTGCTTTATTGCCATTCTGACTTCCAATGCCGATCATTATCCAAATTTGCTTTTCTCCGAATTTCCGCCCGCCCTAAAGCTATTTTATAACAACAAGAGAATCTCACTTTTATCATCGATTTTTCAACCCTTTCAGGTTCAAGTTGGTGCGTCATCGTTCAATATCGCCCACAGCATTTTTTGGTCCTCGCCAAAAAGTTAACCTGACTTTTCCTTTTTTACTACGAGAACGAGAAAAAAACAATAAGAAAAAAAATGATGGTCAAGAACAATAAAAAATATTGAGCGGCTCACCTTTTTGAGTGCGTAACAATAAACCAACGAAACTGAAAGAGAGACAAAATAAACCGAGATTTGAAGATTAGGACTTGAGAATCAGAGAAGAAATGAAGAAAGATGGGGGAGTGTGGGCTTGGGCGACAGTTTTGGCTATGTTTTTGGTTTATTTTCTGGCAGGGATTTTTGAAGGAAAATTAATTTTTCGACATTTTTCTGAAGTTTCAATAAAAATTCCGAAAAAGGTCTTTGGATTTTGCCGATCTTTCTCCGTGCTTCTTGGGCCAATGCAAAGTTTCTACGACTTATCAGCTGTGACGGTCAACTACATCCCTGGAATCTTCTCGATCGGCATCATCGTCGGAGGGCTTGTTGGGTCACCGATTTTGGCAAAGCTTGGGAATAGAAGAACTGTGGTCGTTAGTGGCGTTTTGGTGGGTTTGATGCATGTGATGCTTTACTTTGTTCGGCTTTTCTCGTGAGTTGTGAATTTATTGCAAGAATTCAATAATTACGTTTGTATGATTTCAGTGTGGCCCTTATTTCGTTCTTCATCATTTCCGTCATGTTTGTTACGGTTTCAATATTTTATCAACAAAGACGATTTTAAAATTTCGGCAACAATCTAATGAATAAAAATTGAGTTACTCAAAAAAATTTTATTTTTAATATTTATAAATAATCATAAAAAAATAAGGAGATTATGGTTTTCTGATTTTGAAGCCCTGCTGAAAGGACTTCTTTTTATGGCCGCGCTAAATCAAATTGCAGTTTATTGGGAAGCCAAAAGAACGATGGCAACTCAAATTGGATCATGTGGTACCTCAGTTGGCATGCTTTTATTTCCCCTAATAATTGCATGGCTTCTGGAAACATTCACTGTCCCAGGTATGCACTCCTTTCACCTCTTTTTCGGATAACATCATATCCGATCTGTTTTTAACTCGTGCAAGCTTTATTACTTTTTAGGGTACTATTTGATCCTTGGTGGAATCTATTTAAACCTCCTCATTGCTGGAGCCCTCATGCATACACCAAAGTCAAAAGAGGCCAAAATCATCGCCGAGAAAAAGGAAGAAAAACTCATTGCAAACCAAGAAGAGATGGAAGAAAACCAGACAACTGCTCAATTTGACAGGAAAAGCTCAAAGACGCACATCTTTACAAAAATTATCAGAATGCCGAGCTGAAAAACAGTAAGATCTTCTCCCTCCCTGAGTTGTACCTGTACTTGCTCGCTCAAGCGATCCTGAATGGTGGATATTTTGCTGGAGTCCTCTATGTCTCCCCCTTTTCCCAAAGTGCTTATTCCCTGACTCCAGTTACTGCTGCATCGATGATTACTATCATGGGCGCTTCCGAACTCGCCTGCAGGTAGATTTTCGTTAAAAATTTTTCAGAATCAATAATCTTTAGAATCCCGATCGGGATTTTATCAGATAGGGACTGGATGAATCGTCATTATTTCCTCTGCTTCAATTGCCTCAACTTGTCCCTATCATTCTTTCTACTACCTCTTATGCCTTCAAATATTCATTTTGCCTTCGTTTGTATCTATTCTGGAGCTTTTCAAGGTATTTCCCCTCTAGTTAAATTACGATACGATGAATCTTAGGTGGCTGGGGAGGACTTTCTTTTGTAACACTGTCCGATTTCCTGAAAGTGGTGAAGCTGGAGGGCCAATTAATGAGCTGTGTTGGATTGAGCACTGCTTTTAATGGAATCAGCTGTATGATTGTAAGCGAATCCAACCGTGAGCGTTATCTTGAAAATCATCCTTTTAAGGTGTCTGTTGGAATGGGTCAAATTGTCCAGTCAACCGGTAGCTACATTCTGCCTTTCTACATCGGTGGAGCTATGGTCGCCTTAGCTGGATTGCTTTCTGGTCTCATTGGAATCATTTCTTCAAGAAGAACAGCGAATGGATTGTAAAAAGAAGATGCGTTGCTTTTAGTGGCTGTCTTTTGTGCATCACTGTTTATTTTAAAATTTAAATAAATGAAGGATAATTGAAAACTCATAGAAATTGGATTATGATGTCTAATAATGGCGAAGGGTATCATCCGTGTTAGTATAGTGGTGAGTATTCCCGCCTGTCACGCGGGCGACCGGGGTTCGATTCCCCGACACGGAGTAATTTTTTGGAATTTTTAACTGTCAAAGTATGATCATAGGATGATTTCAGGAATAAATTTCAGACCATTTGTGGAGATTTACAAAAATCTCAATATCTTGTGTGCTAATTTATTCAATTGTCTTGATTTAATTTCATGTACAGATGTCTCATCTTTAGGGGGTCCACCGTGGGAAAATTCGGTAAAACTAAACCCTTCTGAACATGAAAAGTAATTGATGAAATAAGTTCGATCAATACTGAGGATCATTTTTCTCCATTACGACCATATAGAAAAATCCCTTTTTCATCCCTAAAATTTGAATTTTAGGCTAGAGCTAGCACAAATTTGCGATTTAAAAAAATCTTCCAAAAGATTCAAATGAGAAACCATTCTCATCTTAATCTACGCGAAAAATGCTATCTAATGGTACAAAAATCAGGTGGGGCACTCTGGGGCAAAAAATTCTAGAGCCAATTCTTTCTCTAAAAACCACCTCTCTATGAAAATCGAGGTGATCGATTCCCGACGATGACACTTTTTTCATCACCATTTTTCGATGATAATTTGCTCATTTGAATAAAATATAAATCATGTGCCATCAATGACTCATCTTTGTCCTCCGGAGGACTCCATTGATGGAAGAATGTTGCTGGAAGAACCAAATTTTTAATTTTTTTAACAAAATCATCGATCATTAATATCAAAAGTTAAGTCATGTGACACTGTCAAAGAGGTCCTCCGGAGGAATCTTTGCTTGAAGACATTTACTGGAAGACAAAAATTTACTTGGAACACCTTTTGGGGTGTACGGAGTATTCAGGTACACCCTTACGACTGCTCGATTTTGGTACCCCGCACCCATAGAGAGTGACCGCAGAAATGTAAGAGGGTTGTGAGAGAACATGCCGGTGTGGCCTCCCCTTCGGGTCGGCTTGGTCCCGTCGATGATTGAATTGAATATGATGGTGTGGCCTTCCCTCGGGTCGGCTTGGCCCCGTCCGTGACTTAATTGATTGCGTCTTGTTCTGTTTTTTCCAAGGCCTTCCAGCCTCGGCACTATGGTCCGTGTTAAGAGCCCTCCCTTGTCTTTAGAGGCCTTCCAGCCTTGACGCCTTGGTCCGTGTTAAGAGCCCTCCCTTGTCTTTAGAGGCCTTCCAGCCTTGACTCTTTGGTCCGTGTTTGTTCCCCAAGAGGCTTGCTCCCTAAAGAAGCTTCCTATGCTAGCCAAGAATGAACCAGGGGATCATCCTTCGAAGGCATGAGGGGGTGACGACTCAAGCTGTTGCTTTGCGAGCCGCCGTCGGTGGTGCACAGATAGCTGCTGCTTATCTAAAAGCTCTCGGAACTATGCCATCAAAGGAGCTTTTACCACAGACACCCTTGCGGGAGCTATGTGAGCACGATTATTGTTTTTTCACGAAAATTGAAGCGAATTTACTGATTTTTGCTGTTATGGCTTTCTATTTGGGTGTTCTAGAAAAAAAATGTTCATTTTTTTAAATTCACAAAATTCTGATTATTAAGTAGTAACTTCTTTGCGTGTTCGATGAAACTTGCAATAAATTCACTTGGGCACAAAATTGCCTCAGGGCATTGCCCTCAGGGGATCATATTAAGAATTAGAAAAAAAGGAAAAAAATCCAAAATTGGACAAATAATAACAAGTTTTTATTGAATAAAAAACAGTAGTAGAAGAGTTTTATCAGTGAAATTTACGATTTTCGAATTTTTAATTTTTTCACTCTGATGGATCAAGATTGATCCGGATGAAGTTTTTATACCGATTTTAATGATCAGTGATCATCAGCGATCAATTTCATGCATGAAAGCCCTAATAAAAATCAGCTTTCAGAAAAATCATATTTTGACCTCAGTTGACCTCATGTGACCTCTTATGACCCCGAGTCATATGTTAAAATGATCAGTGGATCATAAGCTTTCCATTGATGTATCATTCATCTCTATAAGAGGATGCTAAAAAATCGATTTTCCCACGGTGGACCCCCTACTCATCTTAGATGTTAATTAGCATATGTCAAATTTGATCAAAAATTATGGCTTCGATATTTGGAGAAGAGAAATCCAGAAAAAATTTCTCATTTCCATATCTTAGTCGTGTACTCATCGAAAATCTTGGCATTCGGGGAAGAAAGCTCGACGGGAATCCAGTCCAAATTCAGAATATCTACATAAACAAATGTGCTTCTTTCACTCATGCTTCCTGCGAATGGATAGCTTATTGTCTCGAGTAGCAAGTTTCCATCGATAGAGAAAGCATCGATATCGGACATGAAGGTAATTGAATTCATCATCAAATACTGTTGCTTCGCATTGAATGGGAAGAATATTTCGTCGAGCTTGATCCAAATGCCCTGAATTTTTCCTCCCTTGTTCGATCTTGATTACAAGAGATTGACTTACAGAGTAGAGACGATGAATATTTATCCATCTTTTGATTAGCAGATCGTTGATCCCAACTGTGATCATGAGAATTCCTTGATCATCTATAATAAGTTCTCCAAAGGCTTGATAAAATCTTTTCGAACGAGGCATATTTTTTGGTATTGTATAAAAAGAAGACATCCATGGAGACTTTCCGTCGTTTGATTTCTGATAAGAGTCGATTCTCAAATGGTCGGAAACGAAATTAAAGACGGCCTAAAAATAGTTCTTTTTCTTGTTTTTTTTAATGACATACGAAATAACCATCGTGGGTAGTAAAGCCTTTCACCGAATTTTTCAACTGAAGGTCTCCGAAAGCAAACGTCTTGGCAGGCTTTCGAAAAGCTGTTCGTTTGAATTTACTCGAGTAAGCAACATAGCAAACATCCGGATCAGAGTCAACCCCGCAGGCGAAAATGCTCATTTCATTCCCAACACCGACTTTTCCGGCACCGGTGATAAAATATCCGGTATTGAAGTAAAATGGCTCACTAACAGCTATTTGCATTTTGAGCTCAATGTTGTCTTCGTTGACTTGATGAACATACGCAAAGGGCGCTCTTCTTTTATATTGAAAGAGTAAGTGTTTCCCTTGCATGAATATTATTTGGAACGTTTCGTAAGTGTCGTAATTGAAGGTCTTTATTCTAGTTCCGACAATTTTTCTCGAGTCTTTGTTGAATTCGATCAGTAGAACATGTCGATAACTAGAATTTAAATTGAGGCAACTGAAGGAAAAAGTGTTTAGCCCTACGGTAGGGTCCGGAAAGGTAGGGCCCCTACCTTTCAGCCAATTCAAACGTAGCATATCCATACTTGTAAGTCGTTTCATATCTTGATGTTTGAAGAACTATTGGCGTTTCTGTTTTATAAATATTCTTCTTACAGCGAAAGTTCCGACAAGGGCATCCGTCGGGGCAATTTTTCTCATACGGGCAATCTTCTTTCCTTGACAATTCGGATGCACTTGAGCATATAGCGTTGCATTCATGAAAGTTTCTAAAAGAACCAGTTTCGCAGAGAACTTCGCATAGTTTCTTATCCTTTTTCGCGTTAAAAAGGCACATGTTTCGAATGGCTACATTTTCCTTTTCGCTGAAGCTTTCGGGAACGGATTGTTTGATCGAAACCTTTTTGGTAATTTTTGGCATTTTGAAGAGTTTGAAATCATCATGATAGGGGTTCCCACAATTATTAAGCGCTTTGGTGCATTCGCCGAAATCCGCGACTTTGATGCATTTTTTGTACTCGACAACGCAAGCGGACCCAAAACTCGGCTTGAATTTTGTTCTTTCGAAATTCAGGACATTCGAGATGACCATTATTGAAATCCAGAAAGTGCTTCCAAGGCTCAAATAAGTTAACCTCTGCCTCCAAGTGCTGTTGCCGTGCTTTTTCATGCGAAAAACGCTTTTCCTTCGCTTTTCTCTCTTTTCTTGAAAATTGAGTTCGAAATCCTCTCCATTTTTTATCAAGAAAAGTTTATTTCTCGCAGTCTCGAATTCTGGTAGTTTGTAAATTTTTCCTTTAGCGCGACAATAGTAGCATTCAACATTCATAACAATTCTTCAATAATTATTATCTCAAAAAAGAGTACCGTATACCCAAAAAAACGAGAAATTAACGAAGACATGAGGAAATGTCAGAGTCTAAAAATTGTCATTTTCGACGATTCAACAGTTCAGAAACCCGCTTTCCAAGCTTTGAACCTGAAGAACCTTCACCTGCCATTTCAGACCTTGACAGTTGGAAATCTACTCGCCAGAAACTCAGCATCTTTACTATTTTTTCTCAGCAACTAGTACTTCTTAGCATCTTCATTATTTTTGTAAGAGAATAGCGCAAAAACTGTCATCAAAGAGAGAAAAAAGCGTCAAATTTAAAATGAAAAAGGTTGTATGTTTTCATTGCCATTCAAAGATTAGGATAGAAATATTTTTCAATACAAGAAGATATTGATTTTAAACAGATATTTCTTAATTATTAAAAATTTTATTATTATTGATAATAGATAAATATATTAGTGGACCCCAATTTTGTGGACATTTTCTTCATTTTAAGGGGTTTTTGTGGGACATTTTTCCAAGGGTAATGTTCCACTTTTGTGGACATTTGTTCAGCTGAGAAAATTTAAGAAGAAGAAAAAAGGTGTTTTTTTTTTAAATCAGGAGTTTTTTTCAAAGAAATCAATGGCTTTTACAGTTTAATTTACCAAAAATAGTAAAAAAGGCAAAAAATAAGCGTATCAATGATGAAATTTGGCATTTTTCGAAGAAAAATTTATCGAAGAAAAAAATTTAAGGCCCTACCCCGTAGGGCCAACGGCGGGACATTTTTTGGAGACTTTTGCCCACTTTTGTGGACATTTTTTCGAAAATTTGGGACAAAAAATGTCCACAAAAGAGGAAAATAACTGTAATTATGAATAAATAAAAAACATATTTTATCATTTTTTAATTTATTTTCATACAAAATATTTTTTCTATCCCTGTTAATAGGGACGAATCTACAAAATAAAAAGATACGATTCTGAAAAAGCAAAATATTATCTCATCGAATCCGGCGACCATATTGGCGACAACTTTCAAGAAAAACGAGGAGTAAAACGCCGAAAAAGTATCTTTCGAATGAAAAAGCACGGAAATAGTACTTGGCGACAAAAGATAACTTATTTGACCCTCGGAAGTCTTTTCTGGATCTCGGTTATGATGATTTCCAACTATTTGAGCTTGGAAAGATCGAGATTCAAGCCAAGCTTTGGTTCTGCCTGCGTCGTTGAATACAAAAAGTGCATTAAAAAGGTCCAATTCGGAAAATGCACAAGACCTGTTTTCAACTGCGGAAATCCATACAGCGCTGATTACAAATATTTCCGAATGCCTCGAATCTTTCAAAAACGGCTTGCCAAAAAGGTCATCCCTGAAATTTTCTCCCCAAAAGAAAATAAGGCGATCAGAAACATGTGCATTTATAACGCGAAAACGGACCATAAACTTTGCGAAGCACTTTGCCAGGAAGATACTCGGAATTTGGTACAATTCAAGGAATGCCGGGAGATTTGCCGGATTGCATCTGATCTTTTAAAAGAGAAGATTGCCCATTTGAGAAAAATTGTCCAAATGGCTGCCCATGTCCGAAATTTAAATGCATCAAAAATGTTTACAGAACAGAAACTCCGATGATTATTCAAACTTCAAACTTTACGCAGGGGTAGATTAATTTCTCCTTATTGAAAGTTTATCTACAGTTTATGTTTGACTTCTTCTTCGCCAAGGATAAATGAACACTAATATGTGTACCCTTAAATTTCAGTAAAAGACCTTCCTCTTTCTCCTGGCAGCAAAATTTCTACACAAAAGATGAAAGGTTTTTTGGTTTAATTATTTTCTATTATCATTGATAATTAATCAACGAAAAAATCAAGTTATAGATACTTAATGATCATGAATTTTGATGAAAAATCAGAGAAGATCTTTGGCCATTCTTTGAAAACGTTTGAAGACAATGGTGCTTCAGAGAAACTAGAAATAATCTTCATGGAAGGAAAGAGCTATCTTTTCAAATACAGACATGAAGAGCAATATGCGTACATTCATCGGTTCGACAATGAAACAATCAAGCTAGACAGGAAGCTTTGGGTCAAACAACCTTTCGATGTTGAACACGGATTATTCGTCACTGGAGCGGGTCTGATGGACAAGGAAATGACCTTTTTTGCGTGCGGTGTCCAGCATGAGCCTGATATCTGCTATTTTGCCGATAAAAGGCAGTTCCATCGAATCCCTCAGCGAAAGCCGATGAAGACTTTCACTCATTTTGGAACATCTGTTCTCAGAAATGCAATAAAAGGCATCACGACCCTCGATGGTCATTTTGTAAGTACAAACATATACCCAGAGAAACCTCATATTGCAAATAAGGGCGTCTTCAATTTTGTGTCAGATCATTTGAGAGTCGACTTTTACGAAAAGAAAAGAATTGGAGACTCGCCTTGGAAATCTTCTGTAAATATTATCGACTTGTCTTTTTTTTCGTCAAAGATTTTTAGTACTATTCACTACCGAATGATATTCCCTTCTCAAAAGAGTATTATCAAGCATTCGTCGAAGTGATCGAAAACAATCAAGGATTCCTACTGATCACGGTCGGCATTAATTTTTTGAACGTCAAAAGATTCATCAATATTCATCGTTTGTACAATGTACTTTTCTTTATTTATGGGCCATAAATTATGGCACAATTTAAAAACCATAAATTTAGGGTCACTGGATTAAGCTCGATGAAATTATGTATGAATACAGCGAGAAAGAAATCAGTTCTATCAACAAGTATTTGATGGAGCCGTTGGTTAACTTCCATGGGTTTCAAATGGACGGAAATCTTCTTCTTGAACACGTCGAAGCAGTAATTGATGATGGACAGATTTATACATCGTACGCCGTCAGAAGCCAGTTCATATACGTTGATCTATCTAATATGAAACTGACACCAGTTGAGCTAGTCGCCAGAAATACGACAATGTTCGAAATTTATACAACCCAATTATGGAATTGAACCACATTTGTATTTTTATTGCCCTTTATATTTGGTGGAATCTGAGAGAATAAATAACAACATATATTTTTCAAATTAAATTCATTATAAATCATGATTCATGATATTCGAACATTGCGGCGGAAAATTGAAAAATTTGGTTACAAATATAAAATTTATTCATTCTGTACATTACAGTAAAATTGAATAAATCAACTCTCATTCGCAATTGAAATCTATGTTAATTTCTGAGGGAGAATTTCTCACCCCTCAGAATGACCGAAAGTCAGCACTAAAATTAAGGAGGGGGCACGCTGATAATGACAAATACACTAAGCATGTCCTTTTAACTACAGAAGGTCTGTAGGCTCTACAATTTAGAGCACGTTTTATTTTAGGTACAGTTATCACGCCCAGATTTTGTGGAAAGCACCCCTGATGAGTATAAGAAGATCAAGACGACCAAAAAATTGGGCAAAATTAACGGTTTTCGCGGCTCACGCAAGCCCTTTCGCTGCTCATTCATATGCAATCAAAGGATTTTAAAACTGAGACTTAATTTGAATGTCGTCGATAATAATGCTTTATTTGAGTTCATTGAATTTCAATTATGTTATTGAATATAAGGAGAACAGGTTAAAAAAGTCGCATGTGCCTTCTGATCATGTAAATTTCGAGAAGTTGTCGTCGTCTGAGGAATTCAGCTTCGATTTTTCGCTGGTGTATTTTTCTGTCTTGACTTGAATTGTTGACTGCGGCAGAGAGAGCGACGGAGAGAAGTGCAAAGATGAAGAAAACTTTCATCGTCGATGCGTAATCGTGGGACCTATCGATGGACGAGGGCTTCAAAATATGATGCGATTGACTTTGGGGATGGGGGGTTTTATGTTCTTCCAAAGAGCACTGGAACGTAGCTTCGCGATTGAGCTTGGGCGCCCTTGTCTATCGTCTCAAAGACAAAGGATGCTCAGCATTGTTTTTTCTGCATTTCTGAGGTTTTGTCAGGAAATTCGATTTTCACTCTTACATAAAAATTTTAAGATACATTTTTACGAATAATAACATAAAATATATTAATAACTACGGCATTTTTCAAACAAAAGATTTTTTATCACAAAACATGTTTTTATTAAATAAAATCTAACTTGCTAAAGATCAAAGGGCCTGCGGAAGGTTTTTAAAATGGTGAAGTCATATTTCTATATCAGTTTCTACCTTTATATCATCAGGTACATTTATCATATACAGTCATGTAGTCGAATTCGATATTTTAGAAATAAAAAAAAATTAACGAATATTTTTACAAAGAACAACTTTAATTTATTCAGCAAACAGGGCTTATCTCACAGGGATTTGTAGGATCTTCAATGGAACACTCCTGAATTTGGCACGAGACGGATAGCTGGTTTCCGTCTCCTCCCGTGAACGAGAACGCTCGAAAAGCGAATCTGACTTCCTCCGCATCTGGGATAGCAAGCTGCCCATCTAGCGCTCTATTTGGGCATCGGTCGGAAATGAAAGAATATTCTCGGCCTGTCTCTTCATCTACGACGGCACATGACTGAAATATTATTCAAGAAAAAGAGAATCAATCAGAAGGATAAAAATATTTTCTGAACCGGTTTTTGTCTTGATGGAATCATTTCTATATCCTGTCTGGGATCAGATGATGGTCTGTTTCAGATCCGGTCTCTGGCTATTCAATTCACAACACAGTGACGTCTATCCGCAAGGTGAAAGCTGCCGGATTTCGAAGGATTCCACTGTCAAAGCATCTAAATCTTACCTCTATCATGAAATATATTCCATCGATAGGATTGACAGCACGAACAGAGCCGTAGATCATTTCACCAACCTCCATCCTGCAAATGATTTGAATCCAGCTTCACGGAAAAAATAATCCTATTTTCGTATGTCAAATCAGTCCTTAGCTCTGTTTCTTCACTATAGTCATCGCTTTTGAAAATTTTGACATCAGTGAGAAATTCGTTTGGAGTCACCTGAGGTCGGCCTAACGAAAATACGCTCTTTAATAAGGATTTCTTTTTTCCCGAAAATCACATTTTATGAGAGAGGCGATTTAGAGGAAACAAGATAGATCTAGGGGAAAATCCTTTCTTGAGTTGAATTCCAAATGGTTCTGGTTCGGTTTCATTAACAACTCTGTAAGTATTCGTTGCCGATGCTGTTGCATTGAAGAAACAATCAACTTGGGCCGCGATTTTTTTGTGAATGATGAGTCCGTTGACTTCTGGAGGAGTGAAGATCACTTGATTCTGAACAAATTTTATTTGCTTTGTCAATTAAAATGTCTTCTTACCGAGAACATAATGCAGTCTCCTTTGTGAAGCGCAGAAGTTCCGCATTCGTTAAGAGCAGTTGCAAGTATATGTTCAGCTCCATCCTGGCTTTTAACTGCTTTGCAGGTTCCTTCGATAAGTTCAACTGTATTGTCGCCAACGACGCAATCGCTCACTATTTTAGTAATTAAAAAACGATCAGGAAAAGGATTGCGTCAAAAAATTCTGTCTCTACACCAATATTTTCCCTTACTCTTGATATCAATGCCAGCTGCGGAGCATACCACCTCTGTCTCCTGAGGACTCGGGGAGCAATCTTTTCCATTGAGTCCCAGCTCCCAACAAGCTGGGCAGAGGCATTCCCCGGCTGCGCAGCTATGCGAACACCCTCCACGGAAGCCATCCTACACTCATGGTCACTGATCTTGAAAATTATGATAAATTTCGCCCGTAAATCGTCCGAAACTCGGAAATTTCGAGCTCTATTCAGACAAATTAAAATATTTAATAAAAAAATATCGGCTTGATTATGACAAAGCAATAATTTTCCATCACCCAGTGAAGGTGATAATTTTCTGAGATCATGCTTCAGATACAGTTTTTTCCATGACTCACGGACTCTCATTTTCTCACCGCGAAAAAAAAAATTAATTTTATTTTTGATTATAATTTTGCGAAAGATTAAAATCGCACGAAAAATTCTCCGTTTCTCTCCTGCGCAATACCTGGCAATCAACAATTTCCACACACAAATCAATCGTGTCGCCATCTTCAGATCCAATTTGTGCAGTATGAAGCCTGTACCCAGCGTTGCAGGTACAGTAAAAGGAGCCAACAGTATCCGTACACGTCGAATATTCTTGACAAACGTCTACTTGATCGCATTCGTTGACGTTTTCGCAGTAAGTTCCATTGCCACTGTATCCAACATTGCATGTACAGTCGACAGAGCCAATGGTGTTGTTACAGGAAGCGTTGGTATCGCAAAAGTCCAACGCGCACTCGTCAATGTCCGTGCATTCCGTCACTCCATCACCTTCATATCCCGAGTTACAAGGGCACTCAAAGCTGCCAGGGATGTTGTTACAAGTTGCAAGTGCTACACAAGGATCTCCAGCGCATTCGTCGATGTCAAAACACAAGAAGCCGTTTCCGAGAAAGCCACTGTTACAAACGCAGGTGTAGCTTCCGATGTTGTCTGTACAGCTAGCGTATTGATCGCAAGGAGAGGAGTCACATTCGTTGATATTATCACATGTGTTAATTCCGTCGCCGGTGAAACCCGTCCCGCAGGTGCACGTAAAGGAGCCGTGATTATTCGTACATGTGGCTAGACCGACGCAAGGAGAAGATACGCACTCGTCGATGTCACTACAGGTCAATCCGTCTCCAGAAAAGCCGGTTTTACAAGCGCATGTGAAGCTTCCTACAGTATTGCTGCAGTCAGAATCGGCAGAGCAATTGTCAGTGCCGACGGCACACTCGTCAATGTCGACACAAGAGAATCCGTCGCCGCCTGTTTCATATCCTGAGTCACAGACACAGGAGTGCGATCCTTCCAAGTCAACACATGTCCCTTGAGCATCACACAGATGGGTATCCATTGCGCATTCATCAATGTTTGTGCAGTTGGTGCCGTCGCCAGAGTAGCCAGAATTACAGGAACAGGAAAAGGTCCCCGGAGAGTTGGTACAGTTTGCGTTTGCATCGCAATTGTCAAGATTGTCTCAAAAAAGGGTTTCAACTAAGCAAAATTTATGATAAAAATAGACAAACTCGTGATTTTTCTTTGGGTTAAAGTCGCTAGTATGGAAACCCACTAACTAAACATTCATCTACATCTTGACAGACGAAACCATCGCCGGAATAGCCCGGTTTACAGGAGCAAGTAAAGCTTCCCACCAAATCATCGCAGACAGCATCAGCATGGCATGGACTCAAAAGACACTCATCAATGTTCGTGCAATTTAATCCGTCTCCGGAAAAACCAGCATCACAAGCACACGTGAAACTGCCAACTGTGTCCGTGCACAAGCCGCCAATTGAGTCACAAGGAGGAGCTTCTTCCATAAAAGTTGAATGGAAAGAATGCTTATTGATGACATAAATTTTATCCTGATTACCATACTTTTTCTACGTCAAATTCAACCAAATCCTGTACATTCATCCATGTTTTCGCAAAATGTTCCATTGCCTTTCCATCCAGCGATGCAAGTACATTCAAATCCTCCCATAGTATCATAACAGTCAGCATTTACATCGCAATCGTCAAGTCCATCAGCGCATTCATCGATATCCGAGCAGGTAAATCCGTCTCCAGTAAAACCTTTTGGGGTAAAAAATGGCTCTTTAGCAACATAAATTTGAATAGCTCAACACCCCAGCCTGATAAACATGCGCATTCGAAGCTCCCATATGTATTTGTACAGGTAGCATAAGGATCGCATGGATCAGTCAAACACTCATCGTCGTCCTTACAAAAACCAGTATCGTAATCGACCGTCAGCGTCCAGTTATATTGTGTTCCCGATGGGCAATTCAAATGTGGACACTCACTAACAGGGACACAAGCAGAGCTGAAATCGCGCGAAAACTGCACCATCGTAGAATCACACAAGCATCCCGCCTCGCAGGATGCGACGGAAAGCTCTGAGCAGTATTCAGTCAGTCCTTCGGCTTCAGACTCGCATGATTTCCGGCAAGCATAGGCGCCACAGGTATCTTTTTTGGTGGAATTTCAAATAAATTTAAAAAATGATTCGTCATAGAGAGCATAGATTTTTATGAGAGGATTAATAAAAAAATTAAAATAATTATTCATAATTCCGTTCCTTTATATTGATAGAATGGACACTCCATGATGGCGTAAGACAAATCGTTATCGTATATGACGCTGTCGAATTCTGAGCTGCCCTCGTAACTTAGCGATCTGGATTCACCCGACAAGGCTGTATCCAAATCGTCCGTCGTCAATGTCGCACTCGGGTCGATGACTATTTCGATGACCAAGTGAAGAATTGCGTAAAATCCATCTGAGCGAAAATCGACCGCAGAAGCGTATCCACCTTCAGCTACAAAAATCTCTATCTGGCTTTGATCGATCAAAGATGATGGGTAAAACTGCTCTTTGTATCCTTCTTCTGCCGTTTGCCCCCCGTTCCCTGCAATTGTTCCTTCTTGTTGAGCGTCAAAGACGACTTTTGATTCGTGCGTTTCGGTCGCTAGAATCGTTTCTTTGCAGGTGGTATTGTAAAGTCTGTATCCGGCATCGCACTCGCAGCGATATCCGCCAGCTGCGTATTGATCCTCGACGCATAATTCGGCAGCGCCGCAAGTAACACCATTACAAGCCGATGTCTGGAGGACAAATCCTTCATCGGCGGCGACAGTCATTGCTGTTGTTTCTAGTTGACTTTAGCGAGTCAAAATCAAGTGATAATGCCTTTAACTTCGTTATAATATTTTACATAATCTTCGTTAGTCGTATTTTTTCACTCGAATTTGATTTCGAGAAAACTGAAAGAAGGAAATTTGGTATCATGATTTTAATTTACGTCAATCTCGATTCATTTTTTCCTATCAAAACCTCTTATTCCACGATTATATTTTCATCGAAATCATGAGAAACCCTAAACATGATTGGGTTTCTTGGTAGATATGATAATTTATTATAAATTTCTGAGGATATTTGATTTTTAAATATTATACAAGACTGTTAATACCGGTAAGAAAGAACAAAAAGTGAGTATGAAACTAGAACATAGATGATTCATAGAATAATAATAAATTATCCCGTAAAGAAATGAAATTATTGAAATTCAAAAAAAATTCAAGATTGAATAACGATAAAGCCTATTTATAAAATTGTTATTTTTCTACTCTTCCTTGTTGTCACTATCTCCACAGGAGTTGGCTGAGGACCCATTCTCGCCCATTTCTTCAGCCAGGATTTCTTCTCTTTCCAACCCTGTGCTTCTACAGTACTCTCTAGGCTAAATAAAAGGGATGCAAGACACCATGATAATTTTGTCCGCATATCGCCGACTAAAATTTTTGAAATGAAAAATTTCCAACTCGCAAATCCTGCAACGGGATGCCAAAATATTGATAAGAATCGACGATGTTGTCCTATGCTATTAAAATAAAATTGCGAAAGATTCGTTGTTTGAAATCAAGATTTTATTTTTATTAATTTTATTTGTTACAAGCAGATGGTTCTTTTTTACATGCTTCGATGATACAGTCTCATCCAGTAAATAAGAGCTTTCTGTCGTCTTCGAATTTCAGCTTGACTTGCGGACGATGCTACCGTCTTTTGAGTAGCAATTGAAGTCGGAATTCGTGAGGCAGAGATACTTGAGACAAGGACCATCAGAATGAGGAGAAAGTTCATCTTGCTTTATTTGTAAATGTGGTTTTGTGGATACTTAATAATATGGGTTTGACAGCCCTCGGTGTTTTCTTTATATCTAGGTGAGCGGAGCATAGAATAGCGGAAATAGGGGGCGCTCGAGCTGATGATGATTTGTTGTCAGGATATTAGACAGAATAAATTTAAAAATTTTTGGTGTTGAATTCTAGCTATATAAGGATGGCTAGAAAAAAATTATCATATGCAAAGATTAATTGATTCTTTCCACAGGAAGCTGAAAAATTGCCAAAAAAAAGATGATATTTTCTTATATAAGTTATATAATATAACGGTTCTATATAATCGAGTTTTCCGAAAGGAAACATTCTCTTTCAGTCTCTCTCGCGACTGTATTTGAACAGAAATAAAAGCATGTATTTCGATTATTCAACGCATTATCTTGTCCTCGCGACATAGAATTGAAAAACTACTGTAGGAGCGAGAATCCTATTTCATAAAAATGCATCAAATCAACCGTGGAAATATGTCTTTCCATCAAAGATCTCAAACAAATCTGCTTTAAATTTCGTGTCTAGAATATTTTTGAGCAGAAATCAAATCGAATAAGATAAAAAAGATGATCCACGATATTCCAGATATAGAGCCAGCATACACTACCAGGTGTAAATACTACGAGGTCGGCGATGTTGCATTGACAGCATGTTTTTGGCTTGTTTTCAATAAGGCAATCATCGCGGTCTCCGTCTGCTACGGGGCATCCATTGCGAGGAGGAGTGTGATTGTCGAATACGCTACGATTTGGTGGGTGGTGGTTTTGAATCTCACCTCTTGCTGCATGATCATCGCACTTTGGTGTTACTACTATCTGCCTTTGGACTTGATGAAAGCATGCCTTGGAATGTCATGCGCCGGTAAGTTCTTATAATCGGGAATTGACAACTATCAAATGGATTTTTCTAGCCTTGGCGTTCTCTGTCCTCGTCCTCTTTCAAACTGGCTACCAGCTGAACAATTACAAGAATCGCCAAATCAACCAGTCGCCTTCTACTGAAGCAAATACTGTCCAACAAACGACTGTTGTCCACCATAGCGCTGCTCAAGAAGCCCATAAAGCGAATGATTATCCAAGTCAGCCACCCCCTGCGTACTCTGCTCAGCAACCAGTTGCCGTTCAATCGGTTCCTCAAACTCTTCAAGGTTAGACTCAGTAGTATGTACATAAGCTTTTTTCAATAATGGAGATAATGTAAACAAAGAAAGGTAAATAATTATAAATATTTATGAAATATGTAAACAAGCTAAAATATTTATATAAAACGTAAACATATGATAAATATTAGTAAACTAAATATGTAACATAAACATGAGTCATCCAAACAAAGGACGGTCAAAAATAACAAAAAATTTCTAGAAGGTTATTTGAATAACCAAGTTATTCAAATAACTTGTTATTGAAATAACTTGTTATTCAAATAACTTTTTATTACGATAACCGTTATTCAAATAACCTTCTAGAAACTTTTATGTTATTTTTTACAAAAACTGTCCCTTGGATGAGACTTTTCAAATATAAACATGAGTAGGGTTTGTATCGGGAAGGCGGCGCGCGGCGTGGCACTTTTCACCCAAAATGACGGAAATCTATTTCGTTCTTTCAGATAAAATTTCAATGAAAAATACTTTCCGGATACTAAAATGATGAAACTTCTTCATAATTTGCTCTTCAAAATTAATTGTACCGCCAAAAAAATTTCCAGGCGTAACAAAAACTCAAATTTTCCGAAACCTACAGAATACTGAGTGAAGGTCGTGGCGCGGTAGTGCATAAGAGGGTGAGCGCGGGCGAGAAATCAGTTTCTCTTACTTTTGAAGCTAGCACCGAGCTTAAAAAGCTCTAATTTTTTGATATTTTCAGAAACAGACCTGTTAACAATATCTGTGAAAGTTTAAAAGCGTAACGAAAACTAGAACCTTCCGAAATCGAACGTTGATTGACTGAAAAAGATGGCGCGGCGGGGAATTACGCATTGAACGCGCCCGGAACTAGTGCTCCTTCCATGGGCTCAGAGTCTATTGACATTGCGCTCCACGGAAGGTTCGAACCTTTCGGACTCAGTGGGTTATCTCAAAGAATGTGGCTCCCTCTTTTGGTTCATTTTCGAATCAAGTTCGCTCGAGCGGCAAGAATCTTCACACTCGACATAAAATGAAACAAGAAGATGAATAGCATGAACAGTACTTATACTTCTAAGAAAAAGTAAAATGAAACTCTAAAACACTTATTCCTTTGTAAGCTACTCTCAATATTTCTATTTCTGTAAAATGAAGCTTGATTTTTATTTATTGTTATCGTCATTGGATATCCTTAATAAATTATCTTAAATATAAAAAAAATCGTTTTTCTATTCAAGAAAAAAGTGTTCATATGAAGTAAAAAGAAAAATTATCAGGATCGCAGAAGTCCAGCTAAGAAATATGAGCAACAATATCGAGTTCCTTGCTGCTACAGAGTGTTATTGGAATCAGGGATTCGGAACGGAGTATTGTTGGGCATAGACCAGCTTTTGAAAGTATTACTTGGCTCAGGCCGATTCCAAAGGTATTTTTGGGATCAGGCCGATTCTGAAAGGTATTTTTGGGATCGGGGCGATTTCTGAGGTATTTTGGGATCGGGGCGATTCCTGAGGTATTTTGGGATCGGGGCGATGTCTGTGGTATTTTTGGGATCGGGGCGATGTCTGTGGTATTTTTGAGATCGAGGGCGATTTCTGAGGTATTTTGGGATCGGGCGATTTCTGAGGTATTTTTGGGATCGGGGCGATTCCTGAGGTATTTTTGGGATCGGGGCGATTCCTGAGGTATTTTTGGGATCGGGGCGATTTCTGAAAGGTATTTTTGGGCTGAGGCGATATTTTTACAAGTGGTCTTTTTGTTTTCGACCAGATCTTACGCAGTTCAAAAGAGGAAACGTCCTTTGACACTATTTATAAATACATCAAAGAAAAATATGCATGAGTTGAGTCAATATAGGTCCAGAGTCAATAAAATATTGTGAATTTGTTCAAACGCTGGAAAATAAACTGACATTTTGAACAAATGATCGCTTGAATTTTCAAAGCAACCGGTAATTGGCGTTGATAAACAAGTGTGCCAAAAAATCTACGTCGGCGCTGAAGATCAGTCCGTATAAATATCGTGCAAAATTTGGCCTATCTGTCAAATTTTAAAATGGCTAAGTGCTTGAAAATTCTCAAGAAAATACAAAAAGCAGATATTAATTACCGCAATGAAACAGACCGACTTGCTAGCGAGTTTGAGGACGAACTCGCAAATGTCGAGGACAAAGAACCAGTCCTTCGTGATTTACGTAAGTAGAGAAAAATACGATTCTTATTACCTTATCATATTTTCAGGGGGGACACTTGATATGACTGATAAAAGCTCCCAGTGCAACCTCAGGCTCGAACACATTCTCGAAGAATTTAGCAGTGAGATCGATTGTGACGTTTCTAGCGCTTATGAGTCTTCCTCTGAAGAGGACTCGTGTGATGAAGAATGGGTTCCTACCACACCTCCCCACACCCGAGGTAATTCCATTCCAAAAGCTCCCCGGAAGGAAAAACTCTCATATGTGAGGTCGAATCTTCGCGGTATATCATGGTGTTTACGAAAGAGTTTTAAAACTTTCTAGGCGCGAGACGGCGTTTGGTCTTTGACTCCGAGGAGGAAACCAAGTCTTCAGAGGAAGCGCGTCAGGATAAACTCAAGCAGAAAAAAGCCCATTCCTCAAAGAGACTGCGAGAGGAAGAAGCCGCGGAACAACCTTCAAAACGAGTCCGCCGAGAAGCTGTCCAACCAAGAAACGTTTTCGATGACATCGAGGATGAGCAAACTCGTGATAGTTTCGGTTATACACGACACGAAGAAAAGCAAGAGAATACCGCTGACGACTTAGAAGAAAACAATCAACAGGAAGATAAGTCCGAAAATGAGCCTGATGCTTTAGAGAGTGACGATTATTCAAACGTTGAGGACTACGAGTCGGAAGAAGAAGTCTTTCAGCCTGCTCATGATGTCAATAACAAAGACCATCACTCAAGACAAAATTCTCAAACCGAAGGTGAGTTGAGCTCTCAACTGATCGAAGACACCCCTGGACCAAGCTCTCGACTGATCGAAGACACACCTGGACCAAGCTCTCGACTGATCGGGGACGCTCCATCACCAAGCTCTCAACTGATCGAAGACACACCTGGATCAAGCTCACGACTGATCGGAGACGCTCCTACACCAAGCTCTCAACTGATCGAGGACACTCCTGGACCAAGCTCTCAACTGATCCAGGGCAGTCCTGAATCAAGCTGTCGACGTCAAGATGATCAGCAGGAGTCTCAAAAATGGCAACTCTGGAGTCCATCCCAATGGGAAATCATCGGTAAATCACCTCCACCTGACTACGATCCTAACCAGCGCTTCGGGAGAAGCGTTATCCGCTTCGCCGCACCTGCTGAAAACAAAAACGATCAAGGTTAGAGACATTTTTCTACCAGATTGTTTATCATGATTCAGTTATTGACTTAACAGGCTCTCCTGATCGGGAAATCAACGTCGATGGTCATATGAAAGACGGGTCAGAAGGTATCTATTATTAAAAAAAAAAAGATATATAAATATATTTTCATAGTTATCGATCTCACTGATACCTTTGACGACGACGACAGTGTTGACGATGCCATGATCAATGGGTTGGTTGCCGAAGCAGAGGAGAGAGAAAGACAGCAACTTCAATCAGAACTGGAAAATCCTTCACGCGGAGGTACTCCAGACCAGGGGTGGATATTTTCATTTCAACTCCTCATTTCAACCCAAATTTGACCATCCTGATTGGTCGAGAACGGGAATTTCGGGGTTTGAAATGAGGTTTGAAATCAAAATATCCACCCCTGCTCAAGACACGATTATAGAGCATTGTCTCAGCCCATACCTCTTAGGCGAAACACTTGACGACTGTTTCAGATTTGGGATTCTCACAAAAGATGCAATAGAATTTATCGAAGAGACCATCTATGAACAAGAAGACTACCCTGATCCTTCTCCCACAATTTCGCCCATAAAAACTTACACTCAACTTTAATTTCTACCTTCCTTTATGCGTTCCTTGGTGTTTTCTTTATCTTGTGTTTGTCTTTATTTACTCATGTTTACCGAAAAAAAAAATTATAAATAAAAATGGTGTCTAAAAAACTTTGACTTTGTCATTTTGTTGCCAAGTTTGAAAAAAGCACTGATAATAAGCACTGAAAAGTCCATAAATATGCAACGATAAGGTCCACAATTATTCTTAAAAAAAAATGAATCGCTCACTTCCACTTTCGGAAGAGTTTCCTTTTTTCGATGTCATCTGCGAGCTCAAAGATCAACTTCTTTCAATCCAGCATCGTTTTTTTACTGGGGTTTCCGGCGTTGCCTTCATTGGCCTTATCATCACAGTTGGCTTCTACACAAAATTGTGTATGATCATCTGTGAGAAAAAGAAGAATGTTTCCCGAAAAAATCCTGACCGACGCGAGAATATCACGATTTCAGAACCTTTTGATGCCGTCAATAATACTCTTGTTTAAATAAAAGAAACAAGTAGATATGTGACCGAGTTTCTTTTTTATTTCAATTAAATTATTGAGGAACTGTTCATTTGAATTATAATGGCAGGTTATAATAGAGGGAAGAACTTTTTCAATAAGTGGCGCAGGTATCTTTAAGAACTCAGAAGAAAATGAACGGGTGTGATAAGCGGTTTCGAAGGTTATTAACGAGCGGATTTATCAATTATCAATAGCGTCAGGAACAAACTGGAGAAGATTTTCAATGAAATGGTGATTGTCGGAATCAACGAGGAGAGGAGACTTGTTTTTATGCTTCGGATGATAATAATTGTTGCTTGAGCTGGAACCGTAAAAAGAGCTTATTTCTGGTCGGAAAAGAGACGTAAATTTACCTAGTTTGTGTCCATATCGTCAGATTTAGCAGAGCCGGAAGTTTCCATTTCCTCAGTCTGATCCTCCGTGGTAGTATCCATTTTAGACGCGATCTTTTCTTATAGAGAGATAAGTTATTTTTCTTTCACGATTGAAAAATACCTGTTACGATTTTTTGCAACTCTGCAAGTTGACCGTTAGTGATCTTGATGATGAAAGTCGAAGCTGCTTGCTTCGCATCTATTATGTTTCAGAAATGAAAAGATGAAAATAAGAGTACCTAATTCAGATTGAATTTTGATGAGGGCAGCAAGATCTCCTTCTTCGATTTTGCTCATGAGATCTTTCTCTTCATCCGTATCTAGTATCTTTGTTTGATCTTGCAGGTTTATCATCTTGGTTCTCGTGGGAATAGGTGGTTTCTCACGCTTATCAAAAATGTGTAAAGAATGCAAGTTTTTGGCGCCTGGCCGAGTGGAGAATCTGTAGCAGCGCGCGCTTTACTGTTACTCGCAGTCTTAAGCGCGTGGGGATGAATCGGCGAATCGGTGGCGAGAACCGCAGGGCGCGCGAGTTTTGAGCACGCTCCTTCACCCCTCGAATGCGTAGGCAATAAAATCAAACCACCTGATGCAGGTTCATCACCAGATCATAACTTGAAGTTGCCATAAAGCGCAAACAACATCAAGAGAGAATCAATCTTTTTATTTTCTTTATTTAAAACTGATTGACTTAAAATGACTTAATATTTTAATCTAAAGAGAGATTCTTATAGAGACGACAAAATGTTCCACGCGAAATTCGTCCACATGCGACTAATCCGAAACAAGGTATGAAAAAAAAAAGGATGAACAGATAAAAAAAATTCTAATATAGCGTAACAAAGGCTTTGGACGATAGAGTGCATTTCAAGAAACAAGAAAGGTTTAATTTTGCGTTTATTTTTTATTTACAAACAATAAGACAAGGCGATATGAAATAAGAGTTAAATTAACTTTCAAAGACTTCTTCCACTTGCCAAAATTATAACAACCGATATGAATTGACCGGCAAATTGACGCTCAAAGACTGTTTTCGACTTTTTATCTGACCTGCTTTACAAATTTTTTTTTCTTTCGCTGAAGATAATTGAACTGGGGTGTAGATTTTGATGTAAACTTGGTTTCAGGCAGTTATTCTTTCAAGTAAACTAAATTCATCTCAAAATCTACACCCTATTTTTAATAAAATCAGCTGAAAATTACGTTAAAATAAAGTCGAAAAGAGTTAAGAATGTTTTTTTTCCCAACAATCCACCCTCCTTTGACGTTCCCCGGTCACAGAACGGACACAACATCTACAACCTCTCTTGGATCAACGTCGACGACTCACACATTTTCGACCGTTACCAATGGTACCTCAACGAATACAATCGAACCCGACGGAATTTTCAATGGAAAAATCATCGCTGTCGGAATAGCGGGTAAATTGAGTTACATAGGAAGATCATTCTCATTTTCATTCTAGCCCCAGTTTCGGTTATAATAGTGGTCATGCTCGCAATCCTCATTTACAAAAGACGAGTTCGAATAACCTCCTTCTGGGTTGACTTACGGAGAGTGCTTGTTTTGCATTGCTGTGATAATGAAGGTATTTAGATCAGCCTATTTTATTACTAAAAAAGTCTTCTTAGAAGAACGCGACCTCGAATTGCAAAACAGACGCGCAGACGAAGAACGAATGATTCTGAATGAAAGACGGCAAAAGAAAGACGGACGGAAACCGACTGTGGATAGCAACACGCAGACAGAACAGCAAGAAGATGACAAAGAGGACAAGAAGGACGAATGGAGGTGCCCTCAAGTATCCTGGCAAGAATGGATCGACAGTTGGTGATTGAAAAAGGACTGTGAAAAGAATGTTTTTTGAATGATTAAATTAGAAAGAAAGTGAATAAATAACATCTTTTTACATAAAAGACTGAATCGGAAATCTGGGCTAATGGACAATTACGAAGGCGACGACGTTCACGATTCGGACCTTGAGCAGCAAGTCAACAAGCAAAGAGGTAAAAAGAAAACAGAAAACTCTTTCATTTTTAACTTAATTAAAAAAAGGTCTCACTTTCATCGAATCCTCGATCCTTGTCTTTCTCGCGATTCAATGCGTTGGTCTTCTCGCTACATTCATCATCTACCTTGCTGGACTGGCTTTCGCGATTTTCCCCTTCATCAACCTTGTCTGGTTCTTGTTCCGTCGACCCAGAACCCCGACAATGTTTAGGCTGTGAAAGAAACTCAGATCGCTAGAGATTGCATAAAATTCTTTCATAAATAAGACTGAAAATCGTGACGCGATGGACGACTCGTCGGAGTTTGACCAAGATTATCGATGGGACTACTATGATGAACGAACCGTCTCCGAGCTATGCCGTCTTCGTAAGAATTAATGAAAAACAGAATTTTACATAAATAGTCGGTAACGAGTCGGCAAATATCACCTCTACACGGACACCACCGACTGCTACGTCATCCATTATCAATGAAACTTCAAACGTCAACCAACTTGGTAAAAGTAGATAGACAAAAAGATTCTTACCTTGAATAGACGAAAACAACACGCCAAAAACCTTCTCCATGGTTGAAATGATCGTCATCACCCTCCTCGCCTTCAACACTATTCTCCTTCTCACCTTGATCCTCATCCTCTGCCAGAAGAAGAAGAAGAAGACACCTAAGCCAACAAGAAACGGTAATCTCTATCATTCCTTTTCGCCTTCATAAAATATATTCTTAGTTCACTACACGCCGATCTCAGCACCACTTCCACTCGAAATTTAAACCTGCCACTTAAAGGAGAAAAGCTGTCTTTGAATACTGATATGAAACTAAAACTAGAATATTGTAGACAGTTTTTCCATTCAGAAATGTTCTTTCCATTCTTCAAAGGATTCAGTGGCCCAAATCGAAACAATGGCCGAAACGGAGAGGGATTCCCGGATCAAGGCAGACAGCAAGACGATCAGAGCAGAAATCATTCGAACCCAGAGGGTGAATGTACAAATCCAGACGATGACTTCGAATTCGATGTCGACATACAAAAAGGACGTGTGCGCACGAATGATCGCGTCATCGCTATTCTCATCCTATTACTTTTCTTCTATATCGTCTACGAAAGTAAGAAATCAAATCTTTCAAAGGAGTTCTAAAGTTTTCAATAGACGGAAGAAATAGACAGAGACAACGTGAGCCCCGAAGAATTCGAATGATTCGGAATCCGGATCGAATCGAAGAATTGGAGAGTGAGGACGAAATGGATATCACTCAGCGCCCGGCAATTGAGGATCATCAAGCTGAAGGTAAAATAAGCTTTCTTCCAAACAGAAAATAAACGCAAATTAGAGGCCAACAGACCACAACGCCGACGGACGCGCACTCAACCCTTACAAATCTGTCACAGACAGAAACGCTATTAGGTAAGAAAACAAATTCGCAGGCAAAAACCTAATCATTTATTTAGATTCATCCAGAGCAAGACGCAGCTTCTTCAAACCGCCAAGAAAAACATTCGTGATAATAAGCTTCCTGTAGAAAAATGTGCCTTAAAAACAAAAATAAAAGACAAACAAGCTCTCAAAGATAAAAGGTTCTCATCTTTATTGCAAATAAAATGACAGGAAAAATATATTTTATAGTTTACGGATTTACTCAAGCAAATAAAGGGCCTTGTTCGATGAAGAGCAGTCTTCAGGAATTGACTGGACTCAGGACAGTTTCCGACGGTATTACTGAACTGAGACCAGCTTTTGGAGGTCTAACTGGGCTCGACCAGTATCCAGAGGTATTACTCGGCTCAGACCAGTTTCCAGAGGTTTTACTTGGAACAGGCGAGTTTCCAGAGTTATAACTGAGCTAAGGTCAGTTTTTGGAGGTATTTCTAGGCTCGGACCAGTTTTTCGAGGTTTTCATAGGATCAGGCCAGTTTCCGGAGGTATGACTGAGTTGAGGACAGTTTTTTAGTTTTTAACAGAGGTTTTCTTGCTCTCGGACCTTGGTCTTTTTCGAATTTCACAAAAGGTCTTTTAGAATTTCCAGAAAAGGTTTTTGCGAGTTCAAGAATATCAGTAATCTCAGTAAATTAAGTTTGCGAATATTTTAATTGAATACTTCGACTCAAAAGGGCCTTATACTTGAGAGAGTAAATTGTAAAGCTGAGATAAAGAAACACAAGATTTTTGTATAACATGGATGTTTTCTCCAATGTTTATAAATGCGAAAACCTTTCTTGTGGATACGAAAATGTTAAGAAATCAAATTTCGAGGCACATGTTAAAGCTTGTCAACACAAAAAAGAAACGATACCACTCCAATGTCCATATGGCGATACAATTTATCCGATCGAAATAGCAATACGAGCTGGTTACCTTTCAGAAAGGATGAGAGGCTTTAGAAAAACTCGTTTCGGTAGACCTTGAATAACAAACTCTCCAAATTAAAAAATTTTAGTCACTTTCGACATCGAGACAATGGAATGTCCAGTCAACACAACAAACAAAGTGACGACGATTCACGCTGAACTTCGCTTGCTTTACTTCGCAGCGCTACTCCAAAGCTTCGCCCCTGACATGTAAGCAATTTTCTTATGGATATATATTCTTATTATTTATATCTAGACTCGTTTCACAGAAACTTCAAAAAAGAGCACCAACTTTTGCGTGAAAATATTATTGGTGGGCTGGTTAACGTTTTTTCTCGCTACACTGAGCTCCGCCCGGATGTTGATGCCCTTAAAAATGCCAAGTTTGCCCCGAACGGAGATCCCTTCACGCGTATCGTCTTTTTGGATTTTAATGCCTTGTATTTGTTTGCTCAAAAGATGAGCTTACCGACAACGCCAGGTAAATTCAAAATGCAAAAATAAAGGTGAAATCGAAGAATGTTTAGGCATTACTTGGGAGAAGTTTGACAACGCCGTTTTCCGCAAAAGGATCATGTCTACGGGAAACAGTTTCGCAGCCCTGCAGTGGCTAACATTCATTGACGAATTTAGCCCCTTGCTTGTTCAATCAAATGGTGAAAGAGTTCCTTTGGAACATCAATATTTTAGGGGTGAACATCAAGTAGAGAACTTCAAAATCGACGGATATGCTAATGTCGATGGTCAACATCATTTTTTTGAATTTCTTGGATGTTATTACCATACTCACTGTGTTGACTGCAATCCAGGAGGAGCTGACAAGGAATGGGAGAAAAAGTTTCGTCGATTGAATGAACTAGGTCAGGTTCATGTAATGCGCGAGTGTGAATGGAATCAAAGAAGAAATGAAGCTCATTTGACAAAAATTTCCAGATATTGGGGTCATATTTTCAAATCGAAAGAAACAGAAAAAAGTCTGATAGAGGGTATAAAAAATGAAAGAGTAGACCTAGAAGCAATTCGCAAAGAGTATGGTGGTACATACATTCCACTCTCTAAGGAGGAGCTTGAATACTTTGAGAAAACGGAGAAGATGGGACAACTTCAGAATCGTGTTATCATTGCTCCTCCGAAACCAGGTCGGATCGTAGAACATGCTCACGTTAGACTATTGATTAACAAGAACTTCGACTTGTTTAACGTTGTGGATGATCTATTCGAATTCATCTCACCGCCTTTTCGTTTTGGAATCGATTTTGCGTTTTTGCTGGAAAACCCCGTCACAGAAGATCCTGACTCACGTTTTCGATTTGTTTGGCCTCAAATCTCGACCTCTCTTCCAATAGAACCTAACCTTATCAAAAACAAGTCATCGAAAAAAGAATTCTTGCAGAACATTCCAGATTGGACTGACATCCCTCGCCTCGTCGACATTACCCATCAAAATCAGAGCATGTTTCGAAAAAGCGGATACAACATCACAAAACTCTTGACCTGTAGTCTTTACATAACAAAGATGAAATAAATGCATTTTAGTCTCAAAATAATTCAGAACACTTTCAAAGTTTGCATGGCTGAGACTAATCGGAAGGGTCTAGATTCAGTTTGCCCGTTTATAGACTGTCGAGGAGAGACCTGTCAAGGGGTCTGAGGTCTGTCAGGGTGGACTAAGGCCAGTAAGGGTGGAGAGAGGCCTGTCAGGGTGGACTAAGGCCAGTCAAGGGACCAGAACCCAGTCAAGAGGCCAGAGGTTCGTCAAGGGGCCAGAAGCCTGTCAAGAGGCCAGAGGCCTGTCAACGGGTCAGAGGCCTGTCAAGGGGTCAGAGGCCTGTCAAGGGGTCAGAGACCTGTCAACGGGTCAGAGACCTATCAAGGGGTCTGAGGCCTGTCAGGGTGGACTAAGGCCAGTCAAGGGGTCAGAGGCCTGTCAACGGGTCAGAGGCCTGTCAAGGGGTCAGAGACCTGCCAACGGGTCAGAGGCCTGTCAAGGGGTCAGAGACCTGTCAACGGGTCAGAGACCTATCAAGGGGTCTGAGACCTATCAAGGGGTCTGAGGCCTGTCAGGGTGGACTAAGGCCTGTCAAGAGGCCAGAGGCCTGTCAACGGGTCAGAGGCCTGTCAAGGGGTCAGAGACCTGTCAACGGGTCAGAGACCTATCAAGGGGTCTGAGACCTATCAAGGGGTCTGAGGCCTGTCAGGGTGGACTAAGGCCAGTCAAGGGGTCAGAGGCCTGTCAAGGGGTCAGAGGCCTGTCAAGGGGTCAGAGACCTGTCAACGGGTCAGAGACCTATCAAGGGGTCTGAGGCCTGTCAGGGTGGACTAAGGCCAGTCAAGGGGTCAGAGGCCTGTCAACGGGTCTGAGGCCTGTCAGGGTGGACTAAGGCCAGTCAAGGGGTCAGAGGCCTGTCAAGGGGTCAGAGGCCTGTCAAGGGGTCAGAGACCTGTCAACGGGTCAGAGACCTGTCAATGGGTCAGAGCCCCGTCAGTCTGAGGTGAGTCTTTTTTGATTTTCTCATCGCCTAAGTCCAGTTATATCTCTCAGAGCTCCCCGATCCCAAAATACCTCTCTGAGCTCCCCGATCCCAAAATACCTCTCTGAGCTCCCCGATCCCAAAAATACCTCTCTGAGCTCCCCGATCCCAAAATACCTCTCTGAGCTCCCCGATCCCAAAAATACCTCTCAGAGCTCCCCCGATCCCAAAAATACCTCTCAGAACTGCTTTGATCCCATGAATGCCTGTGGAAACTACTCCCTTGTAACAATTTTAGGGTAGGGTGGGTTGCGTCATTTCAGCGCTGCGCTCCCGGTACAATACCTACCACACTGCCCGCAGCGAGCGTAAAATCCAATAGAGATGGCGCTTTTTGAGAAAGGCGCTTGCTGCGGGCGGTGTGGTAGGTATTGTACAGGGAGCGCAGCGCTGAAATGACGCAACCCAACCTACCCTAAAATTGTTACACGGGAGTAGAACTTACTCTATCGACAATGAATACAAATTAAAAAAGACTTGGAATTTTGTCACCAGAGTTTATTTTCACCGAAAATTTTTATTTACAGGAGAGTTTCACCAGAATTTTTTTTATCAATTTTTTTTGAGTAAAAGGAAGGAGAAATGTTATCTCTCAGAGTTCATTATCTTCTTTCTGAATCCAGCGAAAAACGTCTTTTGTCTTGCAGACAGGACAGTCATCGGAGAGGTCTTGTCGCTCGTATTTAAGAGTGAAATCTTTGAAATCAACGAAGTAAGATGAAACAATATTATTCTGCTCATCGTCGACCTTTTAAGGCGCCGTTCCAAGGATCTGTACAGGTATCCAGTTTTCTTTGCCACTTTTTCTGTTTTTGTTCATTATCGCTATTTTCTCAAAAGCAAGAACATTATTTGTCACATTGACAGACGTGTAGTGGAGACGAACTTTTTGGCTTGAATTTTCATCATCACCGCAGATACCGACAATATTGAGTAAGACACCACTTCTGTAAGAAGTGCAGCTAAAACTCTCAACTTTCTGCAAAAACATATTTTTCTTATTGTGAAGAGACTTGAAATTTTAGCCATGAGGTTCAAAAGCACTGGTTACTCCGTGCACATTTTGCTATCCTGGATATGTTTAGGAAAATAGCTCAAGCGGAACTTCGACATGCGAAAAACAAATAAAGAAAGACAAAGAAATTCATCACCCAATTTTATTATCACCAATTTTATGTACAGGAAGAATACACCGCAGTTTCTTTTTTTGACATTTTTGTTTTTCTTAAAAAATGGAAAATGATTTTGTTCAGTTCTTCAAACGTTTCGCTACATATCCATCAAGCATTGCACAGATAAGACATTCTGGATGTCTATGATCCTCGTAATTCTTGTGACCTTTCATAATCGCAGCTTCTTCAGCAGTAACTTCTATAGTTTCTGTAGTCGAGTTAGCATACCCGCAAAAAACTTTTGATTTTATTCAAGAAGGACATTTTTCGAATGACGGGTGAATAAAACTTCGACATGAGGTTCGAAAAAGCTGATGGCATACGAGAGCATATTTTTACTGAACCAGAAATTTTGATTATTGCCTGCTTGTAAATAGAAACTTGCTCCAAAGAAAGACCAAAGAGATAATCACCAAACAAATTTATTACTCGAGTAAATAAAAAATTGAAAAGAAAAGGAAAGAAATTTTCAAGAGAGGGATCAAAAGAAGCAGAAACAATTAGATTTTCTGGTCGACTGGACGATTGAATCGGAAAGTGTAGGAAGGCTTGACATTGTGTTCTTTTTCCCAGTCGGATTGTTTGGCATCAGAAGTGGTGTAGAGATCTGCAGGACGTTGTGATTCTGTGTGCATTTGGAGAGCTTGGAAGACATTCGAGACTTCATCACCAGTCTTTGCAAACAGTCGTAAGTTGATCTCTTTGGTCGGTCGTGAATAATCAAGGTCAGTTTCAAAACCAGGAATGTAAGTTCCCTTGACCCTGAAAAAGCCGCCCCCATTGTAGGAGCGAAAAGTGAAAGTTTTGATCGTGACAAACATTTTGATAATGAGATGAGCGGGCAAAAGAAGACCAGAAGTTCTAAAGCGCTGGTTAATCAGTGCTCTATTCATAACCAGTGATTAATTATATGTTTACTTACAAAGAAGGGTTTTTTCAACTTGTTTATGTTCGTCAATCGTGAGCTTGGTCGAGACGATAGACCAAATAACGATTGAGTAATCATCTTCAAGTGGTGTGCTAAAATCGAAAGAGAAAGATAGCCAGCCTTGTGAGATTTCTTCTCCTTCAAACTCATGAGCAAAAATGTTGTTCACTTTGTAGTTTTCCATTGATACAACATATGACAAATCAGCTTGACTAACTCGCCCAAGCGTGTCCAGATATTTCCAGTAGGGAAGAATCGGATATTGATTTGTGATTTTCTAAAGATAAGGATAAAAAAAAATAAGAAATTGAAAAGATAAACCTGAGGATATCCATTTAAAGATTGACCATTCAACATGACATTCACTTGAACAAGATTGTTGAAAAAGCTGAAATTCGAAGAATCAATTTTAGAAGATCCATGAAGAGCTTCTGTTTGAATCAGTCCAAAGAACAGATATGCAGGGGTATTTCCCCCAGTCACATTAAGAAGTTGCACATTTTTTCTTCCTTTTGGCAAACTCATTGTTGTTATCAAAGTATCATTGAATTTATATGTGATTGGCTTTGATTTGATTCTCCCAAAGTAGTTTCTCAGGCTCGGCGATGACACGTATTCAGCAATAGCGTAGGCATCAGTAATTTTAAGGACTTCTCCTGCTGGAAGCATATCAGTTTCATTCTCTCCGATAAACATTGTCGAAAACTCATGTTTAAGACGATAAAGTGTAATTGAAAGATCTGTGTTTTGAGGAAGAGGTTTGTTCTCCATGAAAAAACCATGAGTCGGAAGGAAGATAAGTTCATAAATATAATTTCCGTTAGATGTTTCGTAACATTGTGGGCGTCGTCCATTTATAATCATTTTCTTTGAGTCACTATCAACAAGATTCTCATAGTTGTATTCATCGTAGTACCCCTCAATCTGGAATGCGGAATTAACATAAAGTGGGTCGAAATTGACACGTTTGGTCAAGTAGTCTGCCAACAAGTAGTGAGAACTAAAGAAAAAATAATTATCAGAACAAAAATTAAGTCCTTACTTTGAATTTGAGTTATCGATAATCTGAGAATTCACCGCAACTTCAGTCTTTCCGAACTGTTTGCTAGCAAAGCCATTTGAAGGAATATAATTCTTGTCAAGCTCGATTGTGAAATGAATCGCAATTTTATTTTTCACAAGGAAAAGATTCGGATCGGCGTCAAACTTAAAGCTAAGCCTTCCGGTCAAGCTGTCCTCTTCTCTTGGATAATGCCGTTTAACAACTTTTTGGTCGTAGTACTCAACTTCTGTCATGATTTCAGTCTAAAAAGAGCAAAAAGTTAGACAATTATATCACCAATTTTAGTCACCAGAGTTGAGAAAGTTTGAAAAGAAGTAATTGATCGTTAACAGTAAAGGAATGAGTAAAGAGAGAAGAAAGTTTCTGTCGTGAATAAAGAGAACGGAAAATAACGAAGAAGCAAACATAAAAACCACAATAAAATGACGAGTCTGACTGGGTTCTTTTATAAAAAAGGTTTCTTTATCACCAAAAAAGTCAAAAAGCTGCGTAGGATATTTTTTAAGGCCTAAACTATCAAATATTTCAATTTTACTCTTTATAATTCGTAATGAGATCCAGTGAGAGCCTTTTGAAATTTCAGGCGATAAGTTGACAACAATAAAAGAAGGAAAATTTTCAATTTTGGGTAAAGTATCAATGGAGTAAACACCTTGAAAATGTTCAACTCGTTCTAAACGTTTCGCAATTAGGTATGAGTTCATGCTTTTTTCTTTTTCGATGATTTCTTTGATTTTTTCAAATCTTTTGTTGTTTGATTTCGTTTTTTCTTTGTTTTGGTATTTGGATGTTTTCGACCTGGTGTTAGCTTGAGTTTTGTTGGACCGTTTTTTGACTTTCGTTTGCCCGCGCCGGATTGAGATTTTGGAAACCATTTTTTTGGACGATTTTCAAGCGAGGCAATGATTGTTTTCATTCTCTTGTTGTGATAAGTATCTGGAGTGAAAAGTGTTGAATGATGTGTTGACTGCCTAAGTCGATTGAAAATCGTGTATCCCGCCAGTTATATATGTTTAAAGGGAAGGTAACGGAGCGTTGGTCGGAGAAATGGCACCACCTGTCGTTTGGACGGATTTGACCCATCATCAGCGTATTCGGTTCTCCATAGCAAGAAGCAATTGAGTTACACGTTATGAAAGCAATGTCCATGTCACGCGGAGTCGTCATCAGATTACAGACAGCGCTTATAATTTGAACATTGTACTCTTGATTTTTTTTCAAAGAAAATTTCAGGAACTTTCAGCTCCTTGGTCATTGTCTCGAAAAGATTCAAGATCATCTGCAACGAAGTTAAGCTCAAAGTAGTACTTTATTCCAGGTTGTCTATTTCCTTCTTCGTCTGCAATTTTATACCAAACTACTCCGGCTCATTGTCTGATATCGATTATGACGTAAATTTTGTCTGTCCAGTTTTGTGTATATCCTTTTTCGAAGATACCCTTCTCTATTTTTACTCGGACAACGTTCCCAATTTTGAGTCTTGGTTTGACTTTCAAATCGAAATCCGGGAAGAGATGAGCGAAGACCTGTGCTCTATTTTCATGTGAGACTTGGCTTGGTGCCATTCCAATGGCTCGATGAGGAGTGGAATTGTAGCCTTTGACTATTTCTGGAAGAACATCGATCCAATTTTTAGTTTTGGTTGATTTCATAAACAGCTCCACTCGTTTTTTGATGGTTTGATTGACTCGTTCTGCCATACTCGCTTTCAATTTTGTTTTGATACTATAGTGATGCATTCCATAGCGATCAAGAATTTTCTTTACATTGCCATTGTAGAATTCCAAGCCTTCGTCTGTGATAAGAGAATTAGGCCATTCGAGAAAATCTTGAAATATATCATTGAGAGCGTTAGCAACATCGATTCCTCCTTTTGTTTTTACAGGTCGTGTCCATATAAAGCGAGAGAAGCAATCGATTATAAGTAGAACATAAGCATACTGACGATTTGAAAATTTGAATTTCTTGTATTCAATCAAGTCACCCATAAAAATTTTGAATGGCGAGTCGACTATGATTTTTCTTCTGGGAAATCGTTTTTTAGTTATTCGACGGTGAGTACTATGAGTTTTATTCTGCCTGAGAAACTCCGCTACTTTCGCTGAGAACGCTGGAGCGCTTGCAACGTTTTCGTACAGGGCTTGAATCTGATCCGTCACTGTCTTCTTCTGTTTTTTCAGAGTCGCTTGTTGATTCACTTGATTCTTTACCTGAGCTTGAGCTTGCTGAGGATGTTTCACTTTCGGAGGAAGTTGATGGTCGTCTTCGCTTGGATTTCTTTGTCTTTTTCTTTGATTTCTTCTCGGGGACAGATCTCTTTCGTCGTTTTCTGGTTCTTTTCCTCTCAACATCCGACTCTGACGAGTCATCTGTAAAGCTGTCACATCTTGTTTTTGCTTTAACCCTTGATGTTTCGATTGTTTTGCACGATGAGTATTTTTTGTCATCTTTCTTCGCTGTTGCTTCGAAAGTATTTTCTCTTTCGATAATGTTGAAGTTTTGCTTGAAATCGTTGAAGGGTACGATGCAAGCCTTCATACCGGTGACTGAGTAGACAACAGGATATTTTGAGAATATATCCGTGTACAGCCGGTAGCTTGAGGCATGACCTCGAGGCGATTGATCAAGAAACATGTAAGGATATGATTTGTTCTTGATATCTTCGGACGCTCTCTTGAACGCTTTTTGCAGCCCAGCTGTATTGCAAACTCTCTTATTGATTGTTCCGTCAAGACAGTTTCGGCAGAGAAACGTTGCGTTACAGTTCAGACGAATGTTACGACCAAATTTTCCAGCAGCATAATTATTTTGAGTCATAATCATAACGTTCAGGCTTCGCTTGCCGCTTGTGACTCGAAAAAGATGATCTATAGCTTGACTTTGAATCGCTTCTTCATAAAGATCATCAAGAACAATCGTTGTATGGGGCATCATCTCATCAATATCATCCTGTGATGGGATACCGACGCGATAGCTAACAGGAATTCCAAGATCATCCCACTGAACGGGTTTTTCTTCAAGGAAACAGGGATAAAAATACAGGACCCGCTTTGTTTTCTTCTGAAACAGATGCCTGTTCAGAAGAACTTGCTTTGCAATATAAGTTTTTCCAGCACCAGATGATCCACTTAGCAATATACGAAAAGGGTATGCAAACTCTTTTTGAGGAAGAATTTCTCCGCTTATCATCGTTGACATTTTCTCTTAATTACGCGATCATATCTTTCACCGCTCCTTTTATTTACAACAATAAACACTGGATCAATAACTTGGCAATGATTTTGTTTTAAAATATTCAAACTTCAAAATGGTTGTAGTAGAGCCAAAAATAAATTTTTCTTTCTTTAAACAATTATGATTATAAAAATAACACTGGTCGTAAACATTGACGCAAGCGAAATTATTGAAAAAAATATTTTAGTTGAAAATAAATAATTCAAAACAGACATCAAAAAGAAGCAAAGAATCTTATTCAGCTCTGTGACTTGTTCACCATAATTTTTTCTGAAAAAAAAAAATTATTATACAAGACTCAATCAACGGGACATTTGAAAGCATTCTAGTTTTTCCCCGGTTTTCAAACTTAAGCAGACTCTAGAAAGTTGTTCTTTCACATATCTCAAAATCAGAGATTCAGAAGGTCGGTTAGAAACACAAAAAACAGGTTTTCGTTTAATTTTCGAGAAAACTACGCTTTTTTGATGAAAAGTTAAGTTTTTAAGGTCAATTTATAAACAAGCCTCATATTTTTTCATATACTCATAGTTTTTCCACAGGAAGTCTTTCAAGTTACGCGAAATAGATTTCCGTCATTTTGAGCGAAAAGCGCGACGCCGCGCGCCTCCTTCCCGATACAAACCCTACGCATGCTTATATTTGAAAAGTCTCATCATAGGGTCAGTTTTTGTAAAAAATAACATAAAAGTTTCTAGAAGGCTATTTGAATAACGGTTATCGTAATAAAAAGTTATTTGAATAACAAGTTATTTCAATAACAAGTTATTTGAATAACTTGGTTATTGAAATAACCTTCAAGAAATATTTTGTTATTTTTGACCGTCCTTTGTTTGGATGACTCATGTTTATATTTTATATTAAGTTTACTAATATTTATCATATGTTTGCGTTTAAAATAAATATTTTAACTTGTTTATATATTTCATAAATATTTATAATTATTTACGTTCCTTTGTTTACCTTATCTCCATTATTGAAAAAAGCTTATGTACATACTACTAGACTCTCATCCCTTTTTTGCCCAAAACACATCCTTTTCTAGCTCCAACTTACGTTCAACTCCCAAATGGGCAAATTCAAATGGTCCAAAATACTGCTCAATCTGGCCAAACCATCATTGTCGCGGGAAACCCACAACCCGTTCCTCCTCCTCCAGTTTTTTCAGCCGACGCTGCTCAAAGGCAATTCCAAACATTTGCCATGGCAGAAATTTTCCGTAAGAAAAGATTTTTGATTTAGCAAATTAAACTTTTGGATTTTAGTCATGCTTATGAATATTGCTTTCTCGGCACTCTGCGTTGCTCTTTTAAACAGTTCAATCGACTACTGCAAAAACTACCCGTATTATTAAATTTGCAAAAAAAGTCATAAAGATTCCTTGATCAATTTATTCAATATCAAAAAACGAGTCTGGAAACATCTTGTCCGCGCAGAGAAAGAGCGAAGCTGCATCGCAATCAACCGTCTCCCAGCCAGTTGATATGGAGGATTTTACCTCCCAGTCGGAATTGGCGGAAAGATGTTTCGTTTTCCGCGAGGCCATCTGAACGCAGCGCTGGCTTTTCGGCTCCTCCGGTAGCCAGTTCGTGAAGGAGGGGTAGAGGCTTTAATCGGTTTAGCGAAACTATTTTCCGTTCTATTGAGCTGGTGCTTAGAGAAATCATCTTTTTAGGAATCTCATGAAGATTAATGAATTATGTTTGAAACCAAGCCATATTTGAACTCAAAGTTTGTCCCGAATCTATAAAGATCGAACAAAATCGGCTTGTCGACCAAAATCGCGAGCTTCGACAAAAACAAATTCTTCGCCTTGGTATCCGGCTGAAACAACGTCATCTTCTGGGACTCGCAGTATCGGTAGGCATCACTTAGTCTTTCAATGCTATTTACCATTTTTCTGGGAAAATTTTTTTTATGGTTTTTGGTAGCATTTCCTAAGAGTTTTTGATCCTTGTAATTTTGGAATGAGAATCGCATCTGTTCAAGGATGATTTTTTTTAATATTTCCAAATAGCGCGATATCAAGGAATATTTCGGAAACCATCCCAGTCTATAAAAGCACACAAACTGGTTCTCCACGCAGGTCCTCGGCAATTCCATGAAGTTTCCACTCCCTTCAGTAGCTGGATCAGAAGAAGAATCGCCGAAGAAATCTACATGCACGTCATCAAAAAGCATTTCGCAGGATTTTTCCGTTGATTTTTCAAAATCGTCTTTGCTCCAAAAGAATGCCTTGGAGAGCCGTTTCTTCTCGCTAAAGATTTTTCTTTCTGTATTCAAGGCCAAAGTCATATTGGTCGATTTGCAGAGAGATCGGGCTTCGAAGCCTGTCCGACGCCGTCGTAAAAATCTGAATTGGTAATTTTATAGATCAAAAGATTTCGCTACACATTTCGCGCTAAATCGCGTATTTTTTTGGAAATTTGATTTTTGGAAACCTTGATATAAGCGTTCTACAAACCTGTATAAAAATGGCGTGATATAATCCTCATTGACGTGAATCATAAGCTCTGGTAGATGCCTTAGGTCTTTGTTTTCCACGTCGTCTTCTGGAAATGGTAGCTGTACCTTCTTAGGCTTTTCGTAATTTTGCTTTTTTTCGGATCAAAGATGCTTTTCTTGACGTAAAAGGGTTTTTTTCCACTAGAACTCGACATTGCCAATTTGATTGAGGCGAGATATTTTTTAGACAAAAATGTCGATTTTTTGTTCAATAATTTAAGGTCACCCGTGTCTTTTAAAGTGATTTTATGGATCAGGAATCTGATTGGCCGGTAGGCCAAATATAGCAATCTTATTGGTTATTCGAAAATGCACAGTCTTCCATAAATTGGTTTAGTCCAATTATTTAGGGTTGGGTCCTTTTTATTTCAAAAACTGCTATTTTTGAACCAAGACTTTAGGAAATCAACAGTAGATGAAAGATCAGAGCCAAAAATCTCTGCTGCGTCTTCTAGCTCGCTGAGTTCGCTTTCCAGCACTTGAACTTTCTCCAAAATTTCTTGCTGGACACATGCTTCTCCGACCCCAAATTCTCTTGAAACAAGTAAGCCCGCGAAAATGCCGAAGATCTTCATTTTTTGCTGTGAATTTGAAGAGGGAGACTCATACAAGTAAAAAATCCATATTTTCCAGGCCACTTGCCACAGTATGTTGCCAGTATTGAGGTTAGTTGTTTCGACTTAGGGGGGATGATTATTGATCAATCTTAGCACCAGTCAGGAAATTGGTGACCTACAATTGACAATCAAAGGTCATTTTCAAATATCAGCAACTTTCATCTAAGATGAAAGTGTCATACAGTATGTCGTCAATATTCATGATAAAAATGTAATATGTATGTAACGTACTGTATATTATAACTACAACAAAGCAATATTTTAATAAACAATTCCCCTTTATATACTTTATATGTATAGAATAATATACAATGATAATATCAATATAATATATAATTTATAACGATATTATTTTATAAATATAATCGTATATTTCCTGAAGATATAATTCCTGAAGAAAGGATGCTTCCAAAAGATGAAGAAGTAAATAAAATAATAAAACTTAATTGAATCGGAGTTTTCGATTGATAAAATTTCATTATTAGCAAGACTCTTCATAAAACATTATGCTATAAATATAAATTGTCGAATAAAACTCGATCATCTATGAACGAATTGGTAAAAATCGGTGCCTTTTCTTACTAAAATTGCCTACTACCATTTGATATCCAATTGAGAGATGAAAAACGGGTTGAAATTTGGATATTTTCTTTTTGCTCTTCTGTAAGTTTTTTTTTTCATTTTTCATTCTTTCATCATTATAAAATAATTTTAAAGAATCGTCGCTTTAATAGTGACTGGGATCGAATTAATTGTCCGCTTTTCAAGGGGTGACAGCGCAATCAATAGCCTTGCCATCGAGGCAAAAATTTCGGGGAATAAAACTGAGCTGGAGAAAAGAACAGTCAATGTAACAGCGTTTTATGAAGGATCAAGTAAGCAGCTTCTTTTTTGTTTATCTTCCCAGCGGATCTTTAGTGAGAAATGCAACCGTCGGATATTTAAAAATGAGAAAAGATGCCGCTTACGAGTTCTGTGGGAGTATGAATAAGTCCCTTCCGAAAGAAAGACTTACAGTTGTTCATGCTACTTCGAACTTCGTTGCTCGAAACTTCTGGCTTGATGTGAACTTCACCTTCCCCGAAATATCTGTTTCTGACTCTCCTCTGAAAAACGAAGTGGAGAGCATCCTACAGAGCTTAAAACTCCAGGAAGTTCAAGTTTATCTATTGAGGTAAGATGCTGGTTATTTAAAAGGTTTTTATGTGTTTCCAAGACTCTCCTCCTCACAATTTTCCGGTGACCGAATTTGCGCAAGAGCCGAATACACGAATAATAACATGTTTAACAATTTTCCCCGGACGGTGAGTTTAATTTATGAGAAAAAAATAATCATCTTCGAAAAAGTACATATGCGAAGAAAATATTTTTGATGAAGAAAATCGGCTTATATTGATGTCAAATCGAGATCCTAATTGTTCTACTTTGAAGTTGAATAGAACCCTTATCGAGAAATACAATCTACTTGACGAGAACTTTTTGAACAAAACTTATACTGTTATTCGTGATGTTTCGTCAGTATTTGCTGCTTTTCCTTCATTTTACCTTGGAACAATTGAAGACTTTTCGCCTAATGCATCCGACATACCATGGTGTCCTGATCATCCAATAAGTAAGATCTTTTCTATAGCCTATAGTCGTTATCATTATTTTAGAACCGATCGGGCTTTCTTACCAAAATGAAGGACTCCTCCCACTGTTTTCTTACTCAAAGTAATCATTGACTTTTTGCGAATCTCTGACACGATTTTAGAGCTCGAGCAATCTGTTTTTGAAGAAGATAACATAGAAAACCGACAATAAAAATCAGCCTTTAATAAATTGATTCAATATTACTGTATAATAAAACTCGATCATCTATGAACAAGATGGTATAATAATTGAAAAAAAATGATTTTTTACTCAATCGAGAGATGAAAATTGGCCTGAAACTTGGATATTCGTTCCTTGCGCTTTTGTAAGAAATTTTATAAATATAAGCTGTTGATTTATTTTAGATTCATCGCGCTTATAGTGACTGGCGTTGAATTGGTTATCCGATTTTCCACAAATGAAAGTCTTTTTGATAAACCTGATGTTGACACGTATAGCAGGGTAGAAATTCACAAAAATCGATCTGATTTAGAAAATAAAACGATGAATGTAACAACACTTTATGGAAACTCAGGTAAGGAACTCATTTTATGCTGATTTTCGACGTCTCTTCTCAGTAAAAAATGGTACTATGTCAATTCTACCGATGTTTAAAGATGCTGCTCATGATTTCTGTGCGAGCATGAATATGTCTCTTCCAACAAAAAGAGTCAGAGTAATTGATGCCCCGGAGAATTTCGGAATTCGGACCTACTGGCTTGATGTTAACTTCACCTTCCCCGAGATATCTGTGCCTGAGTCTCCACTGAAAAATGAGGCTGAAAAAATACTACGAAGCTTTAAGCTTTACGAGACCCAAGTTTATCTCCTAAGGTTTGTTTATTAATAATGAAACAATCAACAAATATTTTACCCGGAAAGACTCCCCAAAAAGCAAGGCATAGATGATCGAATTTGCGCGAGAGCTCAGTACTGCGATCGAGAGCGATTCTTTTCACGGAGGGTAAGATTTTTTACCTTGAAAATATCTATCTTTATCAAAAAAAAAAGTTTGTATGTGAAGACAATATGTTCGATGAAAAAAATCGTATTATTATGAAATCAACAAGAAATCCGAACTGTCGAATCTTAAAGAAAAAGTCAAAAATAAAATAGGGGGGTCCCCTAGTTCATCCTTGACTTTCAGCATGTGGTTCCCTTGTTCATCCTTGACTTTCAATGTCTGATTCCCTAGTTCATAGATGATGCAGGTAACCACATGCTGAAAGTAAGAGGATGAAGTTCATCTGATGAACTAGGGAACCACGAGTTGAAAGTCAAGGATGAACAAGGGAACCCCCTATTTTAGTTTATTATCTTGTTTGGCATTTAAGAAATATGCTTTACGCATATGATTTCTATAAAAAATTGACTTTCGAGCAGCTCAATAAAACCATAATCGAAGATTATCATCTCCTCAATGACGAGTTTTTAAACGAAACTTACAATGTTATTTATGATAACACATCATCATTTCCATCAACGAATCCTTCATTTTATCTTGGGAATATTGAAGACTTCTCTGCTTCTGCTTCTGGTATACGATGGTGTCCGACAAATCCGCTAAGTATGAGGCCCTATATTTTGAATGTCTTTTTTATTAATAATAATGATATTATATCATTTTAAGAACCGATCGGGCTAGCTGACCAGAATAAAGGACTGCTCGCACTTTTTCCTTACTCCAAGTAATATTGATCAAGCTTTTGATAAGCTCTTAACCACGATTTAAGCGCTCGAGCGATTTGTTTTTGACGAAAGAATCAAGCAGAAGATGGCAAGAAATATTTCCTGTTTTACAATTCTAAAGCACAAGAATAATAAACTCCATCAAAGTCATAAATTGTCTATCAATAAAACTCGATCATCTATGACTGAAACAGTAAAAAAACAAGCTAAACGGCTATATTATGCATTTGAGAGATGAGAACGGGACAAAAGATTGGATATTCATTCCTTGCTCTTCTGTAAGAAGCTTTCATTTATCCTTAGCACTGTTGATTTTTCCTAGACTCGTCGCGATGATTGTGACTGGCGTTGAACTGGTCATCCGATTTTCCACCAAGAAAAGTCTTTTTCACAAACCTGCTTTTGAAGAGTATGGCAGGGTTGTCATCCACAAAAATGGAACTGATTTGGATAATAAAACCATGAATGTAACAACGTTTTATGGAAACTCAGGTAAAGAACTCTTTCTATGCTGATTCTTGATGTCTCTTTTTCAGTAAAAAACGGTACTATGGCCTATTTGCCATTGACAAAACAGGCCGCTTATGATTTTTGTGCGAGCATGAATAAATCTCTTCCAAAGAATAGAGTGAGGGTAATTGATGCTCCAGAAAACTTCGGAGTTCGGGCCTACTGGCTTGATGTGAACTTTACCTTCCCTGAAATATCTATCTCGGATTCTCCTCTGAAAGATGACGCAGAAAAAATACTCCAAAGGTTTAAGATTCACGAAACTCAAGTTTATCTCCTCAGGTATTCCTTCAAGTGAAATACATCAATAAATTTTTTAAAGACTCCCAAAACCGCAAGGTTCTGATGATCAAATTTGCGCGAGAGCTCAGTACACCAATCGAGAAAAATACAGACTCTTTTCTCGAAGGGTAAGTTTTTATAAATTGAGGAAAATTAAATCTCTAATTAAAAAGTTTGTATGCGAAGACAATATGTTTGATGAAAAAGATCGAATAATTATGACATCAACGACGAATCCGAATTGTCCGATATTGAAGAAAAAGTCGAAAACTCTTTTTTTATATCATAATCGGTTTTTGTCAATAACTTATTGATGGTTGCATTCAAGGGATGAGTAATTGACTTTAAAACAGCTCAATAGAACAATATTCGAAGATTATAATCTCCTCAATGACAAATTTATGAACGAAACTTATACTATTACATACGATGATTCATCCTCACTTCCGGTAACAAATCCTTCGTTTTATCTTGGAACCACTGAAGACTTCTCTGCTTCTGCCTCTGGTATACCATGGTGCTCAATGAATCCACAAAGTATGGGGTCCTATACCGGTATAATGACGTCTTTTAAAATTTTATTCTTAGAACCAATTGGGCTTGCTGACCAAAATGATGGACTCCTCGCACTTTTTACTTACTCAAAGTAATGATTGAGGCTTAAGGTTTATTCTCAACCCCCTTTTTAGCGCTCGAGCAATCTGTTTCTCAGAAGATGACTAAAGAAAACAGCATCTTTTTGACTTTCGTTAAATAAAAGCTCTGGCCTCGTCATGAATTTACACTTGAACTTGTATAACCCTTATCATTTGCACCGAGCTTGCACCACCATTACGTAACCGGCAACATTGGTGCATGATTCCCCCTTGTACCGGCAGGCGGCTCCACCCATTATCGATCAGAATCGAGCTCAAGCTGCTCGAAATAAAAGAGAGGTCAAGCTACAACTATAAAATCTCAAAAGAAGAAAATTGAAAAGGGCAACGTCACGCGATCCAAGCTCGCCCAACTCCTGATTGACACACATTCTGGCCACTAAGGTCTTCTCAAAAGCTTCAAGCCTTCAAACTCGAACGAGAAAAAAGAGCTGAAGTAGCGAAAACTAGCCGCTGGGCGAATTTTATAGAGGATTTCACCGAACACGCTGTCTAAAAAGAAGCGATAATAAGCCTTTAACTTGTCACCTGAGGTAACCGCCGCCGGTTATATTTGTCCAGGGATCCCAAGAGGAAATTTTTCAAAGAAAAAAATTCGAAATTAAAAATGAAGAGTATCGAGCTGTTTTTGGTTTTTGGACAGTCGGCGGCGGCGGACCTGAAATACTCGGTCATGGAGGAGATTGAACGAATAGAGAATGCGGTGAAACAGAGCTTGGTCGAATATGATAACTTGGAGATTGTCAGGGAAGACTTCTGCAGCAAATGTAAGTACAGTAAATAACAGAGGCTTCAATGATAGCTACTGGGCTCGGGAAATTGTGCTGAGAACCTGTTCCATTCTTATAACAAGCTATTGTTAAATCTTCCATTTCTAGATGGGAGTCACTGCACGAATCAAACAGAAAACGGCCTCTGCAAAAACTTCGTTAACGGATACGTATGTGGCTGTCAACCAGGCTTCGTGAAAGACTTTCGCTCTTCTTATCACCTTTGTAAAGGTCAGACTCTGACCCCACGTGATTCAAAATTCTGATTTCACTCTATTTTAGACATCAATGAATGCACGATGCGATCACATGATTGCCCGAGAAATACGATTTGTAAAAACACGAACGGAAGCTATAAATGTATTGAAAAGAAGATTTCTTTCAACGAGAAACTCGTCAATTTTTTCTTTTGGATTTTTTCTGAATAAAAAAAATGAAAATTCCGAAAATTGATTTCATTCCAATTTCACTTGGGCTCATGTTCAATCGATAAACCGCACGAACAAATTGACCCTTGCTTGACAAATCCTTGAAATGATAATTTTATTTGAACAGATTCTTCATGGTTTCTGCTGGAGCAAGTTTTTATAGGTCGCTAAATATTCTGGATCTTCCCAGACTTTGTATTCTGCACTAGATGGGCGCTCCATTTCGAACTGAAAAATCTCCCCAGGAGCGAGCTTTTCCGATTCTTCGTCGTACTGCCCTCTCGATTTCTTGCACTGGGTTTTGTGGCCCCCGCCAGATATCAAAGAAAAAATAGAAAAGAAAAGTCTAAGCCGCATATTTTAGCTGAAAGATGGGACTCATTGACTTCTGAAATTCAACCATTCATTGATTTTATTTCAAATTGCGGGTAAAGCGTTGTCATAAGGGTGGTTTCAAATGATTATTGATGCTTTACTTTATTTGATAAATTTCTGATTTGAATCTTCTCATATCTTGAAATTGGCCAAGAGACTCTTTGATCGGTTCGGAGTCGATGTCTTCATGAGTTTCCTCTTGTGGTTCGAGTTGTTCTGGAATCATTGATGTAGAAACATAAGGAGACACGGGACTACTGATATTAAGATCTTTGGGTTCTGATGCTGAGGTATTTTCTTCTTCTTCGATCGTGTATTTTCTTTGTTCAGCAACATTTTCCTTTTTGCAGCTGCAGAATCTTCTCAGTCTCTTTATAAAATTCTTAGATTTTTTGGTGGATTTTTCATCGGGGAAATCATCGCTAGTGCGTTCATCCTTCGGAGCAGGATCGAATTCAATGTAGTCGCTATGACAAGAAAAAGGGCTACTATCGGGCGCGGGAATCGCATCGGTTTTTTCGCATGACGTGGTGAGAAAAATACTGAAGAAAAGTAAAAAAAAAGATTGACGAAAGAACTTACAATTCATCGTTGTTCTGGAAAAACCGAACAAGTTCTTCTATGTCTTTGAATTTTCGCTGTTCGTGGACAAAATAATTGACTCCGTCGGTCAAAACTCGAACATGTGCTGCATTTTCTCCTTTTTCAACAAATGAAATGCTATAATTGAATGTGAAACGGAGAAAAGTGGACGTTTCTACCTGTAAACATGTGCCCCTCGATTAGTTCTTCTGACAAGAAAGGTTCCCGGAAGACTTCCTTCAAGATTTTGCTCTGCCTCCGTTCTCGAAATCGAGCCAAAGAACCAAGGGCTTTTTGGTTCATAAGGATAAAATGCCATCTTCCTGTTTCAAATTATTTTCTTCTTTAAGTTGTCACGTAAACCGTATTTTCATTGGGACAAAAAGTAGTTGTCAATATTTGACGACCTCAATCATAAATAGCCAATATTTAATCTTCTGATGAAAAGTAACTTTTCCCTTGCTTCTGGTCTTTTCCCAAATAGACTCATACATCTGGTACACGCAATTCTTTCTGTATTTGACTGATCGTCTGGTCAGAAGCTCACTATGAACTGACTCTATCCCGATCCGGTTTGATAATTACTTCAAGGAAGAAAATCCTAAATCCGTCATCAATTCTTCAAATTATGTAAATAGGCCCTTATTAAGGCAAAAAGAATATGCGCAAAACCTGAAACGGATGCAATTTGCTCAGCATTAACGAGAGCCACCTGTCCGCAGCAGTGTCTCGACTGGCGCGAAAAAATCTGAGCTAGCTGTCCGTCCCGCCATCGTGAAATCTCAGATTTCTTGTGGGCGCCATCTAGCGTGAAATCGAGACTGATTGATATGGGACTTGAGTTGACGAGAATTGGGATTTATTCTATTTCGAGATTTAATTTTTTCATTTTGAAGAGAATGAAACTGTTAGGCTTGACCTATGGTTTGACTCAAGCCAAATCGACTGAGTCTGGAATCGAACGAATGGTTGACGCAAGAAGATACGACCAATTCGAAGGAATGGCAAAAGTTTTCGATGGGTAAAATCGCGTTTCTCAGACACAAGTCATCTCAACTTTTTGCTAGGTCTTTTGACAAACGAGTCATTACGAGATACGGCTGCAACTGCCCCCACATTGGCGATCGACCACTGTCTGATCCCGGAAAAGGAGCTCCAGTTGATCCTCTTGATCGTGTTTGCCTCTCATTCAAGGTAAGAGATTACGCTTCGAACAAATCCTTATCTTTCTAGCAATGCACAAAATGCGCGAAAGAGCGATTCGGCGAAGAGTGCATTTCCGAATTCCAGCGATATTCTTACTCCGAGTTCAAAAACGGCTACTTTAACGACATTCAATGCAACGACGATCGCGGTAGCTGTCATCGAGGTAGATTTTTCTCAATTTCAACAGAGATGAGAGAGAATAATTCTAGCGTTGTGCGAATGCGACAGAATGTTTGCACAGACCCTTTCGTTGGTTGATAAATCTACAATTGATACTGGAACTTTTGGTTTTGAATCGGACTTTGACGCTGATGCCATGTGCAGATGGGGCGGAGGTTCGCCAAAATTAGAATGCTGCTGGGGTGGGGACACGCCTTTCGCTCTTTATGCTCCAGAATACAGGTGAGTTCCTGATTTATCCGTAAAAATTGTGTGGGAAAAGACCCCTGTTTTTTAACGAATTCGGATGAATTAACATAAAATCTAAATAGACAATGCTGCGAGGACGGATCTACCAAGCCTTTCAGTCAGCCCTGCAAAGCGTCAGTTTACTAGAAAAAAAACTGCAATACTGTAAATCATTTTCTACTGGTTCAACCGACGAATGAGGGACCTTGAGCTCTCCTAATCATTTTTATTGAACACTTGTCTTTCCTTTTCTTTTCTAATAAAAACACATTTCAAACTGATTCTCAAACAAAAAGTCTTTCTTTTATGTGACAATGTTTTTCATAATTTATTGGTAGTCCTTTTTTGTGTTGCATGGCAGAAGATATTCGATGTTTCATATTCAATATTGTTAGATTTTTTAAACTCTGACAAGTTGAAAGAAATGCGGAAAAAAAGTTCTTTTTAGCAAAGGAAAAATTTTATCGCCAGTATTTATATTTCGAATATTACGAGGGAAAAAGTATTTTTGTGTTAGTGATTTGGCCAGCTTTTTTTATGGGCGGAATGGCTCAATAACGTTAATAATAAAATATTAATATTGCATGCGCGCTTTTTTCGAAAGTTTTTTACAAGTGATAAAAAGTAGAAAAGGAAAATAGAGATATGGGAGTTTTTGTTGGACCAAATATTGGTGACAGGGTAGTATGAATTTGTGTAAGGCAAAAAATGTGAATATCGGATAGGGTCTCCGCTTTTTGTTTTTGTCGTGGTGCTTTCTCTTTTTGCAAGGGGTGGTGAGTCGAATCGTGAGAGTGGAAGTTACTTAGAAAAGACCTTTCTTCTGTTTTTGCTTCGTCTTCAAAAAGGGATGAGTATTTTGCTTCGGTGACTTATCATTTTAATGTCAATTAAAAAACCAATCAAATGTTAAAACAAATCAAAGAAGAATTAAGTTGGAACCCATGCACACGACTATTAATCAAGGCGATTAATAAATCTAAGTATTAATTAATCAAATTGATTGAATGAATAATCACATCTTCAGACAATCATCTAGCTATGAGTAGGTACTACTGTAAAGAAAGAATCACACAAGTGCTTTTACCAAATTGGAGTGAAGAAATTTTGGGTGCGTAGAATGAGGTCGTTTTGAATTTTGGAATTTTAGAACCATTTTGTTTTGTCTTTCGGTTTTTTGCTAGACTAGAAACGGGCTTCAGACTTATGTCTTTCTTTCTACTGAACACTTGTCTATCAGACTGTCTACTAGACACTGCCGAACAAATCTAAGAATAACAGCTTTTCTCAATAGAAAAACCTGTTTATACCAATCAAATATCAATTAGCCTAACTTTGGTCAAATTAGGACTAAAGTTCTTTTCATTAAAATATGATCCCGTGCCGGAATAGTCTTCTGTCGCTCTTCCCACTCGTCTCGTTCCCGTTCGAACTCTCGTCGCCGCTGTTCGAGCTCTGCCAGATCGGTCTCGTACTTTTTCTTTTGCTACAAGAACGCTAGAAAAGTCGCAGAAAGGAATGAAATACTTGTTCGTGCTTGCGCATCAGCTCCTGCTCGGATTGTTTCAGCTTGTTTCGCTTCTCGTTGACCTTGGTGTCGAAAACGGTTTCCATTTCCTTCTCCATCTTTTTCATCTTCAAGCGATGCTCACTAGAATTCTTTATAACCCGCGCTAGATCCCTGTTTCTTTACCGTTTTTCCTCGTTCATTTGTTCGATCGGACTCTTCGCGGATGGATTCTTTGGCATGACTCCTGCGAGTTTCTTTGCTCGGAAGTTTTCGTAGTGCACGCTTGAAGTTACATCCACAAGATCCTGATAAAGAAAAGGATAACATGTAAAAGAGCGGTTCTGAATTTTTACCTGCATGTGGGTTCGGATTAGCATATCGCGCAATATCTTGAAGTCACAGTGCTCCTCGTTCTCTACCTCCGCGATTCCCTTAATAATTCAAACTCATTCTTACTGTAATTCCTCCGATTTCCATACCCATGGGTACTGACGAGCTCGGATGCGCCTGTCATTGATTTGGAGAACAACATTCGATCCGATAACTGCGAATGGAACCCGCTGTTTGAGCTTCTTTTGCAGTCTGTTTTCCTCCTCGTCGCTGACATCGGGGAATTCGTAAATGTTGATGTTGTGCATCTGGATCTCTCGAAGGATTTCTTTCTTGAAATCGTGACATTCGTCGGGGGTCATTGTGTCGGCTTTGGCGATTAGAGGAACGATGTTGACCTAGAGAATTTATATTAATTTAAAGTGGAATTTGTTATTTTGAGCGATCCTCTTGATGCGGAGGATTCAGGTGAGCTTTAAAAGCCTTACCTTTTCGTGAAGACGTCGCATAAACTCAATATCCAAAGGCTTGAGACCATGACCACTTGGAGCGATGAAGTAGAGACAAACATGAACTCGTGTATCGTGAATATGAACAGGTCGGTTGACGCGAGACTCCTGGTTTAAATAATTTTCGTATTGGTAGTCGATGTAGCTCTGGATCGGCTCCCAGCATTTATCGTTATTAACCTAAATTTGATTAAGAAGGGAAGCGGAGGGGGAGTTTACATTATCACCAAAACCAGGGGTGTCTACGACTGTCAGGTTGAGCTTGATTCCATTTTCCGTGAGACTCAAGGCTGTTTTCTGCACTTCTAGGGTCTTCTTTACTCGTTGCGATGGACCGGGATACTCTTCAGAGTAAACGTCGGTGAGGAAGAGCGAGTTGATGAGCGTCGATTTGCCGAGACCGGATTCGCCAACGACCATCAGCGAAAACTCGAATCCATCTTTGACGGACTTTCGGTACAGCTGATTTGGGAGGTTGGCAAAGCCTGAAAATGATGTCATCATTGACGCTTTCAACGAAAATGGAGAGACTAAGGTTTTAAGAACTGAAATTTCGGGGAGAAGTGCACCAGGGATTTAAAAAAGAAGACACCGCTTATCAAAATCACCAGTTTTTGTTCACCAGTTGAAACCTGGCTTGACTGGTTTCTCGGGGAGTCCTGTAGCCTCTCGAACAACCGGCGCGCCCGCGGAAGGAACCCGTTGAATCGGATTTTCCGTTATCGAGTTCATTCTTTTTATTATATCGCCCATTGGCGACTCTTCCGGCTTCGGCAAAATCGGTGCTTCAACTGGAACTGGCGCTGGCGTCGGTGGAGTACGCGCTGGAATAGCAGGTGGGGATGGTTTTGTTGAGTTTTGAACAGGCGGCTTGCTTGGGGCTGATGATTGAGGTGTAATGTCGATGGTTCTTGTGATTGATGAGTCGGCATTTTCGATAACGGCGGGGGTTGCGGGTGATGGCTTTTCCGGTATTGAGGAAGAGGTGGAGGAGTTCGACGACTTTTTTGACTTTTTCTTGCGCTCCTTTCGCTCCGATTTCTTTCCCTGGTGGGTTTAACTAATTTTTCAACAAGAAAAAAAGGATGATATAAAAACCACCATTCCTTTGAGTCGTCCGAAGAATAGTCCTTTGCTTTTCTTGAGCTGAGTTTTGGGCTCTTCTTGGATGACTTTTCAGGCTCTTTTGGGATTTCAGCCTGTATGCTGTTCCCCACGGGCGCATCCGGTTTATCCTTACTCCCCGATACCGTAGGTGTCTTTTCAGGCCTCGGTCTTGATTTTTTGAAAACGCCGCCAAAATGAGCGCTCAGACTTTTTACTCCTGGCGATTTTCCCGCTGCGGCGCCATCTAATGAAGAAAACATGCAAATTAGTCAAAGTGCATTTATAAGTCTTTCGACTTGTGAAGATCACCAGATCACCCTATTTCACACCTGTAGTGGTTTTAGCATGCGGTTCATTTTTTGTTCAGTTTTTGTGTCAGTAGAGCGGTTTGTGGATTAAACATGGACCTGTACTTACTGTCCTAGCTTCTTGGCTAGGACAGAAATGTACAGTTATTGTGAGTGTTAATAAACAAGCAGAAACATCTATCAAAAGACGAAACATCAAAGCCCTCTTGTTTGAGGGACGAGTAAAGCTACTGTATATATTTACCGACATAGTTAGCACCGTTATACTGTGAGGCGCTGCGAGTCGAATCCTTGTTCTTTTTCATTGTTTAATTTGAATGTTTTTGATCTGAAAGGGGTCAGTGACTGAAAATGGGCGCTTTGGATCGACCCCGACTGACCTCTGAAAAAGCGGTCAAATGATAAATTAGTCCAGTCCAAATTTTTAGCAATGACATTCGGTAATTTTGATGAATCAATCATTCAGTTACAGTTAAGAGAGGCTTTCAATTGTGAAGAAGATATAGCAGAAAGTGGTAGTTGTTTTTTTAACCTGGCCCGCCTTTAACCCATCCTAACGGAACTGGCAAAAGATTGGCGAGGCTAAAAAAGGGATGAAAATGAGAAAAGAACAGCACCATTTTGCATGCATGAATAAGCACCAAAGAACAAGGGAGGAAAGGTCATAAAAAGTCACACCAGGAAAATTCAATCTGGATTTCAGCTGGGAGCTCCCAGGAAATCAACGAGGAAAGTTTTCAAATTCAACAGAAAAAAGCACCAAATTTTAATGAAACTAAAAATTTTCAATCTTCAATTCTTCAAAAATACAATTTTTTGAAGAAGAAATTTCTACTAACTGGAGGTTTTCGTTTTCTCTATTCTATTGATGAGGGATTTGACGCTGGACGATGCGACAGAGGATGAATCGTCCTCCATTCTTCTTCGTTTGCTTTACTCAGTTGCGATGAATAAGGGTAGCCGCCTATTTCTCTCGCTCTCTTTCTGTAGCTGCTGGATTATCTGAACAAGAAACGTTACTAAATAGACCTCGAATAAACAAAGATGAAAGGCGAAGTCGGAAAAGCATCAGGTTAGGCTCTTTTGAGTAAATTGTAAAAAGGAAATGGATAAGATGAGTCAAGTGGTCGTTGTGTTTGGCGGAGTGATTTCGGGAAAAGGTCATTGATGGCATTCACGACCTGATTGATCCTTTTCGCTAATGATACTACGCGCTGACCTAGGCGAGCTTTTTCATTTCTGAGCTTCGGCAGTATTTATGATCTGTTATCATAAAAATAGTTCCAGTGTTACTCCAGTGTAAAAATTTTCTTTAAAGCTCTGTTATTTTTCCGTCCAACATATTTTTTCGAAAGGACATCTTTTTCATTAAAACTGTAGCTATAACTACAGTTGTATATTTCTCTAAGAAATGATGGTTGAAGAAACATTTTATGACAAAGCTCTTCACAAAAAGCACCTTGTTCCAAAGGGACTTGCGCAAAATTTGGCTTATGAAAAACAGCGATAGAAGTAGCCTGGCAGCTGCATCAATCCAATTTATGTTTCTTACACGCTCGCTGCTCAAACTTTCGAAGCCCTTCGAAGATGACTAAGTGGTGCATTGGTACATGGCACAGCGAGATTAATTAGCTAAATGTTTTTGCCTAAATATTTTGACAAGATGCTCAACAGCGAAAAATAGTCGAAAAGCGGCGCAAAAATTTAATAAAAATTGAAAACCTTGAGTTCAGAAAACCTTCTTTTTTTTGAAGAAACTAGACAAATCCTTGCTCTTATCTTTGTTTACCGATAAAAGCCCCCCGAGCGCGACGGGGCGCAAAATTGAATAAATTGAAGCCACCACTTAGTACTACTCGTAATAACAAAATAGCCTTCTTTTCTTCTTGTCTTGTCGTTAGTGCAAATTGAAGGACTTGCAACCGGCAAAGCTTTTTGCAGTTTATTCACGCATAACAGGAAGCGATAACTGTAATCTAACTTGAATCGAGTTTGAAAAACTGGCGCAGTGCCAATTTTCATGCGCCTCGAATTCTAGCTACAGAAAAAAGCATTCAAGTACTATTTCCGATATTCATTTCCGAGAGTACTTTCTCATACTGGATTTTCTTTCAGATAATAGTTCATCAGACCCACAAGTCGCGACATTTTTTTTTTGATGAGCGGCAAAAGATGGCGACAGAAAAAATTTTGGTTGAAAATTTTGAGCCAATAAGAAGCCTTTATTTAGCCAACGCTTCTTTGTGGCTTTTGATTCGCTCAACGTTTCGACGAAAAAATTGTCGCGGTTTTTTTGTCGCCCCGCGACAAAACGAATGCCATTCTCAATTGAACATGACGGGACAGCAATAATGAAACACCAAACTCAAACCTTTGAAAACTACGTCTCTTTTTTTCTCTCTCTATTTCGTTTCTTCAACGATTTCTTCAATGCGATCTCTTATCAAAGGCTCTCTTCCCGGTAGGTGCTCCCTGCTTCTCACGCTCTTAGGAAAAAATCGCTTACTTTTCAAAAGAAACATTAGCGTTGGAAAGTAAAAGTAACATTTTTAAGTTTGTAGTAAATTTATAAAGCGGCTAGTGGCTAGGGGCTACTATTATGAGGTCGTGGGCAAGCTAGAGCCTCATACCTCTAAGCGTTGTTTGATTCATTTTGTTTGGGCTGAAGCCTGCCGCCGCCAATCGGGCCTGCCGCTGCACCACCACCACCAAAATGCCTTTTTGGCTGAAAAGGGCAACGCCGAAATTGAAACCCGCCAGAACGGCCGCAAAGGCACGACAAAAACGATTCTAGCCCCGTTACGAATTTAGAGACTATCAAGTATTCTAGTTCTCACAGCAAGGGCAATTAGCAGAAGACAGTACTACGAACATAGAGAAATAACCTTCTTCAAAATAGGGAAGAAAATAACTAAATAGAAGATTTATTTTTCTTTTGAAGAGAAAATTGAGGGGTCACTATGTTAAATTTCATCGAAAATAAGAGCGGTTGAAAAGCGCAATTCTGGCATGCTAGAAACTGTATGCCCAGAAAGACAAAGCTGCGAGCCTCTACACTGTAGTGTTATTCACGATTAATGCTTGTAAGAAAAAATATCTTTTATAAAACATCGTTTATTATGTTTCGAATAAACATCATTACAAGCCCTGTTCTGTCCAGGCATCTTGTCTCCGAGCCAGAATATTTTTGGAAATCTTTTGATTATTTCCACGGAGGATTCTTTTCTGAGCCGCCGACCAAAGCCGACCTAATTCTATCGGAAATTTCAGCAAGTAAATTATGCTTTTTTTATCAGACCAACGGCTGCGAAAATAACGCTTACGCTCGTTCAATCTTCTTTAATATGCTCCGTTAGTAGAGTTTTAAGGCGATAAGGGAGAAGGCAGACGTAGCCCTGACTCAATTTCGTCACTGATAAGGATATATCAGGCTGCGTGAGAAACAAACTTTTTATGCATGATTACGGTTAGCGACCTCTTTCTAGCGGACCGCGAGAAAAAGCAACAGTCACCACGAATCGGCACTAATCTGACAAAAGCCACAACAACCTTCCTTCATTCCTCCAGCTCAAACAACAAACGGGCTTTTCCTGCCTTAAAATATCTTTCGAGAAATTCTCAAAGGGTCTTAAGACGTTTGAGTGACCCAAAGATGTCTTTGACTCTCTATAATTGTCCGCCAACTGTTTATGAATGTCCCAAAATGTTCCTCGATGCCCCTCGATGTCCAAGAATAGACCAAAATGTCCGTGAATGTCCCGAGATGTCTCAGCATGTCAAACAATAGCATTTTTTGAGCATGAATCAACAAACCTGTATCACATTTGCCCCTCCCATATCTTCACATAAGCATTCGTAAACATCATCAAATTCAATCTATAAGCAATAAAAACCAATCGAAAGAAAAATCAAATCATTGAACTTTTACTTGAAAACACTGCGCTTATCTTCCCTGAGGAAGCGTTCCCTTAAAATCATTGCCGAGCATGTTTTTATTAGGACCACCTCGCTCTTTAAGGGCTTATCTTCGATTATAGGAACGCTTCGCTATTAGGAAAGCGAGGGAAAGCTTTACTTTATAATTGATTGCCGCTTTATATATGATGAATTACCATAAGAATTTTTTGGTCAAATAATTTTTTTCTTAGATAAGGGGATATCCTGAAAGCCGGTAAAAAATTAGACTGGTTTCCAAAATTCTAGTGCCCGATGACGTCATTATGACGTCATAAGGGGCTTTTGAAAAAATTTCATTTTTGACCATTTTTGAGCCGGAAAACGACGGTCGATCCCTTTTTTCTTTTGTGGATCTTGTAGCTCAGGACCTGAGCCTTACTTACCCGGGGTCAAAAAATTCTAGAGGTCACGTGTTATTACGTAATAGGAGGCCCCAAACTTGGTATTATCTTATATTGTTAATTTAACTGTATAAAATGTATATAGTGATTATATTTTTTAGTAAATATTTATCACATGACCAAAAATGACTCATAACAGTCATCCGGAGGACCTCTCTACTGGAAGAAAGATGCTGGAAGAATTTATTTCAAAAAATAGATTTTCTCAAAAAATTATTGAAAGATGCTGCAAAAACAAAATAGAAACCCAGAAAACCCAAGAAAATGTCCGAATTATGGGCTGAGAAGATTCAAATTAAAAAAAAATTGAAATCGAGAGACTTTTTAAAGAAGTCTTCCAGCAATTTTCCTCCAGTAAAGAGGTCCTCCGGATGACTGTTATGAGTCATTTTTGGTCATGTGATAAATATTTACTAAAAAATATAAACACTATAAACATTTTATACAGTTAAATTAACAATATAAGATAATACCAAGTTTGGGGCCTCCTATTACGTAATAACACGTGACCTCTAGAATTTTTTGACCCCGGGTAAGTAAGGCTCAGGTCCTGAGCTACAAGATCCACAAAAGAAAAAAGGGATCGACCGTCGTTTTCCGGCTCAAAAATGGTCAAAAATGAAATTTTTTCAAAAGCCCCTTATGACGTCATAATGACGTCATCGGGCACTAGAATTTTGGAAATCAGTCTAATTTTTTACGGGCTTTCAGGATATCCCCTTATCTAAGAAAAAAATTTTTTGTCCAAAAAATTCTTATGGTAATTCATCATATGTTCTATAAACTAATAGGAAAATCATGGTCATCACACCATTAGCGGAATATTTTTTTAATTGAGATGTTAAAAGGGTTCTCGTTCGTGATGAGTTAAAGTGAGTACTGTTTCTTAGAAGTGAAGAAATACAGTAATGAGTGAGAGTAATGCAGATACAGTACGGTAGCTTGAACAATATGGAATATGCTGTAAGGAAGAGTGGTCGGCATTTCTAGCTGGAATATTTTCTTCGAGTAGTATTTCGAACTTTCAAAAAAGAAACAAAAAGATTGAATGTTGCTGAAGATGTTACTGTATGAACAAACAGGATGTTGCTATTTTTTGCTATTTTGAAGTTTCTCGGATGAATCGTGGGATCGTAAATCAAGGAGCACCAATTTTAGTATACCGTCGTTTTCCATCTTAAGAGCGTTTTTCAGATGACAAGGGTGGACCAAAACGCTCTTAAGTTGGAAAATTTACGATCAAACTAGGATGACATGAAAAAATGATGAATGAAAATACATAAAAAGAATTTTTTCCAAAACTCTAAAAATGCATCTGAGGTCATTTTTACCTATTTATGATAAAAAAATTACGATCTTTGAATCAGAGGCTATGATTTCACCTGAGAAAAAAGCGTAGAAAACAATTTTTTTCAATGATTTTTCAGGTTGAAATAAACGTTATTCTAATTATTAATTAAAAATTCCTAAAAACGCTCTAAAGTTGGGATTTTCTCAGATAACTAAATTTGGAAAATATTGGCAAAAACGCTCTTAAGTTGGGCGCTCTTAAGATGGAAAACCACGGTAATACAATTTATGTTTTTCTAGCTTTTCTTCTTCTATCTGCAACTCAAGTAACTGTTTATTGCACAGATGATTATAAATTGGCGGAAATTTAGTTGCTTGGCAGATATTTTTTCTGGAAATTGGTGATGGTCTTCTGTCTGATTTTGAATGATTTTTTGTAACAGATGTTTGTTGTTAATTTCTTCCAAGATCGCCCTCTGGTGGTCGTCTTTAAAATTGTCCTCTTTACGTGCATCATATCAGCTTCCGAAACCGAACGAAAAATCGATCAAATTCAAGGGGCGTTTCTTATCAGGCGCTGATAAGGAACAGCTTTGACTACTGGTAAATACGACTTTCATTAATGTAACTCCAGAACCACTTTCTTATCGGGAAAAAACAATTTTAGTAAAGTAGACATATCAGCGCCTTTCCTACTGAGTGAGACTCTAGTGAGGCTCTCGCCGAGTCTCTAAATTTGCGAGAAATCAATGCCCCCAGAATATCCTCGTTCTCCTTGGTAAGTGGTATCCTGGCTGAGCAAGTCGAGCTGGCTGCGTCCCCACTGCTCGGCTTGGCTGGCGTCGATGTCCTGGCTAAAGCCCATGCCCTGTGAGAAACCCTGGCTGAATCCCTGGCTCAGCTGGCTTCCCATGCCTTGGCTCAGGCCAGATTGGCTCATTTGCTGCGAGTTGGAGCCCTGCGTGAATCCCTGGGAGAACGATTGCGTCATGTTGTCCTGGCTGAGAGGACCATCGCCAGAGCCGCCGCGGTCGTCGCGATTGCGCATGTAACCCTTGCCGCCTTTTCCAGCTGCTCGTGGTGGTCGCGAACCGTACTGAGAGCCCATCACCATGTTCATTGGAACGCCAACGCCTGGAAGATTGCCTGGATGATGAGAAATTCGGCCCATTGGATCGTATGTTCGCGGCGCGTTCCGTTGTCGATCATAAGGCCCTCCTAGAATTTAAGCTAGAAAAGGAGAAAAGTGAGGATGTAGAACCTGGGACGAGTGCTTCTTTAGCATCCCAAGTGGCGGTCTGAGCCCATCGGCCTTGTTGGCCAAGGTTTTTGTCGGTTCTTGGCTTGACGAATTGGATTGCTGATTCTCGCAGATCGTTGAGAGGTCCTTCGACCAGAGTATGGTTGTCCTTTTCGAGGGTTTTAATAATTAAAACCAATTTCAATTTGAAAATGTTGGATATATGTAAGTTATCGAATTATTCTCGTCGGGGGGACGGATCTTGACAAATGATTCAATTTCAGAAAAGGGTTTCATCAGAGTTCGAAGTAGGTTATTGTTTAAAAGTCTTTGAAATCTGATATTTACGGTTCCTAGAATTTAATATCGGTTATCATCTATGATGGATAGTAATGTTCTAAGGCTCAGAAGTACTGAAGCAGTCAGAAGCATCTCTACTTGGTTGTCCTAAAAGTCCATTAGGGCGGAATTTAACCTGTTTATATAAATTCATCAACCAAGAGAAAAAACTCAATTTTATGTTGCCCGAAGAACAAAAAATAAACCCTTTCCTTGAAATACGTAAGCAAGTTGTTCCACATCGAGTGTCTGGAGAGCGCTTTTGGATTACCAACGATGATGACCCCATATCTCGCTCTAGTCAGCGCCACATTCAGTCGTCTCGGCTCATTCAGAAATCCAATGCCTTGATGTTCGTTAGCTCTGACGCATGAGAGGATGATGTAGTCCTTTTCTCGTCCCTGGAAAGCATCAACGGAGGCTACTTCAACGTCTTGGTAGAGTTTCGTATGCAGCGGTCCATTGAACTGCATGAATTGGACGAGATAGGAGCGCTGGCCTTCGTAGGGCGTGATGATTCCGATTTGTTCCGGCTTGACACCAGCTTTGAGCAATCGCGTTGTGATCTTTTCCACGACTGCTGCTTCCGCTCTGTTCAGATACGAAGTGCCACTGGATGCAATTTCTTCCTGTCCGTGGCATTTGTAGAAAAACATCGGCTTGTCGGGAACGGGCCAGTTGAAGCCACTCGCGGAACGGTCTGCTGGATTAACGCCGTTTTGGAGCGAGCCTTCGTAAAACACGGACGATGGGAATTGAGATAGCGCGGGGTGCATTCGATATTGCACTTGCAGTCGAATGGGTCGGATTCCCAAGATGACGAGGCGCTCAAAAAGCGACTGGCAAAGACCAGCGTTTCCTGCCTTTTTGCACATGACAACAGGGCCAAGTTGGCAATGATCTCCGACTAGAATGACTTGCTTTGCGCCCAGAACGATCGGAACCATGCACTCTGGTTCCGTTGCTTGAGTAGACTCATCGACCAGAACCGCTCTAAATCGAAACTTGGCAAGTCGAGGATCGCCAGCGCCAACGCAAGTAGTGCAAATGACATCAGCATTGAGCAAGAGATCTTTCTCAGCTTGTCGTCGAAGGGATCGATAACGCTTTTCGTCATTCGGAGCAAGTTCGCCCATTTCGCTCTTGAGTTCGCAGAGTTTTCGTAGCTCGCGTTGTTCATTTAAGTTCTTGACTTGGTTGTGGAGTGAGAGCGCTCCGACAGAAGAGTCGACGTTTTCACGGCTCTTCGCGCAAAGACGAACGACTTTAAAGAACATCGTTTAGTAAGGAGGTACAATAACAAGATCTGTGCTCAAGAAACTGTGTAAAAACCTGCATCAAGGTCCTTAAAATCTTAAAAAACAAGATTCTTTGCAAGAGCGGATCAGAAGCCTCAAAAATCGCAAAATTGCGATTGATGAAAATTTTCATTTGAATATCCTTCGTGTTTTATTAAAACACAACAAGAAACCTCACTCAGATTCTTACACAGTTTCCCGAGGACTAAACTAGAACCCTACCTTTCAAGCCAGTTTTATGAATCTTCTCCGTAAGCTGATCAACAGCAATATTCGACGGTGCACAGACGAGAACCTGTCCCATCTCCGTCGATTTGACCAGATGATAAACCAGCGTCGCTGAAGTAACCGTCTTCCCTGTTCCAGGAGGCCCTTGAATCAGCGATAGAGGCTTCTGCAAGACTGTCTTCACTGCATACGCTTGGGAATGATTTAAATCTGGAAGTCCAGGCGCGGAAAATCGTCGCGGAAGCGAGGGAATCTTGAGATTTTGCTCTTCGATATCGTTGCCGAGGAGTTTGTGGTAGAGATAGCCAGAGACCGAGGACTCATCAACGGCGAAGGCTTTTAGGGCAGCTTGCATTCGATCGAAAGAGGTGGATTTCCAGATGAATTCGAGGGAAAACCCACGGGAAGTTTCAAGGATTCCGTGTGGGACATTTGCTCTATGAAGAAATTTAAAAGGGAGATAAGAATTTTAGAAAGTGAAGGACAAAACTGACCAGGTTAAAATATTCTTACCTGAGTTCGAGACCAATTTCATCCCCAAAATTATCTGGAACTTTGACCACGTGACCTGTCGATTCCCAGTTTTCCGCTGGTAATCGCAATCGAACTTCGTCTCCACACATGAGTCGCATTTCCGAGTCCGTTTTCGGCAAATTCATGTAGGCAACTTTTCGTTTATTCAGCGCCGTGTCCCAGCGAACGTTTGTGATGGCATTTTGCGTCTGACTTTCTTTCGTTTTCTTGTCGTAGTCGGCCTCGCGGAGAATCAACGGGCCGAAGATGTTCTGGTACTGGTAAGCGTCTTGGTAACGGAGAGATACGGACTGTACATCGTCTACGGCGACGTTGCCGCGGAGAATATCGTCCACAGTCGCGTCCGGCTGATCCTTCCACAGCTCCTCGAGTTTGTTCATTTGCTGCGCGGAGATTTGACGAGCGCGGGACTGCTCCCCGTCGGAAGGAACCTTCACGATCCAGGAAAGAAAAGCGCGGTCTTGGATGATCGGAGCCCATTCCGTTGCGTCCCATTTGTCTTTTTCTTTCTTTGCCTGAGCGGCGCAAGGGGTCCGACAAAGAAGGACCACGACGGAATCTCCTTTGGCCGGAATATAGCCGAGAAGAAAGATGTTTCGACAGCCGCAAGAGAAGCATTCGAGCACGGTGTCGCCAAGTTGCCCTCCCTTGTGCAGGCTGACTTCTTTGCACTTGGCCCGGACGAGATGATTGATGATATGCGAGCCGGAGGTTGTCCCGCGTCCGTTGCAAAACCACTTCTTTGTCAGTTGACATTTCACTACGTACATCGGGTCGTGCAGGCCGCAATAAGAGCATGCATGCTCGGGCAGGTCTTTGGCTTGAATCGAGTCGATATTTTCGTCGTATTCTTCCTCATCTTCTTTGAACTAGAATTGACGATGAGAGATGAAGATAGAAATCGGATAATTGGTTAAAGATTATTTATCTATCGATATATTAGCACATAATTAGCGTTTTATTGAGTACCTGTAGATCATTGATGTCCTCTGCGAGTTGATCTTCAAACTCGTCCTCTTCGATAATCTGCGATCCTAATCCTCGTGGCGTCTTCCCGCCAAGGCCATCAAAATCCTGCGACGCAAGACTTTGACTTTGGCTACGAAACAAAGTGTTAACAAGTTATTCTTGACAAAAAATATCAACCTTGGCATGGTGAAATCGGTAAATTCATAGTCGGTCGCTTGAGTTCCTCCTCCGATCAGTTCATCCGACTCGTTGAAGGTGAGCGTCTGTGAGCTCGGTCCGAAGTCTACCGAGCTCATTATTCATTCAATGATTTCAATCTGTAAATGATTTTGGATAATCGTAAAAGGAACAACAGAAATAATTGAGGAAATTCAAGGAAGGGAAAGTTTGTTTGATCTACATGATATTATAATCAGATGTCGAATTTTGACTTAAAATGACATCTCAGGACATTTACTCTGATCTACAGGCGTCTTTAGGCATCTACAGATATTTACAGACAGCTACAGACATCAAGAATTTTGTGAAAACATCGACAGACATCCGTAGACATCTATTGACATCAGATACGATTCCGTAGACATTGTTACACATCCATCAAGAAAATATACAAACATTGACATTTATCAGCAATTACGGGTTTTTTCCTTCTCTAGGACAAGTAGTTTATCTTCTGAACTACTGACTGCACTGTAAATAAGAAATTTTCTAGAAAAATCACGGACAAATGTAGAAAAAAGGATAAAAGGTCATCGAGCAGCTGGATTACGAGTGGACAGAGCAAATGGTGAAAAATTGATTCATCGATTCCGCGAAAATCGCAAAACAGAAAGAAAAGAGTCGCCAAAACGCGAAAACTCAAGAGGGGCAAAATATTTAGAGTGACAATAAACCAATTTTTATTTTATATGTTCTGAGCCGTGTCTTTTTCTAAAAGCAAATTGACAGAATTGCGAGATGAGCGAAATAATAAAAGCAAAAAGAATGAGAAAATAATAGAGAGGTGCTTAGTTTTCTTGAATAATCCTCTTGGTTAGAAATGAAATAATGGAAGCTGGCCATTTTCGATTGATTTTTGGGTTATTTTTGAGAAAAAAGATTGGTTTCTTTCGAAAACAGGGCTTCAAAATGTATTTAATTTTAAATTAATAATTTGTTTTCATTAGAAAAGAAAATTTAATAAAAAAAAGTTTAATTTTCCCTTGTCCTTATTATTAATTCGCCCAGGAATCGCATTAAATATAAGTATTAGTTGCACTGCAATTACTGTAAATAAATTCGAAAAAGGCGACGTGGATCTGGGCGTATTTGCGATTTTGAAGTAGCGGGTGGGTTAGCTCGTCTGGCGGCCACTGGCTCTTGGCTTGATTCTCGTAGGCGAAGAAAGGTGACGAAGGCAGCGGCGTTTCTTATGTTTGCCCATTACATTTCTCAAATCAGCCCAATCCAAAGCCGCGCTTTTCACTTTTTACTTTTTCCACGAAACTGAGAAACCAGACCAAACTCGCAAAAAAATATCGAGAGGGAGAGAGATTTTAATAGACAAATTACTCGTTTTTCTAGTTTTTAGCTTCTAACTAAATGCATTTCAAAGAGAAATTTTTATCAGTTATAAATCAAACAAAGATCTTCAAGGTCACGTGGGTTCTGCTACGCCTACTTTAGTTATTTTGGGCCTATTAGACCAACTTTTTCATAAAAAAGAGAGAGTTTCGGTGTTTTTTCTTGAGTTTTTACAGAAAAAAATCAGGTTTTACGCTGAAAAATGGTATTAAAAGCTTTTTCTAACCAAAATCATTAATTTGTGATAAGGGATTACTTGAATTTTTGGGTCTCATCTTATCAGAAACAATCAAATTCCTCGTAAAAAGCGCTAATTTCGATCAGATTCCATTCTTCCGCGAATAAGAAATTTATCAAAATACCAATAATTGACAACCTATTACGTAACAAATCGGAATCGTCGAGAACTCCAAAGGAAAGTTTTTTTCAGCGGCCAATCAGAAGCGGCGACCCCTCGTGACACCTGCCCGACTTCCTGCGCCTCCCATTTCCCCCAAATTGATACTTTCAGATTTTCATTTTTACATTTCTCGGTTTTCAAAAATCAAAAAGCCGAAAAGAGAGAAAAAATGAAGAAGACATTGAACCCTGATCGGAAATCGCGAAGCCATACTTTTTGACATTCTTCATCCAGAATTTTAAAAGTTGAAAGATGCTGGAATGTTGAGAAGTGTGATTTGGCGAGTTTCCACCTTCGACGATGCATTTTTTGAAATTTTGTTTTTACGAGTTTCAGATTTGACCAGAGTTGCAAATTTTTGAAATTTTTTTCTGAGCTGAGCTAGCTGAGCTGAGGTTGAAACTGAGCTGAGCTGGCTCCTCATAGAAAACAACTGAGCTGAGCTGAGCTGAGCTGGTTTTTTTCAAAAAAATTGAGCTGAGCTGAGCTGAGCTGGGGCATATTTAAAAATTTTTGAGCTGAGCTGAGCTGAGCTGACGATTTCTCAAACTGAGCTAGCTGAGCTGAGCTGACCATTTTTTTATGCTGAGCTAGCTGAGCTGAGCTAGCTGAGCTGAGCGGAGAAAGCTGATTTTTATTTACTACAAAAATGTCAAAAAAATTTGTTGAAGCGAATTTCAACCTTCTTGAGTAGATGGACAGGGGAGCCCCTGCCCTCACACACCCCTAGACCAGCATCTCACTCGCAACATCGCACTTTTTTGACATAAAAAAATTATTCTGTCATTTAACAATAAGGAATCCTCCAAAATATTATACAGTGGTATCATTTATGTGGATGAGCCAATGTTTCAACCTTCTAGCGTAGATGGACAGGGAGCCCCTGCCCTCGCACACCCCTAGACCAGTCTCTCACATTCGCAATCACATATTTACCATCTGTAGTTTATTATTTCTTTATTGGAAGCCCTTTTTATTTAATTCCTCTCTTGTTTCAAAGAAAACTCGAATTATTTCTATATAAAATTGACCAACAGGAAAGCATGAATAGAAAATACGTCGAAGTTTTTGAAAAAAAGACCAATCAAAAGTGGTTCGATCTTTGTCAGCTCAATAGACTGAGCTGAGCTGAGCTAGCTGAGCTGAGGTCAAAATTGAGCTAGCTGAGCTGAGCTGGCTCTTTTCGAAGAACCATTGAGCTGAGCTAGCTGAGCTGAGGTCAAATTGAGCTGAGCTGAGCTGAGCTGACCCTCACCTCAAAATTGCTGAGCTGAGCTGAGCTGAGCTGTAGCTCAGCTAGCTCAGATAGCTCAGCTCAGCTAGCTCACAAAATTTGCAACTCTGGATTTGACGAATTACGATATTTGTTTGATAGCCTCCCTACCCTCGAGTAAACTATTCTTGAGTTCGAAGAAAGTTTACTTGGTAAAAAAGCTGCTCAATTCAGATGAATTCATCAAAGAAGCAAATTTTTTATCATGAAATATAAAAGATAGAAATTCTGTGTTCAGAGAACAGATAAATTGGCATCAGAGTAGAAGGGATATCCGTTTCTCTCCGACTTCAGCGCAAATTTCGAAAGAAGAATTGGATCGATTTCAGACTTCCAGGCCTCGGCTTTTCCTTGGCGGTAGAGTTTGGTATTGAAGTCTTCTTTTCGCTCCACTTTTACTTTTTTCTTCGACATCGACTACAGTTGCAGATCAGTAAATTAACCGTTATGCAAGTTAAAAAAAACCCTGAATGATGAATCTTCGGCAATTTTCTGCGCATCGACATTTTCAATGTTGAGAAAACTAGCGATTTTCGAAACTTGTTCGGGTAAATTCGACTTGAGATCTTCGAATTTCAAATGAAGAATTTCCGCTTTTGGGTATTTGGCTTTGAAGTTCATTTTCCACTGATTGTTGTATTCAAAATAATCGCTAGAAAAGACGAATATTCAACAATTATAAATTATAATTTATAATTCAAAAGCTGACCCGTAATAGAAGTTTCCAGTAAAGAACAACTCGGTAAATTTGTTGATATCTTCGTTGATTTCCATTGTTTTGACGAAAGGCTCGATGTAGACAGTATCTTCATCATCCTTCTTCTCGCAAAAGAAGTGAAAAGCAGAGGCAGCAGTGGCCCTTGGATCGCGATCGACGAAAATTACCTTGTTCCCGTTCAGATTTTGTGGAAAAGATGAAAGGGGTAGGTGAGAATGAGGCATCACCAGAGGAACTTCTGAGCGTAAAATAGTTAGTAAGAAGAGCAAGGTGAACTAGGGAAACCTTGAGTTGGATGGTCTTTAGCAGCAGTTTCTAGCAATTGAATGGCCTTTTTCCCAAATCGCTGGTTTTCCAAAGGGTTCCATTCAATGTAGGTATCTTCATCTTTTATCTCAGTTGTCAACCTAACGGATTTGAATTCATCAAAAGTCTATTATTGCTTACTTGCAGCCAAGGTTCTTCAAAATGCCCTGAACAAAGTGGCTTCCCGTCTTTGGGTAACCCACTATCCAAACAACATTGCCAGAAGATTCCATATTTTCCATCGCCTCAAAAAATCCCTCCGAGTTTTCCTCTGCATGAACATGAACATAACCTCCAGATTTTGCCGATTTCTCTAGGACTCCGTATTCAACGAGTTTTTCGAATTTATCTTTTTGAAACGACATTTTTATGAATCAAAGTCACTTCCGTTTTGACAAAATCAAAGGGCGTTTTAGAGAGTGGTAATTTATTGTGATCGAGGGAGAAGAAACAGTGATATGAATTATCGTCGTCGTCGGTAGTTGCCGTTGTATTGGCTGCTTGAAGCGGAGTATCCATCGTTGTAGGATCCCTGTGGGTACTGGTTCGACTCCTGTGGGGTTTGGTTCGAGACCTGTGGGGTCTGGTTGGATTGTTGGGGATATTGGTTCGACTGCTGTGGAGTTTGGTTCGATTGTTGAGCATATTGGTTCGACTCCTGAGCGTACTGGTTCGAAGTTTGGGGAGTCTGGTTGGATTGCTGAGCGTACTGGTTCGACTCTTGAGCGTATTGGTTCGAGACCTGTGGGGTCTGGTTAGATTGTTGTGGGTACTGGTTCGACTGCTGAGGAGTTTGGTTCGATTGTTGAGCATATTGGTTCGACTCCTGAGCGTATTGGTTCGAAGTTTGTGGGGTCTGGTTCGACTCCTGTGGGTATTGGTTCGATTGTTGTGGAGTTTGGTTCGAAACCTGAGGAGTTTGGTTCGAAACTTGAGGAGTTTGGGCAGGGTAGGAATCTCCTGCTGGATAAGCAGCTGAATTTGTAAGGAATAAAATGGCTATTTACAGGTACTTACGATCGGGGTTGTACTGGGCAGCAGCAATGGCGATGAAAAAAGCGGCCAACTTCATTTTTAGTTTCTTTTTTGAGTTATTTCTCCGATTATCTCAGAGCTCAATGATAAGAAAACGGTTTGCCGATCCTTATAAGAGGCGAAAAATTTACGGCGAAAAGGTCAGGGACGTTCCGCGTAAATTAATTGTATTTGGACGATGCAAGTTCGAGGGAACTTACATCAGCGAATCGGGATACCGTTTTGACGGAAAAAAAGACGATAGTTGGGAAGTTCTTTTCTAGAGCTACCCAGCTTTTAAAATGTTTTTGACGATTATTTCATAAAAAATATGAGACTGTTTTGTATTTTTACTTTGCTTTTCTTGGAATCAATGCTCAAGATTATGAAGAATACGCATTAGGTAAGAAAGCATGTCTTCATTATGATTTTCGACCGAAATAAGATAACGAATACGGCGACGTTGCCGATTTTAGCGATGACTTCATGATAGACGACCTAGATGAAGACCAGGAATATGAAGATTATGAAGAATACGAGGTAAGGTGATTATTTAAGCATCGATAAATATTCGATCAAGGACGATGAAATTACCGACTACGACTTTATCGACGATACCGAGTTCATCGAAGACGAAGACGAGAATGCTTATGAAGATGAAGATTATGATGATGTAAGAATTGTCCTTGCTATTCTTTATAAGCTGGGTTAAGGATTATGAAGATGGAATTTCTGATTACCCTGACTGGATTATCGATTATGATGAACTCCAAGATTCTATTGCCGAGGAACAAAATCGAGAAAACATCAAAGGTAAAGTTGCTACCAGATGAGATACGAACAATTCTAGCGCTGTTACAAAACGAGCTTGAACAAGAATCAGACTACTATCAAGTCTACGATGATGTTGATGACTATGACGACTACGACTACGACGAGCAAATTTATGACTACATCGGTGATGACGACGAATCAAAAGCGCTCGATGTACGTTCTTATTCATTGAAAATAGTCAATAATTGATTCAATAGGATATCCTTGGAAAGCTTGAAAAATTCCAGAAGGCTCATCAAACAATGTACATCATTAGCGTTGGCGTGATTCTGATCGTTCTCGTAAGTCAAATTGCAAATCTCCCCATAAAAGCTTCTAGATCAACTATGCTCAGTTTGAGGTCAGTCGGGACAAAACCATCTGTCAGGACCAAGGGCTGAAAATGCAGATAATATCTTTATAATTTTTCTTTAGATTTGGCTCTTTTACTGGAAGTGTCGCGCCAAAGGAAAATCCGCAAAGACAGAAATTCCCGGAGCATCCCAAGGAAGAGCTGACAAACGCCGCTTGTATGGAGTGACCATCAAGAAATAAAACTTTCGAACATATCATCTTTGACTGCCTTTATTCAACTCATAATAAACTCAAAAAATTTAGCGGGTGACGATGTGAATATCTGGGGTAGGTTGCATAATTGAATAGAAATAGTGTGTGAACTCTTCTCCGTAAGTCGCCAGTGCCTTGAAATGAAGTGTCTATCAGGAAATGTGTAAATAGTTAATTGGCTGCTTCTCTGCGTTAGAAAAGGTTTGATACGACAGCTCTGGTCATTTATAATGGACTATGTTAATAGTTGGTGGGCTTGGTTCAGGACATTATTCTTCCATTTCACAACGGGCACTCCTTAGGGACGCAAATGCTTTCTGAATTATTAAACAAGCTTCGTCGAGATCAGCCCGAGAAGAACTACTCCCATAGAAATAAAACGAGATCCCGACTTACCAGAGACTCACCAGCAAATTATTGAAAGCAAATACTATTATTTATTATTTATAAAGAAGATAAGAAAAAAAGAGCCTCTATAATTTGTGACGTAAGTATCCTTTGAATTAATAATTGATTAGGCGAAAAATAGTAAAAAGTCAAATAAGGGTTTCTCTTTCAAAAAATCAACAAAGAAAAAAGGGCTGTAGCAAAGGAAGAAAATAAGGGTATCCCTCCTTTATTAAGAAAATCAGTTAAAATCTTCATTTTCTGTTCGATTTGGACGTCTTAGTTTATTCTAACAGAGGTAGCTTGAATCGGGATGGATCGGATACGGGCTTCCACCCTTATTTCCGGCAAAGCTCATCCAAAAGAAATTGCCCTTATTATGAGTGTTGGAATGAACTTGAATCGGACAAGCGGACCGCTTTATACGACTATGGTTTTATTTTATGACTCTTCTTCTTTTCTGTCGCGCTTTCCCTCTCGCTCATTTTGAAACTCTAATCATCGCAGCAAATCGCATGAATCAAACTTTATTTAACAAATTTTTAACCAAAAACTAGCTAAAATGAAAATTGAAATCATAGAGGACCCATCCCGAAACATGAAAATCTCGAGCGAAACAAACGAATTGAAAAAGGAAACAAAGGTAGAATAAAAAACATGAATTGTTGAAGGTGTTAAAAGTATAAAAAAAAAGAGATTTGCTTTTTACAACTTTCCGACGCTAATCACCCCTTTGGTTAATAAGCGCACTCAGCTCGCTTTGCACTTGGCCAATTGGGGTAAATCGCATAGAAAGGGAGAGAAACTCTGAGATAGAAAGAAGCACTTGACAATCGAAAAAATATGGCTATAAAAGTAAGAATTTGGCTGTTGATAAGGCTACCCCCTTAATTTCTGGCCCTGATTATTGTGTCAGATGTTGGCGGTATTATTTTTAAATCATCTTTTTTTTTCTAAAAATTTTGATAGATCAGCTTTTTTAAAAACAATCATTCCAGACGAGTGAGTTCTCAAGGTTCAGATTCTTTCTTTCTTTGAAAAAACTTGTCAAAAACTCAAGGTCTGCTTCCTCCTCCATTGACACACTGGGCCCCGTTCAGCTCGGTCAGTCATGTTAGTTTTGCTTTTCTTTTGATCTTGAAAGATTCTTGAGAAACAGCTTTTGGAAAACGATATTTTGACATTTTTGAGCGTCCGGCTTTTTATTTTTTTTCGAGGTATCGATCAAGGTATGAATTCATAATAGCCTTTATTGACGGATTTTTACTGAAAAGACGGGTTTGAGATACAGTTATCCATAAAAATTGGAGTTAATATTCTTCCGGAATGTTGAAAAAATCAAAAAAAAGTCGTTACATTCTTTCTTGAGTTTACGATGGTCAACCATTATTTTTCGTAAAATAAGTCAACAACAAGTGTTAAAAAAGCTTTAAAAATCTGCTTAATAGTGCCATAAGTTATGGCCCATAACCAGGGATTAATCTACCGAACCAATCCGTCAAAAATCAAAGCCCACCCAAGTTCAAATCATCACGAATCATCTTTCCTGGAGTTGAGACGTTTCATGAACTTCAAATTTTTCAAATCCGCCAAAGCGTCAAATCATTTTTCCTATTCAAAAAGAGGCAGATTTATGCTTTCGACGGTCATGATTGATGAAAATTTATCGCTTTTACGATTTTATCGTTAACAGGTTGAACTTTTAAAAATTGACTGGCGTCCTACAATTTGGAAAGATTTATCGATCTTTGAGTATTTTTACTTGTTCTAGGTGCGAGAATCTAGCATAGATTTGACTAGACGACAAGTAAAAAACCTGAGTCAGGGTCCTAAACGCGCTTTAACTTCCTGACTCAGGTTTTCTATACAGGCTGCAGACCTTAAGGATATAGCCTGTAAAATTCAACTTTCGTAGCGGCTAAACGCGAGGTCGGATCTTTTTCATTTCAAAAGCAATCCAACCTAAAAATGCACGAAAAACTTAATTCTGGTATATTTTTTAAAATTTTCACCTAAATTTTTCTCTCTAGAGGGACTTGAAATCTTACGATCGCGATTTCTCAAAATTTTTCCACTAATTCGCTAAAACTAAACCGTGTTCTCTATTGTCATGATGCTAAGCTAGAAAATTGAGGGAATAAAATTCTCAAACTCGGTCATATTTTCATTCTAGTATTCTCCTCTTTTTTGCTCTTGCTTTTCTTCCCTGCGCGCTTTATCGCGTGCAGCCAATCAAAGCGCTCGCAAAAACACGCACTCTCTCCCGGAAAAGAGGAGGCGAGAGAGCGAGCACCGAGTGCAGCGCTTTTCATAGCTTCTGCGCGCTGAGTTAGCCTCATGGAAATGGCTGTAAAATCGGTTTCTTTCGGAGTTAGAGAAAACTAAACCGTCAATTTTGTAGATAAAGGTCTAAAGAACATATCTATCGAAAAAACTCGACCGATTTAGTGAAAAATTTTCGAGGAATCGCGATCGTAAGATTTCAAATCGCTCTAGAGAGAAAAATTCAAGTAAAAATTTTTGAAAAAGTACCAAAATTGAATTCTCCGTCCATTTTTAGGTAGGATTGTACTTGAAATGAAAAAGATCCGACCTCGCGTTTAGCCGCTACGAAAGTTGAATTTTACAGGCTATATCCTTAAAGCATAGAAATTCAAGAAAAGCTGCATCTTAGAAAAGTCGAATTGCGACTGCGGGACAAAAGTAAATAAGGCTTTGGACCTTTACTCGTGGAAATTGCGGGCGGTTATATCGCTCAATTTGCGTCTCCGATTGACTTCATCCCCGGCCGGCGCAATTTTCGAAGCGCAAATTATTATAAATTGAAGCTGCCTCCAAGAAAGGCACCACAACTTGAACATCAATTTGTATTTAACTCAAAATCTATCAATCCAAAAAACGCACATTCATTTCCCCGAAAATTATTTTTTCGAAAGTGGCTGTTTCGAAAATTGCTCCATTTTATGCCTCTTTCGATGTTTTCAGCGCGAGCTCAATTTGAAGCAGATTATCCAATTAAGCCAACTCTCGTTTCCTCCCCTTTCTTTTCTCCTTCTTCTTCGACTTACACCACCACCGACTGAGAGAAAGTAAAAATAGCCTTTGAAATATAAAACCAGAGTCGAGAAGATTACGTGACTAAATGGTACAATCATAGCGAGACCCTTCAGATTGAATATTCGAAATCGTAAATTATATAAAAAAATCGACCAGAAAAATTTTTCAAAAGAGAGAAAATAAAAATATTACGTAACAAATACGCTGAAAACGAGATTTACGACTTGCCCAAAATCTACCCTAATTAATAAGCAAGTCGTTAATTCCAAGTTAAAATCTAGACCGCTTCTTTTTTCATCAAATTTAACCGATTTTCAGGATTTGACAACAACAACGACCAAAACGCAAACGACGAATACAACAACTACGAAGCCATCTTCAACAACGAGTTCAGCAACAACAAGTCCACTGACTTTTAACCCGTTGACGAGGGAATTTACTCCGCTTGGCATGGCACATCAGGTAAAGAAATGGCCAAAAATCCAAGTGAAACAAAATTGCCTTTTATGCTGATTCGAGGTCACGTCTGCAGCGGGCGGGTTACGAGAATCTTGAATCTTTTGAATCATTTTCCGTAAATCAACCTGTCGCGGGCGATGTTTGCAGTGGCCCATCCATGCATAAATAGCGCTTTTGTGTCCACCGCTAACAAATATAAAATATTTCAAATATATGCATACTATATTATTCATCAATTTTCTCTTCAATTTCGATCTTCTCTCGGTTTTAAAAAAAAAGAGAGAGAGTAGTTAAAGATTATTCAGATGGATCCTCACTTGACGCACTCGGCGGGAATTATGATGAACCCTTATCTTTATCAACAGCTACAGACACAGAACCAACACCATCAGTTTCAATTACAGATGTATCATCAGCAACTGCTTTCTCAAGCTGCTGGGCTTCACGAGGTAGACTTTTCTTTACAAAAAAAACTTTTTTTTTGGCCTTCGAAAACCCCAAATCTTTCGCTAAAAAAGCTGAAGACAACCCTGATTAAGCTTAATTATCAAGTAAAAAATCGCGCCGCAACCTCGAATTTCGTGAAACTCGCAACCAAATCAATCATGTTCTCAACAGGTGCGTTTAGAGTTGCCTCTGAGCAAGGCTCAAAATCAATCCAGTTTTCTTCGTCCTCCTCAAAAGCCCTGATGAAATTATGTTTTGTAAGAGAGACATCAGAAAAATTCCGCTCGTGGTGCCTTATATAGCGGTAAATATTTGTCAAGGGACAGGTGTCTATCATTATTACGACGCAGAATTCGATTTATAGCGGGATAATGGCTCTCTTCTCTGAATAAAAATATCCTAACCCTTAATTTTTCATCAATATTTTTTTTTTCTAAAATCGAGAAGCCGCTTGCGGCTTTGAGCTTTCAAAGAAAAAAGCCGCTGAAAGCGCGGCTTTATTCTCAATCAAATGATCCTCCAACGAAAGAGAATCTAGAGTCAATGTGGGACGCTACCTCCCTGGTTGAAAAATAAAAATCGCCGGTTGGATATCAGCTTGTGAAAAATAGAGAGAGAGAAGCCCACTCGCGTTCTTGCACCTGCGAATCGCCGATGCTATCACGCCAGAAGCATATTTGCAACATTTTTTTCATCCTCAATATTCTTAAATTAACAATATTCAACCCTTTTTTCTCATTTTTAGCGCGTTTTCGAGCCCACGTGAAAAACATTTGAGAAAACGATAAGCGGCGGAAAGAGCGCTCGATTTCAAAAAATAAGAGAGAAATTTTATTTTTAAATCAGCGTAAATAACGCGTGCCAGGGCTCAATTTTGGTCAAGGCCACAACTTAGAGAGCTCGCGCCGCGTAGTAGCATCGAAAATTGAGATTGAAAGAGAGAAAAAATTTGAAGATTTATTTATTTGAAAATTGAAAATGTGGATTACCATGGATCCATTTTATTTTAAGGTATAAATTGTAAACAATTTTAAAAGAAATCTTTTAAAATTGCTTAAGCAGTTTAAATAAACTTAGATTTACTAATTCCTTTTCACATAAAACCAACTATGAAAATTCCATAAAAATCTGACATTTTTTAAAATTATGGTTTCTCGAAGAACATGACTGAGGTTCAAATTTACGTCTTATATTGCTTAGTAAGCGGCCTTCTTTGAGTAAATTATTTGAGAAAATATTTCCCAAAATCGACTTTTACCCTTTTCTTCAGAAGCCGATGGAAGACTGTCAAATAATGGAAAGCTACAAGGAACCAAAACGACTTCACGTTTCAAATATTCCCTTCCGATTTCGCGACTCTGATCTGAGGGAGATGTTTGGGGTAAGCCAAATTAAAGCTAGATTTGCCTTATCATACCTTTTAGAAATTTGGGGATATTCACGACGTGGAAATTATTTTTAACGAAAGGGGATCGAAGGGCTTTGGATTTGTCACATTCATGGATAAATTTGAAGCAGAAGCGGCGAAGAAAGAACTCAATGGGACCATGGTAGAAGGTAAGAGCAGTTCATTAGAGAGAGAAAACTGACTATGAGCCCCTTCCAGGTAGAAAAATAGAAGTCAACGATGCGACCGCACGCGTCCAGTCGAAGAAAAACACGCCTGCGGGCAAGCCAATTCTAGGCATGAAACCGAGAGCATCGCTCAGACCCGTTTTACTGCCCCACTCGCCCATGAATATGGTAAGCAAAAATAAATACACTGCGTTTTGCTACTTTTCTTTTCAGGGAGGTCTACCGGCACCTGCCGGGCTCTTACCGCAAATACATCCGCAATCATTTGTTTCTTACGACCCTGCCCAGATTTATCAACAACAAATTGAGAACCAAGTTATGGTAAGATTAAAATTTGCCAATCTATCATTTAAATCTTCTTTAGGGTCGCTATATCCAAATCCCCTCTTCAATGCCAATCATGGATCCCCGGGTAAACTTCGACTCAAGCGGCCAAGTGACCTATCCCAACTTCGCCCAGTACGCGGTGAGTACCGTCCAGTAAAAAAAAACAACGCAAAAACAAAACAAGAACCTTCTCAAAAAACACCTCCTTCTTCTCGTCTCTTCTTTCAAAAAAAGCAAAAAAATAAGCCTTCAAAAATATTCCTCGAGTTCTTGACATCCCTATCTAAAATACACAAAATGATGAGATGGGCTCTATAAAGACATCTTATTGGGTAAGCAAATAGCTAGAGAATGCCGTGAATGATCATTTCGGAATCAGCATGAGATAATTATTAAATCATGTTTTGATTCTTTTTCATAAAAAAGGGTGTTTTCGAATCTAAAATCGCCAGTTTATCATTCTCCTAAATTCCACGCATGAAAAAAATAGTTAGTAGAAACACTAAAAATGAAGAACCATTCATTTTACTCCATTTATATGCACGAAAAAATCTTTACATAAAATTCGCACCACTCAAAAAATCTTTCACAAACAATATTGATGAATCCATTTTCCAATCATTTGAATGCCGAAAATTGCATGCCATACTATTTTTTCTAAAGAAAAATTTCAATCCTAATCAATCACTTTTAGCTTCAACGAGGACTTCAAAGATTCGCGCCTTACTAATCAGAACATCTCATCCCTCTCCCTTTTTCAGCCTTTTTCCTTCCCAATTTCCGACATCCCCTTTTTCCTGTTTTCCCTGTTCAAAACTGCTGAAAACAAACCCAAGTTTTCTTTTTTTTTCTGTATATATTTTTGACGACTATTTTTTTATTTTACTTCTTTTCGTTTAAATTCAATCTTATGAGTCAAGTTATGACTATCTACTTTTTTGTAAATACTCATCAGCAAAAACAAATTTTCTTTCGTCCCTATCTTCTCGATCAAGTTCAACTTTCAAAAAGAAAAAAATCTTCTTTCGCCTTTTTTTATAATGATTTCTGACCGTGCGTTTACCTAAGTATTTTCACTTTTTTACTTTTTTCTGACTTCTCAGACTTTAAATAAACATTTCAAACAAACAAGACTTTCTTTCAATAAATTTGATTGCTCTCAGATAAAAAAAATGAACTTCATCGAGCAAAGAAAACAGCCCTCAAATCTGTCGATTTTCATAGGGTTGGAAAATGGGGATCAAGGAGGATATTCATTATTCTCTTCTTTTGTTCTTCTTCTTTTTTCCTGTCTTCTTGACTTTCTCGACTTCTTGGACTTCTTCATAGGATGGTGGAAGATCGGTAGCTTTTTCTTGAGCAGGGGGATAAACTGGAGGATGAGCAACTGGTTGCTCCATATGAACATATTGAATTGGAGGAGGAGGGTAGTAGGGTTTCGATTTTCGACAGCACCAGCAACAGCAAGTGGTGCAACAGGATTCTTCTTTCACAGTTCCATCGGGATAGATTCGAGATTTCTTCACGCAACAGCAGAGAATTGAAGCTCCGCAAATGAGCTTGACAATAAGCGCCCCAATAAGTACCAATGCAAGAATCCCAGCAAGTGCTGCAAGAGCATAACAGGTGTAAAGAAGCCAGAGCGTTTCCTCTAAAATCGTTGTCATTTAAAGTCGCCGTCTCTAGGAGAGCGTTTGTAAATAAGCTTGGAAATGCACCTCGCGCCTGATGAGTACTGTTTGCCAAGGAAATGATATATTGCACAAACATTACGCATTAAAGAAGGTCATAGGAACGAAAGAAAAAGGTCACCATATTGATTATTAATAAAATAAGCGTCAAAAAATGAGAACAGCATTAACGATAATCTCGTCCATGCACTAATAAATCTGTTGTCTTCACTTTCCGTATAAATTGTCGGTTTTAAACCCTGGAAAACAGAAATAAAAAAATGAAATTCGTTTCTTTGTTCACCATCTTTTTCATACAACATTTTTCATCCAGTGCTCTCAGCAAGTCGATCTTGACTACAAGGATCGATGATGGAAATAGTCATGATCTAACCAGAAGGAGCATCGATGAAGTTCAAAGAAATCATGATCAGCGTAAGAGTATTTATGGTATTGACAATTCATTATTTTGTTTTCAGTACTTCTTGAGAGATACCGCAAGCATATCGGCTGGTTTAAAATGCTACGAAGAGTTATTCGAGATAATCTTGACTTCAGAAGAAAGAACTGAGACTCTGTCCTCTTATGAATTAATTCAGAATAAATACCAATGAACCAAGAGGTACCGATTTTAACGGGTAAACTCATTCCAGAGCCCCGCTTATGAGAGCGAGAATAGCAGGTTCTCACAGCGCTCCGGTTGGCTCGCGCATTTATTTGAAAACACGAAAAAATAGGGGATGTTCAAAAATGTATCAAAAACAGTGCGTTTACGAAAAAGAATTCCGCCAGTGAGAGAAATTACACTTGACAGTTCGCAGGGGGATGAAAATGAATTGAAGAAGGTTTTGGAAAGAGAAACAAAACGAGTTTCTCAGAAGTTTCAGTAAGTAAGAGCGCTTTTTTCGATGAAAGAAAAGGCCTCGTGGGGCTCTCCACGACGGCATTCCTGAAAATCGATTCTAGAGCATGGAGTTCTTCAAAAATTCTTGGCCACGATCGTTACCACAACATTCGAACTGGCCTCCGAATCGCTTCCCCATCATTTTCGAATCCAATTATTTACTCAAAAAACGAAAAAGCACTGGAAGTGCTGAGCAAGAAAATTCGTCTCTCTGGAAAGCCGGTCTACAATTTCGACTCGCATTTGGAAATCGAGCGGAATGAGCCGAATTTGTCGGAAGAAATGGAAAGGAAAGGGTTGAAACTTCCTGATAGCCGCTCTTTCGCGGCTCATGCGCGGCTCAAACCGGCTCGTAGCGTCATTTTTCAACTTTTGAAAGCATCTTTTCCTCAACAACGCTCCGTTTCGAAGGAAGAAACATGCTAAACGCGAAAGAAAGATTCGAAACGATCAGAAAAGAACACATCGAAGCACTAGAAAAGATTTGCGGCTTTGAAATTGAAGGATATCCGAGTGCGTCCCTCCTCGAAACAGTGTTGATGGATCAGAAGTACACGGTGAACTCTGTGGAAGATTATACTGTAAGATACGAGTGATCGCTTCTGATCACAGTCAAAATTTCAGGATACAACTTGTCCTGATAGTAGTTATAGTAGTGTGACCAAGTTTTTCTACAGTCAAAATTTACGATTTTTCAAAACTCAAAGCTGATTTATGGTCTGCATTTACTTTTCCTAAACATCATAAGAATACATTCTAGCGTTGAATGTCGAAATTTTTATCAGTTGTATCGTTGGTCACTATATTACTACTATCAGGACAAGTAGCATCCTGAAATTTTGACTGTGATCAGAAGCGATCACTTATTAGAGCTCTATAAATTTTTAATCCGATTATGAATTCAATTTTCTAGCGTGCAATTGCGCAAATGTCCTATTCTTATCGCGGCAACTTGAAGTTAGAAATTCAAACGAAGTGGATGGCTTGGGTGACGAAAGTCGTCAAAGAGTTCTTGGCAAAAAGCGTCAATCATGCCGATATTGATACCAAATACGATCACAGCTGTATGGTCATATTTAATTTGCTAGAAGATGATACGTTCTTCCCCTTCAGTGGATTTTTTACGCCTATTCAGCTCCGAAGGAATGGCTTTTCTTTCTTAGTCATTTCAAATCGAAAAGCCGCTTGCGGCTTCGAGCTTTAATTATCAGTTCCTGGAAGACGCAAGCGGCTCCTCTAATTAAAGGTAAATCGAGGGGTTCGGACGCCCATTTCGTTATAAAGAAACCATGAAAAGCATGTTCTCCCTGGCGGGCTACATCCGTGAGCACAAAGGCGCGCCCATCTTCGCCTCTGATGGGCAGTCCTTGATGGTTCCGACCTACCACCTGAACGTCCCGTCCGACTTTGTCGCCGACAAACGCCACGGGCCAAATTTGAAAATCATCTACGACGAAGAATTCAGCTCTGAATCCAGCTCAAAAAGCGCACAGCCGATGACTTCGAGGGTCAGATCGTATACAAACGGAGAAATCTTTGTGTTTTACGAAAAACCGGAGTTTGCGAAAAGAGCGGTCGAAATTTTCAATGAAGAAAGATGGAAGCGATTTTTGCCGTTCATGAAATCGAATAAATTGCAGAATCAGAGCTTTAGGATTAGCCAGATGAATATCTCTAGAGCTATCGGAGCGGGATGACACTTATACTTTTGGAGCGCCGTGAAAAAGCGCTATTCTATGTCCAGGCTCATTTGACTGTGCTGAAACCTGAGTCAGGTTTCTACACAGATCCGGAACCGAGACTTAGATCCTTAGTATTTGTGAGAAAGTCTCATTTTGCCATCCCCAAAACAAGAAAATACGAATATCCGCGCTCGAATTCCATCAAGTCCCGAAGATATTTCTCGTTGCGATGCAATTTGGAAGTTTTTCAATGTGCGGAATCCTCCTGATCGAAATGTGCAACGAGCAATTTTTCAAGAAAGTCTTCCAGTGCTTGAAGATCATGTGAAACGAGCGGAAAATGGCGATCCCTACAAGTTTTTGGCTAATTTGACGGATGATCTTGCGAGTGGACAGAATTTACATGCAGCGATTGTTTTTGTTGCCAAGTTATTACAGGTGAAAATGACTGCTAAATGAATACGGCCCTGATTCAAGAGGTACCTCTTTAGATAATTCACGAATGTTTCGATTTGTCCGTTTCTTCGCAAGCAGAAACAAACATTGCCTTTTTGACGATTCACGAGACGAAGGATTTGAGAGAGTTGCTGCAGAAACACGCTGTAGTGCAAATTTTAGAGGGAAAAGAACAGTTTGTGAGAAGAAACGATGTTGAAAAAATTTTGAACCGGCAGAACTTACTTGAATAAATTACTTGATCACAGTTTCTTGTCAAAATTTATCTATAGAAGCCTTTGATTTAAAACCGTTTATTGCCTATTTTTGAAAGATCTCAGACATCCGTTCATCATTCTTTGCTTCAGAAATGTTAAAGCGTTTGGCTTCGACATTCCAGTCTGGACTCAACACGGCAGTCGCCGTAACCCGGGATGGAGTGAACCGGGCTCTTCCTGGGAACCCGGCTCTCCGAGACTACGAAGTTCAGGATCCCCGCGGCTGTGGCGGTGCCCATGGTCTCTGGGACATTTACGACGCCGTGAAGAAAACGTCGAAGACGCGCTGCTCGGTCTGGATCTTTGACAAGAACAAGCATCTGCAAGGCTTGGACAAAGCAAAAAAGGAGGAAATTATTACGTCGTTGAAGCATGGAGTGCTTTCGCTTTGCCGTCTCCAGCATCCGCGAATTCTTTCGGTAGAGCGAAGACTCGAAGAAAGTGCGTATTCTCTTGTTTTCGCCACGGAGCGAGTTCAAGGATCTCTGGCGGATTTGTTGAAGAATAAAGAAGTTGAAACAGATTCGAGCTCTGGATTATTTGATGTAGAAATGCGCTACGGTTTACTACAGGTAATTTTCTATAAAAAATATTTTAAATAGCGCAGAAATTACCTCCCTTCCAAAAAAGAAACATTTCTTAAGATTTATCTCTTTTTTTTTTCTTAGATAATCGAAGCGATCGGTTTCATCCACGAATCAGCAAAAATCTTTCACTGCAATTTGACCACAAACGCGGTGGCGGTCACAGAAATGGGCGGCTGGAAATTGAGCGGCCTCGAGTTCTCAAAATCTTTCGAAGACGACAATTTCAAATTCGAGGAAAACAATCCTACGATTTCGCTCGTTGAACCGAGCATTCTAGCGCCGGAGCTTTTCGAGACGAAGATTTTGACGAAGTCGAGCGATTGTTTTAGTCTTGGAGTGATGCTGTATGAATGTTATACAGGGCAGAGGATAATTGATTGTTCACCATATGATGCAAAAAGGTATGTCTGCTTTTAATGGGTATCCCTTGACTAACTCGATCAATTCCAGGACCGTGACCAACAACAAGGGAAAGTACAACTCCCCCTCTCTCCTTCACCGCCTCCCAGCAGAAGTTCGGGATCACTGTAAAATGCTGATGAGTCTTTCAATCGACCTCCGCCCCACACCGGATCAGCTCAGGGGCATTTCGTTCTTTCAATCAGCGGGGGCACTCACCTTGCAATACTTGGACACTCTTCTACAGCGCCCAGTCGAGGAGAAGATTCAATTCTTTTCTGACCTGCCAAATGTTCTTGGAGAATTACCGAGTCGTGTAAGGACGGGGTTAGTTTTGAGTTCCATGCAGCCAGAATTCGCGAATCCAAAAGGTAAAATCTCATCATTGAGGAACAATTAAAACTTTTCAGTTTTACCAACAATCCTCCCTTCCGTCTTCAAGATTATCGAATTATCTTCTGGAGATGACTTTGTTGAGAAGATCCTTCCAGTAATATCAGACCTCTTCTCGACCAACAGTCCCAAAGCATGCTCGATTATGATCGAAAATCTTCCTTTGATGCTCCAGAAAATGACTGAAGCAAAGAAACCAGAACATGTGCGGAATTATCTTCTTCCTTTGCTAGGAAAAGCTCTTGGTCAGGAAAAACAGAGCCACTTACAGGTTGGCATTTTCAAATGTCTTCAAATGATCCATTTTTAGGCTAAAAGTCTCGAAGTCATTCCAAAAATGGCGGAGCATCTGGACGAAGCAACCATCAAATCATCTCTTGTTCCGAAAATTAAAGCTGCTGCGCTCTCCGAAAGCTGCACATCCTCCGTCAAGGTCTCGATCCTCGTTTCTCTTGGAAATTTGGTTCCAAGACTGGACAGGTGGTTCATTATGGACTCAGTGCTCGACTGGGTGCCAAAAATGATCGAAAGAACTCCGGGGGTTCTTGTCGCGACGCTTGGTGTCTACCAGACAGTCCTGACGAATGAGAAGCTCGGCTTGACGAAAGAATTCATCGGTAGAATAATCTTTTTATTCTCAAATAGCCATTTTTTCAGCTAATAATGCATTGCCGACGTTACTACCTTTGTCTATGGACTCCCAGCTAACTCTGGATCAATTTCAACGATTCATGAGGGTCATCAGATTAATGCTCGACAAAATCGAGCAAGAACAGACGAATAAGCTCAAGAGTATGAACTCTGGCAAGAAAGGTGAGAAACAACCACCATCCAAAAAAAGAGTTATTTTTTTCCAGATGGTGATGTTTCTTTGAGCGCAATCCGCGGGGCACAAAGTTCTGGAGACAGTATGAATTCAAACGCTCTTTTCGGCCTTGAAACGAGTTCAACAGCGGCGCCAATGGTGGCAAGTAGTTCTGGCGGATTAAGTATGGAGCAGAAAATGGCAGAAGCAAAACGAAGAGAGATGGAGAAACAGTTCAAGTCTCAACCCCAGCTTGTCCAGTCCAATAATTCAAGCCAAAGCAAGCCAACGACTCAAAGTCAAAAACCAAAAGACCTGACATCGACCCTTATGAACAAGAACATGATGAATATGACGAGGTCGCAGATGAGTGGCAATAGCAATAGTATGATGGGAGGGATGAATTCTGGAATAGGGACTGCTGCAAATCAATCAGGTGGAGTCGGTCTGTTCAATCAAAAAGCTCTTCCTCCAACAACTGGAATGTCTAACATGTCGATGTCTTCTCCAATGTCTACGGGAATGTCGCCTATGATGTCAACACCAATGTCGATGCCAATTTCTACGATGCCAATGTCAACAATGTCAAACTCCATGACATTGTCACTAGGAGGCATGTCGAACAATTCTTCAACCTTATCAAACTCAAATTCTTTCGGGTCACTAACAGCCCCCCAGGTACTTCAAAAACCAATGATGTAACGTCTCATTATCTCTGTTTAGCCTCAAAGTAATCCAAACCAGCCCAGCTGGTTCAATCCGATGACCGCTCAAGGAATGGGAAACATTCAATCAACCCCTGCTGTCCAAAATAACGGAATGAATGGTGGCTTCTTGATGCCTACAGTAAATCACAATGCAACAAGTCAATCATCTCAAGCTAAAAAGCTTAGTTCAGCGGACATTGCCAACTTACTTGGTTAAAAAATATTGGCAGAATAATCCGCGAAAACCAAGCACTAATAGATCAAAATGAAATCTGTACAATAAATTTATTTTATGAGTATTTTCTTCTCTAGCATCCTGTTCTCCATTTTCCAGTTCTCTTTATTATGCTATTCCTATCTCATTCTGTAAAGTTTTCTTTCATCACAATCTTATTATATGTGCAATTCAAGTAAAATTATATAATTCAACCCTTCTTTCTCCATTCTGCTCTAGAATGAGCTCGAGTGGGATGAAAACCTTCTCTCTCCCGGAAGGGTTGGACTTGTTCTACGTTAATGACCGGGGAGAACAAGTCATAAATCCAGCCGCGATGCCTTACTTACAGTCAGTTCAAAAGCCTCCAGTTTATCCAGTCATCAACAAAATCGAAAATCAAGAGCCAGAAAGTAAGAAGCGAAAGATCGATGAGATTTCGCAAGCAGAATTCATTGAAGGGATGAAACAAGAGGCTCCAGATGAGGATGAAGAGAATGTGATTTGTATAGGAAAGGGATAATATCATTTTTTGTTTCTTACGGCGAAAGATGTCTGTTGATATCCTTATTGAAAGATTCTGACAATAGCTCGAGCACTTCTGGTCGATCTTCTCGTCTCACATCTTCTTTCTCAATACCGAGCTCTTCTGCCGTCGTTCAGAAGGAAAACCAAGCCCCAGGAAGCTCCTCTGGCCTTCAAGAAGTCCCATTTGACCTCGTGAAAATGCTTGAAGAAATTCGCAACCGTTCTCCAACGAAAACTCTCCCACCACTTATTGTGCCCGAATACGCGCATTTCAAGGTCAAAGTGCAGAACATGGCCGTAAGGGGGGAGACAAACTCGGTCAGTGCGGATGGAAAAGCGCAAAAGAAAACGGGAAAGTGGAAGAAAATTGAAAGGAAGGGCTTTTAGTAGCTAGGGCTTTATTTAAGGCTTGATCGTTCAAAATGCCGTCTTAGATCTCAACTACAAGAAGTAGACTTGCAAACTATCGACTGGAGTGAGTGGACTCAAATGTCGTTCGACCCGGACGGAGGGACTATCGATGGCTGTTTTGGGCGATTTTCTGTAAAGCCTGACAATACAGTCGATCGATGGAAGAAGGACTTAGAGAAAAAGGTATGAAAGGATGATTTGAAGTGAACTTCTTTCTTAAATTTCCCATTCAATAGAAAACGAAGCTGCTAAAAATGGTTGCGAACACAACTATCGCTGCGGAGGGATTTAAAAAGATAACTGTCAAATTTCTTTGCGAACACAAAGAACCGGAGGTGCATAGATTTGAATACGAGCAAGGCATGCTTTTTCTGACAATTCCAAAGTGGATTCAGAAGAAACTCAGACATCTCAAGAAGAAAATTGACTTCAATAAACAACCACTTGTCAAGGTATCTATTCTTTTCTGAATTCAATACGAGTATATCGAATTTAAGCTCTCAAGAAAGTCACAGATCGCTGATGCTCTAGAACGGTCTGTGTTGGGAAATTTAGCCTGTGCTCTGTTGATGGAGAATTTTTGGATCTTCGACAAGATTCCAAATACCAAATTCGAGAAGCAACTGAATGAGCTTTACCAGCGATTCTACACCGAGCCAAAGCCCTGTCTTCCGATAGACCAAGTTCCCAAAGGTGAGACTGCTGCAATTTTCTTAGAATATCTGAAATATAATTCTAGGGCATCCTGTGCTAAATCATCTTCTTATCGAGCGCGTCTCCAACTCAACGCAGCAATCAATCTTATTCCAAGTCTCAAACCGTCAAATGTGTATTCAGAGATTATGCGGCAGCACGCTCAACTTGCCCTATGAAAAACTCTAAACTCAACCCTTGCCCAGTAACAAATCTAGCTATCAAAACTCAAACTGAACTACTTCATCTGTTTAAAAGATCATCCGACCCTTATTCTTATTTTATACTGCTTTATAGATTCACCGACCCTTTTCTGAAAATTGGAAACAACAAGGAAAAAGCATTTGAGCTTCTATTTTACAATTTTAGATGAAGAAACAGAAGCTAAGAGGAGTGACATTAGATCAGCTTCAGGGCGCGAAACCGATGAAGAATGGCAACGTCGTTCTGAAGATTGGAGAGCAAGATATCGAAGTAGAAGAGGTGCTCATTTATGGAATGATTGTTTCAGGTTTGGGTGGTCTCTAAGCTTCTTCCTGATAACACTCCATTTCTAGTCATTCCGGATAAACAGCTGATCATCGACAACGAAGGCTTCAAATGCAAAATCACCAACCACACCGCCCTCCTTCGCAAAAGCTCTTACACTCCCAAAAAAGACGATCTGATCACTGCCGTCGTTTTCATCAACAAAGCTAACGGGAAAATGATCGAAGCCTTCGCCTCGAAAATCATGTCCACAAAACTGACTGACGAGCAATTCAAGTACCTTTGCAAAAAAGCTGCCACCATCTCTGTATAGATTCCATGTTTATCACTGAAAAACATTTTTCATTTTCATGGTTTCACTTCTTTTTCATTCATAGAAAATCGGAAATGGGTCTTTTGTCGATTATACGAAAATTGAGAGAAGAAGAGCGAGAGATGCGCGTGCTGATTCTAGGGCTCGATGGAGCTGGTAAAACGACTATCGTTAAGAAAATCATGGGTGAGACAAGAAGATTCACCGTTGTTTCATTAGAAAATTCTAGGAAGAGATGTGAATGTCATCGAACCGACCCTCGGATTCAACATTGAAACTATTCCTATCGAGCTTGAAGGAGACTCTCAGGTTGAAATCATTCCTTTTCTTTCGAAAAAGAAGTTTTTAGCCGTATCAAGTGAATGTCTGGGACGTAGGAGGGCAAAAATCAATCCGGACATTTTGGAAAAACTATTTTGAACAAACAGAGGGTCTCGTCTGGGTTGTCGATTGTTCCGATAGGTCCAGATTGGAAACTTGCAGAGAAGAGCTTTCTCAGGTGGGGACCAAAGATGAGTAAATGGCAGAAGGAGAATGTTTTATTAGTTACTGTTGGAAGAAAGACTAGATGGCGCGACATTACTTGTAATGGCGAATAAACAAGACCTTCCAGGAGCTGCTAGCGTCGATGAAATTCAAAAGCTTCTCGGATTAGACGACATTACAACTCATCATTGGTCGATACGAGGATGTTCAGGTATAGAGCTCAAAGCTGTCTTTCTGCTTTTCATGGCTATTTTTAGGAGTCAAGGATGAATCAGAAGCACTAAATGGACATCTGAAATGGCTCACTGGAGATGTTGCTTCACGATGCTTCTCACGAGACTAATCAACTGTAGTTCTTCAATAGTACATGTACCTTTTTATTCTCTCAAATCACGGACAATTAATCATTCTGCCTTTCTACATGTTTTTTGAAAAATATATTTTGTTATTGTAAAATCGAGTTGCTCACAAAATGCAGGTGAATATAAAACCGACAAATCCAAGAGAGCAGGCCCAAATGCCCAAATTAACAACGATGAGAAACAGGATACAAGCTTTTATCGTGGGTAGATTGGGAGCGCTATTTTGATGGACGTGAATTTTCTGGCCATTTTCAAGGTGACTTTCGCTAACTTGAGCTGGTTGTTGCACTGCGACAGCGACTGAGGCGTTGATCTTCCTCCAGTAAACGACGTAGGTGACGGTCGTTCTGAATGAAAATAAGACTAACATCAACATCAAGCTCAAAGCAATTCCCATTACAATTGGTGACCAAACCCAGTAAACTGGAAGCCAAAATATCGTAGCACTTATTCCTGAATGATAAATTAGAGGCTATTTTGCACAACTTCGCATTCTTACCATGAGCACTGCAAAATCGCTGCGCTTTAGATTCTGCACCAGACCAAATTCTTTTAAGAAATTGATCTTGAACTTCACCAAGAACTATCAAACAAAACGTCAGCCATAGACAAATTTCAGCCTCTTTCAGGTAGCATTCGGGTGCATCGTACGGAAAATATAATTTTGAATTCATTTCGTCGAAAAAATCTTTTCTCTTCTGGTAACTAACGATTAGATCGCGCGCCTTTATACGAGCATGGTAAATATCTTGTCATAAGATTCCATAGTGTAGGAATCTCAGGAATAATGTCTGTGATATTTAAAGTTAACGGGCTGCTACAAATCGAATTTTGTCAAAAAAGAAATAACACTCATAAGTAAGAATGACATTCCGCATTATTTTTATGTTCTTTTATTGCATTATTTTTGGTTTTCTTGCAGTTTTGTGTTTTACCAAAAGTAGTGTTCGATAGAACAGGTGAACATCAAAACGACGTAAGCAACAGAACAGGCCCAAATGCCGAAATTAGCGATGATGAGAGACATGATGTGTCTTTTTGCCGAGCCGAGGTTGAGAGCGTTGTTTTGCTGGACGTGAATTTTCTGACCATTCTCAAGTTGAACCTCAGTGACTTGAGCTGGTTGTTGCATTGCGATGGCGATCGAGGCATTGATCTTTGCCCAGTAGGAAATGCAGTTGGCGGTCGTTGCGAATGAGACGAAAACGATGAGCATCATCAAGCACCAGACAACTGTCATGACAGGCGAGCTCCAAATCCAATAAATTGGGACCCAGAAGATTGCGGCCAAGATTCCTAAAATAAATGAATTTCTGATCATTCTCTGAGACATTGATCTTACCTAAAGTGGTACAAATTTGCTGCAAACCAGAGTTCGCCCCAGACCAGCTTCTTTTAATCAGCTCGATCTGACCTCCTGCAACAAAGGTCAGAGAAAACATGATCCAGATGCAGATTTCAGCATCCCCTAGATAGCAAAGAAAGACGCTTGCGGGGCCAGCATCTGGGTCGGAGTGAGTGAATTCTGGCGCTTTCGAGATCATTTTTTTTAATTGAAAAATGAGGGTTTTTTTTCTTTTTGATTTGAAAGATATGCTTGCGCGCCTTATATATGAAAATGGCAAATATCTGCGCATAACGATTCTATTGCGTGGGAATCTTAGGAGAAATGGAAACCTTCAAGTGATATTTAACGCAAATCGCGTTGTTTTATAATGTAGGAAACTTTGTTTTTGTTACTAAAACAGAGAACAAAATGCGAGTGAATTCGTTTAAATAGTTGTGAAATCAACGTTATTGCAAATACATTGAGTCACTCAACAGGCGCATCTTTTGAGCAAATACTGTTTCAATACTTCGGTCAACATAACACTAAGAAATGAGCAATAAGAATTATTGACATTTCTCAGATAATAAATTTAGCATCTTCTTCAAGGAAAAGTTTCTTATTAAGAAGCCCACAACTCAAATTGATAGATAAATAATGGCAGCAATACTCGAGGAAATTTACTACGCCCTCATGGCCCTCGCCGCTGCTTGCGCTTTGGCATTCATCTGCATCATCATTTTGGCCTTCTGTGGATGCATCACGTGCTCAGTCGGTGGTGGATTTCTATGCTGTACGGTTCAACGAAGAAAGAAGCATCCGGACGGGACCGTGACTTATGAATCTTGCTGCCAAAGTTGCTGTGGCGGAAACGACCCGGAAGCAGTTTTGACCGAAGAAAGCTTGAATCAGATTGGCCCGGGTTCTGATGCTGTTGAAAGAGAAGCCTCCTGCGATGATTTGAAAAAGGCTGAAGATGCGCCACCCTCTTATGAAGAGACAGAATAACCTCAAGAAATCTTCGAATACTAATTATTGCAATGACGACGAAATATTCTTCCGTGTGACCTTCGTCAAAGAAATGATATTTATCTGAGCAATTTAAAAATACTACTCATCATTGCTCTATGAAACTAATTTTGGTATTGAGAGCAAACACATACCTACTGTTCAATTTTTCGTTTAATTGTATCACCAAGCTTTATTGAAATAATTCAACTTATTTTTCAAGAACAGTCAGAATTTTCCCTTGGTTAGAAAACAACGAAAGGTGTTGCTTTATGAAATTCGCGGTGATTGTTGTTTTGTACTACAGATGGTCTTCAATCGGTTCAAATATCCAGATATCCGCGTTGCGAGAAAGGCCAGGGTCACTCCGAGCTCTAAAACACCCACCTCTTTATCACCACTCTTCGCAAGAAAAACTTACCAGTAAGATAATTTACTCCAATTCTTATCAAATTGTAATGGTAAAGTTTCTGCATTAAAAGCTTTCTCCAAAACAATCGGCTTTGACTTTTCACTGGATAGTTTTCCCTGATTCTGACTAGGCGGTCAGATGACATTGGATTGCCATACTTTCCGTTGCCCTCTATGGCTAGATCAATTGCATAAAGAAGGATTGAATGAAGCTGTTCTTGATTTTTGGTGATTGCGTTTGCCATCGGAAGATATTTCGGATCCGGATCTTCCCAGGAAGGGATCAGTACACGCTCTGCTGTTTCATAAACAGTCCTTCGAACACTCAATAATGACCCGGAAAACGGATTGAATTCATCATCTAGTCCATGTAAATAGCCGAGAACTCGCCAAAAATAAATATAATTCGCCAGTCCTTCACCATCTTCAACCCCAAAGCCATAAGGTGATATGACGATGCTTCCAGCGAATCCGACAAGCGTAAATGCCAAATCTGTCTGAGAGATCCATTCTGAGACATTTTTGTTTTTCTGAATCCAAAAAAATTCTTACCTTTGTCATTTTGGGGCATTTTCTTCGTGATTTTTAGGGCAGTTGATTTATGAATCTGACGAACAAGCTTGATCGACTTGTGGCCATCAGAGTTCGAGTCCCAGATGTCGGTAAAGATCCACGACCGGACATGCAGAAACGTTCGATAATAACGGGCCATTGCTTTTCGATGCGTATCACTTTTCTCTGTGAAAACAAGAACATGCAGAAGTTCTTTGAAAGACAACCCAGAAATGAGCGAGACGAGCATGGAAAAAGAGCAGGCAGCGACATGATCTCTGTAGAACTTCTTTCCGTCTTCAAATCTCTTTTCGTCGAACCAATCTGGCTTTTTGAACTCTCTATCGAATGAGCCTTTTCTATTCACCCCTTTTAGTAAATTTTCAAATTTAGACCCGTCCATTTCTGTTCTAAATCATGCCAAAAAATATGACGCAACTAAGTCAATATTCAATATCGATCTGTTAAAAAATCGTCTAGAAACAATGATCCCTCTCATGGTCATCCTTACCTGCGGGTGAATACAAATGTGGACTCTGCACTTTTCAACTTGACCATCACGCACTTGATTAACATCCAAGAACTCTTTCTTGGCGGGAAACCAAACTAGTTACATCACGAAAACGCAGCGGGTGGCCGCTAGACTATTTAAACAAATCTCTCCATTTCGTTTAAAAAAGCATCACCACTCTGGCCAGATCAGAAAAAAATATGAGAAAATGCCAAAAAGCGAAGACATGGACGATTTCACCTACCGCTTTTACCACTGCATGATTTGTTATGAGCGATACGATTATGGCGAGCATATCAATTTCGCCCTCGCATCCTGCGGTCACAAGCTCTGCAGCTCCTGTCTCAAGAGCCTGATGCAATGCGCTTGTCCGTTTTGCCGAAAAGAGTTTACTGCTGAAGATCTAATTTTGCTAAAAGACTAATAAATGAACTATTATTCTTTATCGAATACTTGCAGTATTTTCTCCAGAAAAAGAGCTTCTTTTCTTCGTCCTCGTGGATTCAAAACAATAACTTTTTAATCATTAATCAGGGTTTAAATAAAGCCTGGTTATAAATTTAAAAAGAGACGTAATAAATAAATGTGGGGAAGCTTAGACTTGCCAAGCTGCACCTTGCTTTTAATGAAAGAGGGAAGTGACGTGTGCTGCGTAACGCAGGTCAAAACGTAATAAAGGGCTAATTAGTAAATTGCGTTGTAAGTTTTCCAGAGCAGAATTTCGAAAAAGTTTGCTTAGGCAAAACAGAAGCCAGAGAAGTTACTAGAAGTTCAAGAGATTCCTCGATAAACACCGAGTCCGGGTAGTTAAGGGACACGGGCGAGCAGCGCGGAGCCGAACTTCACGCGCTCGCCACTATCCTTGAACATGAGATTTTTCAAAATTTCTTTTTGCAAATATTATCTACGACTCTTCAGCTTTCTTTTCCAGTTTTCAGTTTGTCTCTGTCATTACTGACTGACAAGCTAGCGAGAAAAAGAGATGCGCAACTTCAAAAGGCATCAAGTCCTTCAATCTTTATTTAATTTTCATGAAACCAGCACCATTGAAAAGCCCATTAAATTCTGAACAGATCTTACTATAAGCGCTAAGCTGAAAGTGTACCAATTCGCGATAAAGATCAGATAAACAAGATTACTTAGCGCGCGCCCAGCGGGAATCATGTCCCAGGAGCCCAAAATAGCGAAATCGGAGCGCCCTGCCGTGCTGAGCGCGCTAAGTTCCTTGGTTTATCAGCGCGTCCTGCGCAACTTGTGCATTTTCAGCTTAGCGCTTATAGTAAGATCTGTTCAGAATTTAATGGGCTTTTCAATGGTGCTGGTTTCATGAAAATTAAATAAAGATTGAAGGACTTGATGCCTTTTGAAGTTGCGCATCTCTTTTTCTCGCTAGCTTGTCAGTCAGTAATGACAGAGACAAACTGAAAACTGGAAAAGAAAGCTGAAGAGTCGTAGATAATATTTGCAAAAAGAAATTTTGAAAAATCTCATGTTCAAGGATAGTGGCGAGCGCGTGAAGTTCGGCTCCGCGCTGCTCGCCCGTGTCCCAAACGCGCATAAGCAAATACTGACCGAATCAGGTACGGTAAGAGAAAAGATTTCCGGCAAAAATTAACAAAATTTTTTCATCCTTTGTACCGCGGTATATTGCTTTTTTTCGTAAATGACGATTCGTCATTCCAGGATGACCAAAGATTGCACGGAAAAAAATGCCACTGCTCCAATTTATCTAAGAGCATTAAATTTACCAATTTATACCTCTCACCCCCGTTTTCGAAATCCATCAGAAAAATATTTATATCTTCTTCAGAACAAATATTATTCTCTCTCTTATCTCCGAGAATTGCCGCAGTTATTACAGTACTAGCGAAGGATAAATCTCATCGCCTTCAGCTCCATCGAAAAGGGGAAAGCTGCTCACAGGAAGTAAGTTTCTTCCTCTTAAGGTTTACCCAGTGCCATGTTCTTACGTCGGTACATCTTGAAGTAGCGGAATTTGAGCTAGTAGATATACACAGGATGAATCAGTTTAGCCATAAGAACTCGAGTTCGAGTCCGATCTCTGTCATAGTATCTAAGAATCGAAATTTAGAACACCACAACCAAGACGGGATACAATTCAAATGCGACCACAATGACAAAGAACACGCTCAAACTCTTCAGTGATCACAAACTGCGGTTACTTTAAAAATTCATCGCCAGGTATAAAAACCAATCTGTTCACAAAAGTAGTTCAACTAACCTTTTCAAAGATTTTGTTTATGAGAATCGCACTGATTTTATGTTTGGCGAAAAATTCTAGCGCTGGTGGATCAGGCGAGTGCAACACGCATGGAGATTGTTCTTATGGGGAGCGATTTTGAATCTTTTTTCAAAAAAAAAACTTTGAGAAACTATAAAATTTTGTCTTATATTTCTATTTATTTTCTTTGGAAAGTTTGAAAAATCGTGATAAAGAGGTTCTTGCATCAACAAAAAATGCGTCTGTCACTTTGATTGTCGGAGTTTTTACCCCCTTCTGTACAAATCCGACCTCGAAATCGCACAATCAACGACTTGTATAAAGATTCCAGGAGAGAATGAGCGAGGCGCAGTCCGAGTTGCAGTTTCAAGCATTTGTATGGCTCAGGTAAGAAACCCTTTTTTTCTCAGGAAAACAAACTTTCCAGGCGGAGGCATGTAAGAGACAGAAAGAAGTAAAGATCGAATGCATTGGTCTCCAATGCGACATAACAAGCGGCCAGTGTAGCGCACCAAGGCCATCAATGACTAGGAAAGGATCAATAACACCACACTAAAAAATGCCTTTATAAATTAATCAACTTTATTCACGAAAATTATCGAGCTCTTAAAAAGACAGCTGTGTAAGAAAGACAATGTCTGCACGCGAAATATCGAAGGAACTTCTGGAATATGCCTTCGAGATCCAATATCGAAGGAGAAAAAGTGCCACTGCGGAGAAGGGAGAGCAGGAGCAAAGTGCGAAAAGTACGATCAGGTTCAGCGAGACAGGGAGGTGAAGGAGAACTCGATGCTCTTTGGAGTGTCGCTGATGATTATTACGATGTTTGTTATTTTGGCGATGGTGGCGGTAACGAGATGGTGCTACATTGACAGAAAGGTGAGGAAAACTTTTGCTCCCTCGATGATCGACTGAGAATCGTACCTTCAAACCGAAATGCGTTAACTTGCGGTTAAGGAATTGAAAAGAAAGTCGACTGCGCGGCTTGAGCTGTCGAATAGTGTGAGAAAACATCTGCATCGCCTCGATCCGGTTGCGTCAAGAAGTGAAAGCCGAGTCGAAACATCGCTCATCACATGTGCTGCTGTCAATGTAAGAATCTCCGGTGAAATTAAAGACAGTAATTCTGTAGGGTATCCATTTTCCGATGTCGATCCTGATGAACCGATCAATCTATCACAACGGCCGTGTGGAAAACATTCCATTATCGGCGTCGGAACTCACTGAATTATCATCCGACGAGTGCCGAACTCCTTACTGCTCTAGAAGATCAAGACAAAATCACGGTTGGTTTCATTCTTAGAAAATTTCAAACGATCATTTTTTCAGTTAATTGTGACACTGCTTCAACGATGAATTTCTTATCCATCGACGATATCAACATGAAAGACTCTGTTTAATATATTTATTTCAAATCTTTGTGAATAAAAGTATTTCTTTGTTCAAATTCTAGTAGCGGCTTCCATAATCAGTTCGAATGGAGCTAGACAGTTTATTCATCCAGGAAGAAAGTTGTCTATCGTACCTGAGTGAGCTAAGGGTCGAATCTGATGAGGATCGACTGCTAGAGCTGGTGGTTGATTTATGATGATAGTCGTAAATGCCAATGCCCATGTTGGAGCGCATTTGTGACGAATAAGTCGGCTCATATTCCGACTGAAAATTGACTATCCCGGAACTTCGTATTAACTCACGATTTCTGATGTGTTTGACCTTGAGTTTAATTTTTCTTTTGCTGAAAATGAAACTGGAAGTCGTTGAAAGAAAAACTCTGATAAACCAAGGTACAAGCAGAGGAAGATGATCAGCCCTGCTGTAACTTAGAAAGCGCTAGAAATCTCAATATAAAGAAAAAAAAAGAAAATTTCAAGCGCGATTTTCCTGTGATCAGAAAAAGAATGAAAAGGCCAACTCCATTGAGCTCCATTATTTCCTTTTCTCTCAACAAAATGAAAAACAACTCCACGGGGGCTGGCACTTCTGTCAGAAATTGACCTCGAGGATTTAAATTTTAAAATCGTCGAAATTATCTCCCCGAAGCGATTCTGCGCCGGTCAGGCGGATTTCAAACGCATCACTCTCTTTTTATCGTTTTGTTGGTTTTTCTGATGATTGAGTAGTTTTAAATGGATAACTCTTCATAAAAATCTTTTGAGAATGCACTCTTTTTATTCAATTACAGGAGAAAATAAACATTTATAAGCGAAAAAATAATGAAAACAGTAAGCGCTAGAATCAACGCCATCGATAAATCCCGCCCTCTTGTTTGGCTTCCCGTCTTCATTGGAATTGATAGAAGAGCTACATCTCTAGAATAATGAAAAATAGTCTGAAATCTTTGATTTATTCTTTACCTCTTTGATCGGCTCAATTTTCGGTCATTATTCAAATTGCTGAAGTCCGTCGATCCTCTGGCTCCAGTGCACTGTGTTATCGGAGTGCAGTGTTCAATTTTACATGCACGGACGTAGACATGAAGAAAAATGTCGAATGTTTCAGGGAAATAAAAACTTGGGATGGCGAACCGCTTTGTCTGAATTGAAGGAGAGTTGTAGACGTTGAGCTGATCGGACAAGGAACAGTAGTCAGTGATCCAGGCATAGTAGTTTTCTGTTTCCATTGATTCTTCTTTGAAAAAGTTTGAAACTAAATTTATGAAGAGAAATTACCTGGGGAGGCCCAAAAGTGCTTAATCTCGATTCCATATTGCTCTTCAAGTTCTTCGCTCAATTTAACCTCGACAAAAGCTTCTTTTCCAATCTCAAAAGTCGGGACTTTCCCATTTTTTCTCAGGAAATTCTCATCGTCGAAAATTTTTATTTCGACTCTCAATTTTACTTCTTCTTTGACAACATAAAAATCAGGTTGGTAATAGGAACGGTCGACGGTGAATTGGAGCGGGTCTTGGGCCAGAGATGTGGTGGGCCATTCGCATTCTATCGGAAGATGGATGGTTTTCGCGAGACCTAAAAGGGGAGGAATGACGGGGGAAGGAATCAACAAGGACTCACTGAAGATTGGTCTTTTGATTGAAATTGTATTGTTGTGTCTAATGTGAGGTTCAAGCTTCCAGTTCTCGAAATTAACTCCAGTTTCTCCACTTTTCAAAAATGTTCAAAAGAAAACGAACTGTGCTTACCTATGAATGGTCGTTTCCGTTCCGCAGTCATAATGCGCTAAGTGCCCCTCTGAGTTTTCATGCTCCTCTGGGATCTCTTCGGAGCACCAGATCCAAAAATGCAGGTCCATTGGCAACCCCTCCAGTGATCCGACATCTCTAGCGTAACAAACCGGGTCGGCAAGGGATAGAAACTCAACGTCACTTTCAAAAATGCCTTTTGATTCCAGCCAACTCTCGCTCATCCAAGCGCACATTCGAGTTATTTCGCACTCGACATAGACTCCAGAGAAAAGATTCTTTAGGACTTCGATGTCGATATCTTCAATGGATGCAAAAGCTGATGAAGAAAAGAGTAAAAATCTGAGAAAAATCATTTTGGATGGTTTGGGATGTTGAGAAGTCTAGGCTGAAATTCGAGGCAATAAAGAAAGAGTAAAATAATGACGTCCAGCTTGATTCAATTATCTTGAAGACTTCAAATTCAAGATATATTTTCTTATATTGCGATTTTCCTAGGTAGGGTAGAATGGGTTCGATCCCACTTTTGTTCAGACAGGGATGATCTGGGCTCGGCAACATGTGTAAAAACCTGAGTCAGGGTCTGGAAGATCTCAAATGAATATTGAGATTTTTCATTTGAGATCTTTCAGACCCTGACTCAGGTTTTCTACACATGTAGCGAAAATTGGAAAAAAAGCTCGTGAATCGTGAAAACTCATGAAAACCGTTGAGACGCCGAAATCATGGAAAATCTCCACAGTCAGCGACAATGTCGCAATCTTACAACAAACTCAACAACATGAAAACAAGTTGATCCCTTGCCATGCTTTTGGTGCGTGAAAGATATTCATTTTAAAATCCGATACTTGACAAGAGCAGGTCTGATTCGTCGCGAGGTGGATCGTTCTTTCGAGGAGCAGACTTAAAAAGGCGTAGGCGGCGCGCTGCTGAGTTTCCCAAAGACAGAAAAGGAGCGAAAAACCTTCTCAGAGAAGAAAACCTAACTTCCAGAACAAACAGGCTCCTTTCAGGAGTCTCCCGAGAAAAAAAGGAAAGGGGCGATTTTGATATCATTCTTGAAAAAATCGAATCGACATTCATTTGTTTTCTAGTGATAGTTGATTGGAAATCAGAAAATTGAATTAACTTCGAAATTCTTCATGATGTTTCCATTTTAACGGTTTTATCTTTCTTCAAGATTGTCGCCGTTTGAACGGACTTTTGACGAAGAAAGCCATGTACTCCAAAAAGCCCGTTAAAATGGCGACAATGTTGAAGAAAGATCAATCCGGACACTCATCCATCTAATGTGGATAACCTCCATTTTTATTAATTCCCAAAAAGCCCAATCAAAGCACTCAAACGGCGACTATTTCCTTCTTCATTTCATCTGCCCAAAACTCCAAGTGAATTTATGGAATCAGCGCTTTCAGCTGTTTTTATCAACTCGTAAGTCTACTTTCATCATTCGCGGAAAATTTCCGTCTGTACAAAGGTCGCCAAAAATCGCAAACACCCTGCAGCGCTACCCGAAAAAATGAGACCCCCTCGTGTCTTGAGAAAACTTTGAATTTCCCTTTTCAAATTAAAAACGAAAAGAAAACTTTTAATAAAAGAGGAATTGATTTTTTTTGTTTGTTGATTAACAGGGCCGAACTGGTTCAATGTTAACACAGCATAAACTTGAAAGGTGATTGGATTTTCTGGTTATTTTTGATATTTATTGAGGGGTGATTTTACTGATTTTAGTACATCCCAGTAATTTAAGCCTTCGCTCGGAAGCCTGTGTAGATGACCTGAATCAGGTTTAGAAGAGCTCAAATGGCCTTTCCTTTATGCTCCTCTGGACCTAACTCAGGTTTTCTACAAAGGCTTCCGAGCCGAGTTTTAGGCGCATTATAAGGTACCATGTGATCTGGAGGTTTGTGTAACCCAAGCTAGGGTCGGACCCCTTACTAAGGTTTCCTTAGTTACTAAGGGTAAGGATTTTAAAATTGATGAAAATCAAGAAAGGCCTAAGGAAGGACTAAGGGCCTTCCTTACTAAGGCCTTAGTAACCTTAGTAAGGATCTGATTAAATGCGATTCGATAAAATGTTCTTATTGATAAAAATAGCAATAATTTAAGTTTATTTGGTATTTTCTGCTGTCAGTAAGTTGACAAGAGACATTTTTATAGAATTCCTTCACAACTGGTCCTTAATTTCCTTCCTTACCAAGGCTTTTGCAAAGGTATTTTTGATAAAAGCGCTCTCAAACTGCGTAGGCCGTCGAAAAAATCCTTTTTAAAATCCTTAGTAAGGAAAGGAATTAAGGAAAAATCGCTAAGGATTGAAGATCCTTACTAAGGACCTCTGAAAACTAACAAAGGAACTATGGTAAGGATTTTTTTCCGCCGAAATCCGAAAAAGGGTAAGGAAATAATCCTTACCTTACTAAGGTAAGGACCCTTAGTAAGCAAAAAATAAGGAAGGAAGTCCGACCCTAGACCCAAGCGCAATCGAAAATAATTCTGATTAACAAAAGATCAGCCCGTTTTGCTTCCCATGTTTAGGCATAACGCACAAAAATCGACTTTTTATCTGAAAGTCGTAGGAAGCTGATTTTCACATATGATATAGATTTTTGTGCTTGGATAACATTTCAACTAAAAAATTCAAAATTTTCAAATTTAGTACTTTTTAAGTACCCAAAAGTTGTCAAAAAATTGATTTTTCGAGCAATCCAAGCTACGGGGTTGTAAGTATGCTCATTCGAAAGAGCGCAAAAACTGAGTAAGAAACATCAATAAAAAGGGGTGCATTGGGGATTCTCTGGATTCTAGGGATGAAAAACCCCAAAAATGATGACTCATCATTGATTCAAAAAAGGGTATTTCTGAAATAACCATTGATTAACGCGAAACTTATAGGATCTTTGTAAAAAATGTCGAGGATTTCGATCACGTGTTTCAAATTTTGAAAAAAATTCATCTTGGGGTCACATGAGGTCATTAAAGTTCAAAATTCCAAATTTTGAAAAATAACCGCTGTCAATAATTTGACATTTACAATCTGTATTTAAAAACCATAAAAAAGCTCCAAATGGATGATACAAATTTTAATATCAGATGGAGGTGGGTGGGGTTGGGGACGTAACTGAGAATGATCAACTCAGATTTACCGGCCTTTGTCAAGCCCCTTAAATTCAAAAATCAAGGGACGGGGCTGAGACGGCCCGAAGGGCCGTCAAGCCCCTTAAATTCAAAAATCAAGGGACGGGGCTGAGACGGCCCGAAGGGCCGTCAAGCCCCTTAAATTCAAAATCAAGGGACGGGGCTGAGACGGCCCGAAGGGCCGTCAAGCCCCTTAAATTCAAAAATCAAGGGACGGGGCTGAGACGGCCCGAAGGGCCGTCAAGCCCCTTAAATTCAAAATCAAGGGACGGGGCTGAGACGGCCCGAAGGGCCGTCAAGCCCGTTAAATTCAAAAATCAAGGGACGGGGCTGAGACGGCCCGAAGGGCCGTCAAGCCCCTTAAATTCAAAAATCAAGGGACGGGGCTGAGACGGCCCCACGTAAGTTTCGATTTTTCTGTAAAGTTCAAAAAATTAATAATTGAATTTTTTGACCTCGAATGACCCCAAAATGACCTTTTTCAGAATTTTTGATCACGTGATCGGATTCCTCGACATCTTTAATGCCAAACCTATAAGTTTCAAGGAAATCAAGTTATTTTTGAAAAATGCCGATTTTGGAATCAGTGATGACTCATCGAATTCCGAGTTTTTCATCCCTAGAATCCAGAGAATCCCCAATGCACCCCTTTTTATTGATGTTTCTTACTCAGTTTTTGCGCTCTTTCGAATGAGCATACTTACAACCCCGTAGCTTGGATTGCTCAAAAGTAGCGAGAAAAGGGATGAAAAAAGTACTAAAATGTACCAAAATTTTTTTCCAAAAATTTTGAAAAGTCATTTTGGGTACTCTTGTTGCTCCCAAAGTTTCAAATTAATATCTCTTACAGGGAAAAAGTTGATTTTTGTACGTTATGCCTACCCATGTTACGTCTTATTGTCAACGAAAGAGTAGCTCACGAGGACGCCCCCGTGAGGACGGTTATGATCGAGCAATTTCTTGCTTAGCACAGCTCCTTTCTTGAGGGTCAATCGTAGCACCGGCGATCAATGTTTTTCGCGTTTGACGTCAGAAGCATTCTGTTTGAAATTATTTTCTAAACAAAGGAAGAATAACAGCTCTCTTGCAGAAAAGCCGGCCCTTCGGGTCCACTCACATTTCTTATGAATTTACCGTCGGGCGGTTTTTTCTATCCAGAATGCTTGATTTAAGATAAGTCCAGAGGATGCTTTTTCCTCCATTTTTCTTGGGCTGGTCTAAATTTGTCAGCTTTTCGTAATTATTTTGAAAAAGCGACTTGAAATTCGTCGTTGAACGATGTTTTCAAGTCGTAATTTTTCGGCTCATAATTTTACCTGCTTCACGGGATCATTTCGTGATAAGTAGGTCATATTTCTTTCAAATAAGACATTTTTGCCCCGGTTGAACCCAGTTCTGACGCTATTGAATTTATTTTTATGAGCACCTGTCCAGTAAAATTTATCGAATACGGCAAATCGAGCTCCGATGTTTTATATTCTGCGTCTTATTCAAACTCATTATCCGAAAAGACTCTCTTATTTGCCTTCTGAGAAAAGCTAATAAGGGTCTCCTCAAATATTGTCGATTTACAGACCGCATTTGACCCAGAATAACTTGGCAATAAGAACCCGTATTTCGTCATTCGAAATCGACCCTGTAACATTCAAATTGATAATATTTGCGAAAAGACAAGCTATCAGGATTTGCGACTGATCGGAGGATTGTCTTGAGACACATGACCCGTATTTGCTCGCTTGGGTCTACTTTTGAACACTCACTTTTTCTCCTGCCTAAGCAGATTTTGAGGCACTTGAAAAATAATGATCAATGGTAATTGTTTTGGCAGAAAACCATTTTGGTCGATTGAAGTTTGAAAGCTTCCTTTTCCTTTTTTAATTACCGTCTTCATTTTCGTGGAAACTCCCCAAATCCATGATCACGGAACCAAGCTCATACGAGATTATTTTACGAGGAAAAGTGCTGACCCAATTTTTACTATCTCAGACGAATCAGAGGCCCTCCGCCCAAATTTAGCTCACTAAAATACACTAAGATTGGTTTTTAATTATAAAACCAAGTTTTCAGAGAATAAGGCATTTAGTTAGAGAAAGTTCTCTTTAGAGAAAAATATTTTTTTAGTTTCAACCAGCTATTGAATCAACATTCAAAGCAACAGTCGATATTCCTTCTAACTGATAGATGGCCAAGTATATCAGAAATACAGGTTTGCAGATGGTTAAAAGTTATACATACTGTAGTTAATACATGCAACTGTCGTATTTTATTATCAATTTTTCGCCCCTCGCATGATAAAAGGAAAAATAGCACAGCTCAGCCTGGTTGCATCATTTTTTGCGGATTCAGAAGACCCTTATTCTCGTCAATAACCGATTTCATAAAGTAAGATCAAACAAGCTCTTACTTCACAAAATCCGTTACCTTAAAGAATGAAGGGCTACTCTGTCCGTAGAAAATATACAACCAGATTGTGCCATTGGGTAAGTTTCAAAAAGAATCACCATCTCAAATCTCAATCAAATCACTGACTGCTAAAAATTTTCAGACTTTATTAAATTCTTCTTTCTAGCTCTATTATCGTTAATCTCATCGCCGCGTTCGTTGTCTCCCAGTTCACTGAAATCTCTTTGATTCACAAGAAGTTCTCTTCCAAGCCTAGGCGGTACTAGGTAAGTTCATTTTCAAATCCACTCCAATTCAGTTCTACAGATTTATCTCAATATACAACCATCCTCAGAATTTAGCCTTCTTTTGGCTCTCTGAGATGGTTTTATATTGAGATAAAGCTTTAGATATAGCTAGCAACCTCTAGGATAGCCTCCTCTAAAACAACGTCTAGAACATCCACTAGAAACATGTCGATGCTGAATAGTAATTGGGCCACCCAACAGCGTCGGTCTCGACGTGGGTCCTCCACGTCCTCCGTTACTGTTCGGGAGCAGCCCATTCAGCCCTTTAGCTGGGCCATGGAACTCTTGGTCCGCCAAGTGCAGGTGCAAAATATTACACCATCAAACAAACTAATCCCCCTTATCAAACTTTTCAATCAGGCTAACAAAAAACGCACACGTTTCCTTGAACGTTTCAAGGAAAGATCTGATATGATCAGATATACGATCAGTAGCACAATCCATCAGATAAAACCCACTTTCATCTTCGGTCAAAGTCTCCTTTATTCTCGCATCTTTTCTTTTCCAGGCATCGTTCCATGAAAAAAGGGGCTGAGGAGCACCCCCGGGCGGCGTGTTTTATTGCCAGATGACCGGAACACGCCGCTTATTTTTCGGAAAACAAGCTTGTCAAAAATTTTTCATTGAAGAAAAAAACAGAACCCGAAAAAACTCGAAAGCCCAAACAAAGCCGACTTTATCCATAAATTGTCCGCCCGGGCGCTTATTTTTTGCGCTTGCCAAAAAACTTGAAATTCTTCGAAAATGAGACAGGAACGATGCCCGAAAATAGAGAATGCAGGAAAACCGGTTTTCAAACAATATCGTCGATCTTTTTATTTAACGAAAATTTAGACTCTCTGCCAAGAAATGGTTCTTGTACGATCAGCAAATTCTTATGGATCTTTTTCTTCCGTCGTTTCCGATTTCGAGGTTTGTCCTATTTTTTTGGGTCTCCCAAGCTAATGATGACTTTTAGGATAATGATTTTGATATCGTTAAACGACTCGGAAGCGGCTTTTTCAGCGACGTCTTCCTCGTAACCTATAATGGGAACAAATACGTCAAGAAAACAGCTAAATGTAAGGACACCAACTTGAGTCGCGAGACCCTAATTTTATAATTTAGCTAGCGTTTCAAATGCTGAAGATGAACTCGACAACGAACGCAAAATTCTCGCCCAGCTCAACCACCAGAATATCGTATCTTTGGTTGCGGCCCTTGAAGGTACCTTTCTATTCAATTTAACTGTATCCTGACTGTTATTCTAAGGTTCGAATTCAATCATCCTCGAACTTTGCTCCAAGGGTGAGTTGGCGATGTATATTGAGAATATGGGCGCCTTCAATATTCCTCAGGCCCGCTTTTACGCCAGGGTAAGATCAATCAATCTCCTTCTTGAGGCAATCTGTTTCTTCTTAGAACATCGCGGCTGGCCTTGAATACCTGCACACGCGCAGTATTCTGCACAACGACATCAAAGCCGAAAACGTCATCATCGGCGTGGACAACATGCCAAAACTGACCGACTTCGGCAACTCACGGTTACTTATCGATGATGAGCCCGAAATGCTTCTCACTGGCACACCTGAAAGTCTTTCGCCTGAGATGATTACTTCCCAAGGTAGCTCAAAACGACTGATCCCCTCTCTTATGCTCATTTTAGGGGTTGTACGCGGTTATCTGTGTACCTGTACCCGTGAATGCTCTTTTTTGTTTCGTGGGTACCACGGACCCGTGAATGCTCAACTTTGGTTTCATGTGTACCAGGTACCCGTGAAGGCTTTTCTCAACGTTCGCGTGTACCAGGTCCCCACGAACATTAGTTTTGACTTTCATGGGTACCCATGACCCGCGAACATTGTTATTAAGTTTCCTGGGTACCAAGCAGCTGCGGTTGGTAGAAATTTTTCTAGACCTTGTTTTGACTCAGTCAATATCAACCTATTAAGGTCGACCTTTCTATCTTAATCTAAGCCCCTTACCTCGGGGCTCCGCCCCTTCGGGCCTAAGATGCCGGGGTCTAGTCTAGGGTTACTTAGGGTTACCTTCAGTAACCCTAACTAACCCTAGCCTATCCCCCTCGGGTAAGTTTGTTCTGTCATTTTGCCCAGTGCCCCCTAACACTAACCATAAATTAAGGCAATCATAAGTTGGAGCTTATCATTAATTTTAAGATGAGCGCTTTTCCATTGTCTTCTATCTTCTGAGTCTCATGAAAGTTGAAAAGCGTTCGTAAGACTTCGGTACCCACGAGCTTTGAAAATAGCATTCGCGGGGACCTGGTACACACGAAACTTAAAGAGAGCGTTCGCAAGTACCTGATACCCACGAAACTGAAATTTAGAATTCACTGGTACCGGTACCCATGAAACTAAAATAGGAGATTCACGGGTATGGTACACAGATAACCGCATACCACCCATTTTAGGCTATTCATTCCCCAGGGATTGGTGGAGCTTTGGCGTGTTGGTCTACCAAATGATAAGTAAGTTTTTGACATATTTTTTCTTCAGACTTGGAAAAGGGCGTGGATTTTCTAGAGTTTTTGAGACTAAAAACAGTTTTTAACCACTTGCCAAGTAAAAAAGGTGTCTACAACGTAGTTTTACCGAGTGATAAGATCCTTCTTATTACCTTGGCTTATCCCTTATCATATGATAGGACCTTTCAAGGCAATTTGGAATAACCTTGTCGACTTTTCTAGCGCTCAAAAAGATCTATCGTCAACCTTCTTTAGTGCCGAGATTCGCTTTTTTCTTATGCCGTTTTCGTTACAAATCATAATTCTCGTCTTTTGACAATTCTATAGAGTATTCTGGCGATCTTAAGAAAGACGCTATATTTTCTTAAAAACCCGTCAGTTTGAAGCTAGGGTCGATAAAATCTTTATCGGGGGTCTTTTAACAGCGCCCCTTCTCTTCCCAAATATGAACATGTCTTTTTAGCCGGAGAAATGCCCTTTACCGGTGGCGATGAGCTCCAAGTCTACGTCGCGATTTTGACTCAATCTCCTAAACTGGACATCATCGACGACGATGCAGCAGTCGATCTTATCGAAGGTCTTCTCCACAAAGAACCTGCCCACCGAGCTGCGCACGACCCGCACCATCCTTTCTACAAAGGATTCGACGTTCCTGTTACGGACGATAACACCGAGCTTGTTTGCCACGGAGGCATTCCCATCAAAAGACCACAGTAAACAATACAACTACAGTTTCACCAGTAGTATTTACAATAGTTCCTCATTTCATCCGAAAATTCTTTCTTGTCCAGTTTCTTTCGCTGCTTTTTCAAACATTGTATTTGCTTTCTTTTTATTTGTGAAACAGAAAACCTTCTTTGGACCAATCAAATATCTTCCTTACATCCATAAGCGGTCTCAAGAAATCTTATTGGCTCAAAGATCCTTTTTCTAACCACTCTTGTTAATTTTCTTGATTTGACACCATTTTATCCACTTAATTGTTACTTAAAATTTCTATAGGGTTAAATAGAATCAATCGATTTTTCTCAAATAGACAGGCCCTTATTCTTTCTAGAGAAATCGCCATCGTCGAATTACAAACTCGCAACCCACAATTTAATCTTATTCTATCTTCTATTATCTTGCAACAAAGTGAAAAGAAAAAACCGACCATAAGTACTATAATTTATTTAGAATTTGAATCATTAGGATAAATCTTTCCTTATCAAATGAAACAATTGTTTCCAATAAGAAAATAAATCTCCCTCTGTGTCTTTTGTCTGTTAGTTTCTCCCGATTCTAGAGCTCCTGATATGAGCCCTTCTCTCTTCTTTTATAACTAAGAATTTCCCTTTATTAATATTTAAATTATTAAATATTAATTAAAATTATATTCTTCTTTCCAAATCTGTTCAAAATTCGTTTACCTTGAGTTTTTCCCTTTTTCCATTCTATCATTCGAAATAAAACAATAAAAACGGAGCTCGATCTCTTCATCCCTTTTTCTTTGTAGAAATGGCTCCGAAAAATCTGGAGACATTTCTCCCCGATGTCTCGTCGCCGTCTGTGCGACAGACATCGCGAATCGGATACGGCAAGCTACCGGAAGATAAATGCAAGCAGCTCAAGTTTATTTCGGACACGCATGTACAGTCGTTCGATTGGTTTTTGGACGAAGGATTGCCAAATATTCCCAACGCGGTGGAGCCTTATGAGTTCGAAATGGAGGCGAATAATGAAAATATGCGATTTAGGAAAAGAGTCAGAAATCATAAACTGGCATTTCTGAAAGCAAATTTATGTTTTTATAAAACATGAGTATATTTATATTGATTTTTTTCCTCGAGAAAAACTCGGCAACGATTAAATATTTCAGTTACAATCTATCTTTATATTTGAAGGGACTAAGGTCCTTTATAGCCATCAAAACCCTTGCCCAGAAACTTTTGTAGATCCCCGAGTCACTTCACTCTCACTTAACTCGTTCAGGGGAGGGAATCATAAGATGTTTTTTATTGCAAAGAACGTATATTTAGAAGTTTGTATTTGTTTCATTATCTCTAGTGATTCTTTTTTGATTACTACTAGCTATTCCCAAAGAGATTAATTTTTTACGGGGCATATTCGTCCCTGGTTTCGTTCGAGAAAGAAATGAAAGAATCATAATTGTTTCTTTTTGAATTTCGGTCGATGTTTTTCTGCCGACGCTTATTTTCGTCAAGAGTTTCGTTCAAGAATGCCTTCTTGAAAGTCAAGCTTTCATAAAAATTGAAAACTTTCTTAATCTTTGTACGGCCATGAGCAGGCCTTATTTGACTCTCAAACAGACTCGAAGTCGAACATATCGAAGTTGAGCAACCAGTGTTGGACTCTTCAATCGTATGCAAAGATAGACGACTATTCCCGGCGGAATGTCGGCAAAAGAAGACGGATTATACTGCTCCTGTTCATGTTACATGTAAGTTCTTGGGTCGAAAGCCTGTGTAGAAACATTAGTCAAGGACCTTGACTCAAGGTTCTATAAGAGAACTTGGAAGGCCTTAAAAATGATGGCTTGGAGTGGCATTCATGCTCTTTCAGGACCCTGACTCAGGGTTCTACGCACGTTTCCGAAAGCAATTCACGTTCGTCTCCATTCCCAGTGTCTTATCTTTCTTTTAGTCAACCTGGTAAACCTCAAGACTGGCGAAACCCAAGTCGTCACGAAGAAAGACCTGTTACAAATGCCCCTGATGGTGATGAGCTCAAAATGTCACCTGCGGGGGCTCTCGCCGACCGAACTCGTCGAGCGAAAAGAAGATCACTTCGAAATCGGCGGCTACTTCATCGCCAGTGGCAATGAAAAAGTCATCCGTTTGTTAAACATGAACAGACGCAACTTTCCCCTTGGGTTGAGAAGAAACGGCTGGAAGCGACGAAGAAATGGGTACAGCGATGCGGGTATTATGATCCGTTGTATGGACAAGTGGGAGAGGACTTCGAACATGAACCTGCACATAACAAAGACAAACGAAATGGAAGTCGTTTTCTACATCCAAAAGCAGCTCTTCCACGTCCCTCTTATGACTATCGTCCGGGCGCTCACTAACTGGACGGATTTCGAAATCTACCGCGAATTTATGCAAACGATGTCGGACGAGCCTAATTACGATTCTGCTGTCAAAAGAATGCTCAAGCGCCTCGTAAATACCGATAACTTACTAGAACGAAACGAAGCGATCAAGTATCTCGGCCAGAGTTTCCGAATCTTCGACCTTTGCCCGCCTTGGAAGTCGGATTTCGAAGCAGGAAAAGCGTTCCTCAAGCGATATTGCTTAATCCACCTGGATGATGATCACGATAAAATTCGAGCGTTTGCGCTAATGGCTCGCAAAACCTTCAGAATCGCCAACAATACCTGCGCCACAGATGATATCGACTCGCCCGAGTCCCACGATGTCCTTCTTCCGGGGCATCTTTTCCAGTCGATGACGATCGAGTTCTTCGAGAGCTACCAAAAGTCGATATCAATGATCATGGCGAAGGAATATGCCAAGCAACTGGAAAAAGGAAACGACACTGTTGGCTCCTCCATGCTTAGCTTTGCCATCAACAAGATGGGCAGCATGAATCAACACTACAAATATCTGATCGCAACGGGCAATTTAAGGACGAATGACGGTCTAGGAATGCAGCAACTGGCGGGTATCGTCGTAGGAGCGGAGAAGATTAACTTTGCTCGATTCTACAGCCACTTTCGATGCATTCACAGAGGTGCGTTTTTCATGGAAATGAGGGCTACTTCGCCCCGAAAATTGTCAACAGCAGCCTGGGGATTTATTTGTCCGGTGCATACGCCTGATGGGCCGCCTTGTGGTTTGCTCAATCATTTGGCTCATACGGTAAGGATCAATGTGAAAAGAGAGAACACGAAGAAGCTGGAGGAATTGCTGCTAGAAATCGGAGTCAAGCCACTTTCCATAAAGGTAGAGTTTCCTGACAATATAATCTATACAATATATCTAGGCTGGTGAGCTTGACATTCCTGTTGTCATCGACGGCAGACAAGTCGGCTGGATCGCAAGCGGTTGGCGCGCCCAAGCAGTAGAAAAGTATCTGCGCCGATTAAAAACCTCCAGCAGCGATCGAGTACCTGACACTCTTGAGATCGTCCACTGCCCTGCGCCTGAGAGTAAGGGCGAGGCAGTCATGTTCCCTGGAATCAACTTGCTCACGGAGCCCGCGAGAATGTACAGACCCTTGTTGAATCTGCGTGAGGATAAGATTGAAATGATTGGTATTATGGAACAGGTTTGGATACATGTGACGGTCAATCAGGAAGAAAGTCATGAACTGACAGGAACGGTTGAACACTTAGACTTTGACAACAGTTGTTAAAAGTTGTTTCCCGGCCTTCCTCCCCCTTTTTTGCTCAAGTTTACCAATTCAACCGGACAAAAGAATACCAAGAACTCTACCCCGCAGCCCTCTTCTCCGAACTGGCCTGCATGTCTCCCTTTTCAAACATGAATGCCGGCGCTCGAGTCATTCTCCAGTGCCAGATGGCGAAGCAAACATTCGGCTGGCCGAGTTACACGCTGAACCACAGAAGCGACAACAAAATGTACAGAATTCTAGCGCCCCAGGAGCCTGCTGTCAGAAGCCACTTGCATGATTCGTGGGGAATGGACGATTATCCTCTAGGTAATGAAGTGTTTATTACAAATAGTATCGTACAGTTATTTCTGCAGCTAGAAACTGTACAATTATAAATAAGAAAAAGATCGCGAGGGTGATTTTCAAGATGAGCATCCAGTCCCTCTTTGTGAGATATTTCCAGGAGCAACTTTTTTGCTCATAAATTCCCAAAACTTTCGCACAGTCTTCGTTTGAAGATTCAGTTACATCAAACTGAAAGAGCAGATCTTACTCAAAGAATTAAAGTGACTTGTGATCGGTTAAGCCGGCTTTTGATACAATTATATCTTTTATTGAGGATTTAATTGAAATTTAAACGCGCTTTCATAAGGAATAAATCCTAAGAATAGAAAATAAATATACCTTTTTACGACAAAATTACCTCAATTGGAGAAAGCATAGTCCTTTTTTGATGAATGTTATTTTTAAATTATAATAATTCTGCAGATGGTATCGTCTAGAAATTTATTTATTTTAGGAACAAATGTGATGATTGCTGTAATTTCGTATACTGGATATGATTTGGAAGATGCCACATGCGTGAATAAAATGTCAAGAGAACGAGGAATTATGTACGGGACGATCTACAAGACGAAAATGGTCGACCTGCAGGAAATAGCACAATCTCATGTAAATATTTGTCAATAATTTCTACCCAGTAGACTTTTTAGGGATACCGAGGAGGCTTGAGACTAGGATGTCGAGATCGATTCGACCCGAACGAGCTGAAGAAATACAGAAAATTCGCAGGAGAAAAACTCGATCTTGATGGGCTTCCCTTTCCAGGCACAATTTTTACCTATCAAGTGAGCTTTGCTTCGAATCCAGGGTCTTTTATTCGCTTCTAGGACGCATATTACTGCTACTACGACGATCACGAGCAAACATACAAGGTCGGAAAGTATGATGCCCACGCTGAAGATGCAATTGTCGAGTCCGTTCGAGTTTTCACGAATAAGAGGCCGCAAGAAGGCGGATTTCAACAAGCGGCAATTCAGTTTAGAATTGCGCGTCCGATCAATATTGGTGACAAGGTACATTCAAGCTTTGATCTTGGCTAGCTTATCGGGTGAATTTGTAGATGGCTTCGCGGCACGGTCAAAAAGGTATCTGTAGTAGACTTTGGGCTACTACAGACATGCCCTGGACGGAAAATGGAATGGTCCCAGATCTCATCTTCAATCCCCACGGTTTTCCCTCGAGAATGACAGTAGGAATGATGATCGAATTCATCGCTGGCAAGGTACTTCCTCTCAGACATTTTCCTCCAAGAAATCTCAATCTTAACCCCCTTTTTAGGCGGCAATGGTAAACGGCCGCGTGTATGATTCAACCCCATTCGTTTTCAACGAAGAATACCCTGCTGATGTTCACTTTGGGGAGGTGCTGAAAGAAGCTGGTTTGAATTACCATGGTTACGAAAGGATGTATTCTGGTATTTCTGGCGAAGAACTTGAAGGTATTCTAAATTCACTAAGTTCAAATGAAGCTTTATTTGTATATTGCACTTGCAATTGAACATTGTTAACTTCCACAGTGCAGTTTATTCTTTGAAGTTAGTTAAGCTACCAGAGCCTGCTTTTTATAGTACCACTATAACATTAAAATAATAACTTGATCAAAATCGGCGAAGAGGTATCAAATTATTGCTGATTGATTATGATTATCGTAGTCTTCCATAAGTTCCATATATACTATATTAATACTTTATCAATGGGGATCAAAACTAACCTTATCCATAGCTGACATTTTCTACGGCCCTGTTTACTACCAGCGGCTGCGTCACATGGTCTACGACAAGTTCCAAGCGCGAGCAGACAAGGGCCCGATTGATCCTTATACACAGCAGCCTGTCAAAGGTCGAGCGCGAGGAGGAGGAGTGCGAATGGGCGAGATGGAACGAGACGGCTTGATTTCTCATGGTTGCGCATTCATCGCCAGAGACAGATTATTCCACTGCTCGGATTTCTACAAAACGAGAATCTGCAGTCAGTGTGGCTCAGTGCTGTCCGTCAGCAAGGTGAAGCCGGACAAGACGAAGGACAAAAATGTAAGCTCTTGATTTTAAGTCCCGGTTTCTTGAAAGTTTTCAGGACCCTGACTTAGGTTGTTATACAGGTCACATTTACACCCCTATTTTTAGTGGAAGCTGATGTCGAACGGAAAGTGGGAGTGCCGAATGTGCGGACCAGAAGCGAAAACGCTCCTCACCGACCTCCCTATGTGGTAAAATACCTCGCCGCCGAGCTCGCCGGAATGAACGTCAAGCTCGACTTTAAATTTGCCAAGAAAGATGTAACTGGAAGAACGGAAGTGCTCGATATTGTTGAGAAAATGGAAAGTTAACAGAATGAAAACTGAAATTGAAACTGAAATAAATTATTTTCAAAAGTTGAAAGCTGAAGCCAGTTTTTATTTGGTCGAATAACCAGATGAAAATTTCTGTATGAATTTTATTGCAGGATAACTGAAAGAGGAATCAATTTATTTGTACTTGACAGCTTGGAATGATTGCCAATCATCGTCGTATTTATGCTTCTCATTCATGAGTTTTTTCTTAAATCGGAACCACTTGTCCTAAAACAAACGTTTCCCAGACAATATTATATAATGATAATATATTGAACCAGCAACTTTCTCTCCGTATGGTCCCCGTTGGTGAATGCTCCGAGATTCTTTGATCGAAAAGCTCCTTCATGCATCTTGAAGCCGCTTGAAAAATCGAAAAGTAGCAGTGAAAGGAAGATGAAAAAGAGCATTTCGAGTTTTTTCTGATGTTGTTTTTTAATTTTCCTATTATAAAAGGCAAGGCTGATTGTTATTATTTATTAAATAAAGCATCGGCAAGACACTTTCATAAATCAATGATCATTTAGTATCATAATTTATAAAGAAGGGGGCAATTTTCGAAGAGGCGAAAAAATAACAAACAAGTCAAAACATCTTCATCAATTAGCTTTGATGAGTGGAAGATTTTGAATATAATTTTAACTGTCTCTCGCTGTCAACAATTATTTTGATCATGCTTTGAAATCATTTTGAAGGACCATATTTTATTTCTAAAATAAGCCTTGTGTTTAGGTTTATAAGAAGAGAGCTTCAGGTATAGAGGGTAACTTAGTACTTTTAGGCTAAGATTTTAAGCCTTAGACTTACAAAATGAGTAGGTCCTTAAGGTCCTAAAGTCAACGATTTTGACATTCTGAAAGTTCAGAGTCTTACTAAAGAAGCCTTCCTTAAAGACCTTGAGAATGGCAAATGTCTTAGAATAAGTACTTTACCTCAAGTATTCTCTCTGTATGGACTGAATCAACAAAGCTTCCGAGTCTATGAAGTCTAAATTCCGAATTTCCATGATGGTGAATGTCTGCATAGACGATACTTAAAAAGTATAATTTCATTGAATTTATGAGAATATGTCAAAACTTCTGGGTGGAATTCTTCTGACCAGGCATCCATAGGAACACGTGCAAAGGTGATCAATGATTTAGATTAAAAAATGTCTTCTTAAAAAAAAGACAAGCAAAAGACTTGTAAAAGAATGTCACTCAGTGCTTACATGACTCATGTAACATGAGGTCAAAAACTGACACGGACTTGCTGCTTGAAACAAAGGCAATGAAAGACAATCAAAAAGCCAAATGATTTGAAAGACTATTTGGCTTTTTTTTCGAGAAGTTTATATAAAAATATTTTATTGCTTGTCAAAACTGGTATATACAAAAGTTAAATATTCAGAAGCACAGTTTGATACGATACTTTCGCTTCTTTTTAGTGTTCGACGTAAATGTGCTTGTGGCTTTCGATCATGTCAATGTCGCGCTCGAGTTGCTTCATCTCGGCCTCGATTTTCTGCTTTCTCTTCTTCTTGGGCGCAGTGTCGGTGATGACGGACAGGCCTTGGTAGCGGACGTTTGACTCTTCCCAGTTTTTCTTGAGGCCGGCGACGAGATCCATTCGCTCGGCTTCAGTGAGCAGTCGCACAGTCTGTCGGAGCGCTTCTCGCTCGTAGATCCACTGCTGATACTCTTGGAAGGCCTTGGCGCGCTGCTCTTTTCGGATGCAGATGTAATTTGGCACTTTACCGAAGTTCTTCTTTTTCGAGTACTTTTAAAGGTGTTATTGAATCATTAAATCCTTTCAAAATCCTGATTTCAAAACTGTTGATCAAGATCTTTTAACACTTTCCTTGGGGACGAGACCAGAACACTCGATTTCATCAGCTTGACCATTGACATCATCAACAATCTTCTCAGTGGGCATTCGTGGCCGAGCATTAATCACCTAAGAATTTATTTATAAGGCGGAAAAAATTGAAGATCTTATGGAAAAGCTGGCTGATTTTTTGCGAGCCATCCTACTTTTGAGGCGACAAAAGTGAACTTACATCAAGAGCATTTTTAGTGATGAAATCTTTTTCAGGTCGTAGCACTTGCTTGCTGTCAAAGGGCGCGTTAACTGGAACTGGCGGCTTGAGGGCTTCGCTTTTCTTGCACGATTTGTTGACGCCATTTGAGCACTTTGGCTTTCCTTCTCCCTTCTTCAGAAAGCTTTCCGGCGAGTTGAGAGGTACTTTCGATGGACCCATGGTTTTGCATGGCTGCGCACCAGCACGGTACTCTCCCTCGGCCTGGGGTCTATAAAAATAGGTTAATTTTACTTTCATGTTTCATTTTGGGCGTAAATAATTGAATTTTATTTTTGTATTGGAGCTTTTCGATGGAACTTTAGTTCTAAAACACGCGCAGGAAAGCATTCTGATTGCATAAATATATCGCTTTTGATGCATCCATTTAGATCCCCCCTTTGAATGTGAATCTATCGGACTTTGTTATCATTTTTACTTGAGTTTCTAGAATACAATTTATGCTTTAGTTTATTTTTCGTCTCCCATCAAAGTGAAGAAAATGTCTCGATAAGGATTTCCAAAGAATGACTGTTTTCAAGCCCTTACATCCATTACTCAAGTCTGTTCCCATGACTTGGAAAGCAACTGAATGGGAACATCCTTGAAATAAGGACCTTTTCTCTTGAAAATCCCCTCTGTCCGGAAAAGTCAAAAAATAACCTTTAGCGACAAGGTTTTATCTTACTTCTGACAAACAGATGTCATTCTACATGGCCCATGGGTCACAAAGAGAGACTTAGCTAAAGATGTTGCCTGAACCCGCACTAGGATCAAATTAGTTCACGAGTATCTTCGAGAAAAAATAACTCGGCTTAATTTATGTACCTGAATTTGCTAATATGCATTTTTTCTTTGAATATCTTTTCGATTGGCTTGGGGATGATCCCGTTGACGTGCTCGGATCCGTAACTCATTTTCCTTGGAAATCCGCCTTCTTCCTTGACGACAATTTTCAAACTGAAGATTTGGAGTAAACAACATCTTTCTAGGGACCCTGTTCTAGAGATTTCTTTGCGAAATTTTGAAATTTTCGCTGAGAAGCAAGGATGAAGACTTTTTAATAGTTTCTGGATTCATTTATTGATGATTGCCACTATTTAATATTTTACGAAGAAGAGATGTCTATCATGTCTATCATCATTGTTATAATTATGTTCGAAGTTAGTTTTCTTTTTTTCTTTTAAGTCAAAAGTTTCGCCAAAATATGAAAAGCTGTCAAGAGTATTAAACCTCTTGATAATCTGTTTATTAGTCTTGGGTTATTGATTGAAACTTGTTATAATAGTTCGTTTACTGCCATTTTTGAAGTCCTAGCTTTTATTGCTTACCTGAAAATAGCGCCGAGTGCGGCTGACAAAAGGTATAAAAGCTCCCCAAGATATGTTCTACTCATATACAAGCAACAAAAATGTGCATTATCCAGAGTCTTCTTATCATATTTTTATTTATCCAAAATTCTCTCTCCATGGAGCACCCAGCACAGGGTTCGGTAATTTGAGCTCACACTAAAACTCAAGGAAACAAAGCTTGAGACTCACGTTTTTTAATTTGAGTTTTGAGAACTCAGAGATGAGAGCTCGCGTTGAAATCAACTCTGGCGATCCATGAGCCAATCAAGGAAGCGCTCGCTTAATTTGAGTTTTGAAAACTCAAAACTCTCAAATCTCCCAAAAACTCAAAACTCTCAAAACTATCAAATCTTCTCAAAATGATTTCTCAAGTCACTTTGAGTTCTCAATTTGAGGAAATTTGAGCGTCTCGCCAAAATGAGTTTTAGCTTGAGCTCAAATTACCGAACCCTGACCCAGCACTCGATGATTTGAAGCATTGTCTTTCGGTAAAATTGCCTTGATGATCCTTTAATTGCGCAATAGAAGCTTATCTTTATCTACTTTGAGAACAATTGTGTTTTATAGATACAGATAGGTATAAATGATTAAATTTATTTCAAGGCGACGGACATTGGAGACATAGAAGACTGCCAAGCAGCAGGCTTTCCAACCAAAGAGAAAGGTAGCGAAAACATACTAAGAAGAAGTCGTCGATCAAGGCTCTTCTGGAGAAGCTCAAACGAAAACCTCAGTTGTGGACTTCCTTGCCAGAGAAGTGAGCTCACAATTCATGGAAAGGTAAAGTCTCTATTCTCAGCAATGACCTCTTTCTACAGAGTTTATTCTAGAGCCTTTTGAAGGCCCTCTTTCCAGCTGATCACCACCATCTAGAGATCGTCAAAGCTGGCGACAGAATTGCCCATAACAACGATGAAATAGACCTAGGAGATTGCTCGGGCCACTGCATACACGATTCAACCCTCGACCTTAGAACAAAAAAGATCAAGACTTGCATCGCTTCTAAAACGTCAGGTAAAGACATCCATCTTTTTTAACAGCTTACCAGGAAGGCTTGAAGCTTTCCGTAAACAACTGCAACTGAGTTAATTACAAGGAAAATAATAACTGACAGTCCGCTGAAAGTCAACTCACTTTCACAGTGAAATTTTGACTATCGCTTGACAGTAAGGACTTTTAAAGACAAGGTTAATTCGCTAACTCATGGCAGAAAAAAGTGACTAATGTTCCCACAGTTTTGCCCGAAGTTTCTGGACAGCTATTTATTTATCTGATACTAGAGAAAGGAAGAGCTCTACCAGAGCAGAACGGTGGAAAGATTAATCAGATAAATTGTTTAAATATAGATTTTGTCTCTGAATAGAGATATAAAAACGCAATAAAATATGAATGTGAATATATAATATATTTAGATATAACGCTATACAACAGAAGAAGCCGCCAGTACTTTCTGCTCGAAGACGCGATCACAATAAGTTGTAAATGTCTGTCTTCACATTATTGCCCACCATGAATCCTTATAGTCCTAGATTTCATTTAAATATGTAAATTAATATATATAATCGCTTCATCTGTCAAATAATGATAAATTGATATACTTCAAGAGTTTTTCTTCGTGTCCATCATGAGTTACAGAGAAGACAAGTCAAGTCAGTTATCGAAGATACTGTTACATTTCGTAACGAGTTGATTTTTCTCTAGAAATTTTGACTTAAGAAAACCCGTTGTTATTTGGGTAAGATAATTTGAAATAGAGAAATGAAGATTCTTACAGTATTATCAGCTCTTGTACTCGCAGATAACCTGACAGATGATCGAATTCTGTATATAATGAGTAAGTCAGTAAGCAAAGAAAGAAAAAAATTCTTTAGTTGAAGTTTTATTTGCTTGATATTTTGGTGCGGGTTTTATATCATATTGTAACGCCTCAAAATTAACTAACTCTATCTTCTATTGTTTTGTAAAGCATCTAAAATAAAATGATTATACAATTTACATTGTAAATTTTACAATATTCAGTTTCTTTTTCGATCAGCGCAACTCAAATATTCTGTATTTTCGTCATTGAATTGAATTTTTATCCATCTTATCGGCCGGATAAGTGTCGAAATTTTCACTAAAAAGTTTGCCCTACTTATCTATCGGCATTTCAAACAGTCTGTTCGAATTATTTGAGAAACAGTCCATAGCTTCCGAACTATTCTCCTACAGAAATTTTGTGACTTACAGCTCGCTTTTATATTTTTTAAAGCCGGTCCTCGTCTTCGCCATCCCTGCTACTTGAAGAAAAAGGTGGAAACGTCGGCGGGAGGGATTTACTTTGCAGGTAAAAAATTTTCTGGTTCTGTCTTTTAAATTAAAATTAAGAAAAGAGCTGTGGGGTGAAACCGGGAAATATCGTTTTGGAGAAGAGCCCTGGATCTGATTTTTCTGATATTTTGGGCCAAGTAAAGAGAATTCGACCGGTCACGATGAGGCTAGATGTTGAGGTGCATGTGAAATTCGTCGATCCGGACCAGTTAGGATTAGATTTCAAGTCTTAATTTGCCTAGAAAGCGGTTCTGTCAACTCAGAGAATTAAAAATAGAGAGGCTCCCACGACTTAGCTTAAAATTACAATCCGCTTTTTCTCTGATCGAAAATATCAAAAGCCACTTTCAAATCCATCAAAAAACTCATTGAAATCCACCTCGAAAGAACCAGTCAATGATGACGATTACGAACGCTTTGCGGCAGAGAACATAGACGAAAAAGAAATGTACACGAATTATGATGGGGTCTCGCTGGATGATCTGCCCTTCGAAGAACTCAGTGATTTTGAGAGGGAAAAAGTGTTTGGAGAGGACGAAGATTATGATGTGATGTTTAGAGAGCCAGAAGAAGTTTTCTCTATTTATGGAAAAGGAGGAGGCATTGTTGGAGCGAGATTAGCGGTAAGAATAGCCCAGCAGATAAAATTTCTAGTAAAAATAAACGGCTTTTTTTAGAGAGAAGAAAATTTGAAGACGATCGGAACATCGTGGATCCCTGCTCTTGTTCTAATCGGGATCGTTATTGCAGCTGGTGTTATGTTCAAGAACTTCGTCAAAGATGAAAGTAAGTATTTTCAGTTAAATAATTTTTACAACAAAATTCTAGTGGCGAATCAAAATGAAAAATACGGATCATAAACAAAGACTTTTTAAGACTTCTGAAAAAAAATATCAACTTGAATTGCCTGTTTACAGTAAACAAAAAAATAAAAACTCTTTCATAAAATTCCTGTTCAAAATGTCTTATTTGACATGTCACATGTCTGATAAGCGAAAAATCGTATAAACGTGTCTCAAAGGTGAAATCATCGCTCTCGGCGTTTTACGATACGTTTTTACGAGCCATTGTGAGAGTGACCAATTTGAAAGAAACAAAAAACAATCTCTTCATTCCTCAATCTAAATATCTAGCCAGAGAAAAAAAAATGGCGAGTAGGGACTATGTTGTTCCTCCCGAGTACAAATACGAGAGTAGCCGGGGGTCTACTCGGTCTGTTTCGCGAATAAATACAGTAGTTAGAGACATTCGATCGTCGATAGCGGATTATAGAAATGAAGAAAGGAGGCTCAATGAATCTACGAGGTAGAATGTCAATTTTCTTTATTTTTCAACCTTTTTTTCAAGATATCCGGAGTCAGTGAGAAGTAACGCCGAATACGACAGCAAAGTCACGAAACAGAACGAGATCTTAACCAAGCAATTGATGTTTTATCGCGCCCAAGCGGGCGATCTCGACAAAAAATTGCGCCAAGCAACGAATCTCCTTGAATCGACTGTTCTCGAGATTCAAGCAAAGCCTGGAATGGCGAATGCTGAAGATCTTTACCTTGAAAATCAAGAGCTCAAGAAACGACTTCAGGTTTGAACATCAAAAAATGAAAGAAAAATCTAACAAGAATGAAGGAAATTTTGATAAGAGGAGGCCAAGCTGGAACAATTGGCTACAGTAGCCAAATTGCAAAGCTCAAACAAAGGGTTGAAGAGCAAGATCGACAGTTGGATGCAAGCAAGGAGTTATACAACGAGCTTAGAAAGGTAAGCTCAACTCTCTCAAATTTCTCATCGATTATCATTATCTCTAGAAATTCGATGAATTGAATGAGAGCGTCGTTGAAGCTGGAAACTTACCGAGAAGAAACGAGATTCGAACTGTAGCAACTGATGGCAGAGTGGATGTGTCCAAGTAAATCTTCCAAAAAACTCCTTCTTTCATCCCTTTTTTCAGAGAAAAAGAGCTGAACGCCATCATCAAGCAACAAGAAGGCGCAATAAGAGAACTCAATGAAGAAATGAAGGCGATGGAAGAACTTATCCAAGCGAATCGTAATCATCCATCAAGCTTATCTTTTCCATTATCTCCCTTTTTAAGAACGGCAATCAAGGAGGACCCCTTATCAAATTTTCATCGAACAAGAAGACAAGGTAAGAATACAAATATGAGTATCATCACCAAGCTCGTTTTAGATTGAAGAATTGCGAACAGAAAATGTTCGCCTGAGATCAGACCAGGAAAAGTACGAGACTCTTCAGCAGACACTTCTGGAAAAGGAACAGACTTTCAATGATAACATCCCGAGCTTCAACTTTGAAGAGAAAGAAAAGTTTGATCAGGAAACGGCCCATTTTTTGAATTAAAAATGATGAATTAAACAATGAAATCAAGGAAGAGAGCAAGCATTTTTTCTGGCTGCGGCCAGGTTTAGCTAACCCTAACCCTAAACAAATACATTCTCTTTCAATAATTGAGCCATTTTGAAGACGAAAATAAACTTCAAACCCGAAGTTTTCGACGAATCCGCCGTCCCACTCGCCAACAACACGACCGGACTCCTCCTCGACGACATTCCATCCGAATTCAAAGCTCCTATCCACACCCAGATCTTCTAATCCTTCCAATAAAAAATCCCTTTTTTACGAATAAGCAGAAAATTTATTTCAACAGTTATCTTTTTTTTTGTAGGCAAGTAAAATAACTATCTGACTTTGTTTTTAGTTCAAGCGGGTTCAGGAAAATCGGTTGAAAAGAGCATTGCCCCAGATTTTTTTTTGTTATTTTTTCATACAGGTGAACAGGTACTGTATGAATGAGAATATGTTTTTTGTTTGTCGAACTGTATTTACTGTAGTTGAATTTGGAGAATGCGGCGGTTGGTAAAGTTAGATATTCATGCTGGTAAGCTCTAAAACGGTTGATGAGAGGATGAGTCGTTGTTGTTTTCAGTACCTTTTTCAAGGAGATCATTCAGCTTGGTTTTGTAAAGCAGCGCCAATTCGCTTAGGCTTGGCAAGACGGTTGCTAAAGAAGAAGCTTATGTGACGGGCTTTGGTACAGTAGGACTTTGTTACAGACAGGATTATTAGTAAAAACTTACCAAAGAGAGCAATAACTCTCGTCATTTCACAATTTCCAATATTATTTAGCAGCGATTTGAGCTCGTCATTTAGATCAGCGGACGATTTGACGATCTGATCCTTGTCCTCGTCAAAATCAAGCTTTATCTTGTTTGTCGTTCGAATGTTTAAAATCGGCACCATGAGCGCGAGCTCCAGCTCGGGTTCTTTCAACTCGAGATGTTCCAATTCGGAGAGAATGTTGATGAGCACTTTTGGGCCGTCTGGGCAGCTGGTTTTCAACTCGTCGTGTTTGAGCCATGCCAAATGCAGCTTAATGGCGATTTAAAAATTAAAATTGAAATGACGTCAAAACATTTTTTATTCTTTTCTTGAAGAGTTAAGCCAAGTGCTCTTTTTTTTTTGAAAGAGTGCGAAGTGCTAGTTCAATCGAGTGCGAAACCAATTGACCCTTTTTTGGCAAGAAAAGACTTACCAAGACAGATTCGGTGACGGAAGAGCTGATGATTTTTACGATTGTTTCGGGATGCAACTTGCTTGTGAATTTTGAATGCTTGATGACATCAATTACCGCCTGAAAAATTCACGAATTTAAAGAAGAAATTTAAAGAGCATCATTTTTTTAGCTTGGTATTTTGTCTCAAAACCTGAGTCAGGGATTTTGTAAATTTACAGGACCCTGACTCAGGTTTTAAGACGAAATGCCAAGCTAAAAAAGTCATACCCTTAATTAAAATTAAGAAAAGAAAGCCTAGGAATCTTACTGTCAAAAGAAATTCTTACCTGTAAGGAATCATGAAACGCTTCTTCAATATATTGGAATCCATTCAAATCTTTCAACTCCGTATTGTCGACAGTATGGCTGTAGGACACATGGGACATGGGCACGTTGTTATTGCAATTGACGGGTAGACGGCGAATCTTTGCGGAGACGATTTCCGTCTTAAAGAATACATTATTTTCTTGCTCACTCATCTTGATCACTAGTTAGGGTTATTTTATAACAGATTTTTCATTACATTGTATCTGAAATTCCGACAGACTGTCAGACTGTCATTAAAATTCATTGTGAAGTCGGATTGTCTGACGAAGGATAAACGGAAATAAGGGTAGCCGGTCACGCGCTGGCGGGCATGCTTATATAGCATTAGATATTCCGCCTTCCGTTTGGCTCCTCCGATATGGCTAAAGTTCAATATTTGAACTTTGTAAAATTTCCAGCAAGGGCGCCTGTCAAGTATGATCAGCGCGATCAGTTGAGTTTACTGTATCATGACGCTTTTACTAGACCAAAGTAAATCAAGCGTATCAAAAAGTTCATTTCGTAAACTGCTAAAATTATCATCATTCATTTATATGTCAAAAAATAGACACATAAAGATGTCGAATTCAAAACAGCTTTGTTATTTTTGTATTTTATGATCTGGCACATATCATATGCTTGTAAAATCAGTTTTTTTTTTGAAAAATCCAATTTCGGAATTTTAAAATTTTGACCCAGAAATTGATCCTACGGGTCAAAAAACGATTTATAGGCAACATCTTTTGGGGGTCTATCTCGACTCCTTCACCACCAAAATCGCATTGGAAAATTGGACTTTTCGCCGAAAATTGACAAATTTGCCCAAATTTTGGCAAAAAAAATTGATTTTTCTTGGTCAAATACTCGTCTTATCCGGTTTTTGAAGCAAGCTTAACCTCCGGACGCATTAACAACCAAAAATATGGCGTTTTTATAAATTTCTATTTATGGGTTATTTCGATTTTAGTTAGTTATAAGTTGAGCAAATCACTGATTCAGAGTTAACTTTTTTTTGTTCAAACAAAAACAAAAAAAGTTTAAAAAACTCGATCATAAATTTAAATTTTACCGAGCTCGCTGGAGATTCTCGTGGCTTTGGTACACTTTTCGCTTTTTCATCTTTCTAGAGGTATTTCATTTTTGAACCCCGGTTTCACAAATTGAGAATCAAGCCCTATCAATTTCAACAAAACTCGAATCGTGGAAACTGGCAATTTTAAAAGAGAAACACGCGATTCACACGTGCTGGCCTCGTGGAGGTGGATGTTTTTCTGACGGTTCAACCCTTTTTTTCACAAAAATACCAGGTGGAACTTGCTTTGATGTCAGAAGCGAACTTAGACAACATTGCCAGCGGGCGGAAAATCCGTAAAATTACATCGAAAAATTGAGAAAAAAAAAAACGTTGACAGTCAATTAACTCGAGAAAACCCGCGAAAAAACGCGGCTTTTTTCTGAATTCCAAAATTTCTCCTTCGAAAAAACCGCGCGCGGCATTTTTCTCTGAAGAAACATTGGTCAGTTCTCAGGACTTGAATTTGAAGACCTATTTAAAATCAGATTCTGCAACTTACCGAATTCGCCATATTTGATCTTTTTCTTTTCTTCGACTGCCTGTTTGGATTTGATGCTAGAACTGATGACCATCGCATGCTGAAAAGAAAGATCGAATAAGTTCAGATTTTGAACTGCAGTTTAAAATTTAAACTTTCAAACAAGAAGACAAAAAAGATCAGCACGACACCTTGATTCGACAAGGGGCGTTAATGACCTCTTTTGATAGAAGTGGTTTATAACTTCAAAAACAAATAATTCATCAAAAAGTTCATTCTTCCTTGAGCTAAAAAATACCTGGACATCATATTCGCGGTCATCGAAAAGTTGGCTTTCATTGGCGGCAGGGGCATGCTCATAGATTTTCTATTTTCATCAATTTTTTAGTTTTTTTTTTCTTCAGTTGCTCTTTTTTTTCGTTCTCTCCAGTTCTTGCCCAATGGGCAAAAGTTCAAAAGTTCACGCGGCTTGAATAATTAATCCGTGAGTTCGCTTTTCTTTCTTTTTTTTTCGCCAGAAGATCTTTTTTCAGCTTCTCAATTTTGTCTTTTTATCGAAGTTCTTCTTGATGTTAAACTTTTTTTTTGTTTTTTATGTAAAAAAGGGAAGGAAAGAGGCTAAAAGAAGAAAAAGAGGGCCCTCGGCAGCGGGTTTCTCACGAGCGCTAGTCTGGCCCAACACTGGACCCGCGTTGGATGACTCCAGGCATGGCACGTTTGTCAAAGAGTGCTTCTTAGAGTGGCCACGGACGAACAAGTTCAAAATCTGCGAACGTTCGCGTTTTTATGCATTTTCAATTGCGGATAATGATTTTTACGAGTCCCAGATTCTGAAAGACAAATTTAGGCGGAAGTGTTTCCCAACTATCCTATCAGATGTAGCAGCACTAATAGACGATTAGCAGCAGTAAATTTCAATGTCGGTAGACTAACATCTGATGTCCCATAAGGATCAATAAAGCCATCTTAAATTTATTCGAGAATTAGATTAATAAGAAATATTTAATCATAATATATTGAAGCAATAAAATGGTGTCTATTTTCTTTAGTCTAGAAAACTTAAAACTAGACTAAACACGTGATGATTCAGAGAAAAAACGTGTCAATTACAGTAACCTTTATTTATTGGTCAATTATTATGCTAACAATAAATTATAGAAAATAAATAATAGAAATTATATAATAATAGAAAATATAATAGAAAATGAACTCACTTTTCGAATAAATATTTTGCCATAAAATGGACTTTTCTGTCAAAAATCCAAATAATCGAAAATTTCAATTGAAAAAATGGTTTAATGCACTATTCTTGTAATTTATTACAATCAAGTTGAACTCCAAATACAAAAAGGGGCCACCTTACACGTGAATGAACTCACTTTTGCCCACGCGGATGATCCTCTAGGGTCTCCACGTGAACTCGAGATCAGATATGCGCACTTTATTTGCAAAACAAGAACCGGAGCTAGATTTTTTCTTTGCCCAAGGTTATGTACGGAGACAGTTGAACATGCTTGACACTGAGGGACTGGCCCGAGCGGACTTGAAATTTGCAGCTGAGAATCCACCAAGTTCGCGTTGCCGCGCGGCCGAGAGTATCAAGAAAGCCAAATGCCAGTTCAGTAATGCTCAAGCCGAGGAAAAGGCCGACAGTTCCACCAATGTCCGAAATCAGGTCTTCCCAGGTGTAAATTGGTTGTTCGACAAATTTTTCTGAATATGAAATTTTTAAGAAATTAGTTTTCTTAGCGTAGAGAGGGGTTATCATTCGAGCCTATCATTCGAGCCATCCAATATCTCTAGAATCTGGACTAGTGGTTAGGGTTAGGGACTTAGCACTATTATACTCGGGGGGTCCGAGGGGCGCAGCCCCCTGGTTTAGACCTGAGATGGGGGGGGGGGTCCCGGGGGGGGGCGTAGCCCCCTGGATTAGGTCTAGGGTTAGGTAAAAATATAAGTTATCTTCTCTTTTCTATATTAATATTTAAAAAGGGACCGTTATTAGGTCAGTGTTATGTAAATAAAGGCTTAAAAAATGGGCATTTTATGCCAACATTATTTTCAATCAATGTCAAAATCATTTATGCACTGTTTAATCAGTCAGTCAGAAATGCCAATCGCGGTATTATCAAAGAAGCGTAAGTGACCGCGTATTATCTTAAAAATTAATAACACTTTGTGCGTTTCATATAAAAATCGCTCTGGGCCTCAATCTGCTTCAGTTTTCTTTAAAAAATGAAACTTTTTACTAGTTGCACTTTTTTGCTCTTTTTTACTCTTGACGAGCGATTTACGGCTCCGTTTTCTGGGCCTCATATTTTTTCCAACCACGGCAAAGGCGGATGTAGAGTATACAAACGAAAATTGATCAAAAGAAGCAATTTATTCTTACCATAAGGTTCTTTTGAAATCTCAATTTCAGCTTTGAAGAATTCTGTTTCATCTCCCAATTTATGCTTTCTCCGTCTAATAAATGTCAGTTTCCAAACTACAAATAGGATTTCTGAACTAACATATGACTGTATGAGTCGGGATGGCTCCCGCGATACTGTATTGTTTCGATTTTCTTTTCATACGTCTGGCAGTTTGGCTTGCAAGTGTGCATCTTTTCAGAGCTCGGCGAAATGTGCGCTTCCGGATTTTGCATTAGAAAAGCGATGCAGGTTGAGTGATCCAAAAGTTGCAGGATCTTGAAGAATGGTGTTTGTACTGCTCATCAGGGCCTCTTACAGGCCACCTGTTTATTTTTACCTTGAAACATTCGTCCTGAAAACTGGTTGATCAGGTCCTTCCAGCGCCTCTTCTGACTGAAGATATTCCAGCCATGATTTATTTTTATGCGAGCCCAAATACGTCGGCGCACATTCACACTCTTCCAAAATGGTCTTGACAGCAATCTTCATCTTGCAGACGCTCTCATCGTAGCATTTGTCGCTGACGTTGGCGAAACTCTGGCCAACTGGCTCAGAATAATTGGCGCAGTGATACTCGGGCAGATCTTGCACGCAGTCTGTGTAGGGACTTGCGTGGAACTCTGTTTTAACCGTCCTAAGAGCGAGTAATTTCGGTTTTCTATGGATTTTTACCTGATTAAAATCGTAGGAATCAACGTCTTAGACAACGGTATGATATCTGCGAATTCATATCGACTGAAAAGAAAAACGGTCTGAAAATAATTTTAATTTTCGGACCAAACTTTTGATAATGCGATATTCGCATGTACAGGGGACTTTGAGCAACATTCCAGCCATATGTATTGTCAGACTTGTTCAAACCGATGACGAACTAAACAATCGAAAATTTGATGGAAACTTGATTTTACCGAAAAGTTTTTCCAGTACTTGAGCGTCATCAGCTTCTGAATTGTTTCCATTTGCTTCTTCTCATACTTGCTGAGTTTTCCGCCATTTGCGGTGCTCAGATGGAGCTAAAAATGATAGTGGGTCTCTTGATTTCTTCCTTGATTTCAAGAATTATAGAAAATACCTCGTTGTGGCGCTCGATGGCTTTTTGAACATCAAATCTGTAGCACAATCCGTTCATGGAAAAGACTTTTCCCAGAGAAATCGGCAGTCGAGGAATTCTAGCACGCAATGGACCATCAAGTAGTTTGGGAGGGTGTTGATCATGAATTCGGCTAAAAGTTTCGTTCATGAAATTTTTCGGATTTTTGTGTTATTTGTAACAATACGTAATATTGGTATTAAGCAGGTACGTTCGAAGGATGATTTAAAGTAAGCTTCAGAATATAAATCATTAACAAATATCGAAGATGCAAAATTTTTCAACACTTTGTGGTCTTCATCTTACCCAAGTCGATTTGGTTCAGTTCCGTCACATTTATTCTTGAACTAGACATCAAACTCTTCGGGTCGAATTTCTGCTTGAAAGCTGTGAAATTCGTACCATGTTGGTGGGTAAAGCTAATTTGTCGGATGACAGAATGTCCGTAGAATTCCTTGAGCGCTCGAAGACTCATTTGAGGGTAGAGTTCTTTGAGCTTCCTGTATGAATGCATTGAAGATGTGCAGACAGTTACTTTTGGAAAGGAAAGATCTGAAGAGTGACATGTCTTGTTTCAAATGAATCTTACCGAAATCGTCATGTTGCTGGAGAAAATACGATCGAAACTTGATGAAGCGCAACAAGTGCGTATTCACAGTCAAAATAGTGTGCAACGATGCTATCATCCAAAACGAATAGTAGACGATATTGTTACAAAAACCTCTTCTCCGGGATTTCGAAGCTTTCAGCAGCATCTCTCTTCTCTTCTACTGGCACAAATGATGCAGCGAGAGATGCATTTTACTGTGATTTGAGACGGCTTTGCGACGGAGCATGAAATTTTCTGACAGAAAGGATCGCATTGATAATTTGATGACTTTAATTATTATCGATCTTCAAAATTGTCTGATTCATACAGTAAAACGACAGGTCTTAAGATTTTAAGATTTCCTCGGAATTCCTTTTCTTTCCGAAATCTCGGCTAGAAAATCTTATTCGTAGAAGAGGCTGGCCTAACCCTAACGGTCACCACTGACCTTAACCCTGGCCCCTAAGTTGATTATCAACTATGCAGCTTCACCACGGGCTCTACAAGTAAGAAGAAGGTCAATACTCAAGAAAATGAGATAGCAGCTGTGATGAAGAGCGATAGTTCAACAGTAGCTTTGAAGAATTCTGTTTCATCTCCCAATTTATGCTTTCTCCGTCTAATAAATGTCAGTTTCCAAACTACAAATAGGATTTCTGAACTAACATATGACTGTATGAGTCGGGATGGCTCCCGCGATACTGTATTGTTTCGATTTTCTTTTCATACGTCTGGCAGTTTGGCTTGCAAGTGTGCATCTTTTCAGAGCTCGGCGAAATGTGCGCTTCCGGATTTTGCATTAGAAAAGCGATGCAGGTTGAGTGATCCAAAAAGTTGCAGGATCTTGAAGAATGGTGTTTGTACTGCTCATCAGGGCCTCTTACAGGCCACCTGTTTATTTTTACCTTGAAACATTCGTCCTGAAAACTGGTTGATCAGGTCCTTCCAGCGCCTCTTCTGACTGAAGATATTCCAGCCATGATTTATTTTTATGCGAGCCCAAATACGTCGGCGCACATTCACACTCTTCCAAAATGGTCTTGACAGCAATCTTCATCTTGCAGACGCTCTCATCGTAGCATTTGTCGCTGACGTTGGCGAAACTCTGGCCAACTGGCTCAGAATAATTGGCGCAGTGATACTCGGGCAGATCTTGCACGCAGTCTGTGTAGGGACTTGCGTGGAACTCTGTTTTAACCGTCCTAAGAGCGAGTAATTTCGGTTTTCTATGGATTTTTACCTGATTAAAATCGTAGGAATCAACGTCTTAGACAACGGTATGATATCTGCGAATTCATATCGACTGAAAAGAAAAACGGTCTGAAAATAATTTTAATTTTCGGACCAAACTTTTGATAATGCGATATTCGCATGTACAGGGGACTTTGAGCAACATTCCAGCCATATGTATTGTCAGACTTGTTCAAACCGATGACGAACTAAACAATCGAAAATTTGATGGAAACTTGATTTTACCGAAAAGTTTTTCCAGTACTTGAGCGTCATCAGCTTCTGAATTGTTTCCATTTGCTTCTTCTCATACTTGCTGAGTTTTCCGCCATTTGCGGTGCTCAGATGGAGCTAAAAATGATAGTGGGTCTCTTGATTTCTTCCTTGATTTCAAGAATTATAGAAAATACCTCGTTGTGGCGCTCGATGGCTTTTTGAACATCAAATCTGTAGCACAATCCGTTCATGGAAAAGACTTTTTCCCAGAGAAATCGGCAGTCGAGGAATTCTAGCACGCAATGGACCATCAAGTAGTTTGGGAGGGTGTTGATCATGAATTCGGCTAAAAGTTTCGTTCATGAAATTTTTCGGATTTTTGTGTTATTTGTAACAATACGTAATATTGGTATTAAGCAGGTACGTTCGAAGGATGATTTAAAGTAAGCTTCAGAATATAAATCATTAACAAATATCGAAGATGCAAAATTTTTCAACACTTTGTGGTCTTCATCTTACCCAAGTCGATTTGGTTCAGTTCCGTCACATTTATTCTTGAACTAGACATCAAACTCTTCGGGTCGAATTTCTGCTTGAAAGCTGTGAAATTCGTACCATGTTGGTGGGTAAAGCTAATTTGTCGGATGACAGAATGTCCGTAGAATTCCTTGAGCGCTCGAAGACTCATTTGAGGGTAGAGTTCTTTGAGCTTCCTGTATGAATGCATTGAAGATGTGCAGACAGTTACTTTTGGAAAGGAAAGATCTGAAGAGTGACATGTCTTGTTTCAAATGAATCTTACCGAAATCGTCATGTTGCTGGAGAAAATACGATCGAAACTTGATGAAGCGCAACAAGTGCGTATTCACAGTCAAAATAGTGTGCAACGATGCTATCATCCAAAACGAATAGTAGACGATATTGTTACAAAAACCTCTTCTCCGGGATTTCGAAGCTTTCAGCAGCATCTCTTCTCTTCTACTGGCACAAATGATGCAGCGAGAGATGCATTTTACTGTGATTTGAGACGGCTTTGCACAGAAAAGGATCGCATTGATAATTTGATGACTTTAATTATTATCGATCTTCAAAATTGTCTGATTCATACAGTAAAACGACAGGTCTTAAGATTTTAAGATTTCCTCGGAATTCCTTTTCTTTCCGAAATCTCGGCTAGAAAATCTTATTCGTAGAAGAGGCTGGCCTAACCCTAACGGTCACCACTGACCTTAACCCTGGCCCCTAAGTTGATTATCAACTATGCAGCTTCACCACGGGCTCTACAAGTAAGAAGAAGGTCAATACTCAAGAAAATGAGATAGCAGCTGTGATGAAGAGCGATAGTTCAACAGTAGCTCGGGGGTAAAGTGATTGTTATCTTGAGCGAAATCGTAACGGATCTGAACGGAGAGCAGTGTAAATTTCGAAAAAAAAAATGAAATGAAAGAGAAAATCACTTCTTGGGCTGCTGAACTCAAGCCTGCACGCTTGTTGCCGTGTATTTATTATATAACAACAGGTTAGCGATATTCAGGATCATCTTTTTGGGCTCATATTTATCAGTATATCGGTTGAACAGAAATGTTCATTGAAGAATCTTGGACTCTTGTACCCAATGAATCATTCACGTCTTCTCTCGAATTTTTCAAGAGTAAGTCTCCTTTAACTAAGAGTTAAGCCTTTTTGAATTAGCTCTGACGTTGATTAAAAACTTAATAAACGGAGATTTTTCGCGATTAGTTCGACTAGCAGAAAGTAATCAAATACCTCCTATTATACTCTGTCATTCTTGTAAGAGAAAAAGCGCTGAAGCGAAAGTGTTTATAAATTATATAAAATAAAATGAAAAGAGAATAGCAACACTGAGTTGTTTCAGCTGAACTCAAGCGCAAAAATATTTCAAGAAGTACTCTTCTGGAGCGAATCAAATTAGTCGAAAGAGAGAGACTGCCATGAGAAAAGTACACACTACAGGAAATAGATTTTAATAGTAGAGAGAAGCCAAAATTTCAACCAAAATCAACAAAGATATATGCTTTTAACAAACACTGAAGCATGCGAACTCGGCACTCTGTTGGTCAAACAATGCTTAAATTTATACTGAAGGGATTTTTTATAGTCATTTCTTTCATCATCTTCTTCTTAAAACTTCGACATGGCGGAATCGCGGAAGAGATAACTGTCGAGAAGAAAGTGGTGAGGTACAAAACAACAGAGCTTGATGAAGATTTTCGAAGAAAGTTGCAAGGCTATTTTGATTTCAGAGAAGCCAGAAGCTTCCCAAATTGTGAATCACTTATCAAGGTACTGAAATTTAGCATCTAGTACCGACAAAAATTTTAGGAAGATACTGGGGAACTTGAGAGAGTTCAGCAACTAAAAACTTCCACGAAAATCGACTCGCTTTCATTTCCAAATGGAGCGATTTCCACCTTTATTCAAGAAACAAGCTGCCAAGAATACTTCAAAATCCGAAACTACCCGAATTTAAATTCACCTCAAAGAACCGATTTCCCTCTTGCTTATTCGATGGTCGTCCACAAAAACCCAGGCCAAGTTGAGCGACTGCTACGGGCGATATACTCGTCTGAGAATGTCTACTGTATTCATATCGATGCCAAATCACCATACGATGTTTATAGCGATCTCGAAGAGCTAGCCAGTTGTTTTCCAAATGTTTTTCTCGCGGGAAAAAGAGAAAGCGTCCTTTGGGGATCGTACGAGCGTTTCCAAGCTGATCTTAACTGCATGGAAGAGCTTCTGGAGCATCAAATCCAGTGGAGATATTTAATCAACGTTTGCGGAGAGGATTTTCCCCTGAAAACAAACTCTGAAATTGTCGATCATCTCCGGTCAATTTATCCACAAAACTCGATCACCAGTGAAACGATGCCAAAGAAGAAGCTCAAGCGCTACCAAAGGCACTGGAGGATCAAAAGAAATTTCTTCAGAGAATATAAATTTATCCCGAAACCGACGATTTGGAGAAAATCACCGCCGCCTATTGATATTGAAATTTATGCTGGAAGTGCGTATAATATGGTGACCAGGGAGTTTGTGAATTGGATGACGAAAGATGAAGAAGTAAAGGAGCTGATTGAGTGGTCTAGAGATGCTTTTTCGCCAGATGAGTTTATTTGGGCATCGATTGCTTGGATGGAACGCGCTCCAGGGCATGAATTTCAAATGAAGGTAAGTTAGATTCGAGAAGAACTGGCAAGGAATTCTGCGGTCTTTGTCCTATAGTAGGAGTTGTCAGAATTTTTGAATAGATCCTACTCACTTTGCTATTTATTCAGAATAGCACGAACGAATTCTCCCGTCTGATTTTATGGACAAATGCGAAATCACCTCCTCATCATTGTCAAGGATACACTCGGCGCGGCGTTTGCGTTTTCGGAAGTGGCGATCTCGCGTGGGTAAGTCCCCGCTTTACGACTTGTTCTATCATCACCTTGAAACTCATAAATTTTCAGGTGACCAATCGGCCTCATATGTTCGCAAACAAGTTCGACGATCATGATGATTTTGCCATTCAATGCCTGGAAGAAGAATTAAGGAGGAGAACTAATGATCATGAAGATCAGCTGAAACTCGAGAAGAAAACGTCTGATATAGTCTAACTTACTTTCTGTTCATTATTTATTGAAGCCACAGTTAATTATTCAGAAAAACAGATAATTAAGATAATATACTATTAAAAACAGACAATTATCAATCCTATGCAAATGTCGAAACTTGGGAGCTTATATTAGTAAAAAACACAAAATCCGCTGAGAACAAGAACAGAAAGCAGTGCAAGAAAAAAACAAAAATTCAAACCACCAAGAGCGTTTGCACAGGAAATCGCCGCGCTGATATTTGAAGATTTATCTGCTGATTCCGCTGGAGAAACTTGAGACATAGAAATTGTTTGAGAAAGACCGAAAAAGTATCCAATGTTTGAAACAGCAGCGAGACTGTTCAGTAACACGACGGTCCAAAAAGTCACAAGAATCTCATAGAAACCCCTGATGTAAAAGGCCAACCAGAAAGTGAGTGCGATAAAACCTTGAATACAGTATTTTTAATAACAATTTGTTATAAATCACTGTCCATCAATTCTTCTTACCTAAAATAGCAGACGCGATTGTTCCCGTTGTAGAGACGTTTCTCCAGTATATACACATGAATTGAACTTGAAAGCAAATGATAATTTGAAAGGCGACAGCGGTCCAATAGCAAAAGTTGGCCCAATAAAGACTCCAGTCGCCGCAAAGCCCTCTTTCTTGACCGATTTTAAATTCGATCATTTTTTTAGCGAAATATGATCAAAATTTGAGGAGACAGTTCACTTTATATCTTGGTATTTATGGCGTACGACCGGCAAATGATTTTTCGTAAATGTTATCCTGACTGGTTTAATTTGATAGGAAGTTTAGGAAAAGTCGTATCTATGGAAAAAATTCTGTTTTATCGCATCTCGATTAAAAAAAAATTTTCTAGGAGATGCAGGAAAATTCAAACAGAACAAAAATTACTCCCTTCACATGTCCTTTTATTCTCGAAGAATATTTTTAAAGTGTAACAGTTTGAAAATGTGAGGTAACCGAGTCGTTTGGCGACATTGGTCTACTACTTGTCAGGTGAGCTGTTGGGCTTGAGATCAGATGGTCGCGGTTTTTCGTAGATGCTCGAGAGGATGCTCGACGGCTTCGGACGGAGACTTTCAATGGGCATTCTTTCAGCTGATGCCCATTTATCTTATAAAGAATAATCATCAGGGGAGGAAAGAGTCGACCTACCGAAACTTTGATTTCATGATGACCAGTCGTGCTTGTCAGGAATTTTAGAAGGATGTTCCCTTCTGCGCCCGCTCGGATTTTGTATTTTCCACTTTCTTGTGATCGTTTGTGTCGGATATCAACAGACACGTCGCGTGTTGATATGGGGGTAGAGCATGAAGAAGTATCAAGGATGAATTCGAAGGGTTCGTTTACATTCGCAGCCTGAAATTGAATCCTCGGGTTTAAGCTATATTAAATGACGAAACTAGGATAAGAAGCTCAAAATTACCATGCAAGAGAAAATCCTCATAGTCAAAGTCTTTTTAAATATTTATGGTGTTTACTCAAACCTTGAAATTTTGTATCAGCTTGCATTTTCTTGCCGATACTTTGCTTTCTAAGTCTCCCTTGAAGCTCATTTCCTCGAAAGTAACATCTTTCGTCGCATCGAATCCAACTGAGAACTTTGCTGGTATTCTGAAAAATCTTTTGTCAAAAAATATTTATTTCTTTAGAAAGAATATCGATATATATATAAGCCCATACTTGTAATCTTACGGTTCAAGTCGCGAAGCCTTTGTATGAAGATTCGTAAATCTGTCATTCAAGATTGGAAGCATGTGCACCATTTGAGCTCCTCCAACATCTGCAGCGACATTTCCGACATCCGTAGCTGTCTCGATGTCTTGTCCGAGTGCTTTTAGGTCGCCGATCATTTCGTCCATTTTTGAGAGCTCGGCGTTCTTAATTGTTTGGACATTTTTGATGACGTCTTCTGAATGTTTCTAAAGGAAGAATTCGAGCTTGATTTTCCCAAGTGAAATTACCTTGATGGCTTCAATGTATCGATCAAAGTAGTCAGTCACTTGTTGAGTAACAAATTCGGCCTCTTTTTCAATCGTTTCTTTTCGTTTCTCAGCTTCATCAAGTTTATCTGACAGATCGTTTATCAATTGATCATTTTCATCAAGTCGTGCGGCAAATTGATGAACTAAGGGGCCATCTACTTCTTCGACGAATTGAGTTTCATGGGATCGGTGGATTGTCAGGCAACAGTCTCTCAAAAAGGCTAAGAATCGAATCAAAATCAAAGCGCTTTGAAATTTTCAATAATTATTCTAGAATCTAGAGCCTTTCCTGCAACAAAGCTCCGAACATGTGAGGCAAAAAATCGAGCACTGTTCTTCAGGATGAGTTGTACACTGCACTGTCCAGCTCTGTAGTTTGTTGATTACGTGGCTTTTCGTTGCACTTTGCCGCTGAAATTCAATTTCAAGGGGAGGCAGGATAAGTTGATTTTTACCAAGTGAGCTTGACGGCAAAATACGCACAAGGAAATTTCACAGCTAACGCAGTATCCGTCCAGGGGTTCTTCGGAACAACAAAGGTCGCATTTCGTGGCGTCGTTGGAATCAGATACGATCTTTTTCAAGGGTTCAGGGGCGCTCTCGTCAATTTTCGTATAAATGCTTGAAAACAAGCATGATTGTCAATCAATTGATTGAGAAAACAGAAAATGAAACAAAAAACATCATAGCAATGCCGATGCCTCGAATAAGTAATTAAAGATGCCATTTCAAATTCAGACTCATAATTATAACATTCCAATAAAACCTTTTCCTTGGTATAATCAGTAATATAATCTTCTTCCTTCGTCAAAAACTGAAACGAGGCAAAGCAATCAGGGCAATTGAGATCTCCGCTTTCTGGCAGCTAAATCACAGCCTTACTCATTTGCAGATTCTATTTTTAGCCGGCGCTAATTTTATTGCACCGCATGAAATAAAAAATTATTATAAAAAGCGTTTTATTTAATTGCTGCAGGAAATTATCTCTTCTAAAGCCGTTAGATTACGCAAAAAAATCGTTCAAAATTAATCCTCAATATTCAATTTTATTAATAATAAATGAGTTTCATGCTGATTGAAAAGTCTGATACAGCTTTTTTGTTTGATTTTAAGCTTTTTTTTGTTGAATAAATCAAATTAAAATTGTCTATGACGAGAATTTCATACCTTTTTGATACACTGGTAGCAAAATGAATGTAGGCAGGGGAGGAACTTTGGATTTACAGTACGTTTCTTGCAAATTGAGCAGCTTAGGGGATCTCGATCGGCTTCTGGAGTTGATGATGTAACAGATCCGAGCGACTTCAAAATGCATTTTTTAGTGAAAAAGCTCCATGGCAGTGATTTTTTTGCTAAATGGCGATATAGCCCTTCTTTTGATAAAAAAAAACATTTATCGCATCAAAACCTTTGTACTATCGTGGGCTTCCATATCTTCAGACAAATCTCTGTTTCAAAGACGCTGCGCTAGAATATATTTTTCTTTCAATCTTCTTCAGTCAGGTTGATGGGCAATTGCCAATTGAATATTTCTCTTTCCGTGGCAACTCTTTTGGCCTCTAGCAAAGTTGTTAACGATTGGCCAGAGGAAATCACAAAAGGCGGACCATTGTTGGAAACTACTCAACAATGAAAATTTCGGAGCTTTGCTTCAAAGGTTTTCACTCAAATGCTCTATTATTTATACAAGCAAAAACGGGGGTACTTGAATAAGCATACCAATAGTCGATAATCCCAGGGATCGTGGGTGGCAACTTTTAAAATAGATCTTTATTTATTGATCTCAAGCTTCTCAGGAATAAGCCTAGGGTACTATATCGAGTGATAGTTTCAGAAAAATACCCCTCGTGAATAAGGGGAGGTGTCTGGAACCGACAAAAGATTTCGATAAATTTTGCATGGAAATTTTCAACCAATCAGAAGCCTAGATTCAGCAAACCGGCCAATCAGCAGCCGAGTAGCCGCCTACGCAAATTTTGTCGAAATTTTTTGTCGGTTCCAGACACCATCCCGTCAATAAGGGTGTGACTTCAAAAATATTTTTTTCCTGAAAGTCAAAAATATTCGATGATTAGTGATTCCGTATCAGCAGCTGATTCCCGAAACTGTCAAATAAAGCCTCGATTCTCATAAATATTATTTACGGAAACAACTCGAAGATAGTTGCAGAAATAAATCCACTCTTGACAGCTAAAATCTGAGGGGCATTAGCGGAGAACGGGAACATTGGACTCTGCAAACATTTGTCTTCAGATTCGAGTTGTTGGCTTCAGATTTACTTTCCTTATAAAGATTCTGAAGCATTGAAAATTTTCCCAATTGCAAAAAATAATTTTAAAATCGAGGTTGTTTTGGAAGAAAAAGACGCTAGAATTGCAGAATTGTCAGACCTCCTTCATTCCTTCAGACAAAAAGTAAGAAAAGAAATATGTAAAATTATCTTGCCCTTTCCGCCCGAATCACGATCAAGTTCGCCGATTCTCGGAGACACATATAAGTTCATTTTTCCCACTGATTCGAGAGCCATCAATTTACCGCGACATCTGGATATAAAACAAGATTCAAGTACTTGCGCGAGAGAAGTGTAACCGGGTAATAAATCCTGAGCAACTCGCTCTTTAGGACCATGGAAAGCTTTTTGCCTCTTCCGTTAATTCTGAACAGAGAGAGAGAAAAAAAAGAGACACTAAAATCAGACTTGACAGAAATTTGGGCACTCGCCAAGTGTTCAACTGATCGATAAATGAAGAGTTTAAAAAGAGCACAGTTTTTTCGTTGTTTTCTTCAATTTTCGAAATTGCCATTTTTATTTTCGTAATTCGGTCTTAGAGAATACCCGTCTGAGAGATGAAAATGAAGATGGTCTTCTTTGACATTTGATGTTGTAATTTTTACTGCCGTAATAAAGAGATTGATCTTTTGCTTGCGAGACTTTTATCGAACGATTAATATTTAGAATCGATACACCCCTAAGAATAAACGGCAGAGATTTTGAAAAATATGAACCGAACAGAATTTATCAAGAGAAAGATCCGTAAAATTGAGACTTCTAAGAGAAAACTCCTTTTATTTTGCTTTCCCAAAAAATATTTCCTCTCCAAAATAGGAAAAATATTCCTTCCTGCCCTAATATATTCAATTGTTATTCTGACGTAGATTTTCTACCCTTGCCCTTGGCCGAGCGGGTTAGAGGTCACTCGTGCATCGTGGGAGATTTTCATCATACAGCCCGCCCATCGTATGCCGGCATGTCTGTATTTCCGTATTTCGTGATACAAGAACAAGAAGAAGACAAACACGAGATTATAAAGTTTTTGTAACCTCGCTTCCTTCTGACATTGGCAAACAAAAATAACTCGTTCATTTTCAGACAGAGAAATCGTCAAAAAGAAAGAATCAAATCATTGAGAATGGCGAATAATAATGATGAATCAAAGAATAATGAACAGAGATCGAGATTGACGACGCAGAGAAGTACTGTCGATTACAGAAGATTCAAATGGACGTCAAAGGTAATTTGACGGGCGAAAAAACGGCTTTTTCGGTCATTTTTTCTTCCAAAATTACTTTTTTTTTTCTACAAATTAGACGAGTTTAAACCTAAATTTGATTACGTAACAAGAAGACTTGTCGCTTGAACTTGTCAGCATCCTCATAAAATCAATCTTGACCTTGTAAATTTTAAAGTCATCATTAAACTTAACGCGTTTCCTCCTTGATCGCACCAGTCTTTGCCGGTTCTATCGTGCGCTAAATAGAATGAATGATTCTCACGTTCTTTTTCATACTTTGAATCACAAGTGGACAGGGGAATTATCTAACTTTCATCAATGACGGTCACATGACGCGTGATAACCATGATTGAGATTTGACATTGAGGTTGTTTTTCAGACTTTTTGGGGCTATGGAGTTGGTCATGTGCAGTCGGATTTGGTTGCGACGATGTGGTTTAGTTATCTTCTAGGGATGGCTTTTCATATAACAGAAAGGATCTGAAAGAGTCCATTTGAAAAGCCAAAAAGTTTGTCTTCAAGAAGTAGTAGGCTTATCAAAATTATACTCTGGTTTTCTTCTGACAATTGGCCAGTTGACGGATGGAATCGCCACACCTCTGGTTGGAATTGGCCTGGACAAAGTCGGCCTTTGTGGGGAAAAATATGGCAAGCGAAAAAGCTGGCATATGTTTGGCACTCTTCTTATAACCTTCACGTAAAGTTATTATCATCGATTAATTTTTCATTATTTTTAGTTTTCCGTTTATTTACTCCCCTCCTCCTGGATACGACCGGCCAAGTGAAAACTGGTCCGAATTTCAGCTCTTTTTGTTTTACATCCCATTTATTGTTTTATTCCAAATCGCTTGGGCCTCTGCGCAGGTACGTTTTTTTTCCTTTTTACGAAAGTGTTACATAAACTCTTCGAGAAAAGTGACGGAATTTTTTTTTCACCGAAAAATGCTTAGGTCTCCCACTTGAGCTTGATTCCATTCCTCACGTGCAAGGATTCTGCACGAGTGCAGCTCACCTCCATCAGAAACGTATTTACTCTGCTGTCATCTATCACCGTCTTTCTTGTTGGCCGAAGTCTGTTTCTAGAGTCGCCAGACGACTCCGAGCTTGATCCTGAGATTCTCAGGAAACAGGTCAAATTCCAAAAGGTCGTTTTTAAATGACTTTGGATAATGAGACTTTACAAAAAGTGTGACAGACGGATTGAAGCCAAATTGCTCTTGGGACAATCCTCCAGGAAGGTTTGAGACAGATATTTTCAAAGTATGAGAAAGAACCATAAAACTTCAGATTTAAATTAATTTATATACTTCTTATTAATTAAATCGAATGATACTTTTAGACAAGCCTTTAGACAACGAAGTCAGTCTTCCTGTCGTATAATCTTCTCGAAAATATAACATTGAGTAAGTGAAAAAACCAGAAAAAATGTCCAAACCCAAAAAAAGCCGACCAAGTAAGCTGGTCCGACGCCCATGTCTTCAAGAAGCTTTCCCTCGGTGCTGTTGCCCTTGGATTTGTCTTCCAAGGCCTGATATTTCACTTCTTTGTCCCTGAAAAACTCTCCTGTGAGGAAAAAGGTGGAGACATAGAAGAAAATCAGGAAGAATGTTGCGAAAATGACCCCTCTACGTCGCAAATGCTGAGCAGGGTTTCGCTTAGAAGCTCTGTTCTGGCTGTTGATGAGCTCGGAGCTGGAAAGAATAATGAGGCACCCATGGTAAAGCTTTGTTTTTTTCAGAATTGGAGGTAATTTTCAGGTTGATACTTGGTGCCAATGGATGAAAGAGCCACTCTTCTACTACGTCGGAATCCTTTATTGTCTTACACGACTGATTGTCAATGTAACCGCAACTTATTTTCCATTCTACATCCAAGAATCACTGGACTTGCCGAAGGAATTCATCACAAGCTTGCCGCTCATCAATTATTTGACGGGCTTTGTTGTCTCTTTTGCTATGAAACCTCTTGCTAAACATCTTGGCAAGGTAAACAATGCCAATTTTTCTTTCCCGTCCGAAAGGACTTGTTCAGAATGTGACTTTCTTCCTTGGCTGTTTGATCATGATCGCCGGTTGTATGTGGGCAGGATTGTTGGAAAACGACCCGATCGAAAACGGAGGCAAGGTTCATTGGGGTGTTTACTTGCTGCCGGTCATTTTCGGCGCAGGAACGAGTACGATTCTAGTGCAGAGTTTGTCCATCACAGCAGCTCTTATCGGCGAAAATACGAACACGGCGGCCTTTGTTTATGGAGCCATGAGCTTGACAGGTATCAGTAAAGAGCTTCCAGAAATCGACTCTCTTATCGATATCTATAAGAGAAACTGATTTTCAATCAAAATACGACATACTGTCATTTTCTCATTGACAGATTTTTGATTGATTAAACATGAGAGAATCACAGTATTTTCTTTGAATTGCTTATTCAGAATAAGCCTGTTCTTCTTTCTAAAGTTCGATTGAGTACTTCTGAGTTAACTCTGGTGGTTTTTTTTTCAATAAATTTTTAAGACAAAATCGCTTGTGGAGCCGCAATCATGCTTATTCAAGCCTTTGCGCCTTGTTCTGAAGACCAAGTCCCCAATGGGCCGTGTGAAGACAACGGATGTGGGTTGTATTACTGTCGAGTTTTGGCGTACATCGTTGGTGGTTTCAGCGTCTTGGCAATCTTTGCGAATCTGTTGCACTGGAGCAAAGTGCGAAAATTCGCTCGACAGTAGACTTTGAATCCATTCTGTATTTCAATCTGTGCCTCAACCTTAGATTTACCACTGGAAAATGGCCACTAAGCGTTTTATTCCAGTGATTTTAAGTGCTATCAAGATTTCTGCAACAATAAAATTCATAAATTACCGCTCAAATGCCCTTTGAATCGGCGATTCAGAATCGCTAAACTGAATTTAAAATGAATATGACGAAAAAACAGTGTTTTGAAAATAAATTAATTAGCTCAATCACTTAGAATTGTCCCTTTGTATGTTGGCAAAAGCGACACCAAAGTGACGCCTCAGAACGACGCTAAATTATGCATCGCGCATTCGTGGTGTTATAAAAGGCGCTCTCATGCAGAAGGAAAGTCACAACTACAATTTACAATCAAAAATTTTCAAGAAGAAGAATCATGAACTTGTTGAATTTTATAAGCCAAATCGTCGTTTTCTTGAGCATCGGATCCTCAGCTGCAGGATATTGCACGCCGGCACTATGCAATAAGTGCTTTCACAACGCAACGTAAGTTTTACTGTTAATATTTTTCGATTGATAGAACAGAAGATTTCGGAGGATTTCTTAAAACTCTCAAGGCTTTCTCTAGGTTTTGATTAATTTGGAGGACAATCAAACCAGTCAAACAGTCCTTTCTTTAGGTACCCAAACATGTCCTCTTCCGTGCTCCTGATCTGCCGAAAGATGCAAATTTGCTGCCAGACCAAAGGAAGATGAAGAAAATGAACATATCTGTTCTCCAATTCATTTTTATAATAAAAAATATCCATTGTACCCTCTTAAAATGTCGTCAGACAACTCTCTTATCAATTTCGCATTCCTCGGAGACCAGCTGTTACATAACATGTTCTGATAACGCTCCGTTCGGCTAAGAATTAATTGAGCAAGGCTTCATTCCTCAATTTGTATATTTTGTAAGAGAAAGAAAGAGAGAGAATTATCCAAAAGTCTGAAAAATGAAACTTTGGAGTTCTTATTCTCTCGGACTTATTTCCTCCGTCCGAGCTTTCGGCCCGCAATGTGGTTTGGGTGAAGTGAGCTCGATTCATTACTGCCTTGGCACGGATATTCCGAAGAACAAGGCAGAAAAGGTAACGCTTGATAAAAAAAATGTATCTTTTACCCATATAATTTGAGCCATTATAATATCTGATGATGATCGAATAAGATCGCAATGTCATCAACGAAAACAATAGTTAAGGAACCCCCCGTCAACAATTTTCCTCAAAAAATCGAAAATTTTAAATAGCCATATTTGGGCTTTTTAGTGTTCCTGGAAGTTCAATTCATCAAAAAAATTTCTTTGGGCCCCTTTTTGACCAATAAAAATTTGAAATTTTAACAAAATTGGGAGTTTCTCCTCATTTTTCGTCAAAAAAGTCAAATTTTCAAACGCGACTTTGAGGGTGTTAGAGTCGAGATAGACCCCCAAAAAAGAAGCCTCTAAATCTTTTTTTGACCCGTAGAATCCATTTCCGGGGTCAAAATTTTGAAATCCCGAAAAAAAAATTTTCGAAAATTGTTGACAGGGGGTCCTTAAATTTGATTTCATTCTGAATAATAATGTCATTTCAAGTGCATGATCCACTGTGATACAGAGAGATATGAAGCGTTTGGCAATGACTGTAGATGCAAAGGCCAGCGCAAGTGCTTAGTTGTCTACTGTCACAAAACTGACATCATCGAAATCCTGACCATGGACCCAACCAAGAGGCCGAAAACAACAAGAACTCAGAAATTAAGAAAGCAGAAAGAAACCGCTTTAGACGATAATTTGAGAGTCACGTACAGTCCTGGTTTCGAAGATCTTCACAAAGTCTCGTTGAAATCAATCAGTGAGGATAAAGACATCAAGATCATGGCTGGAAACGAAACGGTTCCCAAGAAATCGACGAAAAAGCGAGGGATGAAGATGCTTCAGCGATTGAAAAAGATCGATTCAGAAGCGGAAAAACCTCAAGTTTCGTTGAAATCTATCAAGCCAAAGAACAAACGACGACATACAACAACGGAATTGACAACAACAACTACAACAACTAAAGCTACCAAAAACAACAGAGACCGGCCAAAGCGAGAGAAAAACTGGCCAAGAAAAATTCTGTCCCAGAAGATGTTCTAGTTCAGGCTGAGGCGAAATTCGTCAAGCATGGAAAAGGTAAGATCTCTTTATTTACTTGTCGTCTAATTTTCTAAGGGCTTTTCAATCTTGAATCATCGTTCCGAAGCAATCCAGGGCAGTGCGCATATTTGGACGCAAATCTAGCCATGGGAGATTGCAAGTTCCCACTTCAATCTGGAGAGCGCTGTCGGCCGACCTGTGCTGACCCAAGGAATGGATTTATATTTCAGTAGCTGCTTGAAAGAGAACTCATTTTAAATTTAAGGCCCTTAAATTAAGGGTTTTTTGAATAGTTATTTAATGATGAGATCTTCGACTTAACGTCAAACAAATAAAAATCATGAAAAATTGACAGTAATTATAGCCGGGGAGATACAGTTCTCCAATAAATTATTGAATGTAACTATTAGAAAAAACATCCAATTTGCAAATTCACTACTAGGTTTTCAATAAACAACCAATGTGGCCAAATATCTATCCAAAACAGACTCATTCCCTCATCGCCAACATCCAATATGTTCATCGATTGCACTTGCAATAGTGCGGGTACTTGCGTCACCGTGCACGATATCAAATGCGTTCCAGGTAATTTCTCTGAGCAAGAGCTTCTGAGTAATATTTTTCAAGGCTGCGATGAACCTTCGGAAGAAGATCTGCCAATTGGAATGGTCCCAGTCTGCCCTTTCCCACTTCCGGGAGGAGAAAGATGCAATTTCGAGTGTGTATATGGCTCGTTTACTCAAGTGGAAAAAGCTTACGGAAGGTAGGGTGAGTTCTAAAGGCTTTTCAGTCACTTTCAGATGCAATTGTCGAGGTGGAACTTGCTCATTTATAAATCCAAAGGCATCATGCGGCCCTGATCACTCAAAGTATTGCAAAGTACCTGACGCGACGCTTGACGCCCATCCAAAAGCGAGAGTCAAGTGTGCTCAAGAAAATGTCGCAGTTCCGGTTCTCAGCTCGTTTGTTTCCGCGAAAACCGATCAATTTTGCTGGCTTGAGTGTGAGGACGGATTTGTGTGGGAAGGAGATAATAGGTATGCCTGGTTTAATCAAGGCAATGAAACTAATTATTTAGGCAAAGACGAAATATCAAGAGAAGTCCGCAGCTTGAATGTGACTGTACTAAACAAGGCTGCGAGTTGAAAGCTCCTGAAGGAAGATGCGTTCTCGGTGCTCTCCCTGACTTTTAAAAGACTGCTTCTTCTGTTTTTATAAAATGAATAAAATTGATTGTCTCTAAATAGGTTTATTGAAGTCAAGAGGTATGAAAAGTGTCTAAATAGTATAGGTTATAATAACTTACAATACAGCTTTTGGCATGAAAAAGATACAGAAAAAGATAGTATTTACTTATAGTTTTTGGCACTGAACAGTAGATGATATTTGGTGGAAGGTAGAGGGTAGCACCTTGAAAGCGTGGCGGTTGGATTTCTTTATGCTTTTTGCTGCTTGTCTGGATGAAGCTTTTGTAAGACGTTGAACAAGAGGTTGATGTTCTCCATGCTCTTTTCATTTGCTAAGATTTATGGTAGAATAGGGATGGGAGAAGGAACTTACGGATGTTTCGAGAGTGCCGCTCCATGACGATATTTAAGCTCCAGCTGCTTCCAGAAGCATAGAGGAAGGTATCTGAGAGGGAGCAGATTTCTTGCTCCAAACTGCTGAAGATATCGTGGAAGTTATCCTTCATCCACTTGCAATTGGGATACATGCCGAGCATGTGCGTCATCAAACTGTCTCCAATGAAGATCGGCACAGAACCTAAAATATGTCAAAAGAGATTGGAGAAGAAGAAAAACCTCCAATCGAAGATTTTATAGCGTCGATAAGAGGGCGTTCTTCAAGAGGAGCAGCAATGTAAAGTCCTTCCAGATAAGGACGGGCTTTGAAAAAATCGACGATTTCAGCAGCAATGAGGTTTGGTTTCTCCATCGTTCTAAGGATCAAAGATGAAAGTAAGCATAGACTGAAGGACTTACTCAAGAACAGCGTCACACGCAGGACTTTCTCGATGCTCACAGTGCCTGAGCCAATCCCCATGATTGTATCGCCAATGAAGGGCTAAATATCTTCCATTTGGCATTTTAGGTTTGATGACATTTTCAATGAAATTCTTCGCAATGTCTCTGAGATATTTCGGCCTTGGGGTCGCCCTGATGATCCGTTGCATTAGGTCTGTGTCTGACTCTGTTAAAAGGGATGAAAAAAAAAAAAGATTTTGACCACGATGGGACTCGAACCCACAACTTCCTGATTCGAAGTCAGACGCCATATCCATTAGGCCACGCGGCCGGTGATAAAATACTGATAAGACCTATCAGATTTTCAACCCTTTGCCTGATGATAAATCTGGCGAGTCGTTGAGTTGATCTTCTGAGATTGCATTTCCCTTGAGCGAGTTTTTGAATTGAATACAGTGGTAGGGAAACACCCAAAGCGCGCATTTGCCTTCACTTGCGTAGAATCTCTGAAGGACTCGGTCGGATGTGGGTAAGTGGATCGGGCCACCATTTGTCGGCAAAAGCTTGTCGTCTGGGATGGAGTTTTCAAGATGGCAAACATGTTTTTCTTTCGTTAGTTCTTGGCCAGGGACAAAGCTCATTGAGAAGAAATCGAAGAGGGCATCGAAACGGTCTTTGTTAGAGCCTGGTTGAGATCAATATTTAAAAATATGCTTCAGCACCTTTCAACTGTTGATAGAGCTTGGTTACTATTGTCGTTATTTTGCATGATCAAAAAGACTAAATTCGGAAAATTAAAAACACTATTATTGTTTCTGAATTTTGACCTATTTCCTGAGCAGTAGCCCGGCTTCACTTTGAAATAGCTCTGAAAGTGTCCGCCGCATTCTTTCCCGATTTTCATCGGATCTGCAGTACTCATCATTGTCGCCAGCGCTGATATGTCAAAACGATGCCATGGTGCGATAATATGAGCATCAGAGTCGTCTTCATGCTCCTTGTCTGTCCTTGAGTGCTTGAAAAAGCCAGGTGGCACAATGGTCCGGTTCAACTTGACGGCTAAGAAGACTGTCTCGCGGAAACCTCGCTGCTGATTATTCGGGCTAAAATACAATTAAAAACTGAACTGCAGATTTGAGCCAACCCGTAAGTCAGGACAGGTGTCAGGAACTTAGTAGGATCAAGTTTAATCCTCGGCTCCAATTTGTCTAATGCGGACCAATCTGGATACCATTTCGGGCAGCCTGCTTCTCCACCGGGTTCTTGGACGTCTTCGGGGATCACTCGCGCTAGAAACTGTCATGATTACTTGAGCCGGGCATGTTTTCTGACCTGGTGATGGAGGCTGATTTCTATGATCATGATCTCTCACTGGAACATCTTCCATCGTCGTTGTTGAAGCTTCTGAAGTCGTTGTTATCTCATCATTCTTCGTGGAAGTCGTAGTCGTGGTTGATGTTGTGGATGCTGTTGTCTCATCATCAGTCTCAGAGCCAGGCGTAAAAGTCGGCTCATTCGTTGCGTCATCATTTTTCAGCTTGACCTGTGGCGAGTCCTTTTTCTGGAGCATCTCAACGAGATCTGAATTTGAAGCATGAGAAAGGGGATCAAGTGAAAACCACAAATACCATCTAGGTGGTAATTTTGGCGGTCTTCCGAGTCGATCTTGTCAGCAGCAAGCTCTTTCAAAGCTTGCATCAGCTCCATTTTTCGACGTTCTTTTCGCTTTTCCTGGTTTATTTATGCTTTTTTACGTCTTAAAATGTGAAAATGTTTTGTTCTCATTATAATCTCTTCTTTGTTTAGATTTTCATCTATATGAGGAGAAAAAAATATTGAAAAATGAAACGCAAACTAGTCTTATGGTTTCGTAAAAATTAAATTATCTGTCCATTCATAACCATTCCGAAGGATCATTATACGGCCTTTGTTGTTGACTTTCAAGTTCATTGAAAATGAAGGAGACCATGATTACCGCACAGATTATAAGCAGCAGTAGCCCGGATTTGAGGGATTTCGGCAGCACCCTCGCTAAAATCTCCTTTTTAAACCCTCTCTATTTTGTTTCAATGTCTTACCGATCATCTTCGTGCCGTATTCTTCTGCTCTAGAACTACTTATTCTCTTTTGGATTCTCTATTTTAGTCCTTTTTTTTATTGCGTCGTCATTTTCGATTATTAATTTTATTTCTTCTGTAAAATAATTTGATTATAAATTATAATTTATAATGGAAAAGGAATTTTGATTTCAGAGTTTGTATACTTAGTTGTGGAATCAGGCGTGCCGTCGGACTTTATCAGCGGCATGTCCGAGCACCCGCTGGGCATGATTTCCTGCTGCGTCCAATGAGCTCGGATCGGAGCGCCGGACACTCTTCAGATTTGACGCGATTCCTGATCACTATGATTAACCTGCACTAAAATACCACCGTACCAAACCTGCAACGCTACATTTTTTCTTTCTCTTTTTCCTCAAACGCCGGATAATGAAAAATAATTACTTGAGGGTAGACAGCAATAAATCTTTTTCACTCGTAAAAATATCAATTCATAGAACAGGAAAAATATAAAAAGTGGCTCAAAAGTATTTTTTATCAAGAATGTTACTTTGAAAAATGAGGGAAAAAGAAAATCCTAGCGAGTATACTACGCTATCATTTCGGAGGCATAACATAGCTTTATTTTGATAAATCGAGAGCTGAGACCACATAAATTTAAATAAACTTAGATCGGTCGGATCAGTAGAAGGCCGAATACCACCGGTAGCAAAGCCGCCTTCAAGTTAAAATTTAGATAGTGGAACTTAAATCAATTGAACTAATCGCTTGCTGCAGGGTCATTTTGGCAGGTTCGAATCCATTGGAAAGAAAAATATTATGTTTTGTATAATTAATTATTAAATAACAGTCGTGAACAGCTTAACAGCGCTGTAATCGTATAGTGGTTAGTACTTCACGTTGTGGCCGTGACAACCCAGGTTCGAATCCTGGTTACAGCAAAGCTTTTGTTACCAGTTGACTTTGTCACACGATTTCAATGTTCGCAGGGTAGCAGAAATCCAGAATAGACCCAAGGGTTCGACCCAGCCTTGGAAATCAATCATGAAATGTTTCAATTTTCATTCAATTCTTGGTAATAGAACGTCATGTACCAAATAGTACTACCATTTGTATATTTTTGTTCTATCGGTTAGCAGACTTGTAATCAGCTGTATCAAGTAGGATTCTTTTTAGGAAGTTCAGCAAGCCGATCTTCTTCTTATTTTTCTCGAGAATTACTGCAAGGAAGCAATGAAAACAATGAGAAGATGCTCATTTAAAATACCACTTTACTTACGCTTGCCATGCTTTTCTGCATTGAAATCAACTGCAGAGATAGAAAGAGAAATCAAGCAGAGGAGAATTAGTGGAGAAAATCTCATTTACAGTTTATTTATGAGAACAACGAAGGGCGACCTTTTAAAGAGGAGATAACATATTTATTCGCAGGTAACGAGATGAGCGTAAAAGATGTCGACATTGCACGATTTCTTTTTTTTTCAATTACGTGGATCCTTCGAAATCGTGGATTGGATAGAGCTGCTTTCAATTAAGCTCATTTTTCTTGTTTGAGTTGTTTCTGAAACTGTGATTTCTCTTGTTATCACTGTTTCGAGGATGGATGTACTATTTGCTTCCTTCAATTCAATGGGTTGATTTTGCTTTCGCTTCTTTGCTTTTGAATTTACATTTTGGCTGATATTCGTTAGACCCCTCGTTCCACCAACTGAGAAGATCTGCCGAATCGCGCGAGAAAGACACATCATTTCCAACTCCAAGCAGGGATAGATAAAGCCAAACGGAACCCAAAGCAGGAAAAGCGTCCACGAAATTATCCTCGTTTTATTTTCATTCCAGAAGCCACTCTTTTTGAGCGCTTGCTCGTTTTCTTTGCAGAGAATATCCGTATCATTTCGATACAGATTCAGAAAAAATTGCTCAAGGGCGTGGACATTTGCTTTTGAGTAGGAAGATCCAAAGTAGGCATTCTGAAAGATCTTGTAATAAGGGGTTCTGAAAGTCACAAGCATTTCTGCATCATTTTTCGTCGAGCAATAGGGTCGAAACTTGTCGCAAATTCCACTAACATCTGCCGTCGTTCCGAGTTCTCGTTGTTTTTCCAACTTTAGCTGGTCTTCGTAATGAGCCACTAGAAGTATCATTGAACTGGAATCGAGTTACTGGATTTACCAGAATTGCAAATTTGCTGAGCTGAGTGAGCTGAGCTGGCTGAGTGAGCTGAGCTGAGCGACTGTTCAGTGATTTTGGAAAATGATCTGATCTGCTCAGCTCAGCTCAGACAATTTTTACTCAGCTCAGCTCAATTATTTTCGAACATGATCTGTTCTGCTCAGCTCAGCTTAGCTCAGACAATTATCACTTAGCTCAGCTCAGCTCAGCTGAATAATTTGAATACAATTTTACTCAGCTCAGCTCAATCAGCTCAGCTCAGCTCTAATTAGGGTCCGCTCAGCTCAGCTCAGCTCAACTCTCTTAAACAAAAGGTCTGCTCAGCTCAACTCCGCTCAATGACCTCTGAAAAAGGCCAGCTCAGTTCAGTAACCTCCGGAATAGGCCAGCTCAGCTCAGAAAAAGTAATCAAAATTTGCAACTCTGGGATTTACAGAAGAAAACTTACGGTAAGTCAGCTGTTGCAGATCTTCAAAGACCCTTTGGAATCTGTCTGTATCTAATTCCCGCTCGAACATGAGCTCATCAGAAGCGGACTCAATAAAAGCATTATTATTCGAAATGCAAATTCTTTCAAAGCACTGCACTTCGGCATCTCTCGAATACTTTTCTGGCTTGCAGCAGTAGTCGCATGCAATTGTTGAGTCCGCAGAAACAAGCGAAAAGGGAAGAATAAGCTTCATTTATTTGGATCGCTTCGAAGGCAGATGCGAGTTTATAAGCAAAGTGGGATTATTTGAGATGTCATTTTCGATATTGCAATTTGTTATATTAGCTTTTTCAGATAGCAGATCAATTTGAGGCAAGTCTGCATAGTGGTATTTCACACGATTTTTATGGTTCGTAGTATTTATTTTTCTTCAAGCTAATCTTCATGTGATGCAGTCTATATCCCAAGAAAATTAATCCCAGGAGTGATGATGGTTTCTAGTTGAATTTCATCGTCTTCAAGGTCAAAAGAAAGCTTGAAAAGCTTATTTCTCTCTGTATTCGCATAGATCATGAGATCGCCGTGATGTTCTTATATGAGTTTGAAAGGTCTAATATCTTTATGAAGGATGTAAAAAAATCTTTGAAAACTCTGAACAAAAGAAGTGATGTCCTTATAAAATGGAAGAAATTGGCTTGAGCCATATGTGAACTTTGTTTTAACTTCTCCGATTCGGACAAATTGTCCTGCAAAGTATCTGTACAAAATAATGAAATAATCAGTTTTCGTCCAGAACTGACTATCGTCGAGCTGCAAAAAAGGGTTGATAAAAGGCCGCTCCTTAAACCAGAGTTCGATATTTGATTCGAAAAAGGCGTTTTCTACGCCTCGATTCATTATCAAATGGCAACTGACAATTGCTAAACAGAAGTCGAACTCTACCTCAAACTCACGATGGCGAAACGTAGCAACAAATAAGATTCCCTTTTTATCTTTTATAACGGATGAGCTGATATGAAATCTCAAGCAAAACTTGATTGACATAACCAGCAAAATCCAGACCTGGAATAGGAAGAAAATCTTGAATGATGGTATCATAAGGAATATGGCCCAATGCATTTTTAGCCACATCGTATGTTGAATATGACTTACTAAATGTGTCATTATGAAAGTCTCTTTCCCAACGTTGATCTTCGTAAAGCATTTTGCTCCAGTCCCCATTTTCATTTTTCAATGTCTGAATTTGAACATTATGTGCAGCGAGGGTATTCACGGAAATTAATTTTAGCTCTCCGTCAATTTCGAATATATGTCGACGATTATACCCCCCAAAATCGTTAACAAGGGATCCGCGAGCTTTATAAATCGGTTTCTTATTTGCTTTATTTTCCGGGTAGAAAAAGAAGCAAAAATTTATGTATTTAGCTGTTGAGCAGAAAAAGAACTTATCCTCATAAACTGAAGCAACACTGAAATAACCATCGAAAATAAGCACATTTGTTCGTCCAAAGCGGTTAAGAAGTAGTTCTGAGTCAACTCCAATGTCAGTTATTTCCTTCTTGTCAATAAGATATGTCGTGAAATCGGGCGAAACGAGATAATGGTTGCCTATAAACAGGGTTCCAATTCGACATCTCGCTCACGCTCCGCTCACTCAATTGATTTTCCTAGGGAGCCGCTCAGCCACTCGATCGCTCAAGGTTAAAAAACATGATCCTTTAGCGAGATTTGAGCGGTGTTTGAGCGACGTTTAAGCGACGCTTGAGCGAGGTTTTAGCGATGCTTCAGCGACGTTAATAACTCACCAGCGAATCCTTATTGGCCGAATTTTGGAAAATCTCGCTCAGGAACACGCTCGCTCAGCCATCGCTCAATTCTCGCTCACTCATCGCTCACACAAATGCATAATTTTTCGTTCAAAATTGGAACCCTGCCTTTAAAATATAGTGGTGCCATTGGTCTTCTTTCATAATACTCAATAAAATCTGATCGGTAAGAAATGAGAGCTTTTGGCTGCATTTCTTGACCAAGAACGGAAAATTGTTCGTTGACAAAGACTTTAAGCGAATAGGAAAATATAGTTAATGGATTATATTTCATGAAATTTTATAAATATCTATTAAAATTTCCTATTCTGTCGTAAATTGTATCGATCTCCAAATTCGTAGAATTGATTAATACAAGTCTTGAGAAAACTTCATTAAGTTTGGGATTGGGAACCGCATCATTTAGAACAAAAGTCCCTGGTTTGCCATTTTGCAAAGCCAGCATAACAAATTCATTAACAGACATTCCATGATAAGTTCTGAATAAGTTATTTCCTTCCTCGTAAAACCAGGCCAGAGGGACTTTCTCTGTGTCTATATGCTCGCACTCATAAAGTGGGCAGGGGCAACCAGAGGGACACTGCTCTTGAAATGGGCAAATATTTTGAGTTTGTCCATGGTCGCTCAATTGTGTTTCGCAGATATGCTTGCATACAACATCGTCTTCTTCGTTGATTTTCACGCAGAGTTTCTCGCAAACTTTTCGATCTAAGACGAGCTTTATAAATATATAAATAAGATCGATCTTACCGTAGAAATTGAGCCGTTCGCATCTTTTCAAATTAACTTCTTGTTCTTCTTGAGTAAAAATCTCCTCTTTAGGCTTTGTTTTTTTCTCCAAAATCGTCACATTCGAACTTGGGAAAACAAAATCTTTCTTTTCTCGCATACAAGTCGAGAAGCTCCTGTAGCAATCTTCATATGGAAAATCAAACAGACATTGTTTCAAATTTCTACCGCAATTGAGAGTTTTGAAAGTATACCGAGGGCCGATATCTTTCAACCCAATGAAATTTGTCAAAAGAACAATCGACATCCAAAAGATAAATCCAAGCCCGAGATAAGTAAATTTCTGCGTGGTGGTCGCGAAGCCACTAAAATATTTTTTTCCTCGTGAAAAAGATTTTTAAAGTACTGTTCGCGTAATTCATAAAATCTTTTCTTCTCTGACACTAGAATTCTTGATTTCTTGGGGATTACAAAAATCTTGTTGTCGACAATTCTAAGGAGTCCAATACATTCACATTCGTAACACTAGAATACTCGTATTTAAACGATAAGTTTCAAAAAACCTTTATCTCTGGATCATAGTTTTCCATTGAGTTTGTTCATCTAGTAATTCGTCGATTTTAACCGCAACTAAATACGAAAAAGGTAACTGAGGAGAAGCCTTGTCAACATGACCTTATCAGTTTTTGAAACATTGACATTTCAAATATCGTGGATTCCTTCCAGGTTAACCCCCATATATGGCGCCTTTTTCGAATTTTCAAATTTTCAGTCCTTCATATTTCGAGTTACAGGTAAAAAATCATTCATGAGTACCCCTTATTTGAGAGACCTCTTCACCGCCTTCAAGATAGTGTGAGGTGGTTAGATACTCATAAGAGCAAGGGCTCGAAAAATGCATTTGAAATTTGGCTTTGGCCGGCTAGGGTTAAATAGGTGCGACTTGAAACCAACGGTATTGATATAGTTACGAAAGTTACGATTTTCAGAGCCGATACTTTGAAAGCAAAATAATTGGTTTGGCTGCAATTGCTTGCTTGTAAAAGCTCCTGGAGAACAATTAAATAATTAAATTGACCACAACCGACCCCTTCATACACCATAAAAACGGCTCTCATAAAGGATCGATTGTCCAAAGTCGACCTCCGAACAGCGATTTTTGCTTCAATCTTTCGTTTTATATGAAAATATGTTTATATTTTTATCACTTTATAGTGTTTTATTCGCAAGAGAACCGACTGCTGAAGAAAGATTACATAACGACCTTTTAGAGAACTATTTTAAAGGTATTTTCCATTTTTTGTTGGTTTGAGGGTTGAGTTCTTTTATCAGATGTGAGTCCCTTAATCGCTCTGCCGAAGAACAGGTCGATCGAAGATCAAGTATACAGGAAAGAAATCTGTCGAGAATGGATCCCAAAAATCATGGACGATTTTCCCCCTCAAACGAATCGTGAGAACACTCTTTCAAACGTTTTCTACTGCCAAGATGAAGATTCGGCATTTGAAGAGCTAAACGCTTGTGAAGAATGGCTGGATTTTATTTATTTAAAAAATCCAAGTTCTCAAAATTCTTATCATGGTAAGTTCAGAGAAAAGAGGTTCTCTATAATTTCTTAGGAAAATGCAAGGTCACCACTGACGATTTCTTCGAATCTGTCAGTAGTAACGAAATTCTCATCTTGAAAAACATCCTCAATCGACCCCTTTATGATCACGTTATTGACGTTGATCTGTACATTGAGCTTCAACAAATCAACAAGATTGAGCTTAAAGGAGCCTACATGGATTTGACCTTCACGATGTACGCAAAGTGGTACGACTCTCGGCTGAAATGGGACGAACAGAAATATCATGGAGTCATGTACACTCTCTTCGAACCCTCGGAAATCTGGACCCCTCCGATTGAGATCATGAATCTTGTAGAAATGATCGACCCGAGACTTGAATACGTCTGCGAAGTTCACAAGGACGGAACAATTTACGAAATCGTAAAGATGCGTGCTTTGGTTTCTTGCGATGTCGACCTGACCTTATATCCTTTTGATTCGCAAGAATGCGGTTTGTCTTTTGCGACGCCAACGATGGCCGATTACAAGCTGTATTTTCACTTTCACGAGTGGAACATGCTCAACTCCCTTCAAAATCTCTCTTCTAGCGTAGCAAGTTACGAAAAAACTCATCTGAGCCTTCTCCAAGGGACATTTTACCGTGAAAACACCGAATGGGCTCTTCTTGGTTACAAATATTCAGTCGAGCCGGTCGTTGGCCATTTGAAACGATCATATTCGCATGTCAATGTTGATTTTCTTCTCGAACGCCACAAGGTCTACTATGAAGTCACCTTGTTCATTCCGATCGTATGCCTCAATCTCCTCGTTTGCTTAGGTCTTTGGATGCCGATTTCCTGCGGCGAAGCTGTCGGATTCCAAGTGACGATGCTTTTAGCGGTAGTGCTCTATCTTGACCTGCTTTCACGGACGACGCCTGTTTTCGAAACAATCAATGAAAGTCCCAGATTGATGATTCTTTTCCTCCTCACAACTGTTGCCAGTCTCATTTCTCATGTTATACTCAGTAAGAAACCTGAAAAAGAATTGTAGATGACCGTTTTTTTTAGCATTTTCGATGTGGAAATCATCACCGGACGAAGATACTTTGCATAATCTTTCGCCTTTTAAATGTAAATTCGCATTGAAAATGGCGAAATTTTTCGAATGTTTGACAAGGCAATCGTACAAGATTCCTAATGCGATTGAGCTGATCATAGGTAAACTTGAAAAAATATGCACAGTAGAAAATCAATCGCTTAGAAGCTCCAGGAAATATTGAAAGAATCGAAGATGAAGAATTGAAGAAGGCTTGGAGATTTTATGCGAAAATGTCAAGTCATTTTTGGGCGACGATTTTGACCTTTGCTGTGGTAATGTGCACTTTTGTCATTATTCTTGACTTGCATATACAGCGTTCTATTTTTCATGCGAACATTAAAAAATAACTCGTTTTCTGAATAAAAATGGGAATTTAAACTATTCTTTATACTTGCATTTTTAAAAAAGACAATATGGTAACAAATAACACGTGGTAGGAAAAAAAACTAAAAGCTCTTCACATAATTTGGATTTACTGCCTGGTAAGACCTGTCAGATTTCGATGCCCCTCTGCATCCGCCCCTGAATCAGGGGCCCTGATTCCCATTCTGGAAAACACGAAAGAGATAAGAAATGACAAAAATGGGAATGTACAGCTCCTCCAACCTGCCCAAGATTATGGAGTACGTCAGACGTCGTCAAGGTCAGCTCTTATTTTTGATCATAAAAGGATAAAAAGATTAAGATGATCAATTCTTATTGGATCAGAAAATTCTTCAAAAGGCCACTAGAACTTGCCTTGACATCAGAAACACATACAACAGAGCTCAACTTCTTCAAAGAGTAAGATTTTCACAATGATTTAATACACATTTAGTTCCCTTTCGATCTCATTTTCCAACCATATTTAGGACTACAGGATGCGCGGTTTGGCCCTTGGAGACCTCCTCGACGATGCTCATCTTTTAGGGAACAAATGCGGTAAGCGAAGAAACGGATCTCGCACCTGCTCGCAAATTTATACTCGATAATCATGTCTTTAGAAAAAATGCTCGAAGATAGAAAGCGACGGGACTATCTCGAAGGACGAGTACGACAGAATGTTCGACGACGGTAATAAAAAAATCTTCTTTCAAAATTAAAAAAATTTGCAATACAAAAAATATTTATTCAAATTTGTTTCATGCAGATTGATTATCTAATCGGAGTTGGAGGAAGAGTCACTACTATCATCGTCAGGAGTTTTGCACTCGTCGTACATGATTTTGAACGAACGAACGTCGTTGTCTTGGTCGATAATGATTCCCTCATTCGAAGAACCGCGGTATTTTTCGAGGTGGATTTCGACATGCATTTCTTCCATGCACAGCTCCGCGGCAATAGGAATCTAGTCACAATTAACTCGAAGGTTTTGTTGTCAATCTAACCTTTAATCTGATAATAGCCGTCTCCTGTCCAATCTCGAATCTGACTCTGCCTTCTTGTCTATTCCAAAACAGTCTGTCCTCCCGGACGCTAATTGAAACTGCTGCAGTGTCCAAACAAGCGTTTCTTAATACCGTAAATATTCAAATAACAGAGCGGTTTTTACTGTTGACGAAGAGCGGCAAGGACTTGGGTTTTCAAGAGAGAGCACCATTTGACGTCGATTCTTTGATCCGTTGTTGATCTTTTTGAGAATTTTTTTCGTTCTTATAATCGTATATTCTTTTAAGGGGGAGTATCACGCTTTTCGGAAGATTAGAACTAAAAAATCTATTTTTGGTAATACTTTTCTGATAATCTTCATTTCATTTAATGCAGCAGCATTAAAAATATAAAAATTCCTTACAAAATAAGAATTTGATGGTCCAGCTCAAATTTTTAAGAGCTTTTGCTGTTCTTCGATGGCCGAAAATCGCGATTTTCCGAAATCGGGATCAGTTCTAAGCTCTCTACTTCCAAAACCGCTTGAGTAAATAAAAATCTGAGAAAAACAGCCTTAGATATCGGTCTAATGTTTCTCCAGAAAAAATATTTTTCGCGATATCTAAGTTGCAGTGCAAATGAGAGCAATCCTCCGACCCCCCATTTTTCAAAAAAGCGTGATACTCCCCCTTAAGAAAAAACTTGAAGGGAGTAAACGATAAGAATCACTCAATTATGATAAAAAAGAACCATTCTAGATCAAAAAGATCAAAGTTGATTGGGGTCAGCTGTCTCCAACTATAAATCGGGGAAGAATCTATCTAGACCAAATCATTTTGTAAGAATCAAAAATGGAGCTTCAATAATAAAAAGGAAGCAATAGATAGACTTCCCAAATTTATCTACAGTTTTATTTTTCTTATACCGTACTTTCGCGAGAGCAGACTGTCCAATCTGCACCGAAATGATCAATGATGAATAAATAAAATTCCGTTTCTGACAACCTTCAATTCCACTGTGTCCCCTCCATTGAACGTTCCAACAAACGGCTTTGCAGGAATGAATCCAACCTCGCAGCTTTCAATGTCATTTTCCACCCTAAACAAAATCAAAATCCTCCACGAAAACGCCACTTTACCGAATTTGTGAGTGCATACGCTCACCCAGGGCTTCATGATCTCGTAGAATCACATCAATGACAGAGAACTCATTCGGCTTGTAGACCTGGTCGAATCTGACTGTAATACGAGTATCAGTAGCTAACTCGTTAAAATATCCGTATCCACCACTGTGATCACCAAGATTTCCATTGTCCTGAAAATTAAGTTTTGAGTTATTTTTTGGAAGCTTACCTTATTGAGGTTTGCTTGCCAGCCAAAGCTGAATCGCTCATCAGGATCTTGTCGAATCACTGGAATATGAACGAGTCCCTTATTGACGGTTCCAAATGCTGTACAAGGGGCTCCCTTAGTTTAATATAGAACCGTTCCTCAGATCGCTTGACATGGATAACTTCATAGCCTTCTTTGAATTGGTAGATATTTTTCGGAATATATTGATCCGGTGGCGTAAAATCCGGCATATTGAACTCGAACGGCGGCTCCTCAATTTCTTCCGGACAATCGAAGGTGAAGTAAATGTCTCTTCTTCGGACAACAAAGTCAGAAACATTCGAAATTTCTCGCTGCGACTTGTTTCGAAGACTGACCAAATGTCGGTTCATCAGAGCAAGACGGTACTTTCCACTGGGCAGAGCCTTTTGCGTCTCGAAATTGATCATGTTGAAGGAGAATTCTTGGAAGCTTCCGAGCTCTTCGTTTGTTTCGGCAATCTTAGTCGAGTTTTTCTTCAAAAGTATGAATTCTTTACTGTAAAGAAGACGAAGTTAATAATGTCATGTTATACACGCATTCAAAATAATCGATTTTTTTAGTTAAATTTACTCCTGATCATTTTCTGAAGGCTACTTTTTTCTTCGAAATTCGAACTTCGAAAAACTCTTCCTTGAAAGTCTTGATCTTTTCTCCCGGCCCAAAAATATGGATCGCAAAGGTGATATCTCCATCCATCGTCTGCGGGTTAATACAGCGCGCTTTGAACGTTACTCCTTCCTAAAATATAAATTTGTTTATTTTCCCAATGTCTGATTAACCCAGTGTTAATCCTTGTCGAACATTAATCGAATTTGTCTAACTTAGAGAGCACCTTTGCTTCGCATCCATAAACAAGCTTTTTCAACTGAATGTCGACCAGGGGGTATTTGTCTTCCAGGTGGATGCGCAAGTTTTTCACGTTGTCTTTCAAAACTCCGACGGAATGAATTATCACTAGAATGATTTTTTTTTCAAACGGGATTACGAGAACGGACTTACAAGGGGGAGTATCGTCGATCACTCTGTTTTCGTTTCTAATCTTCCATTCGAGATTCTTCTGCTTTTCCGCGAGATTGATCCAAAGCTGCTCGTACTCGTCCCTTTCTCTTCTGATTTCTTCAATTTCATTTTGAAGGTTTTCGATGATGACTTGAAATTGGGAACTTCGTTTTCGCTCATTTTCGAGCTTTCTTAGCCATTTTTCGTTGTTGATGTTGTCGATTTGGATTTCATTATCGTAGGATCTTCAAAATTAATATCATTTCCTAACCCTAACCCTAAGAGTCTCTCTAACCCTCACCCCGCCTCACCCTAAGAATATTTTCTTCTGTTCACTTACTCAGAAATATCTTCCATTATTTTGTTCTCGACAGAACTAGCATTGTTGATAATAATCGACGACATTTGCATATTTTGATTTGTCGTCGTTGCAAGTCGATTTCCTGCATTTCCACGGAGCCTGGCAATCGCCAGGTTTTGCTTTTTCGGATCTCGCATTTCTCTTGATTCTGATTGAAAGATGCGAATACGAAAAAAGCACGTAGTAAAGTTGATTATTTCTGAGTCGTAAAATAAGGCTGATATCTGATAGGTTTGGCTAGAGTTAACATTTGCGCAAATAGAAAGACAAAAGAAAAGTTTTTTTACCGCTCAGTTTCTAGCAGCTAGAATCGAGCTTATTATTTGGGTCAATTAATAATTTCCCCTGGACTTTGCTTATCTGCAAATCATTAAAGTACAATCGGTAGCATTATTATCACTTTTTAGCGAATTGCGTCAGATAAGCGTCAGTTCCCGAGATCAATAAATTCAATTAATTAGGAACCTTTTTTTCTGTGCACTTCTTTTGTGTTGCAGTAAATATTTCTATGTTGAACAGTCTGACCGCCAATTGTTCCACCGCCGAACTCTTATCTTTTTCCGTCGCAGCGAATAAGAAGATAAGTACACTTGGATTTCAGGCAAATGAACATCAAGTTTCAGAAGGAAATAGTATTAATTTTCAAGACAAAAATATAAGATGTACAGCCTGAAAGAATATTCAAACGAAAAAGTTTGAATCATTTAGCATCTACTGTAGCTGCTAGTTAGGGGATATTTTTTTGACCTGCCGGTCACTCTTAATCAAACCCTTACAAAGGGCCCGACCCAAGGCTTAAGGGAGTAGACATCGTAAACTAGGTTTTTGAGATGATTTTTCTCACCGACTTAACATTGCTACCCCTTTGTTTTTTCTGCTAAAAATAAGCTTCAAGAGATTGTGTTCAGTCTCTGGAAGCAAAAATTATATATTACAGCACCTTATGTAAGCAGAAAATGGTCAAGAAATATAGCTTTTTCGACTACTTGGCACGTATTTTGTTTAACATTTTCAAGTTTTTTTCGATGTTGATAAAATAAGTAGAGAAGTGATATTTGCTTGTTCCACAAAAGAGGTGCTCAGGGAAATTGTTTACATTCGAAACCTTCAATTACATGGCGCATCTGATGCGCCCTGCGCGTGTTGGTGGAGCTATACAGATTGCGGCGGTGTCTTTCCGCGTCTTTGAACTCGCCTGCTTGCAGCCCCAGAGCCTCAGAGCACTTCATTCCCATTTTTTCTCAATAGAACATCGACCAAATGCCAGAAACAAAGTTTTTCACAGAAGAACAAATTCTGCTCCTCTTGTTACTCAAGCAGACAAAGATGGATGCGGAGCAAGCGACAGCTGCTTTGGAAGAATTAGAGAGATTAGGACCAGTTGAAAACGATACAACCACTGTGGTAAGAGATGCTTTTTTGACGAAAAATTAAATTTGTATGATAAGCTACAGCTACAAAATATGCTCAAAATTTATACAAAGAAAGCCCAACTTGGAATTTCCAGGCTGAAAATTTGGGTCTTCGCGGTCGAAAATTCTTAAAAAAAAAGAATTTTATACCCTCAATAACCAATTTTTAGGACTCGACAAATCAAGAACCCGAACGCCGAAGCCCAAACAAAAACGTCCTCGACCTGCTATGATTTTGCTCTGTATCTATTCACAATAAATGAACATGTAAAAAGGCCTGATGCTAATACCAAGTGGAATATCATACTGCAGCAAGATAGACTGCTCAATAGGACATCGTCTTCTCTTGTTAATATTTCACTTGTCTAGCGGTAGTTAGCATGTTTGCCCGTTTACAAATCTGCTACTTGAGAATTACAAGTTTCGAGCTTTATTATTCGGTTAATTATTTCATCGACAGTTTAATAGCCAACGATTACTTCTTCGCCGACGCATTTTGCATAATCGCATGTCATGTCAATTCCCTCGCCAGGCAGGATCGTCACTGGCTTTGCGCCATTGACACAGTTGTAGATGTCGTCGATGTTAACGTTGACGATATCAAGTGTAGAGGCAATATTGTGGAATTGAAGAAGCGCCCAGTAAGCGTCTTTTTTGTCGTTACCAGTTGGATCAACAAGCGTCTTTTCGGCTCTAAAAAGATTAATATGATGATGCTGTAAAAATGGATTATTATTGTATTTTTGCTACTTTTCTCTAACGGGCCATTATTAATTAAATCTTACTCTACTCCGACGAAGTACCAAAAAGGTTATTGAATTAATATCTACCATGATTATCATTTCTGAGTGACGGGACAATCAGGGCCGCCCACGCAATTTTGAATGTATTTGAATGTAATTATTGTCAAGTGAACATTGAAAATTGAATTGACGGCTAGACTTGTTTTCAACAAATTAACCTCACAAGAAATGAGAAACAAATCAGCTCAATTTTGAAAGAAAACATGACTTTTTCACGAGTATTGATAATTTGATTCACCATGTTACCTGAATCCAAAGGTAATTGAACGATGTTTCTTTAACTCGTCAGGCCAGTGGTTACGGTAGTAAAGATCTCGTGCAGCAAAGGCGTCGTAGTTGGTTATTGGATCGATGCTCCCTAGAATTTTTAATGCAAAATTCAGCGTTTGAAAAGAACCTTTCGTTCGTTTTTCCAAAACAGAAAACCTGAAGGCTCCCATTTTTAAGACATCGAGCACTCCTTGACCGCAAACTGCTCTCGACATGACCCAGTATTGCTGGTAGCTTACAGTATACTTATTCACAGCTCTTGACACTGCTTGAACGAGGAATCCAGTGTTGCCAAGATAGATAGGCTTCAAGGAACTGGTACTTTGGAAGGCTTTTTCTGATGATCTTTTTTAGGGATGAAGCTTTTGGTCAGTTTTTCTGACTGATTTTTAACTGTAAATCAAGAGAAAAGTCTTATTTAAGGGTATCCTATCCTGATTCCAGTTTTTACCTTGTCAGTACATGCGCATGGCTCTAATGAAGTCGACGTTGTTGTTGTAGTTGTTGTTGTGGTTGTTGTAGTTGTTGTAGTAGTGGTTGTTGTGGTAGAAGTAGTAGTTGCTGAATGTATTAAAGAAAGTGTACCCACGAAAACCCAACATGACAAAACATGCTTTTTTATTCATCAATAGTTCTCTTGGAGCTAATATCAATCTGCCTGAAAGTGCACCTTGATTTCAACTCCTGCCTGGCACGCTCTAAAATCTCATATCTATGCGACTTCCTTATGCATTGACTTTTTGATTTATTCATTTGAAACATCGCTCTAGCTTTTTGTTTTTGAAAAAGATAGAACGAAAGCGAAAATTTATGAAAATAAAATATATTTTGTGAATCGAAAGGAAAGTCAAAAAATACTCTAGCACAGTCGAAAGTTATTACTGATGATGAAAAGCAGGATTATAGAAAAATAAAATTGCAGATTAGAAATAAAAAAATATTCAATTTGTAAGAGTCGCTGATCTTTCTTTGCCGAACTTGTCGAACAGCGGAATCGCGGGAACGACCGTTTTGAATGCAGTCGAGTTTTCCTTTTCTTCGCGGAAGGATTTTTGACCGTACAGCTTGCGGTCGAACTTTTCCTTCGTATGAATTAGGGGGACGTATTTGTCTTTGTCCATCGAGAATTTCTGAAATACAAAAATCAGAAACCAGAATTTTATTTCAAAATTTTATATTTGGATTTTCCTGATTACACTTGAGCCGAAAGAGACCGTAAATATATCTGAGATGAAGTGTAATTAAGTGAAGTTCGCAGATTTTAAAAGAATAGATAAACCGATATTTATACTCAAATCAATCATTCGAAAACGTACCATGGGGTCATCATGAATCCTCCTAATCCATTGTCGTTGCTTCTCCTTGGTCTGTTCTTCCTTGACGCTGTTGATGCTCGTAGCAACTCGAAGAGTCGGCGAAAGAGCCCTGTACCTCTGATTATGGACCATCATTGGCTCCCTAAACGGCCCCTGCAGTCTCGGAGGAACCACCTTTCTAAAAGAGAGATGAAGAAAAAACCGCGCGGCTCCGTGAACTTACTTTAAAGGAGGCAGCTCTCTTGGACTTTCTTTTCCATTTTTCATCAGCTGTTTTCGTTCCTCTTTGCTTAGTGGAGGGACTTGGGCCATGAGGTCTTCAAACCCGCTGTTTGGAAACCAAGGAGATGCAAAAACACCATTTTGTTGATAGGTACTCATCATGTAGTGATTCTTGCGCGCTAAAATCAATGCTTTTATTTCATTTTTTGAACTGATTGTGATAAAAATAAACTGTTGATGTAGCAACTGAAAATAAAGTTGCCTTCTGTTGATACTCGCTGACTATGTTTTTAAAGTTCAGTCGGCCTCAAAGTTGCTTTAGAGGGAGATAATTAGATTTTGTTCTTTATGATGTCAAAATTTAAGTGCACCGTTTCTAATGTCTAATTGTAACTACAGTAAAATAACGGCTGAAAATCGAAAAGCCGCTTGCAGATTTTTCAGTTCTATCCATTCAAAGATCATCTGAGGTGGCCCTGTTCGTTGGAACGTGTTAAATTGTTGTGGAACATAGAATTAGATGCCAGGATTAGTTTTTGTCCAAACACACAACAAAGCCAACTTGTGTTGAAGGTAACTCTTGACAAGTTCCATCTTTTCATCAGAAATAAACTTTTGAACATACCAAGAAGAATCTTTTCTTCTTCAAGTTTGATTCTTTCTTCTCGCTCTTTTGCCTCCTTCTGCTTCGCCGCAAATCGAGCAAGTTGCTCTCTTACTTCTTTATTTTTCTCTTCCACTGCCTAAGAAACAATAATTAATGTTGATTAAAAAGAGAAGACTTACCAAAAGATAATGCTTTCGAGCGTAGTAATTATGAACATATTTTCTGGTATAATATCCTCGCCAAATCGTCTGGATTTTGGCAGCTGCTTTGTGAGCTTCTGCTTCTTTTTGACGTACTAGAGCTTCTTTGACCATTACATAATATCTAAATGCAGATGTGAGCTACTGATACTAAGGATGCTGGCCCGGCAACCTGTGTACCTGAAGAAACCTGAATTAGGGTCGTGAAAGATCATCGAAAACAGGTTTTTCAGGACCCTGACTAAGGGTTCCGCAAAGGACCGGGTTCAGCAACTTGAAAACAAAATAAAATAGATATCTAGCAGCTTTTCTCAAAGCTCTACGAGGACCACTCTACGGTAGAGTCTCTACCAGACTCAGGCTTTCTACACAGGTCGCCGAGCGTAGTTGAGTAATCTTGCTAGTTTTTGTCTCACCTTTTTCTTTGAGCGAACATGCGGAAAGTTGACTGGATTTTCGCAGCGGTCTCGTGCAAAAATCGCATGTACTTTCTGATGCGATTTCCGCGAAACCATGCTTGAATCCTGAGCGCTGCATCGTACTCAACTTTTCGTTGCTTTTCCGCTTCTTGCTGCAATGTGAACAAATCTTCCATCACATCGTAATTTGCGCAAAACGACAAATAAAGACTCATATTAACATAACCGTCTTTTGAAAATCTGAAACGAACTGATTTTGAGCTCTGAAAACAAGCGACGCTGGAGGGATGTTCTAGAAAATAATAAAACAGTTGAAATCTGGGAACCTGTGTAGAAAACCTGAGTCAGGGTCAGGGGACTTTCATAAATGCCATTTATGATAAATGGTCATTCAGGACCCTAATTCAGGTTTTCGATGAAGGTTGCAAAGCCGAGATTGAAATTATCGGGTTGAATTTCGGGTTTATTAAATTGGTCTTTGATTCAAAGTGGGGAAAACAGGTTGATGAGTTCGGTTTTTTGTTGATTAAAACAGGGCAGCGTTATTTCTGGTCGCATATTTTTAAGCAAGCGAATAATAGGTACTTTTTTGTACAGTAAGGCATTCGATGTCGCTTCAGCACAATGAATGACAGAGTTGGTAGGACCAAGATAACTGGAATTTATAATTGTCATCACTCAATTTTCATTGAACGGAAAAGACTTGTAGAAGCTCTGAAAATAGTCGAAACAACGAGGTAGAAAACGCATAAAACTAGTAAACGTTTTTGTGTATCAAGAAGATTGTAGAAAACTAGGTCGGAAGATGTGGAACAATAAAGAAAAAACGCATAAGAAAAGAAATGCTCGTACGATCAAAATCTTAATATTGCAAAGAAAGGAGAAGAAGGAAGTGAACTTTCTGAAAATGAAAATTGTTGAATCGCGGTGTTCGTCGAATTGGTTGTCGAAGCTGCAATTTCCAGTCTTCAAACCAGGGTTCCACGCTCTTCACTTTGAACCCAATCGTTTGGGAAGTCGCTTCGCTCGTGGCTTGCGGCTCTACTATAAGTTCGGAAAGAAGAACGTTAAGATAGTTTGAATATTGGTAAGTTAATCCTCATTGTTTATTCTTTATTTCAATAAATAGGGGCTCTGGAGAGGCAAAAATAACGAACAACAGAAAAACAGCGCCAGATTCGTATGATTGAATTGATTAAGTCAGTTTAAATAATAAATACGGAGTGTATTTATTAATAGAAAAATTAAAATCGAAGCCGATTGATTCAAGTTCAAATAATGACCCAAAAGGTTTCATAAATCAATGAATCCTTATCATGATTGATTTTTAGTAACAAATATGACTATAAAAATCAAGGCTTTACTTTCTAACGGAGTTACTTACTCTAAAACGCTCCCTAACTTTACTAGCTTGATCTTTTGATAGAGCTAGGGACCGGCCCAAGAATCTTTTATTCAAAAGAGTTCTAGCAGCACTAGCTCCCGGGGAATATCCTTGTTTACGGGACCTCAGATCTAAGGTGCTTCCAGGAATGATTATTCCTTCTGTACTTTTTTCTGGACTCGATTTTAGAAGATCTTCAGCTTCGAAGGATCGTTCAAATTGATCGAGCTCTGTTTTGGCATCCGCTTCAAAAGAGCGATTAAGATTCGGATTTCGAGGAAGCGAATAGTAGTTAGATAGAATCGAGTTTCTGTTAGGCGTGTTGTGATTATTAATAGTGTTAGTGTTTGATTTTAGAACTTGGCTTTGAAGGGCGCTCCGGACATTGTTTCGCAGACCAGTTGTTTTGGGAGCAGAAGCTTCTGAATAAAAAACTGTTGAAGAATGAAGATGGTAGAGAAAAGTACCTGGAAGAATTTCGCGACGCTTAGCAGCTTCAGTGCCAGAATCTGAGACTCCGTATCCCAAACTACCGCCTGAATTCTGGCTTGATAGGGTTTTCGTCGAATGGGTTTGGGCAGAAAGAGTAGAAATGCCGGAATCATGGCGATGAAAGGGATTTTGACTGTTTCCAGTGTTTTCAATTTGAATTTCTTCTGGATCAGGCGGGATCTGAGGGCAAAACCCCCATCGTCAGGTGTTTGCAGAACCCGTTCTGCCTATCGGGGAGTCTTGACCCCCGGAAACCACCCTGAACCAGGGAGCTTCTCAAAACACTGGCCTAAGAATTCTGGAATCAAGAATGCCAGAAGAGGAGGCGAGGGAGGAAGGAGTGCCGGGCGTTCCTAGATCCATATTTGTTTGTGTCGAATGAAGGCTTAGAGTCGATGGTGGAAGACGCTTCTTTGTTCCTGGAGTAATAGAACCAGCATGCTTAGAAACGGTAAAGAGTTGATGTTTGCTGGTTACATACCATTTCTCTGTAATCATGGTGGGCAGGTTCGAAAGTGTCTCTTGAACTAGTTTCTTTGGACCTCGTTCTGTTGACAGCGATGCGTTGATAGGTAGGTTGATAGGACGATGGAGCAGCGGCGTGATGATTGGAGCGGTTGGTGGAGCTGTTGTTGGTGAAATGTTCGTGCAGCAATTGCCGAATGTGTTTTCGCGATTGAATGTTATTTACATTTGCTTCAGAGCCGAAGCTCATTTCCGACAGGGCGTCGAATTCCGTCTGGAAGAATTGTAAAAAGGGGCTGAAAAGAGGGGACTTACAGGAGCTCTGGGCATGGCGCCATAGCCAGGGTGCATGTATTGACCAGACGCCTCCCCGTAGAAGTAATGATTTTGATTGTTCGTATTTTGATTGTTTTGATAATCCGAGTAACCCCGGCTCATTGTTGCTGAGGCGCCTCTGTTCGAGCAGTAGCGCGATTCTAAATACAATTAAGGTATGTTTGTGGAGGGAAAGAAGACACGCAAATGTATTTATAAAAGTATAAATACCTATCTCTGCAGAGGAAAAGGTCTTAATCGCACTCGCGCTGGCCGGATGTTCAACCTTGATCGGCCCAGTTCGGCTCAATGTTGCCCCGCTGTCGTTTTGGTAGGTCTTTCGTGGCGGTCGGAGGGTGACATTTCCGTCAGGTAAACTCACTGAATGTTGACTTTAGTTCATGATCTTTTTTGACCCTATTTTACATAATGGTTGGCTAGTTCTCCGAGCAAGTGTGGGAGTTAAACTGGAGGTTCTTTCTTGGACTGGCGGTGGGCGATCTCTCCTCGGAATATGGGAAGAGCTTCCGCCGTCAGAAGTGGAGGAACCATCTCTGAAAGAAGGAGATGGCGGTCGATGGGGATGATTCTGAATAATTGGCCCTCCACTTTCGCGACGAATCGAGTACTGTCTCGTAGGACCAGTGTTCAAAGCAGCGTCTTCGAGGGAGGTTGTCGAATGCGCCGATCGCGGAGTAGCCGAGCCGCTCATTCGACCGCCATTTGGACCATCAGTATCCGGAAGAGAAGAGCTTGAACTGACGGATCCGACGTCGTCGATCGAGTGCCGCCCTCGGTCGAGAGAGATGCGCGACATCTTCAAATCGCTCGGGAGATCGGGGGAAAGCGACATTGGGCTTGTCGGGCTGACGATGATTCGTTCAAGATGCGTTTTTGTCTCCTCGAGCGACTAAAGGCTGCGTTACGACGAGGATCATTGTGTTTTACTTACATTGACTTTGTTCTTATATTTTCGGTACAGCTGTTCTTGATATTTCCTGGCGTAGGTCTGCTTCTTTGATTCATTTTCGAGCTTTTTATTGTTGAGCTTTGATAAACAAACTGTTATTTTTTGATTGACTCCCAGATCTTTCGCTATCCTCCTCAGTTCTTCCTGTGCTTGATCAGATCGATTCACAGGCGTGACAGACGTAACCGAGCTCGTCTTCTTCAACGCTTTGCCGTCTTTGGAGTCGTTTTGCTTGTCGAGTCCTTCGAATTTGAACGTCGTTTCTTGAAGCGTTTTTGCATGGTTGATGACTTCTTTGTTCAATTCTTTGTCTTCCTGAGTCAGGTATTTTTTGAACTCTGGCGGGATGATCTTCGTCAGCTGGGCTTCCTGGCGCATGATGGATTTGAGCTGTTCGACGCGTTGGAAATACTGATCTTCGAGCATTCTTCGTTTCGATTTCAGTGCGATGAGGACCTCGAGTTCTTTCGCTCGTCTTTCAGGACTTTCTTCAGAGCTTCGACTTTTCGTCAATCGAGCGCCATCTTGAGACTCTAGCGGAATGTCGGGAATTTGAAAGTTCGCCCCAGCGAGGCAAGGCTTGTCCAGTTTCTTTTCGAGCTCTTCGATAAGCTTTGGGTATTCGTGTCGGAGCTTCTTGTTCGGTCGCAAGTCGATGTAGCTCATGTGCGCGTGGATAGCGGCGTTCCAGAGGGCGCGAATGGTGACACCGCGGCCGTACCAACTCATGGAGCGCGGAGTTTTGGGATCGTCGGAGCACACTTCCACTGTGAATTTTTTATCCTGAAACAAAGGGTTATTCCAATGAGTTTTCCAATGTTTATATTAACCTTGAAGTACAGATTGTCCAACTTTTTCCAATCATAGATCTTGTCCGGATGATCCAACGACGTCACATGATACCGATGAATGCCATTGTAACAGACTCCAACCACCCACTCGTGCTTGTTTTTGTCATGAACGCCACGGAATAGCTCTACTCCGTAAGTCGCCTGATTCGTCGCAATCATCAGGTAATTTGTAATCGCCTTTCCACGGGGGCAGCCACGCTGTTTCTGGAAAACAAGGCTCAATTTTGATTTATCACTGTAACGCGCCTGGAAAAAAATCTTGCGAAATAAGTTTTTTAAGTTTCTTTTGGTGACATTTTTGCAATGATAAATGATTGAGCCACGCGCCTTATGATGATGAACGGCTCTGCGCTCTGACTCGGCCCAGTGGTCAAGGTTTTTCGTTACAGGAACCAAGTAATGCCTCCTCAAGGACGATCTGGAGGAGCTTTCGTCTCGATAATCGCCGATAAGTGCTTTTTCTGGATTCAAAATCAGTTGGTCTTTAGGAGGAAGGAAGACATAAGGCATAGCGCCCCCATCACGGGCGTTCGTATTTGGGTAAAGGGGGGTTCCTTTTGACTAACACCTCCCTTGGGGACCCTAATCTTCCCCGAGTTACGCCCACCCTAGAAAACGATGAACCCGTGCCTTGGAGTGCATGACCGGCAAGTGCGTCCTTAGCGTTATCACTAAAACGCAGCTCGCCACTGTAGACCGCTCGCTTTACTGATAAGAATAGTAGCTCTACTGCGTAACTATTCTGCAGCTGATTCCAATGCTAAACTCCAATTGAGGAAGAGGTATTAGAATCATTCATACCTCTGGATAAAGCCGTGGTACAAATTCTAGCTCTCGACTTTTGATGCCTTGGTCAGAGAGCTTCTTATCAGGCTGTAGCCAAGTAAATACAGAATCGACATCGCGACTGGAGCTCGGTGACGGCGTCACTCTTATCGACCAGAACAGATGGTCCTCTCGCTTCAAACCTAAACGAAAATTGACAGTGTCTAACAGACTACATTATATCTTCATAACTAATGAATCATTAGCTATTCTTTTAGATTTTACGCTTGTCAAAAGTCGGGATAATCAAACTTTTTCGCGGTTTCTTTTCTTCAGAAAAAAACAGGAAGCTAATTTTTTACCTGGAATAGCCTCCCAACAAAGCTCGACTAGTTCTTTTCCAGTACATCGGGCAGCTACGCGGACAGGAAGTCTAAAAGAAAAAATGAAATTGCGCGTCAAATCTTTGAATTATCAACATTTGTAAATTTCTGATTTCTGGATCATAAATAGTAAAAATTGGTTAGAAGTTGAAAGTTTTTTACTTTGAGACGAATATTCATAATCCCAGCAAAGATTTGAGAATCTCTGATTCAAAGGAAGATAAAATTTAACTACCGCCTAACACCTGTTTGCGATATTGTCAGTGCTAATAATAAAAAAGAAAGAAAAAACAGCTTCCTCTGGTTCCTAAAATGGGTCAAAAAGCCGCATTTTACAACTAAGAGTCCTCTTTTTTTCTTGTAAAAGCCGCACGCGGCTATAATCTACGAAATTGGGCGATTATTTCTTCGAAAATAGCCGCAGATGGCCTTTTTATTAGGAGAAATCACCAATTACGTCGAGAAAGCGCGATTTTCTCCGAATTTCACAACAAGTTTTCATTTACCTGACATCTCCTCCAGTCGGCAGGGATATCTTCACTTCTTCAGATATTCCCATTTTCTCTAGAATCTTCTCCAAAAGCTTCTTTCAATCAATTTCTTCATCTTTTTCCCCAATTTTTCTTTCTTTTCCGATCTCTAAATTTTCAACTTTTCATTCATTCGACTTTTGTTTGTTTCTCTGCATGTGACATTTTTCCCGGAAATCGATAAAAAAAAGAGGACTCGGAAAATCAGTGTCCGAAAGTGGGACGAAATGTGTGAGAAAAATTGAGCCAGGCCATTGTAAAAAGCGATTGGGTGCGCGCGGCCAATCAACCACTTTTCGAAAAAAGCGAAATCGAACGTTCGCACTTTCTCGTTCCTTTCTAGCGCCATTTTTATGGTTTTAGGGCCGGGTTTATGAGGAATTTTGCAAAGCAATAGGATGAGATCAAATTTGATATTTTGAAAATTAGACTTCACAATCAAATTTTGTCCTCCTGTGTCATTTCAGATCTGGACTCGGCGACCTGTGTAGAAAACCTGAGTCAGGGTCCTAGAGCTTTGATAAGACTACCACTCGGCGGCTTTTATCAAATATTTTCCAGGACCCTGACTCATGTTTTCGGCACAGGTTTCCGATTCTAGCCTCAGATTGTTGACAGTCTTTTGAAGCGATGACCCAAGATAGTCGATTTCGGAAAATTCAAAATCGAAAATCTTGTGCCTCCATCCTTTTGTTCAATCGGCGATCATGGTCGTTCAATTTCAACTTGGCACTCGAAATTAATCTTAATTTGCATTTATTATGTCGTTAAAGTGTTTTCTTCGCGCTAAATTATCTTCGCATCAGCATACTTCATAAAAAAGGTTATAAAATTTATTGCGAAAATCGCAAAACGTCATACTTGCTTAGAATAATTACCTTGTCGGCTCAGACAAGCTCTCAGAAGAGCATAGAAAAGAGAGATGATAGGAAGTCAAGTCCAGACCTTTTTTGACCAAATCGGGATAATTTCAAGAGCCGAAAAGACGAGTCAGCGAAAATGCCCAGTACAAGCAACATTGATGCATGATCGATGCTGGTTTTGTGCTTGTGCTCCTTGCATGGTAAGAATTCTGATCTTTACAAGCTCTTTCCAGCCTCACTTTAGTCGGATGTTCTGTTTCTTATCGACCAGTCGGCGCTAGTTGACCCGATAGAATGCAGATCAGCTCTGACCGAATTCGACATTGACCTCCCTTCTGAAGATGGAGTCAATAATTTCAACCGCTTCGAAGGATCCCGAAAGCAAATTGATTTTGTGATGGACACTGTTCGCCAGCTGTACTATTACGTCGATCCAGAAACAAAGCAGTATGAAAATATAGGTCGTATTAACATTGGCGCCGTACGAATCGCCGTTGCAATCTATGGCGACTCATCGAACTACGAGACGTTGGTTGACTTTAATGAGACCTTCAGCCAAGATGTGCTCTTGAAGACGACAAGGGGAGTTGGGGCAGAAGATCCCAGGAACTTTGGAAGCGGATTTATTGGGTAAAAAATAACCGCGTGGTTTTTATTTTACATAATTCAAGGTTGGAGAAGTTTCATTGCAAATTATATGGATATACCGATGAAAATATCAATAATTGTCTCAATGGACCTTGGGTAGATAATGAAGGGTCACCAGTAGAAAATCCGACACCATATGCATTCGATCCGGTTTATCAGGGTAGACCAGGAAATTTTATGAGGGAGCCTCTTTGTGGAACAGGCGGTCTCAAAGATGCAATTGTTAAAACAGCTACTTTTGAAGAACAAAACGTAAGAGATGTTCATTCTAGCTAAGCTATCTATTGATCATTAGTGGCGAAAATGGGATCCGCATTTCAACAGCCCGGGTTATCCTCTGAATAATACAGAAGAATGGCAATACGACTTCACGACATACACTCCGATCGCCAAGATCCTTGCAATGACTGCAGGAGGACCTTTTGTTGGAACCGCTTTTGAGAATGAACAGGAACTGCTGAGCTTCATGAGGCCCTTACACGATCCGATAGAAGGCGCCTTTGACTTTATTTTTCCAGTAGGAATGCTGATAAATGAAACGATCGGAAACATAACTTACACGAGAACAGACGCTGAGGAGGAACAATATTGGAGAGGATTGAACATTATCGGCTGTTTGACGCCTGAATCATGTGACTACGCACTAATGGCATCTCCATCAAACGGAACAAACGGAGTCGATCCGCAAAATTTTGTGAACAAACTATTCGAAGATTCTTTTTGGGATAAGTTCTTCTGCTACTACCGGAGCTGGAATTATTTCTGCGAAATTGAACCCTATCATTTTAATGTCACCAACACACATACCGCTAGAAATCGTCGTGCAGCGGATTCTTATGATACGAGTAGCTATCCAAATTCGTGTTGCAATCATGTTCCCTACAATACTGATGAATTTGATTGTTGCCCTGGAGGATATTCGCCTGATTATCTCAAGCCGGTAGGAGAATGCCCGCCTCCCCCTCCCAGTGACAATACAACCTCGGAAGACAACGAAGAAAGTCCTGCAGAAGAAAGAAAAAGACGATCGGCTCATTCTTATGATGGACCTCGTGATTTATGAATCATTATTTTTACTCAGTTAGCTTTCAATAAAGGTTTATTTATTCACAGACTAAAGAGAAGTTACAGTTCATCTTTGTTTCCAAAGGAAGCAGTAGCTTCTTTGATGATTTTGTTGACATTGTCCATCGTTTCTTTCACTGAAAAGGGGGTAAACTTTGAGAGAGCATCTCTAACGAACCTTCATCTCCGCTGAAATCGTACTTCTTAAGGTCCTCTGGTGGTGTGTAAACGTATGGCTTCTCTGGGTCGTATTCGTAGATGTTGAATCCGGCATCTCGGAGATTTTGCTTCATCTGATCGGCGCGCTCAACGATTCGGTCAAAGGTTCCGTCCTCAACGAATTTCTCGGCGGTAGCAGCGATTGTCTCAGCTAAATATTTATGAGCCTTCGGGATTCTCAACAGAACTTACTTCCAAACTCGAAGATCTGGCTGAATCCTTTTTGAACACAGGCAACACCCTCTTCTACAGACATTTTCTCACTGTCGCACTCTACTGGTCGCTGGAAATCAAAGTCTGCGAATTTTGAGATGATCTGAATATCCAGTCAGTCATTTTCTTTACTTTTAAAACTTACCTCTTTGACATTGCCGGTGGTGGAAGTGATGATCTTGTCCAAGTCCTCAGCAGCGCTAGAAAGCACGCTAAAATCTTGAGCGGTGGCGAAAGCGGCTAAAAATCCGAAAACTTTCATTTTTGAATTCGTTTGATCTGTTGTGAGAGTAGACTGAGCGGTCTGGCTTGGTTTTCTAACCGTCGTATTTGATTAACTGGCCACAAAAATAGTTATGAAATCCGCACTTCGAGGAATAAAAAGTGAACTCGTGCACCCCAAATGCACGAGGTCAAATTTCGCCGTTTACTTAGCGGATCTTCTTCTATTTGGTTTTGAAATTGCAACTTCTATTTCCATCATCTTCCTTTTCTTGGTGAGTTCTTCAAAGACAGAAGAAGCATGCAAGGTCTCAAAGGTTTCCAGACTGAGAATTTTCGAAGAAAGAAACGTAAATTTCAAATATACGAAAGTTTACTCTTACGTAAGCCAGACATCAGACAGAATTTTTAGACTCCGCCTGTATTTGCCATTGAATCTTTTCGTGTCACTACATGCAAACTTAGAGCCACTAGACTACTTTCCAAACATTTGGTTAGTCTGACCTCAGATGAAGAGTTCAGAACTTGAGGAGGTCATTCTTGAGTTTACATCATATCTTCACTTCACTACTTTTTCGAATTTTTAATCAAAATGAAGAAGAACTCTAAGGTTTGAGTCAAAACATTTGCCATAAAAAGGCAAAGAGAGCAATATTCCTTTTAGTCGAAATTCTGGACACTTGCTCGGTTGTTTTTGCTAGAGAAATTGAGAAAACCTTTGGATTTGATTCTTCTACTTACGATTCCTTCTTTGAGCTCCATTCTTCTCCTCAGTTTTAGAGAGATAGGTAAGTCATTCTTCTCGACAGTCCGTTTAAGTTTTCTCAGCAAGGGATTATGAGACGGGCAAAGTGGATATGCAGCCGATTATCTCGTCAAAAGTCTATCCCAAAAGATTCGCCATGGTCGATACTCATGAGATTCTCTTCGCTCCAAAAACTTCCCGGAACTTGGAAATCATCAACAGAACATGCGCTGATATAAGAGAAAAATTCAACGGGTACGACTTCTTTGGCAAGGTTTCAGCAAGTAAAAAGTTCGTCCCAAAGGGTTTTTCACAAGTTGAAGACATGGAAGAGTACATCGCCCGATCGAGAAATACTCGAAACATCTACCTTGGGGTTCACTTCCATGATGTTTCTGAGCAATTGAACTTCACGATTCGAACTCTTCCTACAGCAGGGAAATACCCTATCAAAGGCAATTGGGAAGGCTGGATGGGGCACTTGAGCTCTCCGACGATTTTTGGGAAAATGATAACAAACACGATTGGCTCCACTCTCATCGATGATCACTCTCAATGGTCGCTGTATTACACTGAAGGCTTTCTAGCAGTCCAGAACTCGATTCAAAAACAATTTCTTGAGCAAAACGGAGTCTATCACGACGCGGATCAGATTCTCCAGCCTTCCGGACAGTCGGCAAAACTGACGACGACGTTTCCTGAAATGGCGCAGCAGCAGCTTCATTTGATTTTCATGCTCGGTTTTGCGCATTTCATCCAACATGTATTGAAGACAATCACCCGTCATCGAGTAGAACATCGACTTGACTACCTCTCGCTCGTCGGTGCTTCTCCAAAAGACATCATTCTTGCGCATCATTTCGTCAGCCTCGTTCTTCAATCCATCGCTTCTGCTGTGTTGTCCTACGCGCTGACTGCAAATATTTCAACCAACGGAGCAATCTTCCCCCACACATCGTTCTCCGTCATTTGGCTACTCCTGACTGCGTATGGTTCCTCCCTTATCTTCCTTTGCCACCTAGCTTCGACTTTTTTCACAAAGCCAACTACAGCAGCAACGATCATTTCAGCCATCATCTTCTTCATCTCAGTCCCCCACGGGTTCATCTCTACAAGCTGGCGGTTGATGCCATTTCTGCCAAAAATTGCGATCATTCTCAACCCAACAATCATGCTCGCCCTTGGTTGCGACATAATTTGTCATTATCAAAGCAAAAACATGGGTTTGTCACTGACCGAAAATTTCTACGAGAAGATTTCATTCGAAGATCCCCTGGGAATGTTCGATGTAATCGTTTATCTCCTTGTCACGACAGTGTTTTACTTTCTGCTGACCCTGAGTTTCGAGAAAATCAAAAGCAGAAAACTCCAAGGACAGAAGAAAACAGAAGCTTCTCGATTCGAAGTTAAAGATTTATCGAAATTCTATGAATCTTCAAATCAAGTCGCCCTTGACAAAGTCTCTTTCAAAACAGAAGAAAATGAGATTACCGCTCTTCTTGGCGCGAATGGCGCTGGGAAATCAACGCTTTTGAATATCCTCTGTGGATTTATGGAGCCAACATCTGGATCAGACCTCGTCGGCGGCGGAAATTGCGGATACTGCCCGCAGCACAATATCTTTTTCGAATATCTGAGCGTGAGAGAGCACTTCGAAATCTTCTCGAAGCTTTCCACGACTTCTTTGGAGAAGGCAAAAATTGAATCATTGGCAAAAGACGTTCAACTTTTTGATAAACTAGAAAACTACCCGAATCAGCTGTCCGGTGGTATGCTCAGGAAACTAACATTAGGTCTATCTATCATCGGACGGCCAAAACGTTTATTGTTGGACGAGCCAACGTCTGGCTTAGACCCGGTCTCTAGAAACGAGCTCTGGGGAATTCTAAGGAACCTGTCCGCTTCAACTTCTATTCTCATGTCGACTCACTACATGGACGAAGCTGAAAACTTAGCAAGCTCGGTGCTGTTTCTGAAAGAAGGAAAGCTCTGTGAATCTGGATCACTTGAAGAAGTAATGAGCGACCGACCAACAGGATTGAGCTCGTTATTCGAACTTGAGTCAGAAGAAAAACACATGAAAGAGAGAAAAGATAATCATCGAGTCTTGGAAAATGCCATCCAGAAGTCCAGAAGAAACATTTCATCGATGCTTCTTTATCAGCTAAGAAAGTGCTTTATCCTTCTGAAGCGTGATCCTTTCATCTTATTCATGCAGTTCTTCCTCCCGACAGCTGTGGTCATCTTGACGGATATCTCACTTGACAGTAATCGAAACGCCAGTCCTGAAGCATCAACAGTCAATTATGACGACGTGCTGAAAATCGTCGGAACAGGGATCAGCGGAATCGTCCATCTGCCAGATTACGACTTCACCATGTACCCCAACGATTTTTTCCACGCTCCTCCAGCTGCTCTCCTTCACTCTCATCGAACAGTACTCCGAGCAAAAACCAATGCTTCCATCTTTCTCACCCACAAGCCTTTTGATCTTCCGCAGCCAGAAGGCAGCGTGCTCTTTACTGATTCTTTTGTGAAAGGGATGACTGTTGTCTACAACTGTATTTTGGCAATGATGATGATGATGTCACCAGTTGGGATGAACGTAGTAGAAGAGCGAAAAACTGGATTCCGGCAAATTCAAGCGCATACATCAGCATTGAAAAGGCGATTCTTCTGGCTCGTTCAGTATGCTACTTGTCTTTTACAGTCAGTGGCACTTCTGGCGGGTTGTATGATGGTGACTAGTTTGTTCATCAAGTCGCCAAACTTTCAATTCGGGATCGGCGAAGTTCTTCCAATCTTCTCCGTCTGCCTGCGATTCTTTATCGCTCACATGCCGGTCGCCTTCATCGTCGGTCATTTCTCCGAAGACAAAGGATCTTTCGTCGGCCACCACAGCAACGTCAACTTCATCTGTACGATTCTTATGTTCATGTCTGCGACTTGCACTCAAATCTTCACTGGAAACGAGCAATCATCTGTTTTCTTCCAGCTATATGGAATTCTTCCTTCTTACAATTTCGCGATCGAACTGTTTGAAATTTATTGCGAAAAGACATTCTCGAAATTTTGTGTCAGTAAAAGCCACTCGGGAGTTTCTTTCTTTTGCCAAGCGGTGGAAATTGATCCTTTGAGTGGGATACGAATAACTGGGGATCCTTGGATAAGGAAATGGTTATTAAGGGAAAACCATAAGACTGGTGAACAAAGAAAACTATAATTATTTTAATTATCCACTTACTTTGACTTTTGGTAGTAAGAATCTCGCCCAAAGACAATTTCACAAAACTGTAAAAACATCAAAGTTGTAAACTCTAAATAATAATAAATAATATTAATAATAAATTTTTCGTTATCTGAAAATACAACCACATCAAGATGTTTCGTCCTCTCCTCTATCTACTGGGGCATCCTTTATTTCCTTGAAAACTCCTCCGACACTGAGTTTTCCGTGATCAAAGAAACTGACTCCGATCCTTACTCCAAGGGCTCTATTCAAATCAAGAACATCACAAAGTTTTACAAAGAAAAATCAGCATTGAAAAATGTGTCTTTCGATCTGAATCGAGGAGAAACAGTCTGTCTTCTTGGATCAAATGGCGCTGGAAAAACAACTCTTTTGAGCATCCTTTGCAAATTGAATAGCGCGTCAAGCGGTGTGATTTTACGATCTGGAAGAATCGGGTACTGCAGACAGCGAGATTGTCTGCTAGACAGCTTGACCGTTGAAGAAACGATTGAAATCCTCCTCGGAACACGAGGCGTCGCAAATTGCAAGAACATCACGAAAGAAATAATTTCTCTCGTCGATATCGAAAAATATTCAAAAAGACTGACCAAACAGCTTTCCGGAGGAGCAAAGAGAAAGTTATGCGTCGCCATTTCAATTCTCAACAATCCTGACTTCATCGTCCTTGACGAGCCTTCCGTAAGAATCTCGCTTCTTTTTTTAATAAAATATTTTCATTCTAGTGCGGACTGGACCCGTCAGCGAGAATCAAAATGAAAAGCTTGCTTCAAGTCTTTGAAAATTTGAACAAAGGCGTTTTGGTGAGTACTCACGTGGTCGAAGAGAGCAAACTCTTGGGCACGACGTCGATATTTTTGGAACGAGGCCAAGTGAAAGAAATTGTAAAACACTGACCTTCTATCGTCAAACTAAAACTGTACAGAAAATGCAAATAAATGATAATTTTGCTTAGATTTTTGCCACTCTTTTTTGTCTTCTTTCTGACCAAGGACAGGCTCATTGATAAGCGTACTGATAACAATATGCTTTTTTGCATATCCCGCTGTGTGGTCAAATAGTTGAAAAAAAATAAGCATGAAAAGCCAACAGACAAGCGAAAGCCTAAGAAAAGCGTCGACAGAAAGTCTAAAAGATTTTCCAATCGTAAGTCCGAACAGATTTTAAATCGTGACATTTATCCGCGGAGGGGAAATTAATAAATGCATTGTTTTTTGACGGTCATTGAGTAAAATGCGCAGATTCCAGTCAGCAAGACAAAATATCCGCAAAAACGAGCGAGATGATGTTTTTATGAATGTTTTTTACAACGCTGTCAAGGCGTATGAGAAATTCAACAATCAGCGGGTCGAGCAGATCATCGCGAGTACTCAAAACTCACGGCGGTGTTCCTCGAGATCAAATTACGGAATCCACAAAAAAATTGCTAAAAATCCCCGTCGAGGGACGATTTTCAAAAAGAGCATGCGTTTTTTAGAAAAACGAGGGTCGGACTCCCTCTCTTTGGCTTTCAAACAAAGCATGAAATCAAGGAGGACTACTTTGAATAAGGACCAGATTTACCGCCAATCTGTCGAGAAATTCATGGATATTTACATGTCAGAGCAAAAGCCAAAATTCAACACGATTCGTGATGCGCAAGTCATGACAGCCATGCTCATAAACATCGCTGTTCTCAATGCTAATGTCTCTTCATTCTTAAATCTCCGTCTTTAGACTTAATTTTCAGGCTCAAGCCCCGATGATTTTCGGCCGCGAAGAAGACAAGTTCTCTAAAGAAACGTTTGGATACATTTCAGCAGGTAATGTAGTCAAGTAGCCAAAATCACTTTGCAAAGAGTAGATTTCGCCTTGAATAATTAATAAAAGTGCCTTTACCAAAGGGATTTGAGGGATTTCTCCTGAATATTAGGTAGTGCTAGAATCTGGGCATGAAGAACCCATATTTATCTCAAAGAGAGTTTAATAGAAAAAGAATCCGGAGAGCGAGATTGAGAAAAGATTCAACCGGAGAGGATATTATTCCGGTGCTTTTGTTCAAAACGAAGGGAGGGAAATCAAACCAAAAGACTGTTTTTCGAATGGTACTACTAAATCGGCAAAAGTAGCAGAAAACCTCTTGTCGATATTTTTACCTGCTATATTTTGCGCTTTCAACTGAATATTTTCAGCTATTGTTGTGGCTTTACTGCTGTTTTTCGTCCTTATTCTCAAACGAATCGCCACGCTTGACGACACTTTCTGCGGATGTTTCTTTTGCAAGCTCGGGAATCATTCCTTTTGCCCTGGAGAGAACGAAGAGTTCTTGAATATGAGCACTTGCTCCATTGTGTTTTATGGCCTTTTCTGAAGTAAACTACGACTGTACTACAGGGCTACATTTTATTCTTTGCAGATCATCGGAAAGGGTTGTTTAGTTGTTATTCAGGGCGCAGTAAGTGAAGTCTTCGCCGCTGTAATCTTCTGGAGCAGAAGCAGATTTCGCACCGTAGAGACACTCGAGTTTGTTGACTCCAGTCCAGTCAACCTATTTCTTGCAATGATAAGGATTTATCTTGACTTTCGAACCTGGTCAAGACCGTTGATCTGGAGCATGTATCGATCAGATCTCTTGGTTCCAAGGTGAGGGCGATCTCCACCACCATTTTGGATCTGGTTTCGATGATGAACTGGAGCTGGTGGAAGTCCTTTAGCATTGAACTGGATCACAGATTTGGACCAGTTGCCGTTCTCCTTGTATCGAGCAAAATGGCTAGGAAATTATTTACGATCAGAAATCAAGGAAGAGGATTTTACTCGGTGGTGTAGTATTCAGTCTTGTCCAAGAAAGAAAAGCTGACTCGGTGGTCTACCATCGCTTTTCCCGGTTTGAGGAAAGGTCATAAGTAAGAATTTGGCTAAAGGGCCTATATCATATAGGCTATATGAGAATAGTAAGGCGAAGATTGAATTAAACCGGGCCTTGGAGAAAGTCATTGCCGCATTTTCCAACAAAGAATTGGAGAAAACCAATGTATGCATCGGTTCGGACATCATGAGAAGCTTCGCTACTGTATTTGACATCGTACTGTCAGGTTGGAATTTAACCAGCTGATTCTCTTTTGGCTCATACCTGGACGAGAGCAGAAGTTTCAGAGATAAACTTCAACTTGTTGTTCTTATTGTGGGATCCGTAGACGATGTGGATATTCTGGCACTTATCTGGGTTTTGCGTAGTAGGGGCTTCGGAAGTAAAAGGATGGATACTGAGGGCAGAGCCGAGGAGGAAATTAAAAAGCTTCATTTTAGTGGAGATCTCTGTTTGCTTATTGTCCGACTGCTGCTGATTTTAAAGAGTGCGGAACATAGTGATATCAGCGGGGGTTTTATCTCCGAGATTCTTTCGATCTCAGACTTTTTTCTTCTTGAATATGCAGTTGCATTTGCGAAATTGGAGAATAAGTTTATGCAAAAGGATGACAACGAAGGATTTACGTGAGGTGTAAGCTTTATTCGTTTAATATTTTGGTAGTTAGATGGAGCTATAAAGGCAGTTAGGTTGAATGGAACTAAGTGATGAGGTGTTGTCGTGTGCTAAAAAATACTTTCAATAAATATTTCCCAGTGATTTTGATTTGATTACCTGACGCTTGTTTCAAGATGAAGCAAATTTCTTTGGAGTGCCAGGGCTCTTCCTTGATTTCATGTTAGAAAAATGGGTCTTTAGTCTTTGTCTTACTTGAAGATCTTTCTGTTGTTCTTCTTCTCGTACCAAGTTTTGGACCGGTCAAACCCGTTTCGCTGCACCTTCTTATCTTCTTTCTTAGCAGCTGGAGAATCAGGCTTTGGAACTAGAGGAGAAACACTGGAATGAGTCGGTGATGGGGAGATTTGCTGCTCGTGCAACTGGAACAGCACTTGGTTCTGGAGGCGGACTTGGTCCATGACTTGTTGCATTTCAAAGTGTTCCCGGCGCTAGAATGTGAATTTGAAGGGTGGAAGAAGTGATTGGGGACTTACGAGTTTATCGGCGAAGGGGTTCTTCTCCGGCGGTGTGGCGATTCTGACAGTCATAATGAATTTTTTCGGCTTTGAAGGATTGAGTGGTTTCTGATTGAAAAGTCTAACCGCGCAGCATGCATCCTCGCGGGTCAAAAATGTAATGGTTGCTCGGCCGGTTCCTCGCTTGGTCATTCGGTCCAAGAACAGGAAGATTCGTTGGGTCCCTAAATGAAAGTTGAAGCTACCGTAGTTGACTTCAAATTTATATTTTGGCTTCTAACCTTTGGTAACACGGATTGTTCCAGCAGCTTTGAACTTCTCGGCAAGTTGGTCTTTAGTAATATCTTCAGGAAGCCCATCAATGTGCACACAATCGGAGCAGTCTTTCGGCAAAAAGAGTTGTCCAATTCTCTTTCCATTTGTTTCATTCGTTCGATCATTTCTTCTCGTGCGAAGTCGGGGTAATGAGGGCCGAAGAACGCTGCTTCGGGAGCGGCTTGGATAATTTGGCCACTGCCATCAGGGTAGAAAATGCTTGGGCTGAAGTACTCCCCGCTGTAGCTAAAGAGTTTCAAATTGAAATCAAAGAAGAGTTGCTTTGAACTTACCCGTAAAGGACGCGATCATCAGAGGGAAAGGCGAGGATAGGAGGAGCTTGCTGGAAAACAGGAGCAGCCATGGCAGAAGGGGATCCATCCGGAGTCCAGATTCCATGGGCCGGGGCAGATTCGGGGGTTGGAAAGCCAAATTGGGCCGCTTCTTGGGCGAAATGAGCCGGGTCGAAAATCGGGACCATTAGGGGCTCCATAGGCGCAACGGGTAGGAAGGCTGCGTTGCCGAACATCTGAAATAGGGAAAGATTGATTAGGTAAAATTATAAATTCAACAAGAAAAACAGAAAGAAGCGGCTTTTGCTTCCACTGTTCAGAAATCTCTTTCTTTATCTACTGAAATGAGGTCAATAATCAATTTTTAGTCGGGAAATTCTAGAGAGAATAGAAGGGAAATAGATGAGTCATAATTTTAAATACGGACAGATTCGTAAATCTGATGATAAAATTTGGATTTCGAGGCGATAAAAGATGAAAGATGGAGATTCTTTGCGTAGTCAACTTTGGCGCCCACGCGTGGCAATTGATTGGCTCAGCCGCCCCTTTTTTCTCGTTTGGCGTCTCTCTTCTGGTTTCTCAAGTGCATCCGCGAAATAATAAAATATCAATCTCTCATTTTTCTCACGAATTCAGAGAAAAACTCAAATCAGCCAATCAAAATAGAAATCAAACGAATCTTGAAACGAGAATCACGGCTAAAAGAAAAACAAGTCGTTTTCTGAAGAATCTCGAAGGTTTCTTTTTCGACTCGAAAACAAGAAAACGGAGAAAATTGCGAGCCAAGCTGAAATTGACGAAAAGGAAAGTTTACGCAATTATTTGACGAATTTTGACTTTTATCATTTCATTTATTAAAACATATTTTTTATAACAAATTTATGAATAGATTTTTGTCAAAAAATTAATAACCGTTTATTTGTAAACGCATTTCGAATCTTGACATCCTCGGTATTATGACGGTATATTATTATGTTTATGAAAAATAATTAAAAAATCGTAAAAATGTTATGAGTTGCCTTTTTTATTTAATGATTGATTATCGTTAAAATAGGACACAAAGATACTAATTAATTTTAAAGATAAATATTACGGATTCCATATAATTTCTAAATATATTTTTCTGTGAAACAGAGCCCCCCATAAAACCCCATTTGCCAACAAATCGCGTAACCCATCAAAGGTCGGCTCGTCCGAACCTACCCAACTCGTCCAGCCGACAATGACGCAGTCGATCATGAACATGAGCACATACGCCAGCGATCTCCCCCTCCAAGTCTCCGAGACGATCATTTCCGTTCTGGCACGGGATGGCAAATTTCAAATGAAAGAATCGCCCAAAATCGGCAAAAGAACAAAAAGAGAGCGGCGTTGTTTTTCTGAACCGAGACGGTCGCTAGCCAAATATTGAAAATAATGATTTTTGAGCTTTGAAACAACTGGAAGGTCGCGTGACTTCTAGTCGTCTTCAAATATGTCACACCGTATTTTTCAAATATCGGAAAAATGACAAGCATATTTTCCAGTTTTCCAGAATTCTTGTTGAGAATTAATTGCAAAAGTAATTTTGCGAAGCCGCTCTGCGGCTTCGTTATTAATAGGGTAAATCACTAATAATTGAGCTTTTTTTTGGGCTAAGTAGGGTAGGCATATAATACCGTTTTAGAAAGCCCAGAAGCTGGGGATCATTTTGACTATTGATACTGGGGGGTGATCTTGTACCCTGAGGGCATTTAGGTACCTCCAAAGTCCCAAAATCTGGCCAATTTCAGAAATTTGAATTTTTGAGTGCCTGGACTGGCCTTTCAGATCCAGCCACTATGCTAGAATTGTAGCCCAGGCTCTGACGGTCATTTTGAGATATAGAAAAGTACTGACACCCGGGGGTTCCTGAGGAGCTAAAGGCTCTTGAAGTTGGGGAACTCGACAAAAAATGAGTACGTTTTCATAAAAAGTACAGCATTTGTGTCACAAATGCCTTCCAAAGACTTTTTATCTATGTTTATTCATTGAAAAATGTTAAAGAAATAATTTGGGGTCATCTGAGGTCACTTTAGGTCAGAAATTTTGAAAAATTTAGAAAACTGTCATGAGTGACCTAATCTGACCTCCGATGACCCCAAATGATTTCTTTAACATTTTTCAATGAAGAAACATAGATAAAAAGTCTTTGGAAGGCATTTGTGACACAAATGCTGTACTTTTTATGAAAACGTACTCATTTTTTGTCGAGTTCCCCAACTTCAAGAGCCTTTAGCTCCTCAGGAACCCCCGGGTGTCAGTACTTTTCTATATCTCAAAATGACCGTCAGAGCCTGGGCTACAATTCTAGCATAGTGGCTGGATCTGAAAGGCCAGTCCAGGCACTCAAAAATTCAAATTTCTGAAATTGGCCAGATTTTGGGACTTTGGAGGTACCTAAATGCCCTCAGGGTACAAGATCACCCCCCAGTATCAATAGTCAAAATGATCCCCAGCTTCTGGGCTTTCTAAAACGGTATTATATGCCTACCCTACTTAGCCCAAAAAAAAGCTCAATTATTAGTGATTTACCCTAGTTATTAAAAAAGCCGCTACGCGGCTTTCATTTTGGAACTTTCATATCCTCACTCAGGTTATCTACCCATGATCGCGAGCCCAGCGATGAAACCAAAGCCGCAAATTAATAACTAAATAGCTCCAATTCTGAATAGCCCCACATTCATTTCCAATTTCCATCCCTTTTCCAAAGCCTCGCCTTTCGTCGCGCATCCTTTTCTACCCGTCGCTGATCTACACGATTCTGATGGAGAAGCTCTCCTCGCGTGAGTGGTACAATCGAATCGATGAGAACCTAATAATCGGCGCCATTCCGTTCAAATCAATGGCACAGCCACTTCAGGAAGTCGAGGTAAATCGTCGATTTGATTTTCCGGAAATTCACATGATCGGAGCGGAACCGCTCTTTTTTCGCTTAAAATCGATGAAAAAATCGAATCCTTTACTATTAGCATTGCTAAATTTAGGATGTCCGCGGCGTCGTGTCGGTAAACGAGGATTTCGAGCGCTGGTACACGACTCCCTCGGACGAAGAATGGACCGAACTCGGCGTCGAGCTTCTCCACTTCAATGTTGGCGATTATGTCCACACGCCATCAGTTGATGAGTTGAAACAAGCCGTCGCGCTCATCACGAAAATCGCAGAATTGGGCCACACGACTTATGTTCATTGCAAAGCTGGACGAACACGAAGTGCTACTGTCTGCGCTGCTTATTTAATTACTGTAAGTTCCACGACTCATCGAAGCAAAATTCAAGAGCTACACCTTTTCCGAAGAGTTGAACCTAACAGAAATGTTTAGAAAGAAAAGATCTCTATAGAAGAAGCCGTGAAGAAGATCGCCGACGTTCGCCACCACATCGTCCTCCGCGAAGTCCATCTCTCCGTCCTCCGCGACTACCAAGCTACCTTGGAGGGCAACGCCACGACCGACGAGAGCTCCATGTGAAGAGGTCCTCCTTGAATCGGTTCTTTCGCTCACCGACAGTTCCAACCAGTTTAACCATCTATTTTTCGAACATTCGCGTTTTCAAGACATTCGAAGATTTTTAAAATTCGAAAAAGTGAGCTTCAATCATTTTCTTTTCCAAAGCGTTCAAAGCTGTTGACAGATTTGGAAGATGTTACTGTATCATCAGACTACCTACTAAAACGATAAGATTTAACTTGAATACAGCATTCCTGTGCTCGACAATCTAAGTAAAAAGCCTGAGTCAGGTTCTGAAATTGTAAACCTATTCATTTTAGCTCTTTCAGAACCTGACTCAGGCTTTTTACTCAGGTTGCCAAGCCCAGCAGCATCCTAACCATCTGCCAACAGCCCATCATTTCATCCTCTTTTCTAGCAGCCTTAGAAATCGCTTCCTTTTTTGTTTTGTTTGCTCAGTTTTGGCTAAAGAACTTTGTCTTATTATTTTCTTCGAGTTTGAGCTCACGCCATAGAAACCTCACGTCGAGGAGAATCTGTAAGTTCTTCATCAGGTGATTTATTCTCTTGTGGGCTTATTTTACTCGAAATGATCTTCGAAAGAATATTTCAAAATTAGATATGCTTGTTATGTGTTGAATTTTATGCTGTTTCTAAGGCGCTACGGAAAGAGGAATGATTGAAATGATAAAAAAAAAACTCCTGGTAATTCAATTTTAAATTGAGATTTACAATTTGAGAACTGTAACGCAAGTTTTCTTGCTAGCCCCGTTTTTGGCTGTTCAACTGCTTCACTACGTTTTTTTTTTCTTTTTATTTCGCGTATCCTCGTTGTACAGTACATTCATTATAACTGTCGATTTTCTAAACCACACAAACACAACATACGACGACGGTAAAAGGAGCCGCGGCTGGCAAAAAATGCATTCTACTATTTCTCGCAATTTTCTTGTCTTTCACAAGTCACTTTTCCGTCACCATTCATTTGTCGATTCTTTCAATAAACATTCATCAAAAATTTTAACCAAAAATTGTCAAAAAAAATTATGCAAAATTGCAGGAATAATATAGAAGCAAGTAGAAATTGAAATTCTGCCTTATTTTATTTCCGCAAAGAAAGAAGTCAGGACAGGAAAATTAAGCTCGCTTGTGCCATCGCTTGAAGGTGTTGCCTTTGGCAGAGAAGGTCTCAACGAGCTCTTCGCCGACGATTTCGAATCGGATGGACATGGCGCCATCGGTGGTCTTGCAGACGACGGCATCTCCGTCAGCCTCAACGGTGACCTTGTGGGTTCCTCCGAGGGGACCGTTGATTTCGCTCTCGGCTCCGACGGTGACCTTGGTGGTAGCAGACTTGCTCTCGCTAAAAAGAATGTTTTAGGAGGAAATTAATAGAAACCATAAGTCTAAATTTTAACTTGCTTTTAGATAGTTATATCGAAGTATAAAATCGAGAATCATTTAAAAGTATTGACTGTCATTGGCCGTGAAGTATCAGCTACTTGAAAGTAACAAAAGTAACTACATCAAATAGAGAATAATAAGATTTTGACCTCAGCTGACTCCACGTGACTATTGCTGACCCCAAATCACAAGTTCAAATGATCAGTAGATCATAGGTTTCCATCGATGTATTCATCCCTATAAGAGTATGATAAAAAATCGATTTTCCCTCTGTGCAGCCCCTGTCTATGTCTTACCCAGCAAGAGTGTAGGTTCGGGTGAGTTCGATTTCCTTGCCGTCGGATTTGACGACAGATGTGAGTTCAGCTGCAGCAGCCCGCTTCAACTTGTCTTCTGGGGCGTTGAGAGCCTTAAATTTTCCTGCTATCTCTAGAAAATCACTTCAATTCCTACCTTGAAGAAAGCCTCAGCTCCTTCGACCTTAGTTCGTTGCCAAGTGCCAGCGAATTTTCCCATGTTTTTTTTTTTGAAAAAGTCAATTCTTGTCTTTCGTCAAAAATTGAGATTCGATATCGAGGCGGTTTGATTTTATACTCCTTTGAATATATTCAGGTGGCGCCAGGATTTCTGTTTGACATTTTCACGGCTTTGCTCTCTGCAAGCACTGTATTCAAGATTAAATACCATTTTAATGGGTCGTTGACTTTGTTAAAATCTATGCGGAAAATCCCGGGTAGTTTTCCTATATGCAACCTCGATCCTTCACCGTATTTTTTTTAACGAAAAATCGCAATTTTCAAGGTGAGTTTTCTAACTCAGCTTAGGTTTTTAGACCTATGAATCGGCAATATAAAAGCGATCCAAACATCAGTTCTTTCTATGTTTTCACTACCGATGATAGACTGCCATAATAGCATACCTGTGTTATCAGACTAACAGTGTTGTTACAGTCAGATGACTTTTTTAGAGTGAAAAAATTTCTGAAGCATCGCAAATTTTGCGCAAGAAACTGAAACAAAGCCAAAAGCTAGGCAAAATGTCAGACCATTGAGCCGCACCTGGGAAGCATCTACAAACATTTACGGTAAGATTAACGATGCCGTCTTTCAAATTCTTCGATCTGGCCATCGACCCGATCCATCTTCATGCCCAGCACTAGACTAGGGGACTTTTATTTTTCTTTAAATTATTCACCAGCTGCCGAAAAACTGATACATTTAGACTTATCTCCCCGGCTAGCCAGGGCTGCTCACGTATCACCCCTTTTCTGCCTTGATCCTGCTGAGGCATCGCATTTCTCACGAAAAAAAATTAAAGCCGATACTTTTAATATGTCAGAAATGAAAATCAATCTAAAATCAAATCGCTTAGAAATCGAAAAAAAATGCGTCTTCTCGCGAAAACGTGATTACCGGCTGGCCAGCTAAGCTTGATACTTTGTAAGGTGAACCAGGGATCATGCTCTTCTGAGCGCGTGCATTAGTAAGATAAGAAGTACTTTATTCAAAATGATCCTGTTTACCGTTTAAAACCAGCTACCCCGCCGAGAAAAAATCAGTATCGACACAAGGTCTTTCGTACTCAGGTAAGAAAATCGAGAAAAAAAAATCGGAAAAAGAGAATTTCATAAGAGAAATGGAATCTTTAAAAACAATCAAGAATAGACTTGCTCATTTTGATAAAAAATCGAACATTTTGGTCCTTCAGCCAATCAGATTTCTTGATTTCGTTCTTCTGCCAATCAAACAGTGAATAGTTTTGAGCATTATTCCGAATATTTTGAGAATAATTTTTCGTTCATAATTTACTATTTCGATTTCAGAATGAAGATCTCCGCTTTAGTCGCCTTTGCTGGCGTCAGTGCCCAAGCTCCTTCCGGCCGAATCTACTTCGAAGAAGATCTTCCATGCGACAACTTCGCCGATCTTTTCCCCCCATCGGACTTCCCAGACATGAAGACCAAGTGCAAGACCAAGCGCAACATCAAAAAGAATAAGATCAAGACCCGATGCAACCTCCTCTGCCTTAACGGCCAAGAAAACGTCTGGTCGACCAAGCCAATCAAGGTAAATTAACATTTATCTTTCTTCGCTTTTGCTTACCGAAAAATTCTAGTGCAAGGTCCAACGAAATGCTGGCGATCCTGACTTCCCCGTCGGTTCGTACAAATGGAATCCAAAATCCATCGACGGAACCGATCTTTGCGGAATCAAGGAGCGATGCCAAGACCCCAAGCGAATGTACAATCTCACCAACAAACTCCTCAACATGGAGAAATTTGTCGATGGACGACGAACCTTCTACAACTTCAGGTATTTTCTCGAACTCATCCTGAGCAACTGAATAATTTCCTTCTTCCAGCTGTGACGATATGGTCAGCGAAAACAAGGTCTTCGAGATGATGCCCTTCCCAACCGACCACGTCACCTGCACTTGCAATTTCAACAAACCCAACAACGTCCGATGCAAATGGTCCAAGGTAAGAAGAGGGCGGATATCATAATCAATCTTCGCGAGGAAGAATAATTGATTAAAATCAACTTGTAGGTCAAAAACTCCATCATTCGATGCGTCCGACGCGACCGAGAAGACAAATTCTTCGAAGGCGACAGTGGCTTCGCCTACGACGATATGTACGAGAGCTACTAAGCGAACAAAAAAGCGCCATCCACATTATAATCCTCTTATTTTGTAACTTATTCATTCTCGTCATTTTCTCGCCATGGATCGACTCAACTACCACTTCACGCGCCAGAATCAACCCTGTACGTATGACCGACTTGACTTCTATACATTTTTTTCGAATACGAGCACCTTATCTTTAAGCTCTTTCGAAAACCCTTTTCCTTATCTTTTTCTGCATATAACGTGTTGAATGTTCTTTTTGGAACGGTCATAATTGGAACATGTAAGTATGACCGGTAACGAACCCGGGCCTGTAATCAATCCTTACTGATTGATAATTGTAAACCCGGTCACTGTGACAAATTGACACTGAGCCTGCCCGAGGGTCGCTCCTGAACCTCAGTTGGTTCAACAAACCCGAGCCCTAGTCCGCAACCGTCAACAAAGTTGAAGCCGCTCGGAACTTCGAGCGAGCGGAGCAATAAACGAGCGACCCATCGTGTCCCACCGCTCACGGCATTCGAGCGGTCCTCCTCCGTCTTTCGACAGTTCGACGGGCGGAAAAAAGACCGCTCGAATGATGTGCTCAAAATTTAAATGAGCGGAGCGAGGGCCGCTCGCGAGCTTCGCCCGCTCGTTTTTCCTCAATGATTCCGTTTCAACTCGACGGGGCGGACAAATGCGGTGATGACGGGGAGATAATTGTAAAAAAGACCTGATGACGGAATGGCAAGAGCGAGATGAGCGGAATTCGAGCGTTATGTGCTCTTGAGAGAGCTGTTCCCACCATAATGCTTGCTCGTTCAAGCCGAGTTTATGGCTCAATCGCTCTTGCCAAGGCTATGAAGTGTGACATGCATTTTGATCTGTTAATAAAAAGACTTGCACAAATACATACGTGTCTTTTGATTATTCTTTAGAGTGACAAGATGGACTCAGTAACGATTTTTTTGAATTGTCTGTTCTTTGCGCGTTCTTTGAGCATTCTTAGCATGCGTAATTTTCCGGCAGCGTGAAGCATTTCATGATCTGTTGATGTTTTTCAAATATTTTTCAGAACAACAAGAATTTTATTTCTGAAAACATTATATATTTTGAGCTTCATCGACTGCTGTTGGCAAGAAACATTGAAAATGGCTGTTTTATACCGTGGAATTCACTTGGAAATTAATTATTGACGGGGAATCTTCAGCAGTGAGAGCAGTTATAAGCAAAAATAGACATTTTTTCGAAAACATCAATGCGCTCAGTTTGTTTCTTGATCGACTTTTTTATTGTTATTTTATTCAATGGAATGATTGAGCATAAAACCTGCCAACATTTTGCTCAGAAATCTATTTGCTTGGCGTTGCTTGATGATTTCTTGCATTCGATCTCGTCCAATATTGAGCAATCGGTCTTGAATTTTTCCTAGAGCGCCTTATCTACATGTGCTTATTAAGATTTATTGGCACCTGTATCTTTCCAAAGACGAAGTTCGTTCTTGAGCGCTATTCGCTCCTCGAGATAGAGTCTCAAATTCGTCTGAGAAGCCGACTCGCTACTACTGATCATTGAAAAAAGCGAAAATAAAATTTTGAAGTTCATTGAATAGAAAATAGAAACCGCTTATTTTTATACTTTGGGAATTAAAAATTAACTTCTGGACAAAACTGCCAATGTTACATGACTTTGAAGACAGCTTTTCTATTGTTTTGCTATTTTGGTTGCACATTTATTAATGAGGTAGGATAACAGATACATGTAATAGACAGCACAGAAGTTAAAGAAAAATCGTCAGGTTTCAAGAGTGATCGCCAGCTTCAGTCAGTTCTTCTATCATTTTTGGAGGCTCGACGAATAAGATTTCACTTTCTGTTTTTTCGTTCAAAATGTCGATTAGCCGGTGACAGGTTGATGCGATGACGTTTCTCAGGTCCTTTGACAAGTGTTCTTTCGATCCCCAGCTGTCTCGGTAGGCGAAAAGATCTTGGCAGAGTGAGATTATCTCCGACTAAAGAAATCAAATAAAAATATAATCAAAGAATTTGAAACGAACCTTGAAGCTCCGCAATAGCTCGCCGAACTTTCGCTGTGGTCCCATTTGCCCCCAGCAGATTGCAGGAGTGACCGTTTTTGCCAAATCGAGGAGTTTACCCATGAACGGATTGTTGTTTACGGGATCCGATCTGCAGCGACTGATGTAGCTCCAAAGGGCTGTCGTCATCGCCGTCTTCTTGAAATCATCGCTCATCCAGCGATTTGAAAGGACTGAACTCGAATTAAAAATAGGATCAAGAAAGCCAAGCGCCTACCGGACATCATGGCTGCTGGAGGGCTGGAAAGAAGATCTAGTCCATCGAGGAGACAAAGATCAATGACGACGTCGAATATGGAGATTTCGCAGATGCCTTTGTGCGAAAGACTTTTGCACATTTCTTCGTAGTTGTCCTCGCACCAGTCGCACAAGGATTCAAAGTTTTCTAAAAAAAGACATGTTATTTCGATGAGTTATTCGTCATTTTCGTACCTTGGCATGGTTCGGGATCAGAACCATCAGCTTGCAGCAAGCCAGTAAAAATAACACATGTTACATCTTTCAACCAAACGCGAGAGGCCTTGTCACTGAGCCAAAGCTTCTCCGCTTCTCTGATGCAATGCAGCTTTGCGAGGAATTCTCGTTCCGTTTTGACGCCGCAAAGTTCGTAGCGAATTTTTCTGGTGTAAATTCTGTCGTCATCAGCGAGCTCGTACGCCGCGCCAAGGAATGGAAAGGTTGTCAGTTCGAAGTCTTCGTCGGCGGTCATGAAAGAATCGACGCTAGAACCGCTTGGCGACCTAGAAAGGATCGAGTGTGAATAAAGAACCAGGGGAGTGACCCTACCATCTGCCAGAACGGACAGTTCTTTGAGACGCGACGGACTCATTCCCCGACGATTCGGATTCTGTTCTCACATGTTGAATAATTTCCTTGATCGAGTCGCTAGAACTAGCCAAACACGGGTCGGATTCAATAATCTGCTCGATACGCTGTTGCGCTTTTAGAATAGTCGCGACTTCTTCAAGAATCTCCGTCGTCGAAGCCGTCGAGTTTGACATAGAATTGCTGATACTTCCCATTCTGCGGCGGGAATTGACGCGCTTTCGTCCTGAAGGAGCTCTGTTGCTGCCTGAGGAGCGGAGTGAGCCGGGAGTTGAGCATTCTGATTCTGATGGATAAAGGGTTGAGCTTCGTTTTCGATGATGAAAGCTGATGGAAACACGCATTTTTAATAAAAGCAAGAAAAGAGTGAGAAGCAAACTTTCAAATCCTGTAACTGTTAGTAGATTGGTGCCGCGAGCGCTTACCACTTCTGCTTCCATCGTAGCCCGACAAGTCCAATCCCATTTTGAGCTCCCTCAATCCCCGAGAAAGACACTCGTGAATCACGACGTTCAAATCTTCCGAGCTCATCGAATTCGTCAAACTCGAACAGCTCTCAGAGCTCGACATCATCGCCTGCGACGTTCCACTACCAAGTTCTAGGTACAGTCGTTCTCCGGCGCTTCTGTTGATTTGAGAAACATGGACGTCTTTTCTAAGGGGAGATGCATCGAGATTGTCATTTGAAATTGAAGACAGGGAAATCGGCTTTTTCTTTTGGCGTTTTCGGAAGTAGACCCAAATAGCTACAGAAAAATCAATTATTATTAGTAAGAAACAGAATTTATCTTATCTAAGAAGGTTTTCTGCCAATAAGAAGCAAGTATATTCATCCTAAGGATTCCTAAGACTATCAAAAACGTACCTAGTACAGTAGTAGAGCCAGCAACAGTGTACAACGAGTATCTGACAAAGTTTTTATGATTATACACATCTTTCAAGCATCCAACGGATCTTCTGATTATCCCAGGTTTTTGGTTAATCACGTCTTCCATCGATTTTTCTCTTCTTTCACAAAAGTTCGCTCATTTTCATACTTTTTTTTCTGATTTCAGTTTTTCTCTAAATCGAGCGCTGATTGGCCCGAGCGGGGGAAAAAATGAGTCATCAATGGAGCTAAGAATGGGAAAAAGAGAAAAATAACGAAAAAAGACCATGACTGGAAAAATTGAACGGTGAATATGTTCTGTAGAAATGGATAAGTTTGAAATGGATTTTTAGAGAAAAATCTGGGAACAGAAGAGAAGCAGATAAAATAGAAAGAACAAGGCGAAAAGAAACGGAAGAAGAGCGAAAAATTAGAAAAGAAAAGGAGAGAAAATCAAGACCAAAGGTATGTGCTCACATTTTCCCAGATCCTAGGCTAGGCAACCTGTGTAGAAACCTAGCTAAGGCTGCTTAGCCCCTCCCGCAGCCCCGCTTTAGCCCAACTAATTTCTATTTTTAGGAGACAGAGGAAGAGCGAGAAAAACGAAAACGACGCGAAGCTCGAGAAAAGCGCGCGAAGGAAACTCCTGAAGAAAGAGCGAAGCGAAAACAGCGCGAAAAGGAAAAAGAGACTCCAGAAGAAAGGGCGAAGCGGAAACAAAAAGAGCGAAGAAAAGAAGAGAAAGATCTAGCGCTGAAAAAGTCAAATTCAAAGCGAGAAAGAAGCGAAAACAATTTGGAACGAAAAAAATCTTCGAAAGCTCGAGAAAGCTCGAAAAAATCAAGCGGTGGCGAAGCTGGGTACTTGAAATCGACCACTGCTAGAAAATTAAAAGACGAGGAAAAAATCATCAACGAGGATCCTTACAAAGACGAGGAATTTGCGACTTTTGAGCCAGATCGAGATTCTTCTGGAGATGAAATTTATGAAGAAGATTTTGACGAAATCTACGACGATGATTTTGAAGACGTCGAGTTTGAGACCAAAGCTGAACAAGAAGAGAGGCTGGAAAGAGAAGAAAGGAGAAAAGATGAAGGGAAGGAAAAGAAGGAGAACAAAAATCCGAGTCCTGAAGAGGACTGGGAAGCTATTCAGAACGCGATAAATAGAGAAAACTCACAGGTAACGATGTCATAAAAGGATTTTGAACAGATTTTTTAAAACGAGAAGCCGCTTGCGTATTCGAGCTCGACCAAAGAGAAAGCCGCGCTTCGATTCGAAAAAAGGAGAAAAGACTAAAACAGATTTTAGGTAGCTTTGAAGTCAGAAAAATCGACGGATCTCTTTGAAAACCTGCGCGAAATCAACGTCAATATCCAGAAAGAAAATGTTCCAGCGAAAAAGTCCGAATCGCTCTTTTCTATCAATTCGGAAAAGCGACGAAATCGAGGATCCGGAGCCGGCTGGAAACGAGCAAAAGAACTACAAAAATTAGTGACGCTGGATTTGAGCTCAGAAATTTACTTCAGGTAAATTCAAAATCAAGGAACTCAAGGGCTTATGACTCGAATTGAAGGTCGTTTCCTGAGTCGGACTACACTCGCTTTATGCGAAACATAGGCGCAAATCGATTGAAAAACATCGCCATCGGGACAGATGAAAACTTCATAAACCAAGAAACGCAAACAACCTCGATTCACCACTCCGACATTTGGACACAAAATCTTGAATCTGCTGTCACCATCGAAGGATCTGCTTCTCAGAAGACCTTCTCTTTGCCCGGTGGGAGAATAAATCCGGAAAAGTTCGAGCGATCGGCTCAGTTGGTCGAACATTTGCTCGAGGAAATTGATGAAGAAATCGCGCATGAAAGTTTTTCCCGGTCGCCGAATACGGGAATACGTTTTCCAGAGCCCGAAGCAATCGATATGGGTAAGTCAAAGCTGCGCTCAGTAAGTTCTGACAAGTCCTGTGTAGACACATCAGTCAGGGTGCTGACAAAGCACCTTCTCCATTCAATTTTTCAGACACCGATTGGATAAAAACCACGATCTTAACGAAAACAGAAGTAAAACTCTTTAACCTCCGCGATCCCTCCACCCCAATTTGGTCTATGCCGATTTCTGGTCGAAAAGTTCGCATATGGCGAAGTCTTGTTTTTGTCGGCACTACTTTTGGTTCAATCCTTGTCGTTTTTCCTGACAAGAGTGTTTTTACCACTGATTTGGTCGCGAAGGGACACCGGGCAAGCATTTCGGACATGGTTATGGAAGGAGATGAGTTGTTTACTGCAGATGTGCATGGAGGAATTCGACTTTGGCGGCTGAATGAAGAAGGGAAGGAGCTACAATTACAGGTACTCAATATCGATATATACAGATCTGACTTTATTTTCAGAAGTCCATCGACATCGACAGCGATATTTCCGCAATCGCCATCGATAGCTCCCGCATATTCATCGCTACTTTCTCCAAAATCGTCATTATTTCTCGTACCAATCTCTCCAAACGACTCGGTATCATTCCAGTAACTATTCCAGCTGAGAAACTACTTACTGACACGAAAGCCAGCGTTCTTATCGCTCAAAACTTCGGCGAGATCAATATCTACGACTTGAAGAGCTTACGAGAGGTTCATACTGTAGGCCAATCGCCTAGGTTCGTAGCCATTGACAATCAAGTTGATTTATTTCATATCTTAGAGGCTGTTGCGCCGATAACGGAACGCTTATTTACTCGACAGAATCAGACCTGTTCCAGCTCGACTTGTCCCGGCCGCTGAATTCATCAGCACTGGGAATCAAAGGGTACCCGAAAATCGGGCGTTACGCACCGCTCGTAACCACACTTTTCAGATGCTCAGATTTGCGCTTCTCGCAATCGTCCAAATCCGGACTCCTCTTACTCGCCGCCACTGCGCAAGGCGTTTCCGTGTACAATTTATCGCCCAGTTAGGAAAACATCTCTCTTCATTTATTTCTCATTTATCAAACGCTATTTTTTCTACGACTTCACAGTGAAAACTTATTTTTCTATTTTTGTACTCAAATTTTAAAGATATTTTTATGTACCAAATTTTACCTTATCTTTCTATTTCAGAAAAAAATGCACATTTCAAAATTTGATCCTCGGGTTGAAGAGCTACTGAGCTCTGAGCAAGTCGTTCTGCGAGCAGATTCTGGAGCAATTGTCAGCTCCACTGATGATCTTGAAGCTTGTGAGTGCTCTATTCTTCAAGTTTCCTTCAAGGAATGGGTCATGCAGATTTTTAGTACGTTATTCCGGTAAATCTAGTCATTTGGAATCGCATCAGAATTTTCGAAAGATTCTTTCATATTTCGTTAATAATTTCAAATTGAAATTTTCAATCATTTCGGGCCCCTGCAAATTTATAAATTGTCTTTCAAAAAATGATTTTTCTGAAACCCAAAAAAGCTCCTCGGCGGAAAAGGAGGATTTGGCTCACTTCTCCGAGCGATTGGCTCCCAAATCCACAACACAACCGACAGAAAATCCTGCAGAAACCTTGATGGATCAAGAATTCGATCAAAAGAGTACGAAAAAGATCTTGTTGAGGCCAAAAAGCGAAAGATCGAGAAAGACAAACAGGTAAGAGAAATTTCGAAGAGGGGCTTTTTCAAAGGTTGATTTAGCTGGCGATCGAGCGAGAAGAAAAACGAGCAAAGAAGATGGAGACGATCATCAAAACCGCTGCTGGCGAGCACGGAGGGAAGCACTACTTCGAAGACGAAGAATACGTCGAATCCAAGGAGAAATCAACAGCACAAACGGCCGAATCTGTGGCTCTAGCAGCCGCGAAATTGAGAAAACAAGCTGAAGAAAAACGCAGACGAGTGAGTGATTCAAAGATTATTTTTTCTTTATCCCTTTTTTCTAGGAAGAAGAAGAGCGACGAATAAGGGAGCAGAGCGCGGGAGACGATACTGACTCTGACTGCAGCTCGTTAGAGGACGAATTTATGCCGGTTAAAAGCGTCGTCAATACTGGCCCAACTCGACCCATCAAGGTTTGCTTCAATCATTTGACTGCTTTCTTACTGAACCTTATTAGGGTGGATCAATCACAGCTTCTGCGAAGACAACCAGCCACTCTGACGCAATGTACAGTCATCTGCTCGGCAAAAACATTGGCGAACGAAAACAATTTGAGCTCAACAAAATACAGGTACCTTTCCTTCATGATTTCTAGTAACGGATAACGATTTTTTATCAGGACATTGACTTGATGAAACTTGAATCGATCGATTCCCTGATGTCCGAATCACTCGATCGTCTTGGCGAACTCTTGATGCTCCGAGGCTTGAAATCAACTGGAACGATTCCAGAACGTGCCGACCGCCTTTGGAAAGTACGAGGACTTTCTGTTTCGGAATATCCAGCCGACCTTGTCGCCAAACGATAATTTTCTCACAAGAGGGGTTCTCCCATTCAAGTGTCGATTTTTCTCATGTAACCGTCTTTTTTCTAACCTGCCCGTATCAGAATAAATTTCAAGAATACCGAAGGAAATAGAGCTTGGCAAAGTATTTTATTAATTTTCCGTCAGAAGGATATTTTGATTGCACGTCATAACCTTTGGAAAGATTCGATTTCAGGCAGCCTGAGAGATTTTAAAACGTACAGTCATACGAGTGTTACAGTAGATATGACTGTGTGGGACATACGATGTTAAAATAAAACCGACATTTTACCGTCATTTATCCCCTTTTCCGTCATCGGCCGTTTCCACCGTCATCATCCGTCCCGGAAAGGATTTCCAGGATGATCAGATTGTCGAAACTCACAATTGGCGAAATACAGTCGCCACGTACAGGCACGAAAGCGGCTAAAGAAGAGGGTCGTCCGGTTAACCATCGAACTGTCAATGGCCGGTCAAGTCTGTTCCTCTTTGTTCGGCCGTTTTTAGCGCCTTCCGCGGTAATTCTTTTTCGCCTGGCGGAGTTTCCACAAACGATCAGAAATTTTGCGGACTCGGGCATTTGGGAAACGCCCTCGGGCAGGCTCGGTGAGGGGGTTTGCGTGAGAGGGCTAAAAAGAGGAACTTCTTAGTGTCCGACTCACTTGTCACAGCAGGATGAGCTGATCATGGGCTCTTACAGTAAAACAAATAAATCGATAATCTGCCGTTACGCTCGCTATGCAAAAGAAAGTAAGGAAAGAAGGGATGAAAGGGGTTGATATTGATAATACATACAGTACATGTTGGGGGATTAGGGATAGGAGATTTCCGATATGAAAAGAGCAGACGCAGTCAGAAGCTAGCCATTGATGATTTACTCGTACATATCGTCGTACATGAAGCTGCCGTCAAAGAACTTGTCTTCTTTGTCCTTTCGGACGCATCGGACGATCGAGTTTTTGACCTAAAGTGAGTTAAAAATGGAGTTGAGGTGCTTGTATTGATGTTTACCTTTGACCACTTGCATCGAACATTGGATGGTTTGTTGAAGTTGCAAGTACAAGAGACAGCATCAGTTGGGAAGGGAATCATCTCGAAGACCTTGTTGTCACTGACCATATCGTCACATCTAAGGGACAGAATGAGAAAGGAGAAGAATTAGTTGGTCACTTACGAGAAATTGTACCAGGTTCGTCGGCCATCGATGTTCTTTTCGTAGCTGAGGAGCTTGTTGGTCAAGTTGTAGACCTTCTTTGGATCTTGGCATCGCTCCTTGACATCACAAAGAGAGCCAGCATCCTTGATCGTATTTGGACGCCATCTGTACTCGCCGAGCTGATAGTCGGGGTCCTGGTTGTTTCGGACTCGCTTGCACTTGATGTTTCGCGTCGACCAGACGTTGTGTTGCCCGTTGAGGCAGATGAGGTTGCAGTAGGCCTTGGTTTTCTTCTTGTTGCTCTTGATCTTGCAGTTGGTTTTCATATCGGGGAACTGTTCTGGGGGAAAGACGTCGGCGAAGTTTTCACAGGGGAGTGTTTCGTCCATAAAGACGTTTAATGGACGTTCAGCCGAGACGGTGCTGCCAGCGAGCGCCATAAGAGCGGAGAGTTTCATCCTTCTAAAATTGAAAATAATAAAATTTGAAGCAGGAAAATAAAGAAATCTTACCTTATGGTTTTCTGTGGACTCTTAACTTAAAACTGAGTTTCATCTCTTTCTCGCCACAAATATATACGACTCGGCGGAATTTCGCTCCCGCTCAAGTTCCAAATCCTCTTCCCGCGAAAGAGAATTGTACCAAAGAAGCATCCAAAGTCTCAAAGATGTTATTAGCGAGATCAGCGCAAAGCGCCGCATTAGTATCACGTTCACGAAAAAACCGACAAATTGAGAATGTTTTCGGCGGTACCGGTTTAGTTTCAGGTGAATTTCTTTAAGCGAAATGGATTTGTTTTGGATTTTTGAGCGGTTGGAAAAGCACCGGTCGGATTTGCGGATCGGAGAAGTGGATCGATTCCAAAAACTTACGATTCAAAAATGTTCAAAAAAGTGATAATAAACGTATTTGTGGAAGCGCTTGATAATAATGTTATTCCGATATAGCCATGTCTCGGAGAGACATGCAGCTGGGGCAGCGATAACTGCCGGTTATATTAGCAAATGAAGGATCGCCAAACTCTTTTCACAAAAAGCGGATTTCCGAAAAGAGAATCGAACGAAAGAGAATAAAATGTCACTCCAAGGGAACGTTAAGAACATACTGCTGCTGGTTACAGTCATTTTGACAAGCGGAATCGCCTATTTCAGTCGCATCGAAGACTCGACGAGATTTTCCACCCCTCTTGCTTTGGTCAATTGGAGCTCAATCGTCGTTTCTTTGCTTACTCTTCTGTTCTTCATTTTGCAATTCATCCCAAAGCGTGAAATTGCTGCGAGAACAGAGTTCATTCTTCAACTTTTCGCAGTTTTCATCATTGCGATTCCTCTGATGCTTCTTTTTACGATCAAGGGGCTGATGCTTAGGCACAATCAAGCCGGAGAAATGGGCGAAAAATACATTGTTCTTGCAGTTTTTGGTGGAATTTCAATTGTTTTGCACATTTTGCTCCTTGGATTTTTCGGTTTTCAGTACAGGTACCGCTTCATAAATTGAAACTTTAATTTATTGATAGCTCGACCGATGTTTCGGATAAAAGTGACGAAGAGAAAAATGATACAACACAGCTCAAGAACATGAAAGAAGATCTTCCCCGGCTTTCAAGAGTCAATGCAGTAGGTTGATTTTCAATTTCATCGAATTTTACTTTTTTAGAAACTGCCATCAATCCCAGAAATGAAACTTATCGAGGATGAAGAAACTGAAGACTCGGAAAAGTCAATTTATGGCCGCTACTCGTAATTATTTCTCATTTCAAAGCACTTCTAAAAGCTTTTTTTCAGTGAGTTGGTTTACACCTCCATCGACGAAGCCCGTCTTCCATCGAAAAAAGCGTCAACAGAAATCAAGGAAGAAAACAAAGTCGCGACAACAGCGAAAATTGAACGAATTGCTTCAAAAGAAAGCGCGATTTATGATAATATTGCGCAGTTGTAAGGACGTATATTTTTCTGTATAAACATTCAGTGATTAATAAAAGAATAATTTATGTGAAATTTTATCGGTATCGAACGGCAGACATGTCTCTGAGAGACTCGTCCATGAAGGAGTGGAAGAAATGATCGTTTCGTGGCTGGAGCTCAGGAGATCTTGAACTTTTTATTGATGTTATCATTTCATTGTGTACCTGAACCAGTCAGAATAAGACCGTCGATCTACCACATCACTTCCGTCAAAAGGAACAACTAAAAACGCGTCTCTTGAATGCATAAGCATCGCAAAAATGGCGATAAAAATAAAGTTGATTTTTATCATTCTTCAAAAAAGGTGAAAATGATGCATGAAATAAGTTGACGCTCATTTTAAATGCAAAAGAAAGTGTCAATTTGCAGGATGAATTAATTTTTCTTTTTGAAGATGGATCATTTTATCCATTCGATTGCGGTTTCGATTTTTGGTAAAGAAAGAATAATTTATTTCCAACGAAAGCCGCAATGAAAAGGTTCTACTCATATTATTTTTAAATCGAAAAAATACAACTAAAAGATGAGCTTCTATCCTTGAATCCATCATTTTTGAAAATTGGATAATAATTTTCAAATTTGCCGGTAATGGTTGGTGATTTTCTTAAGCCCCCTAAACGCTGCCGAATCTCAATCAGCTCTAGCTTGACTAAGCCGATCTTTTTCATTTCCTTTTTCAATAAGCTAAAAATGAGCCAAACTCAACATGGCGGCTTTAAAAATGATCGCCAATTTATGTCCGACTTTATGTCCCATTCGAGTCGGATTTCGGGGCAAAGAGAAACATGTGTAACGTGACTTATGGAAAGATACCCGGAGAGGTTGATGGAGAGAGCTTTTGTGGAAAAGGAGTCGCTGGATTTTTGAGATTTATTAAAGAAAACTGCTCAGGTAATTATTAATTGTTTTTTGACGTTACTGACTTTTTCGACATTCATGCTAATCTTGGCAAACCTTTAATTTTATAAAGGAGAGATTAATTCAAATTTTTAGCTGAAATATTCAATTCTGTTTGCGAAGAAAAACTACTAGCAATAACCCCATATCATGGAATTCTCTACGAGCATTTATGCTCCAACTCTTCATGTGATTCCGATCAGCTGTTCTGCCAAAACATGAGAACAATCGACTCAGGAAGCTATACCGAGAGCCTGAATATCGTCCCATTCTGCGGACCTGTTTCACTTGGTTCTGATGCTCAGCGATTTTTGGAGACGAAGCCGAGATTATTCGACATAATTTCATTTTCTTGCAAAATGAAACTTTCAATAGCAGTTGTTCTTGGAATAATTTTGACGATTTTATGCATTACTCTCAATATTATCGTCATTCTAATCACGAAGAACAGCGAGAGCTTCAAAAACGCTTATGGCTCGTATAAAATATCGCTTGCAATTGCTGACTTGTTGGTTGGAATATTTGTTGCTCCTTTATTCACCCTCACGATTCTGTCTCGTGGACTTATGCCCGCTATTGACCTCAATTATCTGCAGGATAATTTCAATGTTTCAGTTCCATCTTATGGCTTTCCACCAGTAATATTTTCGCTGATTGGAGTATCGGGAGTTATAATGACCATGTCGATTCTGGCTTCAGTCTTTACCTTGGCTTTTAGCTCGATAGTTTTTGATGATCAAATAAAAACTATAAAAGAGCCTTAAATTTACACGAATTTGATCATCCTTTTAACAGACCGCTATTTCGCGATCCGTTTCCCGTTCAAATACCGCCGTATCATCGGAAAAAGCCTGAACAACCGCATCTATCTCACCATTGGATTCTCTTGGTTCCTCGCCCTCGTGATATCCGCCCTTCCATTTATCATCGAAAACAGCAAGTATCAGCTGACATCATCCCTCCTTGTCGTCGGCACTGGAAAAACCTTCTATCTGATCTATGGAAAAGCGATCTAAAAGCTAGAGATAATTTAAAATTTCTCTGGCTTTAAACTCGCTTTCAGAGCTTCGTTGCTTCTCCCGCTTCTGGCAATGTGGACGATCAATTTTATTACAGCGAGTCATTTTCATTCCTACAGGGCAAAAGTCAAACACACGCTTCGATCAACGGCGAATGCTAATACAGACATCAGGTGACACAAAACCGGGGCGCTAGAATCGAACAAATTTAAGCATGTCAAAAACCTTGATTGTCATGGTCGGGTCTTTCACGATTTGTCTCTTACCGATGATCACGCTCAATTTCATCGAAGTCGTCAATTACGAAAAACTCGATCCGTTGAATGACTTTGAAAATTTCGACCTAGAATTTATGAATTCGATGAATACACTCTCGATTCTCGCGTCTATGTTCTTAATCGCCAATAGCTTCATGAACGCTGTAATTTACTCGCTCATGTCTTGGCGGTTTAGGATGGAGGCGGAGGAGTTCTTCTATAAGACGATTTTGAGGAGGAAAAACTACAAGGTAGAAGAAAAAAAATCTGGGATAAAAATCATACTCGATGAATTTTAAGAGCAAATTACGGCCATCATCTGGAGGACTAACGATGACGTCGACAGTGGGAGAAGCAAACACATCATTTTCTGTTAGATAAAAGCAATAAATGAGCATTTATGGTTGTTCTAAAATCCTATTTCTCTCCATTCTTTGCTGACGCCATAAGAACTTCTGACAGTTCTGCCATTTGCTTTGACTTTCAAATAAGGAAGCTGTGCCTCCTGAAACAGGAGTCATGTTTTTTCATTCTAAGAGAGAAAATGGACTATGCGATACAAACAGCGATTGATTTTCTGATAAATTTACCATGTGACGAAGTTCAATATTGGCTGGATTATCATGAAGGTAAAAAATAAGAAGAAAAAAAAGTGAAATGGTCCTTGGGAATCAAGGGGTAGGAGCCATTTAGTCAGGAGAGCCATTTAGTCAGGGAGCCATTTAGTCAGGGAGCCACTTGGTCAGGTCTGACCAAATGGCGCTTCTGACCTAGTGGCTCCCTGACTAAATGGCTCCTTCTGAAGCGTGGGCGATGAGTGACGGAATATTGCTGATTAAAACAAAATTTAAATGATTTTTTGAATGAATTATAACGATCTCATAATTTTGTTTTCAATTCTAGTGTCAAGAAATTCGTCCTCTTTAGAGAGGGTTGTCAGTATTGATTTTCAGGGGTGACCGAAATAATATTTACACATATAGTCCGCATATGATTCATATGATATGAATAATATATTTTTGGAATCTACAGATCCTGACGAGTCTGTTGAGCACAAAAGCATTTGATAAAAATTAGTTTCAGGGGGTTTAATTGAGAAAATTGTTTCAAAAATGACCATTTTCGGGGCATTTTCGCAAAAATGGCCCTACTTTGACGGCATTTTTGACGAATTTTTTCTTATCAAATTTTTTTCTAGTTTTCGCCGATGAATTATTTCAACCCTTTACATCAGAATTCGATGAATCAGACTTCATTGCCAGAAAAAAAGCCAGTGTTAAATTCCATCACTCATCGCCCACGCTTTAGAAGGAGCCATTTAGTCAGGGAGCCATTTGGTCAGGGAGCCAGTTAGACAGACCTGACTAAATGGTTCTTCTGACCAAATGGCTCCCTGACCAAACGGCTCTCCTGACTAAGTGGCTCCTACCCGGAATCAAGTGTTTTTTTAGATGAAGGTTATTGCAGCTGGATGAGTAAAGATGATTTCGATTTGATAACAGAAGCCATGAACAAATACTTTAAAGATTGTGACGTCGTAACTTCAAATTTTAAATGAAGGATAATAAAATTTTCTGCTTAGTCATTTTGTGGGATTTACAGAAAGACAACAACAACCACGACAACCACTACCACGACGACGACAACAACGACAACGACGACAAAGAAGACCACGACAACGACGACGAAAAGAACTGAAATGGTTCCTAGCTATGGCGAAGAAAACCTGCTTTCATTTGTGCTCTTGCTTTTTGTACTTATATTTTTGAAAAGATAAAGACTAATGAAAGTAGTTATGTAATTTTTTTTCTTTGAACGCATTAATAAACTAGTAAAGTGTCTAAAAAAGTCTAAATGAAAGGAAAAGTGCTTGCAAAGGAACGCGAAAAAAAGACTGAATATATAATTCTGGAAGGCTGAATTAAACGAGTTAATTTACTCCGTCCCTAGCTTGGTGCGGTAATTATTTTTTAAAATCACAGTACGCAAGGGACAATTCAGACACTTCTATAAATCATGAGCCTGTCTGTGTGCAAATAGGCACAATTCTCGACCAATTCGGCAGTTAATTTTATCGAAAAAGGAAACAGCAAAAAATGTTCATTTTGATTCCTTTGCTTTTGAATTTCGCTTGGTCGAATTTTATGGGAAAGGTAGTAGATAGAGGCGTTGGAATCGGCATGCAAAATCAGGTAGAAAGACGAAGAGAAAAAGGATTAAATCCCTGATCGCTAGAATAACTTCCGAAGAACAGATGCGAGAAAAGCAGAGAAATTCTACGGCGGTCGAGGAAACGGACTTCCAGGTTTTGGATGAATCTTATTTTAAAAATACAGAAGTTTTGTTTATAACAGAAGAAAAATTAATCATCCCATTTGAAGACCAGTATCGACCGGAAAGAATTCTCAATATTTCGATTTCTTTGCCTCGTGATTTTCGAGTAGACGGATTTATCACGACCCAGAGACTCAGGACAGGCCTTAGTAAGTGTTTTTGGTAGAGTTTCGAAGAATATTTAATTCAAAGTAAAATAAATGAGTACTACAGTAATTACAAATCATCACACGGTCATAATACTTTGTTTACTTTCTCATTACTTTTTCGAAAATAAAATATAAAATTATCGTTTAAATTCCTATTTTATGGTCCCTTCGTTCTCATTTTTCTTACACAAGCCATCTGGCGCTCATTATTAACCGGGCCCTCGAGAGATCCTCGAGAGATATTTCGGTAAGTGCTGAATTTTTCACCAATTTCAAGTAGCTCTTGGAAGTTAGAAGCACTGAAGACGTGGAAAACACGTGAAAAAGTGCTTGAAGAATTTTAAAGTTTTTTAAAATTTTAAGCTTTGGAGTTGAAGCGAAATTGAAGGGCAATGGCAATTTTACCGTGTTGATTGTTAAGGGGAGCTCGACAAGAAAGCTCGTTTTGAGCAATCAAAGAAAAAGGATCAGAAAAACGAGTTTTTGGCTCGAAAATTTAGCTGTTTGTCGATCCCATCGACAGGTATCTCCAAGAGTACTCCCGAACAGAAGCCCCTCAGTCCTGTCTGCTAGACAAAACCGACTACGAAGCCGGCGAAGACCAGTCGATTTTGCCCCGCGATTGCCCGGATCGAACGAGTAGCGGGAAGCTCTTCGATCGATGTGGTTGGCGACTTTCAAAATTTAAACGAGCGTGGTCCTGTTCGCGAAACCAGAACAACGAAATGGTACAGTTTAACTACTGCGCTTGAATGTTTTAAAAACAGTTAATTTTTAAATTTAGCCATGTTTTTTGCTCATTGCTGAAACGCAGTTCAACTCTATTGTAAGTTCTTTTTACAAGTCTTGAGTTATTTGTTTGGAAAATTAACGATAATTTGTAGAACGAGAAAATCTGCGCTGGAAGAAGTATGAATATTGTTTGAGTCAACAATCTGCCAAATTATTAATAAACGGATTCATCCTTTTCTAGTTCTGAAAAAACAAAAAGTCCGCCTTTGTGGCTGCATTTGAAGTTCAATATCTGAACTCAGAATAGGCATTCAGATTCGCCTTCTACTCCCCTTTCCTCTTCAGATGCTGTCAGAGCTAATCAAAGAGCCTTTCAAACGGCAATTTTATGGGCTATCAGATTAATGAAGCGACTACTGATGCCAAATTACCTTGACGCCTGCATCTGTATATAAAGTAGCAAGTCGCGAAAAAGCAGTTCTTATTTTTCCGAAAAAATGGGTCATTTTAGAGATCTTTCAATAACGGAAATCATCAGAAATGATACTTTTGAATCAGAAGACACTGATTACGGAGAATTTATCGTGCCAATATTTGAACCGGTATTTGAAGATACGGAAATAAGAAAAAGGTAGAAAAATGAGCGCTTTGCAGGGAAATTTTTGTGGGAAAAGCTCATTTCATCGATTCTTCTGACAAAAAAAAAAACCCGTGCTGCCGATGCATGCAGAGAGATAATCCCTAAATGACTTTCACTGCGGACAGAAGTTCGATGAAGTCCTTTCACTTTGAAAGGAAAACGTCTTTGGAATTTGATACATGGCTTGTTCCCGCATAAGAAAAGAGAAAAAAATGGGCCACTAGTGACTAGTGACTAAAGTAACAATTTGTTTTGAAGGAAAAAGAGCAAGAAAATTGAAGAGAAAAATCTAAGCAGCTCTTCAAGCGAAATGGGCTCTTATGTTCCAAGAAGGTAAGAATTTTATTGAAATCAAGGAAGAGTTTTTTCTTTATTGAAGGTCCATTTTTTCATTCTTTCATAGTTTTTTGAAGGTTGACCTTTGTTTCCCATCATTTTTCCCATACAAAATCCTTCATAAAAGCCTGTTTTCCTAGGCGCCTCTATTGGATATAATATTTATAATGCGTTAATAATAATAACAATAAGAATAAGAAGAAGAAGGACTAATGGAACCGTGTGCCTAATGGCCTTTGGCTCATCCCTCAAAAAATATATAAACCAGAATCTAAATAGAAAAAACAACACGGTTTTATTTTAAAAATCAGAGGTGTTAATAACAAGAACTGATAGAAAGATATGATGACAAATTTATTATCGATGAAAACAGAGTAAAATGTTTGTTCTTTTTTCTGAATCGCGAAATTGATAAAGAAAGAGGAGGAAAGAAAAGTAATGGAAGTAAAAGAAAAAAGGTAAAGGATTGATTTACCACAGTCAATTATAAATTTTCCAGCGAAAATCATTTTCAATATTTTTGCCCAAATTCTGCACTTAAGATTTAATTCGCAGTTTGCGTCTTGTTCGAACAACTAGAAAACACGCAATGTACACCGTACGAAACGAATTTGTGAGTGTTAGTATTAATATTAGTAAAATAGAATAGATTGAGCAACAGAGAAATATTAAATAAAAATAAGCTGATCATAATTCCTATTCTTGCTAATTTCATTTTTTTTATTTTCCATAAAAAGTGACCTAGGCCGAGGCCAATACCAATTATCCAAAGACTGAATAAAATTTTATAAAAAATATAGAATGAATCAGCAGCGTTATCATGAAAACGCAAAGCAACTACAATTCTAAAGGTGAAAGTCAAAACCGGTACCAATACAAGAAAGAAAATCACAGTGCCATAGCTTTTGATGCTTGTATAAGAGCGTTTTTGATCGACTTGATCCGGAAAAAGGACAGCATTTGAAAGATCGTCCGGAAATTCTCCATTTGCAATGAAGCTTTCGATAAGCTCTCGGTTTCGTCGCGCTACTTCAAAAGTCTCTTCCTTGTTTTGACGTACTATCTCCAACATCTCATTTTTGTGGTTCATTAGCTCAGCCTCGAAACTCACAATCGACTCTTTATTCAGTCGTGTTCTATCAAATGTTTCTTTCTTGTGATTCATAAGCTCTAACTCATAAAACTTCAGCCTGGTTTCAACAATTTCGGCGATCTCTAATTCTGAAAGGCCTGAAATATATCTTTGAAATTTTGAGCATCTTTGACTGACTAACATTCAGTAATTGCCGTACATGAATCAATTTCTTTATCATAAGAAATGTAGCTCTCGGAATATTGTGACATTTCCGACATTTTCAGGTTACTCGGGTTTTCTTGTTTTTGAAAGGACAAAACTGAGCCGGCACTTTTCCTACAGTATTTGAAATAGAACATTTTTATATGAAAATTTTCTCCCACCAAATTTTAAGACTATTAAAGGAGTCCCCTGAATGTTTTAAGATGTTCATAAAAGTATAAAAATCCGAGTTCTTTTGAGAATAAAAATACGCCTTTTTAAGTCAATACCTCGTCATTGAACTGTTTATTTTAGGCACAAGACATTTGCAATGATCCTGATCGGCATGACCCTGTTACTTCCCTTTTGGTCTTCTGCATTTCTTCCAATTATGCAATGGGCATTTTCCGACTACCTCCAATCAAACGGGTAATTGCTAATTAAACTTATCAACCTTTTTTGTCTGATTGGGAGGAAAATTTCAATCTTGATCAGTTTTTATGGCTCGTAAAATTTCCTCTCGTAAGTACCGTGCGTTTCTCGCAAAGTGATTTTTCAACAAAATTCAAAAAGAATTGAAACATGAACTCTCAGAGTAACTGTATTTTAAAAACAACAGAGAGCAATAAGAATTGCACGTCCATCAGTAGAAGAGATGACTCTAAGAAGGAAGATCTGGAAAGCAGCTTACCCATGATTCAGGAAACAGTGGTGACAAGTTAGGGTTAGCCTACCCCGGTTAGGGTTGTTACTGAAAATAAACAAACCTTCTGGACCTTCAGGTCATGAAGTTCTTTATTCAGAAAGTCATGTTTTGATGAGAGAAAAAAGTAGTGGCTGGAAAACTTTTGTCATCCCTTTTGAAAAGTTGCCTCAATTCGTCGGATATCGACTTCGACTGCGCCGATCGATCGTTGAAACACAATTGCCAATATCGGTAATGAATCATCAATTTTTGTTACTTCTTTTGTTCTCTAAAAATCAAAAAGCACAGTTTTTTTGTCATTCCTCTTCCTTGAATTCAAAAAGAGAAATTTGAGAAAATTAACAGTATGGAACGCTAATTAAACAGTACGTACAACGCAACCTACAGTATGTTGAACAAACAGTATGCATAAAATACTTAATTATGTAAAAAGTAACTACGTATTTATTTTTCGGACAGGAGGGCCATTTTTGAATAAATTCATATTCAAAAGCGTCGAAATCATTAGCAATTCTTCTTTTATATCAATTCAAAAAGTCGCCAGAAAAAGTGAAATAACCAGTAAAAAACGAGGAAATTTAATTAAAAATTATAGCCGTGGATAATTGCTTTGCTGATCTTCACCTACTTGCTTGTTCTTGGAGTCATCTTCTTTGCAGGAATCGGTTGAAAATGAAAATCACTTTGCGAGAATTGGCGTTTTGAAAAAAAAACCGCGGAAATAATTTTTTTTATTCAATCAGAAACAGTACCTTTTCTTAGTGAAAAAGCGATGCTGCAGCAAAGTGTAAAATATACAGGCAAGGGAAATGAAAAAAAATGATCTTAGAGACATTCAAGTCCTTTGGAGACATCTGGTGACATCTAATGACATTTGGGTACATCTCATGACATCTAGAGACATCTAAGGGCTTCAAAGAACATTAACGGCAATTCACGATCAATAGACATCTGGGGACATCTAGGAACATCTAATGATATTTACATACATCTCAAGACAGTGAGGCTTCCTTGATTATAAGGACATTTAAAGACATCTACCGACATCGAGTAGAAGAAGGGGTCCTTGTTCTTAGCCTTCTAAGGCTGCCCTCATAAAACTACGCAGAAAATAGCCATTTCAGAAAGGATGCAACTGTAACTGTATCTGAATCAATATTCTCCAGGCCATTACTCTTGATCTTGGGATTAATTTGCTGGCCTCGGTTTAATTCAGCGCGAAATCCGTTTTGATTTGCCTCGAAAATAATTATTATTCGGGTGGACGTTATTGACGAACTGCCACTATGGCCTGAGGATTAATCTTCGCTGATCAGATAAGGAGCCTGCCCGGAGGCGAGAGTTCAGTTTTTTCCTTCATTTTATTAAAAAAATAGAGCAGAATAAGAAACAGTTTGCGAAAAGTAAAGAAGAGATGATGTTTTTGAAGCCTCAGAACTTGAGTTTTTATCAATAATTTATAATATTCAAAATTGAATTTTTAATTTATAATAAGATCAGATATTTCCTTAAAGAACTCGGTTTGATTTTTCATTATTTAAATTGAAGTTTTTGTATATTTTGTGTGATAACCGGTTCTCGAGGAATAACTGTATTTGATAATTAATTCCAATCCGCCATAAAATCATCATCTTTTCTAATCTGCCATTCAATTTGATCTTTTGATCGACCTTCTCCTTTTTTGCCGAGGAGAATGCGCCGGCCATATTACTGTATTTCCAGTTATTACCCGATAGAGAACGCCCTGAAATCATAGAAGAGATTCTGAACCATGGGCTGGAGCCGCACGGCTTTCTGGCTGGGCAGTTTTTTGGTCCTTCTTGTCGCGATAATTTCTATCGAGTGAGTTTTTTTAGCCGGTGTTGACTTTGTTTATTCTTAGAGCTTACTTTTCCCAATCAAAAGCCTACTCCACTTCCTACTTCAACAGCAAAGTAAGTAAAAACAACTTGGTCAAGATCAAAATTTTCAACAACTCTCTTTTAACATTAGACCGTGTTTTCGCATTTCCTTGTTAATTGAGGCTTGATAATGAGCTAGATTTATAGCTTTATAGATAATTAGCTTTATAAATAATAAATTTTCAAGAGAAAAATTTAGACTCGGGGGTCAATTTTGGCGTTCCAGTGGAACATTCAACAATCAAATTATGGAAAATTTAGAAATCGGAAACTTGAGCATTCGAATTTTAATTTTTGAATATTCAAAGCCCCCAAATCCTTTCATCCCAGCGGGGTATAAAATTAAAAAAGAGTACCCTACTTCAACTACAGTCGATATTTCACACTTCCTCTCTCCCGGACCCTAGCCCGGACCGGCAGTTGGCCAGCTGCCAGTGCAAATGCGCCTCCACCAATAACGGCTCGCAATTTTTGAGTTTCTTACGGAAGTGTTCAACTGGAACAAAAACTATAAATTGAACCCCCGATCAGAGAAATAATTGAATTGAACAATGACGATAACGAGGAATAGATACAAAGAGTTTTTGAAGAAGATTTTGATCGAATCGGTATCTCTTTAAATAAGGATTTTCTTTTTTACTTTTTCTTTTAAATTTTTATTTCTCGCTTTCAGAAATCCGAAAGCTGCGAAGAAGGAAAAGTCCGATTCATCTGTCCCCGCCAAAACGAACCAAGAGAATATTTATATTGCTGCACAGTCGCTGAAAACCAATATGTAAGAAAACCTCACAAAAAAGAGATTGAAATAATTTGATTAAGACTTGCTGCGCGGATGAAACGAAATCCCGTTATTTTAAAAATTCAAGCGAAACAGTTCCCGAAGATGTCGAGCAGAATAAAACTTCCATAACAGGGTAGGTCCTTGATCAGAGGATAAAAATTAAGAATCGCGTTCAATAAAAAGCCCCTGTTTTTTGAAACTAAAGAAAATGACCGAGAAGAGGATTTTGATCAAACCTCCTAAGCTGAATGATATTTCCTCCCTGTAAGCAAAAACTTGGCACTCTTAGGTATTTTTTGGTCTTTGAAAGTTGGTAAAAAGATGAACTCCAGAGTTGCAAATTTGCTGAGCTGAGTGAGCTGAGCTGGCTGAGTGAGCTGAGTAGTCGCTCAGCAGAGTGATTTTGGGAATATCGACTAAGTTCGTGAGGGCTAGGTTCGTGTGACTAGGTTCGTGGTGGGTTTTGCCAGAGTATTGAAATCGGCTAATATTTTGGGGCAGTAAGGGAAATGGGTTGATGACTAGGTTCGTGTGACTAGGTTCGTGAGTTTTTAAATAGAAAAAAATTTGGGGAAGTAAAGGAAACGGGTTAATGACTAGGTTCGTGTGACTAGGTTCGTGAATTTTTAAAATGTAAAAATATGGGGCAGTAAAGGAAATGGGTTGATGACTAGGTTCGTGGGTTTTTGAACAAGCAAAATGTAGGATTTTATATCCCAAATATGTTTCCCCCCATCAACCCCCCCCCCGTATAAGCCGCTAGAACGAACAAAGTATTGACGAACCTAGTCTCACGAACCCAGTCATCAACCTATTTCCCTAACTGCCCGAAAATGCTGAAGATACATAAAATACATATAAAAATCCAAATTCTACGAACCTAGTCTCATGAACCTAGCCTTCACGAACTCAGTCTTCACGAACCTAGTCCAACGAACCTAGTCATCAACCCATTTCCCTTACTGCCTCAAAATGGTGAAGATACAAAAAATGCATATAAAAATTCAAATTCCACGAACCTAGTCACACGAACCATTTTTCCGACATGGCACCCACGAACCTAGTCACACGAACCTAGTCCTGGTCATCGTTCTCGTGATTTTGGAAAATAATCTGATCTTATCACTGATAAGTTATCAGCTCAGCTCAGACAATTTTCACTCCGCTCAGCTCTTATTTAAATACAATTTTGCTAACAGAAAACAGTAACAACAAGCTCAGCTCAGCTCAATTCGCTCAGCTCAATTCGCTCAGCTCTAATCAGGGTCCGCTCAGCTCAGCTCAGCTCAACTCTCTAAATAAAACGGTCTGCTCAGCTCAGCTCAGTAACCTCCAAAATAGGCCAGCTCAGCTCAGCTCAGAAAAATTCATCAAAATTTGCAACTTTGATGAACTCTATAATTTATAGACTATAAACTATAGCAAATAAAAAATTCAAAAAACCGTCACCAAATCCGTCTTCAGTCCATTAGCGCTTGGTATTCAATTTGAAAGTGAATATTCTTTTTGAATATTAATAGCCTCACAAATGAGGTTTTGATTAAAATCCAACTAGCCTCAGAACAAAAGAGTATCGGATGGAACCTGAGGTTGAGAATTTTTCCTTTTCTTCGGCGGAAAAACACGAGCATAAATTCAAGTAAATATTCACGAAGAGATAATATTTCAATTATCGAATGTTGCACTTGTTCTCCCTTGAGAGGGATTAGAGATCGTGCTCGTTCAAATTGAAATAGAGAAAACTGCCCTTTCGAACGTCTGAAGAAAGGGAGAAGAGGAAGGGATTGTGGTCAGAGTTCGACCTTTCGCACCAATTCTCACCTTTTATTAGATTCTCTTCAGAGTTAAGAGAGACAGAAACTGTTATGGGAGTTTTTAGGGCGCTGTGGCAAGCTGTCATCATTTTGTACATCTTTATTGTTTTCCTCATTATGCTGGCCGATTTCTTCAGGTTTGATTACTTTCTCAATAATGCCAGTAACAGTCATTTTTGCAGCCATATGCGACTGAAAAACAAGAAGAGCGCGCATAAACCTTCGCCGAGACAGATGAGCGCAGAATCCTGATAAATTCAAGATTTTTTATTTTGTACAAAATGATGAATAAAAACACCCTGAGCTTCATCCCTCTTAATTCGGAAAAATGGAAAAGAATGGCCAGTACGGGGATCGAACCCGCGACATTCGCGTTATTAGCACGACGCTCTAACCAACTGAGCTAACCGGCCGTGAGCATTCTGAGGAAAGAGACCGACAGATTTGCTATCATTATTTATTCATGAATCAAAACAGCCGAGCCCGTTGCAAAGGTGTTGTATCTCTTGACTTTCATGACCAGCTAGAATTTCGGCACAAATGTTCGGTCCAAGTCCATTCAACGCGAAAAAGCAGCCTTGAGAGCAAGCGAAACAGTCATGATCTCTCGATGGACAAATGGAAACATCTTCCGGACCTAATCCGCCATCGCATGAGTCTAAAAACAGTTAAAATGAGTCCAATGAGTTCTTAAACCTAATTCAGAGAGCCGACCACAGAAGTCGATGCACTGATTTACATCCGGAAGAGGAAGTTGAGCTGTTGTTTGAAACAAATTTGTTTCTGATCCTGTTGTCTCAAAATTCTCTGTCGTGTTGAATCTCTTTGTCGTGAGATTTTCAGATATTGATTTTGTCGTTGTTGTCGTTGTTCGCGCCGTTGTTGGCGTCGTTGTTGATTTTGTTGGAGTTATTGTCGACATCGTCGAAGTTGAATTTGGTACATTAGAGGATGTTGTTGGAGCTGGAGCAGTCGTCGCTGGTTCACTGTCGCCAAGAAGAACGGCGCAGGGAACGATGATCGAGATCAGTAAAATAACAGTAATGGCTATTGCCCCACCGATTTTCAACTAAATGTGCATCTCATTATACAAAAATGATTCTAATAAATTACCAGTCGGCGATTTTTTGAGTCCTTTACTTCCTGAAAATCATCACATTCACCCTGCTCGTCTTGATGCTGCAACTCTTCATTTTTATCTTCAACTGCAAGATCTTGAAAACAATGAAAAAGGTGCGAAAACTCAGACGTTACCCATGCTACAGTTCGAAGAATCTGTTCTGAAAAGACCGTTATCAAGCGTATTTATTGAAAAATAAGTGTTTATCTGTTTGGGCCGTCACTTTGCGGAGATGACTCTGACACTTTTTGGCGGAAAAAATAAGAATTTTTATTTACTTTGATATAACCAACAGAGCGAGCCTCAAAGCACGTGACTGAAAACGTTTTACTACAGTTATAGAAAATACAACTCGCCTCCATCAATTTCTTGGTTGGCCAATTTCAATAAGGAATAGAAATTCCAAATCCTAACCCCCCATGTTTTTGTGCTCGTTAGAAAGAGCGTAAAAAGTTACGCCAGAAAAAAATAGTTTTAGGGGCTGAGTCATCATAAATGACGTCATGGCGGCTGGTTGAAGTTCCAAAAGTCCCAAAAGTTGGGACCCCTCTTATTTTTTTTCTAGAAATGGAAAATTTGAGTTCGATGTTTCAAAATGTTCGCCTTGACCTACTCTAGGTGAAAAGCTACATATGAAAGACCCAACTCTAGAAAAAGAATTTTTTTTTTTGATTTTTTCAAAATTTCAACGGAAAAATGTTGAATTGCAATAGAATACTTCAAAATAATAAAATGCGCCTTTCAAATTGGTTTCTTGGTCACAATAATGATCATAAAAGGTCATTCGAGGTCATTTGAGGTCACAAATCAAAATAAAATTTTGCGCATTTTTGACTGTTTTACAAAAAATGCGCATGTCTTGGGGTAGATTTATGCTTTGCTCCGAGCAAAATCTGATGATTCATTTTCCGCGAGCCGCCGACCAATAATGCGCGCTGATAAGAGCGGACACTGCTCGCATTTTGAAGAGTCAGATCATTATTGAGAGCAATTTGACAGAGAAAATTTTGCGAAAAAATTATCATTGATTTCGTACAAAAAGATTTGTCTGATGTAATAAGATAAAAAGAAGAAACAACTTTAGATTTAGAAACAACTTTCCATCAAATACTAATAAATATAAAAAAAAATAGATACAGTGAGCTAGGTTTACAGTGAAAGTCGATTTTATCAGTCTCCGAGACCGCGAACTCGGAGTGTCTCCAGACCATTTTCAGAATTTGGTCGGTGTAAGGAATTGGTCGGTGTAAGGATTTGGTCGGTGTAAGGATATGGTCGGTGTAAGGAAATACCCTCCAGAATGCCTGTGTAAAAAACCAAAAATCTCGAGAACAAGTTTATTTTTTTCTAGACTTGTTGCTTACTTATTGCCAAACGAGCAGATGTGCTTCATTCCAGTGAGAATGTTCTGGGTCCGAAAGAGGAAAAGAGAACTGTAAGTTATTAAAACCCCCATACTGGGCCATACTGGCCCTTTCAACCTTTATTCTAGTGGCACAGCCAAGGATAGCCCAGATTGAGCTGATGGAAGAGAAAAAAAGGTAGAAAGCCTTGAAAATACAGGCGCAACTTTCTTGAAAAAGAAGCTACTGAAAACATTGACCTGAAAATACAGTCGCAACTTTCAAAATGATTTCTGTCTCGTTTCATGCAGTGAGCTTCGCAGGTTAAAATTACGCATGGAATTAATTTATGCCTTTATAAATGCAGGAAGAAAGGAACAATCTAGAATGAATCCGTCCACGTTTGCATAAGTGGAAAACTCTTTAATCCTTCTCCAAGAAATAAGACATTGATTGCGTGTTCCACCGATAATTTGATGACGAGCAAAACGCATGCTTCAATTCGTCGCGCTCTCCCGCTGCGGATATAAAAGACAAATCATTGTGCACATTTTCTTTCACTGTTCCTCGAGAAATAATCCCGAGAACTAGCGGAAATAAGAGCTACAGCATGATGAATACTGCGCTAAGCTTTTTATTTTTTGGATTTTCCCGGGCACTTACTGTTTGGCCCAAGGAGTATCTCACTACCAGGTACAGTCAGAGAAAAAAGTTTGCAATGATTATTTTGTTAAAGGCATCTTGAGGGTTCTCAAATTGAAGATTTCTTCTCTTCTTCATATGAGTACGAAGAATACGAGTCTGAAACTGAAATGAACGATTTTCTTCGAAAGAAAAAGAAGAAGAAAAACTTTCCGGAGCCAACAATTCCTCCGACTCTTGAAGAAAGAGCTTGCAACCCGAATTGGGAGGACTGGCAAGACGTAGAAGGGTACTCCTGCCAGGAGCACGAGGACAAAGGCTGGTGCGAAAAAGATGGCAGTTTCGGGCCAGAATGGGTCGAGCAGTGGGGACCTTTCAGCAGATTGGCTGGCGATGAAGATTTCAACGCACTTGGATGCCCTCAGTGTGGATGCATCGAAGCGGGAGCAAAGTACGCTTCTTCCGGAACATCAGGATATGGATAGGCTTACCGGACTAAATTTCGGTCCATTTTTCTAGCTTAGTTTAGGGGGCATATAATATAGTTTTAGAAAGCCCAGAAGCTGAGCTTTCATTTGGGCACAAAATCATGGGGTCTGGGTCATGCCCGGAAGGCAAATTAGTGCAGCGGAAGTTCCAAAATGGGCACTAGAAATCTTCAATCGATTTTTTCGAAGGGTTTAAGGGATTTTGAGCGGTCGTAGCCTACTGAAATAGAAAGCTCAGGCTCTGAGCTTTCTAAAACGCCCATAAAATTGGGCCTTCACCAGGTTTGGGGCCACCTGGGGGCGCTAGAAAGTCGAGTGAAAAACCGGAAATACCGGAAACTTCTATTTTTGAGTCCTAAACTCACAGTCTATGCCTAAAATTTAATTGAGAAGACTAAACTAAGCTTAAAAATATCGAACCGCGGTTGAACCGGGTGGTTAATTTTGCGGTTCATTGCGGTTCAACACTAGAAAGTCTTCAAAACATTGAAATATGGGTATTTTTCGACGGGAAATTGAATAAGAAATGAAATTAAAAATGAACCGCGGTTGAACCAGGTGGTTGACCATGCGGTTCATTGCGGTTCAACTCTAGAAAGTCTACGAATCAGTGAAATATGGGTATTTTTTGACGAGAAATTGAAAAAACAATGAAATAAAAGATGAACCGCGGTTGAACCAGGTGGTTGATCACCCAATCAGTCATGCTGACTTTGTAAAATCTTTCGGAATTAGCTCGAACTATTATTTTTTCAGATAAATTTTATATAAAACATTATTCTACAAAATAAAAAGTATCAACAATCGTCTTGCAATTGTTTATTAATCAAATCTTTCTTTAAAGCTCTAGAAACAACCAAACCTGAAAATTTAAAACCCAATTGAGCTGATTTTCTTGAACCGCAAGGTCAACCACCCGGTTCGACCGCGGTTCATCTATTATTTCATTTCTTATTCAATTTCCCGTCGAAAAATACCCATATTTAAAAGTTTCGAAGACTTTTTAGAGTTGAACCGCAATGAACCGTAAGGTCAACCACTCGGTTCAACCGCGGTTCCATATTTTAAAGCGTTGCTTATTGTTTTTAATTCAATTTTAGACATTAACAGTGAGTTTAAGACTCAAAAATAGAAGTTTCCGGTATTTCCGGTTTTTCACTCGACTTTCTAGCGCCCCCAGGTGGCCCCAAACCTGGTGAAGGCCCAATTTTATGGGCGTTTTAGAAAGCTCAGAGCCTGAGCTTTCTATTTCAGTAGGCAACGACCGCTCAAAATCCCTTAAACCCTTCGAAAAAATCGATTGAAGATTTCTAGTGCCCATTTTGGAACTTCCGCTGCACTAATTTGCCTTCCGGGCATGACCCAGACCCCATGATTTTGTGCCCAAATGAAAGCTCAGCTTCTGGGCTTTCTAAAACTATATTATATGCCCCCTAAACTAAGCTAGAAAAATGGACCGAAATTTAGTCCGGTATGCCTAGATATGGAGACCCTCATTTTCATATCAAGGGCAAGGACTTCCTACAGGCGGATCTATGCTTCGACATTGACGGACAGCCGGGTGGTGTGCTCAGACTCGTCGAAGATTTCGACAGTGGACTAATAGGAGCTGTTTTTCATCAATCGAAGTGTTCAAACAATCGAAGACTTGTTTATTTATAATAAGAGCGTTTTATTTCGTCAAAAAAGTCTTTAAAAATCAGATTGAAAAACAATAAAAAGTCGATGGCCTCCTTTTCCGGCCCGACGAAGATTCCAACGCTACTTATTTCGAGCAGATCCGCGTAACCAGTCCTAACGGGGTAACTATTAGTTTTGATATTTACGGCTGGCACGTGGAGTCGACAGAAGGACTCAGCCCGAGTTATTCTTGGGATCGAAAAAGTACTAAATTTGGGGATGTCTATATTTCGTTGCCGGAACACTATCCCCAGGGGAAAAGGGTTATTTTGGGGATTGAAAATGGACCTGTTCTGAGATTGGAGACGGCGAATAATCATGAGAACGTCAACTTCCGATTCGAAGATTCTACTGGTATATCTGATAACTTAGGAGGAGTCATTGGAGTTTTTATGCCACTCGGTGCTTATCAGATTCTCACAAAAGGTATGAAAAAACCCTTGAGCACTAGAAAACCAATATCTACTAGACCCGTTTTCGATGGCGGAGGAAGGAGTCGTGCTTGTCAATTTTGAGGAAGAAGAGGTTTATGAAGAAGTGTTTTTCCACCGCCATAATCGTGACAAGAACTGCTGGACGATTCCGAAAGATAAAGCTGCTACTTTTGTTGGGAAGGTTATTTCGACCGCGAATATTTACAAAAGGAATGCTTGAGAAGCAGAGAAATGTGCATGTGTAAAAATGCTTTCTGCTTGAATAAATTAACGAAAAACTTATTGTTCAAAAATAAAAGTAAAACCAGAAGATGTTCCCTAGAAGGCTCATTGTGGTTAAATCAGGTCCTATGGCAAAATATCTCTGCGGCTCGAATACTATTTACGAGATTCAAGAGTAGTACTCTTGAATCCACGATTGGGCGCCTTGGGGCACATGCTCATCCCTCTGACCCTTACAATGCTTTAGAGAAGTTTAAAAGCATAAAGTGTCATTTAAATTTTCCCTCTTCAATTTTTAGCTTTTTCAAATCCAAGTCGAAAAATTCCGACAGGAGACCACTTGAGTCGTTTCCGGAAATGAGCTCAGAAGATTGAGTCTTAAACGAAATTTTCAAACGTTCAATCAGAGATGAAAAAGGACAGAGAATTTGAAAATTGAAAATGATAAGAGCGAGATTATTATGGTTGCTTGTAAATATTGTGGAGGGAAGGTATGAAGATGTCAAGTGCTGCAGCGAGATTTATGTCTCAGGAGGTTATGAGTTCCAGGAGAAATCGAAGACGCTTGATATGAAAGGAAATGGTCTTATGATTCTTGAGAATTCCGTTATTTTAGGCGTTTCAGAACAGTCTTTTCAAAATTTTCATAAAAAATTGACCATACACAGCTCGATTTCAACGAGACTCAGCACAACTCCCCGACCGTGGAAGATTCTATCACGGTCACGTTATTTATCGGAACGAGCTCTACCTTCTCGGTGGATTTTCGCGCCGCGGACCAACTGATACCGTTTTTCGTCTGGACGATCCTGTCAGGTACAGCCTCGTTTTTATTATATCTTATTTTTTATATTAAATAATCAAGAAATGAATGGAAGAAAACGTTCAAAATGAAAAACGCGCGGGGATTCTTCGATCCAGTCGTGTTTCAAGATCGAATTTGGGCATGTGGCGGAAAGAATCAATCGCATTTCATAACGAGCTGCGAGAGTTTCTCGCCGGAGACAGGTTGGAGAGATGAGCCGGATCTGATGGAGAGCAGATTCGATCACTCAACAGCGGTCACTTCCAAAGGTATTTTTCGTTCAAAGAAATTATTTTTTCAACGATGATAGGGCTGTACATGATTGGAGGAAAAACTGGAACAAGGTTGTTTGATGGAGAGCCGTTTACAAAATATACTGTTGAAATTTTTCCTTCGGCTCCTGAAGGCGGTGCGACTGGAGGATCGTTTAACCCGACTTGGATTCCTGGGACTCAGCTTCCTGAAGCCATTTATGGTTTGTCCGGAATTTCTATCGATGCTTGAAATAATAATGATTTTTAAGGTCAGTCATCAACAGCTCTTCTCGATACTGTTTATGTCTTTGGCGGCCTTCAAGTCCTCTCCCGCAGTACTCGTCGGTCGGAAGTCTACGCTCTTGTTCCTGAAGCATCCGAGTGGCTTCTCATTGGAAATATGAATATGGCCCGGTCAAGAGCTGTTGTCGTCAACTTTGGCTATCAACTCGTCGTTCTTGGCGGTTGCGATGGAGGTTGTGCTGCGGAACTCTTTACTCCTGCTATCTCAAGATTTCAGTAAGCATTATTTCGTTAAATCTTGCCTTTATCGCTTTTAGATTTATGAATTCTTGGGTCAAAGCCGATGGCAGTTTCAGTGAAGCTGGAGAAGTTTGGCCGTGGAGCTGCTCTGTTGACCTTTGTTACCAAATTTACTCTGATAGCTCTATCGAGATTTTGAGAGGACTTGGATACACCACTCTTGGTACTACAGCATCTACCCTTTACGGTAGGTCATCAACAAAGAGATCCTTATACAAAAGACCTCTAGAAACCACACCAGCAGAAATGGAGCTTTACGATCTTGTCACAGACGCAGAAGAAATTCCATTCTATACCACTGGAAGCTCAAATTTAATACCTTTTGAGACAACACCATCATCTCTTCTCATACCTTATGAAACAACGGCCTCCTCGAGTCTGATCGGCACAACTCCCTCTTCAAACATCGTTTTGTATGAAACCACACCAGATGTCTCGACTCTGCTGGAAATGAAAGAATATGAAGTAGAAGAAACGGAGGAAAAGTCATTTTTGGACACATTGAGTGATACCAAATTCACATTTACGACTTCAAGCCCTCCTTCAGAATGCACCCTTTCTGCCATTCTTTGCGAGCTGATCGGAGCTCCGAGTTCTTCTGAATCAAATCCGAAAGTTGCTACTACAGTCAGTTCAACTGTAAGCCTCAATATGTATAATCAAGTATCTAAAATGAACCATTTTTTAGACGCCGTTTACGCTTTTCAAGAAAACAGAGCAAATTAAAGAAGAGGTCGATGATGAAATAATTCTTGACACAACGCAAATTTACCTCGAAACAACGACCACAGTCGCACCAAGTTTGACAATATCTTTGGATACGTCCACAAAAGGCCCAACGCCCTCTCCAGAAACGGGAACAAGAAAAGAAATTACTCGGGATCTTTTCCGAGACTCGATGAACTTCAGTCTCAATCAAAAAACTCGCCCGACAAGCACAACTGTCACCCAAAAACCAAGTACAGCAGAAACCACTTCAGATACCTCAAACAGTACAGAAATAACAGAAACAAAGAAAAATGAGGAGAATTTAACAAGCAGTCCGAAGGAGGAGAAGTCTAAATCTAAGCAATCTTCGTCGCCAAATTCTTCCAAAAACAACTTCGATAGACTATTTAATGTTATGACTTCACTTATAATTCTTGCACTGATGTAAATTTTTGTAAAAAATTAAGCTGCTTTATCCGAAGATTTTTGATCAAAATTTATTTTTGCAAGAGATTTTCTTGAATTAAAAAAGCAAATCACAAATCCTTTCCTGGATAGGAGAACAAATTTCAAATATGCTATACTTTATTTATTATTTACAAACTTATGTAACAATTGACCTTTTTCTGATAGTAATCGCAGTGTAATTCTTGAGATCAGATCAAGACTTGTCAGTTAACATGTAAATTCAAGCAGGAATGAGTTGTAGCGGAGTTAGAAATTTTAATTGAAGATTGCTTGATCACTGAATATCTTCAGTTTTCGCCTGTAGCATCGGGGCAGTTTCAGCCTTCGAGGTGGTGGCTTGCGTCGTCTTTGGGCCGTATTCAAAGCATTTCTTCTTCCACATGATAAGGACGACGATCAAAATAATAAGGAACGCGCCGAGAGCGGCGACAATAATTACCCAAAATGGAATGGATTCGGTCCGTGAAAGACTCTTCAGTTGGACTTGGAGTTCGTTTCTGAAACAATAAATTTAGGACGTTTCTTTTCAACCGTAACATACGTTATTGTTTTCGAAAAAGCTTGTGCTCCAAAGCCATAAATAAAGTCCTCTTCATGAACGTCAAAGTCTAATCTCGTAAAAATCCTCGAGTGATTGCTGACAACAAAAAACAAGTCTTCATGTACATCAAATTCGACCTTTAAAGTTAGCCGGTGGCCATCTTTGAAGTCAATTGGTCGTGGTGGCTTCGGGCACGTGATTTGATCGCAGGAAAGAGAATTTTCGCAGCTATAATCTTGATAGTGGACTGTTGGCTCCACCGCTAGAAATCAACAATATTGAACTTGTGTTTATGGTTTTTCTTACCAGCAGCTTTCTTCGATTTCTTGGCTTTTTGATGCTCACAATTAACAGTTGTCAGGATATCTTTCCCTTGAGTTTGCTGAAGTTTCATCGAAGTAGGAGTTAGGACTTTCAATTTATCCCCGTGTTCGGTCTTGAAAGAGCTATTAAATGGTTAGAAATTATATCTTTAGGCGTCCTAACCTTGGATAAAAAGCTTTGACCCGTTCAAAGACATTTCTAAAGCTCGCGGGGCCAAGATTGAAGATTTGAAAATTCACTTCGAATTTCAAAGTGCTTCTACCGATCCCTTCTGTTTCGTCATTGTAGAACGCCTTGCTCACTGGCTCATCAGGAAACTCGCCAGATTTGATGTAGGTCTTTGACTTGAGAGGAAGATTGTGAACGATGGCATTTGGAATATCGATCTCAAATTCAGAGGGTTGAGGTCGCTTGTTTTCGTTCAAAAAGTTGACTTGAAGTTTTGACCTAGAATGATTTTTATCTCTTGATTTTGAGTTTTCAGCTTACATTTCTTCTCTAGCCCTCGGATCATCGAAAGTAAAAGTGGTCTCAAATCTGTAGTCTCCCGGCCGAAGCGGGTTTCCGATTTGACAAGTTCTGACTCCATCTTTTTGTTCACAATTTTGACTGCCCTCCGTGTAAGCAGTCGTATTAGCGGTGATAAGAGGATGAACATATTCAAGAACAGCTCCGTAGCTTTGTTGGGGACCGACCTTGAGTAAACTTGTGACTGTAACGACGTTTTTTGTGTCCATGATGATAGAATTCGTGAGTTTCTGGGTGCGGGCGGCGAGATTTGGCTGGTTGATTGTAACATCATTTTCTGCTTGCAACTTTTTTTAAGATATAAAAAACGAAAGTCTTGGCTTTTATTGAGCAAAGCTTGCCTTTTATGAAATTATATCCATTCCTTAGAATTGCATAAATTATCTGGCGGACAGTTTCTATCGAATTCTAGCTCTCTGTCAACTTCAATTTGCGAAATGGGGCTCAATATTGGCGCCATGATCCCCTCTGGAATGTTTGCATTGACTTTTGCGCTGACAACAATAGGGCGGATTTTTGACGAAAGTTGCGTGCTTGTGACGGTCATTTTGATCTCTTTGGTGCACATTTTTGATCCTTCTTTTCGGAGCGGAAGGTCAAATTCGGACTTGTTTTTGTAGGTTAATCGAGGGGAGGAATATTTGCTGTCCAGTTTGATTGAGACGGTTGATCCTGCAAGAGTAACTTTCTGTTGGGTCAGAAAAGATCATTTTCATGAGCATTGTTCGTTGATTTCTAGATTTTTTGACCCGTTCCTTCGCTACCATCACGATTTCTCGCGCTCTTTTCTACAAACTCTGCGCAAGCTTGCCAGTCAATAATTGTCTCTGATACTGGTTTTGTCGAAACAGGAATCAAGTCGTCTTTCATTTTTTGCTCGAATGTCACTTCAACGACTGGCCGAGTTCGATAGACTTTAACGGTCGAGTCTTCAGGGATTCCAGCAAGGAGGAGATTTCGGGAAACGGTTAGTTGCCGGGTCATTGATGAAGTTGGGATGACTTGTGGGTCAATGTCTGGAACAAGATTAGTGGAAGTTATATTATAACTGTATTTACCTGTGTTCAGAAGATTTTCCTTGTTTCCATTGAAAACAGAAAGTTTGTTTTTCGACGCAACAATCAAATCTTCATACCCGTCATAATTCAGATCGATTCCACCAACAAGCGCGTTTCCAAAGTACTGATCATCTTTATCTCCTTCCAAGACAAATTTAGCCGTGAATTCTCCATCTGCAGTCATTTCATAAACATAGACCTTCCCAAGATTTGCCTTGACATGATGAAGATCTGACCAAGTAGGAGCTCCAACTGCTAGCCATGCTTTTTGATTTGGTTCAATTTGCCCAAGGGCGAGAGAATGGCCAAACTGTTGTCCAGCTTGAATGCAGAACTCGTCTAGGTCGGAGAAATCCGATGGCTTGAGGAATTTACTGCCGTCGGCAATCAAAACAATTCCATTTTTCGTGACTCCGTCGAATTGCGGCGCGCCAACTAGAAGTCTTCCCTTTGATGGGCCAAAAGGAATATCGAGAAAATCAGCACCAGATTTGAACCCTTCTTTTCTCGAGACCTCGTCTCCTGGAACAATTTTTTTAAGCCGTTGAGACGTCGAGATCTTCCGCCCTCCGGAGTTTATCGACGAGTAGCTCAGAAGAACACCATTTGCATTTGAAGTATCTAGTGCTGAAATGACGACATCTCTTTCTCGATCAATAATTCTCCATCCTTTTCCCTTGCCATCGTCGCTCAGTTGGTATCTTTCGTCATCGATCCAACACGATCCAAATCGACGGAATCTGAAGTCGCCATCTCCAGTGATGAATTTATCAATTTCTTTTTCTTGCAGATCTGAGCTGTCGTATGGATAAACATGTTTCCACTTGCCATCTCCAGGCGCGCAGTAGATCTTCTCACTATCATCGGTATATTTCACCGCTGCTCCAAGCAATCGATGCCCTCGGTCCGGGACCAAGTTTTTCGACGAAACATAGCTTCCGTACGGGTCTAGGTACTCAGGATCTTGAAGTTTTGTGCAAGAACTATTCTCGCCAAAGATGACGTCACATTCGTATACACTTCCATTCCCCTGGAATTTTGGGGCTCCAACAAGGATTTTCTTTCTTCTTTTACTGTCATCAATATCAGCAGAAAAGCCAAAGTAACTGTCGATATCGCCTTTTATTTGTTTGAAAATAAGCTTTATCTTACTGTATTGACGCGCTTGTACAGTCATTTTTTCATAAAACAATCGATTTCATTTTAATTCAAACATTCCTTTATGTTCCACTGGCTGCTGAGTTTCGACATTGAAGCCAAATATTTCCGTCCCCAAAAGAGCTGTCAAGATTCCTGGACAATTCTTCATATTTCTCCTTTTCTAATTTTCCTTTTCTTCTTCGATATCTTTCTCTTACTCCTCACAATCGGAGTTAAACGGAGGGGTTATTTATTGAACCGTAGCGTTGCCTCCGGGGCTGGAGCTTGAATTTGAGAAATAATCTCGTTCACGGAGTAGTTTTTTTTCAAACAGCGAGAATCATTCTCGACTTTACGAGGTCCCGCGAAAACACTTCTTTCTCTCCCTTTGAGATGCCACTAACCGTTGTGAACAATAAGCTTTAGTGCTTGGTGACTCACGCTTTATGAGCCGCATTTCCAAGTTTGGACGATTCAAGTGCGCCTGTTTATGCATTGTGAATAAGTTCAGAGAAGAGGATGATTGAGCATCACTCTTTTTTGCGATGTTCGCATCGGTCTTAATTATAATTTATTAAAAGTAAGCAGGTTTTTCACTGAAAGAAGGACATGATTTTTGTTTCGAGTATTTTATCGCAGTTTTCGTTTTCCAATTTTCGATCATATTTTCCAAGAATACCAAGAATCAGCTTTTGCATGTCTGAAAAGAGTAAGAAAAAATCATTCTAGTCGACAAAGCTTAAAACTTACTGTCAAGACATTTTTCTCTATCCTCCTTGATTCCACCTATGAGATACTCGTTGAAAGTCATCGCAAAAATGTGATTTGAAACGATTAAAAACTGGAAAATCTTCATTTCCGATAGTGCGGCCGATTTCTGCCAACTAACTTGCCAAGATCACTGCCTTCGACATTTTATAACACGGAGAAGGAATGAATAATTCAACCGCTGATCCGTCTATCAGCTCATTATAAGGTACTTTTACCGTTAGTAAGGAGCCCTGCAATATTGAAAAAGGAAAAACAGTGTTACACGGTTTTTGCGGTAAAATGGAACAGGTGTTCTTTAACTCAACTAGCGGATTTATTCACTTGGTTGAAAATAGCTCAGGATTTCAGCTTCAATAACTCGGTCGCAATACTCGTCTGAGGAGAGTTTCAAGTTTTGTGGGAAGGAAAAAAGACGATATTGTTGAAACTCTTGCTATAGCATGTCGATCAAATTGCTCTTCTAGGTCAATGAAGACTTTGTACATATCTTTGATATTTTTTAACAAAAAAATCGAAGAAATACTAACTGTCAAGGCATTCTTCTCGATCCTTTCTCAACCCAGTTTGAAGATATTCATGGAAAGACATCGCAGAAACCAGTTGAAAAGCAAAAGATATTTTTAAAATGTTCATCAGAAAATTTGATGGTCATCCACTTCAGCTCATCTTCTTAATAGAGAAGCGATGCAATCAAAAATTTAACCTGATAACATGCTAAGGACGAATTTCCGAAAGAGAGAGTTGGATTTGAGTTGATTTATTTAAACTTGGCTTTTGACCCTATTTTTTCTTCAACTGACGCTCAATCGAAATTGTTGTGTTGCTTATTCTATTGTCAGTATATTTGTGCTCATATTTTGTTAATAAAAAGAATGTTCCAACTGCACTATTTTAATCTTCCTTTTAAGCCGCTTGAAGGTTGTCTACCTTATGTCGCGAAATCCTCTTTTGCTAAAAAATAATTAAATTTTTGCTTTAAAACCTCTGATTTTCACTCTTCAAATAAACACAAAGACTATGCATTTTTTGACCATTTTGACTCTCTCAGTCGCCACTGTTTTCTCTTTCGACCTTTGGTCGGAGCGGGAAAAATGCGTTTCTCGTAAGAAAATGATGAGAATTAAGCTTGAGGGATTTTAGGGGTCTTTCGAGACGACTTGCTGGAAGGAATTTACAGTCTTGTGGAGATTGAAGACTACTGTGACCGATACATAATGGAGAAGATGAAAACTCTTGGTATTTCCTGGTGATTTCCGAGCAAATAAACGAAAGTATCTCAATTTGCCTATGTATTTTATTATAAGGAATTGAAGCAGTTTTTGTTGCTCTCTTGAAGACGTTTGATTTCTTCATCTTTTTCGTCGATTCTTTGTTGAAGAATGTCGACGAGATTCATTTCATCTTTTTGGCTTGAATCATTTATAAACTCTGCTGTAGGAAATGCAGGATTTGAATCTGGTTTCGATTTTGGAATTGGTTTAGGAATTGATGAGAATGACTGTGTTAGCGTTCTAGATGATGAGGTTAAAATTCTAGCTAGAATTTTTCGCCTTGCGTTTTACCTGGATCTTCGACTGAGAATTTCCGAGGACGAGTTTTCTCCTCTATTCGAGTTGATTTCGCGAATAGCGTCAAAAGTAGCTTCGACCATTCGATTGCATTGATCGTCATTCAGCTCGATTTCACTTCCATTTCGAAGGACAGTGAAGACGAACTCTTTGCAATCTAACGCATCAATTAGCTTTCACTCTTTGTTGGTCTGATGAACCTTTTTTGGAAGCGGGATTGAGGGAGGAAAATGGATATGATTCGGGGATGGAGTTTCCGTCGAGCGAGAAGAAAAAGTTCGTTGGGCAAATGGTCTGAAAATGAAAAGAAGGGATGAAAATCAGGATTCATTACATTTTCGCAGTCAGAATGGGTGATTTGAAGCGTTTCGTCGCAGATTCCTAGAAACGATTTCAAGGACACCTCGCCATCTGTTTTTCCATCGTGACAGTTTCTCGTTCTTTTTGCTCGTCTTTGAAGAATATTTTTATTTTTGATGATCGGAATCATCAATTCATTCATGTTAACTTCTATTGAAATAAAAAACTTTTCCCGCAAGGTTTCGGACATTCGGACCACTCTGACCATTCCGTCCAAAATCTATAAGTCGCATTCTGGCAAGTGTTCTTAAAAGAAGCCCTTTGAATCGCTCTATTCTTCATCTTGAACTGAAGAGAACAGACTATATCAGGATTTTTCGACTGCCGACTTGTTGTTTCCAGTGAACCACGGTATGACTTTTCTGGCGTGTTCCATACAATCAGCTCGCATGTTTTCTAAAGAGGTTTTCTGAAAAACAACTTTTTCGATAGGCTACCTTGTTTGGGGATTCCATTTCGAAGCATTTGAAGTTCGAAATCATCGGTATGCAATCATCATGAAGTCGCAAGACCTTATTCTCCTTCTTGATGCTCGCATAATGATCCGCTGCGTTCACGAGCTACGATTAATGAAAGAATTTGAAATCAAGGAAGAGAATACCTTCAAAATCTTCTTCCGCCAAGCTTTTCCCCATTCTCTTGGGCACTTTTGCCCTTCAACCCCAAAAAGAAAGATGAAAAAAGGAAAGATCATTTGGAGGAATCGAGGAAGACTGGAAGTTAAAGGATAGTTTCAGAATGGGTAAAAGCCAGATTGTCGATCAATTATTCTGAAGGCAGCATGGAGCGCAGACTCTGAGCACCGATCAAACTCTTTTAGCTGACATACGACTTTTATGGAATATTTCGGCTAAATGATATATAATATTATTTAAAAGTTGAAGCTAATTACGAATTATTTTCTGAGAAGAACGTGTTCCTTAGTTAGTGAAATACACTATTATGAATAATTTCACCGTCATTTTTACCTGAACAATAATGATTTTGTTTTAGTAAAGAAGCTTCAATATAGTCCCGCAAAATCTGCAGTGAAAATATCATATCATTATATTTAGGGCCGACGAGCAAAAAATCAACCCCAAGTACCCGAAACTTTGTAGAAGTGTTTATTTTAGCCCAATTGAAAAAATTGTAATTGAAAACTTTTTGATCGGATCACGTGATCGCGGGTTACAGACCTTATTAATTGCCTTTATGAAATGGTGCATATCGTCCTGCAGACGAGGAGTCAAGGTCACTGATTCAATAATTAGGTCGAGTTCTGCTGAGTTAACATTTCTTAAATATCATTAACGCGCCTCTGGGGAGCCCAGAATGAGAGATCTACGGCAAATTATATCCTGAGGGATGAGCTCAAGGTCGAAGCTTTTGTAGCCAGACTGAGTTTCCATCAAGGTCAAGCAAGCTCTGCACTCAGCCTCTTTCTGAGTCAGGCGAAAACATTTTTTTAGGTCTTGATTTTTAGTAGAAATATATTATTTGAAATCTGTCGCAGTGCTGAAATATTTTTTTTAAATTTAATTGCAATAAATTATCGACTAAATCTCGACATTTTGTCTACGTAGCTAGACTCGGAACGCTTGTCCCTACAAACCTAGACTTCTGAGGGTAGGAGTCATCTAGTGAGGAGAGACATTTGGTCAGGGAGCCAGTTAGACAGACCTGACTAAATGCCTCTCCTGACTAAATCGCTCCTATCCGACTTCCAATCCTACTACGGATAGATGCCCGACAGAGCTCGAGAAAAATTGGAGCACGCTCAAATGCGACGGACACTCGTCTGCGCCAGAACTCATCCGCGTCGCGCGGTCATTTGCGCGGCCGTGGCAGATCAGTGTTAGCCGCATATGAGCGCGAAAAAAAACGCGAAAAGTTATTGGCAGTTAGGCTATTTGAAAGCGATGATGGAAAGACGTGGAACAAGAGCGCCAAGGATCATGGATACTGAATTCTAGCTTTCTCTCAATTCACCCTGTATGCCTTTTTGAAAGTTTGCCGAGCCAGCATAATGATTTTCATGAACTATTCGATTTGGTTGATGAAATTTCTGTACCGCCAGTCTGTACCCAAATTATCGAAGCTGAAATTTTAAGGACTGTAATATATTTTTGGTTGATTTATCTTCGTCTTTCGTGCTGAATTAAGCATTCAATATAACAACTTTTCGCGTTTTTTTTCGCGCTCATATGCGGCTAACGCTCATCTGCCGCGAAGCTCTCCAGCCACGGCCGCGCAAATGAGCGCGCGACGCGGATGAGTTCTGGCGCAGACGAGTGTCCGTCGCATTTGAGCGTGCTCCAGAAAAATTAAAAGCGCGTTGCTTTGGAAACGCGCGGCGGTGATTGGCGCGCCACGCTCATTTCTCTTTTTCAGAACGGTAAAATGAACGTTTCAAGAGTAGCGAAGAGTGGAAGGATTTTGAGAGATTTGAAAAGAAGAACTTCGAATTTGGCGAATGCGAAAAGTACAGTTACGCTTTGGATTGACGATCACACCCAACCGGGGCAAAAATACATTCGGTAAGAAATTATTTGAGAATAAAATTGGAATTTATAAATAAAAGCGTTTTAGTCGAAGGCCACAAGAATTCGCAGTCGATGGCCGAGGGCACGTGATTTGCACAATCGGTGAATTCAACGCTGGAGGAGTCCTAGGAACCGGGAAACATGGCGTGTCGGTCTACTGGGGACCTGGAAATCCGCTGAATTACGTCGATAACTTGCGTTTCTCGCCGCTTGGTGTGACACTAAAAACAAAATACAGGAAGAGGCTCAATTTCTAGAACACTTTTTTCTTCGTAATTACCGAAATTATGTTTTTGTAGAGCCAGAATAAAGTTGGGAAGAATGCGATCGACTAGCATTGCAATATTCGAGAGAAATGAACATGAGAGCAATAAAACATGCAGCAGAAACAGCTAAATTCATCGGTAAGGCATATTTCTGAATTTATCCTATAGTTACTGTAACGCTCTACTTGTAGGAGTGGATTGTCTTACAATAACGCTACAAAACTTCAAACTAATCAACCAATTCAACTCAATGGACGCCTCTGGAAGTCTGATGCATTCGTTCCGAAACAACATGAAAAACGTAGTGAAAACGAACTGGTACCACATGCTTTCTTTGGCCGGCTTGAAAGTCTTTCTCTGCCGTCTTGAATATCAAGATGCTGAAGCACGTGAATTAGCGATAAAAGCAGCAAATGCTGGACGATTTCGACCTCTCACGGCGAGTCAGCAAATCGTTTCGGAAGAACACAAAGAGCTTGAAAATGACATGCGAGAAATTCTCTCCCAACTGGCGGTGAACAATGGACAAGATAATATTGCACAAGTGAGGGAAAACGTCAAGAAGAATAGAAAGTACGTCGTGACGAGACAAGTTTCGGCGAAGGAGAATACCAAGATTCTGTTGGAGCACAGGAGGTTAGTCTTCTAGTATCTCTAGAATCTGAATTTATTTTCAGATCCGTTGGTCTCCCCGAGATCCCGCAGCATTTCTTCGTCGAAGCAAATGTAGACATGGACTATGCAAAATCACAAGGGTCTCTTGGAATGGACGAATTCGACGAGTTTGATGAGTTAGAGAAGATATTCCTCGACGATTCCAGCGTCCGAGGACATGAATTAACTGACGAGGAGCTTTTAAACACGCTCGACGGTTAAGAAAAAAACTTATAATTCGGGTTTTAGAATGAAACACGGGGTCTCGATCCAAGACCAGATAAATGAGGCGAACAAGAAGCTTCAGCTCCACGAGGGCGACCTCAAGGCCTACAAAGAGAGCACGACGCAGCAAATGAACGACAACAAACGCGTCATCCACGAACTTACAGTCAGCAACAAGCAGCTTCACAAACAACTCGCCCAAGTTCTCAGAGGAGATGAAAAAGTCATCGAAGCGGCGCTCGGCGATCACAAAATCGAGAAACAAGCGTTCAAAAGCCTGGGCTCGGCATCCTGACCTGTCTAAAAACCTTAGACAGGACCTGTTTCCTGTTTTTGGGACCCTGTCCTGTGTACCTGAGTAAAAAAGGGATATTTTTTGGCCCTGTCCTGTGTACCTGACCAAAATTGGGATTAAAATTTAGAAACCCTGTTTCTGTCCCTGTCCCTGATTAAAGACAGGCCTGTTTTTCCTGGTCAGGGCCTGAGTTGAGACAGGTTCCTGTGTAGTTAGGTCAGGAAACAGGCTTCAATAACCTAGATCGGCAAGGTAATTTAAAAGAAAAAAGGCCAAAAACGTCGTTATAATAAATTGATCGTACCGGTTTATATTCTGGAAGTTTATTGAAATTTCAGATAAAAGCGTCGAAATTGATTTCAACCGGATTTTACCTTGTAGGTTATCATTACTTACTTACTTTTAGCCCCTTAATTATGAAGTCACTTTTATACATTATCTGAAGTCAAGAATCGATTGCCAAGAAAACATTCGCGAAAGAATCGCCATTTTTTAATCCTGGCAATGAACCAAATGGTTATAATATTCTTAAAATTAGAAATTTTATCTAATTCTTTGATTACAAAAAATCCTGTCTTTTTTCCTGACTCAGGTCCTGTTTCCTGACCTGTCTGGAAAAACCTGTCCTGTCTTCCTGTGTAAAATCGGAAGATTTTTTGGTCCTGTCCTGTGTACCTGTCTAAAATTTGGGTCAGGAAGAGGGAAACCCTGTCCCTGTTCCTGTCCCTGACACAGGTTGCCGAGCCCAGTCAAAAGCAAAGCAGGAAAAGACGTTGTTAATGTAAGTCCTTCCCCTAATGCCTTAATTAACCAATTTAATTAAGATTATCGATCAGAAAAAGTGCGACAAGCAAAAACGCCTCAACGCCATTCGCGCCCAAAATGAAAAGAAACGCCGTCAGCTTCAAGAACTTCAGACTTCGAAAAATCTGATGGAAAAAGATATCAAGAGAGAAGAGGAAAACTGCAGAGGCGTCTCAGAAAATGCTCGTCAGCTTCGAACTATTGAAAATCGTCTTGACAAAGGTTCGTTTTCTGGTTCTCACAGACCGATAACAAGATTCTAGCGCTTTTGAAGCAGCGAGAAGCGGAACATGTGAAGGCGATTTACGAAAAGATGCTGGCAAAGCTTCAAGAAGGCGCGCTCAAGTTCCCGACAATTTTGGAAGACAAAGAGCGCCAAGTACAGGAGCAAGAGCAAGAACTCAAGCGCGTTCAGGGCATGCTCGCTCAGGCTCAATCCCAGCGGGATCGAGCCAAAGCGCAATTTCACGAAAACGAGGAAGAGCTTCAGCGAGAAAGGCGGGAACGAGACCGAATGCTTCAAGAACTGCGACAGCGGGCTGATGAAAAGCGAGGGGCTGACGCGTTGGAGAGGAGAACGACGAGAATGGAGAGCCGAACTGGCTCGACTCCGGCTGTTCTCGACCCTGTTCAAGGAAATGATATCTTGCAGCAAAATGATTTGGAGGCGAAGATCGCTGAGTATGAAGGCATTTATGGCGCGATCAAGGAGGCTACCGGCGTTTCGAGCATTGACGAAGCTGTTTCTCGATTTGAATCGCAAGGAGAAACGTCCAAGCATCTTCAAACTCTCAAGGTACGTTCCTATATAAATGAAGATATCCCAGAATGCGAGAGATGTCTTTGTATGTCGAAAAGTATCTCTGAATTTCTCAGAATATCTTTTTGATATCTGAGTCTTGCCTGTTTGAACAGTTTGTTTCAGGAAGAAAACGAGCAAAAAATAAAAGAACTGAAAGAAACGCGAATGGACCTCGAAGCTCAATTCAACAAGTTCAAATACTCGGACGCTGACGAAGCCGCAAAGATCGACAATGATCTCTTCGAAATGACCCAAAAGACAAAAGAAAACAACAAACTCGCGAATGAATATCGAACTAAACTTGAGCGTCAAAACAGTAAGCCTCTATTCTCCATTTCAATCTTATAAATCCATACTAGAGCTTCTTCTCAACGTCAGATCAGGCGTCCAGCATCTTTGCGACAAACTTGACTTTGTGGAAGGAACAGGCGAAACTGTCAAACCAGGTAGACGTTAGAAAACACTTTGCTTTACTCATTCTTCTTTTCAGAAAATGCAGATGTCGTGGGAGACATCAACGCAATCATCGAGCGATCTGGCAAGCAAATCGACAGTTTGCTCCAATCTCTTGGAGAAGATGTGAGTTTTTCCTTGTTTTCATGTTCGAAGTCATTTTGAAAATTTAGGGTGTCGACGGAGCTCAAGAACGCGCTGGAACGGATTTGACCAGCTGGGCAATTACAAGAGTCGAGGAAACCGCACCATACTCTGCTATTAAATCACCGGTACGCTAACTTTCTCAATCCTTTTTCATTATTCTTCAGGGTCATCACGCCGCTCGCGCTCCAGGAGATCTCTCCGACGACGGCTCATCCGGCGAAGAGGATACTCAAATGCTCACGCGTGAAGAAATCAAGAAGCAAGCCGATGCTCTGGTCAAAGCACGAAACAAGAAACGCGGCCGTCCCGTCAAGCAAAAAGGCCGACGATAAGAAGGAAACATCATTTTTGAACAAAACTTTAATATTATCACCATGTATTTAATTTCACCGCCTTCCACTACTTCACATACGTCTGATCTTTCTCAATTTTGATTTTTATATGAACGAATAAACTTATATTTTTATAAACATAAAAGCTTTCTACGTTTCAATCATCGCTAGAATGTTGGCGAGGGCTCAGATCTTGAGGAGAAGACTTTCGGATTATGTCGGACCTGCATTGGTCTGCGGGCCAGACAGGATTTACAGACCGACCTTGGAAATCAGCGGAATGTCGGGGGCAATCGGCGGGTTTTCAGCAAAAAGGCAGTATGAGTAATAGGGTTGAAAGAGACTCCCATTCGCACTGATCGTTTTTCTTGATTAGGGTAGGTCTCTGAATGAAAAGGCCACCCTCTTTTTTTGATGCTGGAAGCCGCAAGCGGCTTCCCGATTTGAATTCTCGCGAAAGCATTTTTCAACCATGTAAAGAAAAAATGAAGAAAGAGACGGGTTTTGATCCAGAATTTTTCGAAGAAAACATCAACGCATCTTTCACTGGTGTCTGCAGAGCTATTACGAGCATCGACTGTCCTGCCATCTTCCACTGGTCGCACTCGGCCCAGCACGAGCGTTGGGCACATCTTATTTCCGAGATATCAGGTGCGCATCCTCCCATTTTATGAAGGATTTCTAAATTCTTTTCTAGGCGATATTACACTCTTGTCGAAGATCGCGAAAACGCCACTGCAGCAAACAACGTTTGATGAAATGCAAAAAATCACAACTGAGCCGAGCCAGAGGACAGTTTTTAAGAACATTTTCGTCAAGAGCCTGGAGCGCTCGTGTGTCTATTCCGAGAAAATAAGATCTACTCGTGTTGAAGGTAAAAGTTCCCATTCTTCCCTTTTCTTATTAGTTTTCCTAGTAAATGGGGATTCTTATTGGACACTTTCCGCTTACGCAGTGAATGTCGACAGCCTCGGAGGCGTTCCTGAATACCTCGACGAGCAAAATTTCAGCGATTTCACTACAGCTGTCCAGTCGATCGCCGACTCCTATCTTCAGGAATTCACGATGGCCTACAAACTCGACGGCAACACTGGTGTCTGGAATGATGAAAACTTTAAACTTTGGGACTACAAGCTGAGCAACCCCGAGAATACGTACAACACAAGCATTTTAAAAGCCGGAGAGCTCTGTAGATTTTCCTTGCAGCCTTCGAAAAATGTTTTCTACGATGATGACGAATAAAAATTCTAAGGGTTTAAATTGAGTGTTGTATCTTTGTTCATATTTACAGCAACAGGTAGTTATCCTTTTTATACAGAAATAGATATTAAAACGATCGCACGCAGCCTCCCGTCGCTTCCTAAAATCGAATAAGTAGATGTAAGAAAATGGTCCCAACCTCGATAAATGTTAGAAATACCGATGGTCTAACAAAGACCGAGGGTCCATCGCCTCTCTTATTGCATCCAGGTCCGTATATTGAAATCCCATGCAGGAACCATTCTCCATTATCTGCCTCGCAGATTAGCGGAGCTCCTCCATCTCCCTGTTCGAAGATTACAACACTTTCCCGACTCTTTGCACATAAAAAGTTGAATCCTTTCCTGGCATGGTCGATTATCTCCGCCAGTGCAAACCATCTGCTGCGTGCTGTACTTTTTCTTGTAAATTTGCGAGCAATAGCCGTCATTGACGATGTTGATCTTTGCCGAATGTGCTTGTCTGGTAGACATCGTCTGCGAATTCATTCCCCATCCGGCCGCAAAGCAATTGAAGCCGCCCTTCTTTTTGTGAACATAGTCTTTCATGCAAATCGGCTGGATATACTCGTTGAATGCCACTGGCCGAGCGAATTTTATCAGAGCAATGTCGTAGTCGTATCCGCCATCGAAAAGTGGATGTTCTTTTTCAATGCTTAGACAACATTATACAGTGGGGAACCCTAGAAAACGACAGCTCGTTCGAATCCCAAACTTAGGCATTTCTGAGCACTTTCCTATTATCGACTTGACCAAGATTTCTTCCTGGTGTTTACTTGCTTGATCCCAACGCATATTCCCAAACTTAACCTTGTGCACATATTTCTCACCGTAAGTCAATTCTCTAGCACAATCTCCGGAAGTTATCGCCCACTGATGACAGATCAAGGCCACTCCGCATTTCATATGGATGTATTCTCCGTCTATGATTTGTTAGTCAACTTGAAAATGAACGAAATATAAAGCATTTTTACAAATTGATTCAAACCCTCTTCAAGCAGCATTCCCAACCAAGGCCACTGAGTTGGTCGGATCGGCTGTCCGCCCAAGATTCGGACCATTCGATCGGGCGATATTAGGGGTCGTCCGCAGATTCCATTGATAGCCGTTTCCACTCCTGTTGGTTGATCATCCGCTCGCTCGAAGGAAGCAGCAATATTGCTAACTTGCTGCTGATTTCGCTTGATCGTGTAGATTGCCGAGAAACCAGGAAAATTAATAAGCTTGTTCGAAGAGAAAAATATCTCCATCTGTTTCTCCGTCGTTGTAAATGTATCTTCTGGAATGCCGTTTCCGCAAAGATAGAACCCCTGGCCATCATGGTGTATTTCTACGCGATCTTTTCGACAAGACGTGTCATATTCAACTTTGAAGAAAGTAAACTTGAGTTCGATGTGGAAGCCGGCAGGGGCAGTGATCAGCCAGCGGCATTTCTCGTCGCTCGAGTATTTTTTCGGATAATTGGGGGAGGTGATGACTCCTGATGCTGGAACGCCATTTTGAGGGATTTGAAGTTCGACTTCGAAACCACACTTGTAGAAATCAGTGGAGAGGTCGTCACCAGAAGCTTCATAATCGAAAATGTCATCGTCTTCGTCACCATCCTCAAATTGGAAATGGTCAACACGGGATGGTGTACCCTTTCCTGCCTCGATATGACTTAGCCAGTCGAGATACTGAACGACTTTTGTATACACACCGGGAAATTTTCCTCCGCATCCTCGTCCCCAAGAAGTGACACCAGTGATTTCCCATCGTTGGTCCCCTGGATTGTGGCAAACCAATGGTCCGCCGCTGTCGCCAAGGCAGGTATCGACTCCAGCGTTAGAGCCAGCGCAAAACATGTTCCCAGTGATGATGTCGTTTTCGTATTGCTTTTGGCAGGCTTGTTGAGAGACGATTTGAAGGATTCCAGATTTCAGCTCGTTTCCTGTTTGCTTTGCTTCATCTAGCTCGAATCCCCAAGCTGGTAAGTGAGGATAAGATGTTCCAAGCTCGAACATTTGTAGAAGCCAGTTTTGGCTCTAGAATTTATTTGATGGTCAAATCATTCACTGATCATATAATACCTGATGCTCACGATCTTCATTAGCATTTTCAGGTTTTGAAGCTCCCCACCCTGCAACTTCGCAATATTCATTCACCCTCGGCTCCTAAATCTTTTTTTGAAGATTCATGTATGAGGACGATTTTCCTACCCCGCTTGGAAGACAAGCTGGCTGGACATAGTCAGAAAGCGTCAGTGGCTCATCAAGCTCTAGTACAGCAATATCATGCTCATCGGACATAGCATTGTATTCAGGATGGATGTAATACTGTCTCGCATTTCGGACTTGGATATTATCGTAGACTTCATCTGGAACGTCATCGACGCCATCCGCTGTCAAGTGGTCCAAGTTGTGCACTCCGGCGAGGACCATGGAATCTCTTTGATAGGATTTAATTAGTGATTAAAAGATTTTGAATATGAAAAATGAAGAAATTGAATCCTTTCCTAGGATCACCGCCAATACAGTGCGCCGCCGTAATGATCAAACTAGGCGTCATAATTGTCCCTCCGCAGCCGACACTTTTCTTGTATGCGAGTGCGACCATCCAAGGATGATCCCCTTGCCGCGCCGTCGAGCCATTTGTAATTCGACGGAAGCGCGAAGCCCGGGCGGGTGTTTCGCCGCAAGTCGGCTGGAAAATCCCAAATGGATTATTGGGCGTTTTCGTACTCTCAGTTCTTGGTGGTGGTGTTCGTGGTCTCTTTGTTGGTGGTGGTCGAGCGAGGATCTTCGTCGTTGTCGTCGTCGTTGATGCTGTTGTTTTTGTAATAGTTGTTGTGGTCACGATCTGCGGATCAGCCATTTTCGGGTTGAAGTACTCATCTGGCGTATGATACTCTGCTTCTTCGTAAATATGACTAGTGTCGGTGTAAAAGATTTCCGGGCGATATTCATGCGGGAGAGCATCAAACAGCTGATCGAGCAAGTAAATGATGTCGTTTTTGAACTTGATTCGATTGTCCTCTGGAGAATGGCATAAGCCGCAGGATCGAGCGCAAAGGCCCATCAGATCTTGATCGGCGCAAATGCATGGGGGACATTTTGGAAGCTGGTCAAAACAGCCCTGAATGGAGTGTGCTTAAAAATCAACTGATCAATACATACTCTGTCTGCTGGTATATAAAAGTAGTATCCATTCTCTGTAAAGGAATAAGCTTCTACGACACTCTCTATCAAAACAACAGTCCATAACGCGAGGAACATGAAACTTCTCTCGATTTTCAAGTTCCGACGAAAAAGTTTTTCAAATATTCAAATTTTCAAACAAGTTGTTGAAAAACTAAAAAAATTAACGTGGCGTAGCGGAGCACTGTTGCGCCACGTTAGAGACCACATTGCGCCACGAATTCGCTGATAATTACCGAAATGCGCAGCCTTGTTTGTGATACAAAATCGGCATTATAATAAACAAATCGGACAGAAGTGGTTGCTTTCAGACAAGTTGGGCATGTTAATCGTCTCCTTCTCGTCTTAGATGGTCTCCCGGTGGCGTTTTCCTCTTTACTGCCAAAAATCATAAGTCTTCAGAAAAAATGATGTTTTTATATCCAAATATCTTTGAGATTATTTAAGTTACAATCCCACGTTCATAATTAACCTGTTCAACCGTTCTTCGTTATTAAAGCCAGATAAAGGAAAAAAAGTTTGCAAACCTCTCAATAAGGGTCTTGCCTCATTTATATTCCTTATGGTTCAACAGTATCAGTGAAAGTTCATCAAGATTTATTCTCATAATCTTCAGAAATTTTCATAGAAGATAGAAATGTGTATCAACTCATAGAAATGAATTCTTCGTTAAAATGAAAGTCATGGAATTCTTCTCACTTCATTATTCCCTTTAATTTTATCGTTAACAATTATAAATCAACTGAGTCAAACGTTCACATCCGATTCTAGCGCTGTTAATTGTCGGCGACCGCTTTAATGAACCGTGCACGAGTGTGATAACTGTTCCCGCCATCGACAGAGCGTGACTCGAAGTGTTGGCGTAATTATAGTAATCGGCCTCGAAGGAGATAAACAATAGAAAAGAACGACACTTTTCTAAAAGAATTTGTCATTACCAGTAATTCTAAAATAAAAAAAGGACTCGAAGATCTCTTTTTGAAAAATGACGCATATCGATCCTCTAAAACCTCCCAGATACCCCACCGAGCACTGATAAGGACCCTCAAAGCATCCCTTCCAACACGAATATATACCCTTATCACAGTTTTGTTATCTTATCCCGACCAGTGCATGCGAGTTTGTATATTTTGATAAAAGCAAATTTCACCGAATTCTTGAAATTTTGAAGATTTTAGGAAGCGAGCGGAACGCGAAGGTTCCGCCCCATTGACTTGTTCGACGGAATCTGGAACTCCGCTTTTGACAAGATTAAGGGGAACGCATAAATTCCGCGGATTTGAATATAGCGACCACTAGCAGCTATTTCTCCTCATAAAAAAGTGCTTTTCTTGAACTTCTTTGTTATTTATTTTTCTTCTCGAATAAAATCAATATTTGCTATTGGCACAATATTACTTTGACTTTTTACTTCTTCGAAAATAATGTGAGTTTTTCTTTGAAGAGTTTGGTCTCTAAGTGCTTGGCTGATTTTGTTCTTTGCTTCTTCCATCGTTGTTTCGCCTCGTTTGATGTGAATTTTCAAGTGGCGAATTCGCTCGTCAGATCTCGCAAAGCTCCGATCGCAGATTGGACATTTATAGGGTTTTTCCTTCGTGTGGCAGCGCGTGTGAGTCTGAAAATGGTAAAGGATGAAGATAAGGGGTGATACTACCCGCAAGTGGTCTTTTCTAGTGAATCGTCTGTCACAATAAGTGCAAGCAAAGGGTCGAGTGTCAGTGTGAATTCGTTCGTGGCGCTTGCACTCGTCAGATCGGGCGAATCTCTTGTGGCAGAATTTGCACTGGTGGGAGCGATCTTGCACGGGTACCTAGGAGGACAATTAATCAATTGAAAACAGTCTCTTCTTACTTGTGAAAATGGGCTAGGGTAAGCATGATGTCCTTGAACATCGGCTTTGACCATTTTATCCTCCTCCTTGACGTCGATTTCGGTCGACCTGATTCCAGCGCGCGTTGCTGCCAAATCAATCACGTTCACATTTGAACTACTCTTTGCAAAGCCACTGGTACTTCCCATATTCGACCCGGATGCTTTTGATTGAGAATCATTGCTGTTCGCATTGCTGTTGTTGATGACGTAGATGATTTGCTGTCCATTATTGGAATTGCCGAGGAGGTTTGGGGGAAGGATAAGTTTTTGGGTTTCGCCGTTTTTTGAATTCGGCAAAACAAGGACAATCGGTTGCTGAGGTTGTTGTTTTGGCTCTGCAGATTGAATTTCGAACAGTTGACCATTTGGACCCATGAAGATCTGACGTTGTTTCTAGAGATCCGTGAGGCTTCAAAATCCTGGTCTCAGAGACTTTTACCTGAAGGGGACTTTGCATCATAACTTGCTGGATCTTTCCATCCGCCATTTTTACAAAAGCAGGCTGATTTCTTTGGATCGATGGAGCCTTTTCAAGAAATTAAAGAGAAATTGAAACGAAAGGATATTTACCTGAATGTATGATATTTCATGATCTTGTGGTTGAGTTTTGATATCAATCGTCTCAGTCTCTTCCTCGATTTCTTCGACCTCTTCAAGCATGGGTGACGGGGTTGGGCGAAGGAGGACGTCTAACGAATTCGAAGTTGATAGGGTTACTTCTTGACCGGTTTGCTTATTCGGCTGTTTGGCGATGTGATACGGAGTTGCACCGGTGATTTGCGCGGCTTGACGGGCATGATGCTCGTCTGTTGCGACTTGTTGGATATCTTCATCTCTAAAATACATCTTATGAAAATCCAAAAAAGCGGCACTAAGTGTATATTCATGAATCAGGGTTTTTAGTGAACGACCCGTTTCCTGCAATGTTTAAAGATAATTTAAATTGATTATCCCTTATTTGTTGTAGTGAAACAATAAAAACAGGTTCTAACTTACATTTTTATGGTTACTGATTTGCCCGAACTTTCACCAAGATTTTTCTTGTCCTCAAACGAACCGCTTGCCTTGTAATTCTTCATTTCTCAAAATCTTCCAGCAGCTGTGTCCGGGTAGGTTATTTCATGTCACCTACACCTTGAGCTCCTCTCAATGCAAAAAAGGCGGAGAGGAGGAGCCTCAGATGGTGGAGGCATTGCCCCGGGCGTAAACTGCATTTTCTAGATGGACATTATTTCTTGTTCCAGAAAAATAATCATCGGATAAGCATCAGAAGTCATCAAGCATAAATCCATCAATAACACAGCTAAAACCTCAACTCGTGATTTTACATTAAAACCTAATCTGACAGTCATGCAATTTTGTCAAACAAAAGCAGTTGCTCCTTTCGAAGAAAAAGGGCATAAAAGACTAGCTTTTCTTTTCCCATGAAAAATTATTATAAGGAGATTTCGGACAAGTTTCACTCATATATTGAAAGAGAATATGAAACGGTCAACCCTTATTTTGGTAAAATTTAATTATTGTCTTCGAGAATTCATTTTGATATTTAGTTACTTTACAGGATAAAAGTACAAGTCTTTGTCTTCCTCCGGCGAATTGTAGTAACTCTCCTTTTGTTCAGGTTAAAAATAACCCCTTAGAGCAACTAGACCATTGTTTTGGCTTATAATCTCAATAACCAATCGAAGATGAAAAAACTTATCTAACCAACATCATGAACGAAGTCAATCGTCCCACATTCACCGAAAAATTCGTCGCTTCCGTCTATCTGGTCATGTTCCTCGTCGGTTTCTCAGCAAACATGCTTGTCATTCTAGTCCTGCTCCTTACCCACGGGTCGCTAAAAGCACCAGCGGGATTGTATGTTCTGCACTTGGCAGTGGCGGATTCGCTGTTGCTCATATCATTGCCCTTTGCAGCTGATAATAGGCTTCGCGGGACATGGATTTTTGGCAGAATTGCGTGTAAGATTATGGAATCGATGAAACTTTTGAACTTTTTCTCGTCGATTTTTCTTCTTACTTTGATGGGTAGCAAAAGAAATAATTTCTTTGGTCTTATCAATTTCTAGCTGTGGATCGATACTTATCAGTCTGTCGCCGAGTTTCCTACAAGTGGAGGCAAACAGTAACCAACTCAATTTGCGCTGGCGTCTGGCTCGTATCCATTCTCACTGTCGCTCCGCTTGTAATGTACTCTGACATCGCCTACCGAGATCCGGAAGACAATCAGAATGCCCGCTGCATCGTTGCTTTTCCCGATATCATGAACCAAGTCAACCCTCTTGGTCTAAATGGAACTTCGGATTTTGAGGATTCACATCATTTTTACATCGGTAAAGATTCCATTTTTTTCATAAAAGGAGGAATTAAGGGGGTAACTCGACGTTTTTCGTTGTCACTGGACATCATCATTCGCACCCGTTTAGCTTGTTCCAAGCTGATGGGGACCATGGAGCGCTAGAAAGCCACTGCCTCAGCAACGGATCAAAGGTGGAACTGGCTTCGAAAGTGCCGAGTGACTTTCTTTTCTAGCAATTCAGAAACTACATGTACATCATCACAGCGGTCGGCTTCGTTATTCCACTCGCCATCGTCATCTTCTGCTACACCAACATCCTCTCCATCATGGCTTCCTCCCAGAAAAAACTCGGCAAATCCGACGCCAAAGCAAAAGACGTAGCTGGAATTCTTAAACAACTGCGCAAAGACGAACACCGAAAGCAAAAAGTCTCAAAGCTCAAGGGAATGCCTCCGCGACGAAAAGTGACAGTTTTAGTCGCGAATCTAGTGATTTCCTTCGTCTGCTGCTGGCTGCCGTTTCACTTTTGGCACATTGTCAGGCTAAGTGGCCTGGATTTGTCGGAACATCACTTTTGCGCCAAAATTAGAGATCTGACATTTTGGTAACTAACTTTCAATTCTCACATTTTCACTTAGAGTATTCTAGCCTTGCATACTCTAACTCTGTATTGAACCCGCTTTTGTACTCGTTCCTCGGGTACGGATTCAGGAACAAGCTTATTGCAGCTCTGACAAGAGTAAATGTATCACTGATTTTGACCTGAACAAAGTAATTTTCAGATCAAGACTTGTTTCCGATCACGAAGTCCAACTCAAGCAAGCATGAGGGGAAATGAACGACGAAATCAAAATATGCTTGAATATTTGTAATAAATATGTCTCATATTTTTGACAAATTTATCGATTGTTTATTCTTATTTTGAGTTTTTTGCATCAGTTTAAATTATTTGCGAGTGCAGACATTTTTTCGCTAATTTCATCGTCTTTTTCCGACGGCCAGTTCATCAGTTCCATGAGAACTTTGATGAAGTTTTTCTTCCTCAACTCGAGTTCTGAAAAGAGAACTTCGTCATCATCAGCTTTTAGGGGAAGCTGCTCAGAAACTGCGAGGACGTAGAAAGCCAGGCGAAGTTGAAGGGATCGGAAACGATTTACATGGACGAGGGAGAGGAGGTAAATGAGATCGTTCCATCGGCCGCGTCGCATTCTTTTGATCTAAGGAGGGTTATTTCAATTGAAGTTGGTAGGCGTACCTTTTCGTCAGTAACGACTGGCAGAACCTCAACAAGCTTGATTCCTCCATTATCCCAGGCAGGTGTCATCATCCACATGACGATTCCTCCAGCCAAAACTGCTGTGCTCACGGAAAAGGTCACGAGAGCAAGCAATACTCGAGTCTCTGTATTCGAAAATTCAAAATTTTCCCGCTCTACTCCATGGATATCATAAAATTCGGACGGAATCGGGCAAAAGATTGTCGAAGGATTTCTAGCTGGCGCAATTAGCTGGTAGTAAATGAAGAAATTGGCGAAGAAAACAAGGAGGAAAGTTAGTCCTCGGAGAAGCGCGAATTTTGTTCGGAAACGACTTCGGCCGTGATATTTTCGGAGAATTTTGTTGAAATTCGAGAACTTCCAGTCGTTATCTTCAGCTGCTTGTCTGTAGGCTTTGTCAAAGGTGACATAATTACTTTCACTGTTTCGTTTCCCTTTGAACGAGCCGTAAGTTTGCTTGTCTTCTTTGAAGGGCCTTGAAGACTGAGAATCGAAGGTGTCTTTCGACGTGGATTTGACGAGAAAAGCCCCTGAATTCTCATCGCTGGAAATTTCTGTCGTCGGGGAAATGCAGCCATCGATTTCAGTTGCTGACTTTTGAGAGTTTTTCACCGCGTCTTGCATTTGATGAACGACATCTTTGATGGATTCTTCCAAGCCGTCGATGATGTAGTCCAATGCGTGGATGGCTTCGTCGAAGTTTGTTGCTCTCCAGCTGATCTTATCGGGGTTTTAAGAAATTTGTTTTATAGAAAAATTTTCAAGATCGGACATGGTATGTTTTTAGCGAAAAGCCAAATAAACCGTTCCTGAGAGATTGAGACCATTATCGTTACGACGACCAACATGTACGGGAACAACCGAAAATGCCACAACTGATGGATCTCGCTAGTTTCGTCCATATGATTAAAATGCGACCAGCAGTAATCCAGCATCTCGGAAACTTCCTCGGTATCGTAGACTTTGGATCCGTTGACTTTTGGATTGACGAATGTAAGGCCACTCTTTCTGTAGAGATCCAATCCTACTGTCACCGCTCCGGCCGAAGCAAGAGCATAAACAGCGATGAGAAGATGGATCAAGAGTCGATCTGGCTTGTGCATGATGTAGGGAAGGCTTTCATCGCGCTTGCTCTCTTTCGAAAATCGGGCCAAATATTGATCCGGCTCTATTATTCCCAAAATGCCCATCTCAAACTTCTCGTTTTTGAATTTATAAAAATGATTTCGATTTTTGGCTTTGGCCACTGTTCTTATTCATGACTGCGCCGAGATTTTACGACTTTGGCGACCATGAAATCTACGTTTCAAGGTGCTTAAGATTGTCATCATTCATGATTGTCATCTAAAAGATGTTTATCTGCATCTTTTTGTAGATATTCACGCACTGATTATTTTACTTAGGTTTTGGAATTAAGTAAATAAGTATATTAAAAACAAAAAAGGGGTGTTTCATGAGAAAACTACATCTGGAATCAAGACAGCGTGTCATGTCCCGGGCGATACCACTTGAAAACCAGGTCGAAATGAAACTGTTCAGTATTTTTCTCGCAGTGGCAAATGCTTATCCTTCTGTCATGTGGCATGGCATGGGCGATCGAGCAGATAGCAGCGGTATGAAACAGTATAAATACTTATCAATGTGTAAATTGGTATAAAACCTAAAAAAGATTGAAGATTGTTTAAGGAATGACTCGTATAAAAAATATGATCGCTGCGAACAACGGCGGGCAGTACGTTCTTTCCTTGATGATTGGCGAAAACGGATCGGAAGATGCGAGCAACGGATTCCGAATGTCAATTTGGGAACAAGTCGAATACGCCTGCAACATCATCAAAAACGACCCAGAGCTTGCTGATTGCTATAACGCCGTTGGTTTCAGTCAGGGGTCGCAGTTCTTGAGAGGAGTAGCCCAAACTTGTCCCGAACCACCCATGAAGAATTTGGTGACGATTCATGGCCAACATCATGGAGTTTTTGGCTTCCCTGGCTGCGATGTTGACGGATTTTTGCCGGAAGTTTGCGAGACCCTCAGAGATCTTTTGGACCTTGCTTATTTGCCAAACATCCAAGCTTGGGTTTTTTTTTCATCAAAATAAGTTGCGAAAATAATGCCCGAAAAATCCCTTTTCCAAGCAAATCTTGTCCAGGCTCAGTACTGGCATGACTCGATCAACTTTGACCTTCATCTAAGAAACTCGCTTTTCATCGCGCCTGTCAACAATTATGTTCGGTATTCTACAGTCATTTCTACATTCTGTATTTATTTTCTTATTTCAGAGAAGGAATCGCGAAAAATGAGACTTTCAAAGAAAACTTGATCAAGCTCGAGAAATTTGTGATGGTAAAGGCTGAGCGAGAAAAGACTGTTTTGCCAAAGGATTCGAGCTGGTTCGAGTACTACGCTGACGGTTCGGGAAAGACGGAAGATATTGTGCCACTTAGAGAATCAGCAATTTATAAGGAGCGGTCAAGGAATAAATTTTATGGCAAAAATAAGAACCATAATTTATTTGAGAAAAATAAAATATGCACTTTCAAGTTCTGGCGGAAAGTGATAAAGCTTTCTAACCATTTACGCGCTTTTTTGTCTCTAGAGCCGGAAGTAGGTGAAATTCAGGAGTAAGAGTAAAGTGTTACATATCAAATTGATGCGCAGAAGATTCTCAATCATCTCATCAGCAATTTATTAGAAGAAACAGTCCCAACCGCGGTTAAACTGACCGGTAAAACTTTGAAAAAAGCATGCTTTAGAAAGAAATTTTCAATTCTTACCGGTCGTTTACCGGCGGTTTTTAACCGCGGTTGGACTCGATTCATATAAATAATGACTGGATATGTTCTAAGCTTCAATTTGGTAGGTCAAATGCATTCATTCCGTAAAAATTTCGTCTATTTCCGGCTCTAGAATCGAAACCGGAAGTAATTTTTGAAAAACTAAAACGGTCAAGTTTCTAGATTTTTCTTCTGATCACAAATATGTATAATGTTCAGGGTTATTGAAAATCGTCATTATAAAGAAAAAGAGGGAGAAATAATTTCAGCCACCTTAAAAAAGCGCGTCATTACTATCTGCCATGGGTGTGGAGCGGCTGAACATAACATTATGATTTTAACAAAAATTGACCATAAGACAGGAAGACTGGATCGGTCTGAAAGTCCTCGACGAAGCCGACAAACTCGTTTTCCTCACAACTCCCTACGGCCACATGTCATTCACTGACGAATGGTTCCTTGAAGATATCATTACTCCTTACCTTCAATAAACAATAAACAATCCCCGATCAGAAATCCTCCGATAAAAGCTACTGTGATAAAAACCGATACTGCTCCATCCAACTATCAAGTGTCGATAGCCATGTGGCTCAACCTAGAATCCCCTCACTCTACAGAAAAATCGTTGAATTTTTAATGAAAGTTGGATTCAGAACACAAGCTCCTGAAAAGATCAGACCTTTCAAAAATTAACAGTAAAATTGTGAATTAAATCGGATGATATTTATTAAGAATTTTACGGCTAGAAAATGCTTGAAGGTTAGGCAGGTCTCAATGTTTCCATCGCTGATGGCTTTTAAGATAAAAAAACAAGGTAAGTAAAGTTGCAGTCACTTAGAACATACCGTCTCGTGAGTTAAATTTGAAGACCTACTTTTGTCCGATAAATAAATCACAGGCAGACAATTAAGAGCTCCGGGGAATCCATTTAAATGCTCAATTATATAGCAGACATTTTTTACCCTAGTATATGCCTTCTTTTTTTTCAAAGAAGAATCAAAAGAAATGGAGATTGAACAAAATCCCACCAGCTCTCAATTCAAAGCGTTTATCTTTTCAGAACAATGCGGGATATGAATATATACATAAATTTACTCCCTCCGCTACGCGGCGCCGTGATATATGTCATCTTTTTTGAATCGAACAATGTCGCAAATCTTTGGCGATTCTTTTAATCCCACTTCGTTATTCGTTTCAGAAATCGTCGGATAAAAAGAGAATTGACGGTATGACGAAACTCAAGATGAAGAGTTGACAAAGAAGGAGAACCTTTTTTACCAAGAAGACCGTGAAAAATTCATGAAGCCATTTGTAAGTTGGAATTTTATGATTATATCTTCTTATATGAGATATCCTCAACTCTCGAAGAACGGTGTAAGTATTGAGAAGAAAATGAACAGTAATCATCATCAACTACAAATAAAAAATTATATAACGCACAATTTATTCATAATTATGGTTTGTCATAAATTTGACCTTCATGTAATTTTTGCCAGCGAACAAAATCAAGCAAAAGTGTCGACCAAAATACTGTCAAAAAATTCATCAGAATTTTGCCAAGATTACGGCTTCAAGAATTATGAATTCAAACCCTGACTCAAAGACAAGCAAATCGCTAGATGCAATTTGTCTAGCAGACATGGTTGTCTACCATTTATGCGGTCTTGTAATTTGATCCACGAGATCGAGCCTTGAACTTGTTGAACCTTGTGGTTATCCTGATTAATTGTACTTTTTCGATGTGTTATGCATTTCCTTGAAAAAAGGGGATAATTGACGGATCGACTCGCCACTAATTTACAAGCGGATTATCCAAGGCGAAAATGAATGAACTCATTCAAAAGAAAAAAAAATCGAAAAAGGGGCAAAAAATGAAATCGACGAGTTTAATCGAGAAGTCAATTTATTGAGAAAAAATGAGAAAGCTCGATGACATTCGTCTTTTGAATATTTAAATAATATTCTTTTTATATGCTGTATTTCCGAGTTTGAGGCATCGAGCACAGAGAAGTGGGATGAAACTTGACTCGGGACTCTTTAAATGGCTTGTTTTTTCGTTCTTGTTTCGAAAAGGTTTCACTGTAGCTACCTGTAGCATATCTACTTACCCTCTCTGAGACTGTGCGTTACGAATTAAGGGTGTCACTGTGACTAGCCACTTGTAATATCTGAAAGAAATGTCTTTTAGTTTTTTTTTCATTAAAAGTTAATATTGTAGCAAAAGTTCAAGTTAAAAAAAGAAGGGTTCGCCCTTGTCAGTTGTTAATTCTTAACCATGTTAACTTGTCTAAAAGTCTTCACTTTTATTGTTGAACGAGAGGGAAAACAAGTCTGAGAATGAGCCATTTAACGGTCTGATTAAGGGAATGCGTGGACAGAAAAGACGGAGCATAAAACGCAATCATCTGACATTGTAGGTCACCCAATAGATTAATTCTTATTTTCCTTGTTCGTCTGACATCGATTCAAAATAATTTTGCTCAATCCTTTAATTTCTAAATTGGGTCTGATTTTTTCTTTAAAATTAGACTTGTTACTTTCAGTTCTAACAACCAACGAAAAGCTCTTATCCCGGAATATTCCAGCTAAACTTCTTCAATCAATATTTCAGGACGCAAATGGAGAATCATTACGAGGCCAAACAATCCGCATCATCACCGTCGATCACGAACCCTTCGTCGATATTTCCATCGATGACGCTACCGGCGAGAAGAGTTATGAAGGGATGTGCGTGGAGCTAATCAAGTCCCTGGCGCGAAAGGAAAACTTTTCAATAAATTGGGTCGACAGTAACGATCCCGAATACAACGTAAGGCTCTTGATTCCAACTGCAGACACTTGATCACAGTTCAACTTGGACGCAAGACAACTCCATTAACCGCTAATAAGGCTCGATTACCGCCTCGTTTACTGTAAATTACTAGACTCATGGGAACGATACGCTACCAGCGCTAGTGGAGACGCTAAATCAAGGACGCGCCGATTTATTGCTTGGTAACGTAAATCTTCTCATCCCTCTTATTAAAAATTATTTAACAAAAGCTGATGTGCCAATCACTTCCGAAACTTCAAGAATGATGGACTTCTCTGTCGCATATTTAGGTCACGGTCAATTTTTTGCAATCATAAAAATCTCCTTTTTATCAAAAAAATTTTTTTTATGGAAAAATGACCCAATTGATAGAAACTGGCTTCAGTTTTGTTACATTGAAGCAAGAATCATTCAATACCTGGGCCTTTTTGGAACCCTTCGATACCCGATTATGGTTGTATATTTTCTTCACAGTGATTTTGGTCTCCATGTTCATGTTTATAAGCAATTTTGTAAGTTAACAACTCTTTTCATTGAATAAAAACTGTTCAGATTTCTCCGTACGGCTTTTACAGGGATTTCTACAAGCCAGTGGCTCGTCATCACGACCAAATAGCGACGAATACAGACGATAGAATTTTAGCAGCAGTTCAGGGCCGGGTCTTAGCCAGTCCATCTTTCACATTGTTGGAAATATGAGCGGAATAAATATGGGCAATTAGCGCGAACCCTCCTGAGTCCGGATTATCGTCGAAGGATCTTCAAGATTCGCGTGCAGCCATGAGTCTTTCAAACGCACTTTTCTGGGGTTGGGCTGGATTATTTTGGCAAAGCCCCGAGACCGTCCCCCGCGCGCCAAGGTAGCTCATCGTCCGTCTGTCAATTATCCATTCTTTGTTATTATATTTTTCAATTAAAAATGACGACCTTTTTTCGTCTCCTCATTTCCTGTATTCCTCGTTGTCTCCAACGTGAATTTTTCATGGCAAATTGAATATCCCATTTTCTTCTATAAACTTGATTTTAATTGACGTGGCTTCTCGAATATTCGCCGATATTACCCTCCTGGGGTAAATATGTTCTTTTTTGTGAGATTGAACCCTTTTGAATTTAAGCTGAAAAAAGTCTAATTTGGAGCTTTATTTGGGTAATCAAATGACGTCAAATAAGATCGCCTTTTTGTATAGGTCATTTTCACAGTAAAATACTGCAGTCAATCAGCCTCTTTTTTAAGCTCTCGAATAACTGCGATTTTATGGTACGCTGCTGGAGTAACGATTGTTGCTAGCTACACCGCCAATCTAGTCACATTTCTTACAGGTTTCCTTCGATTCCTTCAAAGGAAAAAGCATTGTCTATTTCAGTTCGAAAGCAACAAGTCCCATTAGACACTTTTGCGAACCTCCGAGCCGCTCGATCATCCCGTGGATTTAAGTAGGCCTATTGATAAAGCTGTCGAAATAATACTGGTCTACTAGATATGGTTTTGTCGCGCATTCAGCCACCGAAAGGTACTTCTGCCACTCGACTGATCAAATACTGAGGAACATATGCCACGACGTCAAGGGTGAGTGCATGGGAAGAACTTTACCTGGAAGGCTTCTGTTTTGAGTAAATCATGCTTTGCTCGAAAATATAGGTCATATTTTTATGTTATTCAAAAATATAACCAAAATCACTCTCAAAGAATAATTAGGTCAAAATTTGGGTATCAAATAGACTTGATTATTTTTGAGGCTAGGCATGGCTTTACATTTGCATAAAAACACCGCTATCTGACCTCGATTTTTGCGAAAAAAATGACTGTCTGAAAAGAGAACCTTCCACGGATAAGAACCGTATTTGGAACAAATCAATTACATACCACATTTTACATTATATCGAAAGAGGTCACAATCGAAAGCATTTCAAAATGCGCATTGAGGCTTAATAATGAACCTTTTTTGGCTCAGCATTGAACAAAAAATGAGGTCCAAAATAACCAAAAAAGGACCACGAAGAGACCGCTGGAAGCCTTTCGCAAATGACCTTGCTGGAATCAAGGAAGAGAGGAAGGAGCCATTTCTGACTATGATCTTTAGAAGCTGATCGCTGGACCGTGGAAGACACATCAGAGGGGTTAAAACGAGCTCGGGAAGAAAACTACGCGTTCATTTCAGGCACCGCGCATGAGAAATTTAAACACGCTTTCCTTTTAAGAAATTTATATGTTCCGCCGCGCTAATGGATCATATTTTGCTCGAGCACATTATTTCGACCCATGAACCGTGTGATTTACGTCTGTCACAAGGAAAGGAGGAGTCTTTCATTAAATTTTGAAGGGAGGAGAAAAGGTCAAGACTCTTTCTTCTCAGGAAGACTGGTTGGGAAGTTTGGCTTTGGACTTGGATTCAAGAAGAACTCTAATTTGACGAATCTCTTTTCAGGTAATTTTCCCGTTGGACTCTGCACCCCTTCTTGTTCATGTTTTTTTTAATGAATTCAAGTCGGAGTCCTCCGAATGCGAGAAAACCTCGAGATCAACCAGCTCTACGAAAAGTGGATCAAGCAAGACGGACTCGATACTCCCCCAAAATGCAATCAAAACGACGAGGAAGCAAATACCGCCGTGACTGAGTCAAACAAATTGACATTCGACAACCTGAAGGGATTGTTTTTACTCGTCTGGGGATCCTTAATACTTGGCTTTTTATTCCTGATCGTGGAATGGATCGTTGCTTGTTACACCCTTTTGGATTCTAAAAGTGGCTCGCCAAAGACGATGGTCGATGTGAGCTTCAGAACTATTCATTATTACGAGAAATAACATCAATTTCAAGGCGTTCAAATTGAGGCTCAAATACATGCGGCAAAATCAAAAAATTATCCGGCAAAGATACAAAACGAAAAGAAACTCTTTCTCAAGATATTTATCTCCCATTTCCAAAGTTTACCAAAATGACAGGAACGGATCTCAATAATAAGCAAAACCATTTTTAATTGCAGTTGTCGATCCGAACAAAAGCCAACATACAGTTATTTAGCAGCATAAGTTATGCTGCTAACTCGTTAAACGAGTTTAGCGGTAGAATCTTCCAGTATTTCGACTTCTTCCTTATTCTCCAATAGTTCAATACCAATAGTAGACTTTTTCTATATAAACTGTGAATATTGCCCATCTGTACAATCGAAAAATAAATACAGTATCAAAAAAACTTTTCTTCCAGCAACACCTCCGTCTTCCAGCAAAAAAGTCCTCCAAATCGATTTTCCCAGCGCGCCGTCTCCACTTTTTCTCCGAGACTCCCAGGATGAATCATTCAAAATGAACTTTTTTCGGAGGCGATGATATTTTGTCTCTAGAACGGGTTTTTTAGAGAAACGGTCATAAATGATAGAAAGAATGTGAAAAAGAGAAAAATCGATGAAATGGTGCGATTTTGCCAGTTTTGCAATAGAAAATTAGACGTTCGATCGGTCAAGGAGCAGGATGAGCATGAATTTGGCTGCATTGGGTGAGTTTCAAGCCTTTTTTTATACAGAAATCACTTTCAAATTTACAGTAAGACGCAGTCATCCCTTCAATCAATCCATCTACCGCCTGACAGTAGCATCAACTTATCTTCAAATTCCCCGAATCCTCAGTTGAATTCCAGTCGTGAAAAGACGCCAGAACCCTCTCCGACGAAATTGACAAAGAAACTGTCTGATAGGAAGAAAAAACGAGCATCAGAGAATAATGAAAAAGAAGCCTCAACGAGTAGACAATGTCACATCTGCAGAAAAGATATCAGAGGATCACTGGAGCAAAGACAGGCACATATCATGAAGTGCACGAATAAAGCAAAAGTAATTGAGCCATAACTTATGGCCCATAAGGCGCTCCATTTCATCCCCTTTTTAGATGAGCGATACGCAAACCTTCGACCTTGTGGCAAACGAGCGAAACTACACATCCGATGAAGAAGACATGCAACTAGAAGTTCCAAAGAAAGAAACTAAGAAACCGACAAAGAAAAAGTCAAAAACTCCAACTCGAAAACGAGCCCGTAAATCAAAAGAACCACCCATTCCTTCCCCATATTTTGTCGACCTCAGCGAGACCAAAGAGGATGAGGAAAGTTCAGAAATTCCCTGTTCATCGAAAGAAGCGCAAAAACAAGCAAAGAAAGAAATTACGATAAAGAAACACCAATTTGCGCTGATTTCATCGCCGAAAAGAAAAAGTGGCGAAAGTGGGGATGAAACGGACTATTCTCTTGAAACCTTTGAAAATCCGAATTTGGTGGTGAATAATGACATATTCAAAGGTTTCGCGAAAATAAGGGTTTTTAAAAAATCAATGGAGCAATCGCCGGAATACATGAAGGTCGATGATGATCAAGAAAATCAGGAGAACTTCTGCGACGAAGAAAATCTTGCAAATATCGATGAAGAAGTTTTTCCAACAGAAAACGAACAATCTCCAGATCTACCTCTTCCCGAAAATTCTAATCTTCCGGACAATCAAATTCCGGAGCCGATTATTCAAGAGAACAATGATGTTCGTCTTCCATCGCCAGAATTACCTCCCCTTCCTGATGATTTTTCCGATGGGTCGATTCCAGATAATCCCCTAGAATCGAATATCCAAGATTTTTCAACCGAAAACATCGACGAAATCGAAGAATCTCCAATTATAACGAGAACACGGGATCGTCCTCTGCCTTCAGTTAGAAGTCCTCTCAAACCGCGCAATCTGACGAAAAACGAAGCTAGAAAAGCTGTCAAGAAACGAAAGTCTTCAGAAGTTCTCGGAAACAGTTCGAAAATCGCAAAGAAGCATCATGAAAAGACCATCATTTCCAGCATTCCATCTTCATCTCTCGCTGCTCGACCTCTTGGCGGCTGGAAATCGCCCGATAGAAAAAATTCAAGAGACAAGAATGAAGAGGACGAGGATCCTCCAACAACAGCGAGCTCGGTTATTCAACGCCAACTGGAGGAGACCCAAACGGAATTTCAAATCCGCCCCGTAGAAGAAACCATTCTTGAGCTCAAAGAAGATGCGCTCCGAAATGGCGACCTAGTGAAATATTCAAAGTGCGGGAAAAAGATTCGATTTCACTCGTTTTGGATTCAAGTCCGTTGTCCACAGCTGAAGAGTGCTGATACGAAGCGACTAACATTCGGGGAACTGAAAAATCTTCACGATGCGATTTACTCGCCCCATGATCGTTTCTCCCAGTCTCAGAATACCTTTCAAGAAAACAATGAAGAGCGTGAAGAATCAACGCTAGAAGCAGCCCCATCTCCCCCAGCCCAGGAAAGATTAACAGAAAAGAATCAGCTTACCAACCTGCCATTGCCTTCACAAAGCCACATGCCCAAATTTGTCACATCATCCCAGAAGCTGGGGTCGGCGACCCATCTTTCAAATAAAAGATGGGTTAGGGAAAGCTTAGAGTCCGGTTATAATATACCCGGTATAAACCCGGATTTTTATTCTCTTTATGCCCAAATCGCGACAATATTCGGTAAAAAAATGGTCAGAAATTGGCAAAAATGGCCATGCGTTCCGGGGTTAACTAAGCTCAGCTCAATTATTTTGAGAAACTACTGTACATCAGGTTTAGAAAACTAGATAGAAATCTGATCTTCAAACTGAGTGAAACCCATCTTACCCATCATTCGAACCCATCTTTCCCATCATTTGAACCCATCTTACCCATCTTTCGGGAGACCCATCTTTCCCATCTTTCAGAATCAAAAGATGGGTTATGGAAAGATGGGTTTACCCATCTTACCCATCTTTCCCATCACCCATCTTTCCCATCTTACCCATATTTGAAAGATGGACCGCCGACCCCAGCCCAGAAGTCCAACTCTTCAAACATCAGGTAGTAATTTCTTCTTTTTGGCCCTTCCTTTTAACCTTGTTTTTAGTTCAACATCGCAGATTCCCGAGACGCAGAGTCAAGACAGGCCCGAAACTTCCTTCATGATGAATGGAAATTTCATCTCGCCAATAATCACTTTCGATAGGAATACAGAAAAATCGCGCCTCGCCAAGCTGAAAGATGGCGTAGTAAAGACAAGAAAAGACTCCCCTTCTCCGATTCTTATTTCTTCTGAAGACGAAAAACAGGCGGATGAGCAAGATAAATCACATTTTCTTGACGAAAGTGGGGAGCCGTCGATGATTATTCAGACCAATCGGGAAATAAGAAGATCTTTAGAAAAGCCTCAAGAATCATTCGCAGGGCTAGGGTTGGATCTGACAGAAGATGGAGAGCAGGAAGAAGAGGAAGAGATTGAAAAGACCCCTCCATGGATTCAAAAGCACCCTTCACTTTCGAAAGTCCGTAAAACTCCAGATAAACCTCCAGCGATCGAGAAAGTTGAAGAAAATAACGAGCTCGAAGATTCTTTTGTAAACTCTTCCTGTCATTCTGGCACACTTTTCGATGATCATTCTTCCCAAGAACTGCCGAAAGAAAGTCCTAACCCAGCCCCTTCTCCTCCTTCTTTTGGGGGAACCGCTCCATTTTCTATTGAGATAGATCCTCCTAGTCCTCAAGCAGCTCAATCTGTTCCTGACGACTCGCCTGTTTTCGGTGAGTTTGACCCACCGCCGGTTCCAGAATATGACGAGTTCGATTACAATCAAGGTTTCAACGTCGAAGCGCCAGATTTCTACTCCCAGTCGCAGCAGAACTGCTCCTTCCATTGGGATCCCATGGCACCATCGAATTCGGAGAATCCAGCCCCTGCGAAACGAACGTCTCGGAAATCGCCCGATTTGCTCCCGATTATTCTCTCGAGCGACGACGACGGCGAGACATCAATGGCTCATCCCCACGATCTCAGTGATCCGCCGAAATTGGATCACACGCGGCTGTCTGGCTTCAATGAGAAGATTTCATTTTGCCAGGAGAGACTGGGAGGAGGCGAAGATGCTTTCGACCTAGGATTGAGTGATATTCTCGACAAAAGCTTTCCGAACTCTGCTCCTACTACTCCTGTTAAGCCAAAGGTATTTATAATATAGAATTTGTGCTCAACAAATCTTTTCAGAAAAAGCAGCTTGAAAAAACTCCCGAAGAAATGCCAAAGAAACAACCTTCAAAAACAAAACCGGCACGATCTCTATTCAGAAAGTCCCTGTCCCTGAATTCTTCTCTAGCCGAAGCTCCAAAAGCCCCAGTTTTCATCCCTTCCTCGGCTCAAAAACAGGCCTTAGAAGAAGCGACGGCGAAGTACCAAAAGATGCCAAAAGAAGAGTTGATCAAAGAATGCGAAAAGTACGGAATGAAATCAAAATTGTCAAAGACAGCGATGATTGGAAAATTGAAGGAAATATTTATCTACCAAAAGCTTCATCAGATGGGTCCGCAGAGCGGGCAGCGAGTGACTTTTCCTGCAAAAGAGAAGATAAATAGAAAAGTAGTGAAGTTTATGACGCAAGATCGAGATCAGAGCTCAGGTAAATTTCTCTCTGAACTGATCGTTCAGGGAAAAGATCAAGCTTTTTAGAGTACATTCTTGTGTCTTTTTGAATAAGCTCATAAAAGCTCATTATTAGAATAAAAAGCACCCTGACAGGCTATTTAAAAATTCATTCAGACAATTCGGTCGATGAGGAGTCCGGAAATCAAGCAGCGTCGGCCTTTGAGGAGATCAGCGAGGAACAAGCTGAATTGAACAAAATGAAGCAAGTGACAAAAATGATTACTTCGCTGCCCTTTCTTCACAAGCGCGTGATCACTTATGACGTGATCGGATTGAGAGAGCTGGAATCCCACTGTGTGGATGCAAACATTCAAGTTGACGAGCAGTTCTTGATCAAATACTGTGACAAGACTTGTATAACTTTCAGACAGGAAAAGCGAAGACCTGTGAAGGGAAATTTAAGAGCAAAACGGAGCAAAAAACGATGAGTATTGAATTCTTAATAGAAAGCTCTTGTTCTTCATAATTGAAAAAAAACTGCCTTCATTTTTTTATTTCTTTATTTTATTTAAATAAATCCGTGCTTATAGATCAGTTTTAAAAGCTAGTAAAACGCGGCATCTTCTTTTCAGACGATGAATGGAAATCGGATAGACTGGGCTGATCTCGATTCTCGAAAAATTGCTCGCGAAATTTATTGAAGAAAATTTTTAGAAGAAAGAAAAGACGAAGAAATTACGATGGAAGCTGCTCCTTTGGAAGTTTCAGCGAGAAATTCCTTCTTCAAACGAACAAGAAACAATAGTGGATCGCACTCAAGGTTAGTCTCAACAATTTTTTTAAAAATTAATTACACGAAAAAAGTTCCCATTCCGTAAATAGGTCAAAAACGCCCGCGCTCGTCTGATTTTATTCTTATTTCGGTGTTATTCTGAGTATTTGGATACTCTCACTTGACCCAAAAGAACCTGGGTGAGGTTTTAACGATCACATGAGCGCTACGGCGGAAGGCGAAACGCTCAACGATTTTATTCTCTTCGATACTCTTAAGTCAACAGTAGAAACTTTGAAACTCACGATTTTCTTTGTCTTTCAAATTGAGTTTGTCAGAGTTAGAGACTAAACAGTTTGCTAGAAAGAGAGAGAACAAAAAAGCTTATCTTTTGGGACTTTGGATTGAGTTTTACAGAGAATTTGATGTTTTTGCAAAGAGTGCATCCGTTAGTAGAGACGAGTAGTTTTTACTCCTTCAATAGGTATGACTTTTAGTAAAAGCCTTTATCAATCAAAACACCAAATATGTCAGTATAAAATAATTTTATTGAACCCAAAATAGGAAAATCTCTCTTCACGTAATGATAAAGATTTATGATCAGCAACTGACGTCTTTGATAACGCTGTCTTCTTCAGACATTCCAACAACAAGAAGAGCTCGTCTTCCCGGCCATTCCTCAAGCGCCGCGGCTATGGCCAGCTCGACTGTGACGATGATTCCACCTCGGCCGTCGATTTCCCCGAGCTCTTCCCTTCGTCCGGACCTAATTTACAAGAAACAACGGAAGAATCTGGAGTTGATACTAGTGGATTCCAATGTCCTGCTTTGCTCGCCAACTCTCCTTACGAAGAACCCTTATTGAGCTCCAATTCGCCTCTTGAAGACCCAAAATGTTTTGCCCAAGAAATAGCAGCTGAAGAGAATGACCCCGAATTACCTGTTTTTGAAGTGAATAACCCTCCTCCGCCGATCCCTGCCCGCCAACTCAAGCATTCTTCAACCTCGTCGCGAGATTCTCCCGTTCCAGTTCTCCCAGGCCCTCCACCTTCTCTTTCCCGCCGGCAGAACTCGAGAAAAGATCGAAAACGACCGGCTTTTGCCCAAAATAACCAGAAAAAAGCCCCTCCTGTCCGTCAAATCTCTGTTGGAGAGCAAATCTTCCCGGCCGACGAAGTCAACCGCGTTCCAGTGAATCTATCAAACACTGACAACCCTTTCTCGATCACGAGTAGACCTATCTCAACTTCAGTCACTTTTGAATCGTCCCTATCTGAATCGGCAAAATCGCAAAGTTCGAACTTGCAAAAGATGAATCAATCAATGAGCTACGGCTGGAGCGATCTGGAAAAGGAAGGCTCAGAAACATCCGAAGACGGATCAAGTCTTCTTCTTCCAAATAAATCAACGTGTGGATTCGCAAATTTTTCGATTTCCGAATCTGACGTTTTTCCTCAGCCAGAAAAGGAAGAGGACGAAGCGCCGCAAGACGCATTTTCAAGCGATGGATCGGACTTCGAAGTCGCCGACTTGGATCTTTCTACAGAGCCTTTATCTACAGAAGGCGACGAAGAGACTGTAACTGAGTACGGCTCGACGAACAACCTAGCGCAGTTCGAGCCAGAAGTGCCGATGGAAGTAAATTCCGCCAATTGCGCATCAGTGAGGCCAAGACCGAAGAGTCTTCATCTTCCGCATTTATCCAGCTCCTCGCATATGGGCGGATCAGCGGAAAGAATCAGCCCAGGAACACCTACTCCCTGCTCCAAGGGTTCAACTAACGACACGCTTCATTCTAGTGGACCTGAAAACTGCGGAGTTGATTATTTGCTCAACTCGCTTGATGACAACGAAAACGAAATGAATGTCGATGTGCTTATGGATCAGGCGCGAACGACTAGTTTCAGCGGCTTTGTCAAGGTAGAGTATCTATGAAAGAATCAAACTCAATCAAGATTTCAAATTTTTAGTTGAAACGATCGAGAAAACCGAGAATAAAGGCTCGACAGTGGGTTCCTGTTCAAATTTCCATCCCTGACAAAACTGTTTTGATATTTTCTGATGATGGACGATTGTTGGAAGAAATCGACATCCACGCGAATCAAAACGTCAGTGCCATTCAAGTCGAGCAAAGTCAGGATACCTCGATGCCCATTTACGTTGTCAAGCTTCTTCGGTAAAAATTCTTTATGTTTCTTTTCTTACAGAGAATTTAGGACATTTTACAAGGCAAAGAAACTAGTTGGAATCGGTTCAGCGAAGAATTATTCTGATTTTGAATCCTCAACTGCTGTGTACGAAAAATACGCGACCAAGGTCAATCAAATTCTAAAAGTTGGCTTGAAAGACTACATCGTTGCCCACTCTTTCGCTTCGCTTTTATCAAAAACTATCAAATCCTCCGAACTGGTAAAATATCCCTTCATTTCCTTCCTTATCAGTTTTCTAGGCGTCCGAAGACGTCGAAATCCTTGCAAGCCCAGTTTGTCGCCTAATCGTTGATGTTTTCGATGAAATCAGCTGCGAAATCAACGAAGATATGGAAATTTGCGCTCCCAACTCCTCCCTAGAAACTGCGATCGAGGTTCTCGCATTTTCTGTCGACTCTGCTACCTTCGAATTGAATCAACACTCAATCAATGAGGACAGCAACGAGCTGGAAGAGACCGAAATTAATCCTTTCAATCTTAGGTTAGTTTATCTTTTTTGTTGGCTTTCTTTCTTGACATTTTATCGAAGGATTCATCCTCTTGCGATACCTCCAGAAGACGAAAAATACAGCTACGAAGAAACCCGCACTATCAAAATATGCCCTGTTAATACCGCTCGCATGGAGATTTTACGTTTTAACACTGCTGTCGACTCATTTAACCTTCCAAGTAAGCATCAATTGATCCACAAATCGCTCATAACTATAACTAGTCTCGCTGAAAGTCGATTACACATTGAGTCCAAAGAACTTCTCAATCGCCTGCTCGATGCATTTTGACGAGGTTCAAGCATCGCTTAAAAATGTGACCATTCATCTGCCAATGCCTACCAACTGCGCGAGATATTCTACCGACACTTGGTTCATTTCTAACACAGGTTTCAAATTTCTCTACTATGTCCTCTAACAGAGAGATTTTAGTTGGGAAATGGAAGATCGAAGGCGACTGGATGATCTGGTCGATTGATTCTCTCAAACTCGAGAACCAGGAAATGAAGCAACAGTTTCTCTCTGCCGCCTGCCGAGGTAGCAACTCGGAGAAGATACCAAGTCAGCTGGCGATTCTTCAATATGAGCAGTTGAATGAAACCGCCGCATCGAGAGCAAGAATCAAAAATGACAAAATCGAGCTTCAATCTCAGCGATGCGTGGATGAAGATGCTACAGTCATAAACTACCGGTAGCATGATTGTATCCGCCCATTTCTTTAAACCTCTTTCTAGTTCAAAATACTTCGCAAAAGTTTGGATTCGACTGAACTGAAATCAGCGACGAAAAAACGATAGAAAAAAAACTTAAAAGTTCTTCACCTCCTTTTATCGGAAAATACTTCTTTTTTATTTTTATGAGTTCGAATGTTCTACTACTCTTTCTGTTTATTATCCTCTGGTTGTGTAAAACGGTTAATAAAATTGCTTGTTGGAGATCATATCAGTCTGGTATCATGGTTAAGTGTACCGACTGTAAACCACTGTTATTTTATTAGACTATAAGCAAAATTTACATGCAGGAGATGAAATAAATAGTTGCAGTTCAATTTTCAAGCCTAAATTGAAAAGAGGCCTTCTTCGAACATCATCCGCTGTATGCTCTGCATCATTTCGAAAGCATGAATATATTTCCCGTCTAAAAAAAAATTGGTTATCATCTTAGAATTCGAGTTGAAATTTTACCTTCTCTTGTGATTGTCTTACCCATTCCTCCTCCCAATTTTCTTTGCTTTCGTATGCTCGAGATCGGATAGGCTCGAGGACGATTCAATAGAGCATTTGCATATTCTTCTTCATATTCATCATATTCCTGTTCTTCTTCATATTCCAATTCTTCAAGCTCTTCCTCATTTTTTTATGACTCCCAAGGAGCTCAATGTCAAAGAGCATTCTTTCTGCTTCTATTGACGATGTTTTCGTCGTCGTATCTGATGCTATTGTTGAAGTCGTCGATGTTGTGGTTGAAAGGGTTGTTGATGTCGTTGTCGATGTTGAAAGACTATCTTGCTCTTTCCACTTACACCCGGTAAAGACATTGAATGGTCCTACATTCGTGTGGCAACTGCACGTTCTTATCAAGGCTCATAAAAAAAATTTCACTTAACACTTTTTAATTAAACACTAAACGTGCTAGATAAACCTCTTCCTGTAAAATTCTTCAGTCATTGAGTCAAGAAAGTCTTTAACGACAGCGGTGCAACTAGAAAATTCTGCAACACCATTTTCACACTTCCATTCCGCACAAGCCCTCGAGCTTCCATCTTTGCAAAAGGTCGTTTCTGTATCAGGGCACTGGTCACGTGACTCAACGAAGAGGGAGAAGTCTTGGCCAGATTTTTGAGATGGGAGGGGTTCTTCTCGAGCTGAATACGATGATAGCGATTTCTTTATTAAAAATTGTTGAAAAAACTTACTTCTGTATATTGAGGCAGAAATTGAAGCCGACAAGAAATTGAATATCTTCATTTCTTCTCTTTTTTATAACCAAAACCTTTCTCTCAACTTTGATGGTTTCTCTATTTTTCCTGCAAAATTCAAAAAGCTGAAAAATCGAAAATGAAAAAGCAACCGTTCGGAGCAGCATCTTAAAGATGCAACTCCATGTTTACGTGAAAAACATACTACAAGCATTCCCTCTTTGAGATCTTTGTAATCGGAAAGTACGGAAGAAATAAACACAATTAATTAACCCGGATCAGCGTTCATCCCCTCCATCAAAATAAAGATTGGAATTATATTCTTCAGAGAAATAAATACGCTCATTTCAGGCATGAACTCTTTAAAATAGAAAAAAAGTCTACAGCAGCTAATCCTGCGAATAAGATCATCTCCAACGTTTTCCGGTTAACTTTTCGGAACTCAAAACGAAAATACTTGGTCTCAACGGTTCAACATGTCCAGCTTGAAGCGGGGGAATTGTTCCAGTGGAATGCATCAAGTCTGCCCGACATGCCGGATTATCATGTTTGTACTTATGCATTTATGTAATACCGTTTCATTACTAATACGGTAGATATTTTAACATCTTGTCCGCGGAAATAACTATTTGTAAGTCCGTTCAGCAGAAAAAATTGTCGTTTTCCGGATCATCGCAAGTCTCCTTTGACGAAAAATAAAACGTGGAAATACAGTTCTTTTCGTGAGAACTTCTTCTCATTTTTGATTGTCAGATTTATTTGTTTGTGTTGTGTTTGGTATAAAAGGTTGCACATAATTTCAAAGATTTGCGTAAGATCTCAGAGTTTCAAACTCATATTTTTCGGGATTTTCTGTCAGCTCCAGGAATCCGTCGACATATTGCTTTGCAGTCTCATTGTAAAGCTCTTTATCCATGTGTGTTATCGTTAAACATAATCGATCGGTTGTCTATGAAAAAAAATGATGATTTTGAAGACAAAACAAGAGTCAACCTGAAAGAGAAAAGTGTACTCGTAGAGTTCCCAGCTGAATCCGGAGCAGTACATTTCCCGGATTTCGCCAAACTCGTATTTCGTATCGAACTTGTATCTTCCTACATTTGAGAAATTCACGCTTGAATCTTAATTTGATTTAGCTCTTGTTTCGAATGAAAATTCATACTTGTATAATTTTGCTCCGGCGGAAGAAATCCCTTCTCATCTTTGATAAACATCCCGATCAAAACTTTGAGCATAAAAGGCTCTTGATTTTCTATCGCTTCGTTTATATCTCTCTTTGCTCGAGTCGCTACTTGAACAAGTGTCTCTTCTAACTCCGCGTTCGGCTGATATGCGTTTTCGCTGATGTAACAGGCTACAGTAGTGTTGCCGAGTTTCTTCGGGAATCGGTCGCGAAGATTGTAGTCGACTCCGAATCTCAGGTCTTTGCTGTGCGATTTCTTGGATTTTGAATATATTTTTTGTTGAAAAATGGACTAACTGTTATTTTTGAGTTGATAAAAGAAAATGCTGCAAAGAGATAAGTGCCAATCGTTATCCCATTTTTTCGACAAAAGGCCAGAAGCTTTTTGCTCGCCTCTGGAGTTCCTTTTCCCAACGTGACTTTTGTTGGAACATGCTTGGGGCGCTTGTTTTTGAAGGGAGTGTGAGGAACTACATTTCGATAAGCTCCCTTTTCGGCGGTGACTCTCTTCTTGAACTCTTCGACTTTCTTTGGGTCGAGTTTCGGCGAAAGATATTGTGCTGCAGTTGGATATTCGGTGACAAGAGGCTGCGACAAATGAGGTTTTTCGTAGAATGTCAAAATGTCGTGGAGAATGAGCATCATTGATGTTCCATCAGCAAGGGAATGAGGGGTAACGACTAAATTTGATAAACAAAGCTTGGTTCCAAAAGTCGTTACTTACCGATGATTTGGATGGTCAGGCCTGCATCACAAACGATTAATTCTGAGAACTGGACTTTGTTCTGAACTGTCTTCTGGAATTCTTCTTCGAAGGAGCTTTCTGAGCATTTGATGAATTTCGGCAACGATTTGTTGACTGGGACGTTCTCTAGTGAGCTTGTTGTTGTTTCAGGCACTATAAAAATTTAAAAATAACTTTAAATTTATAATTAACGTTTTCGATATATCTGAAGTTAAATCTGCATCAATGAATGGCTTTTGCTGAATACCGTGGAGACAGTCAGAAATTATAATCGCCTTTTAAAAAACTTATTATTCTTAAAATGACAAGCCTTTTCTTAATAAATCCGGCGACCCATTTCGCATGCAAGAATGGATTCTTCATTTTCGCCTTCTCCCAAGCTTGAGAAATCGTCGTCCGATCAAGTGGGCTGTGAAGTTCAATAATGGCCGCATGAGAAACGGATACATCTTCAGCATTCATGAAAAACTCGATCCCTACTTCATCCCGACAGGATTTGTTGCCGCAGCAGCAGATTGCCCTCAAAAATAAATTGAAAAGTTCTGAAGTTTTAGACGAGTCTCTTACCTGATGCAACTACCAAAAAGGCACCCGCAACTCATTCACAAATCTCTCTCTCCTTTTGTACGCAAAATAACTTTATAAATAGGACAACGGTCGTTAAACTCTAGAAAGCAAATAGCGCGGTTGTTGAACGCAAATGATGCTACACCTCTCTTTTGTATATAAAAACTCGTTGAGACTCAACGGTTGAGTCATTGTATTCAAGGCATTGGACTTTCGCCTTTAGGTGGTATTCTCTTTGTTATTTGTATTTCAACAACGAAATTGAACTTTCAGGCAGATGATCCTCTTCGATCAAAATTGACGAAGTTGCTCTTGATGGCATAGGTTTGAAGTCCGGCAGTGACTTTTTCAGGTTTTCATTAAAAGAATTTGAATTCAAGAGTCTTCCTTGATTTCAAGCACGATTCCGTGAAAAAGAACGATCTTTTTGTCGAAAACTTTTCGGAAACCATAATATCGTCATTTTCTGATTTGATAGAGACATTTAAGAATGAATAAAAATGATTTTACATTGACATTAACGATATTGATTAAGCACATTGCACAACAAGTTTCTCACTCTGATCTTTGACCACGCAGTTCTAGTGACAAGAACCTTCTGAAAAACCCAAATCCTATAAGTACGATTGTAAAACAAGAGCTCCAAAACTGGATCCGCCCACCAGCAGCTGCAATAACTCCGCCGTCTACGAAGAAAACACAATTTCAAACGAAGCACAAAAATCGGCTTAGAAACAAATGTACAAATATTGCTTCTTCTATTTTCTAAATGAGCTCTCGTTAAATACTTATGAGCTCATAAGTAACTACCAAGAATATTACCCAGCAAAATATTTACGGCAAAAATCGAGAAGCCGCTTGCGGCTTCGAGCAAAATAAAGAAGAAGCCGCGCATCGCGCGGCTTTGGTTATTTATTTTTCGAAGCCGCAAGCGGCTTCTCGTTCATAGCGATAACTTATTTTATGCTCATTTCATTATAAGAAAAAAAATTAATAAAAAAATTAACTGATTAAATAATACCTTGCTGTGTTGTCGCAGCAATATATTTTAAAAGACGAATCGAATAATCCAAATTTTCAGAGGCTCCGGCGAAGAGTTCTTCTGAGGACTGATCTAAAGAGGGATGAAAACTCGATGATAGCTCGAGAAAATAAAGAATAAACTCAATTGAAAGCATTAAAAATCTCTGTTAGTTTTATTCCGAAACGATACAATAGTCAAAACGTGACTTTATCGAATAGATGAATTTGCTGGAAACATGTTTTCTAATATTATTGCAGTTCTATTGAGAAAAAAGGGCTGAGTTGAAGCATTCCACAATTTTGCATCAAACAGAAAACTGTTTTCCTAGTCCACATTATTTAATTGATATCAATTTTCTCTAAATTATTTGATTGAGCCATTTTCCTAGCAGACGGCTTCCGTTGTACTGTAAATGCTGAAAACACGGGCGAAGTTTAGTTCTTGCAATTTTGTACAAACAAAGCCCAAGTGCAGTTTATGATATGAAGTGCGGAACTTAATCTAAACTGTGTTATCCTTAAGGATATCCCAGGAATTCTCAAAGTGAGAAACAAGTAGAGGACCCACGTAGAATTCGTTGTTATTCTCTTCTCAATGCTAACTAGTTAATCTTCGTCGGGTTAAAATTAGAAGAATTCAAGTTGAATGCATCCGCGATCGTTTTTAGCGGATAGACTGAATTCTCACTTCGGGTGAGCTCTACCATCACATTTTCGACCCCTAGAGAGGGGATTTCATTCGAGGCTATGATTCGAGACATCTAATATGATATTAGTAATATCTCTAGAATCTGGGTAGTGGTTAGGGTTAGGGTTAGGTACTGGGAACTCTTAACCCGATAACGCGAGTTTGAAATTATACGATAACGAGAGCGGGAGCAGTTAGTGCACCCGGGCCATCTAGAACAATTTTAAGCAAAAAGAGGGCAAAACTGCTTGTTTTCTTGGTCTGTAAGACGGCGCTTTCGTCGGATTTTTTAAAAATGCTCGGTCTAGAACTCCTGAGAACTCATTTTTGTGAGGAAAAACGCGAAAAGAACGCGCGCTCTCTTGATGAATGTTATGTAACATTGAGTTCTCGAGACGAATTTCCAAAAATTTCCTCCTTTTTTGTAAAAAATAGGGATTGAATAAAGAGTATGAAGATTTCTTAAAGTCAAACTAAGTGAGGAATAGGGGCTAGAATCTAAGTTTTTTTGAATTTCTGGATTATCTTCGAAATTGAAGAAAATCACAATGCAACAACTAGCTCTGGGAGCACTTAGTGCTCCCGCTCTCGTTATCGGGTTAAGGGGGTCCGGGGGGTGAAGTCCCCTGGTTAAGGCCTTAGTTGGGGGTCCCGGGGTTCATAGCCCCTGGGTTAGGTTTTGGGTTAGGGCAGCTCGAATGATATCCCCCTACTACCTTTTGACCTGGGTCCCCAAAAAAGTAAATATCAAAGAGGCATTTTATCAATATTTTGAATAAATTGTGGTGGCTTCCGGTCAATAACTATCCGAAAAAAATATTTATCTGAGGAAGCCATTTTTTGCTTTGGAATGAACTCCACGTCCGAGGACAATATCTTGCGGTCTCACCTTCTTTTGGGAGAGCTTCGTGCGTTGTTTCGACTGAAAAATAAACTGCTTTGCTTGTTGAACTTTTTTTAAGCATTGATTTTTGAATATTTCTCCAAACTCCGCCCAGAAAGAAAATGGAGCTGCCTAATGTCTTAGAAGGCATGTGAAATTTCTAACAGCGGCATTTTTGCGCCGCAGCTAATGCAACCGAAAACTAGCTTATCCAAAAAGAAAGATGGCTTATTAGCAAATCGACATTCTTGTTGTATAACTCGGTGTTCTATACTTTTCCTGAAATGATTTGAAAAACAAAGACGATAGGAGTTTCCGTTCCATGGGAGATTGAAGCGACCGCTTGGGTGTTTTCGACTGTTGAAGATTTTCCTGTATCTAGGCGGCTCATCCGGATCAATTTCTTCGTCCGGTTCTATCCAGCAGTCGATGTTAAGCTCGTAGCCTCCTGAATACGAGGAATGAGAAATTTTCCTCAACGTGAATTGTTGAATTGAGCCAGGGACAATTTGATAATCGGCTGTTACGCCATCTCAAAGCGTATTCGATTTCATTCCTCTCCTTTTACCACTTCGTACTCGAACTGTGCAAAATCCGGTCTTTTCAGAATCAAAATCAAGAGATTTTCTAGACTAGAAAAAGTCGAGAAGCCGCTTGCGGCTTCGAGTAAAGAAAGACAAAGCCCCGCTTCGCGCGGCTTTAATGTTTTTGTCGCTCGAAGCCGCAAGCGGCTTCTCGATTTTTTTGTCAAAAAATTAAATTTTCGGAACATGCAATATTTCAGCTTTTTTCTGGACCCAAGTGTCCAGAATTTTATCAGCACAAATATTTTCTTGAAAAGTGGCACCCTCTTCCCACTGGATAAAGAAGAAATAACAAAAAGAAAAACTCTTCTAGTTTTTACTTTGCTGGGAATGTTATCGGTTTCTGCCCACGATAGGAGGCCACAGCAGGTGACCCCACCCGTCTGATCCAGCCAACCGCGATAGAATCCTGATAAGGAATATCGCCGCACCCAGTGTATTTGTACATAGGCCCCACGTGATTGCGAGCAGATTTGAATAATCGATTCTAGTGCTTAGCGTATACTTCCAAAATTTCCTCATATTGTATGATTCATACTGTACGATAGGGACTACAGAAAACCCTTTTGTCACGTGGCTGAAGGTCCTTTACAGTAAGACAAAAGTCGATTAGTTGATGATACCAATTCAACTATCTTGCCGTTTTCCAAGTGGGTTTTATGCTAGAGTGAGTGGGGATTACTCGTAGATGCATAGTTAAGGCGCAAATTGTGCGCTGCTCCGACAGGTGGACTAAATTCGGATTATTTTGAACGGCAGCGTGAGCGTTTCCGGATTTCGGAAGGCTCCTGCGGTCTTTTTATCAGAAATGATAGCAGTTTAAAAAAGTTCTGTTTTCGCTTTTAAAGCTAATTTTAGCTCAGAACCTTACTGAACTTTGTTGAGTGTTTCGCAGGTAAAAGCCAATTAGATAATGTGTTGTCGAAGCAGACATTCCAAAGTTGAGACAATAAACTCAACGCTAGAATCCGCTGGACTCTCGTTGCATTAGATATGCTTTGAATTTTGAGATCAGTAAATTAAGAGTCGACAAGCAACCCCAACAATGTTTCGAGCACCTGCCTAACTGAGAGGAATTTGGACATCTCAACCTGTCGCGACATAATACCATATCTACGCAAGAGTAATTCTAGAGCTAGAGAATCGAGACATAGGGTTATATAAAATTCTTGGACATCGAAAACCGTCATTTTCATAGCACAGTACTGATTGAAAGAATCTGGGAACTTGGGCCAATCAGATTTAACCCAACCTGATCTCGCGTTCCTGTGAAGAAAACCTGAGTCAGGGTTCCAAAGAGCTTAAAAAATCGATAAAATTAGACTCTTATCTAACTTCTTGCGAAGCTGCGAAGAACCCTGACTCAGGTTTTCTACACAGGTCGATGTTTTGTCTAGCTGGCCCGAAAAAAATTTTATTTATCGAAGATCAATTAAAAACTAATTCCAGTCCGCGTAATATTTGTTTTAAAACAGGATGTTAACAACAAACATGATTAGCTTGAAAATTCGTTCGCTCATTTTAGATATTTTTGCGTCGATTTTTACGTGCTCCAAAGCCAAAACACTTAGCGCCGGTGGACCGCTCGTGCTGTCTTTATCACTTCTAAAGCTCAAAATGACGATAGGTTCCTAAATTGGCACTTTGGCGGGCGCCACCACTCGTGCAGCGATTTGCTTTTGGGTTAGAACGTTTGGAGTGACAGAAAATAAGGAAACCAGCAATTTTCCAAAACGAAAGTTCAAATTTTCAAAAACTCATTTTGCGAAATCAAAATTTTAGACATTTCAAACATCCGCTTTTTGACATCTAACGCGTGATTTGCAAGTTACTCGTGTAGTAGGATTTGAGAAAGTTAGAGTTTGATCCGGCCCCGTCGGCTTAGCTCTGGTTTGCCATCCGTCTTTACTGTAATTTTTGAATTAGAAATCGCCTTTTCGAAAAAGACAGCTCATCAAATTTTTTACGTGAATTTACCAGTTCCTTGTGTTTCGATGCTCATACATTCCAATTCTCCTTTTTGAACTTTTAGTTGATCGAAAAATGAAAAGCTCTTAAAAATATCAAAAGTTTATTTTTGTAAGCAGTCAGGAACTCGGCCTTTTTATTAAAAATATCCAGCTAAAATGCCAAAATCTCCCTTTTCGTCAAGTCTTTCCAAAAGCATTCGCTTTAGGTACCTCAATCTCGTCCGATAAATTGCGACTCTAAAGTCTTCTATCAGCCTTGTTTTTCTCAAAAAAGTAAAAAAAAACAAGTATTTATCCATTTTCTTACGATTTCTCGTTGGTTTTCAAGCCGAAAATCAGGATAAAAAGCAAAAAAGGAAGTATTGTCTTCATTTTTCAAAAATGCCTAATAAGATTCTTTTAAAATCAAAATCGTCATTTTTAAATTTTTAATGAGAACTTGTAAGTTTGTCAAATCATCAAACATTAACGCTATATATTTTTTGCAGCACAAATACGAATTAATTAATAAGCAACGGTCACAAAAGACCGTCATTTTCAAATTTGACATTTTTCGATCTACATTCCTATCAACGTGAACTCTTCCTCGACCAGATGCCTCTTCTGCGTTTCCAATTTCCTGGGCACTTGGAGCTCGGTTAACCCGCCAGCGTCAGCTGTGTTTTCATCTGCGGACGCGCTTGCTATTGCGGTAAGAATACACAGATGAAAAACGTCTTGTTGCTCGGTTTTTACGGCGTCAAACAAAAATATACTCCCTCTCTCTCTTTTTCGAATTAAGGGCGTCCAAATTGTAAATAAAATTGCTCTTCAAAATAAATTTCAATTAACACTCTTTCTTTAGACCCAAAACATAAATTTACAAATGAGCTTATGACTAGCTAAGGGCTTTTAAACCAAAAAGTTTTCGATAAAACCAAGAGCGACCTAGATCAAAAACACGCATTTTCTTTGTTTCTCTTCAGATTATTAAAAACTCTGTGGCCGGGAACACCGATTGACCACGTCGTTCTTTTACCCGGATGCACTGCCCTGAGTTTTCTCAATAGAAAACGAATGTCAGAGTTATTCCCTTGTTTTCTATTGTTATTCACAAAGTTGAGTCTTGTAAAGAAAAAAAGCAGGCACTTCATTTCTAGCCCCAATTATCTCCAAAAAACAGCAATAAACATGACACCCCGAGTCAAGCAAGCAACTCAGCTGTACCCCTAGAACGACAAAGCGGCTCACACCGAGAAAAATAATCACAAATACTTAGTGACCTTTGTGTTACAAAAAATTGTTCTACAGATTCTGTAAATAAATTGAGCAAGTTTTGCGTCGGCGAGACAAACTGCCACTTCAAAGCTAAAGCAAATGGCTCCTCGGTTGAGCTGACACGTCTTAGTGGTCGAACGAGATGCTTCTTTTTCTCGTGATGCGAAATTACTGGACATAAGACAAAAAATTGCCCTTGAAGAAGTAAGAGTGGTTTCAGTAAAAAATAATTGCATTTAATGAGCCAAAACTGCGCTTTGAGCCATTTTCAGGAATCTAAAAGAGCACTTGAACCTTTCAAAACAGCTCAAAGTGCCCGTTCCGCCGTTATCAGCCCGGCTCGGCAGGTGACGGGCCAGCTACAAGCACAGAGGACGTGTAGCTGGTCAAGCCGCCGGATTCAAAGCCGAAGCATTTGAATTTTAGACCGTCTCTTTCGCTTTAAAATTTGCCTTGCGAGTGAAGGCGAATTGCTTGTTCGAGACACTAGAATTTGAAAAAATGATAGCATTCGTTGTAATTATTTTGTTGTAATAATTTGAACGAATCTTATCACTTTTCGTGCGAAAAGGATAATCCTTATTTTTCGAGCTCTTTTCCAATTTTACCTCAAAAATGTTGCCTTCTTTTCTCAATAAAGATCACTTAGAACAAAAAATTATTTTTAACCGAAGTCACGATGATCAAAAACGTTAATTTTAGTAAAGAAACTTTAGCGATATCGTATCATTTTCACGGATCATGTCCATTTGAGGAAATTGAGCAGCTTATCGACAATTAAAAGCTCATGTCAATTTTTGTCAAAATCTGATCAACTTTAGCTCTAGCCACTGAGGTATTATTTCTAGAAGATAATACTGCAAAGCTCCGGAGTAATTTCGTTTAGAATAACGTGATTGTATCAAGTTTTTCTTGAGCATGTTTGGCTGTTAAATATGACAATCTTAACGCAAATATCTTATTAAAATAATTATTTTGGGACAAATTGGACTAAGTAAACCGACTGTTTTGTAACACAACTTTTTGTCAAAGAGAGAAAATCTGGAATCATGACGATTAATAACCAGTTTTGATAAATCATTCATAAATACTATCGATTCGGTATGATTCATACCGTATGAATTAACAGGAATTCAACTACTGAGCGTTCTATCTTAAAATATTATTTAGATTCTTAGCTAGAAAACGTTTATTTTTGCAAATTAGTTTTACTTCTTAAATCCGTTCTCGCCACTTTTTTGCGCAACGAGTTACTTCCTCGAAAAGCATAGAATGCCAAAACGGCCATAATCTTAAAGCTTAGACAAGATTTTAACAACTTTGTAGACGACAACTTTTAAAAAATAAGAGAGAATCGGGCGTGGCCGCAATCCCTTTGCAAAACAGCATTTGAGTCAGAGAATCAGCCGCCGCGAAGGCTGATTAAGAACATCAGTCGCTTTTTCTAAGAGAACAACTGCTAGAATTGATGAAAGGTCAAATCGACACGTGATTGATTTGAATGAATTATAAGGGCTTTAAAGGTTTTGAAAGGTCTAAGTAGAAATATGTTTTTAAGAAAATACTGAATTAGACGCTGGAGACCCTTAAAAAGCTGAACGGAAGTAGAAATCGCCATGTTTTTGAACATTTTAAGCGCTCTCAATGTTTTGCCGTGTCGTTCTTCTTGCTTATTCACTTGTAAAGGGTCTTTTAAGCGGTCAGGAAACACTCGACACACACGTGAGGGAAGATGCTTTCAATTTTTATTTTTATTTTTGGTTCCGAAAGAAGACAGCAATTTCGATTAATCACATGAAAAATTAGAAGTCAGCGACGTCTTTCATTTTGCCATCTTCGTCATCCCTCAAGGCTACTGTTCCAGGGCGGTAGTCAGCAACGTCCTTAATTTTGCCATCTTCATCGTCATCCCTCAGGGCGACGGTTCCAGGGCGGTAGTCAGCAACGTCCTTCATTTTGCCATCTTCGTCATCCCTCAGGGCGACGGTTCCAGGGCGGTAGTCAGCAACGTCCTTAATTTTGCCATCTTCATCGTCATCCCTCAGGGCGACGGTTCCAGGGCGGTAGTCAGCAATGTCTTTCATTTTGCAATCTTCGTCATCCCTCAAGGCGACGGTTCCAGGGCGGTAGTCAGCAATGTCCTTCATTTTGCCATCTTCGTCATCCCTCAGGGCGACGGTTCCAGGGCGGTAGTCAGCAACGTCCTTAATTTTGCCATCTTCATCGTCATCCCTCAGGGCGACGGTTCCAGGGCGGTAGTCAGCAACGTCCTTCATTTTGCCATCTTCGTCATCCCTCAGGGCGACGGTTCAAGGGCGGTAGTCAGCAACGTCCTTAATTTTGCCATCTTCATCGTCATCCCTCAGGGCGACGGTTCCAGGGCGGTAGTCAGCAATGTCTTTCATCTTACCATCTCCGTCATTATCTCTTAAAGCGACTGTCCCCGGCCGGTAGTCAACAGAATCAGTGTTCATCTTGTCAGTCATTGATATTTAAGTGAATTTTAGAAATTTTAGAAGATTTTAAAACATAAGCGATTTTTATAAGCTTCATTTTTAGACATTGTTTGTATAAAGGCAAAAATAGGAAACTTTTTTGTCTAAAAACCAAAAACTGTCTATTTTTCCCTGTCTATTTTGTTCTACCGTCGATCCATATTTTTTCGTACTAGAAGGCTCAGTCTCTAACAAAGCTTCTATTGAAAGAATTCAGCGTCCTTGCACGTGACATGAGAAAAAGCGTGAGGTGCTTTGTGCCGTGCCATGTTCCGCAGTACTAACCGGGCGTCAATCGCAGTGACCCGGGATTACTGCCCGAAACATTCATTCTGCGGCAGAAAACGTTTCTCAATTGACTCACAAATCCTTCATGTCATGGTTTTTTCGATCGACGTATTATTCGCCACAGGATGTCGGAACCAGAAAGCTCGGTCTTCAACGGTGAATTCTTGATGGACGACAGTAGCGATGCTATTTATTTGTCAGTTCTTGGAGAAAAGACTCTCGAGAGCTTATAAATGAAGAATCAATAATGATTCCTCGCTTCGTGTTCCTCCAAAGAAATTAATAAAATAGGACTCGATAACTATGAAAAGCCTGAAAATAGACCGGAAACTCGGTCTTTGCTAAATAGCGTATTGCTTCCGCTCTCATTCATCCAAAATCATCCCCGAGGAGCGATTACTACCAGGTAAAGAACATGTTCTCGAGATCTACTGTTACCGGTTTTATTGATTTTGAAAAGATAACCTTTTAGTTTCCAAAATTTAGAGAGTGCGTTCTATTTCAAGCAGGCAACTAAAGCTAAACCTTATCGCTAAGCACCCTCTTATTTCGTTTATTCTCAAGCCTCTCAAGTAAATTTGTTGCTCGGGACTATTTAAAGCAGCATATCCAAATATAGTCGGTATTCCACGATTTTTGCTACTATTTTGAGCGTCTTTCTAAATGAGATTTCCTGCTGATTTTCTATTTTCACAAAGCAAAAAATCATAATTGCTTGACATTATCCGGCCAACTCGATTGACGGCTAACCTTTTGCAGCTTTTGGCGGCACACCTTGTTGAAGGCAGAAAACCGCAAGAAAAGAAAGGGCTTCGTGTACTTGTGGCGGCTTTAGACCTTTTTCGAGAAATTTGATCGAAAAGCCAAATCTGTGCCCACCAGAAATAGGCTCAAGTGATGAGGGGGAATTTGGGGAAACCTGTGTAGAAACCCTGTCTCAGGCAAACGCCGAAACAAATTTTGATAATATAATATAACAGGTTTTAAAAAGCCGCTCTTCAAATTTTTTTCTTGACCCTTAATCAAGTTTCTTTTGCAAAATTTCGAGCTAGAAAAAGGCCTTCAATCAGAGTTGCAAATTTGCTGAGCTGAGCTGGCTGAGTGAGCTGAGCTCAGTGATTTTGGAAAATGATCTGATCTGCTCAGCTCAGACAATTTTCACTCAGCTCAGCTCAGCTCAGCTCAATTATTTTCGAGCATGATCTGTTTTGCTCAGCTCAGACAATAATCACTTAGCTCAGCTCAGCTCAGCTCAATGATTTGAATACTATTTTACTACCAAAAAACAGTCAAAAACAGCTCAGCTCAGCTCAGCTCTAATTATGGCCAGCTCAGCTCAGCTCAGCTTAGTAACCTCCGAAATAGGCCAGCTCAGCTCAGCTCAGAGAATTTTTTACTCAGGTCAGCTCAGCTCAGAAAAATTAATCAAGATTTGCAACTCTGCCTTCAATTCTTTCTTGAGAAACAGAACTTTCTTCGTATAGTCTTTGCTTGACAAATTCTTGCGACCAGAAACAAGGCAAGATGAAAAAACCGTAAGCTGATTGTTGCTCGCCGAAAGAGTCACTGTGGGAATTGGACCTCACAGTTCATGAAATTGAAAAACCGCGCAATCAGCTTCGTGAATTCTTCCGCACTTGTTTCTGTCATCGGCAATTGACACGGGCAGATTTTATTTCACCAGAAAAGCAGAAAATATAAATGAAAGATGAACTCGCTAAAACGAAAAATAAACAGTCTAAGAACAAAATTCCCAAAGAAAAACAGCCTTATTTACAGAAAGCTGCGATAATTTTTCCGAACGTCGGGAATACCTCTGCAATTAAAAAAGAGGTTCCTCGTCGGATGGTTATCAGTGGATCGGAGGAATTATTAAGAAGACCGGGCCCTCTCGGCTCGCGAATTTATCTCTACTAAGGGTGTAGCTCGCCAGGTTGATCAAACACACTCTTTTTTTTTAAACACGCGTTACGAGCCCGAGATAGAGCTATTTCAAGCTGGATAAACAGTTATTTGAAAATAAATTAATCGAAAAAGGGAAAAGTCTCCCGAAAAAATAGAGCTAGAATTCGCTGCTTTTGATTCTAGTTACGAAGACCCACGTCAATATTCAAAAAGCTCGATCCAATTTCCTGATTTGATTTTCCAGTTATTCTAGCGCTCTAGAACTCGATCTGTGTACTGTATGAAATTCTTCAGCTCCACCTTTGTTCACTTGTTTCGTTTGTTTTTAAGGGCGTCAAAATGGATATACAATGTTATTTCAATGTTAACAACCTTAACCTTACTTCTTAGTTTATTATCTTTCTTTTTGAGAGACTGAAAATTGCGGTAAATTGCATCGAAAATTGGCAATCGTGAAAAGACTCATCTCAAAAACGACATTCTGCGTGTTACCGTGAGTGTTAATTTGTGTGAGAGATTATGGTCGCATTTACACGAAAATTGCTGATAATTTGAGAATTCGATTTCATTGCAGGTTTAGAAATGATCGTTTGCTTTTTCCCAGCAGCCAGTTTTTTGCTTTGATTTTTGCTCTACTTTAAGTACTAATAGTGGCTTGGGTAAAAAAATATTATATCATGTCGAAAAATTTCAATTTGTCTCATCAAAATTTTTCATTCAAAAAGCTAAAAAAATAAAAATTACGCATTTTAACGGCTTTTTTTTAACGGACAGCTCTTGTGGAGGTCTTAGAAGTCGAAAGGCTCAGAGACTGGCAGGATTTGAAATTTTGACACGAATTGAATTTCGCATCTGCTTCATTTCTGAAAAACGCCGGCTTCGACGCAGGTTTTTATGTTTCAAATTGGATAATGGAGATGGTGACGGACCGTTCATTAACCGTTTAGTCGCGGGCCAACGGGAACGAATGCGCGAAAGCGGCTGACATTCGATTTTTATGCTTGAGTCAGAACAGAGCAAATCTACATAATTCCAATTCCAAGTGCGAGTTAATGATCTAGAACTCGTCAATCAAATGGTTTTTGACTCGGAAATAAACGCGATTATTTAATTTAATAACCTTTACTTGTTTTGAGCAATTATGTTCGGTTGAATTAATGACTTGAATTTGCAGATTCGTCTGACGTGGTTATAAAAGAAAGAAAAGTATGACAAACCACGTGTTTTCCGCGGTCTTTCGGAGGACGCTTCAGCCGTCAATTTTGAAGGAAATAGTTGTTGGTTTTCTAAGTTTAGAAGTAGACTGCCATACTTTGAAAAAATCAGCATTTTCTCGGATAAAAAAATGAATAGAATCGAGAAGCCGCTTGCGGCTTTGAGTCTATCAAAATAAAAGCCGCTTGAAGCTGTGTTTTATAGTCTTTAAATTATAGACGATTTTCGAAGGCAAAAGCAGCTACTCAATTTTCGGCAATTTAATTTAGAAAAAATCGTTCAAATATAGATCTATCAATTTGATAGTATCAAAAATCTGTGCTCCATAAAACTTGAGTTCCGAGCAGTCGGAAGTTAAAAACTACTGTTTAATCAGTTGAGTGATAAATTTTGAATGATCGAGAAAATTTGAAAAGATTGATAGAAATAAATTGATTTAGAAAAAAAACTTAATTTTCAATTTTGAAGATTTTCTTCGGAAGAGCTCTCATGATTTTTTTTCTTTTCCAACTGCTGAAAGAACTATCAGCTGATTCCTCTTCAATTCTCGGGAGAAAATCTGCATCCTCTTCAGCCTGGATATTCTATTTTCGAGTACCAAAACGTGCGAATCGCCTTTCGTGAACTTTCAAAAATTTTGTTTCAATAATCGAAAGATTTTTTCCGCCGCCGAAAGAAATATTGATAAGGGCGGGTTTTGGGGGGATGTTTTGACAGAAAATGTCACTTATGCTTGGATTTTATGGCGGGAACAAAGAACCGTTAGATCTTTCTCTGTTTATTTTCAGAGTGGGACAAAAGGGATGAACTGGGCCGACAGTTCCGGAGCATTTCTTTTGGATAAAAGTAATTAAACTTAACAAATTTTTAAAGAACACGAGTTCGTCAGAAGTCGAAGTTTGAAGAGGCAAGGAGATCAGGAAACGAGCAATTATATAGCTTCAATTATGTACTTAAGGACCCCCCCCCCCATCAAGATGAAAAAAAGCATTTATTTGTTGATTTAATTAATGAATCAATTAATTGAGCTTGTGATTGTCTAAGTTTCATAAAACTTAATGTTATAAATGCCTTAGTCTGTCTTTATTTCGCATCTTTTGCCTCTAGAATATCTTTTTTACTTGGGTAGTTGAAGCGATTATCATATTATAAGGGGCTTATTGTGCGTAAAACAGGTCGTTTTAATGCCAAAAATACAGATGTTCAGCTTTGTTCATACGATGAGAGACATAACTCTTTATTAATTAATACAAGTAAAAATAAACAATAAAATTTTCTTTCTTTTTTATCAAAAAGAAGCACACTAGAGAGGGCGCTCGCGCTCAGCCTGAGCTTTCACGAGTGCCAAAACTCTGCTCGCGGGTGATAGCGCG